CATGCTGCCGAGCTTTTGTCGTGTGGGTAGTTTTACTGTTTTAGGCTTCGACATTTTTCCTGGCAGGGCTGTCGCTGTTTGCCACAAGTCGTTTCACCGTCCTGAAGACCCCCACCTCGGTTGGATCACGACTCGGAGATGAGGGAATCGGGCAGTGCTGAGGTTGTTCGTGAGTGTCAAGAGGCAAGTGAAGCCGGAGTGTGCAGAACATTCGCCTTGACCTTCGTTGCTGCTTTATCGCAAACAACCCTGCAGAACCCGTGCCGCAGCGGTGCATCCAGCCCTATACGCAACACACGGAGTCGAATGACGGAAGGGGCAGAGGACAGGCATGATAGCCGAGATCCATGGTCGTCCGGCCATTGCACACGCAGGCGACGTTGAAGCACGCTTCGTTCACGAGGCTCTAGGTCGGAGCTGAAGCCCGAGCAATGCAAGCTAGCCTCTATCTGTCCCGTGACTGTATACTCTTTGAGCCCGCCGAGGTGTTAGTATGGCGTACCACGGTACATAGACGCGCGTCTCATCAGGTAGACGAGACATGGATAAGCCTCGATAGGCACGATGCCCCAATTGCTCGACTGATCTCTTGCAGGCTTGTTCCTATCCTGGCAACCTGAGGCTAAGGGTCTAACTTACATGACTTGTCGATCTTTGTTTTTAGACGTGAAGCATAGCGCCGCACGAGGTTGTGTCGTGGGCTGATAGCCTTGGCAGCTAATGAGAACTTCGGAGCAACCCAGTCAAAGCCCACTAGCGGTAATTGCCTGATCGAAGGCTTTACTGCATTTGGATATAACTACGTTCTTGACGCCCGCCATGGTGGAAGCATATCTGGCACGATCTAATGTGTGATACTACTCGTATGCCTACGCCCACGCATTTGCAAAGTCTGGACTGCTATTAGGCCCAGGGGCTGAAAACCTGCGGTTCTACCAGTTCCGGATCTCCATGCACAGAGGGTGCGCCGAGGTATCGCACAACCCACTGCGGGTCATCCATGAATTCTTGTTTCGGCCTGCCGAGTAATGTAATTGCATTTTGGGCATGAATGATGATGGGGCCCTAAAGTCCGTCACTGCTGAACGGGCTGGTGCACACCTGAAAGGCCTGAAATGGCTCGCATGTCCGGTCTGCGAAACGCCTCGGCGAAATCGATGTCTATGGCGAAATGAGACGTTGGACGCACGATTCAGACCATTGGACTCGAATCTCCACGTTGCCTTGGCATATTCTTGCGCGTTTTGCCTGTAAGCATCGTTAAGGCGGTGGTGTATTTCTATACAGCGGTCAAATTAACTCAATCTTTGCCTGTCATTCGCGGTGCTGGTCCTGATGTGCGGCCGGTTGCAACTCATGTTCCTATTCTTAGCTCACCTTCAGAAATATGTGAACGATAATTACGCCGAAAGGGGGAGGCGGGTGTCGCTGGAAGGCGACCATCTCGCCTTCAGTACCCTTCCTGACGGACACCTACATCTCTGTCGGCAGGTCATGTTGAACAAGCCTGCAAGGAGTAGTATGACGGGTGATACGTTGCCCTACCAGGCTCCCTGATGATGCCTGCGCCACTAAGCGGTCACATCCTGCGTCATTCCAAGTACGTGCTGGGGGGCGCACCACTTGATCCCTGCCACTTGACTTGCAGCCTTCCTTTAGCCTGCCTCAACTCCAGGTTGTAGGGCTGAGAGGGAATAGACGAGGCTTACCTGCCCCGCTTGATACGGCACCTGAGGAGCCTTTCTCGAATCCCAGTCGCGATACGATAACTTACACGATATGTGCAGAAGTTTCGTTATTCACCAAGCCGGCTGTCAGGGCCACACGTCTGAATTCGGACCCATGGACAAATTTGGTCAATGCCGAGTCACAGGTCGGGTCGGGGATTTATGATCTCTAATGGGGGCTGCCCAAGCTCGACTCGACGGAAGATTAGGTCGCCAGCGAGAGCCAGCGTACCTTCGCGAACGGTGGGCTAACCTGGTAGCCTAACTACGATTCCCTGAGAAATGTAGATGTTTATTACAGTCGTTTCGACACCCACATGGGTGCTCTCAACCTGACGGATAATAGGAGCGCTTGGCATCTAGTGCACCTCAGCGGCCGCGTCTGAAGTGTGTCACGGGGGTGGAGAAACGAGGTCTTGAGATTTGGGCGGCTCAGCCAAGGTGGGGGGTGCAAGTATGTAACCTGTGAGTATCCTGGTGCTGGTTTGAGCCTCAAGAGCAACGTGCAAGTCTTGCCGTTACCGTCCTGCGGTCTCCGATTATTCAACATTAGAGTTTAATTGCCGGCTCACTATGATGCGTACTATGGTACTACGTGAATAGTCTGTCCCTCGTGCATAGAAGGTCCGAAGAAGTATCTCCGCGCTCTAGACTGGCGTCAGTTCCAACAGCCCGGCTCCGTCGTATGCCTCACGTACGCGCGCCTTACCGAACCCGGTACCTTTGGCCGAAGGTAACGAGTCACCCCGGAAGAGTATAGATCGCGCACACAGGTGGATCATGTGTCTTGGTTTCCGGTAACATGGCACGGTGGCTAGCCATGACATTCTTTTGGGCAGCTGTATAGTACTTTTGACTTCTGGAGGATGACGTGAGCGCGGCGTAGTGCTGCTGGCTGTAACTCAAAGTAATCTAGAAACAATGAATGAGCGATAACAGGTAAATACATAGATTGCAGAAAGTATGCAGATCTGGCACGGCGGATTGGGATAGACTTGCCTAAACGACCTATGAGGGGATCCATACCGAGCATGGCAGTGGCGGTGTCATCACCTGGAAGGGGCAGCCTGCTGCGAACCTCGACAGCCCCCAACGACAAAAGAGCCGTACATGATGATGCTCGCCCTGATGACACTAGACAAGATCAACCGCGAGAGTAACCCCGTGTGAGAAGAGTTCCCTTTCCGCCTTCCAGGGCTGAACGGGCAGACGGGTAGGCAAAGGTCCCCGCCGTGCATGGGCTGAAGCCTGTGGAAGCCGGTGCCTGCCGATTGGTACAAGGGAGACTCGATCGTTGTCCGTATGAAGGCCTAAGAACGACACGGAAACGCTTCCAAGGCTCACGCGATTGGACCATAAGCTTGGTTCCATGTACACACATTCGAGTATAAGCTAACTTGGGGTTCTCTCGACACAACACTTCGCTGACTGCCAACCCGAATTGCGTCCATGTGCCGCTGCGTGATTACACAGTAGAATTGTGTTGCGGGTAACTGAACGTAAGTGAACGTAACTGAACAGCTGGTAACGCGCCAAGTGGAAACCTCTACTCAGCTGGCCCCGCTGGCGCGCTGCAGTAGCGGAATTCTTGGTGCATCGGGCGGAATGTCATGCGCATAGAAGCCCACGAGTTTGGGGATGTTCAGCTCTGGTATTCTGCCAGAGGCAACCGCCATTTTCAATACTTTGAGCCCAATCGTTGATCTTGATGGTCCGTCGAAGCGTTTACATTCCAGAGGCGGGTAGCCTTCAGACTGCGTGCGTACCTCCCAGTAACGTACGTACGGCGCTCTGACTTGAGCAGAGAGGAGAATTCAACAGAGTTCACTCTTACCCTCTTTCTTCTATTGGGGTTTCTTCTCTTAGGTTTTCTTCCTTTTGGTAATTTACATCGTTGTTGATCACAAGAGGTGGGCGAATCTATTGGGCATCCAGTGCACACACAAGGCACGACTCCCCAGCCATTCGTTGAACCCTCCATTATTATTAGCAGCCGAGTTATTGCTTTATAAGATCAGCACCCGCTGACCAAGGCCGCCCGGACTCCAGCAATTGCATGGCAGGTACAAATGTCAGAGGTACTCACCGCACCCGCACCGCTGCCCACCCCCCGGCAGGCCTGGCGAGCAGCAGCTTGCGGTGGGGAGTACAGCCCTGTAGCGCCGTGCTCTGGGACCACGCCCCTCCCCACACGGCCTGAGGGAACACCCCCCCTGCCCTGCGGCCTGCCCTTCGGCGGCATGGGGCATGGTCGGGGTACGTACCGACGCGACCCTGCAAAATATGACCCTGTAGGGCCGCTGCAAGTTCACCCACTCCCAAACCCAGAGACCCCTGTAGCTTCCCTGGTCTTGTTCTGGAGGGCTGAACGGCAAGTGGTGGTTTCTAGTACCATCGTAGTCGTGCGCTCCTTGGACTAATACCCTTCACCCCTCCTGCACCTCGACGCTGCTGCTGCTTGTAGACGCTTCGCTTGGGAATTGTCACGACCACGCCATAGTCTCTTCCTTTCTCTCCTCTCTACTCCAGAGTTTCCGGACGGCCCTCACCACGCATCCCCGTCTTCTCCTGGCCCGTCCACACTGGGCCTCCCATCCTGCAACCAGACCAGGGAAGAAGACGAGACACTTACAGAAAAAGAGAGCGAGGCAGAGACACACAGACACAACAGAGAGAGGGAGAGTTGGCTAATGACATAGTGCTCGCCTAATCCTCGCGCCGTGGGTGGTTCAGCCTAAAGCGACTTACTACTTTCTACTGCTACCTACATATGTTTAAAGCAGAGTAGTCGCTGCCCAGGAAACACACGCATCTCGAGTTTCTGTCCTTCCGCGGGGGCTGTACTATTATTATTATTATTATTATTATTCTCTGCATTATGTGCATCTTGTTGCATTGATACCCCTTGATTGCTCTTTTCTGCATTCCCTCTCTTTTTCTTTGCTGCAACAGCGCCTCCAACGAATCACATCGGCGCCGCCGATACGAGTCTCGCCACCTGTATCCCTACGACATCTCCCTCCCGGAGCCCTCACACGACTAGAACACCGCCTTCCAGTACGACCGCGGCGTGCGGCAACACGGCAGCCGCGCTGGCAAACTTTTGAGACCTGGTCGGTTTGTCTATGCGCTTCCTGGTTGAGTTACCGCCCGACTCCGGCTTCAGCTGGCACAGAGGGAGCTACACCCGTGGCAACCAGAATATTGGGCCAGGCGCAAACAACGCCCTCCCCTAGAACATCGAGTTCAACAGGCGTGCGAGGATTGAGCAAGATGACGACGTCAGGGTTCCCCCCGAGGGAGCCAGGAGGCGCCACTCCGTCTATATACATCGAGTCGTCGAACCACTTCTCGAATAGACCCCGGCCATTTGCGTCCGGCTTCTCCCCAGGCTCTATACCAATGGGGATCCCAAAGCGCCCACAGAGGGAGGACGAAATAGCACCCCCGCCGCTGCCGCCGCCCAGGTTCATCGGGGAGCCGCCCTCGTTCGCCAACCACAACCGCGACTATTCTCAGGGCTCGACGTCGAGTTATGGCAGCTTGGACCATAGCCCCAAGGCAGATCGACCTGGGCATGGCCGATATGGCACCAGCAAAACCATGAGACTGGATAGGGACGAAGGATATCACAGCTTCGAGCCTAGTCTGTACGTGGACAAAGTTTCTCTTCTTGACTACGCCCCGGATGTACTAACATTCTCGCTGGTACAGACCGAAACAACCACAAGCAAAGCTCATGTCCCACGATCAACTATACCGACCGACAGGGAACGACTATGACAGCTCAATGTTGAAAAGGTTTGATGCAAAGAGGACGCTTGAAAACCGACCCACTCTCAGTTCTTCGGCAAACGACGTTTTGTCACGAGGGGGCGTAACAGAAAGCCGGCAGCTCCCATCGCTGTCTTTGCCAATTCGGTCGACCTCGAATCTATTCGTTGATTCTCCCGGCCACTTGACCGACACGCCCACCCATTCGGCCATCTCCCCAATAAACCCTCCTTTCTACGGTATGGGCAGCAGCGACTATCGTTCTCCTATTGACGCTACGGATCCCGACAGATCACCTCCATTCCGCTCCAAGAGAACAAATAGCGGCTCCATGGCGGATGATATCACAGTTTCGACGCAGGGCAGCTACGATAACAATGCAGATGAGATGGACTTTACCATGGAGGATGCTGGAATGGGTCGGTTGCACCTCGAGGAGGGCTCAATACGTTCCGAATATCAAACAATTGGTCAGAAGCGCCGGGCTTCATCGCCTCCCGGAGATGAGTTGCCGCTGCAAGGCCTGCCTGGCGCCAGCGAGCTGTTGCGCCGCCGCGAGGGTGCCTCCAGAGCTTCACCACAACCAAGGCTCACCATCCCCCAGAGTTCCTTTTCTTCCATCTCGTCAAATGGACGCGGTGGCTCTTATGCTCCATCCCTCCCGATGACAGCTGCCAGTGGCACCAGCATAGCTTCGTCTTTTGGCCGACGGTCCCCTGGCGGGCTATCTCCAGGCGGCCTTTCGCCTGTAGATTCTCCTTTCAATACGCCAATCTCACTAACACAGTCTCCACGGTCGTCTGTCATGCGTACCCCACACCAGCGCCAGGTCAGCGATTCACGGCCGCTGGCCTCGCCACGGAAATTGACTGAGCTTCCCAAGGCCAGCATTTCTCGTATACAAGGATTCTACATGTGTGAATGCTGCCCAAAGAAGCCCAAGAAGTTCGAGACCGCTGAAGAACTCAAGTAAGCATTCCGGGAAGCCTTTTGTCCGTGCTGAGTAAAATTACTGACATGTAGTTCCCTAGTGCTCACGCAGCTGAGAAACAATACGAGTGCTCTTTTTGTGGGAACCGTTTCAAAAACAAGAACGAGGCAGAGCGCCACCAAAATAGTCTGCACGTAAGGCGCCATAGCTGGTCCTGCTCGGCGCTTCATGTTGCGGGCTACGACAAAGCATTCCACGACAGCTCCAATCGCCCTGGCGAGGCAGACGCCTGCGGTTATTGTGGAGAAGAATTCTTGCGCAGCGGTGGTGCTGGCCGCGCTCGTCATGCTACTGAGCAGGATTGGGACGACAGATTACGGCATCTACAAGAGGTGCACAAGTTCAGGGAGTGCAATTCCAGCAAGAAGTTCTATCGTGCAGACCACTTCAGACAACATCTAAAGCACAGTCATGCGGGAACAAGCGGGAAATGGACCAATATGCTGGAGACCGCTTGTATGATCGAGGAGGAACCGCCGCAGCCACGATGAGAAGGCCCATTAGACCTGGAACCTCAGAGACCGCGCCATCGCGGTCTGGGGCTCGAATAATGGAAAAGACCCGCCTGATCAACCGTAGCTTTGGAATAGCCTAGCACAGGCGTAGTTGAAGGAACTTGGAAGTCGAGGTGGCATGATGTGATCTCCTGACACAAGAGCGGGAACTGCTGAGGATTGGGCGGCGGCACAGAATAGGCGGCCCTAGTGGCTAGTGTACGAAATGCAGTTGCTTGCTGACATGGGCATTTGCGTCTCAGCAAACAGTCAGCAGAGACTCAGCTTCTACACTGCCGCATGCTTGCATTTGGAGGGGGCATGCACGATGTCACACGGACACCGTAAGGACACATCAAACCGTTTTGAAAGCCACAGGCTTGACATGAGATATGAGGATCATTACAACAAGACAAGAAAAGACGCAGACAGGGAGAACGGTGTGTAGCGAGTCTAGCCAGATTACTCTGCTGCGTCATTGATCGATCGGATTACGTTCAGCTCGCAGCATTCTGGAGCGAAGAAAAGATACTGACATACATGGCTGGCGATTTTGCAGAGAGACGGGTAGATGAATGAATTGCAACCTTGCCAGACCAGAAGGCCCAGCAATATCCGTGGGCCAGGCTCCAGTCACAAGACGTGGGCAAACTGAAGAAACCATTATGAGCCATGACGCCCCATTGTACAACTAGAGGAAATGGAAACGGAAACGGAAACGGAAAATATAGAAAAGCCAGATTGATTCTAAACAGAAACATGTCCAGAGAACTGGCCCTTGGGCAGAGATGTGCCAGTTGCCCAAGTTGGTGATGCGGAATACTAGAGCGACGCAAAGCCCCACACAGAAGTCCTCCGAGACCGACTCGACACCGTAGTTTTAGTGCAGTCACATGATTCATCTCAGCCCTACGGTGGCAGCTTGGAGAAAATCTGGAAGCGACCCTACTGGAGCCGTGGGTTTGAACCAGCCACTGCAAACGTCTACTCTTAGTCGTCGCTGGCACATTGTTTGTCAGGCCTGAACGCAGATGACAAAGACAATTTGTTGCGCGCCGGGCTTGTAGAACAGCTCTTTATTTTCTAGGATACAGATCTAAAAACCCACCCACCTCATGAGAGCGGGGTTACTTCACATCTGCTAAGAGCCGCGCAGGACAGTCCTGCTACAGGAGCAGAGGAGGTCTCACACTCGCGGCAAGTGAAGCGTTCTACGCTGAAATCCCTAATCATGGCCTTTGACAGGATCGCGGGCAAGGAGGATCTCTACGTTGGAGGGTGAGTCGTCTCCCAACCGACGCCATCTTGTGACAAGCCTCGAGTGTTGACAATAATGCAGGATCTTCGCTCTTCGGAAGCCGGAGCTTCTGGAAGAGAGAAACATCACTTCAGTGCTGTCTGTGATAAAATACTCGTTTGACGGATGGGGTGAGAGGGCCAATCGCTTCAACCATCTGAGCATCGATGTCGACGATGTAGACGACCAAGACTTGCTTGTGTACCTGTCGTCTGCCGTCAGGTTTATCGATCAAGGCTTATACCCGCCTCGAGATGGTCCAAACGAGACGGCGGAACCGAAGTCATCGGATCCAACAGGAGCGGTATACGTACACTGCGCAATGGGCAAATCCCGTTCCGTGACGTGCGTAGTCGCTTACTTGCTTTACAAGTACCCTCATCGTTTTGGGGGGAAGCAATTCAGTCACTCAGCAACATCCCCGACGCAGCGGCGCGAGACGGCAAATGCAGCTGTCATCCAGGCTCTGACGCTGGTGCGAGAGGCGCGTTCAATCGCAGAGCCGAACCCCGGCTTCATGCGCCAACTCGAACTGTGGTGGGAGATGGGCTGCCCGGCAGATGACGACAGGGATGTTGAGAATCATCCCATCTACCAGAAATGGCTCTATGAGAGCAAGCTGAAAGAAGCTCGCGACCTTGGTATGGCGCCGGATGCCGACTGGATACGTTTCGAGGACGAGGCTGAATCGTCGGAGGACCAACCGAAGCACGAGGCCAGTGCCGAAAAGCAACTGAGATGCAAGAAGTGCCGCCGCACTCTTGCAAATTCCCAATTCGTTGTAGGTCATCAAGGCACCGGGAAGACGGAAAACCCAGCCTCCCCTTGCCCTCACATCTTTGTCGATACATTGTCCTGGATGCGGCCGGCTCTTGAGGATGGGGCACTCGATGGCCGCTTGATCTGTCCCAATGCCAAATGTAACGCCATCGTCGGTCGTTTTGCTTGGCAGGGGTTCAAATGTAGCTGCGGCGAATGGGTGTGTCCTGCGTTTTCACTCAATCGGAGCCGGGTCGACGAAGCGGATGTCCGGCCTGGTGGGATGGGAATCCGCATGCCACCGGGCCGCAGCGGCAGCTTATAATTACCTCGGTATCCTACGGGAGATCTACGAAAACCACAGCGTCTTTTTTTGAGCTGTGTCAATCAAGCAGCTTACCTGGCCAGGGAGCCTGGCACAGATCTAGTGCTACCTGGGGGCTGCTTACGTTGGACCGGCAAGTAGCCCGTAGGTCGCTTCATCCCGCCATTCTGCAATCTGCCCTAACGCCCCCTCAACAGCGGACTCCGACATGACCAGGCGTGGATGCATCAAGAGCTTTCCAGAGGTTGGCTACTAGGCTCACGCCAAGCTCCTGTTGCTTTCTCGGCCTGATCTACTTATTGGGAAGCTGACAGCATGATAACCTCCAAGCTTTTCCTCGCATGCCAACCGGTCAAGTTATGTCTCGACGCCAGATGGGGCCGTTGCGCGCCGCAATCCTCCGTATTGGAGCCTATCATCGAGAACCCCTCTGTATGAGTTACCAATCCGGAGAAACCAGCATCCACAGCTTGTGACAACGAACCACACTGTTGCGTCAGAATGCACGCTGACCCCACTCTCGGCATTGGTGGAGTCATCATGTTCGTCAATCCTTGAGAAACAATAGACACAGTCACGCGTACCGTATGGATGTGATCTATGGTGGGAGAATAGTCTCGTCTGCCAGAGTCCTGTCAAACGCTCGTGACCGACTTCTTCGGCGTTATTTCCAAATCTCAAGACAACCAACAATAGGCTAGCTTCGAGCATGGGTTTTCGCAACAATCCCATCTGACAACCCCCGCAAACCGGCAGGGTGTTGTCTTACCAAATCGGAATCCGCCCTCGTTATTGGGGAACCTTGACAGCGTCGTCCAATTGACGTGTCAGCCAGCTGCATATATCTCATAGGTAGACACCTGAATCAAGTAAACTGCAGAGGGCCATTGGTTTCGAAGCCTTAATGCAGTGCTGCCTGGGATAAAGACCTGCAGGACACCCAATTGAAGAATTGTGCTACCTCGTCATCAATGTTTCTGAATGGAGAAATGGAGTATATCCTAGCATATTTTTTTTTACAGGACAAATGAATGTCCCTGTCTTCTAGTTGTCCTGGAATAAATACTGTGGCGCACGACCACACCTCACTAGGTAGGTACCAGAAGGCCATGTACCTTCGACCTTTAGGCTTGTTGGATGAAGCACGGAATGACCCATAGTCGTGATATAATATATCACCGGTACAGTCTGCCGGACTCTGGTTGTAAGCCAAACCGAAATCTCTCGAGATATAACATAGTATGCCTAATCTGACGGCCGCAAGTCTTCACGAACGATGTGAGGTCGAAAAGAACCTCGCAGATGGGAAAATGTGCAAATCCATGTCGGCTCAAAGGCGTCGACTGACTTATCATGTGATCCTGTTCTGATGAACGATCCAAGTCTTGCAACCAATGCTCGTGAATAAGTGCTTCTCAGAGAGCTGGCCACTCGTGGACCTGAAAGCCTCGTTCTATCTAATAGGCTACGACCTCTTCATGATAACGTGCGCGTAAGGCTTGGAAGCACATCCGCTGGATCAGATCAGATCATATCATCTGCCACAGGGAGTGAACCCCTCTTCTCCCCGTACCGGGAGCCAAGGAGAAATTCCGGGGTGGAACTAAACAAGGGACCAACTAACTACGTTGTCTAGTGCGGCGTTCCTACTGATTGGATTGTAGGCGATGCATCTGCACAAAAAGTTTCGGTCTATACCATGCCCCCAGGCGGACCCCCTGACGCCCGCATAATTGCACACACATCAACAACCTGCTACCCTATGCGACCCAACCTGACATGGCCGTATTGTTCAATTGCCGAAAAGGGACTATTTAAAACTGAACAGATACAAAATTAGCTGTAGGATCCTGAGGGATCAATACAGTTGCATATGCGCGGCGGTGCGCCGGCGGCTGCGGAGCATCCAGGTATCGGCTCCAGACGGCGAGGCCGTTCGAGATGGACAACGCACAGGAGAGCGGGAGCTCCGTGACCCGCGGCGCTTCCCACCGAGTATGCGCCCTCACCAGGTACGCTATCCTGATCCCTTAGGTCGCAAGATCTCCAAAATCCTGAACAAAAACGGTACCGACCCCAACATTGACGGCATTCCCCGTGTTCCGGGGTCGAAAAACCCCTGACGAATCCTTAGAGCACGGTAGTTCCGCGACGGCCATAGGCCAGGGGACTGAGCGCCAGTACCCATTAAGCAACACTATATTAAGCAATATAATGGCTTATCATCAAGAATCTTGGCCCAAGCCGCAGGGTTATGACTAGCTCGGTGTAAGTGAGTCCGGATATCGCAAAGTCGACTAGGAGGGCCCGTGTCTGGAGGATTGACTCCCACGTCCTTGTCGGGGACCTCTAGCGCAATAACACCCTTGCCCATGACAAACCCGACTTACACACGAAACCGCGGCGCCAGATAAAAAGAGAATCTCTGCTAGATCCTCCGGATTAGGGCGCCGCGCTTATTAGCTGCGGTTGCCGGAGGGGACTGCGCAGTGCTCTGTTCGGAAGGCTCAGAAAAACCCTCCACCCTCGTTGCCTCATGGAACGTGGCTTTGACCCGTGGCAACAGAGCATGCTGCGCGCTCGAAGAGGCTCAGGATCAACGCGGCAACGGGCAAACAATGGCACGTTACCACGACTCCCCACGCGCCGCCACTCGGTCTCAGGTGGGCGAAAAGCTCAGGGTAGCTTCAGCCCGCAGGCGACCCCCAACGCGGGATGATTTCATTCAGGGGGAAGGGGGTGTTGAAAATGAGTTTGTCACCGAAGCCCCTGGGACCCCCGAATGAAGACCCCGGACTTCCTTTTGTCACGATACGAGCTGCGCGTCGCAGGTGCGGGGGTTGGCTGCCCTCACCATCAGACCGCGGGGAGGTGCCTGGTCATGTCCCGATGTCAGGGGCTACGATGTGATTCCCGATGGTCTCTCCGGATACACCGGTGGGTGGAAACGAAAGAGTATCCCTGGGGCCGGAACGCCGCCGCCGTCGGCCCCATCAGTCTAGCCTTGCAAGAGGGTGTGGCCGGCAGTGCGTTGTCAGGTGGTGCTGGGCACATTAGGAATCTTGTCTTTTGTAGGATATAGCCCGCCGATCATCAGATATGGGAGTAACGGGGTCTCACGGGTACTTTTTTGGCTGGTAGTTTAAAGAGGTACTAGAATAACCACGGCAAACCCCCCTAAGACGACACCGCCCGGCGTTGGGGTCCAGAGGAGTTGCAACATGGAGCACCTAAGATCAACAAGTCCGATTATACGACATGATTACGAGTGTAACGATGCATGCTCTGAACTTCGATAATCAACGTCCAAAACAGTGAAGATACATGACGATCTCGCGGGTCTATATTCGTAGTCCCACTAGCAGCGGGCAAAGAATGTGCGAGACCCGGAAAATGGCCATACTGACATTCTCAGTCCTGGGAGAGGCCTGAGGCTGACAAGTATAGATTGCCGGTGTATATTCCCCAAAGAGTCATACTTCCCGCAGCCGGTGAACCGTGGCTGAACCGCAAGGCGAGACGCGCTGCTGATTACTGTGCCATTGGCGCGGTACCAATGCTTATACTGGAAGCCATCCAGCACAGAGTATTAGAGGTATACCATTATCCCAAGTTTCTGAACGACGTGTTGCTAGGACAGTATGCAGGAATCTACAAGCTGCAATTCAAAGCGTGTATCTAGTAGAGTCAGGAGAACCCACTATAGGTGCCTGACGACTGTCGGCTTCGGAGTCTGGGGCTGCGACGACAAGGTCTTCGGGTCTGGCCCGTGGTTAGTAGTTAGGGGTTTCTTACGGGAGGATAGTCCGGAGCCGTTGCCCGCCCTAGGCGGCCGCGTGCTAAGACTCGGAAGACCTGATGTACGTATCAATAATCCCTAGCGGCCGCAGAAGCTAGCGACTGTGTGGGGGATCAGTAGCCTGCTTTTGCTGTAGAGAGAGCATGGGTGAGATACAATCTAAAGATGTAACGATTTGGTGGTGAGTGATAGACCTCTATAGTTGGTTTCGTAGTACACATGGTCTGTTGTCAATGAACTATCAGGACTGATCATGTCAATCTGATGCATCTCTCCTTAACTATTTGAATTGATATGTATTCCCCATTAGTCTGTTGGCTACTACTTAAGTATTCAACATAGCATTATATCCGATCTCCGTTTGGTTGTTGCCTGTTCATAGTCGCTAGGCTAAACGACCTCAACATCCCGCATTACACACTTAGCCACTTGACCAACGGAGAGTAGATGAAGTAGAACAGACTTCCGCGTACCGATAATACGTGTCATAGCTCTCTTACTCATGGTGACTCAACGTCAGATACCCCTCGTCGGCCAACGATGAGAGCGGGCCACATCCACTGCTGCACTGCGCCGGGCCGTACTTGCTTGGGCCGCACGTGTGCTTTTCGCTCAGAGATCACGGGCGAATAGTAGATCACAGGATCCTGGCCAACTAATGCAAGTCCAAAAGGACCCTCGAGATGATTCCCCCTGCAAGACGACGAGACTTTAATCACGCAGAGCCGAATCTGGCCGCAAAGGGTGATGCACGCTTGGCCGAAGCGACTTTTTCATTCGTGGGGAGACATTTTGACGCAGCTACACGAAAGCAGCCGAGCCCATGCCGTCTCGGACGCAAAGTTGATTGCTAGAGCGAGCTGTCCACTATCGAGGTGCTGTGGCTGCTTCTCTTGGAAGCGTGCGGTAAGCACTAGACCCTGAAAGGGTATATGGTCACGGCTGAAGGATCCAACTGCCTACTGCAATCTGTAGCCGTGAGACCCCAGTTCGCCTGCGCGAAACGTCGGCCGACTGAGATCACAAAAGAAAAGCCATGCAGCTTGCTGGTGTTGCGTGGAGAAATTGATAAGATTGCGTGATCCACGTAGACGTCCAAGGCATACACATGGTAGGATAGGCAAAACGCGGTTCCAGGAGGATCAGAAGCGAGCTCGAGCTGACACATATAAGCAGCACTTATGTCGATGGCGTTCACTGATCGCCTTGTAAGGCTGAGGGAATGAAAAGGCGGGAAGATCATGTGATGGATTGGGTCGAGTGACTTGCGGGCCAATCCGTCATTCTCAAGATGATGTCGAGTGATTATTTTGGCTGACGGGCGGAAGCAGTTCAATGCGACACAACCCGGGGTGGCTATAGTCAAATGTACAGTACTTGTGTGATATGCGTCGCTCGGTTGCATGCCGTATGGTGTGCAGATGGACCTTAATAGCTCTTATGTCCGTCCGCTCGCTGCATGTATCATCGAGGTGGTGCATCGCTATGTCCCAAGTGACCATAGAGAGAACACCGTGATGCGGCCGGAGATGACTCTAGGCCATATTAAAGCATCCACAGATGTAGCCTAACGTGCATGTCAACTAGAGGGAATACTTGGGGCCGAAGTACTCTGCCTATTGTGAGAAGGTCATAAGTATTCTGGGTTAGGGTTGCGTGGCAGTATGCGTGCAGTCTATTGCAGAATGCATCGTGAAGCGAAGACAGGCGACCCAGTTTTCGGCCCATTTATCCAGCTCCTGTCCCAGATCCAGTACTAGAGGAAAGACATGTCATCTTTTAGCCTTGAGGGCCCGGTGCACCCTTTGGCACCGAGGGGAAGAGGTTGGGGTTAGCCAGCCGTTCACGATTTCGCTTTGCCAGCTCGGCTTGCTGCTTTTTGTTGATCCGTTGTTGGTGGAAACTCCTAAGACCGATCAGTGACGCCGTGCTGCGGAGCGGCAAGGGGCCGGCGTATACTCACTTCTGCAAGGCGAAGACCCGTGGCTCTTCTTCTTGAGGTGTTGCCGGGTCAGGTCTGGCCTGTTGAATGAAGTCAGTACGGCCCGCTAATACCGGAGGCAGGATAACGGGACTGGCCTCGTCCTTGGATTTAGAACCATCCTTCTTCTCCTGATCCTTGGCGTCTTTCTCTTTATCTTCAGACTTTGACTTGTCGTCTGCGTTCGCCTTTTCTTTCTTCTTTCGTTGCTTCTCCTCGTACTCCTTCTTCACACGCTCCAGCTCCTCGTCCATCTCCCTCTTCTTTTTGGCTGCGATGGCCTCATGGTCGATGATGGGAGTAGCAAACTTAGTGTCTCTAAGGTGGACCGGGCAGATGTAGAAGAAATCTTGCTTTTCGGGCGTGACCAAGACACTGGTGCTGGGCCGATAGCAGATATCACAAGCCTTTGCAGCGGCATCGGCCACCTTGCGATGGTGCCATACGTTAGGGATGGACATCTCCCGGCGCGGTTGCCCTAGACTGAGGAACCAAGGCCCGCGTATGTTGTAGGGGCTCCAATGTGAGCGCAGCCACGGCCGAGTTTTGTTCTCTGCGTGACCAGGTCGATAGTTGTGTAAAGTGAGGCTCGGTTGGTGCTGGTGGTGAGAAGGCGCCCAGCGCTCAGTTTAGACTGCGGGCGGGGTGTCAACTTTAGGTGTGGCTTGTTTGGGGTGGCGCTGGACCTTCAGACGTCGAGACTAGAATTGCAACTCAAGGCCAGACAATTGACTGTCTGGGGGAGCGTTTGTGCGCCGGAGTACATGGAAAAGCAAATGAGCACCGTGGTAAGTTCTTCCTGGTTTTACATGACTGTGTCGCAAATGCCTTCACATCAAGACCGAGCAAACTAGTCCGTACCTGACCGGGAGTTTCTGAGCCTTAATCAGCTAGCCGACAACTTCGTCGTCGCCTGTCTGTTGGCTGTATGTGGCGATTTGTAGTGTTTCCTAAGGCTTTCTTATCGTGACAAACACTGGTATAAAGTATGAGTGGTCGTGTAGAAAAGGAGCAATGTCTTATTTCCTTTTTTTTTTTTTTTTTTTTCCCCTCTCGCCCCTTTGCCTTCTTTGGCTGCCTCACCAGCACAAGTTATATAGTCGAAGAGCCTCAGGGCCGTGCACGCGTCCCAGCGCGTAAATTAAAGCTTGAAAGACACAGGCCAATGACGACAAGCCGTCATCAGGTCCACCGCCGCCAGCCAACATTTATTTATCTACATCACTCGACGGATGAGCAGCTTCCCAAGACCAAGCCATCCTGGGAACCATTCGTCACCATGTCGAACGGACTAGACACCGAGACACTCGGCGCCGTCTTTGCCTCGAGACCCGACATCCTGCAAGATATCCGAAAGGCTGCCGATTCGCCAGCCCGCATAAAGCTCTTCAACAACATTGCCAGCTTCATTCAAGAGCAGACTGGCGGCTCAGCCTCAGAACCATCACTCAAGCGCCGACGAGTCGATATCGAACCCAGCAAGAATAGCCCTGCGCCCAATGGTGCTTCGACTAGCTCCGAGCCCGTCGACGTCGCAAGCGAGAAGACCCTATTAGAGATCAAGGACATCTCGGTCTCGATCCCGCAACGTAAAAAATTCGACTTGTGTTTCACGGCGCAGCACATATATGCGAGAGCGCCGAATACGACCGCCCCCTTACAAGGCATCACATACGCCTGGAAAGACATCGAGCACGCCTTCTACCTCCCCGTGCCCGAGAAGGCGCAGGTTCAATTCAACTACATCCTTCTTCCGCGCGGCTCTGCGCTCTCCGCGCTGTCCAAGAACGCCGCACCAGCCGAGGCCGAGCCTCTCGTCTTCACCATCCCGGCCAGCGCCCCCAAACCTGGATCAATCGGTGGCCCGAATGCGGCCGCCGCATCTGCGGTGGCAGACACCTACAGCACACTGTTCCACTGGGCCATCAATAAGTGCCTGCAGGCAGCGTCCCAGAATGTGCAGATTACCGCCGCCGACCCTGCCAAGTTTCACAGCGTCATCCGGCAGGCACACCGGCCCAAGGACAAGGCTGTCCACGTCGCAGCTCACAGAGGGTCTAAGGATGGCTACCTGTTTTTCCTCGAGAACGGCATCCTGTGGGGCTTCAAGAAGCCGCTGTTGTTCATACCTATAGATCGCATTACGGCAATCAGCTACACGAGCGTGCTACAGCGGACGTTCAACATGGTGGTAGAGGTGTTCACGAACGAGGGGGGCGACGCCGAGGCTACGGAGGAGGTTGAGTTCTCCATGCTGGACCAGGAGGATTACGGAGGGATCAACGAAAACTACGTGATGCGGAAGGGTCTCCAGGATAGAAGTCTGGCAGACCAGCGCAAAGCCAAGAAGGAGCTGGCCGAGAACGCCAAGGGCAAGAAGGGCGATGCGGCGAACGGAGATGCGAACGGAGATGCTGAGGATGACGGCCTCACCGAGTTGCAGCGTGCCGAACAGCAGCTCGAGGACGAGGAAGACGAAGACGAAGAGGATTACGATCCCGGTTCCGAGGGAGAAAGCGAAGGCTCTGGCTCAGATTCGGATGACGATGATGACGATGACGACGAAGAAGATGAAGATGGGGCAGGCGATGAGGAAATGGACGACGATGAGGCCGCCGATGGTGAACCTGGCGAGGAGGGCGAGGAATAATGACGGTAGCGGCCATCGAAGAATTCTCACTGTCAGACCTCGGACTGGTCCAGACAACAGTCCAGTTCAAAGACTTGTGCCAGAGGAAACGGTGCGTTGCTGTCTTTTTGGTTGCTGAAAAGCGTCATTGGGCACTAGAACTGGTTGAGGCGACAGGCCAGAAACACCGAAATATGTACCACCCCCCAAAATCGCGACGACGGATTGGAGCGTCACGGCTTCAAAGCGGCTGCCATGAAATATGAGAACAGCTCATCAACCTGGGCTACGTGGTCAATTAAACGAGCATGGGTTAGCTCTCCTATCTTGCCTCAATTCTTCTAACAATTAGAAGCTGCCCGTGATTCAACCGGGCTGGCCAGTTCTGCAATACTAGATAGAGATAGCGTGTGACTCCAGCCTGAAATATCTCGAAAACCCGACGCCATGCCCAGCAAACAATATGCAGTGGACTGTGCATGCTTGCTCTAGCCTTGGTGGTTTGGGGAGCCAGTGCTCCCTTCTGTATAAAGGGGCTCTGCTTCAGGGGGTGTCTGTCCATGTCGGCTCCGGGCGCACAGACCACACCGGACCTACGCAGCCCGCCGTGCGGCCCAGTCGCCCTGCTCAATTCCGCCTGGAGCTAGAAATTTTCCGGGCAGCGACAGCAAGCTACGCACGCATTGCCGACGAGCGAGCGAAGCGCAGAGCAAATCTCATCGCAAGCACCCTCCCCCGCCAGACCCGACCCCAGTGTTCTTCGTCGTCGAGTCGATTCCGCAGCGATGACGGGCACAGCGAAGCCGATCCGCCTGCCACCGCTCAAGGTGCTGCGCGTCAAGAACCCGAACCGCCAGGGCGACCGGCCGTGTATGGCCATCATGTCTTCCGTGCTGGGTACGTCGTCCCGTTGCCCCCTATTCTAGCTCTCTCTCCATTCTTGGGGTCGGGCCTGAAGAAAGAGACACCCGCTGACCCTCGAACCACATACAGCTTGCTGGGCATCCTCCGGATACAGCACGGCCGGATGCGCCCAGATGGAGTCGGCACTGCGAGCCTGCATGGACGGACCACAACCGCCGCCTGCCAAGAGAAGCGAGATCAACTATCACTTGTCGAGATTCCAGTCGAGAGTTGCTGGCGTGAAGAAGCCGTAGACGACGAGGTGCAACGGATTGCGCGGGCCTCACTAGGCAAAATCATCTTCAGGAGAGCAGGACGAGGATATCACGAGGGAGTGGACGGGATGGGATGGGCGATGCACGAACGCACGACCAAGGGGGATATGACAGAACGCAATCCGGCCTACACAACAAGCATCTGCGAAAGCCCCCGACCCACCATGTCACCCTTGACAGTGTACACTACCACAAACATATAAGGCCAGAGACTTGGGGGGCAGACCTCAGGTGACGGCCCGGCGTTCTTGGTTCGCATCCCGGGGGCGGCATTTCCATACCAAAGGCCTCCCAGGGGGAAATCTGTGTATAATCTTGTACAAATCTAGAAAGAGCGAAAAACAACAATTACGATCCTACCATCGTGGCTTCACCATGTTGAGACCTATTGTTTGTCGTACTAGATCCTGGGTTCCTAGATCTAAGAAGTGCCGTATTGTCCAGGTGCTGGGCTGAACTAGTAGAAGCTTGCAGTTGGGGACTCTCGACAGGCTCAAGGATCACATATCCGCGATCATTCACCGGAGTTACTTGGGTTGGTTCAACTACCATGTTACTGTAGCAGTTGCTCATTCTACACAAGCAAAACTTCGTTCCCTCCGCCACCAAATGCCTACCACTCCCCCTTTCAGCAAAGACAAGGCAAGTGCAATGTCTGGTAGTTGCTACACGTCTTGCCGCTCGGCGTGGCGCTGCCGGTCTGTAGGTAGACCTGCCAGTAGCTGCCATCGAGCTGGCAGGCCAGGAAGTTGAGTTCTGAGATGCGCCCAGGCCAAGTCAGCGAGGCGCCTCACCATGTCTTCTACACGCAAGGAAACGGCACGAGATCAGACAAGTCAAAATAAAAAAAAGACTCACGCCTCCCCCACGAGCTGCTCGTGCCCGTGATGATGGTGTCGCCCTCGAGGGCCCAGGCCGTCGTGCTGGCCGCGGTGCCGAACGTCAGCGTCTTGTAGCTGGTGGTGTCGGCGCCGATGTTCAGGAACGCGCTCGAGTTGGTGCTCTGGATCGAGCCGCCGATGTTGAAGTACTCGCTCGTGGCCACAGGCCCCATGACGGCAATGGTGGCTGTTTTGTTGATGGCCACGTCAGCTCACGAAGCGAACGACCAAACTCTTCCACTTCCCCCGTATTTGTCTCCCTCACTTTGCCCCTTTTTGTCGAGCTCATTTGTTTTCTATTCACGTCCGTCTTGTACCACCGCTTGCTCGGGCCACTCAGGCTCCCCGGTGCGAAGGAGAGGGGTTCACGTACGGTCTTTCGGGTACCGCTGCAGATAGTAGTGGTAGATGGGATCCGACACGGAGCGGATCTGCTCCGGTTTCGCCCTTCTCACTCGCGCGGGATCTTCGTGTGCCGTCGGCGCGGCCACGGCCAGCGCCGCAGCGGCGGCCACCACAAATGCCGAGCGCATCTCGCACGTTCTTCTTCCAAGCCCGTGGCTGAGCGTCGAGAGATGAGATCTAGTTGCGCCTCAACTTCGAGCGACAGGTTTTCGGTCCAAGTTTTCTTGGTAGTAGCAGACGGCTGTGTAAGTCAAACAGTGGTTACAAAGTCGGGACGTCAGATATACATGCAGTCTCTCGTCGCTGTTGCGGATGGAATTTGTACGCCCTATCAGCAAGCCATCGAGTTTCACATTCTGGAGAGCGCTATTGCGTATCTCCCGTCGCTGTGCCGGAAGGTGACGGAGCGTGAGTAAAGGGTTTACCGGAATGCACCAATCGTCCAAAACTGGTAGAACGCGGAGGGGATCCCCCGTGGAGGCCAATCTATCACACGCACCCTGGCCTCTGGGACGGGAGCCCGGAAACGGATTCCAGGGCAAGTGGCATGCAAGTAGCAGAAATAGTTCCAGAAAGTGAACGGTGGAATCCATGATATAGATTTCGCAATCCTACCCTATATATGACTCCCCTCCCCACAAACGACCCAGGCTATTGCAGACGTTCGTCCACATGCATCATTATGCCCGTCTTCAAATCGCCCACGACTGCATCGCTGTGGAAGGCAATGTTTTGTTACCTTGCCTTCGTCGCAGCCGCGATTGGCCCTCACAAGCTAGTCTTCCCGTTGCGCTCGCGATAACTCAATCCCAGAAATCTTATTGACGCTAAGATAGAGGTCGGCGGCGCCGGCTGCTCTGGAGGTATCAAAAGCCTTTGGGGGCTTACATTAAGAGCGAAATCTTTGTCGGGATCGAAATATGCTGTTCTCCAGCAACCTATCTCTTTCCCACTAATCCAAGGAAGCCATTTGGGAACGTGTCGTCCCATTCTATATCCATGATGAACGCTTGACAATCACGTTCACAAATCGCGAAAGAAGAAAAAATTGGAGTGAAGAAAAACCCCTTGCGGTGTCGAAAAGAGTGTCGGCCCAGCCCACCTTTGCTCCCAGTGCCTGGTATCATAGTATGTCCAAAGAATCGTAGCCGTAGAACGAGCGTTGTCATTACTTCCGAAATAGATAATGACCGCCGAAAACAAAGAAAAGGAAATGTGGTATCAATGTAGTCTGATGCGTAGTCTATGCAGTGTATACGCCGTGATCAATGTGTCGCAAATGTATGAATGATGCGTTTCCCGCCCCAGAAGGTTCCGGTCGCTCGATATCCCATCGCCATGCAATTGTGTCTTGTAGTTGCCTCGTAAGCTCTTCCCCAGAGTACGATGCTAGGAAACGTTACATGTCGCCGACGCAGAAGAGTTCTATCTCTCCGACGCCGCCCATGTTGTATTGGTTCTTCGAACCATCCCGGTGCTCCAAGAAGGCGATCTGGATATCTTCGTCGCTTTCGATGTTGACAAAGTCACCGTCTTCATCACGGTACCGCAGCTTCAAATTGCCCTTACCAATTGAGCTGTCAGTGAAGCGTGAGAGCTTAGCATCGATGCGGTCGATCATGGATTGGTAGGTGATATTGAAGGCAACGACGAGCGTTATGTAGTTGCCACTGTCGCAGTTCACCTTCACCTTGAGCTGGGTTGGCAAGTCGGGCTGAGGGCTAAATAACGGATTCGTAGCAGTCCCGAGCGCCGGTGATACGGCGGCCCTGTTGTCAAGCTGCAACGGTGGTGGTGCTCCAGCCTGTGCACCAGGCCCAGGCGTCGATCGTCCGGGATACAATGGCTTCATTGGAAACTGGCCCATCTGGCCACCAAGCGATCCTTGAGACTGATGCATGCGTTCTCGTTGGGTTCCTGGGCTCTGTGTGCTGGTTCGTATAGGGATATCCTGCGGCATGGGCGAACCGCTCTGCGATCGGGGGATATTAGGATCATGGGCGGCATGAAGATGCGCCGGTATCCCCGGTACAGCCGGAACAGGAGTGCTGCTGTTGGATCTGCGGCCAGGTCCATTTTGTACGTTTTGCCCGTTGATGTCTGGTGTGCTGTACGACCGGTTTCTTTGTTGCTGCGCCAAAGTCTGCTGCGAGGCCATGACAGGCATTGACGGTCCACGTGGGTTCCTTCCGTTGATGGTATACTGGTTCACAGGGGAGGATCCATCCCGAGACGGCGCACGAGGCATTGCGGGCGCCGTATAACGATTGGTATCTTCCCATCCCTGTGGTGTTCCAGCCTTCGGGAAGGGATATCCAGAAGCGAACTGCATGCTGCCGGCCGTGCTCGTCCTCGTGGAGACGGGCGACTCTGTTGTCGGCGAGAAGTACGAGTCCCCTCCGCGCGGGCCAGGCGAGCCCGCTCCAGGAAGAGGCACCCCTTGTGTCTGCAAGCTGAGCTGCCCAGGAAGTGCCGGTAAGGGGAAGCGTGGCGGTGGTGCTCTAGCAATGCCCGCCAAGGACTGCGTGCTCTCTCCCGTCGCGGAGCGCGCTCTTAAGCTGGTACTGGAGGCGTTACGGGTCATGACCCCGCCGGTTGACTGCCCACCGAACCCGGCATTTGAGGAACTCATCTGCCCTGGCGGCACCTGACTATCGTCATCGTCCTCATCGCTTTCGTTCTGTTGCTTGTAAGGATTCTCGAGACCCTCTGCGTTACGCATCCAGGCAAAATCAGGTGCTGATTGTTCGGGACTTGCTGGAGCCGCCGGAGTGTTTGTCTTTCGCTGGTTGTCCAGACCAGTCGCCCATTTCTTCATCATCTCTTCGTTCGTAAACTTGATGACAAAGTTTTCGACACCGGGATCTCCCTTCCACCAAATTTGAACGGTGTATGAGCCTGTACAGATCGGTTAGCCAGACGCCTAGGAAGGCAAGCAATGTCCTTACCTGGTTTGGCGAAGGAGAGGACTTCAGTCACATTGGTCATGAATATCCTCCCCTTCAACTGAAGCTTGTTGTTCTTGTTGCGGACCTTGGGTAGAGATTTGGTCTTGTCCTTCTTATCCTTGTTCTTGTTCGGCTGTACCTCCTTACAGCACAGGAGAATGCACTCGAACAGATAGATCTCGTACTGCGTGGCAAGGTCAGTCATGTCAGTTCAAGGAAAGTTGGCTAAGATTCTCACAGGTAGCCTTACGTCTTTCTCTTGGTCGCTGCGCCCCGTAACCACAGTATAGACGCCATGCAGCAATAGTCTTCCGAATTGCTCCACCCTGTGATTTTTCCAGTCATCGACTCTTCTGATCAGGTCTTCTAATGCTTCATCAAGAAGGTCACGGTTGACAGCCTCGTTGGCCTTGGAGAGGACACGCTCTGCAGCACCAATACCCGTTGTCAGATCTTGCTTGATAGTAACATCCTCCGTCTTCTTTAATAAATCCTATGGGCCGAAGTTAGCCGGGTTGCAGTGCAATAGTATTCATGCGAGACACTTACTTTCAAAAGTAGCGGGTACTTCACGAGCCTTTGCATAGGTTTCAGCAAGAAACCATCCAAGGTGTTGAAATCGCAGGCGACAGGATGCTGGACCACCTGGATCTTGTCAAATACTTGGTTGGCAACCTGCGCTGCTTTTCGCTGGTTCGCAATGAAGGGTTGGTAGATGTTGAAAGCCTCTTCGTACAGAGCGAAAGGCGCTCCCCATTGCTGTGCAGTTGGAGGCATCGAGTTGGTTGTTTCCACTTTGATGAGAAAGCGTCTCTGGAAGTCGAGGATGGCGTTGATGTTGAGGAAGATCTGGTGCACAATATCGCCGGGAATAGCACCCTTTTGCTCCAACGCCTTTTTCAAGTCGTGAAGGTTTTCCAAATCTTGGACGTATTTCCGCTCCGTGTCGACCATTTCTTTGATGATGTGATCACGGTAGGTCATCTGAGACCCTGCGCCAGCCACATCTTCTTGGAAGGCATTCGACGGGGCAGGCTCTAACAGCTTTCCTTGATTTTGTGCGAGATCCAGGACGTAATTTACCACGGCAGTCACCTAAGGCAGAGTTAGTCAGAGCTGCTGCAACAGCCAGGTCCTCAGAGTCCTACCTTGACAAATCCGGTGGTGTCATTTCCCATTAGGTCGTTGATCACAAAACACTCGGCGGCGGGGATCTTGAGCTGGGCCATGCAGTTTTGGACGAATCTGAAAATGGCGATCTTGGAGACCTTCTCGGGACTTCCTGCAGCACCTTCCACGCTGAGTGGCGTCTCGGGCTGCAGAGCATTATAGACGGTGAGCAGGGGATGACCGGTGCGCAGCAAGTTCCAGAGAGCTTCTACGGGTGATCCTTCGCTCTTAGCAGTCAGGTCGTCGAACTGCTGCTGGTACTGATCGAACCCCGGCACCTGCGATAATCTTTGTTTCAACGTGATACATATTTGGTAGAGGGACCTCGACGCGTCCGCCTTCTGGTTGATGATATTTGCGGTTGCCACAACAGGGCCGCTGCCGTTGCCAGTGCCGATCAACGTCGAGACTGTGGATGACGAGGCTATCGACGGGTTCGATGATGAGCCATAAACGGTGGACCCGGACAGCTGACTTGCGCGGGGCCCGGCTACACCAGAAGACATGCTGCCATATTTGTTGTCGGCGGGGAACACAGGCGCTGTGTTCGTCCTGAGGAGTGCTGGAGCATGCGACATGACTATCTACCCCATCCGTCACTCTTCTCGGGTAGATCGCTTGGGCTGACGGTCGCGCGACGAGGTAGCACACCGACGGGGGATAGAGGGGTCGTGTCGTCGTAGAATCGAGACTGGTTGCGGGCAAAGTGTGTGGGGTTGGGATGTCGGCGGGGGTGAGTTGAGGCGGCTGGAGAGTCTCTTTGGATGTCGAGTTGTGGGAACAACTATGACCTCGTCGCTTCCGTCAACGTCACTCGTCGGGTTGTGAGTCGCAGGGACCGGACGAGGGATCGATCCTTCGCGGGCGTGGTCGAATCACTGCGGTGCTTGCCCGACGCAGTTCCAAGTGCCGGCTCGTTCGAATCGAGTTCGGCGTCCCTTGCACCCCTATTGCTTTCCTCTGCCGTCCTGGTGGTTGCGGCTGTGCCCTCTCCGGACCGTGTTGATGCGCGGGTGGCTAGACTTGGCTTCGGGTCTGGCTGCGTGGGCGGCGATGAGGCGGAAGGGATGGCTTGATTGCTTTTGGGTCTGCCCCTCGTAGGCGTCGGGTATCCGTGGGGTTCGACGGGCCTGGAGATTTGATTTCTCTGCGGAGGGTCAGGCCGATAGGGCGACGTGAAACATCACCGAGAGCGGCGGTTAGGAGGCCAATCTCGGGTCGACTCCACGATGGGGCGGAGCAATTGCAGTCCGTCGCTGGGAGAGTGGGCGGTTGCGGGTTGCGGGCTGCGGTGAGCGGTGCGGTGTACACGTTGGCGGTGGATGGGGCGAGGGGCGATGGAGGGGAGGGGAGGGGAGAGAGGAGAGGAGAGGATGGTCTATCTCGCGAGAGGGCGAGGTGGTGGTGATGGAGCTGCTTCTACGGCCGGCTCTCCGTCTCGTCTCGTCTCGTCTCGTCGCTGTGGCTGGTGGTTCCCGATTCCCAAGCAGGCATGTGTGAGGTTGAAGCAGGACGCAGGTATCTTTGTGTCGCCAGTCCCCTTTCTGCCGGTCGGGTGCAGCCCACAGCCAGCCAAAGGAGCCAGAAGTGGGCGACCGCCAGCAGTAACAATGGAAATCCCTGGCACTGTGCGACCTGCCCCCGTGGCTACCTTTGGCTACCTTTGACCTGGATGAACCCAACTCCGGGTATAACTTACACGACACACAGAGGCTCCGTCACTCGGTCACCCTTACACACAATGCGATGGAAGCCCAGCCAACCTGCCTTGCCAGCAGCTCTGTCTGCTACTGCTGCTGCTGCTGCTGCTGCTGCTACTGGGCTGCAGGCGGGAGAAGGGGACGCAGAAGAGGGAGACCCCTGTAAGCCTTGCGGGCTCGAATAACGTCGACAGTGGGCTTCTTCTGCACCAACACCCTGGCCAACCCGCCAGAGTTACCTTAAAGTCCAGTATGACTATAATAAGTTGCCGTACAATCCACACACTCCAGTCCTTCAAGCAAGATGGAGCGCACGACCGACACAGCATCTGACGGCGGGCCAGGCCGGCTGTTGTCTCTGCCCACTGGCCAACACAACTGGTACGACGTCGTGTGCCGTGATTCCGCATTGGCGGCCGGAGTCCATGCCCGATCACGAGGCTGCCTGCTGGCAAGATGGACAGCTATGCCGCCGAATCATACATTGGACAGTCTCGACAACGGTGCCGCTGTTCAGGTGCGCGCGCTGGCTGGTCATGCCCCATTCACGTGGTCCTGTCCTCGACGATCCTGCAAGTCACAGTCTCAAGCGCACAGTGTATCTGCCCACTGGCAGACTGGCCCCTGGACCCCCGGGCGCTAGGGGGGGAGAGGAAGTGAGGCACCAGAGGCTGCTCGCATTTTTGGGCATTGATTGTGATGGAGCCCTACAGTTGTTTCAAATTAGCGAGTCCTTGCGCTATCCCTGAACCGGCCACCCGTCCGACGCTCGCCCTCGACAGCCTCGACAACCCAAAAACCGGCCATGATCGCCGTAGCCAGCCAATGCCAGATGTTGGGTACAATTGACACACCAGCATACATCCACTATCCAGCACTCCCTCCCACAGGCGCTGGCTGTCGACGAATACGGCAGCTGGCTCTCCTCCACACCCAGCACACTTGGGGTTCGACATTCTTTTGGCCAGCCCACAGCCCTGACGAGAGCATGACCCCAACACGGTGCTTTGTCAAAGTGTGTAACTACTCCCAACTATCCAGGCAGCCCGATGGGTTGGTTTGGGTTTAGGCCGGTCAGAAACTGTATGTGTGCATTGACAGGTCCTCACTACCCTGTGGGACCGGGGGAGTCCGCTGCCCAGGCGCCCTGGTGGTGTCTGAGCTTCAATGTCACCGCCCTACCTGTCCCCAGCAAGTCTTCACATATACACCAGGGAATTACAACACACCCCAACACACGCACGGCGGTAGCCTCGAAAGCTCGTTACCCAGCTCTTCGGGTCATGCTGGCAAGAGCCGAGTAGCCTGAAGCACTCCTTTGGGCTGGTGCCGTCAACCTGTGGCACAATATTTTGAGTTTTGGGGCTGTGACGATCAGCCATCAATCCAACAACTTCAAGTCGCAACGGGTTCTTCCTCCTACCGGGCCGCCTGAAGTCTGAGCTCCATTGGCCTGTCACGGCCTTGAGTGGGGTTGGAGCCTACCACCGGTCCAAGAGCAAATGGGCAGAGATGCAGCACAAAAGGCAGAATGGTTAATATCGCCCAGAGTGCATCGTATCGCTGTAATGCTGTTCCGCCCAGTCCAGTACGTTGTCGATAGGGTCATGACATTGGCAAATGGCGGTCGACGATCTTCCTCTCCTTCATTCTTCACAGACATGGTCCTGTATTGCCAAGTTAATCCTTGCCTTTCTCGTCGCAGCGTTGGAAAATCAAGCAATTCTACAATAGGGGTTCTGGCATGGGTCAACTAAGAATATCAGAGTTTGAGCTAGCAGCACGCAAGTCTCCCTGCTAGTCGGGCTCGAAGTGGGAAACTATTACTGAGCCTACCATCAACCAGTCTTCAAACCAGGGAGCTATCCCGTAAGGCCGTTCAACTCAACTCGACATCCTTCAACTCATTCGCGAACATCCTCCAAAGTTATGGAGGGACCTGGAGGCGTTGTGAACTCACTTTCAGCCACTTTACTCCCCGGCCTCCCCTCCTTCCTGAGCAACGTCCATGAGGTTCATAGTGTCCAACCTCCCACCGGTTGAGAGGTCCCACTCCCTGGTGGTTCGAACGCCCAAACGATATCGGCAGTAAATGACTTATAGCACCGAAAACGATAGTCTTCGCTTCATCGTTACGCTATGTCGCCTTTCTGGACAGCTACCACGAGACCTCTGGGGTAATCAAATCCAACCGCTCACTGCATGACATACAAATCTGTTGTCGCGCAGCTATTGGAGGCAGGCTTTGAGAAGTGCCCTCCAGCGAATGGCAATTATTTTCCAGACGCGATTAGCCCGGGACCCTGACCAACTCTCGCTTGCGACTCGTCTTCTGCACCAGTTAGGTAGCAAGGATGAGCCCGTGATTGGCACCAGCTCGGACGGGAGGGGGGACTAAGAATGTTCTTTGATGCTTCTCTGCATCCTCGCCGAGGTCAAGCTTGTTAAGCTTTCATGCCTAAACCAAACAATGCTCACCCATCTCGAGGGATCGACCTTGGGTGCCGACTCGTCATCTTGAAACCGGCCATTCATGCGAGTCAGGCCTGCCCAGTGCTGTTGCACGAGACAAGCCGTCCCACCCCTCACAATCCGAGGTAGGTTGTCGACCCCGCCATCTGCATCCATGGCCAACATCCCACCATCACGCCAACCAACGGTCGTTGGAACCTAGACGCCTCCAGATTTCACTGCCCAGGAACATGTATCCAGAGAGTGTGAGTGGCCACGCAGTATGTTCTATTTTGCGTGTTGTACATGTCGCTTGCGTTCCCCCAATCGTGACCAGCAGTGTCTCGGCCTTATCCATCGTCTGTGGCCAACCCCGCTACTGTAGACGCTCGACTTCTTGCATGATCATGCGGTCGCATGACGGCCGCATTGAAGAGCCGGGCGGGCCCCCACGGCAGAGTGTGTGCACTCGCGGTACTTCAAACAGGTCAGCTCGCCAACATAACTGCTTCTTGCACATTCTCCGGTGGCGCCAAGAGGACCAGAGCCCTGCGTCATGCCCTCAGGGGTCCTAGGGATGGACAGCCTTCTGGAAGTATTCTGAAGCTAACATGAGCTTGGGTGTGCCACGGTATCCCTGTTGAAGCTGTTTGCATAAACTTCCGATCTAGCATTCGGTACATCTCGGTGTGAGTATCTAGTCGCATCTCTGTCAACTCCGGCCTGGAAGCGGGAGTCATGACCGAAGTAAACTTGTTAAAGTAAAGGATAAGTCGTGCCGTCTTCATCCTTCTCTTCTCCCCTCGAGCCAGTTCAACCTGGAGTCAAGGACTTTTATCACATGTTAGACCCAGGCAGTGGAGTCCCCCACGTATCATATATGAGAGACAACACTGTGGATTAGCTCTTTGATAGCTTTGGCCTGATTTCGGTTTGGCCTATGGTCATTTCCAAGTAGATTGGTCATAACAGGATGACAAATCCCGCATCAGTATATAGGCACACGTAGTCTTCCCTGCAGATAACAGTTACACTGAGTATGTCACCAACCCGACCCCCTGATCACCTCCTTCAGCTATAACCTGGCCTATTCAGAGGTGTGTCAGTGGCACTATGCTCTCTACTGGAAGAAACAACAGCACAAGGATCCCAGTACTAAGTTCGAAATTAACACAAGCAGGCAGTCTGTTGCTTAGCATCATTGCCTCTCCCTGCTTCAATTGATATTTTTCTTCGTTTACAAATTTAACGAACTGTCGAATTATGGTCGGACTGGAAAAAGCCTAAAAAGGAGAGATGGTACATGCATCTCAATCTATCCTCGAAGAACGGTTTGACAGTCTATGCCATACCCTCTCTACCAAACTGTATTGACAGAAAGAGATGTTCTCTATAGAAAACGACGGCGTCACGAGAGCTGGGTAATATATTGCCCCAGTAGCGACTCTGAGGCACTGTAGCTCACTGTTGCACAATACTCAATCCTTCTTGGGCTTTTCTTCTTTTCTCCGCTCAAGTGCCGCTGTATAAGTTGTGATTACGACGCAAGATGCCGAAAAGACTGTGCCTATTAAAGCGAAGATGGCGCTCCAGCCTTTCATGAACTGTGGATAGACAATAACGGAGACAATGTTGCATATTGTCCCGATGGCAACTGTGATCCACACCGACCTATAGGGACTGGCGAGTTCGGATCTCTCGAACAGCATCAGCATAGCTAGGTTGCCGAACGTCGACACGATGCTGCCTTGGATAAGATACAAGAAGTCGGCGTCATCGCTTCTGCCTATATCTTCTCACAACCAATTCTTCGCAAAGCCAATAGAGCCGGGAATGAATGCGCCTAGGATCGAGGCGATGAAAAGTGCGAATATCCAGTACCAGGTACTCTGGAGCAGAATTAGACTCTATGGTAGATTCCGTGTTCTTGTTTTGAGGCATTCAACCACAAAAGTGACTTACTTCCTTGGAGCTCAGTCTCATCGGTTCTTCTTGGGGGCCTGCGTCCAGATCCTCGTCCAACTTGCATTTTGTCGTCGTAATAATAGACAAGATCAGATCCAGATCTGCAGGGTCCGGTGAGTTAGCCCGTAAGATGCGGGCGAGGAAACGAGTTCGCCGGTCGATTGCATCTATGAGCAGACCCAGATCGTCTGTACATGAAGAGCCCGCCAAATATCCGGTTTGAAGAAGGCTATGCTGCTTCGCGGTGACGAAGACCAAAGTACTCCTGATCGTGTTCATCATCATTTCGGCGTGCGTGTCCCCGAGTAGGTCTACGCGTAAGTTATGAAAAATGTCCATGATTACGTCCCAGTAGAGAACCTCGTATCCTTCTTGAAGGTACCACAGATACTCTTCATCATCACGGAAAATCGGGTGGAATCTTGTCGGTTTCTTCCTGGCTGTAAGGTCAGACCAATCTCTGAAAGTTGCCGCGCAGAACCTTCCAAATTCTCCCGTATTAGCGCAGCTAAGAGCTCTATTCTGTCTTTTTGCGACCGCTCCACGTATTCCTCTGAGACAAGAGTCTATTTCGGATGCTTGAAAGAGCCTTCCAAAACTCTGGAAAAATTCGGCCAGATAATTTTCAAACCTCACAAAGATGCGAGCGATCTGCACAAGCTGCGTCCTTACGCCATCGTTTCTTACGGAAATCCGGGGAGCATAAGTCACAGGGCCCTCGGGGACAATTCTGGCCTGTATTTCTTATCAGTGGAGAACCTCTTGAATCCGGAAAACAACTTACGCTTCGACATCCTAGTCGTCGTTGTGTGACAGTCGTAAACCCTCTGCCCGTGGATTTTGTGTCATTGGAAGATATCCATGGCATTACCTGCATCCTTTCCTGGAGAATTGGTTTCTCCACGGTAGTGCTACCTCGGCCATCCCACTGCACCTCGTTGCCACTCAGGTGGAAAGCTCCATGTTTATCGATTGAAATGGCTGCAGCTCCTGTTATTTTGATGAGACCTCCGGGCATGGAAAGGTTGAAGGGGGAACTGGACGCTCCATCAGCATTAGCAAAGAATCTTGTCGCCATGTCCTCCACGATGACGCTTCTTCAATGTTCATTGATGGGCGAGGTAGTTTCAGGCTTAGAACGAATACACAACTATTTGGCCTCTGGAAGATTAGTGGCATCTTGTTGAACAAATTTCTTGGAAGTTGCTTAAATGACCTTCGATAGAAGCCGGAAGTCATCGATGGAAGCCATCTTCAGCAGGCGAGAGGAGGCTGTGTTCTTCATGTACCACAAGAGACACCGCCACCGCGCTATGCTTGATGGTTGTTGATTGGATACAACTTTTGCTCAAACTGGTTGTACGGGTGCCGTAACTTAGGATTTGTGACGCCAGCATCATCCCACTCGCACCTCAGACCAATCTCAAGCTGCAGTGTACGGGTGGCGGAGCATGCGGCGAAGAAGATACGCACAGATTTGTGATTAACGCATGATGGTAAACACCCAGTAGTCCTTAGAGCTATGGAGCGGGGCCATGTTGTTCCGCTGGCTTACTCTACTTTAAGCTGCAAATAGAAAATGTATTGAATACATCTGCGTTAGAGATTCGAGACTGCAAAGATATCCCTCGTAGTTTTCCGTTGTCCAGATTGATTTACTTAGTTATTCTAGATTAGGTATTGAAATGAGTTATCTAGTTATTTGTTCCAGACCTGGTGCGTCTCGCTCACAGATAGCATTATTATTCGGCCTGGTTGAGGCTCGTACTAGGGGTTTAAAAACAATAAAAAAAGCACGCAAACAAACAATCGTAGCAGCATTCAAAGGATGATACGATTCGCAGATCAAGAGTTTTGGCACCTAGGAGGCACTCTGGTACCAGCTTTGAGACCTACATGTGTGCGATGATCGCTGCCTCTTATAAACTGTAGACCCACTATAGCGATCTGCGGCTCCCCCATATGTGCACCAAAAGACTAGACAACTGCATGAAAGACCGAGCAACCTAACACTCTCTTTACAGAAATAGGTCCGACTGCTTTAATTGGATAAGATCTCACAATTGTTGCCTTCGGAAGCAAATTCATGGCTTCGATCGTCAGCCATAAGTGGCTATGAGCCCTTCAGGATGCTGGTCAATGTTGCCCCTAATGCGTGCGTCGTGTAGATTCAATCAGGATCTTAGGGCCCATATTCAAACATCTACACTTGGAATGCACCTAATAATGCATTTAATACGACCATCTGTTTAATTTCAAATGCGGGAACAAGCTAATTTCTAGCAACATGACTGAAAGATGCAGAAGGAGATTTCGATGGTTACCTTTGTGTTGAAATATTGGCTAGAAGGGTGTTATACTGCTGCCTTACTATGCCGACGGCCTGGTTGCAGGATTTGCCACAACATACAGCTAGTGCACTAAGTTCGTATGTACTACGCCAATCTCGTCATAGATATTATAGCAAATCAGACAATCATCTCACTAAGCATGCTGCGCCAAGTTTTTGCTATAATATACGAAGATTGACATCACACAGGATTTGACCATCAACTTGGGGGCCAGGCAACGTTTCTATCAGTGGATATAGGCATCACTACCTCACGGCTCTAGTATGCGCCTGTGTCAGTAAATGCGCCCAATGCCTCAATAGCGCATCCTGCACAGCTGATCGCTCCAAAGTGCGTTCCATAGTCTGCCCTTTGGCCAATTGGCTCAACCTACCGTACCGTGGGTCCAGAGCGAGGCGATGGTGGATCTCGACACGGCGCGTTGATCACTGTAAGCAAATTTTGGGGCCAAAGGAGGAACCTAGAGGTACGCTTCATCAGTTGCATGGAAAGATAAAGCAATAATCTGGGTTTCCCTCAGGTATAAATACCGGCGGTTTCCTAGTGGTCTAGAACAGAAGTCTTGGAACTCATCGCATCATCACAACACAGGAACTCAGCCTTGAAGATTTATTCAGCTAGCACATACACTTTCCCCCTCGCCTTCTTATCAACATAAATCAGAAACTATGCAGTTTTTCACTAGCACCAAGGCTATCCTAGCAGTCCTCGCAGCCCAAACCGCACTCGCGAGTCCCACCAATCCCGAGATGTCGCTGAACCCCCGAGGACCTTACTGCTGGACTGCTGGAGCCGTCAACGGACAATGCGGTCAGGTCTGGGACTTCGAGAACTGCAGCGGCAAGAACCTTCAGCAGATCGCCCCTGACGTATGCTTTGTCCCTCCTCCCTTTCCCAACCTTTTTTTTCTACCACTGACCTGATTTACTCGAACTTTTGCTAATAACTTTTTACAGTGCAAGCAAACATGCCGCAAAGCCCCTGCGGGTGCAAAGAGCATCATGGCGTGGGGAGATGGGACTTACGGGACGACTTGCTACATGTATGAGGATGAGAACTGCACCCAAGAGATCAGGCGGACATCCAACACTATCGAGAGCTCTTGTGCTACACCTGTCGGGCAGACCATCAGAAGCTACAAGTGTCTCGCCAAGTGCTGAGCTCGGTTTCTCGATGGAGAACTCTTTTGTCTGGTCGTGTATGGACTGTTTCATTTAAATAGGTCACTCGTTTATGTTTTAGGTGGTACATTAGCTGAAAACTACTGTGATCGCTTTGCTTCATACTAAATTCTGTGTAGAAAATAATGTGACTAGTTTTCAGAGTTTTGTGCTTGGTTGAGTTGAATTCAAGGAAGTAAGTGTATACGATAGGAACTGGCAGGCATCGGCTTCTTAATATTCCGGAACCGGTGCTTGTCATTCGAGGCTGTCAGCAATTCCCCCCTCGGTGACTCTCTAACATAGCAGTTGCGTCTTCCACTGCCCATCATCTACATGGACAACGGCAAAGGGGAACACACTTGTCTTCGTACGGAGTGCGGCATCTGTGGTGGGGCATTGTTGGGTGGTGTTCGCTTCCTGCCACGTAAGATGATATTCTAGACAACCCCGATTTCAAGGATGCATTTCTGAGTTCTTTCGTGCAGTCGCAAGCGGTGAAGTCTCGCCCGAGCAGAGGCCCTACTTGGATAGTGCTATTTTTCCTATGAATCGCAATGCCAACCTTAACTTCAACAGCAGGTTGCTTTGTTGGGATAGAAATTGTTGGCGGTGCCCGCTCTCATCCGAGGTGATTGCCATTCACTCCGATTGCTTCAGAATATTCAGTCAAGAGGTGAAGGCCGATGATGCGCTTGAACGGCTATGGGTGGCGGCGGTATCACGAAGCTCTTGGCGTATGGCTCCCAGTCTACGCCTTGAACAAGACACCAACGTCGATGTAGACCTGGTTTATGAAAAGGCTGCTATACAAGGTGTGCCGAGGCTGAGGCTGCTTTCACCTGAGCTTGTCCAAATGGTCAGAGATCACTCGAAACCTGCAACGTTTTGGCGATATATCTCTGTCCTGAGCTTTAGTCGGGAGCTCGCAGCAGCCTCCTCGGATAGGAGCTTACCCACGTCGATACCTCTGCAGAATTTTGCGGCATGGGCACGAGGAAGAGAAGCTGTTCTCTTAGAGCCACCAGGTGAGCCGCCTGTGATACGTTTGACCATCGATGCCCACGGAATCAAGGAGGTCGAAAGACTACCGCGCAGACGTTCGTATCACCCGTGGCGATCTGACAAGATGGTGTACATGATTGAGGAGGCAAGCAGCCTCGGCGACGTTATTGCAGAACACAAGGTCGTGCCACCACTAAACCGTAATACTTATTTCTAATATCGTACAGTACAATACCTTGTATCTCAAGTTGCCTCAGCACATTCGAGGATTCCACATATGGGACTTGCGTAGCCCTCCCATGTTGGAAGACTGCTTATTTTCTACGCGTATACCTCAGTCTACACTATTCAGGACTGTCGATCTAGAGGGCGTTTCCGGTCTTACATTCTTCTATTGTACCTTCAAATTTTACGCGGTCCATGCCCACACACCGTCAAATTCGTGTGCGAAGCAAACATTCGACAGGCTCGTTAACAAGAAGAGCACGGCTTGGATACACCTTCCGTAAGTTACATGAACGGCCAAAGTTTCGCCTCTTTGGGCGTACTGAGTGCTCAACTGAGCGGTCTCTCTTGGTACTACGTCGTATCAAGTGCTTAAAGGAGCGCGATTGCTGACTCTCAACGCTGAAGTATGCCCAAAGGTGAAGAAATCATTGCGCTTGGAGTGAGGTTCGCGCAAGCAGGCACGCGAGGAGCGGGAGGGCTTGTAACACAAAGGCCCTATTTCATGGTAACACGATCCTGTGAAAATTGAAGACAGAGGAAGAGCTGACGCCTCTAGGTTCGCACAAAACTGGCCGGCGACGTCTTCCTCGGCCCACCGCCCAGGGGAGAAGGGCAAGATATTATCTTAAGCCAACTGCACCCAAGGCTGTTTATATACAACTCTCCCAATCTTGGGCCGGCAACCGTTTTCGGAGCATATCCTGGGGCGGGGAGCAACGACCCCCTTTTTTCACCCTTCCGTCAGCCTTCGCTCGCTGGAGGTCCTCCTCCCCTTGGCAATCTTTCGACAGCCCCTCTGGAAAATGTGACTCGCATTCAGATTCTCGAAGATGCAGACCTTGGCTTTTGCAGAGCCGTTGTATTCGATTACACAAACGGGGCTCAGCGGGCCGTTGGGGACTGCCGGCTAGGCGTTGATCCCGCGAAGACGTACTTGAGACCTTCGCGCATATGCTACCTTCCCACCTTGTATCCACGAGGTCTGCCATCCCCGGGTCTTCTGACGCGAAACAAAGCTGTTAAAGTTGAGAGCGGAAGCGAGTCAATTCACCGTCATGACCAGGATGGCTGGGTTTGTTCGCCATTGGAGGGTACTTTGGAATTCTTATTTTCCGGGAACCAGTCGGTCATCACCATCGCTTCAGGGAGCGATGACCAGGGCGTCTAGCGAGTCAATAATTTGGTTCATACGACAATTAGCATGACCTGAAATCAAGGAGAAGCACTGGAAGTCCTGTTCAATGCAACGCTGATACCGATTTTCTCGGTTGGCAAACTATTCTCGTGAATCTGGGCCAGCGGAGTGCTCAAGATCAAGGGAGGAACCCTGCCATAGTATACTGCCCTACTGACTTGGGAAGTGGTGAAAAATGACGATGATGTTGTCTAACCCAACCGAAGTCTCATGCGCACCTCTTGGACAATGCCTCGATTGAGTTAATAATCACTTGCGTGTATCTTAAACTGACAAGGGAAGATAAGTCGGCATTACACAGCATGCTTGGAAGAGGCACTCAATTCCCTCGTTCCTAGACCGGGGTTGCAGTAGTCTCACCTTGTGATACCGACTTCGGACATGTTTCCCACATTACTCAAGTAAGGTGTAAATTAGCATTGTAGAGTTACTATGGCGCGTTTGTCCAAGTTCGTGAAGATAGTCCTTTCACGTTCCCCCGCTTGGCAGTCGTCGGTTATAAGATGCCAACTTATTTGGTCATATTACAGTGGATCATTGCTCGGAATGAGACTTTTGCAATGCAACGCAGGGCCAGAAAACCTGGAATTTGCAGCAGGAGTGGATGGTGTTCCGCGCGAGCTGTCAAATACCGGTTATTTGATCCATTACACATAGGTCGCACCCATGCCAATGCGGCTGTGAGGGGAGTTGAACAGCGCCACTGCCCTGACAGTAGTTGGAGTCGCCGATCTTATGGAGGGCAATGGCGACATTGGGTCGTCCCCAGTCTCGGGAAAATACGAGGTATGGTATAATTATTACCTGTTGCGTTGGTGACCCCTTGGCACACCTGCTTGGGCGGCAATGGGTTGCAAACAGTTGATCGTCTGGCCAATGCCACCCGTAGCTGGGATCGCGGCAGTGAATCTTGGGTTGGAGCCGCTAACGAGCGAGTGCATGACGGACCACGGGCAGCCAGGCTGCCGTAGTTCTTCATAGCAGGGTTTAGCAGGGTTTGGTAAGTTAGGGGGGCGGCTTGGCGTCGTGGAGTCTGCCTGGTTTACTTGTTGATTGTTTGGCTGTGGCAGTACCTATTCTACTGCGTATGGGCACAACCGGGGGCGTGTTCCAGTCCCATCGGGCCAACCGGGCCACCCGTGGACCCAGAGGCCGCTAGGCCAACTCCCTGGAATCTTGATTTTCTTTGGCGCAGGTCGCCGCCAATCGCGGCGCCTCTACGCTCATCCCCCACACAACCTCAACCTTACTTGACTGACGCGCCATCGCAAACAGGCCCAGCCCTGCTCAGCCCCGACGACCTTGATGACAATTCTCTCCCCATTCACCACCTCACGACGACGACGAGCGAGTATAACTCTACCAGTATACTTGCAAAGACAACAGTATACACTACACATCCCCTATACCTCCCGAGCCGGGCCCTACGTTCACCGTGTTTGGCTTTGCGACTGCACGCGCCCGTCGGAGTCAGGCTCAGACTCTATATATCTGAGTTGCGGAAGTAGCCGCTGAGCCTAGTCCCCCTCAGCCGGGCTAAGCTAAGCTGAAGTCAAACATCCATCCCTCACTCTCTCTCTGTCGCAACCATGGCCATGCGCTCCTCCAGCACGCCGTTCGACTCGAGTGCTGCCATCCCCGACGACATGGAGCCCTTCCCCGCCGCCCCGGAACCCGACGAGGGCTACAGCGAGCACCCGTTGTCTGCTGACAACGCTCTCGCCCAAGCAGGCAACTCTCGCGACCCTGCCGAGTTCCTCGCCTGGATGTCGCCGCGACTGTCCAACCTGTCGGTGCAGCACAAGACCCAGCTGGCCATGGCCATCCTCAGCGAACTGCCTACCACGGTCATTGCAGAGATCGTGCTCAAGCAGCTAAACCCCCGACTATACATCGACTTCGTCGACTACCTGCCGCCCGAGATCTGCCTTAAGATATTCGGTTATCTCGACCCGGTATCTCTTATAAACGTTGCTAGGTGTTGTCGGGGCTGGTATAATCTGTCCCTCGACCGCAAGCTGTGGGAGAAGCTGTTCTATCTCGAAGGTTGGCGTGCCTTGCCCCAGGAGATCGCGGCTGCCGAGCAACGGATCAATGCCAGCCTGTCAGTGTCCGAGACGAGACACCCTCACCGATTACGGTCATCCGAGTACGGCCATGTCCACAAGAAGAGAGCCATCTCCGATCCAACACCGCATGATGCCGACCAGGATGCCATGGAGATCGATCGGGACGACGACACCGAGATGTCGGGCACGAGCTTGTTTGGCGGCGTCAAGAACAACCGAGCTCCCGCAGGCAGCGGGTCGTCGTCCAGGAGTACAGCCAGCGTCGTGCAACATCTCGGGCATCTCGTCATGGACTCACCGAGCCCAATGCCTGACGTGGCGGCGGCCGCAAGTGACCCGAAGGGTAAAGGCAAAGCGAAGGTCGGTTCCTACGATGGCCAAGTCCCTTCTCTAGTGTTACCCAGCCTCCCAAAATCCTCACTCTGGACATATGACGCCAAAAACAATCGATACAAGATCAACTGGCAGTATCTTTACACCATGCGGCGACGCTTGGAGTATAACTGGGAAGCAGGCAGATATACCAACTTCCAGCTACCCCACCCGGACTATCCTCAAGAAGGCCACAAAGAGTGTGTCTACTCTCTCCAATTCAACCCAGAATATGTGGTCAGCGGGAGTCGCGACAGGTCGATCCGGATATGGAATTTGCAGACTCGTCGCCTTGCCCGCAAGCCGCTCTGGGGACACACCGGATCAGTTCTCTGCCTGCAGTTTGATGCGGACCCGGAAGAGGATGTCATTGTGTCGGGTAGTAGCGACTCCGATGTCATTGTCTGGAAGTTCTCGACCGGAGAGAAGATCCAAGTTCTTAAGAAGGCGCACACCGAATCTGTCCTGAACGTGAAGTTCGACAAGCGGATCCTCGTTACTTGCTCCAAGGACAGAAGCATCAAGATCTTCAATCGTAAACCACTGCGCGCCGGGGATGTGGGATATGGCCCAGCTAACTTCGTCGGCTCGGTGCCCATCAACATACAGAACTACGGTTACGATGAACCTCCCTGGAACCAGCTTCCGATCAAGCCACCCTATACCCAGATCGGTGCGCTTGAAGGCCATGGCGCTGCTGTAAACGCGGTCCAGATTCATGGCGATGAGATTGTATCTGCAAGCGGCGATCGACACATCAAAGTCTGGGACTGGCCCCAACAGGTTTGCCGAAGGACATTTGTAGGACATCATAAAGGCATTGCCTGTGTGCAGTACGATGGGCGGCGAATCATCAGTGGAAGCAGCGACAACGAAGTCAAGGTCTTTGACCGGGAGACGGGTCTCGAGGTGGCAACGCTACGTGGGCATGGTAGTCTTGTGCGCACTGTCCAAGCTGGTTTCGGCGATCTTCCCGACAGCGTCGAGGAGGATCGCCTGACCGCCAGCAGCATTGACAACGAATTCTTTGCCGCCATCAAGTCTGGCGCTTTAGGAACTTCCCATATGACAAGAGGCAAGGCACCTAACGCAGGCGGCCGAAGACCTGAAGACATCACAGCCTACGGTGCCAAGCTCCCCCCTGGTGGCGGCGGTGGACGATATGGCCGCATCGTTTCGGGATCGTACGACCAAACCATCATGATTTGGCGTCGCAACAAAGCTGGCAAGTGGAAGAATGCCCATACTCTGCACCAAGCAGAAGCTGCTGCGGCCGCGGCGAGGCAGTCTGGGAGTTCAAGCCACCCTGCAGGCCTCGCGAGGGTACCGTCACCTTCTTCTATAACACCGGCTGGCAACGGCACACTGCCTTCTCTACACCACAATGCTCGCCCTATTGCCAGACACCCGCCGCCGCCTACTCCGCCTGCAAGCGCTCCTCCCGCGATGCAGAATTCTGGCAGCTCGGCCAATATTGCTCATGTCGAGTATCCAATCCATGCCACTGTTACTCCCCAGACAACGTTGTCCTACACGAGGATGATTGACAACGGTGTTTCTCAGGGGCCGGCGGCACTATCTAGTGCGTTGAACAGCTTCCCGACCATGCTGGCATATCACTCCCACATCCAGTCGTGCATAGACCAGGAGCCGAATGCTATGACACGATCACAACTGCGTCAGGTTGTGGCAGCCGCGCTCCAAAGAGCGCAACTGGCGCAGCATCGCATTCGGGAGTCTACCCAATTAGCGTTGTCCGAGCAGCCAGTATTGGCGGGCAGTTCGAGCTCGGCACAAGTACCACCATCTCAGACAAGCATGAGCTATCAGCCTCTCTCCAGAGAGGTCTCTGGGTCGAGTTCTACGTCGGCCACTCGAGGCAGTAGTCATCGTGCCAGTAGCCAAGGGTCAAGCCGGACTCAGATTCCCGTCTCTGACGATAAAGTAACCACGCCCACGGTTGCCACCGTGTTGGCCCAACCTGTTGCCGTTTCTACCGCTACGGCTGCACAAGTCTCGTCTGGCCCTCCGGTCGTTGCCAGCAGTTCCTCGCAGCATGCACAGGCAATTCAACAAGCAGTGCAGGCACAAAGCGGTCAAGCTCAGTCGCAACCACAAGCACCTCCTGCGCCCGCGACTGCGACAATAGCACCCGTACCCGTCCACCACCCGCACATAGCACAACCTGACGCTCAGGCCCCGCGAGTCTTTAAACTACAGTTCGATGCTCACAAGATCATCTGCTGCAGCCAGACATCGATAATTGTCGTGTGGGACTTTTGCAACGGCGACCCCGAACTCGAGGAGGCTGCACGATTCTTTGCACCGATAGAGTAGACGGGCTTTGCGACTGGGTATCAGAAAGGAACACGTGCCAAACATGGCACCACAGAAGTGAAAACTTGCTTATAGACTTCCCGAGAAAAGCTGGAGAGGCGCCATCGGGCAAGGTCTCCCCAAACGATGGTGAGAAAGTGGATTTTACGTTTGCTCAGCGCTGCATGGTATTGCTGCATGATGGGAGCGCCGGCTTTGATTTTTTCAAGCGCATTCAGGTAGCGAAAGGCAGGCTTTTGACAAGTAGCGGACTCATGAGATGATGATGACGGGAAATGGACAGAACTGTACTATCACCACTAACGTTGTAGATGTGACAATGAGAAGGGATGCGGAAGAAATGTTTTCTGGACTTCTTGGCTTGAATGTTGACTACCCGGGCAATCTGTCTTGCGTCTCATGCTACCGTGTTGTAGAAGGTGAATGCTTCTCTGAAGGCAGATTGGTTCAAGTGGTCTGGGTAGTATCCACGCTTATTTCAGACCGGGGCACTATACATACTGTGACATTGACAGAGAATGTCTCTTCGCGGCGTTGAAAAAGCACAAGACATCTTGCTCCGTATATAGTCTGCAAGGTAGACCATACGGCCAAAAGTGTTCTCTACAGAAACTTCAAGGGACTCGTTACCCTGTTCACGATATGCTGGATGCACCCATATATCATCCCGAGAACGCCCAAAACTCCAACCAGAAAGGCCTACGCCGCACCAGATCCGGAGGTTATCACCTCGCCGCCTCCTGTACCTTGCCCTGCTCGGGGGGTTCGTCAATGAAGTCCGGCACCTCGTCCTTCATGAAGTCGGGCACGCCGCCGGCGTCCTGGGCGGCCTCCATCTCCATCTCGGCGCCGAGCATCTCGAGCTCGGCGTCCAGCTCCTCCTCGTCGACGTCGTCGGGGACGTCGTAGGCGCGGCTCAGGCTCTCCTGTATCTCGTTGCCGACGTCCATGAGGTCGGCCATCTCGTCCTGCAGCTTCTCGATCTTGTCGATGTCGACCTTGCCGTACTGCTTCTTGAGCTCCTTGGTCGTCGTCTTCATGGCGTCGACGGTGGCCATGACGCCCTTGAGGTTGTCCTGCATCATGGCCGCCTGCTCCATGTTCCAGACCTGCTGCTGCTGCTGCTCGCGCTGGGCCTCGTACTTGCGCCGCTGCGTCAGCAGGTCGCGCGCCCGCTTCTTGGCGTACGTCTTGGAGCTCGCCGGCATCCGGTTCATGCGCGCCGTCAGCTCCCGCAGCTCCGTGTTGATCTTGGCGATCTGGACGTCCAGCTTCGCGATCCCGCCGTCGATGTTGCCGATGGCGCTGTTGAGCGTCGGCTTCGGCGCCTTGTTGCCGCTGCCGAAGAGCCGGTTCATGGTGGGCAGCGTGGCGGGGCGGTCGCAAACGGGGAGGATGGGGAAACGGGGAGGAGCAGTTGGGTGTTCAGTGGACGGTCGGCGCCGCTGGTGCGGTGCTGGAGTCGGTCGAGGCGAGGAGCTGCAGTTGTTTGCTTCTTGTCGTCGTGCGAAGCTTCATAACTGATACGAATGGAAGCCTGTAGGTTGAGGTCGGTCAGGCGGCGACCCAGGGACCAGGTGGGATGGGGTGGCTGTCTGGGCGCAATGACGTTGCGGGGCACGTCCTTCGCTACCTGCATCGCTGCGATAAGTGGTAATTGCGGCTTTGGTCCACCTAACCCGCAGATAGTCCGCTGTCAACAGATTGACTTACAGGCACGGGGAGTATCTACGTAGGTGGATATTACCTGTGTGCAGTAACAAAGTATCGATCTGAGCTGAGTATAGCACCTTAAACTTCTAGAAACATCATATTGGCAGAATCTCATCGGGTTCACCACAGCTACATACATGAGGTTCGTAGTGACTTTCAACTTGTGAGTGACAATACCACGCACCACAAGGCATGGATAGTTCAAGTTAGTACAAGGTTTGGGCATGAACATCAAGGCTGAATATCTGCTGAGCGTATACACTCTATGGGAATATTGCAACAGTAAGATGCCGCTCTGACATCTACCTGCCATGCCGCACTTGTAACTCTTCTATAGCAGAGCCTTCGGGGTCGCGGAACTGCTTGAGTCCACTCCCTCAGGCCTTGATACACGCAGCTTTCTGATTTCTGGACAAGGTGCTGAGCGCAGATGGGTTAATGAAACAGTTACTTCTCACTGACTTCAGCGTCCACACTTTTTCGGGCCAGACCGTCGCGCTGAAGGCAGGCATAACGTATTACTAGAAGCGGCATTCCCATTGTGCTTTGGACACATAGGGCTGCCAGATGATCAGCGACTCCATTACACTTACACAACTCGTTCCGAATATGAGACTTCAGCCGAGCAATTTTCTTCGGTTGTCTCCACAATCCTGAGAAGGGTGGCGTTCGGCAGACCAGAAGCATCTTGGCGCCGCATGCTCGTTCGCCATCCTCCACTGCCTGCCTCTTACCAGGTCATATCAAGCAGGGTTTCTACGCCTTGGTGTCCCCATGAAGACCTGCTCTACGCCGGCGCCGGCAGTTCAAGAAGACCTTAGCATGTCCGAGCTTCCTAGAACTGTCTTCACCGAGTTTCGCACAATACTCGGTACTAGGATAGGCATCGTGCTGGCTTCTCAGAGTCTTATGGCATTGAGTGCCATCTGCGGTCGACGGTAATACGCTTCATGCGGCCCTTGCGGACTTTGCTGCTCACTCCAGTGTGGTTGTTAATCACGTTATAGATGTCGAGACAAGTCCTGTTTGCAATGCTTATATTATCTTGCTGCAACACACTCTGCCGTCGCCGTGAACTGTGACAATATCTCCACCTCACCACTGAAGGGCGCAGGACAAACAGACAGCGGTCTATGCTTAAGGAAATTCTCTATAGACCATCTGGCAGCAAATCACTCTTTGGACCCTTAGACTCTAGTATGCACGGTTTTTACTCTATGGCCAGTAGAGGCCGCCGTTCGTCTCCCGTAGCGGGCTGGGGGTCTTGACCGTTTCGAAATCTAAATGTATTAGTGGTCTGCTTTAGGTTTTACGTGCTCAATCAAACCATACCTCGTATAGCCAGTAAATGACATGAGCCAGAAAGACCCCAAGTACGTCACAGTCCACTCCAAAAACCCAGCTGGCCTATATCGGCCGCTATACATGAACCCTATGAAGCAGACACCAGTGACGAATTGGACAAGAACCAGGAAAGTGTTGAAAAGACACCTATACTCATCAACGTCACGTATTCCTCACGTATACATCTCGGCAAGACATACCATCTCCGCAAACCCGCCCACTTCGGCGGTCCCCAGATCTGGTCCCACCACACCACTGTCGTCAGGAGAGCACTTAACCCCAGCCCACCAAAAGTGCCCATGAGCAGGTACCTGTGGCGCACATTCGCGTCCACCGTGTCAAAAACGCTCAAGAAGAACAAATTGAAAGCAGCAGCAAGCCCGGCGACCAGCGCGACAAAGCTTGTCACCTGCCTCCATTCGGCATCGTTCACGAGCCCGTAGAAACGGGGCGAGTAGCGGACGTGGTGGACGGCGAAGACCGTCCCTGCAAACGAGATCCCGGTGACCGTACACCCCGCGACGAAGACAGGTTTGAAGGTGAATGCGGCAATATCGCTGATGAAAGGAATGTCCGGGTTCACTTGGCCGGGGTACCGCGGCTGCCCGATGGCCAGCCACCTGATCAGGAGGATCGTGAGCGTGGTAAACCACGCCGATCCCGCGACCACGGGGGAGACCCAGAGGTAACGGTAACTCTGAGAGTCCTTGAAGACTGTGGGCCAAGTGAACGCCATGTTTTGATGATTTGACTTACACGATCCAAAATACCATGGTCAGAGGATCGCGAACGATGCCTTTGTATTGTATAAAATGTTATCAATCCAAGAGCTAAAAATGTGACTGACCCAGGCTGTCGATTTCCAGGAATACAACTTGCGTCATCCGACAGTTGGTGGTGGATCCGTCAACTCGTAGGCCCAACTTCGGCCACCTTGCTAGGGAGTATGATTGGTGGACCGCTAATAGAGCAGCCCAAGCTGTACTGACCTGCTGGAAAGAGGCTAATCTATTGGGCCGGATGATCTTGTCCGGCAGTGTTTTTACAGTGTCCAAATTCTCTACATTTGAATGAATCTACACGTGAACCGACTTGATCGAAGCCACTATATCGTTTCTTGCAGCCGGAAAACTGTAAATGGCAAAACCATGCCGCTAGCCAATTATTCCGAGGTTGCAAGCTGGAAAAAGAAGGCGTAGGAGTATTCAAATTGAAGCTGCCGGAATCTTGGGGTGCAATCTAGGACTGAGGGACTAGAGGCGGAGGAGTAAGCCAAGCAATACTGAGCCTCGCGACTGCAGTGACGAAGTTGATGCCAAAACATTCAAAGCATCCCCCGTATAGTAATTTTCACGTCGCATAATGGCTATATGAAGAGTCATAGCCCCCAGTATCCACGCAGTTGGACTACTTCTTGATATCATGCAACTAGTAAGATATGGAAGAAACACCAGAAAAAGACGCGAAGCGATTCTATCTCGAAGGCAAAATCAAACAAAAAAATCCAAAGCCTCGCGTTGACTGGATGATTCCTTTCTCCCTAACGATTTGATTGTAGCATAGGACCGTGTAGACGAATATAACAACTTGTAACGCCACTGTTTTACGGCAGCATGTGAGGCCTTCGAAAACAAGGAGGTTCAAGCAGTAGTGGCAGCGCACAAAGCGTTGGCGATACCAGCCGCGCCATGGCCCATGGCAGGAAATGAGAAAGCAGTCAAGGCACCTCCAATCAAGCCGATGGTTGCACCGCAACTGAAGGCCTTTGGCTCATCGGACTTGGCGGAGAACGTCACTTGAGCCTTCTGGCTGTGACTTGGATCATACATTGTTGCCTGGATATAATTGACCAACTGACAGGATTGGCCGTCAGAGTGATTAGTGGACCGAACGGGATCCTTCACAGCGTGTTTCAAATCGGACAACTTACAATTCGATATCGTGACAGTTTTGAGCAATCTGGGGCGTCTCGGGGTTGCGCTTGTAGGTGCTCAGACACTTCTTAGCTTTGACCGTCGAACAGTCGGCGGATGCGACCAAAGCCTTCTCGACCTGATCTAGGATCGCGTTCATCATGTCCTTGTCATTATCAACAGACCCCGTCATCGTTATGCTGCCCTTTCCCTTAGAGGTGTAGCCGGCATCTTCGAAGCGATAATCGAAGGATTGAGGGCTTCCCCCATCACATCCATTCGCTCCGCACACCTTCTTCATGTACGCGTCTTCGAATGTCTTGGCATCTGCATTGCCGATGTGCCACTGCAACCGAGTTAGCTGGGTTGGATCATTCTTCGCAGAGAATTGAAGTCACCTTCTTAGAACCAACTTCGAGTGTTAGATGCCAATCTTTGGAGTCATCACGCGCCGTGACGCCCATGTCTGGGATCGGCAGGACAGAACACAAAGCCCCTGAGATGGTATCTAATGTGACAGAAAGATATTTGACTGAAACCATGACGAACTCAAAAGGAAGGAAACCGAAAATGGGACACCTGACAGAGGTTGATAATGATCTAAGTGTAAAAAACCGGGTGTGGGATATTTTGTCTTGAGCTTGGATGTATACGCTCGCTTCTTGGTTGAGCTTGGCGCTTTTATATCTATAGTATTGACCCTTGGTTCTTCTTCGTATTTTTTGTGAACAGTAGGTCGTCATATACTATAATTAAGCTGCGACGATCGCATCCTACTGGCAGCTTCCCAACCGTTACTAACAGCGCAACCCCGTATAATCCAACGTATTGCCTGTCCCCAGCAAAGCATCTTCCTCTATGGCCAAATAATTATGCATGCTCTCGGCCCTGTCCATGCGACCTTGTCAGATATCTGAAATCAAATGCTGGCCTTCACATCTTCCGATCCACCTAGTACACTCCTCCTATGAGAGTAGTTCAACGCTCTTCGGGTCAGAAGATCACTAGGTCCTCGACATGTACTAGCTTCGAGGATCGTGAGAAAGGGTATATATTCACAGAGATATTTTGCTCTCAATGACACACAAGAGGCGCTGCTCATCTGAAATACAAGAAAGATCCCGTTTTGGTACGCCCTTCGCCAGACTGCTTCAGGGTCCACCTGGTACCACAACACCGATGTTGCACAAGGTATGCGGCACGTCTCATGTCATACAAGCTTATGACATCGTCGATAGTATGCTATACAGGTTAGTCGGTCTGTATTTTCTTCAAAGGCAGGATTCTTTGGTCAAATTCCTCGTGTCTGCTGTCCCAATCCGGATAGTCGCCTTCAATCAAACTCTGCCTCATCGTCTCAGCCCATCACCGTCGACCCGACGCAAACAAACTCAAGTTCGCTTGTACTCACCAATCTGCGCAACAACAGTATTCGTGGAACAGTGTCACTGCCGACGGCAGTGGGAAGCATGTTTCATGCGAAAAACAAATGGCCATTAGCTCATATATTACTCTCTATGCCGTCCACGGACTCTGCTTTTGCGCTTTTAATATGGTCCACTGACTGCCAAAGACTAATTTGGTCAAATGTCAGGCCTTCCATACCCCCTCGCTGCACAAGCTAATGCGGTAATCGTGAGAAGCACCGCCGTAAGGCTGCATCATGGAACTGCAGGAGTAATCCCCAGGGCACAAACATTCATTGTACCTGAGTGAGCAACGTTATTTGATTGATTTCTCACACTCCGACGAAAGTCTACAACGGTAATAGCCTAGGATTACCAGGCGTTTCTGCCGATTTGGAGCGAACAGGATCCGTCTGGGAAACGACTGCTATATATGGGAAATTTTCAAACATGAACCACTGCTTACTGAGAGTATTAGTCATAAGTGTAACATGACGGTTATGACTTTTGCTCATATGTATTTGACCTTTGCGGGTGGTGGATTGTAATTTGGATATGAGCATTTGTTCTGAAAACGACTTAATGCCGTCGAAATGGCATCTTGCGATAGCTTCCAGGCTACCAAAAGCGAACCGAAGCCTAAATAGCCGTTCAATTAACGCCATGCTCAGGGGCTTTTCCAACTGGTCCCCAAATGGATCGTTCCTTCAACCACTCCATCCTTCCACTTTCTTTATCCACCTTCGCAAATATGAAGCTCTCAAATTGATTCTCTACACCGTCTATTTTCATAGTTCCCGTCATTCGCGCTGCCAAGGAGTCACCGTCCCGAAGGAACTCATGACTTTGCCGTAAATCAAGTGTCAGCTACAGGCTCTCACTTTACTCAGATTTCACTTCGGAGCTGGACTGGACTCACATCACTGGTTTGTAGTCGCCAGACTTGGCACGCCACTCAGCGCATCCCTTGACATACTCGTCGTACTCATAGCGCTGATTGTTCATGATGTGGTAGAAGTTTGGTGTGTTCACCTCCGCAGCATATTGCGCAAATCCCTCGGGCGGGCCTGTGAGACTCAACTCCATAGACAGTTGGAAACCTTCGCGTGTGGATGTGTACTTGGACATAATTGGCTTAGTAGGGTGGCGTAGGTATTCCAGAAAATGAAGGATACCAAGAATGTATTTTGTTTTTCCCTCGTAATGATTCGCGAACTTACTGAGAAAGTCTGAGAGAAGAAAAAAAGGGGGTCGTAGGTATGCGACTTTTATATCCAGCTAGGAAAAGGAGTGATGTGCTTCGAGCATATCATTCGGCGCTTGTCGTATCTCTTGGACGGAGGGTAAAGCAGGGCAAGCTTCGTACTGCATCCCTTGCAGCCAGATCGGCAGGCATCTTGTTCCACACAGCGTGCCTGTTTTGTCATGGGACCTATTCTCCGCGACATGGGGTGAAGCACTGTTTTCGCCCGGGTTGCTGTAATATGCCAGGAAATCTTTAGTTAGTGCACTAGACACCTGCGTTGATTGGTATAAACATTTCCGACCACCTTAGCTAGGACTGTATCTATCTACAAAAGCCAAGAGCGACACCATCCAATAGTTCAGAATTATCTTCTTACTTCACTCTGCAACAGGGAACCCCGCTCTCGTTGATGCAAGAAGCGACAGGCCTGTTGCTGCTTCGGTGATGCCCATGGGGTCTTGCCACTTTGTTTCTACCCGGCCGGCATAACTCGCTGGCCTACCACAGTTTGAGTGCTCAAAATTGTTTGATTATGCGGTTGGTTGGCTACACATACATACCAGCTGCACGATACTTACAACTGCAGTGATGCGACAAATACCGGCGCTCTTAGAGTGGGCAACCTGCAAGACTGCGGCGCTACTTTGCTGCGTATTTATTGAGGGATTTTGTAGAATATGCAGACGACCAACTGCAGATGTGACATTTGCTGATTGGAGAAATATCAATTAGTGGAAGTGATGGACGACTGTGCCGTCGATGCGGGCTAACCAAACGACCGACATGGTACTGTGTACCTGTCGTACATACAGTAGGTTGGGTGCTATAGGAAATACGCAATATGGGGTAGGTATTGTGAGGATTGAATCTTACTTCCATGACTGGTAGACAGCTAGGAAGACAACTATATCTAGGATACCCCTCGGTAGACCCCTGGGGTCTAGCCGTAGCTAGAGGCCCAGCCTGGCAGTACCCCTGTATGTAGGAGGAGCATGGCTAAGCAAACAACTTTTAAAAATCAGAATTGACCTTTCACACTCTGAAGTTAAGTTCTCGCAGTATATAATCCCAACACGCCGTAGCCAGAATAGATATCTTAGACACTGTTATGAGCTTATGTATATTACTTCCTTTAGTCGCAGCTGATTCTTCTAACCATAAGGTTACGGTCATGGCTTCTTCTGCTTGCATCATTTCCACTGCTCCTTGTATGGCCAAATATATTGCGAATTCCATCTCCTACGAGTATTTTCGCAGGAAGCACAGCTGTTTTCCGCGTAGCGTGCGAATATACCAACCATGCATTGGATAATCCATCCGCAGGAAAAAGTTTCTGCGAATATTTAGTATCCCAATACTTAGAAAATCTTTGCGACTGTTTGACACCAGCCCGTTGTTACTTGCAGCTCTCATGAATTCTAATCAATGAGCTCGATTTGTTCTACAACGAAACGGAGATCGGGGCCAAGAACCCCAACATCTCAGGGCTAGCGAGTGTATAGAAGGAGTTTCCCCGTTCCTCTTAACCCAGTGGCTACAAGTTTCACGTCCTTAGTCAACGCGTTACGATACATAGATTTCTACAATGTTCTCTTTAAGTGACTTAAGCAAAGTGCAAGTTGCCATCAAGTATGGGGAGCCAGGGCTCACACAATTTGATCGCGACGGAGTCCATTTTTCTTACACCGGAGCTCACCATTCTTTTAGATGCTTGGATGGCTGTTAGAGCCAACCTCATAATATTAAACTACCACTTAATATGAAGCTTTTATATAGAGCTTACAAATCTTGCATAAGCTCTAGCTACACTTGTATACGTATACTTCACAGTAGCAAAACAAACCGTTATAAGCTCAATAGCGAAGACGTATCCCCACACATTTCAAACTTGGGATAGATTATCGGGCTACGGCCCGATGAGCCAACGTCCCCTGACCTTCAGTCTTTAAGCCCGTAAGCAGCCATGATTAGCAAACTATTTCAATTTAGCGCAACGCATGAAGTGGAAGTAAGATCAGGTGTCTCATGATACAATAAGTGTCAGCTTGCTTCACAGCTCTCTGCAACACATTATTGGTTCCCACTTACACAGTCTTCGTGGTTGACTAAATCATTTGTCACTGCCTTGATTTTCTTGGTACATACGAAGGTTGATAATCCGAAGGGTGGCAGCCTAGTATTGAAGGATTATACGAACACCTAGGTTCCTTACGAGTAGCTGGATCAGAAGATGTCCACAAGAGCTGCTATTGTGGACCAAACATTTCAGTCACCGATCACTGCACTTCTATAAAAGGCTGGAGAAATTATGACAAAGTATTTTCGCCAACAGCTACTCATCTCAAAGTCCTTTCTTCCCCGACGCAAACAGTCGCAGAGCTACGACTTAAAAAAATGAGATCTTTCATCCCTTTTGTAGCCTTTGCTGGCGCTGCCATTGCTCGGGTTAACATCATGCTGCCTCTTTATGTGCACCCCATCCACACGACAGACTGGAACGCGGTGGTTGAAACGGTTAACGCGCATAAAAATCTACATTTCTACTTGGTTATAAATCCGGCAAACGGCCCAACTGACAGGAACGATCCTTTCTTCCAGTTCGAGCATGGGTATAACACAGACTGGACCACCGCCGTCGCGCGGCTTAACGCCCTGGAAAATGCGCAAACCATTGGTTATGTCTCGACGTCGTATAACAACGGCAGTCGCACAAGAGATACAGTCGTCGCAGATATCGACAACTGGTCTCAGTGGAAGACGGAGAAGGATAGGGACGGTCGGCCAGCCAACATCTCCATCCACGGCATCTGGTTCGACGAGACCAGCGTTGCTGAGAAAGACTTCGAGTTCTATAAAGACCTGACATCACACGCCAGAGAAGCGTTTGGCGCCTCTTCGGCGCCTCAGTATACAGCTGTGCTGAACACGGGCGTCCGGCCCCCAAACCCAACCTATGAGCGAGACCTGTTCGGCCTCGCAGATGTCGTTGTCACGCGAGAGACTTGCTGGCAGAACCCCTCAACGTCAAACGCAGGAGCTTGTCCTTTGCCCTACGAGCCTTATAATGCATCTACGTTGGTGGAGAGCGGTGGCTTGCCAAGCAACGTTGACTTGTATGCCAAGGCGTCTATTGTCGTGCATTACGTCCGGCCGGACCCACCGGTAGATACGGCTATACTCGCCGACCAAATCAAGAGGACAGTCGATTTTGGAATTCACAGCTTGTACTTCACTAGTGCTGAGCTGTGGGAAACGACAGTGCTAGGGCCGGCTACAGTGGGTGCTGTTGCACAGGCAGTGGACGTCGCTCAGCCATAACCCGCGAAGAGGCGATTCTAGAGACCGACTTCATCAGAACTGACTCGCTTGCGTATGAAGCAATCAGTGGCGCTCAGATAAGGGTGGAAGAGGTCGGCCATCTGCCGAACAGGAACAGTGCCTGGCCACCATCATAGCGGGCTCGGATTATTCGGTGTCAAGTCTCCGTAGCTCAATAACAAGAGATTTTTTCTTCTTTCTCGATGCTAGTTTCTAAACATACTTCTTTCCGACGGCCTTCTCGAGAGGCTCTTTTTGGGTAGGTTCTCTATTGTCACTTCGACTCGGTTTTTTGACCGCAAAGGATCGACTTGATCGATGACATAATCGTCCATGTAGTGTGTGTTGTTGCCACTCTTCGTAAGGTGTACATGGCTTTGGCTCATCACGCTTTCGCTGCGACTATGGGTGGTTGTGCTGTCGTGTAATTCGATCTCATCGTCTCCGTCTCCGGAGTAGCGACGTTCTCTCGTAATCTTTATTTCCTGGGTGACGAATATTTGGTCGATGCTGGCAGTCAAGACAGGCCAGAATACCGGAACGCATGCGCAAATACTGGCTGCGTTGACTTCCATCATGCCCAACAAGACCACGCCGGGCCCATACCACGTCGGATCAAAGGTTGGATAAGTTGCCGCTTTGTGTTGAATGATGACCGCCAGGCGCCAGATTGAAATGCAGCTCACACTGGCACGAGTCAGCTTGAAGTGAAGGACACGGTTTTAGTTGTTGCGTACAGTGTACCTGCACCTAGGAGCATTAATAATCTCCGCCTCGTCGCGGTCGACGTAGTGTCGCGGAAGTAGAGCGGCATTGGGGTGGCTAGTACGATGAAGTCCAGAACCATATTCAAGACCGCATGGCTGGCGTATGTCGCGTAGAACTCAGGCCCGTCGAGTGATGCAAATGCCCAGCATTGAGGACCAGACAACCAATCCCAATAGCCAGACACTGGGCTGCATGGGAACCATACCAGTGCCGAGTACGCCAGACCCCAAAGACCTATAAAGCAGAGCAGAGCAATGCATAGTATTCGCGTCTTCCCTCGGTCGAAGATTCTCAGATACTGGAACAGTAGCGACATCTTGATGAGCGCTGTCGACATGTTGTAAGATGCGTTGGCAACATAGAAGGACTGCGTTTGGAAAATATATGAGCACTAATTTGGCTACCGATATGTGCTGACTTACCTTGAGGAAGTCCACCATATCATGGTACTGCAATAACAAGATATGTTGGCCAAGTCCAAACTTGGCGGCTACAACCTGTCAGTCGGACGGAGGGCGGGGGGTTTTGAATCGACGACGCACCGAAACATAAACCTATAGCATTTCCAGTCCCCGTAATCTAGTTCAGAACGTCGTTAGATTTTGAGCGGCGTAAGTGAGGGTTCCGCAATAACTCTTACCAAGAAGAACACAAGAAGTACGTCATCCCATCCGGGGGCATAAATTATCCTCAATCTGGTATACAGACGAAACGATACGCATACCCAAGAGCAGACCTATCGCGAATGATGTTAGGGTAGCAAAAGTTGGGCATCTCAAGGACGCTCACCAGGAATGGGATAGTCAAGCCAATGATTGCCTCCCTGTGGTTCCACGCCGGCTTTGGTTCGTCAAGATTGTTGTAATCGCCGATGATGCTAATGAGCGTGCCCGTGTCCGCCATGTTCGACTAAAATCGAGTAGGATGCCTTCTGCGTGTCGGGTCCTGGTTACAAAACATGCCGCAAAACGCCTGCCAACCCTGTGTTCAATCCTGACGTGCTTCCCGCAAACATCGCTTCGGAAGTCAAAGGGACGGGTTGTGTTCTGCGTTATGGCTGCTCGTGTCCTTACATAGGAAGCCTGTCATTTTCAGAGTGGAGCTCATGTGGAGGATCCCATGCCAAGCAATTCGAACAAAAACTTGTACGATTCACACTTTACCTATGTACGTAGCCTTACCGTTTTGGAGGCCCTGGACCAGGGTCCCATGGTGCCAAACCCGTTGACCTTTGTGGATCACTTTGGTTCCAGGCGACTAAGCAAGTCGAGAGATGGCGCAGGGGGACGAGATGTGGGCGATCTTTGCTGGTGTTGTACAATCTCCGGAATGTGCTGTACGTTGAAGGGGTCGCGGAAGGTTGGCCGCGGACATGCTGGTCCGTACCTTGCAGCCAGGCAGTGTAACCTACTGCACACTGACGATTCAAGCCGGATTTACGGATTTCTCCCGATCAGCACAACAAGCACATCGCGTGGCAGACGCGCAAGAGGGAGGGCCCATCGATGTCGACCGCGTGCATCACAACCCTTGTCACTACGAACCCCATGAACAATACCAATTTCTCTTAGATCAGGGTCACTGCGCTGCTTTGAGTCGAAGCCCGCGGGACAAGGCTGATCTAGCTCCGGACACATTGCCGCCTCTGATCGAACGATCGGAAAATAGCGAAATCGTAGGCCTTGGTGTAAGGCACCTTTGAAATGAGGCTGCTCAAGCGCCAAATGCTGTGCCCCCTTCTGGGACGATACCTACACCGAAATAGAGTAAGACCCACGGAGTATATATTATCTACCGCGTGGCACAGCTCGACGGACCGCCGTATCCCAGCGACATGGGATCCTCGATTTATTGCGTAGTAGCCGTCGTCTGAGATCATGAGTTCGGACGAGAGAAAAAGAAAAAAGGTTTCCATCGGGGGCCTCAAGCCGACCGTCAACCCACTGTTCGGTCCCTGGCCTGTTCTAGCCTCTAGGTTGCACCCGCACTGGGGACTCGCTAGGGACTGGCCCCTAATGTGGAGCCAGCCTAAGGTCTACCCTAAAGTGGCCGAAACGGCCGGCCCCCAAATGGCCACTTCCCGCCGCAACGGTTCCCTAACCACAGACAAGACTTGGTTCTGCAGTAGCTGCACGTCGGCCACGGGAAGCAAAAAAAGCGCCCGCCCGTAGTTCACGCTAGGCCTCGAGCTGCTTGCCGTCTTGAGGGATTCTCCCTGTTCCAGTGCTACCCTACCCCGTTGGCAGTGCTGTCAAATGTATACATGGAACAACCGGTCTTGACGTCGGACGAGCCTCTGAATCCCAAATCGCAGCAGTCCCACGTTGTAGCTCAGGGATCCCCCAACTGTGTCGAAAATTACCGCCCAACGGGACCGCCGATCTCCCACATGGCCTTACACCTAGCAACGATTTGTTTGCCCTACACGGCTCACGTCAACATAATATGAATCACTTCAACGAAAACTTGACTGGGACGGACGTTGAAACTACCAGGTCTAACCCAGGCTCGTCAGAGCGACAGCAACAGTTGATAAGGGAGTAAATGAAGTGGATCCCCACTGTTTGATAGACATTGTGGCCAGACTTTATTCTGCTCCAACTCGAAGTTTAATATTGCCCCTGCAATCGAATACATGTTTCTATCATACGTAATAGTCAAGAGTTTCTTCTCCTCTTCACGTCTCTCAACTCCACTGCCGAGTGCAGTTGTGCGTACTGCACATACTTGAAGAGGAGACATTCTAGACGAGAATGCACAGCCACGACCAACACACTGTAGAGATTTTGTCACGATATAGGAGATATATAGAGGACCGGAACAGCGTTAATCCGGGGGATCACCCCCTATATAGCAGGCTCATTAGCCCATTTCTTTTGTAGCTCCTCAAGGATCAACTCAAGTCAATTCCCATGCTCTCGCGCGCGTTTTAGTGTGACAGATTTTTTCGCATCTCCATAAATGGTGAGCCTTGTGAAAGTGAGGTGCGTACCATTAAATCCTCACTTTGTCCTCTCCGAAAAGTATCTTCCCTTGCCTGAAAGTTGCATTATCTGATCGCTTGGGCCGCTAGTCAAGTTGAACTAGCCCATGGCCATATCATTATCAAGCCAACCACGCCAAGAGCCTGCAACAGTGGTTCGGCTGTTGTGAGCCAAAGATGCATGATAACGGGAAAGGTGCCGTGACAAGGGCTTATTCTACCCGATAAGGCCGCATTTGTCAGCAGACCCTGCGATCGACTGTAGTCAATCATTGGAGCAAAGACTGCATTCTCTTCCTCCGAACTGATGTGAGTGGCTCACTAGTCCGAGCGTGAGAACTAGCAGTTACTCTCACATGATGCCTACGAGTACAGCACGACTTTGGAGCTGCACGGTGGCAACATTTCATGAAAAACATGGTCGACTTGAGTTAAGGCGAGGCAATTTCTCAACACTAGGCTGTGACTCGTTATGAACCCTGCTATAGTAAGCAGCAATCACGGCAGACTCATATCGAGTTGCCAGGATGGCCGAATTTTTTATATGATCAATAGAGGATGGCAAGACTTCGTACGGATAAGTACACAGGTATTGTCAAACAAGGTGGTCAGTCTAAAGGACGATGAGCTGGGGTGGTCACGTGAGTAGCGGACCTTCCACGGTCCCTGCGGGATTTACTAGTAAATCGGAAGCCAAAGGACTGAGGGGTCAAGGGACAGACAAATCAACCAGATCTACTAGGTCGCTGTAAAGGTGTATCCACCTGACTGTCTGACACAATGTGGCTGGCTACAATGGGCCCCACAATGTATGGCTTAACAACGTCGCGGTAACAAAGGGGGCTTATTTCTTACGGCACAGTAAAGTTTATTTATTTACAACCATCGAAGCGAAAGAGTAAGCTTTTCTTCCTTTTATAAGCTCTTCCCTTAACGTTATCCTATGATTCTTATACTAGTAAACGCGAAAGTGCCATTTTTATCCCAATCCTCACTGTTACAGATCCAACCAAAGTAATCGGAAGGAGCATAGAGATCTTAAATACCGGATGCTAAGACTGGAGACTTAAAGAGACAGTTCCACGATGCCGCAGGAAGATCCAACCCTATCCAATAGCGCTAAAGGCGCAAAGCGCGAGGAAAAGAGAGTCAATTTGGGACTTTTTACTGCTGCTGCGAATAATATAATGCCAGTAACTCGGAAGTTGTGGGAAGAAGGCTCTTTGATACGACGTCCTCGAGAGGCGATCCAGGTAAAGCACCCTCGATATTAATTAAGGAAGCGATACTCATAAGTCATGAAGTCATTGCGAGCGGATCCATTCAGCTACACGCCCCTACCGCTCCCTTCTAGCATACGCCTGCTTAAAATAGAGCCAGGAAGCCCGACGGATATTGTGAGGTGTTCAATCCGTTCGGTAGATCTGAAAAAACCTCCCAGTTTCACGGCACTATCTTATTCGTGGATGGAGGATAAGCTATGGAGTGTACGAGGCCGGGATGCGGTGTTTGAAAAATTGTCAGGCTTGTTCCTCCGTGCTCAAATGCGCTGGAAAATCCCTCAGCTGCTGAATGCCTCAGATACCGATGGCGGTCGAGGCCTTCCAACCACTCAAACTATCTTCTGCAACGGGATGTCGGTCAAGGTCCATGCGTCGCTTTACAGTGCGCTCTTGCAGCTTCGGAAATGCCGCGTGGATGAAGAATACTGGATCGACGCCATCTGCATGAATCAAGCGGATGATCAAGAAAAGACACAGCAAGTACAGATGATGGGCCAGATCTATAGTGCGGCCCAATTGGTCCTCGTGTGGCTTGGGCCGTCTCCGACATACCTCGACCCGGGGTTCGCGCACCTCGATTGCTTCATTGACAATGCCCTCTCCAAATGGGTTGATACCGCGAGTGCCAGTGACCCAGTGCCGACCAAGGTCAAAGATGACGAACTTTTAACTGACCCCGATTTTTTGGCCTTTCTGGCCTTGATCCATCTTGTCTCGCGCCGCTATTTTCGGAGGACTTGGGTACTCCAAGAGACAGGGCTGGCTCGGAAAGTCACGTTCCTACTCGGCGAGATTGAATTTGGTCAAGAGAAGCTCCAGAGATGCGTTGCTGTCGCCAATGGCCCGCTTCTCGACCGGCCGAGCGCCCTGCCTTATTTTCCCTCTGGGCTCAAGGCTGTCATATCTCCTTGGATTGAGCGTGTAGAGAAATTACCCATCGCCAACGCCGGGGGTCATGAGACTTCTAACCGTGGTGGAGACTGGTCTCTGCATCAATGGTTGATGATGTGTGCGGAGCGCAAGGCAGGAGACTCAAGAGATATGGTCTTTGCAGGCCTCTCTCTGATCAGTCCTGAGTTCTTGCATATCCGTCAAGATCTTCAGCTCTCCGAATTTGGTCCTCCTCCACCGCTGCCACCTCGACCCTCCAAGCTACTAGAGGATAAGGTCAATAATACCTATTCTCTAACCCCCCCTCCGCCAGCCACATTCATCTTGAATCAAGTGAGCCATGACTCGTTGGGGGAGCCTAATCCGCCGCTTTTACCACCTCGGCCTGGTTCGACTCTAATAACACAGCCTAGTGATGCCTCACCGCAGCAGAAACACTCGATGGATCATACCAGGCTATGGCCTAAGCTGCAGGTCGACTATACTGCCTCGATAAGACACGTTGCTCTCAACCTAGCTGCCTGCCTTTTGTCAGGCCAAGATGCAGATACTCTCTTATCCATAAGCTCTCAGTTCCAGGCTCGTAACGGCTCTCTTGGTAAATACTGTCCCGAGGCGCCTTCATGGATACCCCCTTTGTCGCGAGGTAAACGAATGTTTTCCCAAAGAATAGAGAATATTGGCGGCCCAACCTCTAGTTTCTCTTCTGCGACCCAGCTTCGGGGTATTCCTATCATCTCTGCAGACGGGTCTGCTTTGTATCTCGACGGGGTGCGGCTGGGAAGAGTTGAGAAGAGGATCGATCCCCCCAACCATATCGATATTGGTGCGTGCACTTATGATGCCAATTCTGACGGCGCCGACGACCTTTTAAGACTCGTCACAACAATCAACAGCTTTCCACGCAATTATCGCGACACAGATATATCTACACTTGCCGCGGTTGCTGACGTATGTACTTTGGGCGTCCTAAGGTACGATCCCATGGGATTCCAGAACATCACGCAAGGCTTTTGCCTCTACATTCATGACAAGATAAGAGAGACGGTAAAGCCCAAAAAGAAAGGAAAGCGAGAACAGAAGGAAACTGATACAAGGGGACCCAAGATGGAGACCGAAGTAATGAAAGAGGTCCGAATGAACATAGAGGCAAGACGTGAGGAGGAACTTAAGAATCAGAAGGAGCAGCTGCCTGGAGCGTACCGCGATTTAAGGGAGGCATACCCAGAGATGCAGTGGCTGGAAGCAAGCACGAAGCTCGGTGAGGAGGAAAAGAGACTGCGCGATCTCTTCTCTGCCCACTCAGCACTAGGGTCAATGTTGAGTCCATGGAGGATGTTTACCACCGACACTGGATACATCGGGCTTGGGCCAACGGAATTACGCCAGGGCGACGAGGTTGTGCTCATTAAAGGGGCCAATGTCCCGTACCTGTTCCGGCATGCCGACGCTGCACTCAGATGGCAGATTGAGGACATCAAGGTAAACCTATTCCTCTTGGAGCAACATAAAAGCTTGGATGGCTTGGAGATGGCAAAACAGGACCTCCGGGATCTGGAGGCCCTGATCGGGACAAAGGACGGGTATGTACTTGTCGGGGAGGCATACGTCGAAGGCATCATGGACGGCGAAGTCATCTCGGAATATGTAGACCGTTTTGAACGGATAACCGTCGTTTGATTCGTAGGCTGTGGGACGGGTACATGACTGCGTTAGGATATATAAAACGTAGAGGTAGATTGGCGATTCATGAGGCACATGCGCCTTTGGTGGGGCGGCCTGACTTTCTGGAAGCGTAGGATACCTGGCTAGGTCTGACAGGCCTTGAGCTTATGAGACGAACAACAGTTGGTTGCGATAAACCATCAATGGCCCGCCTCGCGACTCAATGAAACTGCAAGATGGCTGAATGGACCCTCATGAGCCACCATCAGGCAACATTTGTGTTTCGCCCTATTTTGGCTTGGTTGGTCTGCGAAGGGCGACATCTCTTTTGCTGCACCAATGCTGGCTGGAGTGCCGTTTGGATGTGGATACATGCTGATTTTCATGTCACTACTCAATTGTAAGTCCTCAAATCGGGTTGTTTTAACTATATTTGTGTTATCTGATGAGTGTATGTGGTGTTGGAGAGCGCCGGGTGGCGTTTGTATCTCAATTCTAACAAAATCATCTGCTGCAAGCATTGATCATGGTCATTTGTAGCTGTTGAAAAACGTTCGGCTAACATACTCGTCCCCGAAGACTTGACAGATGCTTACACGACGTTTGCCGCCAGTGTGAATGCGGCCTCAACCACTACACGTTCTATATTCGCTGTTGTTCTCCCAGTAGCTACGACAACAATGTTCAATCGACTGCAGATCTCTGGTGCGTGTAGTCTGTTAGGTGGCCTCAGCACGATCATGTGTGCCATCCCGGTAATATTCATCTGGCAGGGGCCGACGCTACGTGCGCATTCACGCTTTCGCATCGAACTGGAACGAAAACAAGCAAATAATGCGCAAAGCAGTACACCATTCAGGACGGTCCAATCCCAGACAGCCGCACCGACTTAGGTGGGGATGACTTAGGAAGCTTAGATGTGATAGAGCTCATTATGATGTAGTATTTGCATACATAGACTTGGTTCGGATACTGACGATGGCACGGGTGAATATGAAGAGAGGTGATGGAATTGCATGAGCCAGATGGGGCATTTAGCTGGGTGGACTCCCTTATAGAAAGTAGATTAGAGATGTCGATCGCATAGCGTTCGCACTTTTTCAATACTATTATAAACTGAATCCTACAGCTTCATAACCGACTACGCTGATCGTGAGATGAGTTGCCGCTTATTGCAGGTGCATACAACGGTCTATTAGCCCCAACCCATGCTCCTGCCGGGCCGACCATTTCCGGCTTCAACTCTTGGATTGTCGAAGCACCAAGATTCCGCATCGTATTTGTGATCTCTTCATGGAGAACTGCGAAAGCCTGTCAGTCAAATTCATTATACGAGATTGCCTTTTGTACAATACGACTCACTCTCAATTACACGGCTGCAGCCATCTTGTCCATGTGTACCGTTGGCATAGAGAAACGGCCGCCCGAGACCAACAGCTTTGGCACCAAGAGCCAGAGCCTTGACCACATCAGCCCCAGATCGGATTCCACCATCAATCATCACTTCCGTCTTCAGAAACAGATCAGGCCGAAGTGCCCGCATTTCATAGAGGATATCCAAGGGGGCGGGAGCATAATCAGCTTGGCGTCCTCCATGATTAGACTAGAAAAACAAGTACGATTGTCAGCCACCAAGAAGATATATGTTTTGTGATATCTCGCATCATGAAAGTGGGGAGTCATACAATAACAATACCATCAACACCTTTGTCTACGCATAGTTGGATGTCTTCAATACACTGTACTCCCTTTACAATGATGGGGAGCTTAGTGTGGCTCTTCACTCAAGATCACCGTTAGCAAGCGCACATAGAAGCGCGGTATATGGTTGGGCGTGGAGGGTCTGTTGCTTACGCGGATGAAGTCTATGTCGCTCCAAGTCATATCACGAGCCTGATACCCTGAAATAGCCGCACCAACACCCAAAGGCGTCCTAGGTGCTGGTGCCCCCTTGGTAGCGTTCAATTTCCCGCGAACGTCCATTGTGCGTTTGGAATCCCCAAGCGTATCAACTGTAAAGATAATCGCTTTCGCGCCGAGCCGCTCGACCTTCTGTAGTAGACTAGCCGAAGCTGAACGGTCCTTATTCAGGTAAATCTAGAGCATGATATTAGCGTCTCAATCCGTACCAGGAGCTATAAGGAAGTGCTGACCTGGAATACGAGAGGCTGACCATCCTTTCGAGCATTGAATAATTCTTCCAAGGTGCAGCTTGCATTCGCGGAAATCTGTACAAACATTTAATATTCACCATACAATCGACCCATATAATGCAGAAACAACTCACCGCTTGCACGATACCATACTCTCCAGCAGCTTTAGTGAGGTTGATCTCTCCAAGTGGGTGGCCGAGCTTTGCCATGGCGGCCGGGGCAATAAAAATAGGCATCGTAACTGGAATGCCGAGGAAGGATGTCTCGGTCGAGCCAATGCTCATGTCGCGCAAGATTCGCGGCCGGAAGAAATAGCGACTGAATGCCTCCCGGTTCTCTCGAAACGCTGTTTCCCCATTAGCAAGATTCAGTGGGCCATTTCGTTTGGATAGGTGGGAACACACATCGTTCCTCGTCTGTCGCGCTTCGATAGTAAGACCAGGCTGTGTCACTTAGTACTTGCTCGGCCCAGTATTCGAAATCCTGTAGAAGAAGCATCTGATGTGCGTCAGGCATCTCCTCCCGCGCAGCCTGTCGCCGTTCTTCCTCCTCGGTCAATACTTTCTCCTCCGGTGCAGGCAGTGTTGTGGGATCTACTGCCCCGATGAGTGCCTCTTGTGGCAGTGTACTTAAGGCATCAGATGGATGAAGTTTGGAGAAAATCTCGCTTCGTAACTGTGAGAAACAATGTGCAAAGCCAATTGGGGAAAAGTTACTCACGTAGCATCTTTTCCTGCCTCTGTGAGAATGGCCTGTTCTCCTCCAGGGTGTATTTTGAGGAAGCTCGTAATGTCATATATGTTACCCTTCAAGGTGTGAGTATTAATGCAGAACTGGGACCATAAGAAAAGGTAATTGCATACCTCTATGATAACCCAGCAGTCGTCTGCCAATGTGTGCTTTTGAACTTCCGCATACGATATTAGCCTCTCCTGGGCGTGATCAGGCTGTTCTTGCTCTTGGTTGAAGCTGGGATATCCAGAGAATGCAAGCGGTGATGTCACCGAGTCAAACGTCGATGCTGAAATTGCCTTTAGATCTTCATAAGCAAAAGAGCCTGAAATTTTCACTAGCCAAGTATTTTTGACCTACCAGTAAGATCAACGCTATCCCAAGGGGTCGTGCTCTCCGGATCAATGACCTCTGTAGGATTAGGTGATCTTTCTGAGATGCAAATCGCCTTGACGTCGAAGAGAATTGCCGAGGAGACCTTGACATTGATTTCGCAATCGACGAGTGCGCCTGGCTGCGAATGAAACGCCAAGCCACTCTCGAGGGTGCTAGAGTAAACGAAGACATCATAACAAACTCCGATGATCAAATCTATTATGCTGCATTTGGTTCACAGAAACCTCATTCATGGCATGAAAGTGAAATAAAATCCACGAAGAAAGGAAACGACCTAACAGCCAATGTGCGCAACTAATTTCAGAAGATATCTGACTCAAATACTCAGAGGGCACTTCGCATGCGACCAAAGCAGAATGGAGCTATTTGCGCTCAACCCCAGAATGGCCCCAGACGTTGCTAGACTAATGGGTTTCTTCGCGTCAGTGGACACCGAAAACGGTAAATTTCGCCGGAATTGAGCTTCTATCGCCTGAGGCTACGCCCCAATCTTTTGCGTGGGTATCCACCGTGCTGGCTACAGACTGATCAGATTTGCGCTAAAGGGTTGAGAAGCAACATGTCCGTTCACGACGACATTGCACAGGAGGCCGCACAAGTTAGTCCGAACCGCCGATCGCGGATGATGCTTTAATTCCCTTTTCCTAAGGCTCTGATGTAATCCATTCCGTTTCCTTTTCTCGGATGAAGAAAGAGATCAGACAAAACTACAATTCTTTACAACGTCCAAAACAATGACGTCACCGGCTCTTTTCTGGTCTTCTTCCACCTGCCAATTGGCGCATCTGCCAGATACACTGTACCTACCAGGCGCTGGGCCCAGACTATATATCTCAATTCTGGTATGATTGGCTGTAATGACTATACTTACGGGACTCGGTGCACTGTAACACTAGATGTTAACAGCCCAACAACGAAATCGTCTATTGCCGTAGAAACAATCACTCAGCTTTTGGCCTGCTTACTCGATGGCCTGAGAGACGTACCTAGTTTCCCCGTGTGGTGCTCGCCCTTGCGATCACATCCCACTTTCTCATCATGTAGGGGGTCAAGGCTGGTTGCCAATGACTACGATAATTTTAGAATCGGCATCGCGCCTTGTAACACGGATGACGAATTCTCACAAATCATTGCGCGTACTTATGCCCTGCATACACTGGGGTTGGGAATGCGCTGGCAGTGGCTTGAGTAATTCGACGTTTCGTCCTACCAATGAACCTCGCCGGTTGGTTGCTGTCAAGCGGCAGTGTCGGCTTATGCCAATTACCACGCCACGCGTGATAAGAAATCGCGAACGTTAGCATAGAGCCGGCGGCAAGCGGCCATGTCCGCATGCTCAACTTCATGCAACACAGTTACAAGCCGCAGTCTTCCCAAACACATCCCTTCGTTCCGCTTACACAACGGTCACAGAAGACGACCTTGGACAGGCAATCAAACAAGATCAGTCGGACAAAAGTACGTCTTATGCTATTGATTAAAATTAATTGCTCCAACTATGAACAGGCGAGATTGGTAACTGGGCGCCATGCCCGTTGTGGAAGCCTTTTAGCCTGAAGCATGATATACAGCGGTTGCATGCTTGCCTAAAGAGGCAGCTTCGAAGCGAGACTGTAACGCGCGGCTATACGGTTTATACGCGGCAACATTTGAGGCCAGCAACATGTGAGGGCGGGAACATGTGGGCGCAGCAAAATGTAAGGGCGGCACGTCACACTCGTGTCGCCAGACCAGCGGTAGAGACAACACACAATAACCTGATTTCTCTGTCTCGCCAGCCTCAAGGCTTGTGACCTACCAGTCTTTAGCACAGCAAGCTGAGTAAAGTGGACCACAGAAAACCCTTGATGTAGATGCTATCTCCCAGTGCCCACACACCTGGCCACCCTTCCGCCCGCTGAGTACATGCCTAACGGTTATTGTTGACTTCAGGGACGAACAAAGACCCTGCATATCTTTCTTCCCTTGGGTGCGATATATTGCGTGCCCATCTTAATAACCTCAGCGACTGATGGAATTTGCGGGTCCATCTAGCAGCATGGACCGCAGCAAGTTGAGGCTCCCGGATTTTGAGCAGTTCACCGTGTCATTCAAAGACCATGGAGATGATTTGCAACAACAGGGGAATGAATCATTACACCCCTCCCCGCTGAACCCGCTCGCGTCGAATCCTCCAACACCAAAGGAGCAGCGTGCATACCAAGAACAATTACCATGGCCAGAAATGCCGTCCCCATCTATGCAGTCGTCCTTCAAGAACGTAGACCTACGACCTCCGCTATGCAAAGACCACAGACGTATGGTCGTGTTCATAGGGCTGATGATAGCGTGGCTGTTTGTATGTATCAACTCAATCACATTCTTCAGCTCGTCCTACTAATCACAGACTTAGAAAGGGTTTGACGACACTGTCATTAGTCAGTAGCACAACCTGCCTTTGGAGTCCTCTCCTGACCCGTATTTGCAGCAACGATAGTCCCAGCGTTATGTCGAAAATTTGACAGTCTACCTCAGATTGCTTGGTTCAGTGCAGCGTACTTTCTACCGCAAGCGTGCTTATACATTGGCTTCGGCAAGCTAGCGCAGGTTACTAATATTCGCTGGTTTGCTATTATAGACGGAGTTATCCTCACTAGTGAGCCAAGCCTACCTGGTGGGAAGATTCTGCTAACTTTGATAAAGTTGGCTCGATAATATGCATAATCGCCGAGTCAGCTGGGGTCTTCATTGTCGGACGGGTAGTGACTGGCATAGGGATCGCGGCCGGTGTACCTCTCTGTGCAACTGTTCTCATCGATATCACAAGCCCAGCTGAGAGACCGACATACATGGCTTCTTGCGTAGGCGTAGATGTGATCAGCCTCGCGTTTGGTGCTCTCATGGGCGGATACTTGGAGACCAAGATGGACTATCGGTGGGCGTTTGCGTTCACTATTTTCGGAGCCGTGCTGTCTGTGGGCTTGGTTGCGGCTGCATACGAACAACCCCGTCGTCAGTCAGATGATCAGTCAGTCAGTGAGCTGATTCAGGAATTCGACTTTATCGGCTTTCTCCTCCTGTCTCTTTTCAGCGTCTTCTTGCTTATCGGGATTCAGCTCGCGGCCCAAAGCAATGAGTGGCTCTCAGCGCCTGTTATCTCCTGTGTTGTTATGGCAGCGTTGACCCTTCCCGGGTTTATTCTCCAACAGGCCAAGTACGGAGACCCGGAGCACCGCCTTCTGCCCGAGGGCTTATTCAACCGAGACGTGTCACTGCTTCTTGCATTTGGGTTCTTTGTCATGTTCGCTATGTATGGGGTCTATTATTACTTGTCAACATATTTCCAGGTAAGCTCTCATACAACTCAACCTGTCGATCTGGATGCTAACGGCATGGAGACTGTGAAGGGTCTGTCGTCCTTTGACGCTGCTGTATCGCTTCTGGCTTTCTTCCTAGCATCCGGGATATCCAGCATCGTAACTGGTGTTTCCATGATATGGGTTCCATATGCCAACATCATCATCCTCCTGGCAGCTGTCTTGGCTCTAGTAGGAACGTTCCTACTGACAACCATGGACGAGTTCACCGCGCCACTTCACGCTGGGCTTTTGAGCATCATCTCAGCTATAGGTTATGGCGCTTCTCAGACGCTGTCCATTGTATTTTCGCAGAGCTGGGCCCCAGAAACGCACCAATCCTTTATCGTATCCGTAGCCTTGACGATCCAATTGTTCGGTGGAACGCTGGGACTAGTACTTGGTGGCTCTGTACTCAACACGCAGATCCTGTACCGGGTCAACGAGCTAGGCGGAACACTGACACCAGATCAATTGATTGTGGTGATAGAGGCTTTGGCCATGCCCGACAAGATACGGGATTTTGTGCCGCTGGACCTCATCGTACCACTGCTCGAAGTGTTCTCTCGCTCGATTCAAATTGTTTTCTACACGTGTGGAGCTGCTGTTAGCATAGCGTGCGTACTGGCTGTATGTATGAGATGGCACAAAATGAAATGAAGTGCAGGAAAGCTACGGAAGATAACAACACCAATTGAAAGAATGCAGTTGAACATGGATCGATGACACATATACGAGGGACCTTGCACCTATGGCTCATGGGTATTATGTTTTGAACAGATCACAATTGCAAAGTCGATGGAATCCGTGGAGACCAGTACAATGGACCACCAGAGACGGCCGAGCAACGAGGCAGATTTACAACGCAGCATCGAAAGCGACTAGTGACTGAATGTTATAAAGGGAATGCCGTAACTCGTAGATCACCACGGTAGAGATAACTTTCAACCTCGAGTTACTAGACAGCCGAAGCAAAGCGAGAAATGATGCGGAGATATGCATATAAGCGGCACGTACCGCCTAACCGATCATACCCGAGTGCTTGGGGAATACCTGCATTGTCACCCTCTCATTTGAACTGCACAACGACAAGCGTACGGTCAATTCTCGTCGCTTGACGCACTTTCATGTAGTGTGCAGATACTACCTTGGACAAGACCTTTGTCGCCTGCGAAAGGTGAGACGATGCCCATACAATGGCGTTACTGCGTCCCATGATTCGACTAGCTCACCACGGAGCGCCTCCGCAACTGCGACAGCTGCGGAAGTTCGCGACCGCCTCGGACGTGAGAAACCCACAACAAGTGCCCGACAACTATGTGCGGATAGTCGAGGTTGGTCCGCGGGACGGCCTACAGAATGAGAAGAAGTCCATCCCACTAGCAACCAAGATCGAGCTGGTTGAGAAGCTGTCCAGGACGGGCTTGTCGTTCATCGAAGCAGGCTCGTTTGTGTCGCCGAAGTGGGTTCCGCAGGTATATACCACGCGATGAGAACGTCTACTGGCAGTACCGAAGCTAACTCCTTGTTGCAGATGAACAATTCGAGCGAGATCCTGGAACACATCCTTGCGAAGCCCGTACCGTCGCCCGTCCCCGTTACGTACTCTTTCCTCGCGCCGAATGCCAAAGGCATCGACAATGCGACGGCCATACTGCAGAAGAACCCTGATGCCTTCTTGACGCAAGCGCAATCCTTCGCCGGACGGAACACTGAGGGAAAGCCGGCCTTGGAGCTCGCCGTGTTCGCAGCTGCTACCGAGAGCTTTTCGAAGAAGAACCTGAACTGCAACATTGCAACGTCCCTGGAGAAATTTAGAGATGTTATCCAAGGCGCGAAGAACATCGGTGTCAGGGCGAGAGCCTACATCTCGGTTGTTCTTGGCTGCCCCTTTGAAGGATACGATGTAAACCCTCACAAAGTGGCCGAGATCGCGGCTTCTCTTCTTGAGATGGGCGCCGACGAGATCTCGCTCGGAGACACTACAGGTATGGGTACGGCACCTCGTACGCAGGAGCTTCTGAGGTGCATGGCGGCAGCTGGCATACGCAAAGAAGACATTGCCATGCATTTCCACGATACCTACGGCCAAGCCCTCGTGAACACGGCCATCTCCTTGGAGCACGGCATCAGGACATTCGATAGCTCGGTTGGCGGGCTGGGAGGCTGCCCATACAGTCCCGGAGCGACCGGAAACGTCGCCACCGAAAATATGGTGTATTTCCTGGAAAGCCTCGGGATGGATACCGGGGTTGACCTGGATGCTATATCTGACATTGGCCAGTGGATTACTGGCGAGATTGGCAAGGCCAATGACTCTGCTGTCGGGAAAGCTGTTCTTGGTGCCCGCCGGAGGTCACCGTCCGCTGCTTGAGAGCTTGCAATGGGAGCAAGGGAGATTCGAGGAGGTATTAAGGAACCGGTAGTCGCCACGGGATTGGCAATTATGTACATACTGCATCAGACAACCGTGTGAGAACGAGCAAACATCAAATACGCCATTGAGGCAAAATTTGTTCGACGTGAGACACGCGTCACGACATGTCTGTATAAAATCTATCTACAGAGCTGGCGCCCTGCTGTCACAACAGTGATCAGGGACTCAGCTTAGGCCAGGGAGCAAGCAGGGCCAGTTTCGAGTTCTGTTGTCTAGTGACGAGCCATTCCAATGTGTGTGGGCAGATGCGTTAAAGGTCCAGTAGCTGGCTTGTTAGTTACCTGACTTATTAAAGTGCTGTCCAGTGGCAGTAACTCGTTAGAGGCATTTGTTAGGGGCGCTGGCGGCATCCATGATGAAGGCGGGGCTTACATCATGTGATGCGGGCCTTGGCCTCGCTGCAGTGGATGGAACTCAGCTTGTTACCAGAATGAGCCCTAGCGCGGCCCGTGGCTGTGCTGGGAACTGGAACTGGGACAACGTCAGTCTGGTGCTCTGGGCAAGCAGCTCCCGACTCCCAGGCCAAGTTGAAGCTCAGCTCGGTATCAGTCCCCATCCGCGCACCGCACCGCACCCTCAGCAGAACGACCTGACTGAGCGCGCGAGCTCCCCTTTCCACCTATCGTCTCGTCTTCCGCCGCCCATCCCCCGCATCCAGCCATGGCCGACCCTCGCGAGTCGTCGTCCTACTCCATCGTGCCCCGGATCCGGTACAACACCGTCGGAGGCGTCAACGGCCCGCTGGTCATCCTCGACAACGTCAAGTTCCCGCGGTACAATGAGATCGTCACCCTGACCCTGCCGGATGGCACCGAGAGATCTGGTCAGGTCCTCGAGGCACGAGGTAAGCAGCACCGCGCCCCCTAGCCGTCGCTGCCCGCATCATGGTCCTAACGCCGCAACCCCCCCTTGCCAGGAAACCGCGCTGTCGTCCAGGTCTTCGAGGGCACTTCGGGCATCGATGTCAAGAAGACGAGGGTCGAGTTCACGGGCGAGAGCTTGAAGCTCGGCGTCTCGGAGGACATGCTGGGTCGTATCTTCGATGGATCGGGACGAGCCATTGACAAGGGCCCCAAGGTCTTGGCCGAGGACTATCTCGACATCAACGGCCAGCCCATCAACCCCTTCTCGAGAGTACGCGCACACGCCTTCACACTCGGTGCGCTGCCTAGATGCTTACTGTCTGTAGGAATACCCCGAGGAGATGATCTCGACCGGTATCTCGACCATCGACACCATGAACTCGATCGCCCGAGGCCAGAAGATTCCCATTTTCTCCGCCGCCGGTCTGCCACACAACGAGATCGCCGCCCAGATCTGTCGACAGGCCGGTCTTGTCAAGCAGGCACAGAAGCACGGTGTCACCAACAAGGGCACCCACGATACCCACGAGGAGAACTTCTCCATTGTCTTCGGTGCCATGGGTGTCAACTTGGAGACCGCTCGCTTCTTCACCCGCGATTTCGAGGAGAACGGCAGCTTGGAGCGCGTCACTCTCTTCCTCAACCTCGCAAACGACCCTACCATTGAGCGTATCATCACTCCTCGTCTCGCCCTGACCACCGCCGAATACTACGCATACCAGCTCGAGAAGCACGTCCTCGTCATTCTTACCGATTTGTCCGCCTACTGCGATGCCCTCCGTGAGGTTTCGGCCGCTCGTGAAGAGGTTCCCGGACGACGTGGTTTCCCCGGTTACATGTACACGGATTTGTCGACCATCTACGAGCGAGCCGGTCGTGTCGAAGGACGTAACGGCTCCATCACCCAGATCCCTATCCTGACCATGCCTAACGACGATATCACGCATCCCATTCCCGACTTGACTGGTTACATTACGGAGGGTCAAATCTTCGTCGACAGAGGTCTGTACAACCGTGGTGTCTACCCTCCCATCAACGTCCTGCCCTCTCTGTCTCGTCTCATGAAGTCTGCCATCGGCGAGGGCATGACTCGCAAAGATCACGGTGATGTGTCCAACCAGCTGTACGCCAAGTACGCCATTGGACGAGACGCCGCAGCCATGAAGGCCGTCGTTGGTGAGGAGGCTCTGTCCAACGAAGACAAGCTGTCCCTGGAGTTCCTCGAGAAGTTTGAGCGTACATTCGTCGCACAGGGCGCCTACGAGAGCAGAAGCATCTACGACTCGCTCGACCTCGCCTGGAGCTTGCTCAGAATCTTCCCCAAAGAGCTGCTCAACCGTATCCCGGCCAAGGTTCTCCAGGAGTACTACCAACGGTCGGCCGCCAAGGGCAAGGATAAGGACAAGGATACCAAGAAGACGCACCCCGAAGACCAGGAGGAGAACCTGATTGACGCATAAACAGTCAGTGTTGGACGGAGGTGGATAGGGCTGGAATGGGTTTTGTACAAGCTAGAGTAATCGACGCATTGTTTTGCAGAATGGAATTCATATGTTTATAAGACCATTTCACCAAATGTGCAACCTAGTGACTGTGCCTGTTGTGATTCTGACGTCGTTCGCCTGACCTCGAAGTGGTGATTTATGGTAGGGTATGTCTTAGCGGGCCGTTATAGGTGCTCAGAGTACATTGATCCTAGCGTACAGGTCCCCAGTAGATTACTATAGAATACCAATGGAGTATCTGCTTAGCCACTCTACTAGCTCCTATAGAGTAGACCGTCTTCCAAAAGTCTGCGGTGGCGCATTGCGAACGAAGGTTAACGAGAGTATACAGGGAGGTGATCAATGCCCTGACAGACACATGTGATTGACAAACGCCATGCACGTCAGCGCCCTGCACCGATGTCCTCACCTTCTTGCATTGCTTTGGAACCTTGGCCGTAAAGACTGCGATTCCATTGATTTTGACATGGAGGGATTTCTTTAAACGTGCGATCTCCTAGAGGAATCAGCTCTGGCTGTTCAAAAACGCCATCATCATCTGGATCCAACAAGATCGAATGGCTCTGGCTAGCTGTATAGCGAACGTATGGAGTCTGTAACTTAATCTGGTCTCAGACACTATACCTTAGGGTGTGATTGGTAGTGTCTCACTACGGCATCACCTGTTGCAGACGAGCAATGGCCTTGGTAGCCTACTACACATAATAAACCCGGTATCAACATCGGTTAGAACGCCTCACGCAGACCAGTTCGTTTCTGGCCGATGGCCCGCCTGCTGGTGAGCTTGTTTCCAGCCACGGCGTTTTCCTCCAATGCTTCAGGGCCGACGACGCGGGGAATTAGCGGGCTCTCGAAGGATTTCTGGGGGTTCGACCACCGGCTGGTAGAAAAATGCGCCAATTGGATCGCCGGGGATCGACCCCGCGTCCAGTGAGGAGATTTGGGCCGATGAGGGCTACAGGGGGGCCAGGGGGGACCCGGCAAGCCTTGCAGCCATCCTTCGTGCCACCCGCTTTCTCTTGTTTTGTTTCCCCGAGTCTGACGACATCTTTCGAGGTGCTCACACTCACCAAGTCTTACGGACGTAGACAATGTTCTGGTCCAAAAATGTCGCAGGTGACTGGGGCAATACTCATTCTCAACCCTCTCTGTTATGAGATAAGGACAGCTCCAGGAGCAAGCCAACCTAATGCTGTTCTGACGGGCAGTCTGACAGCGTGCGCTGATGTTTAGGCTTCTGTAAGACACATGAGCATGCTAAATCGTCTAAGCTTGCCGGACTGGGATCTCGAATGACGATCTGCTTGCTTCGCGCGTCATCCGGAGAGGAGTCCCTCCAGCCCTTTCTCCGTCCCCGGCTGCAGTAGGACAGCAACGCAAACTAGGGATACCCGAGCAACAGTCACGACCATCCGACTCGTCCAGGGGCTCGCTGGTCTTCTTGTCTGTAGTTGGTCGGATCTGCATCCTGACCGAACCGTCACCATGGGCCGGACGCGACCACCACTGATCATGGGAACTGGGCGAGCCAGTCACACGAGACGCCGTCGATGAGATGACTGCAACTCTGCACGTTTCCCAGTTATGTAGCCTTGATACCACGTCGGGCTATCCACAGGCCTGCGTTCTCGCAGTAGCACCACATGTTCCCCAATCTAAACGCACCAGTCACCGATCAGCGCTTGCTTACCCCATGTATTCTCTCGATGATTTTACGTCGTTACCCCAACTTTTGCAGAGTGGAGTAGCTTCGCCCCCGGAGAAGCTTAATGAAAGTAATCTCAAGACCATCCCCAGTCCCTGGTCTATATGCCTGCTTTGCTCCCTCTCGCTTCCCTTCCCAGTTTTCCACTGAAGGGGTCTGTGTGGTTTGAACGCGCCCAGAGGGTTCATATAAGTCGCAAGCCGCCTGCGGTCTGAGAATCTCCGTGCTTCGTTCCGCGACCCGTCTTGAACCATCCGTCTACAAGCTGCAGCCCTGACTAACAGCAACCATGCGTTTGAATACTCGCCTGACCGCATTGGGGGCTCTACTGCTCCCAATTGCATCCGCCCAGGACAGCACGTTGGGCCCAGATAAGGACGGCCTGTACTGGATCAAGAGTGAAGGCCTTCAAGCAGCCTTCATCCCATACGGCGCGTCCATCACGCACCTGTTGATCAACGACCAGTATGGAGTTCAGCGAGACATCGTAGCCGGCTTTGACAATGCCAGCTACTATGAGATCGATAAGCAGCACCCGCACTTTGGCGGTGTGCCAGGCCGCTATGCCAACCGTATCAAGAACAGCACATTCGAGATTGACGGTGAGACGTACAAAGTCGATGCAAACGAGAATGGTGGCTTGGACACCCTGCACGGTGGTTCCGATGGTTGGGACTACCGCAACTTTACCGTCGTTTCATATACCGAGGACAGCATCACGTTCTCCATTGTCGACCCGGATGGCAAGGAGGGCTTCCCTGGTGAGGTTGTGTCATACGTCACGTACACTGTGCACGACTCCACCTGGGACTTCAAGATGATCGCATTGGCAACCACCAAGAAGACCCCCATCATGCTCAGCAGTCACACCTACTGGAACTTGGACGGATTCGCCAACAACGAGACCAGCACTGCGCTGAACCACACATTCTACCTTCCCTACAGTGGCCAGCGTGTTGGCGTTGACAACATTCTCATCCCAACTGGAGACATTCTTGCCAACCAACCCGGGTCTGTCAACGACTTCTGGACTGCGCCGAAGCAGATCGGCAAGTCTTTCGGCGAGCCAGAGCTCGAGGGCAACTGCGGTTTCAACTGCACTGGTTATGGTAAGTCACTGCTCCCCTCCAACCTTCCGTGAGATGCTTATGTCTAACGCTTCTATACAGACAACTGCTGGCTCGTGAACCGCGCCCAGAACGGTCCTTACGACTGGCGAGCCGACGGCTTTGTTGCACGTCTCGCCTCTGCTTGGTCGGGCATTCAGGTTGATGTTTACTCCGACCAGGAGGCCTTCCAGATGTACTCGTGCAACGGCCAGAACGGCAGTATGGCGCTGAAGACGACACAAGGTCTGAAGGATAACGCCGACTTCCCTAGAGTCATTCCCCAGTACGGATGCGTTGTCATGGAGGTCGAAGACTGGATTGATGCTATCAACCAACCTTCGTGGCAACGTCAAAGCAAGCAGATCTTCGAGCCCAGTGGTGACCCGTACGTGCTCCAAGCAAGCTACCGCTTCAGCATCAACAGCACCATCGCATGAAAGCAAGAAATTCGGCGGGAACGTAGACACCATGACGAATAATGCGAGGGGATATAGGGGGTCATGGATACGACAATCGCAATGCCGTTAATTATATACCCTTCTCGGCCTTCGTCGGGCTCGTACTGATTAAGTGATAATGACTATTGATACAAATCCAAGATCTCAAAATGAGTGCATGAATTGACCCAGCAAGTTATCGTATATTACTCCCATGATTTCGTATTGTGTATTGCAGAGTATTCGATAGTCGCATTTTGCTTTTTTCATACATAACTGGTTGCCAGTCATCGTTTGTGGAGCACCCTTCACCCCTTCACACCACAATCGAAATTTTCATGGGCACGACTGGAGACGACCAACATTCAGGAGCCTGCCTAAGTTTAGTCTTGTGAATTGTAGAGCAAGTCCATCCGGTAGCTTGAATTACGTCCTTTTTGAAGGGTCGTTATCAAGGACGACTGCAACTTCGACACTTTCACGGAGGGGTCGTCGAATTCAAGAAGCGGGGCATCTGTTCCCCCCGTACCACTATGGAAGAAGATAGGGCACAGACGGATCTCGGCATCGCCGCCGAGATAGAAGAAGCGCAGGCGCCGCCCAGTCCGCCTGTTCAAAAGCAGCCGAAGAAGAGATTCGTAGGACGGAGGACGGCGGCGAGTGCAGCCGGCAATGGCGCCGGAGGGCCTTCAGTTGAAGATAGCGGGGCTATTCAAGGTTGGGCACTCACCCCGGTATGACGAGGCATGAGAGAACTGACAAGAGGCAGTGGCACAACCCAGGAGGGCCCCAAGATTGCTGAACCAGGTCCCGCCAGAGATCTTGGAAGACCCGAATCTCAAGGAGGCTATGACTCTGCTTCCGGCCAACTACTCCTTCGAGATCCCAAAGACCATCCACCGTATCCGCTCTGCGGGTGCCAAGAAGGTCGCCCTACAGATGCCAGAGGGTCTTCTCCTTTTTGCGACGACCATCTCGGACATCCTTACACAGTTTTGCCCTGGAATCGAAACGCTTATCATGGGAGATGTGACCTACGGCGCTTGTTGTATCGATGATTACACCGCTCGGGCGCTGGGCTGCGATCTGCTTGTTCACTATGCCCACAGTTGCCTGATACCCGTGGATGTCACCAAGATCAAGACACTGTACGTCTTCGTCGATATCAGCATCGACACATCGCATCTGCTTGCCACATTGGAGCGCAATTTCGCGACGCCAAAGACCATCGCCATTGTTGGCACTATCCAGTTCAACGCTACGATCCACAGTGTGCGCTCAACGCTGGAGAAGGCCGGTTACAAGATCCTTATCCCGCAGATCGCGCCCCTATCCAAGGGTGAGATCTTAGGATGCACTTCTCCACGGCTTCCGGATACCGAGAAGGTCGACCTGATTCTGTACCTGGGAGATGGCCGTTTCCACCTCGAGAGCATCATGATCCACAACCCGTCCATACCAGCATACCGGTACGACCCTTACTCGCGCAAGCTGACACGCGAGACGTACGGCCACGAGGAGATGCAATCGCTGCGGCGGGACGCGATCAAGACAGCCAAGGGCGCCAAGAAATGGGGACTCATTCTCGGCTCGCTGGGCCGCCAGGGCAATCCTCACACTATGGCCCTGATCGAGAGCAAGCTGACGCAGATGGGGATCCCGTGGGTGAATCTGCTGCTGAGCGAGATCTTCCCGGGAAAGCTCGCTCTGATGAGTGATGTCGAATGCTGGGTGCAGGTCGCTTGCCCGCGGCTGAGCATCGACTGGGGCTACGCGTTTCCCCGACCTCTCCTGACCCCCTACGAGGCGCTGATTGCCTTGGAGGAACGTCAGGAGTGGAGTGACGGTGTATACCCAATGGATTATTATGGAAAAGAGGGACTCGGTCGCACGAAAGGGGTACCAGTCAGTGGTTGAGTGTACGTGAGTTACTTGGATAGGAGCTGAGCGTAGCCGAGTAAGATTCACTCACTTCACAATAAGAGAATATCACCGGGACAGGATCGTCATGATCAATAGAACTCTATAAAGGAACCCAAGAAACCCTATGTCATGTTCTACTATACTCGCTCGTTCTATTGGCAAGTCAAGTCGCTGTCGTTAGCAAATAAGGCATTCTTTGGAACTAACTAGATCAACCTCGCTATTCATGGGTACGCAATGGTATACTCAATAGTCCAGCTAAACCGTCTCCTAGGTCTATCTCTCAAGGAAACCCGGATGATTTTCCAGTGCGAGTTCGTCCTGGATATCTTCCTCGAGTACCAGGAAGGCATCGGCGGCAACTCGGCCCCGGAACATGCCCCCTTTAGACTGCAAAACATCCTCTGGCTCATGCAGCTTACTGGCTCACCAGGCATCACATCTCGAGTGCAATGGTCGTGGACTCAAGCACAGCCGGACAAGGAGCACTGGAGTCCGGATCTCCATGCCGCCCGATTCGTGTACAGGTTCGACCGGTGGGTTGACGATATCAACGGCGGCTGGGTCAGGAGCGCGGACCGTACGAAGGAGGTCATCAGACTGGTGGCGGTACTGGTGCATTTGCATGATATACATATTGGATGGACATTTAGGTTAAGGCGGCTTGGGGTCAGTAGGATGGTGCTGCGGTTGGTAGAACATTTATAGATATGCAAGAATTTCTCCCGTATATATACCGTAGAACTACAGTTGATGTCAAATAATTACAACTAGTATGGTCAAAATGCGTATATTGAGTGCTATCATTGTCAATCAGGGCCCAAATCCCGCACACGGGTCTTTGAGATACTCAACGACGATCCGTTGAGGGCGGAAATTCTGGAGGCGACAAACGACCTGCTCCGCCTGTGCCCTGAAACTTCCAAATGCAATCTCCAACCGGCCACATCCATTCGCTTCCTCGTACTGGAGGAAGTCGACGTCGTAATAGATTTGCCAGATATTTCGAATGATCGAGTCCAGCGCCCGGGGGTGCACTACCGCCGGATCGCCCTTGATCAGCAAGATGCGTGATCTGCCACGGATCTGCGTGGAGCGGGTGCGTATCCGATGACGCCTCATGTCTATCTTCCAGTCGTCGATCTGGAAGTTTCTCTCTTGGTGGTCGCGGAGAAAGTGGTTTGCATCCTCAGCACGAAAGAATGTAATGGACGCTGCTCGTGAGTAGACATCAATGCCGTCCGATTGACGAGTATACAACTGCGGCTCTGTCAGATGCGAGGCGTATACTGGGCCCACATTCCGAAACGATAACAATTGGGCGTAATCTGTGTCTGGTGGTATACCAGTAAGCCATAATCTACAGTTCTCTTCGTCGGGTATGTCTGCGTCGCGGTTGCGCTCGAGTCTTAGGTTGCCACGGTATCCACGGCTATTGCTGGTGGTAACAGTATCTGTGTCGATGACCAATTCTCTGGGGCTAGGCCTGTTAATGAGACAGTTCGACCCTAGTGTTGTCTTCATCTGGTGATCTTGAGGAAGCATGTTGGGCTGGTCTCCGTGAAGGCTTTGGACTCGGCAAACGTTGGCCGGCCAAGTGTTGGAAGAATAGTCCATGGCGGTGATAAGCTGACTACCAAGAGACCTGTGGACTAGGTGGCTTGGAAGTGAGCTGTTTAGATTGAAGATGGCATTGGTTTGATCGTATAGATATCCTGTGGGGGTAAGCAGAGGAGCAGTGTCTTGCTCAGCACGGACGGTAGAATTGATGACATTATTTTGCCCATCGCGTCGACATGACATTAGGTTTGAAGAGCTGTCCGCTTGAACGCATTCCGCACTAGACCCAGAATATGTGCGAAACTGAGGTCCGCCAACTGTTGTTGCCGACCATGTATCGCTAGGACTGGTAGACCATTTGGTGAAATCGTGATATGGGGTAGCGGCAACGCTGAGGGTTTTTGACCATCTTCCTGGTATCATCCAAGCGCTCATCTCGGAAGTTTGAGTATAGAAGTGGTCCTCTTGGGCGTTGAGTACTCGTGGGAGGCGCAGATACCGTCCCATGTCATCAGTGTACATTGCTGCTTGATCTGCTATTTAATCAGCATGGATAATTCGTTCACAAATTGAATTTCCATTTCCTCGCTTTGTATCGTCCAGCCAGGATGTCGGTCTTACCTCTGCGGCGTGAAGCGCCAGAGTGCGGGTTGCTAGAATTTCGATCCATTATGATATTTAAGTGATCATTCTCGATCACCCGTGAAAAGAACGGTGATGCGAGGTGCAGGTCCTAAGAACTGAAGAATACAGCTGAGGTCAGGATGAGAGATAGTGGGCTCGGGGGCTCGTCCCGATGTGAACAAGAATGGTGGAAGAAACACAGGAACTTGTGATGGGAAGCGAAGAAAACCGAAGTGGCCAGCCCGCTTCCGTAAATGGAACCTAGCTCGAGTGAAGAAACAATCAGCTGTTCAATTATTGTTTATTCGTTGGCACAGATACCACAGGAAGTGAATCGTGCGCCTACGAGAATGTTGAGCACAGTCAATTTTTTCCCAGGCAACAACAACCAAAAATCCTTCCCGGGCAGCAACAATCAAAAATCCTCTCCCGGGCAGCAACAATCAAAGTTCGATCACATATTGTGTTAAGAGTGACCGAAAATTAAAATTCAGCACGCCGTAACGAGGCTAGGGCTAGCTACTATGCAAAAATATTATCAAGACGGAAGATGCAGTCTGATGGTATGCATAATTAAAGAAAACTCTACCGCAATTCAAAGTTTATAGGAAAATCCTCCGTCCGCCTTTCGAACTACGCACCCCTACTTTAAATACCCTTGTCAGTCACTAGATGAAAACATATTTGACTTATACAGACTTACGTAGATTGATTATCTCATTTCGCCGTCGTTTGCCCTAAACGAGAGATCCACACGACAAGCCATGCCCCTTCCAGAATCCCTGTGCTTTGTAAAGGTTTGTATATATACATAGCGATTGGATACGGATCCCTGCGGCGATGATATCCCCGTATTTTGGGGATGAACTCGATAGACTTAGTCTTGGGTAAGTAAAGATAAACGGTGGGTCGATCATAGGGTCAAGAAAAGTATTTTGTAGAAAGCTACTCCTCGCTAAATCTGCGGGTGGCAGAACTAGCATAGATTAACTTGTCTATTCCATCCATCTTGTCCAGCTGGATCTAGGCACAACGATCAGGCAGGTAAGTCACCGTCATTACTTGAAAGAAATACTGTCCAAGTCGCCAAGAGATCGACTCCGTTTGTGTCCTGAGGCTTCCAAATGGCATGACGAGCTTACTGACCCCGCGCTCATGGTCTGTCTCGTAGAAGACAAAGTCAATAAATATCATAATAGATATTCCACTCCTACCTATCGTTCAGTCAGGGGTGTCAAGATAGACCATATCCGAGTTACCTTGAAGTAACATGATTCAAGATCCGCCATTGAACGGCGTTGATCTGGTTCGCATGCGGTGACGTCTGCTGTCGACGGGCAATCCGTCCATGGTGAATGCCTACTTAGCACGCTGTCCAATAAAGGCGCTCGCATCCTTAGCTTCAAAGATGGCCAAAGATGCAGCAGCTAAGTTCCTATCTAAACAGTAAATCGATTAACACACAGAGTCATTAAATAATGGTTGCTTCGGTAAGGAACTAGTACGATATTAGGTTCTTATCATTTCACATGACGATATCAAAGACAGTAATCAGTTCAGTAGGAGGTCATGGATTATTTGCTCGTGATGCACCAAGTCAGGACTGTACGACTTGCTAAATTGTTTGTTAAAGATCTTCGGCTTATATTAAAAATTCCATAATATTATAAGAGAAATCTTTGCACGATTGAATGCAGGTTTGACAAACAAGCACGAAAAAGTCGCCTAAGCCTGCACTCAAACTGGCTATTTTTAACGGCTCGTTAGCCTCTTCGTAATGAGTCAACACGACAAAGAAGCGAACAGATGTGCCATTACCGCAAGCCGGTAAATACCTAGGTAGCCATGGTTTGGTTTTGGTCACAATTGGCAACATATCTGACCATCATGTCATCCGATTTACTTCAGCAATGACCTTGAATGTATGAAATATTGAAATCTAACCATACCAAGGCACGATTTGCTTGCTGTCGTTCTGCTTTCGTTTGGTAGAAATTTTCTTGACAGACCAAGAGCGCTTCCTTCTACGTGCTCCAGGAGATTTTGCCTGCAAACTCGTATTGACGATATTACGCTAAGATTACTGGTGAATATGGTGATTGTTCTGAAAGTAAGTCGTACGTTTACGTGATGTGAAATCAGTTCGCGCTGGTTTGACACATGTGAATTGCCAGACCTGATCCTCCTTCTAACCTCGTCAATGCGCAATATTCGTCACGAGACTGCCTGAAGGGCTTCTTTCGAATTATACTATACCGAGTTTAACTACTTGAATAAGTCATCGTGCAGTGCGCGAGCAGTATAGAGCGAGTAAAATTATTTCAGAGCAGCTCCGTCAGGCGGATAGTCCGGTGTATTCGTGGCTTACTCAGCGTTCTATGACGTCGATATCGGCTTTGCAAGTAACCCCGGTAAGGTACCAAGAAATTCCGAATTGCAAACAATACTAGTGACTGATTGGATATTCCAATAGTTAATTTTGAAGCTTTAGGTGTAAATTAAATGGTTTGATGAATAAGCGAATGCTCATGGTGGATTGTAGTATGACGTGGCTTGGCATCGCTTAGATCCACATCTGAATACCTATAAATACCACCTTTCCATCGTCTAAAGTTACGGATGTTCGCCACGCAAAGCTCGAAACATTATTGAAGTATTTGTCTTACAGGATGTCTTCGACTCATCATCATGGGGCCGTGTTACGCCCAAAAATGACGAAGCATGTTGACCCCAACCCCATTGAATATGAACAGTTGATCTATCAGAAGGGTCTGAGGTACGAGCGACCGCCTTTCACCTTTCAACCTCAAGAATGGGAGAGACTAGCGAGCGAACGTATGTCTGCTGAGAGCAAGGGCTATGTTGTGGGATCAGCTGGAACCGGGGAGACGGCACGCAAGAACAGGGAAGCCTTCGCGCGGTGGTCCATCGTCCCACGACGGCTTGTGAAATATGATGGGTTTCCAGACCTCTCAGTCAACGTATTTGGGCAAAAGTTGCCGTTTCCAATCGCTTGTGCGCCTGTCGGCGTGCAGAGAATCTTCAACCCTGAGGGTGAAATCGCGACTGCTGCGGCAGCTGCGGAACAGTCGGTTCCATTCATCATGAGTACGGCAAGCAGCACGAGCATCGAGGATGTGGCTAAGGCGAATGGCAATGGAGTACGATGGTATCAGCTGTACTGGCCACCAAATGACCACAATGATATCACTGTCTCGATCCTTGACCGTGCACAGAAGGCCGGCTTCTCGGCACTCTTCGTAACCCTTGACACATACATTCTTGGATGGCGACCGAGCGACATGGACAATGGTTACAACCCTTTTTTGCGGTCAGATAAGATTGGAGTGGCAATTGGTCTCACCGACCCCGTGTTTCGGTCTCACTTCAAGGAGAAGCACGGTTGCGAGGTTGACGACGATCTCGAAGCAGCGGTGGCAGAGTGGACGAGGACTGTATTCCCTGGAATGAGTCATTGTTGGGAAGATATCAAATTCCTGCAGCAGCACTGGAAGGGCCCCATTGTTCTCAAAGGCATCCAATCCGTTGAAGATGCGAAGAAATGTGTCGAGATAGGGGTACAGGGTATCGTGGTCAGCAACCATGGTGGAAGACAAAGCGATGGAGGAAACAGCTCGCTGGGTGTCCTGCCCAGAATTGTCGATGCCGTGGGAGACAAGTTGGAGATCTTCTTTGACTCTGGTATTCGATGTGGTGCAGATATTGCCAAGGCAATGGCTTTAGGCGCCAAAATGTGTCTTATCGGGAGGCCTTACATTTATGGATTAGTGCTAGGAGGCGAAGAAGGCACTTCGCATGTTTTAAAGTCACTGCTGGGTGACCTTGAGCTGACCCTTCACCTGGCGGGCATACAGTCATCATCACCCAACCACCTGGACCGATCTGTGCTCATTAAGGAGGATGACCTGTTCTAAGTCTGATAGGCGTAAATAGTACTTTGCCAGAATTATGTCACGTTCCTGCAACCAAGACACAGGATGATGGTTGACTTTTTGGCCAAAGTTATGCTTAGTGCGTCAGCCATTATTTTCTCCACCGAGGAACAGATACAAAGCCAACTATGCAGATGTGTGTATGTATCTTCATTTTCGTCAAACTCCTCATAAGGCTATCTAATCATGCTCCCCTTGGCGATCAAAGTCCAGGAAGTGGTGTCGGCATCCTTGATACTTCGCCAGATTTTGCACGTCCAACTTTTTGTAGTACCACATGACCTAACATTGTGCATTTGACCCTGCGTTATACCACTTCTCATGTGGGGTTTTCGAAAGGCGAACTCATAACTTTAACGATAAAATCTCCTCACAGTCCAATAGGGGCACCATGGTAGGATCGCGATACAACCAAAGGAGTTACACTCACCGTTTCAAAAACAAGACCGAAAGCTGACAGCAGGTCTTGAAAGAAAGAAAGCTTCGGCCATTCTGTGCTCATCATGTCGTAAGGTCTCGTGGCCTCCAAATAGTCCCTTGTGTACTGTCGCACGTTGAAGTACTTTGAAGTCGGCGGAGGGGTATGGAAAGGTCTCGGGAACTCCTCCGCGGCGGAAATCGTTATTTGGGTGAAAATGTTTGCCTTACACAGACTGCAGTATTGCTGAATCATCCACGTGATTAAGATGGCTCAACGTCTTTCCTCTAATATAAAAGCAATGCGTCTCTCGGACTCTCCCTGATCATTACCATGTTTCCACGATACGATAAAGAAGAGGGGTGTTATTATTACCACATCACACATCTCAAGCATAATTTCTCTTCGATGCCTAAGTTTTGGCAACAATGAAGTTTCTTCTTTTTGCAACAGTCCTCACCTCTGCCGCCGCCGGTCAGTTTGTGCTGCCAAACGTCACATACCCACCAGCAGGCGCACAATCGTGCAGATGGGCCATGAAGCCTGGAAACCACCTGCAAGACCAGAATTGCTACGAACTGAGGTTCAATCGAAACGACGGCACAGAAAATGCCTATCAATACATTCAGGTCACATACCCGAACCCAATCGATGGGTATGCATGCGAATGTAAGCCCCCAATGATCTAGCGTGGATCAAGAAGGAGTCTGACTGTTTTACTACATAGTGGCTACATACGATGGGTCGAATTGTACGGGTTCGTCGCTGCAGGTCATCAACAAAACAAAATGTGCAAATGTGTCGGCCGCCAGGTCCTACAAAGTTGTGTGTTGATCTGCAGAAACTGCTTAAGCCCATATCTAGTTAGTATGTGACGGGTTGACGTTGTGGTATGCTAGCTTCGCGAAGTCAATGGCCAGTATTTCCCGTGTTCAAGGAGAAAACGTATGGATTGGTTACATATATAGGTTTGATTCAATTTAGGTGGCTATCCTCGTCCATGGGTATCCAAGTCAAATGCAATGAGCACCGAGATCTTCAACTCATCCCCGTACCATCGCAGCCACGGTACCCTCCATTGGGATCGCCTTCCTGCCTTTTGAATCTAACAACTTCGTCAAGGTTGGGTCATTGATAAGACACTCCCCATCCCGTAGGGCGTCATAAGTGCTCGACCACCACTCAACTGCCGGAGCATCCATGTTCCTCGTCTTGATGTAAAAGTCCTCATGGCCCTTTCGTCCGACAAGCTCCACACTTACAGCTTGACTCCTGTTCTTAGCAACCAAGGCTGCAACATCCTGCATTGTCTTTGCCGTATCTGGTCCGGTGGACAGATAGAACGTCTTCCCGGCATAGTTATCACTCGGCGCTTCCAGGACCAGTGCGTTGCCGAGTCCGAGGTCGTCAATGGCCGTCCAGCAGATCTTCCCATCACCCGCCAAAGGCACGGTCTCTCTATCGTCACCCTTTGGGTCGTAGTATCCCAGGTAAAGTGGCCAGGACTCGTTATACAGCCCTTCACGTATGATGGTCACTTTGACATCCTTGAGTGACGCCAAGTAGGCCTCTGTCCGTATATGCGCACGCATAACGCCGGCTTTGCTGGGGTTACCGAAGGCTAGCGAGGAATAGTAGATGTGTCTGACGCCGGCTCTTCGTGCAGCATTTATGGCGGCCATGTGATGCTTCTCGCGGCCCTGGCCCTCTGGTGCGTCATTGAAGTCCAACTCGATCCGTGGTGTTGAGACGAGAAAGAACTTGGTGCACCCCTGGAGCGCAGTCTCTAGCGTTGACGCATCGTCGAAGGTCCCGTGGCGAACATTGACACCCTTAGAGGCAAGCGTGGTCCATGTCTTAGACTCAGGTTGCGACGACGTGATGGCGACGATGGACGACGGTTGCACCAGCTTGTAGGACAGCAAAGCGGACAGTGTGGCACCGCCAAGCTTGCCCGATGCTCCAGTGATGGCCAACATTGGGATGAAAGAGGATTCAGGAATGATATGGTAGGGATTACAATCCTCGGCGATCGTAAGAAATCTTTATATACCAAGATTTCGAGATTATTTGCACCCTTCTTTGAAGTTGGAGTGCTGCTGAAGTATCTATGCTGGTTTCTAATAACAGCGGGGATCTCGCCTAACGCCGAAGCGTGGAGTCGATCCCTCCCATACTGATTATTCACCACCTCCAAAATTTAGTCTACTCAAGACAATCTCGATCTTGGGAGTCATCGACGTCTGGGAGCGAAGGCCGAGCCTCATACATTAGTAATGAGACAATCGTTTCCTGAGATGTCACATGCGCGCTGCCATCTCGTTCCTTTCTTTGCGCAGCTCTTCCCTGAAATGCGACATCGCCTCAGCATCCAGGTACAGGGCAATGTCCACCCCGCCATCCGTAGTGATGGGATCTAGTATCACCAAAGTACCGTCACATTTATCCATGACCGAGTGAACGTATTGGGGTCTCTTGCCGCCCTTATCGAAAATCACCTCATACAATTTCAATCTTTGCCATGAAGTTGCAATGATGTGCAACGTTCCTATAAAGCCTAGCCACAGGCGCTGCGGCGACACCTCATACGCCGCATCATGGAGTATAGCGGCCATCTTATCCGGTGTAAAGAGTTGAATTGTCGTTCGCAATCTCAAAGCTAGCTCGCCAATGCTTGCGCTACGGACAGCTGATGCCAGACCCTTGACGTGTGTGAGCAGTAAAGGTGATCCAATGGATGTCTCTGACAACGGCGGTGAAACCCGGCGGCGGGCGTCAAGCGTAACGTTTAGGAAAACCTCGTCGTCATCAGCCTGTGTGTAAGCTCTTGAACGAGTTATCAGACGGAACATGACTGCCATAAGTGCATCTGTTTGGGAGATTGTGGTTCCCTCAGGGACGCCTTGTAATGCGAGCGATTTCAGGTGAAGGAGCTCTCGCCCAGTAAAATGTAGCAGACCCCATGATACAGGCCTGGTCAAGTCCCAGGTTCTCCAGGGCCCTATCGTTGACGGTGCTACAGTCATTTGATCCAATACATCCGCGGGCGGCATTGAATTCTTCGTAGAAGCGACGAGCCACGGCGAGTACCCAGGTTCATCGGTATCCCACCAGCTAAACCGATGCAGAGGCAACGAGCGCGCAGTCTGCGCTATGCTATCATCCAATGCGTCTCCGTCAATATGCCCTGCTGCCCGAGAATCGAGCTGAGAAGGATCAAACACTGGGCCGTCGAACAGCGAAGAACTTGGTTCGCCAAACAATCCGCGCGACTTCGCGGCCCATTGGTGCACAAAGACCATCATCGAACTCGCATCGGCGAGCGGGTGTGCCAGCTTGATGCCAACTCCGTATCCACCACATGCGAAGACGTTGATCTGCACCTGCATCCCAGGCATCCCTTCACAGTCCTTCAGATTGGAGAGAGCCATCCGACGCGGCGAGATCAACCCCCCCTGAGGGAAAGTGTCGCCCAACCAAACGCCGTGCAATACCTCAGACGAACCCGGGAGGATCGAATTGAGGGTGAAATCATGGTGAACAACATTCCACTCCACACCGGGATCTGATTCACAGCCGTATGTGATCATAGCACGGTTGAAGCGCTCCGTGTGATGGCCACCCAAGCGGAAGGGCGCCCAGTGGAGCTGGCCGGCCCATTGAGGGAAATCGCTCAAGGTAGCGACGAAAGAGGACTTGAGGGTATCAACGAACTCCCTGCCAACTTCCTGTTGTCCAGACTCTGGCGCGCCAAAAAGCCATACCGCTCCGGTATTTCCGAAACGAGCGCAAGTTGAGTCCAGTATGGATAGTGGTATTGAGGTGGCCTTGGTAACCCGAGGAGACGGGAACAGGCGGATTGATTCGTTGTGGCTTTCTGTCATCATCTTCTCCTGACTTGATCAATGCAATTGCCGTTGGAGATGATTCAAGACTGTCCTTGTGCAGTTTTTTTTAAAAAAAAAAGACCATAGCGTGGCTCTGCCTGACTTTTAAGCCTATTGTGATATCTTCGATATACGCTTACAATCCTGTTTGATGATTGTAAATGAATCATTCTTAGCTCCATGCTCGGCAACCCAATTTAGGCAGTTCCACGACCACGCAAAAGCGGCACAGCAAAACAGTCCCCTGATGGCCCCCGGCATCCACGGTGTCTTGCCAGATCATGGACGAGAAGGCTTGCAGGCTCACGGAAGAGATTTTCATGCCTCCCTAGCAAACACACCGAGTTAAAGCCAGCAATTTGGTTCAGGAGATCGCGATGTGTCTACCCTGGGCCTCGTCTTCACGTCTATTCCGTGGTTACCCCACAAATGAAACCACGAGATATGGCTTGAGACCTTTCCAGATAACATGTTTGAAACCTAGTCGTGTGCTATTACACCGCTATAACGCTGCTCAATCATTGTTCTATAATATATGCGAAGCCTAGATGGCGATAAAGAAGCTCTTCTCCCCCTCCTTCGGTGCCACCCTGGCACGTTCCATGATAGGGTCGACGCAACTCAACCGGATCCTCTCGGGCGTCGCTGGACTCTCCAGTCTGAGCAGCCCGTCACCCTCGCCTCCCTCTTCAGCCAGCTTGGCTTCGACGCCGTAGTCTGCACGCGCGGACTTAAGGGCATCGCGAATAGCGAAGAAAACCGCACTACCCATGAAGAGTGGTGGCTCGCCGACACCACGACTACGCTGGATCGTGCGAAGGTTCTCCCAAGTCACACCCTTGAGCAGACGCACGTTGAATTCCTGGGGGATGTCACGGAAGCCAGGGATCTTGTAAGCACCTGGACCCTTGGTGAAGAGGTTACCAGCCATGGGGCCGTTTCGCAGCCATAAACTCTCTTCCATCGTGAACAGACCCATGCCTTGCACGAAGGCACCTTCGATTTGACCGTAATCAATAGACGGGTTGATTGAGCGCCCGACATCCATCTTGATATCGGCACGGAGACACGACCATGTGCCAGTCAAGCAGTCGATCTCAACTTCAGCCGCAGTTACACCTTGTGTGAAGTAAAAGAACATTTTGCCCTTGTTCTCTCCCCAGGTGTAGCCAATCTCAGGCGTCTTGTAGAATCCGTTCGCACTGAGGTTGACCCGGTCGAAATAGGCAGCATGAGCCAAATCCTTCATGGTAGCCTTGGGACCAAGCTTCTCCCGGTATGGCGCCAGTCGAGCGTTGATCTGTTCGCAGGCATTCCAAATAGCATATCCGTTCAGATCAGAAGAGGCGGACGCGGCGGTTGCGGACGTGTTTGCAACCGTGTTGGTCGATGTGTCGGAGATGTGAACGTCCTCCAATGGTACTTGAAGAGCCTCGGCAGCAATCATTGACATCTTGGTGTGGAGACCTTGGCCCATCTCAGTGCCTCCGTGCGCAACCAAGACGGAACCATCGTGGTAGATGTGAACCAAAGCACCGGCTTGGTTGAACCAGAGCGCAGTAAAGGAAATGCCAAACTTGGTTGGGATAAGTGCCAGACCTCGCTTGCGCCACTTGTGCGTTGCGTTGAACTCGGTCACCGCCTTGCGCCGATTGGCGTAATCTGACTCCTCCTGAACTTGTTTCCACATGATGGGAACGTGCCAGTCATCGATTCCCTGGTTGAAGTGAGTTTGATCGTTATCCCCGTAGAAGTTGATTTCGCGGAACTCCTCCACTGGCATTCCTAACCTGTCCGCAACTTCAGACATGTATGACTCCGCAATGAACATGCCTTGTGGACCACCGAAGCCACGGAATGCTGTGTTCGACATGGTGTTCGTCTTGCAAAGACGTCCACGAATATGAACGTTTGGTATCTTGTAGCAGCCGTCAATGTGTGTCATCGCTCGCTCGCAAACTGCAGCGCTGAGATCAAATGACCATCCGGCATTGTTGAACACGTCAACATCCAGTGCTTGGAGTTTCCCATCCTTATTTACGCCAACCTTCCATTTGGCCATGAAAGGATGTCGCTGTCCCGACATGACCATGTCTTCATCTCTGTTGAGCATACACCTGACTGGCCGTTTGGTCTTCTGGGCTGCCAGTGCCATGATGGTACTGAGCTGCACACATCTCGTCTCCTTGCCACCGAATCCACCACCAAGGCGCTTGACACGGGCTACCACTTTGTTCGCAGGAACTTGGAGGATTCTAGCAGCAAACATTTGACTGAACAACAGTCAGCTATCAATTAGCGATAAGAGAAATGAACGATAACTTACCTTTCCGTGGGGTTCTGGCTACTGGTCCAAATTTCAAACTCGCCTTCGGGGTGTGGAATAGCCAGGCATGCGTTCGTTTCCAGGTAAAAGTGTTCCTGGCCGCCCATCCGGCTAACTCCAGAGAAGGTGTAATCGCAGTTCTTGAAAGCTTCCTCTGTATCTCCCTTTTTGATATATCGGAAATACTTATGAAAACTTTCTTTCTCGATAGCTTCCTCCATCGTGAAGATGGCAGGAAGGTTCTCATATTCGATCTTTACTGCTCTCACACCTTCCGCAGCCCTTGCTTGAGATGTAGCCAAAACGATTGCTATTGGTTGACCTGCAGTGAAGACTTCGTCCTCCGCGAGGAATAGGTCATCAAAGTTTGGTGCTCCCCATTTGTTATCAGTTGGGTTGTGCAGATCATCCTTGTCAACGATGTCAACAACACCTGGTATGTCCAAAGCCGCCGAGTAGTCGCGGGAGACGATTTTGGCGTGTGGCCGTGTCGAGAATACTATGGCCGCATGCAGTTCATTCTTCAAGGGGGGTATATCGTCGGTATATTGCGCCTCTCCGGTGACTTGCTTCAAGGCCGCAACATGGTTGGCTGGCTTGCCAATAGTATCCTTCGCGTACTCCGCTGTAGCTTCACGGTCTTCGTAGCCTCTCGATAGCTCTCGCTCGAGCTCCTCCACAGCTTGACTATCGCCATGCTCGCTTGCAGTGTTCAGTCCGGCAAGCACCTCATGGTAGAACCTATAGAAGAAGCTGAGCGCCAAAGACTTCCGGTACGAGGCCATACCACCAGGGACACTAAAACTGAGATCAAAATCAGAGCCCAGTGCGCTCATAGCACCTTCCAGCGTCTCTGGGTGAGCGAACATCTTGCCAACGAGATATTCGTTGGCTTTCTTGGCAGCTACGGTGAAAGGCGCCATGCCTCCGTAGACCAGGTTGGCTTGCTCGACGGTCCCCTTTTCGTCGACACTTACATGCAGAGCAGCAGTGACAATAGCAATGTCGTCGTCCTTGCGCTTAGCTTGCTTGTAAGCCCGGAAATAGTCGCCCTTCTCCTGCATAAGGGGGATGCGAATGGATGCGATGATTGCGTCAGACTCCAGGGCTGTTCGTCGATAGCCCTTGAAAAAGGTCGACATTGGTATCTCAGTGGTCTTAGCTTGCGACTTTGCAATCAAGACACAGTTTGCAGCCATGAAAACAGGGTTGAGGTCGGAAATGGGAGAGGCCGTAGCAAGATTTCCTGCCGGCGTGCCGACGTTCCTGATTTGCCGACCAGCGAAATACTTGAGCTGCTTGTACATCGCCTCGAAGACTTGACCACGGACAGGTCCATAGTGCTTTAGGGCCTCTTGGCATATGTTCTCCAGATCTGTCAGGATGACGTTCCCGCCAATCTCGAGGTGATCGTCCTTAAAGCTGTATTGTCGGAGCTCAGGAATATCGCCCACGAACACCGAGACGGGGTACTGCATAGCCTTGAACTTGATCTCAATCTGGGTCTCGGTGCTACCACCGATGATCTTGGCGTCAGGGTACACGCTCTTGATCTCGAGCAGCTGCTCCAGCGTGACAGGTCGGTACCATCGCTTCCGCTTGTTCCCGAAGGCCAATGGCCTGAACTCATGCTTCTTCAGTGTAGGTGGGAAGATGAGCTCTGTATCTTTATTATACTCAATGAAGCCTGGCGGTGTGAACTTCTTGATAGGTTGGCCGTCATCGAGGCTCTTGCTCTTGCAGCATCCACCACTGGCGCCATTGGGGCCATTGCCATTTTCCATGCAACAGCCAGAGCCACCGTTCGAGGTGCTTTTACCACAACCTCTGTCAACACTGAAAGTCTGAGCAGCATCTAGGATCGGGCGGTATCCGGTACATCGGCAGAGATTGCCGTCAAAGGCCTCTTCAATGTCGTGATCGTTCGGGCTGTCATTATTCCTGAGCAGCGCGTACAAGCTCATAACAATTCCAGGTGTGCAGAATCCGCACTGGCTTCCGTTGCTCTTTGCTATCCGTTCCTGGGCTGGGTGCGGCTGCTTGACGTTGCCGATACCTTCGATCGTGATTACATGCTTCCCGTCGACACTGGCAAGCGGGGCAAGACAGGCGTTAACGCTCGCATGGTAAATGTTCTTTGTCGTCGGGTTATACTGGCTGATAACTACTGTGCATGCGCCACAGCCGCCTTCCGCACAGCCGCTGTCGAAACATGTCAGTTCAGCTGGTCCCATAGGACTGGTCGCAGTGTTATCTTACAGTTTGGTGCCGGTCAAGCCAATGCCGCGCAGGTATTCTAGCAGCGTGACCTCGGGGTCGATCTCGTCAAGGACCACCCGCGTTCCATTGAGGAAGAACCTTATAGTATCATGGTAGGCAGTCTTCAGGCTCGGCGCCGGGTCTCTCTCTGGTGATATAGCAATTGGTGCCATGGTTGCGTTGTGCTGACGTGCAAAGCGTGGGTCGGTTTACCCCCCTGCTCTCCGAAGAGTATGACAGGCCGTGGCCGCTCCAAGAGTTGTCTCTGGTCCCTGTATGTCGGGATCTTACTTCATATGATGTGACTCGTATGGTATCTTTCCTTCGCGTGATCGCAAGTCGTCTGCGACAGGAACGTAGTGTCTTGTTCGCCGTTATCTCGTGCTTCTTGACCTTACACAGGATCGAGTCGCACCGAGGTGGGGTGGCAAGGGAGCTTTAAACGCCTCCAGTTGCCCACCATCGAATCGCCGGGTCCCGACCTGCAGGTGCCAGACACGTACTGACGCAGGGCCGATAGTCATGGAGATGGATAAGCTACAGATTGCCACCCTCGAGCAAATCAGAGCACGGGAAAGTCAGCTTAGCACCCTGATAGGGGAAGGTTACACGATTAGTGTGCCTGTCCGCGCCAGACCCCTAGAGCCCACAGGCGGTCAACGGCGGGCAGTGGCGGGGGCCAACCCCACCAAGACCGCACTGCTTCGGCCGGCTCCGTTGGCCAGTCATGGGGGGCCAAAGCCTCTGAAGCCGCCCACACTTCGCCAGTTCGGTCGCTCCAGCAAGCCAAGACTTCCCCAGCTGCATCCATGGTGCTTTTTTGTCTGTAACAGGTCGCATCCTGATGTTTGGAGCGTCATCCATGCAGCGAAGTTACGGCGCAACGTTGTCTATTTCCGCGGTCAACGTCGGACGGGCTATAGCATTAGTATAGTTGTCCAATGGCGTCCTCCAATGATGACGAGAACTCGCTACTATAACATCACCGCATCGTGAAGAATCCACCAAGCCCAAATTGCGGGTCCGGTCACTTCTGTATCGTTCGTCGGGCCGGCATCGCAGCTCGCGGTGCAATCCAGATCTTGAATCGGGGATGCAACTCCACAAAAGGAGGGTTTAAAGGGAGACAGTCCACATCACATTTCGGTGCTCAATCTCTGACCACGTCTTGCCCTTGGCTGCGGATCCCCTCACCATGGCATGGCGTCTGGCTTGTCTGGCTTGTCTGGCTTGTCTGGGGCAGCCTTCGGCAGTTCAACCCTTCCCCTCATTCTGGCAAAAGGGCATGGGATAGAAGCCGGTTACCTCTGTTTGCTGGCTAACGCGCGGTACATGATCCTAAACACCCGTTCTGGCTGAACGTTGTGTAACCGATCTCTTCCTACAAATTTTCCTGGATTCGTTACAATAGTCCGCAGCTTCCTTGACTCTCGAGACTTAAGCGATTCCGTGAAACCCGTTCCAAGATGCCTTCAGCTACAAACAGCGCCCAGCCGGGCTTTCAGTTCTTCAATGTCATCGGCGGTAAAAGCCGGAGTGCCGAAGAAGTGCACCAGGTCGTGGACCCGCGAACCGAGGAGAACCTCTGGGACGTCCCCGTCGCTACCGCCAAAGATCTCGATGACGCGGTCGAAGCTGGCCTCACTGCCTTCAAATCATGGCGGAAGAGCACAAACGCAGACCGCCGAGACTTGCTCCTGGCCGTCCGACAGAATATGCTGGATAATGTCGATGAGCTGTCCACGATCCTTATGAAGGAGACTGGCAAGTCGAGACTAATGGCACAGGTTGAAGTTGAACGAGCCGCATTCCATTTTGAGTATTATGGTAAGTACAACACCTCCCTGTGATAACAGAAAGCCCTGTCTAACCGTAGCTTAGCGGATGTGCAGCTTGAGGACGAGGTTCAGTTTGAGGATGCGGATATCAAGATCATCGCAACGCATGCCCCCTACGGTGTTATTGCGGCAATCTCGCCCTGGAATTTTCCCTTGATCCTGAGTGCAGTAAAGATTGCTTCTGCGCTGGCCACTGGGAACTGCGTAATTATCAAGCCGTCGCCTTTCACGCCATACACGATCATGAAGGCCTGCGAGTTCGCGCAGTCTGTTGTGCCCCCAGGTGTCTACCAAGTTCTCAACGGCGGTGCCGACCTTGGGGAACAGTTGACGCTTCATCCCGGGATATCTCACATCTCCTTCACCGGCACGACCAATGTCGGCAAAAGGATCATGCAGAATGCCTCCAAGACGCTGAAGAAGGTCTTACTCGAACTGGCCGGCAACGATGCTGCCATAATCTGCGAGGACGTTGACCTGGCTGAGGTAGTGTCCAAGGTTGCGGGAGGCTGTCTCTTTCATGCCGGCCAGGTATGCGTTGCATCGAAGAGAATCTACGTCCACGATTCCATTTACGACCGTTTCCTCGAGATGTTGAAGGAGGAGATCAAGAAGTACGCCATTACCGAGGATCCTATGGCACCGGCTGTTTTCAGCCCTTTGTCCAACAAGGTGAACTACGATCGTTGTATGGGGATAATCGAAGACTGCAAGAAGAACAACTACAACATTGTAGCCGGAGGCGAGACCTTGTCGGACAAGAAAGGCTTCTGGATCGCACCCACGATTGTGTCCAAGCCTCCAGAGGATTCTTTCCTCGTCGCAGAGGAGCAATTTGGTAGGTCATTACCCGTGAAACGTTCCTTACAGAAGTTGACATTTTCTTAGGTCCCGTGATTCCGTTGCTATCGTGGACAGACGAAGCGGACGTCATTGCTCGATCAAACCTTGATAATGCCGGACTCGGTGCATCCGTCTACACCCCTGATCTCACCCGAGCACAGCGGATTGCAAAGCAGCTCGAGTCCGGAACAGTCTGGATCAACATGTCGGAGAGACCACACCATGCTGGCTGGTTTGCTGGGCAGAAACTCAGCGGAGTAGGCGGTGAAATGGGCAAACAAGGTCTACTTTCCTACTGCCACACACAGTCGATCCAGATTGCGAAGTAGAGACAAGCTGGTCGTTCTAGCTCCGGAGCCCTATTCGGCCCTTATATGTTTCAATCCCCCGAGTAAGGTATATACAAAGAAAAAAGACTGCCCACGTGCTTCACTGCCCACCCCGAGCCTCAATACTTGCGAGTTGACGAGCAAAGTCCCCAATCGTGCTCTCCGCCGTAATGAAATGCAAGCCCAGCACCTTCTCTGCGTCTTCGCTGCTAGCAGTGTACGTACCCTCTTCCATGCTCCACTGACCGGGGTCTCCCTCTGGGATTGTCCCTCTCTTCTCCGGCAAGCTTTCTCGCAATATATTCGCGATCCTCTGGTAGCCCATCTCCCCAGCGCAGATGCGCACGTGCGATATCACGAACATCCACGTACAGATGCAGCCCCGTCGGGGGCACAGGGTCGGTGCTCTGCAGACCGGGGCGCAGCAACCGGCTGTAGATGTTCCAGGCGCTCTGGTCGAGTTCCTCCGGCCTGCCGATCCACCTCTCGTCAAACACGGGGCCGTAGATCATGGGCGGGCAGAACGTCACGAGGTCGAAGTCGGGCTTTTCTCGCTCCACAAACTTCCAGGCTGCTCTCTCGGCAAACGTCTTGCTAGCCCGGTACGCCGCCGGCGCGTCTGCAGTCGGGCGGACCTCCTCGAGGGTGGTCGGGTTCCAATCGGCGCCCGTGTAGACCCGCGCCGGCTGCGTGATATAAGGAATCGATGGGTTCCAGTCGATGACGGCTGCGATGGAGTTAGTCAGGACAACCCTTGTCACGCAGGGCGCGACTCTCTTGATGCCCTCCAGGACCTCCATCGTGCCCTTGACTGCCGGGTTCACATAATTTTCCTCACTGGAGCCTGCCGTTGTATTACGGTAGCTGACAGGAGATGCCGTGTGGATGACCCAGTCGAAGGCCGGGTCTGATTTGAGCGCCTCGTCGAAAGCACCCAGGAGCGTCATGTCCGGCACGACGACGAGATCGAGCTGGGCCGGGCCGTACTGGGAAAACGTTGACTTGAGTTGTGTCGCCTTGGCAGCAGAGCGTACAGTACCGCGCACTGAATGGCCAGCGGACAGGAACTGCCCGAGTACGTGTTGGGCCAGATAGCCATTCGCACCTGTGAGGAGGACTCGCTTGGGGGCCATTGTGATCGTCCTCGGCAATAATGCAGTAAAGCTTTGCGTAGGCAATAATGCAGTAAAGCTTTGCGCAGGCAATAATGCAGTAAAGCTTTGCGTAGGCAATAATGCAGTAAAGCTTTGCGTAGGGAGGCCCTAACAGCGGCTGAGTATGTTTGACTGAAGGCAATATAAAATGAAAAACGAATTGCCAAGCTGTGAGACATGAAATCTGACGTGCTGAGTTATGACGATTCCCAGGCTTATATTATCCACGCTAAAAGCTTGCGGAATTCGTATACACGACCGCCGCATGGTGTAAGGGCCGTCCATGAGTCAGAATACGTTAGACTTCAATTTTGCGCCGTCAGACTATCTCGCAACAAGTATCAGCAACGTAGAAGAGCAGAACAGTTCTTTCTATTCAAGATGGGGGAAATCAGATTTCGCCATCACTCTATTCTTCTATATACTTCTTGAGGCCTCGGAGACGTTCCTTGGCTGTCTCTAGCACCTCATCTTCCTTGCACACGGCGAAACGCATGTAGTCCTCTGCGATGTGGGCGTTGGGGTCGGTATAGAACTCTGTAGGTGGGATAGCAGCCACTCCGACCTCCTGTATCAGGAACCAGGACAACTTGAAATCTCGGGGTCGGCTTGCAACGTGTGGCGGGAACGGATAGTCCTTCGGCAGCTTCACCTTGGCCATGTTCACCATAACGAAGTATCCGCCTTCGGGGTCCGAGTAGGGAAGACCGAGCTCGTCAAAGACCTCGTTGAAGCGCTTCATCTTGCCCTGCATGTCTTTAACAGTCTCGTCCCAGAAACCTTCAGCCTCGGCTTGCTCGAACCCTACAGATGCTTTAGTTCAGGTCAGGGTAATATCTATTGACTTTGGACTCACCAACGGCGCACGCTTCCTGCAAAGGCGAGACAGAAGAGTAGCAGATACGGGTGTGTGCCGCAGAGACGTGCTTGATGAGATGCTCGGGTCCCATGAGCCAACCAACTCGCCAACCGGTAGCGTAGAAATTCTTGCCAGCAGAGCCGACGGTAATGGTCAGTCTCTCGATTTCGGGAGAAAGGGTGGCGATCCTCGTGAAGGGCACGTAGTAGAGACGGTCATAGACCTCATCAGAGAGAATGATGATTTCGTGCTTCACACAAAGCGCACCGATCTTCTCAAGCTCCTCCTTGGAGTATACCTTGCCGACAGGGTTGTCTGTGGAATGTTAGTAGCAGTTTCGGCCTTTAATCATAAGCACTTACGAGGCGTGTTCAAGACAAGCATCTTGGTCTTGGGGGTGATTGCCCTCTCCAGTTCGTCAAAGTCTATTGTCCAGTTCCCTGCTGAAGAGGTCGTGGTTGCGCCGTCCTTCGGCGGGTGCATCGGCACATAGGTGATCTTCCCACCTGGCATCTCGATATTGCTGATGTACTGATCGAAGAAGGGCTCAAAGACGATAACCTCGTCTCCTGGCTCAATAAAAGCCATGAAAGCACTCAACATACCTTCAAGTTTTTAGTGACATATGCCTGCAGAGACAACAATGGATCAACTCTACCCTCATTGGCTCCAGTGGTGATAGTAACCTCGGTCTCCGGGTTCAGCGTGCGTCCCCAGAAAGGCGAGTATGCGTCGGCAATCGCCTTCCTTAGCCTGGGTCGACCCTTGGTAGGACTATACTGGTTGCAATCCACCTTGTCCAGGGCCGACTTGGCGGCGTTGATGATGAAGGGAGGGGGGTTGTAGCCGAAGAAGCCTTGGCCCATGTTCACAATCGGCTGCTTGGGCGAGGCGGCGGCAGCTTCATTTACAATGGACCTATATCTCCAGTCTCAGCAGTCCACATTCGGCAGCTGGTAGCCCTCCTTCCACCACTTACCAAACATCTTGTCGCTGGCCTGCGACCCGAGCCGCGGGCTTCAGCTTCGCGGGGAGTCCTGTCGCCATGCTCGACGAGTATGTGCGATGACTAATGCCCCTAACGGCAAGTAAAGATTGATGGGACGGACTATTACGGCGAAGAAGGATGTGCAGTAAAGAGGATGACTTCATGGGAATCCGGCTCGTCACACTCTCCAAACGACAGTTCACGCAACTACCTCGAGTGACGAGGTATGTGCTTTCACGTATAATCCGAACGCTCCCGGCGGAAGCTCAAAGATGCGTGCTTTGCTGGGTGACTCGGGAGTTTTTAATATGCGGATGGGTACTGGCCGTCATCGGGGCCGGGGTAAGATCACGCAATTGGGGAAACGCAATCCGGCCCAGGACACGGCGGGAGCTACGCCAAAGGACCAAGGGACCCCACTGGCACGCCGCCGCGGCCCAGCAGCTCCATGGACCCTAGCTGCTTGTGGATAGATACCTACTTCAACTTGGGATAAGTACAGTACCTAGGCACCTCGTCGACAGCTTATACTCTCTCAACCCTCTGCCTAATCGATCCAGCATAGGATTCCAGACATATCACCTCGACTGCCAGCGATCGACCTTGGGCGCCCCCAAGATGTGCCGCCCAGCCTCGCGACAGCATCCAAGATGACCGGCCTGAAACCACCCTCGCTCCTCACCTCGTCCTCGCCTCCCGCTCTGTCGCCCTCGGGCGCGCCGCCACTGTCGCTCACGATCCGCTTCAGCGCCAGCGTCCCGGACCTGGACCTCGACATCCCGCACCCGTCGCAGACGACCGTCATCAGCCTCAAGCACCTGATCCGCGGCCGCCTCGCCGAGCCCAACTCCCAGCGCCGCCTGCGCTTCATCCAGGGCGGCAAGATCCTGCCCGACAATGCCGCCCTGAGCTCCGTGCTGCGCGCGCCGCCCCCTCCGCCGCCAGCAGCCGCGGGAGGTGCGGCCTCCTCGCGCGCCGCCGGCGCCGACCACCACCACGCGCGGGGCAAGGGCAAGAACGTGCCCAACCGGCCCCCGCTGCAGCGCATCTACGTCAACTGCAGCATCGGCGACTCGCTGACGGACGCCGAGCTCGAGGCCGAGGCCGAGGCCGCCTCGGTGCCCGTGTCGGAGCAGCCGCCCAGCCCGCAGCCGCCGGCGCCGGCGCGGTCCCCGCTGGCCCCCGGGACGCCGGTGCCGCTGGGCGCGCCGGGGACGACGTCGGCGGCGGCGCGGGGGTTCGACCGGCTCGTGGCGGCCGGGTTCTCGGCGGCCGAGGTCAACCAGCTGCGGCTGCAGTTCCGCTCGATCCACAGCGCGCGCTTCACGCCCGACACGCTGCCGTCGCCCGACAGCTTCCGGCGCATGGAGGACGCGTGGATCGACGACAACGGGGCGGCCGCGGTGCCGACGACGACGGGCGGCGTGGGCATGGCGACGGCAGGGGCGGGCGGCGGCTTCGAGAGCGATGAGTCCGGCCTGATGGGCTCCATCGACGCCATGGTCTGGGGCATGCTGGTCGGCTTCATGTGGCCGCTCGGCAGCGCCAGCTGGCTGGCGCGGGAGCCGGGTATGCACAGCGACCGGTGGAAGATCATGGTTGTCGCCGGCGTGTTCCTGAGCCTGCTCATTGGGATCGTGAGGGGCATCTCAGGTGAAAGGTAGCGGGGTGTTATAGACCTGTAAGATACGGGCATAGACTCCAAGACTTGGAGTTGCATAGCGTGGCGTTCGGCATTGTATCATTTTTCCTCCTCAGCAGTAGAGGCCATATTAGGATACCCTTGAAGTAAGCAGCTACAGAACTGAATCGCAGTCCACTGATCGGCTTTTATTAGTCGGACCATCCAACTACTTCTCAAATACTTATATGTCAAAGCTTCCATTGATAAAGTGACTGTCCTTGGTGTGAAATACATAATCCGGAAAAGAAGGTATCATACTGTGAAGGAACCTAACAGTGACAGGACGGGGCGTGATAGCAATTCCGCAGCGTAAGGTTGGATGGGCTTGCATGATCTGACTGGGTCTGCCACACAGGTTAATGAAAGATGGAACGAGTCACAAGCATTTGCAGGAAAGCAGTAAAAAGCCGGGTGCATCGCGCCAACCAGCAGCGATGCCGTTACGGTCTATCTAATCCCTACATACTTGAGAACATTGAGAGAGGGGGCGAGGGAGGGCTTTATCTAGGGGAAAGTGAAGGTCAAAAACAAAAGTATGCCCCTCTCTCGTGTCTCAAGACCAAATGGTATTTTTCAGAGCCAATCCAACGCCAGTAACAATGCAATCGTGAACCTCTTACGAGGCCACAGGAAGGCCCTCGCTACAGAGTAGGCCCCACCGACGCGGTCACGGAGTGTGCCTTGATGGTTAGATGGTGAACCATCTAGAGGTACAAACTCTGTGCAGCGACAATGTCACGTCTGATCTTAGCCAGACTCTCCTCGAACTTGGTCGTCAGCTCCTCGCTGCCCATTACCTTACCAGCCTGCGCCATCTGGCGCAAAAGCTCTTCAAGGCGACGGAACAGACGGATGAGTGAGCCCTCGTAGGCGTTTGTCATCTTACTGTAAAGGGATTAGCAGAGAACATTCGATAGAATTTCCGATGCGTCATACCAAACTTCAGCAAAAGGCTTTCCATTCGCCCAAGCATAGACTGTCTCCATAAGCTGCCACTTCAGAGACTGGACATACTCTTCCTCGTTGACATCAAGTTTGCTTTCCTGGCTGACCTTGGCAATGATTCTAGCCTGGGCTTGGACCTGAGAGAACGGCTTCTGGAGCTCGTCCTTCAAGGTGGCAGCCTCCACCTTCTCCTCAAATATGAACACACTGAGAATTGCGGCACACAGTTCAGGGGACAACTCGTTGAAGAAACGGTTGAAAAGGAGCTCAGACAATAGCAACTCGTGGCCCTCGGTAGAGGAGATCTCACAAGCAACACGCGCCTTCATCTCGACAACTTCAGCATCATTGATGAAACCAAGGCGACGAAGGACTCTCTTCCTTGACTTGAGCTCGTCTAGCTGTGCAATACTGTGTGCCTTGCCGATCTGTTTCTTAGTGCTCTTGATCTTTTCGGTCAGGGCAAGCTTTGTCGAGTACTGTTCCCAAAGGCCTGGAAGCAAGGGCGAACCATGCAGAGGATTGGCAAGCAAGCGGGACTCAAGAACCTCAATCTTGCGCATAAGCTTCTTGAACGAGTCATCGGTGATGCCCATGTTCTCGATTGGGTCTAGGATGGGTACGCCGTCGGGGAAACGGCGGAGCACCTCAGCCAGAGATTTGCGGAGCGTGTTACGGACTTCCTCAATGTCTTCAAGGCTCTTGACCTCCTTGGGCATAAACACTCGGATTTGGCTGATTGCCTTCACACAGGTGAGCAGGCAGGGCACAGCTTCGAATAGAGATTGCTCAGCAGTGTCACGAGGGCGTATACCGTTGGGCATCTCGCCCGGAGGGGGGACACGCGGTGTGAACTGTTCGCCCGACGGGTCCAAGTGAAGGAAGACGTCAACAAGATATGATTCTTGAGGAATGAACTCCTTCTCGCCAAACTTGGGGGCTTTGCGCGGAGTGAAGTCGACAACTACACCCCAACCAAAATCTTGGCCAGTTTTGGGGTTCTGGACCTGGACGAGTCTACCAGGCTGCAGATACTCTAGGCAGTAATTCGGGTGCTGGATGACATGAACCATATCTTTGGTATATGCCTCGATTTGCTGGCGAAGGCCGTGGTAGTCCTTGATGGTAGCCTCATCCGGAATAGCCATGCCGTCTCGCTCCTTCTGGAGCTTCATGAGATCTTGCTCTAAACCAGCAACACTGGCACTGTTCTGGAACTGGTAGAAGCAGCTCTCCAGCATGAATTCAGGAGAGATGGCTTCAATTCTGAGGAGGTTGAGAACCATGTTGTATCCGAGATGGAAAGCGGAATTGAGGCGATCCTGCTGGCCGATGACAATTTCCCTTGCAGTATCCGGTTCTAGCTTGTCATCAATCATCATGATGACAATACCACGTTCATCGAGACCTCTTCGTCCTGCACGACCAGCCATCTGAATGTACTCGGACGACGTCAAAGGTCGGCGTTGAACACCGTCCCACTTGTTGACCTGTGTGAAAACGACAGTCTTTGCAGGCATGTTCAAGCCAATGGAGAAGGTCTCGGTCGCAAACAGCACTTTGATAAGACCCTCTTGGAACAAAATTTCGATAGTCTCCTTCAGGATGGGAAGCAGACCAGAGTGATGGACACCGATACCCTTCTCCAAGAGAGGAAGGATGTTTTGAATCTGGGGGAGCTCACGGTCCTCTTCTGAAAGCGACTCTATGGCGCTGGAGAAGACCTTGCGAACCATGGCCTTCTCATTCTCGTCGTTGAAGCTGAACTTGCTGGTGAATAGGGCCATCATCTCACATTCTCTCTTGCTGAAGTTGAAGACAATGACGGGGTTGAACCCCCTGGACATGACCATCTTGACGATCTTTTGGATGTCGGCATTGCTGTCGTCTTTGCTCCCCTTGAAGGGCTTCTTGTGCTTACCCTTGCCTCTGGTCTTGGGGTCCACGTCGTTGACATCGGCTGCCTTCTTCTCCTCAATCATCTGCATGGTCTTGTTGAAGTTGTTTTCTCGGAATACGCCCTTCTCATCGACGACAAGAAAGATTCCACTTCCGCCAGATGGGAAGAAGTAGTTCTGAAGGGGGGTGGGACGGAAGTCGGTGTAGACAACGTGACAAGCTTGCCTGTGGATCTTGGCAATCCACTCGGCGAACTGAAAGGCATTGGGAATAGTGGCCGACAAAAACACGTAGCGGACCTTGTCGGGTAGAAGGATGATGGTTTCCTCCCAGACAACACCTCTCGACTTGTCTCGCATGTAGTGGATCTCGTCGAAGATGACCCAGGCCACCTCGCGCATGATCTCGGAACCGCGGTATAACATGGACCGCAGAATCTCGGTGGTCATGACGAGACAACTGGCGGTCGGGTTGATGGTGACATCACCCGTCATCAGGCCGACGTCGCCAAAAGCTTCGTTGAATTCTCGGTACTTTTGGTTACTCAGAGCCTTGATGGGACTGGTGTAAATGACACGGGTGTTCTTCTTGAGACACTGCGCAATGGCGTACTCGGCGACGACGGTTTTACCAGCACTGGTGTGGGCTGAGACCAAAACACTCTCGTCTCGCTCGATGGACGAGATGGACAGGCGCTGGAAGGGATCGAGGGTGAAGTTGTAGGTACGCGCAGGCTGCTCAGGCGGCTTGTGTGCCGAAAGCGGGACATATTCGTAGTCCAGGTCAGGCGGCAGGGCGACCTGGTGCTGGATGTTGTGCGACAGGACCAGCGACTCCTCCTCGTCCTGCTTGGCGAAGCCAGCGGCAGCGGCGACCTCACGCGAGGCGGCCGTCTCGAAGGTATCGGTAAGCACGGGCTCGGCAGCTTCTTCTGTCCTCCGGCGCTTGGAATCCTGGTGCCCGTCCGAGACGGTATGAGCGTCGCCGTCGACTCCGTCGGCACTCTCATCGGGGGAGGTAGGCGCTACATCGGCCATGTCGACCTCGGGCTCAGGTGCCGAGAGAACGGTCTCGGCGCCAGTGCCATTGTCCAACGCCTCAACGGCCTTGCGCTTCTTTCTGTTCTTCTTGGGCTTCGGAGCCCTTGCGGGAGGTGAGGATTGGGGCTCTGCCTTGCCCTTGGCGGGCTTGTCGTCGAAGACGTCGAACAAATCGTCGTCCATGGTGTCGGACCTCTTATCGCATATCAGTCAGGACCTAGGAACCGTCGGGTGCGATGTACCAGACGCGCTGCTTTGGGTTTGGGGCGGGAATGAAGAGAAGAGAAGGGTGAAATGACAAAACAGCCCTTGAACGCGATTGGGACTGTGTGGATCGCGTTGCGAAAAGTGCCAGGTGAAGAAAAGGCAGTCCGCTGGGCTTCTGTTCAGTTGGATCACCAGGTCTTGGAGATTGGCACCTGTGAGAAAAAGTTGGCCGGCAGCATGGGCCAGCGCTCGGTTGGTGGGCTGCAGCTTCTTCCGACCAAAGTGGCGCAAAGAAAAAACTAAAAGGTTAATCAAGTAATGTTACGGGCTGGCTAGTGCGGGTGGTAGGGGTGGTTGCTGTGGTGGGGGACAAGGGGTGATCCACCCCACCCTTGCCCACCTGTAAATAGCGAACGCCACAGCTGTAGAGGGACTCTTCTTTCCTCAGCTCTCTCCCAGCTTTAGATTTTCGCAATTCTACAGGATTTGCAGCGCAGTCTCGATCCCACCTGTGGTGCCGTAGCAAGTAATTAAATGTTCGTAACATATGGCCCAGTAGTGTCCCCGTGGCTAGGACCAAGAATTTCCATCCTCACTTCTATCGCATCGGTGGATGGCTTTTCCGCCTCGAATGCATTTCCCAATCTCAAAACGTACATGCGGTGTTATATAGGACTGTAACCTGGTCTTGCAGCGCGGTTGCTTTTCCTTTGGCCGCTACGCTGCTGCCAATTTTGCGTGTGGTAGAAGCGCCTAGCATCTTGACCAGTTCTCGTACTCTCTGGTCGGAGATTCAGCGCAAAGAATACAGATAGATTGTTGCTTCCAACTTTCTTGCTGCCCATTAAATTCAAGCCACTTTCGCGTGGCTAGCTGTACCAAACTGTATATTTCAAAACTGGTTCCGTCCTGATTGACAGAGATAGACGAATAGTCCCGCAAGGCAATGACATTCTCTTCGAATCCATCTCCTTCACTAGAGGTTGATACAATATCTTCATCGTCGTTTGTACTATGAGTGGTTTGATCATGCACAGGTCTCTCTCCGCTATGACTTCGTAATAGGTATTCTGGAATACCCTGGTGATCAAAAAAGCTCATCAGTGATGGCAGGTGAGCTGCTGATGGTTTGGTTTGACGGATGTGATCAAAAGATATCTGCCGCATAATGATGATTGAGTTTTTCGCCTCGCGATCTCGCCGGAGTTGTCCGCCTTCATAGTTGAAAGAATAGCTTCTTTATGATCGCTCTTTTGAATTTTGTCGAGGTATTCTCGTACGGTACAACGTAGTTTCCTTCGGGGGATGTAAGCCGTCGCTTGAACAATAGCGAGCGGCACGCCTCCATACGCAACCTTTCCAACCACCCAAGCAGATTCTCCTCAATTCGTCCATCTCCCAGTACAGCGCAGAGTCAACCAGTCCATGGCTTCTTCACTCCAAAGCTTGCTCAAGCTCTTTAGGGCAAGCCCACCTACCAAGAGCCCGGCTACAGTTCGCTGGCTTCTGGAACATCAAGCAGCCCAGGCCAATCAGATAGCCATAACGGAGGGCCGCACACCAACCGCGTCCTTGTATCGCATGTACGAGTACATTGTCGTCGGGTACACTACGGGGTTACGAACCGAGATCGAGTTCTTCTTCAACTAACCTTCGTGGGCCGTAGCTGCCATCCCCGACCCAGCAGATCCCGACCCAGCAAGGTACGCCGTCTTATCGGTTCTACCATACTATCTGACAAAGGCTTTCAATAGGTTGAACGAACGCGGTTTGCCCCGAGGAAGCCCCGTCATAATCATGGGAGACGATGCAGAGAGGGAACTACGAGAAAGACCCATCGTATTGGAGCAAGAACCCAGCTGGGTGCCAAAGGTGTCGCCGCTACCGACGACTTTGACCATCCGTCTACCATCGGGAGAAATACCTCCAGAGAATAGCAGAAGCGAGCGATTCCTGGCTATGAACAGCAGGTGACGACAACCAAGGCCTCCCAGATCGAGGTGAGCATGGGCCGGGCAATGTGTGATAAGTATATCCGTGTCGTCGGGTACTGAATTGTTCCATACGTCGTCATGCCGGGCATACTGGAATGCCCAGTTACCGTGCCGGGGAGATTTGGGGCTGCCGTAAATCTTTAGACAACGTCCATTCTTGCAGGTGACCATCAAGGCCTGATCTTCCAGATAACTTATATCACCCCAATCAAAATGTGCACGCGCTGCGGCAGCTTTGCCCTCTGCATCATCTCGCTTTGCGTCCAGAAGAATATCGTGGTTACCTGCGATGACGACTTTCACGCCGTGGGACTGCACTCGCAGCCAAGCAATGCTCTGATTGAGTTCGTGGAGTGAGCCTGATTGTGTGAGATCGCCCGCGTGGATCAAGATGTCGGCATCTGGGAGCTCGCATTGACTGTTGTGCGTATCCGAGATGCAAAGCACAGAGATTCTCTGATCATCAGCCAGGTGTGGCCGGGTCGCACCACGCTTCCACGAATATAGCTTTCGTGTCAGAAACACAAATGGTCCTCGTAGAAACAACTGCCAAGCCGAAGGTGGCCGTCGATGTAGGAGCGCATCAAGTCCAGGCATAATCGCGCTCCAAATCTGTGACGATTAATGGATGAGTTCTGTTGGTAATCTAAATGGTAATCTAAATAGTCCTCAACAATGATGCCACCAGCAGAAAACAGTTGCATTTTAGACGTGGTGACCCAGCTCCCGGTCGTACGCGCACTCTAATGCGAAGTTGCTGCTCGCAGCCACCTGGGTAGAGACAGCAAGAGAGCGTTACTTGGGCGCCAGTTTCGGACATTCTACTTACAAGGTAACTAAACAGGTACAGTCTCCTGTTCTGGGAAGGCGGTCAAGAATACTCGGTTCCCAGTCCCAGCGGATTCTAGCCCAGGTGGACCACTAGCCACTCACGGGTCAACCAGCCACAACCCAGCTCGAGCTCGGGTTGCCCAGGGAGTTAACTATGTAGCCGCTGAGCCGCAGCCTGACAGCCAGAGCTCTCTCCGTCTGGCCCGAAAATCATCCGGCCCATCGTTCGACTTGACGCACTTCATCGCCCGGAACCTCACCCTGCGACTGCAAAGCTCCAAGCTCGCAACATCACACGCATCTCCACTCCGCCGCAGGCACCAAGCATTCCCGTCACGGTACTTGCGCCATCGCGACTCTCGCTCCGAGCTCTACTGACCCAATTGGCCCCCAGATGTCTCCCCAATCCCTCCTCCGCGCCAGCCCGCGCGTCGCCAACCTGATGGGCCGCCGCATGTTCCATGCCACCCGCACCCGCCTGTCCTCGCCCTACCACTACCCCGAGGGCCCCTACTCCAACCTGCCCTTCAACACCAAGACCCGATTCTTCGCCGTCCGATACTGGCTCTACTGCATCACCGGCTTCTTCGCCCCCTTCGGCATTGCCGGTGCGTCATTTCCCCCGACCCGGACGCCCGTGAACCCATTGGTACTAACCCGCGTGAACAGTCTGGCAAACCTACAAGCCCAAGGCATAAGCGCTTTCTTTGGCACACGGTGAAGGCTTGGGTGGCACGATGCGGTTGAATATGATAGACGGGGCGACACGTGGACTGCGGCCGGACGCTGTACATATATGAGGACAATAGAGCTCAAGGCCATTGCCGCAATGCACTTTTCTATGTCACCATCAACTACGACATTACACTCTTACGCTTTGATGTGATCATAAAAATCTTGACCAAGTTGGAAGGATTGCAGGCAATTGAGGTTCGCATATGCCGGTCTGGATGTTACATTCGACTCAACATCAGCAGTCATCCCTTGACATTGGACCCGGGCTTTACAGTTCCCAAATAAAACGCTACCAAGCGGCAATGGTGGCTGCCACAGTTTTGCGTATCTATTGATTTGAGAGCTGTGCACATGTCGCTTTCCCGGCCTGGCTTTGAGATTCATTCGCTTAGAACTTATTTGGTTGTTCAGATGAGTTCCACGCCTCTGCAAATCATTCAAGCTTAGCCACAGCAATCAGCGGACATCAGAATTAAGTTTGACGCAGACTACGCTGGCGGAAAGGAGGAGTGGCCGCGGTCAGCCCACCAATGTATGAATGACTTATGAGACTTTTTGGAATACACAGGGTCTATAACAAATAGGCTAACTCTCAAACTGATTCTCCATATCCAACCCCATCAGCATATTCTTGATATTATTCCTCGCACTCCACACTATGTTTTCGGTCGTCCCCTTCTCACGAACGTCTCCGCTGTCGGACTTTTGAATATCGCTGTCCCCCGTTATCCGCCCCTTCGCCCTGTGGTGGAAGAAGACTGGCGGCGTGACGCTGACGCATTTCGCCTGCAAGCCGTCCCGGTTTCCGGAAGCCCCGTCACGGCAGAACCCAGCCAGCGCATTGTCGTAGGCGCCGAGGAGGTGGTCGACTGACAGATCGAAGAGCACCTTCCGGGCCCCCTTCTGCGACAGGGCGTAAGCAAAGGTACAAATAGGCGCTCCGCTTATATGTACCCATCGAGTGAACTCTGGATACTTGTTGAACTCCACAAGACCGGTTATCTTGTTCAAAGGCGCCACTGTTATATCATTCTTGATAGTGTATTTTGGATGGTGTGGCTTCCCTTCATTCTCTGGAAGAGCCTCTGGGAAAATTTCGCCACAACTATGATGGCGGTCAGGTCAGCTTCTAAGGTAAGTAAAGCAAGAACAAACTCGGTGCAATTGCGACAGTGGAAAGACTTTTGGTCGATGAACGAACTCAGAAATACTCACTGTCCCAGCCACAGAAGATCCCAATCATCCCCGTAAGGTGAGCGTGAGTTGGAGCCTGACGGCAAAATAGTGCGCACGCCCATGGCGACTTGCTCGAGTTGAGCTCTCAAACGCACATCCCTAGCAGGAGAATGTCAGCGCTTCAGGCCAAACAAATCAGAATAAGAGCGTTGATTTCATACCAATCCATGTCATCCTCCATGATGAGAGCTGACTCTAGATTTTCCTCGACAATCCTGGAAGATCTAGAATTAGCATTCTCATTTCACACACTTATAGAGGTAGCTCCACACTAATCAGGAACAACGTTTTGTTTAGGCATAGACATCGAAACACTTACCTTCGTACGGCGTTCATATGTCCCCTCCAACTCCCCAGATTATTCTCCCATAACGACTGCCTGTCGGCTTTGAAAGGCACTGCCTTATCTGGGACAGACTCGCCCTTGACGCCATCCACAAATTCAACCTGGAAACCAGTGAGGGCACTAGTTAGTGCCAGGGCATCTCGTTTGTCGCTACGCTCAGGCAGTCCCACCACAAACACATTCGAGAACCCAAGAGTCGCGTTGGTGACACGGCTGTAATCGGCATTGGAATGGCCTCTAAACCCAGATCCATACAGAGTGCCGGATTGTGTGGTGAGTGGAGAGCTGATGTAATCATGTCCCGAGTCAGACTCAAAATAGTACAGAACGCATAACGTGGCAATCAAGGCTATGATGCCGAAGAGGGCCTGGCGATGCTTTTGGCGCATAGGTGTATATAGGTCGCCCATCCCAGCATAGTAAGAGTGAGTCCTCGAGTCGCTTTTGAATTTCATTTGTTTATACATCTTCTAAAATCAAAATGTCGCGTGATGGGCTCGGTAAACATTAAAGACCTAGCAAAAGATCAAAAGGTCCAGATGTAATCGGGAATGAGGATAATGAGTTGGATCAATGCTCCAACAAAGTTGTGCGGCACGGGTTGGTCCCATCTAGGCATCTCGGCCCGATGTGGAAAGTTTTGTACGCGCAGAACCAACACCAAGCGCCCCCATCCCTTATTGGTTGAAAGAAGTCAAACAATCATGACATGTCTCGCCCGGGCGGTTAAATATCTGCATTTAGTCATCTTCCTGGCGCTTAGACAAGCAATTCACGCTCCTCTTCAGTGGTATATCCCGACTCGCTGTTTTTGGTCGGTCTCCTTATCAGCTTAATGCTGGATGCACGTGTAGGTAACTTCACGGTGGATGGGATGATCTGAGGCGACTTTCCCCACCTACGGTCGACTGCATTCAGAGATCAATTCGTGCTTCGGTTCAACTGCAATGCGTTTTACGCGCTATTACCGACAGCTCCGAAGCGCTTGAAGTTGATCACAAGTTCTCGAAACGGGAGTCATGATTTGAGTCCTAGCTTTTGACTTGAGAATAGTGCATCTAGCATGTCTTAAGTAAACGGACTCAAGATTGATAGAAATACCCGCACTGACATTCACTAAACCAAGTTTGTCTATTGAAGAAGAGGGACAGAATGTCGGTCAGCACGTCTTTAAGACCATCAAAACTTATGGCCATCAACTGAACGGCTCTCGAGTATTTTCTTCCCTGGGTTCGCAATCATAAACTCAAATAACCACTAAAGGTCTGCTTTTTACAACGTCACAACCAAGGAGGTTTCGGATACGGTCATGAAAGGGAGCGTTGCGTATACAAAATGCCCCTCGTTGGGTTTCCACAGTAGCACGAAAAACCTACTTCATCGTGTCGGCTGCGGGTTCAACGCAGCCGACTTAGAACAACATTAACCCAATTTGTACACAAGAGAGACCATGACTATTTATATATAACCTACTTGACTTTGAATATTCTAAGTGTGGTTTCAACGATGGGATTTTGAAAGCTCTGTGAACAATGTCCCATTTGGAACGTCAACAGATCGCATTTTGCCTGGAAAGGGGAAATGAGGGCAAAAGCTCATCCACGCAAAATGGATTATTGGACCTCAACATAGTGAGACAGTCAGGTACCAAATGCTGAAACTTCATCTTTCCCCGTTGTTAGGCAGGCAAGGAATACAAGACAGCCCGTCCAATCTTTCCTTGGATTTAACCCGGCAATCTGGTACGCAGGCCCTCAATGGAGTGACTGCAAGGGGCGCCGTATCGTGCAGGATGTAATAATCACTCACGTCATAGATGCATTTCAGCGCATTTTGACAAAATTTCATCGTCCATGATATCAATTCCTCAATTTGGAATCAAAGTTTTGGGCCCCTTGATGATGAAATGATGGATGATCTGACGGATACTATGACCGTTGATCCCCTGCCTCCGGTCAGCTTACCATGCATGGTAATAGAATGCCAATACAACAGCAATCAAATCAGAAGCCGCGTCCCCAGTGCGCTCTATCCAAGGCGTAATAAGAAGAATCTGTGGCAATGTCGCTGTTATCGAGAGCCTAAGGTACATCATGATGTATCATGGATAATGAGTATAGCTTTGATCATCTTACTGGAGTTAATTTTGCAAAGAACTAACCAGGTTATCGAATAAGCCTGGGAATGCATGATGGAATGGAATTCTGGTAGGCACTGTAATAAGTTCAAAACGGTAGTTCTCACAATTGGCGCTCCTGGCCATATTTGTGCTGGGCGTGATAATGCTCAGCTGCGGCGCAGGTTGTGGCTCTGCACAACGGCCATCTTAGATTATCGTGCTGACACCCTCACTCCTGTATTCCTGTCAGCAAGTCCTTCTCTGCGGCTGAATCTCCTCGTGCGCTGCCTCTAGGAAATCCCCCTTCCCTACGAGAGCCCAGAATTGACTTCATCTTCGGGCTCTCACATGTTGGCAAGAGGAAGAAAGCCTCGGTTTGCGGAGATGTTGGCTCCATATGCTATCTTGTTCACAAGTATCAGCAAGGTCGTTGCCCAGAATGGGTTTATATCTCCAGCATACCGCCAGGGCCAGCCTCCAGGACCGTATGCTGACAACGCCCTTTGGGACCTAGGATCCAGCCAACTTGTTGCCTTCAACACGAGCTTTGCTGAATACACTATCGAACTCTGGCAACAGAATCTGGTTAAGTCGAGCGCTGAACTGGCAGACCAGACCATCTATAAACGTGAGTGGCTCTCCTTGCCGGTGTATGTAACTCCGCAGGTGCTCATTTGCGGCATTCCAGAGACCTCGGGAGAGCGGCTCGCTCAAAGTTTCCCCTGGACGGTACAGACGTATCAACTTCGCCTCGACAACTCGCGCGTCTTCTTCTTCTGGCTACGTGACTCCAACTCAGACAACCGTGTCACCTCTTCATACTTCAACATCACCATCCCGTCGGCCTCATCAACCTCTTCTACTACTGCATCGACGAGCACTGGTACAGTTTCCTCTGCGTCACCGTCTCCTCCCGTCTTCTCACCAACGGCCGAGCCGCCTTCGTCGGGCACTACTCAGGCAGGACTCTCGTCCGGCGCAGCTGCTGGCATTGGTGTGGGGGCTTCTCTGGCTGGAGTCGCAATCATAGCATCAATCCTCTTTCTCTTGTTCAGAAGGAGGAATAAGACGAGACAGAGCGCACAGGCCTTCGAAAGCGCGCCTGCATATACCGGGCTATCGAACGACAAGAGTGGCCTATCTACAAGTCCATACCCGCCTAGTTCTACACCTCACACACCAGTAGCAGAACTCGCACACGAACAACGAAGGTCACCCGTAGAGATGTCGACCGAGCGAATGTAATTTGTTGTTTGAATTTGTCATTGGAGGCAGGAGTTGGTGGCACCAGTAGCAGTAATCCCTATTACTATAGTATAGGCCCTGTACATTACCCCAGCATTGTTGACAAATACCGGTGACTCCACAGTCAAATATTTCAAAATGAACATGGAATTCTTTGAATTAAAGATATTACCAACTCAAAATTAGACAACTTAGTCTCTGGGATGTTATACGCACCGCCATACACTGTCGAAGGCTCATTACCCACCAAACACATGAAACGGAGTTTTCTCGGCGCACGCAGGCCTAGCGCATATAGACCGTCAAAACTCTCAGCCCGACATCCAATCAGGGCTCACTCGAAACCCGCGATTGGTCGAAATGGTTGGATAGTGTAGTTGGTTATCACATCGGATTCTGATCTTTGCGATTCACATTCCGGTAACCGGGGTTCGAATCCCCGTCTGACCTTTTTGCTTCGTTTGGGGTCCGGCATGGACCGTATTTGGACCGAAATACTCGTAGACGCCTGAATTGCGTCACTTAGGACAGTCGGCTCGACTCGGGCCGGTTGCGAAGAGTTACATTGAGTTGCTCGGCGTGCTTGTCGTTTTGATTATAGAATACCGGTCTTTTTGGGGGACCCAACAGTGGTCGACGGCACAGCGTCAATGAAAATGCCCCGAAGCTTGGGGCCGAGAGGCATGCTTGTATATGGCTCAGGCTTCCACCAGATCTCAGCAAGACAGACGTGACAGCTGAACGATCAATCGCGATATATAATTTGATGCTATACAAAGTGGCAATGGTATCATCCTCAAGCCTTCGAAGCTTCCTGCGTGCCGTATTTACTGGTTTGTGCCTTTGACCGACACTCTATATCTCCCCATATCCGTGACTCCGTGCGATGCTTCTAAGCCCTCAAGGGGGCTACTATTTTACAGACAAGCCATTCTTAACGAGCAGCTTGTGTAAGAAATCCAACATGAAAGTGTCGTTGTGGCTGTCGGGCTCCCACCTCTGCTTGAGATCGTCGTATACAGCTAGGACACGGGTCCTAGATCGGGTGCACTTGGCGAAGGCGCGCAAGATCCACATGGCCATCCACGTGCTGATGTATAAGCCGTCGGCACCGCCATCATATGCACTGAGGAACGCCTCCCATATGCTCTCGAGCCTGTTGGTGGACCAATCCGAGGCGTTCCCACCGCCTCCATGACGTGCAAATCCCTTGAAAAGTGCAAGGAAGATGGCGCCGTGTACCGGGACTCTGAACCACTTCATTTCGTCGAGAAACTGCGCGACCTTGCCCATCTGACCAAGACGTACGCCATAGTGATTTAGGAGAATGCGGTAGGTGACCAGATCTGGTGAAACCATACCAGTGCTTTGGAGGACCCGGCGCATTTCTGGGCGCGTCTTAGCCACGCGGGCGAACATCATGAGCACCTTGCTGACCATCTTGTTGAATGTATAATTCCGGTGAGGGATGAGCTTTGATCTCCCATCCACGTCTTTCATCTTCGAATAGACGTGCTCGGCGGCAGCTTCGTCGCCACATCTCAAGAAACTGGAAATGACACAGTTCAGGACAACCGTGTCAATGATTTCGCCGTGATCGACCATTTCCTTGTAGGCCGCCCTGACTCCGCTGGCATCCATCTTCAGGCCGAAGTAGTGGATGAGACTGACATGGTGGTATCGATTGAACTGGTAGCCGCGCGTGATCATCTCCTGGTAAACCATCTCGGCTAGAGCAAACTTGCCGGATTTGGAAGCCACATCGAAGAGAATGTTGAAGGTGACCTCATCGCCATGGATGCCGGCATCATGTTCCATCTCGCGCCAAATGTGCAAGGCGGCCTCGGCCTCAGCCTCGGAAGATTTGCCTACGTATCTGCTGGCGAATGACATGGCCGTATTCCATTCTACGGATGTCAAGGAGAGACCCGCTTTCTTGATATCGGCGACGACAGCAAAGTATCGCAGCATGGCCTTGGGATTCTTGCGTTCGGTGGCACCCAGGACCGCGAGAAAGGCATGCCTCAGGCTCGCAGACAAGAAGGTCACTCGAGGCTCTGGCAGTGCGCGGTAGAGGTCGTATATATTGTCGTTATCATAAGCACTGTATGGACGAAGAAGTCTGCTGAAGACAGTGGTGCGTAGTCTCGCAACTATCGCCCGGTCCTCAGGCGTGGATCTCTGCACTTCGTCAGGTAGCGGCGCAGCCATGTGGTGGGGTTGGTCGGATACGACGAGCTCTGGAACATTGGGACGAGCGTATCGTCGCATGTAGGGATCCCGAAGTAGCTCCAACTGCTCCTCGACGGTCACGCCGTCATAGTGGTCGACAAAGCGGAGCAGTTGCTTGCGGGACCTCCCCCGGGAGGCTGGCAGGCCGGAAAAGCTGGGAAGCTTGGCCGGAACTGAGCTTGTGTGGTTCCAGTTGCGCTGGCATGGCGGACCTGAGGCGAAGCAGCTGGGATATAGAGGCCGCCGACCGCCCCGACTGGCTATTGTTGAGTATGGCGAGCGGGAGAGCTGTGCATGGAAGCGTGGCGCGCCTGCCCCGGGCTTCGGGCGGGACGCCCGGATGCCAGCGCCGCCGGTGAGGGCTGATGCAGCCGGCTTGAGGCCGAATTGGAGCTTGACTGTGGCATATTCGGTGGTGGCGGCGGCGGCGGCGGCCAATACAGCTCGCGACACTTGGCGTTGGGATCGTATCGCGCCGTATATCGACCCGTCAAATCGAGCGGAGATTTTCATGAGCCGTCCCGCATGGTGGTCCCGTCATCACAGCTTCTTCAGGGACGCGGCGACATTGGCAGAGTGGGAATGACGGGGTGGGCGTGGGTTTGGATGGGAAGGCTTGAAGGTATCGTATCCCTACGACGGCTGAGCTTCAGAGTGCGTCGCAACTTTTTTTCCCCCCTACCACAGCTCAGGGACCCGGCAGATTGGACTGGCGTCGACAAAATTCCCCTGGTCTTCGGCCTGGCGGTTGCTGCCGGTCCGCCGGTCCGTCCGATGATCCCCAGCTTCAGGTGAGATCTGCACTAACTTATTTACTGTGGTAGTTACCCAGGTGCCTTTAGGTTAGGTAACTTAGGTGCTGCACTATGCATGTCCACGGGTAGCATCCACTAAAAAGTTGAAGCGCCGGATTATCGCCAGGCCCGACACGGCGGCAGCAGCAGAGCAGAACCGCCAGTCCCATTTCTACGAGTACGTACGGGGCAACATTGTCGACGCAGTGACAGCTCCAGCTCCAGCTCCAGCGCCAGCGGCACACCACAAGCGAGACTGTGCGGCGCGCTCTCCCACGATCCCTTCGCCTCGCCCGACCGAAGCTCCCACGCCCACCAGCTGAGCCCTGTCCCAGGGCCAATCGTCACCATGGTGCGCAGGCCCGCCCAGCGGCAGGTGCGCCCGGCGCGGATTTACCAGACCGTCACGACCCTGATGGATCACCGCGTGCAGCCGAGGATCAAGGTCCAGAAGCCCGTCTGGTACAACGTCGTCGAGTCCATACCGCCCTCCGAGGTCGTCACCCGGCCCCTGCCGCCCCAGCACAAGACCTGGAGCCCCAAGATCCGCAAGGCGAGCAGGTTATTCCAGCCCCAGCAGCTCGTCTTCGAGGAGGATGCCCTGCGCAAGCGCTTCTTCAAAGACCACCCCTGGGAGCTGGCCAGGCCGCGCATGATCATCGAGGCCGACGGAAAGGACGCCCAGCGTTGCGACTGGAGCAAGGGGCTTAAGCAACCTGGAATACCATTGAGCGGCGAGTCGTGAGTGCCAGTTCAACCCTGCGCCAAGATATGCTCCGGCAAATGCGCCCCCGTGACTGACTAACATGGCTCGTAGTGTCGTCCAACGCCAGCTGTGGCGAATGCACAACATCCCTGGCATGACCCAGGAGGAGGCCTACGACCTGACCCGGAAGGAGTTCTACCGCCTGCGACAGGAGGAAGACATTGAGAGGAGGGTGGCCGTGGAGGAGGCCCGCATGGTCGGCTCCTACTTCGGCCAGTCGTACCTGCAAGTGGGCATGCACCTCGAGGACCTGGAGCACGAGAGGTGGAAGAAGTGGGCCCTGAGCGAGATGACCAAGATCCGCGGCGAGCAGCAGGAGGCCTACAGTGGCACGGTCGACGACGCCGTGGCGGACCCGCAAGACGAGGACTTGGAACAGCTGACCGAGACTATCAAGGAGATGGCGGCTTAGTGTCTGGCCCAACATTTTGAGGGGGGTTCAAAATCATCTACAACATGTATAATACCCATGTGCAAAATGTAAACATGTACAGTATATAGAGACCCCACAAGCGCATCATACGGTGCCGCTGGCTGGGTTGTAGAGCCAGCAAATCTGAAGAATGGCTTGTTCACAAACTCTGGTACAGAAACCGCCCGCTCCAACAATGATCATGACCTGGGAGGTGAAGAAACATGAATCGGTCGGTTCCGCTTCATTCTATGAAACTGTTATATGGGTTTGTTACTATCGGCAATGTTAATTGAAGGCGCTTCGACTATGCCAACCGCAACTTGGACGCAGCAAATGGCTGGGAAAACTTTGCTTGATATATCTAGGCACACACCCAATGCGATGGACGAGCCATGACCAAATCGATCACCACTGAACTGCCTCCAAGTGTACGGCATTTTTAACCCGCGCGGTTAGGGCTCGTTTCTCTACGGCAACAGACGCCACGCACCATTACAAGTCACTCTCAGCTATTGTCACGATGGTTGGATGGAAAGCTGTCCCATGTATTACATGTGTCTGGATATCAACTGGCTTCAGATGGTGGGAGTATATCTAGCCAAGCACCGGCAAAATCTGTCGCCGGCTAGTGGGGTAGGTTTTGCTGCAAATAAAGCGAAAGCCCGCGGGAAGTTGCTGTCAATACCAAGGGGCAGAGATCTGAAAGGATGATACACTTATGAGACTAGGTCTTGGGTCAACATATACAACAAATATAGAGAGAAACTCATCACTGGCAGCAATGTTGGACGTCTATGGTGGGAATTACGATCATATGGTCAGTATGTATAAACTGTCCCTACAGTAAGATTCCGTATACATATGTAGGCTTATTCTAGCCTTGGTGGAGAACAGGCCTGTGGCGGTCCTCAAATGCATCTCTGGCATCATGTGGAGATGCGTTCCAATACGTCTCAATACGTTCCAACGCATCCTCTCACATTCCCTTAGTTTTCGGTGGCCGTGATCGCTGCCTGGCGCGCGGTAAAGAGCACCTCGCAGTGGAGACCGTACTTCTTGATCAGATCAGTGTGCTGCACGATGAAGGCATCCGCAAGGCCGAGGTGGTACATGATCTTGCCGGTCATGCTCAACGCGCGCACGCGGGTGAAGGTCTCGACGTAGATGACTCGGCATCGATCAACAGGAATCACGCCGACTAGCTTGAGAATGTGCGAGACCAGTGCGAGGACGAGGGCAGAACCGGGGCCGTTGAGGCAGATGACCTCGGGAAAGTAGAGCGGACTTTCGCGGAGAGTGAACGGAAGACCTCTGGTGAGGGCTCCGTAAGCGTCGAATGCCGAGAGGAGGGCGGTGAAAGGGGACGTCAAGAAGCTCTGGTGGACGTATCGGGCCCGCGCGATCTCGTGGATGATGAATGGACCAGGAAACACCCCCTGGCGTCTCTTGAGGGCCGCACGTCTATCCTCGAAACGTTGGATCTCAGACCTGGAATATGCGTCACCCTCGCTGATGAGCCAGAGGCGGTAAGTAGATTTGTCCCACGGTGCGTACGACTCCATGATGTTGATCATCTCTCTAGTGTGGCCACCGGAGCCAGCAAAGAGCACGAGACTGGCGGCATCGAAAGACAGCTTCTCACGAACCAGACGAGCTGCCTTAATGGAACTTACCACTATGTCATCGAACTCAGGGCGGCCTATTTTGATCGCATTGTGTCGAATCTACATGGCCACATTAGATGGATAGAGTTTATGTGTTAAAGACAGCTTACCCAGAGCCAACAGATCCAGTAGATTGCAGTACAGCAGTTGGCCAAACCCAGCCAGTAGAATGTGGTGAAGACTAGGTACCATGCCATAGTGACGGAGCCCATCTATAATACAATGTTAAAGCTACCCTTGGCTAAGATCTTCGTTTTCATGTGAGCAGCTTACCATGGTAAACAGACCCAAGACGAACAAGAAGCGGAGCGGGCCAAAGACGCGGTGAGCATAGCCTCGGAGGATACTTGCGTGAAGACGAGCATAGGCGAGAAGAAGCTGGCATACAGTTTAGCAACTTGGACCCATGGAACAGAAAAGAAAAAACAGTAGTCTTACTGTAACACCTTGGGCATAGACCAGGGCCATGGCGAAGGCCATGAAGGGGACGGTGATGAATGCAAGCATTGGCCAGACACCCATCATGACCTGAGCCAGCAGTTGGAGAAAGACGAAAGGTCCGCGAACGGGGCCGAAGTGCAGGGGACCGAAGTGGTCTCTCTGGATGATGTCCGGGACGATCACGCCGTGGACGTCGAACGGGTGCGAAACGTTCTTTATTTCAGCCATCTTGTCACCAGAGTGTGTTGTTGCTGACTTGGCAGAAACTGACGGTGGTTGTGATTTTGTCAAGTTGATGGTCTCGGCATCATTGTGTGCAGAATCTGTTTCTAAACTTGTGTGAACTCGACGATGGCGTGGGGATATTGGGTTTCGACTGTCGACAGTCGAAGCCTCTGCCAAAGGAGGCTCGGCAAAAGCGGCAGGCTGGCCTGACATCTTGCTAATACGGTTCCTCGTTGCAATGCAGGGTGATTAATGAAAGGATACGACTTCACGCCTGCTCCTTGACCTATACCACCCCACGGCCAGCAGAGGGGTAGGGCAGAGAACGGCTTTTCTTTGATGGCTTGTGGCAGGGGTCGCATCAGTCCTGGCTGACCTTCGGCCACGTTGACAAGACGGAGCGAAGCTACCTGGAAACGGAAACACAGGGGGTGGCTCAGGACCGAGAATTCGAAGCACTCCCCGATTAACAGGGAACCTTTTGTGTTACTGGCACCGCGCTCACATCTGGGTAGGGAGTAGCACTACCAGGAACCTAGGCACAGAAAGGTTCGTGCCAGCCGTTGAGCAGTCTGGCCGAACTTCTATGCGAAGCACGTCGATATAGAACTCCAAGGCGTGACGAACGAAGACAAAAACCACAGCAGTGCAGTACCAGTCACGGTGTGCATTCCTAACTGTCGTCCTCGGAGTCAGAGAGATCCACAGCGCTCCCCTTCAAGGGGTGTTGAGTAGCATGTTGTTGCTTTGCAGAGTCCTGCGTCCATAGTCAGTTCCCTCGTTCGTTTCCACTCAGACATAATGACAAAGGAATCATAGAACGGATGACTTTGTTGATTGTAGGCTTTGAAGGGTTACACGCCATCCGCTCCGGAAGTTCTATCAGAAGAGCCTGATGCATATAAGCTAGAACCATGGTGGGACAAAGAGTCGAAGCAGACGGCAATTCTCAAGCCTTCTGGTGGAAACTATCCAAAAGGACGTGGCTCATTGTAAAACTGCATTGGGTGTGGCTTCCCATTCTAAGATGAGGTCTTACACATCACTCTTACGTGTAAGTAACGACGAGACACTTGTCATATCCTTTCTAGGTCTCCTTTCGTAAGTGAGATGTTCATTGTAAATCCAGCCCTGAGGCTTCAACACCTCAGGCTGAGAATAGTCGAGCACCACATTGATATTCGATGGAACGAACAGTTATCAGGTGGGTCTGTGTATATAGGGGTTCGCCAATCGGACTGTGTGTCCTGTTCGATATAGGAGGCCGGATTCATCGTTTGCGTGTCAAACTCCTGACAACTGAATCGAAGCCAAGCCCCATGAAAGGATCTTCACCCACTTGGATGTCCACCAGGTCAATTCGTGCTGAGCAGGACAATGCAACATCACATGATCAGTTCTGACGGATGAACCACCAGGCAAATGGAAACAAACGAATGTCAAACGCAGAGAGACAGGGGGGAGATTTCACAACTAACCTGGTGTGTTTTGTGAGATAGAAGCCACGCTCTCTGCAGCTCGAAATCCTTCGGTGCTGTTGCAGAACGAAGACTTGAGCCGGTTCAAGAAATCCCACGAGTGAGGTCACGGAGTGATGGTGATGGTGGTCCCCATGAGCCCAGAAAGGTGTACCTTGTCTTGTCAGGTGGACCCTTGTCGCAGGCATTGACGCCTCATTGACTAGCGCGACGCGTGTGGGTGTTCACTGTTCAGTGGCTCGAGTGGCAGGGTAGTCAGCCTCATGCAAGTAACAGCCTGCCAGAGTGGCTATGCAAGTAACCGGGAGCGGTGCCTGGGCTGCCATCGATAAAGCAGCCGGTACCTATCGATAAGAGATCCTGGGAATTATTTCCAGGGCCCGTCACCTACACCTACTGTACCCGTCTCTGTCCGACAGTTAGGCCCGGCGCGACATCACCGGCGGCTTCTGAGCGCTTCGAGTCAACACCAACATCAGCACGCCCCTTCTGGTGTCGCAACGCAGAGGAAAACGTTGCGCTACAAATCCAGGGGAGTGGTACCCATGAGATCATTCACCAACCTCTGATCACCCGGCGTTGGAGATTGAAGAGATCAAGAAGATGGCGCCATTGCTTCGATCGCGGCGGAAGAACCTCGCGTGCCACTACTGCGGTCGCAGATCAGACCTGCAATTCAACGGCCAGTCGTCATTCGACTGCAAGTATTGCGATGCGACAAATTGGCTAGATGAGGTGAGTTGGACGATACAGGGAGTCGGGGAACCCTGGCGGCGCATGACCCTACGCGGTGCTGATGGCGATTTACCTGCAGCAAGGAGGCATCGCGGACCCCCCGGCCACGAGCTTGACATCAGACGGTGGCAGTCCGGCACCGCGCTTCATACCGAGAACAATACGCCAGCGCTCGATGTCTCCGACCTCGAGACCTGTCGCATCCCCCACCACGAGCGGGTCCATATTCTGTGCAAAATGCCAGAGAAATCAGGAGATCTTGACCTCAGTTCTCAAGGAGTACGAGCTCCCAGATGATCCTCGCGACCCCGAGTATGCGGTGCGAGTCAAGAAATTTGGCCCATACAAGCGTGGCTTTGAGGCACGATATCCGCAGGTGTGCGCTGAATGCGAACCAAAAGTCCAGCAACAACTACAGAAAGCGAGCTACACGGCGAAGACTGATTACCTTCGGCGGATGATGGACCGCACCAAGGCTCATCGCCACGAAGTCAAGAAGCGAGGCGCCTTGGACTATGTTGACCTCGCCGGGAGGTGGACATGGCAAGCGGCCTTGATCCTGCAGCTTGTCTGGCACGCCACAGTCCTCTGCTGTCTGCTTGCGGAGCATGAGGGCGGCACACCCAAAGAACATTGGTCCATTGCTTACTTGCGCAAAGCATCGCTGCTCGTCTCGACAAGATTCCCTCACCAAGACCGCTTCGTGTCTTGGGCATTCAACCTAGGTCTTCTTTCTTCTGTGTGGAATCCTCGATTCAAGCAAACCGTTCGAGGGTTTATATACCATATCCTAGGGCTCCGCCAGTGGTATAGCTACCAAGTTGGCTTTGTTTTGATCAGATGTGTGTGTTTGTTCATATCTCAGTATAAGGACGCAAAAGGCATAACAGCCATGAATCAACTGGGTGCTCATCTTTTTATTGCCGGTTTCACAATTTACGTAAGTATGCGCCATGGTGTGCCAGTAGATCAACTTGCTTATGGGAACACAGGTTTATAGGGTGGCCGGCAAGTCGATACGAACGGATAATACCCCTTTGTTTGGTTCCCATGCATCGACGAGATCCAATTTCCAAGTATCACCACCTCCTAGACCCCGCGAGTTTACCAACGACCTCGGCGGCATACTTGATGAGATCTCGTTCTCGGCAAATGAAAATGCACCCAAACCAAGCACGTCATTCTCCAGCACGAACCCTGCTTCATCATTTGGCAGCCAAGGCAGCACACTGGGCTCTTCGTCCATAGTACCCGTAAAGCCATACCGCCGTGATCTGGGCATCGGCTCGCTGGGGCTTGCAGATACCCCAACAACGCCGCAGCAGCAAGATCAGTCGATGCAATACGGGGAGGAAATGGACTGGTCCCCTTCTGGTTCTCAACATCGAGCCTTCAGCACCCATAACCCATACAAGGTTAAGAATCCCAATCCTCGATTCAACGACCTGCCAATAGAGCCCAAACCAGGCGCATTCTGGTACAAAGTGCCACCCGCGCCTGTCAATCCCGCACAGAAGCTTCGAAATCCCCCGATGAAACCCATCATCAGGGAGAGCCCCAAGGAAGCGCCGGAAAACTTCTTCAAGAAGCCCGCGAGAACACTTGATCTTGGGTCAAATCCTAGGAACGAGTCAAGCTTTACACTAAGAGACCCGCAGTTCTATGCTCCGGGGCCGAAGAACGATCCTACAGATGGGCTTTCCAATATGATGGGGTCTTTCAGTATCAGTCCGAGCCCGGATGATCGCGCGGCGGCCACAAGGAGAAATGCGGGCAGCAGTGCACTCGCGGCGAATGGCGTTCCCGCGGAGGACCCGAACAGGACGAAGGGCCGGATGGCCGAGCTGATCATCTTGTTTGCAGCTCTTTGGACCTGGGTCACGGCACTTGGGACACCTGAAACGTATGGCCCAACACTCGCTCTGGGTGCTATGGGCGCCTGTCTCCTCATCTCGATGCGATTGACGCTCGACCTCCACGTCGATGCCCAAATCAAGGATGGAGAGAAGTACTCTGTTCTTCGCCTTTCATGGCCGAATCTTTGCGCGCATCTGGGGATGATACAGGTGGTGGCGTCTTTGGTACTGATGTGGCGGATCTGGTCTAGCAGCGAGGGTCACATTACGTGCGGTGTGCACGGAAACGCGCTCCTGGGCGTTGTTGTGGCACATCAGGTTTGGCAAGTATTTCTTTGAGCAGGTGCATACGAATTTTGACGACTATAGACGACGTGCACGAGACAATTGGGGTTCAGCATTTTGCGCCTTCGCAGGCGCTCCGCATTGACAGGCTGCATTCTGGGAGTTAACGATGGATTTGGTTTCTCATGATTGCGAGGATACCCTGTATAGAGAACAGCAATAGTATACACAGCGTGATTGTTGATATCCTGCCCTTTGACTCTGTCTACATGTGGCGAAAACTCGTGACTTTGATCTCATGTGGTATTGTATACATAGGTACGCATACTTCTCGTGCAACTGCACCAACGGCCTGGGAAACATTGGGGGAGGATTTGTAAGATTGCTGTGTCAATCTGACAGGAGCCATGAATGCCTAATATTGTACTCATTTATGGAGACTCAAAAGGCCCATCCTGCTCCTGCGGCACACTTTCCTCTGCCTTCTGCTAATCAAAGCAATGCGCTCCCTCTAAACCTGGAAATGTTGCATGGCCAATGTTTACATGATCTACTTGTAATATTGTCCGGAAGGCTCGGGCGCCGTTTCTGGGTAGCTGGTGCTCGCCTCCAAGTTAGCTGCTCTTAGCTAACCCCCTTTTATTAGACAGGCCACCAGAAGCGCGTTGCACCACTGTCAGCCCACTAAACGCGCCACGGCAATCGTCAGCTCCGCCCACTGAGCATGCGGGTATGCGGGTATCCATCGGGTATGTGATGGGTATGCGATAGGTAGCGCCACTGTGTGTCGATCGCCGCCGACACCCTCAAATTAAACCCCTAAAATTCTCTGATAACTGGTACCTAATAAAAACATTGGCCGCCTCCCTCCATCTCGTCTCGTTCCACCGAACGCCAAACGACAGACAGACATACATTCTTTAACCCGCTCTGTTCATCCGTGTGCGTGTCTTCGTGGCGCCTGCGGTGTCGCGTTTGAAAGATCATTCCCTGGTCTCTGGTGCCTGTCGTACGGGACTGTCAGCTTGGCCCCCCTGCAAACCTGAGCGTCGCATCTGCAACAACACTTCTTTGCAACGAGCAATCGCCAAGATGCCTTCACAGACCCTCCCGACCCTGACGCGGGTTGAAGTCGAGTCGCATAACACTGAAAAGTCCTGCTATGTCACTATTGGCCAAAATGTGTACGATGTCACCGACTTCCTCGAGGGCCACCCGGGCGGCCCGGAGCTGATCCTCGAGTACGCCGGCAAGGACGTCGACGCCATTCTGAAGGACGAGGTCTCGCACACGCACTCCGACTCGGCCTACGAGATCCTCGAGGAGTCCCTGGTCGGCTTCGTCGTCAACGACAAGATTGCTCCCAACCACGATGTGCAGAAGAAGATCGCCGACAAGCAGATCAACGAGGAGGTCAGCCCTGTCGTCCACCCCCGTACCGGCATGAGCTGCGAGGAGGACTTGAGCAAGGAGACGGACTACTCCACGGATTACAAGAAGCACAAGTTCATCGACCTGAACAAGCCCATGCTCATGCAGGTGTGGAATTCGGGTTTCAGCAAGGAGTTCTACCTGGACCAGGTTCACCGACCCCGGCATTATAAGGGTGGCAAGAGCGCGCCGCTGTTCGGAAACTTCTTGGAGCCCCTCAGCTTGACCCCCTGGTGGGTGATCCCGACTCTGTGGTTGCCTCAAGTTATCTACGGAGTCTACATCTCCAGAGAGGGGGTCAGCGGCGGATGGCCTCAGGTTGCCGCGCTCTTTGGACTTGGACTGTTCATCTGGTCGCTGCTGGAGTATATTCTTCATCGCTTCCTCTTCCACCTTGACTAGTAGGTTCATCACCCCTTATTCTGAAAGCCGGCTTTACTGACACTGGCGGCACAGCTACCTGCCCGACAACCGCGTTGGCATTACGTTGCACTTCCTGCTCCATGGCGTCCACCACTACCTGCCCATGGACAAGTATCGACTTGTGATGCCTCCGACACTCTTCATTGTGTTGGCCACTCCTTTCTGGAAGTTGGCCCACGCCATCTTCTACTGGAACTGGCACATGGGCACGGCCGCCTTCTGCGGAGGCATCTTCGGCTACATCTGCTACGACATGACCCACTACTTCCTCCACCACCAGAACCTCCCGCTCTGGTACAAGGAGCTGAAGAAGTACCATCTCGCGCACCACTTCCTGGACTACGAGCTGGGTTTCGGCGTGACCAGCAAGTTCTGGGACCGCATATTCGGAACCGAGCTGGTGACCGTGGTCAAGACGGCGTGAACGTCGGCCAGGTGGCGGTGGACCGCAGATTCTTTCTCCCGTACGATTTTGTAATACTTTTTGCGACTGTAAATATGAGTAGGGACGTCACTGTATGGAGCACGCGAGCACGAAAGACGACTAGAAATGGCAACGCAAATAAGCCATGGTATGGGTGGTTGGCGGCGTTTGGCATGATGATATCAACCTGGTCCTGGGTTCTCTTCAGGACTCACTAGAACAAGAGAAAGACATACTCAGCTTACTCAACATTTAATAGAACCTAATAACATTCGGCTGTGCACACATGATCAACAACGACTTGAGATGTATCCAAGCAGTATATGTCCATCTAGCCATGTTGGCCTACGGTCGTGCTCTGTCGATGGTGAATAAGGCGGACGCTATGCACGACACTGACTAAGTTAGCTGCCAGCCGAGGAACAGCCGGCAAGTCGCCAAGCCAAAGTCTTTTCTGGTCCCCACTTTCAACTTGCCGCCTTATTTCAACCTCGTCGGTAGCGATCAGCCTGTCTGAACCACCACAGTCCCTTTCTGCAACCAAGGTGAAAGCTATCGCGCTTTGTTCATCTATCGCCGCTCACCAGCCAAAGACGCCGGCTACACTGCAGCCGATCCATCTCATTGCCCCCAGCCCTTCGGCGTCAAGAAGAATACCGGCTCGGCGACGCCCGCCCCTGCAGTTCTTTGTAATATTCCGATACACTCTCCCAGAATGGCAACACTCGATGTCGAGGCTCTGTTGGACGCCACTGCCAGCGGCAAGGACGACGTGAAAGACGACAAGCCCAGAGACTCAGATGACCGTCTCAAGGCAGACCGTGCAGACCGCCGTGACCGCGACCGCGCTCGAGACGACAGTCGGGACCGCGATCACGACCGCAAGCGCCGCGACCGCAGTTCCGATCGCGGAAGACGAGATCGCGGTGCCGACGGGGAGGGCACCCCGCGCAGTGACACAGGTAGCCATAAGAGTAGGCGTAGAAGCCGGAGCCGCGATGATGACCGCCGACACTCACGACGTCACAGAGGGGGAGGCGACGGAGACTTCTACCGTGGCGGCCGCGGACGCGACCGCTCTCGCTCTCGTTCGCCCAATCGATACTATCGCCCTAGAGATGAGCGTCGCGGCGATCGCGAGGACCGCGCTTCTCAGCGGGACGATCGCCCTCGCGGTGGCCGCACGCCGAAGAGAGATGCTACCCCTCAGCTGACGGAAGATGAGCGTGATCGCAGAACCGTTTTCGTCCAGCAGCTTGCTGCCCGTCTCCGTACCAAGGAGCTCAAGGAGTTTTTTGAGAAGGTTGGCCCCGTCAACGAGGCCCAGATCGTGAAGGACCGAATCAGTGGCAGATCCAAAGGGTTCGTAATCCCCCTCTCCTCCCCTCCCAACCCTAATACCGCATAAGCTAACGAGGCTCCAGCGTCGGCTACGTTGAATTCAAGCAAGAAGAATCCGTCACTGCTGCTCTTCAGCTCACAGGTCAAAAGCTCCTAGGTATTCCTGTCATTGTTCAGCTCACCGAGGCTGAGAAGAACCGACAAGTCCGTACCACCGACAGCTCTGGCACCCATGCCAACTCCATCCCTTTCCACCGATTGTATGTTGGCAACATCCACTTCAGCATCACCGAGCAAGACCTGCAGAACGTGTTTGAGCCGTTTGGCGAGCTTGAGTTCGTCCAGCTCCAGAAGGACGACAACGGCCGCAGCCGCGGTTACGGGTTTGTACAGTGAGTTGCTACGCTTTCCCTGTCAACCTAAACCACAGACACTGACCATGTAATAGATTCCGTGAAGCTGACCAGGCTCGCGAGGCACTTGAGAAGATGAACGGATTTGACCTCGCAGGTCGCCCAATCCGTGTTGGACTTGGAAACGATAAGTTTACCCCTGAGTCAACTGCCAATCTCCTACAGAGGTTCCAGGGACAAAACCAACCATACCAGGGATCCGCCTTTTCTGGCGCTGGAGGCCGAGGCCAGCAGTCTTCCGGCTTTGACCGAGCCGGCGGTCGAGATAACGACAAGGCTACGGGCGCCAGCGCATTGGACGATACTGATGTCGGCGGCGTCAACTTCAACAACTACAGCCGAGACGCGTTGATGCGTAAGCTTGCCAGAACTGATGACGCTCCTAACGGTGGCCGCGATGAGAGACAGATCTTGAAACCGAAGACGGAGGCCAAGCCTCTGCCCGTCAATGTCAACATGGCTAGTCGCTGTGTTGTTTTGCACAACATGTTTGATCCTGCTGAGTAAGACTCCTCCCACTCTCCAACTCTAGATAGGCAGGTTGCTAACGATTTCCACAGGGAAGAAGGTGAAAGCTGGGTTAAGGAATTGGAGGATGACGTGAGACAGGAAGCCGAGGAGAAATACGGCCATGTGGTCCACATCTCCCTAGACCCGAATTCCCAAGGCGATATCTACCTCAAGTTCGACAAGGTCCAAGGAGGCGAGAACGCTATCAAGGGCTTGAACGGCCGGTATTTCGGAGGACGCATGATCAGCGCTGCACCTGTTGTGGATGCCGTCTACAGCAGTTTGTTTTCACGCACTAAGGCTATTTGAGATGCTAATCAGGCCTGACAACTACTCGTCTAGGACCTTCACCTGTACGTAACATCGGACACTGCTGCTGCTACCGCCACGTTCCTTCTTCTAACAAGTTCCAGATTCTCTACTGGGGCTTCGTCAATCGCGCAAGCGTCACAGTACACACCAATTCCGTCCTCGACTTCATCCACAACTTCTCAGCAAAAATCATCGGCAGGCGCATTTCGGTTTTACCCTTTTCCGCATGGACTACATATATTGACCCTGGCTTTTTCGTACTGATTTAGGCAGATCAACAGACTCTCCCGGATGATCATTCGCTGCGCCAAGGTCACAAACATCCTCCAACAACGTCTCGAGTACCAGCCTCCAAGCAGGAGCGAACCATTGGTCCCCAGCACCATCCTCCACTGGGAAGTAGACGCTAAGTAGTAATAGATTCTGAATTACAGAGAATTCATCATGTCAAAATTTGTACTTGGTCCGATCCGATTGTGAATAATCATAAAGCCAGTACATAGCTCTTGGACTATGCTCGAGTACAGTGCAGATACTAGACCATGAAATATTATCATTGTATTCCAACATCCAAGGTAACATCAAGCCAATTCTCGTGATACAGGCTGGCACTTGTATGAACACCGGCCCATTCGGGCAGAGGCATATCGTAGGTAGACCGGCAGCATGGCTAGTAGACTCTCTCATTGCAAAGCAGTCTCTGGATTGCCAGCAGATCTGAATATACAACTGTGAGAGCATGTCTCGTTTCCAAAGGGTTTGGTCGTTTTCATCATGCATCATGGTGAATTTATCTTAACTACATGCCTCGATTGCTGCCTCGTCAAGCGCAGGTTTTGAGGATCTGCCTGCCCCTGCCGTTGATACTGCCCAATTCGTTGCAATGGCACATGCAATGGATTTCCAGTTTCTGCTACATTCCTCATTATAACAATCCTCAGGCCTTTTCTCCGTTTCTCACTTGTTGCCTGCCAGATGAATCGAACAATCAAGATTCGAAGCCTGCCCGTTTCATTGCCAATCACTACATAATCTAAACAGCACTCGGGGCCATTGTTCTTGTCACAATATCCTTTCCCCCTCTTCATCTCCCCAATCATAAGTTCACCCGCCAACTCTCAAGTTAAGACATCCTGGCCTACACCACCTCTTTCTCTGATCAAATCGGATCGATCATCATCATCCCACTTGGTCGTTTCGCCGGAGCAGCACCATCCTCCCCGCCTTAAGCAGGTGTTGGTTGAAACCACTTTCAATCTCAACCGCTTCCCTTCATCATCTCAGGACACTGTCACCTTCATCTCAGAACGAACTTTGGTCCCTGGCCTAGGCCTGGCCCAAATAATCCTTTCATCGGTATCCAACACTCGCTGAGTGCTGTCTCCCGTAGGCATTCACCATCACACTTGCATTTCACTTTCGTACTGACGACTCAAGGTATATCACCTCAGTGACCATATCGGAACCCGAGCTCACATTTTCCTAATTTCCTTCGGGCGGTTTTCTCTCATCAAGGTAAAAGCTCTCACATCACAACACGCCAACCCAGGCATCACTGCCGAGGAAGCGCCAAGTTCCCCAGTCAACACATCGGACCCAGGTGATTTTCATCACCACTTCTCTCCCCTTACTTTCCATAAATTCAACCTTTTATTCACTCCTCATAGCATACTTGATCTAAAGCCCCAAGTCATCATGCCTGCCGCGCGTTCCTCGAGCGACTCGAGCGGCGGCGGCGCACCGTTGTACTCGTCGCGAGCGATGGAGGCCACGCCTCACAAAGACAACGCGACTAGCAAGAGCAGTGATCCGCCCTCGGATGACGAGATGGCGCTCGTGAAGGCAAGCGGCCAGTTCAATCTTATTTCGAACGACGCGACCGCCCCCCGCCCTGCGGTCTCGAATGATCCCTACAACTACGGCCAGCAGCTGCAGCGACCAGGCACAGTACGCCCCCCGGCTGCTTTTGGGTCTCAGTCGCCCTACCGCCAGTCCAGCAACAATGCTGTGAACAACGGCGTGCCGCCGTCTATTGCCAGCAGCGTAGGTTTTTCCATGCCTTCCAAGAGTTTGGGTGGGACTTGCTAAATACTGTGACAGCCTCTCTACCGTGGTTTCGGCGACATCCAAGCCAAGCTCATGACCGCACAGCAGTTCGTGCGCACCACACCTGGTTTCACGGACAGCCAGGCCCAGACTGTCCGACACCTCCTCGTCGGCTGTGGCCAGGACCTGACTCACTTTGCGACCACCTTGATCACCGAGCACACCAAGGCCCACCACCAGGTCGGCGAGCTTCGCCTTCAGTATGAGAAGGCTCAGAACGAACTGCTGTCCAGACGCCAGCAAATCTCCGACCTGCAGGACCAGTACAAGTCCGCCAAGAAGGAGAAGGATGTCGCACTGCGAGACGTTGAGGATCTCGAGAGCCGGTTGAACTCGTGTGAGCGCGAGGTGAAGCGTCTTCGACAGCTCGGCAGGAGCCATGATGAGAAGCATGCTATGAAACTCCAGGTAAGCTTGAATGCGCAATTTCTTTTCACATTGTCTTGAATCCATTTGACATTGACTCTAACATCCCGGCCAGCGCCTCGAAGATGAGTTGAAGTCGCTCCGCGTGGCTGAAGAAAGCAACATGCAGCTTGTCAAGGTCCAAGAAACCCCTACCCCCAAGAGCAGGAGATTCGTCCAAGAGGATTCAGCTTCGGACGAAGACGATGACAATTCCGCCTCCAAAGCTGCCGAAACTGCCCGTCGCGGATCCTTCTTGAACCCGACAGCTGCTGAGTTCGGACCGCGTTCTTCAAAGCCCGACCACTCGAAGGAGATGCTTCCCCTTCTCCGCAAGTATGCCCAGAGAACAGGTCCTGCCATGTCCCCTCAGGACGTTCGAGCATATGATGGATCCAATGATCAGCCTCGTATGAATCCACGCCCGGCCACCCGTATGGGTTTCCGCGGAAACTCTTTTTCGTTCAACTCTGGACAGAACGGCTCATGGAGTGCCATGACCGGACCACTTGGACCCCCGCATCTCACCCAAAGTCGTAGCAGTGGTGGTGGATACAAGTCTGCTGCAGACACCGTAGACATCGACTTCAGCACTCTGCAGGAGAAGACTGATTGGTCGGCTGACGACGTCACCATTGGCTTCCAGCGACTCTTCGGCATGATCGAGGGCTTGATTGCCAAACACTACGTGAACGAGCCTTTCAACGAGAGCGAGAATATGCTGCCCATGTCTCACCCCGAAACTTGGAGATACATTTTGTCGATGGGATTGAAGAACCAGACACAGAGTGCCACGCACATGGCCGACCTGTTGACCAAATTCCATTGCCGCCACTGGGTCCTGAAGCGAGTGATCGTCGACTACATCATCAACCGCATGATTATTCCTGAGGTCTTCTTCGGATTCAATCCACAGATCGACGAGCACCTTCATGCCCTCCAAGGACGCATGAAGTCACGCGCTCCTGGATCAAGTAAGTCCCACCTCCTCCGTCTGAATCAAACCGTAGGCTCCATTACTAACAATAGATCTTCCAGACATGGGTCGCCCGCAAGGTATGGAAAGGCAGAGAATCGTGATGGACCATGCTAAGGTCATCCGCTTCATCATCGAGGCCCCCGAGGGTCCCAGTTTCAAGGAGAGAACGGTGGCCAAGCATGCGCAGATGATCCAGGAGATCCTCAAGCCGCTGCGGAGCTGCGTCGTCGAGGACAAGCAGGCCCGCAAGGGCTTGAGCGTCGTCGTCAACGCCGCCTGGACCATCACCACCCACATCTGGACGTCGGGCATGACCATCCACTTCTACTTCCCCGAGACGGGCTCCAAGTTCGCCTACGGCACCATGCGGTCCCTCAACTACACCGACACCCCTTCCGACCAGATGCAGTACCAGCAGTACCGCATCATGCTCGTCATTACCCCGACTTTGAGCCTGCGCGACGATCGAGACCTCGACCGCCTCCGCACCCACGAGCTCCTCAAGTCGGACGTGCTTGTCATGCGATAAGCACGACACACATTTCCCCACCTCACAAAACATTTCCTTTCTATTTCATGGTGTTAGAGTAACCCTGGGTGTCTCGGTTGACAAAAGCTTTGGGAGAGACAGGCTTCCGTGTGGAAGCTCAATTTTTGCGGCTCGATCTTTGGTTTGCCCACAGTGCAGACTGCGCGATCATCGGCGGCAAGAAATCATCTCTTGTTTCCAAGTTCCACAATAGAGACTTGGAACAGGACTTTCCGGAGACGTCGAGCATTCGGGGCACGCGTACGTCGGTGGGCGGCACTTAGCCACGATTATCAGGAGACGATGGATGTTCGGGACGCGTGACCAAAAAGTTGCACACCCTCTCTAGGACGACGCTGGATCTTCGCAATTCCCGTGCCTACTACGCACAAATCCGTCATACAGAGATTTTCTCTTTTCTTTTTTTTTTTTTCTTCTTGATTTTCGGCGTTGTCATGGTACGGAAATCTTGGCTTCCCATGATACCCCACGAAGCAGTCTTCTTCGCCAGCAATCTGGAGCCACCCATATGTTTGGCTACCGGCTTTCACTGCGGCAGAAGCCTAGGCTTCGACAAAGCTGTTTGTTCCCTTTTATTCCAGACTTTCCGGGGAGCATAGAGGCAACACCAGAGGGTCTGACATCAACCTCGATATTGCGACAAAGTCATCGGATTTGGGGAGTTTTCCCTAACATAAGCAACGGCACTTCTTCTTCTCTTCCTCTCGGACTCGTCTGTCTTTCTCATGCCGGAAGCCGATGCTGCGCCCGATACGATGTTGCCTGACTTCTCTCGTCGCTGAGACTCAGCCAGTCAGTCATCTGAACCTTGACAACCAACGTCAACGCTCGGACAATGCTCTACCCGGTCTAGCTACGCCATTCCCAAAAGCTGGCTTCCTCATAAACAGACTGATCGACAGCTAGCAAAGCAAAGAGAGACTCACCGGGAGGCCACGCAGACACGTAATGGCCCGTTTCTTGATTTGCAGTTGGCCTAGTAGGGGGCGACGTGGCACCAAAATGGCCTGTTTGCCTATCGTATCTGCGCAGAACTGACAAACACCGGGGACTTCATAGCTTTGAGGTATCTATGCCTACGGAGGAATGATGCAATCAGCAGTTCAGTTTAGTTCTAGTCAGGTAGTTCACCGAAAGACAACGTTCACTGATACAAAATACGGAAACTAGTGCTCGGGACTGTATGTGAGTGCATGCTCTGGGAAAAAGTTCAGTGACTGAGCCTCTCTTTGAGGTATTTGCTAGTCGGTTTGTTTAGCATGATGTTACTACTACTGGACTGCAAGATGGGATGCGCTGGAGTCAACAGAAATTCTCGACACGTTCTGCCAGTTGATGCGGTGTATCTATCAAACCGATGACGCGAGCCATCCCTAATCTATTCTCTAGAAGCTGCTCGCTAGCAGCAAATACCAGCTTTACTGGTGATGAAACGACTAGTAATACACAAGGAGAAGCGGCAGAAAAGTTGCCATAGGAGAAATTGCAAAAAGCCACCAACGCCCCTGAGCCTAATACATATACCGAATGCCTGCCGAATGGGTATCGTACACCATTTTTATGCCCGTCCCTGTCCCCTGGCCGACGTTTCCCTCAGTGCCGAGGTCTTGCGGTCCAGGCGTTTGACCACCGAGCCGAGCACCGCCTTCATGATACCGTCGCCCGTGAGGGCCGGGGTGTTACCATCGGCACCGACGTCGAAGGAGACAGTGTCCACAATGTCCCGAACGCCTCCTGCGACCTGGTCGCTCAGGTCGTCGTCCAGGCGGCGCAGCGCGTCGGCCGCGCCGCTTTCGTTGCCGACCTGGAAGAACTGGATGCCGATCTGGTAAGGGGGCGCGTCGAGGGCGTCCAGCTTCTTGGCGGCCTGGATCACGACGCTCTCGACGTCGTCGCTCGGCACGCCGTCGGTGATGACGATGATGTTGAGGGGCTTGAGGCAGGTGTCGTCGCCCGTCTCGCGGAACTTCTGCTCGTAGTGACGTATGTAGCGGCGGATAATGAAGTTGAGGCGCGTGCCGGTCGGCGTGCCCATCCGCGGGTGAACAGTTCTGAACATCTCCTCGACGGTGAGCTGCTCCCCTGCCGGGCTGGTTCCCTGGCTTCTGGTCACGTTGCGGTAACCCGTGCCGGCCTTCCACGGCTCGGCAGAGTCTCCGGAATCCTTGGACTTGTGGTTCATGAAGTAGATGTCAGGGCCGTCTGCGTCGTGTGAGAAGATGATAGGCAACAGAGCGCTGAGGGCCTGCTGTGTCTCGCGCCACGATCTTCCGGCCATGCTTCCCGAGTCATCGACTAGGAACACGGTGTCGAAACTCGACAGGAAGGCGTAGGGGTCCTCTTCTGTCGAGGCTTGTTGGACTGATATCGCAGGGTGAGCCCCCGACTGGGAACGTTCATAGACGGGGGAGGCACCTGAACTTGACCCAGAGGGCGAGTCTGCGGTTGGCGAGTATGCTGGCGGGGGAGACTGTGCTCTCGGGCGGCGTGTTGCCGGCGAGGGGTTCAGCATCGGGCTCCGGGCACTGCGCTGCTCTTCGGGCTGTTGGCTCTTGCGGGTGCTGCTCTTGCTGAGGGCGCGGCTCAGCGCGTTCGAGCTGTCGTGACTGAGGGCGCCATTATTGGCGTTACCCTGGGCTGAAGATGCCGAGCGGCGAGAAAAAGGGTTCAACGAGAAACGCTTCATACTCGGTGGCGGATGTGAGTTAGAGGAATGGTGGTGTGGCCACTGGGGGGAAATTATGGTGTTCATGGTGAATTTGGTTGTTGCCTTTCAATGCAAACGGGTGCTTAGCAAGTTGGAGGCGCAGTGAATTCTGAGAGCCAGGAATGCTCAAACCCTCTCAATTCTTTGTTTGTGACAAACGGAAACCTTGTTAGTTGTTCTTGCTTCAAGTAAACTGACTGTTTGTCGACAGGGCAGGAGAACTATGAAGTGTGGATCTACTCACACTTTATACGGCTCTAAAGGCAAGCTAGAGAGTCCTGGCGCTAACCTACAAGAACGAAGTATAGCAATGGATCATCAGTTTGCCTTATTTGAGGCGCACTCAACAAGGCATTCACACGACCAGCCAGCAACCCCTCCAGACTGGAGACAAGTGCAGCTAATGAGCCGCAGTATGAAAGTCGAAATTCATTTTGGCGCCGTTATCAGATCCGATGAAGCCAAGCGTCTTGCGATTCGGGAGGACGGCAATTAAATGCTCAGCCATGGATGGCGCCGCAATAAGGTGCTCCATTACAGCAATGCCCGCCGAAGGTGACCCCCAGAGACCGAGCCAGCCCCCACATTTCTTTGTCAGCGATGCAATCTGTTAGTGTTGGCGCCTGATTTGTGGTGCCTCCGATCTGCTGCTAACGCGAGGGGCGCAGGGCGCAGCTGGGGCACTGCCCTCCTCTGCTAGTCTGCCTACAAGGTAACTTTCCCATGTAGGGAATCACGTCCCATGTGCTGCCTTGCTCCGGCTCAGCGGCCGGCACGAGGAGATTCTTTAGAGCTCGGTACAGAGTCTCATTGGTGCATAACCATAACCCGAGGCTTGATACCATGTGTCAGAGTAGGCATTAATCGGCACTTTGCCATCTCAAGGATGCTGACAAGGAGCAATCACAACATGATAAAGACAATGCTCATCACCATCGTCAGCTTGCCACTCTTAAGGGTGTCAGATGCTCACCCGCCCTTGTGAGACGAGTCACGATGGCGCGTACCCCTATCTCTCAGGTTTCTTCAAGGCGTCGAACATGTTGGTGCATCTAGCGAAGTAGATTTTTTTTGTCTCCTCTTCTTCCTTCAAACTCATTTACTATGATACAAATTTCCCCACCCTAGAGGTCGGGCCAGATACCGCCGCTGTGCTACATTCGGAGGGGCTCTCTGATTATCGCGGATTGTCTGTTTAATAACTTGCATGGTGTCGTGAATTCATCTTGAAGTTATAATAACGAGAAGCGTGACAGGCTGAGAACTGCAGATAGTCTTTAAGTTGACTCTAACAGTCATCCATTGATTCGTAAAGTCGAAGGGGCTTTATAAAGATGAAGTAGCTCACACGCTCCTTTGAACCAGACCCGGACTTTCGTATATGCACCTTATTTTCTAACATATCGGATGACAGTTTGTACTGTCTGGAGAACATAATTCGTCACTGCACAAGCTCTTGAATACATAAGGTATAGTTCTAAATATTGCTAATTAGTAAGGCAAAGGAGATAAGAGAGGAGGATAACATAGTATATTATCTGTTAATACACATTCCTGACCTTTAAGAGCGTTGATATTCGGATGTGCTTCGAAGGCTCATGACAAACAAGGACTTTTGGTGACACAGGAGATCACACGCTATCAGGGGAACAGGTATTTTTGGAAGTGTATGGGTTAATAGAAAAACACTCTAAGAGGTGAGTCCATCTCTAAGAAACCAAGACTTTAGTAAGGTAGGCGAGGAATGAGGAGTAGAGGCGGAGGTGAAGAGGAGAAGAGGGTTACAATAAGAAAGGTGAGGAAAAAAATTGAAGACGCCAAAAATGGAGGAGAATAGAATCGAACCTCGCTCTGCTAGGTATGCACATAGCACCTCCCAACCAAACAGTTTGCCAGATAACGACTCTTTGTTAGGGATGGAGGTGGTTTTTTTATTTACCAGGCAGCGATTTGGGGGGAGGGAATGAAAAGAAGAGGAATAAGGAAAAGTGAGCAGCAAAAAATGGAGGTTGGAATCGAACTCCAACCAGGTGGTCTACCCGCCGCGCGCTTGGCTGCACCTCCCCGACCATAACAGTCGACCAGAGAACGTATTCATTGAAGGTCGAGGTGATTATTTTCAATTACCAGGCAATGACTCAGAGAGATGTGCCAATAGGAGGGAAAGGGGGCAAACAAGAAGGCACAGAGTGGAGCATATAAGGCACATTTCAAGGGAGCAAGTATTTCCCCAGTATTTGCATTTGCATTTACTATCTAAACATCCTCTTCCCCTATGAACATCTACTTGGGGATCTTCACCTTGAACACCAGGGCTTGGCTGTCAAGGTTGAACCCGGTCGAGTCCGCGTACCGGAACCTCCCATCGTTCAGGAACCCATTCTGCGTGATGAAATCGTTGTCACTGAGGCTGAAGACAAAGTGCTCGTCGCCGTCGGGGCGGCGCGGGTCGACGGGCACGACGGCGATGGACTCCCACTTCTCGTTCAGCAGCGCGGCGTCCTGGGTGCCCCCGTTGTGCAGCCCGAACCGGCCCAGCTGCGCGTTGACGTTGAAGTCGAGGAACGCGCAGTACTCGGCCGCCTGCACGCCCTGCCGCAGCACGCCCTTCGTGTCCGCCACGGCGCCGCCCTCGTCGTCGTACCCCTGACCCGCGGCCTTGATGTCGGTCGCCGCCGAGATGTCGAAGACGTCGATGTTGCGGTACTGGCTCTGGGAGTTTTCCTGGCCGTGGCCGGCGCCGCCGTCGCGTGAGAGCACGAAAAACTGTCCGTTCGGCAGCGCGTGGACCTCGGACTGCGCGGCGATCTTGGGGTTCTTGGAAGCCTTGGCCGTCGGGTCGACGTAGGCGGGCAGGGGCACGATGTACTCGGCCTTGTACATCGGCTTCAGAGGCGTAGAGATGTCGTATTTGAGGAAGCGCGTGTAACGCTGTGTCTGCTTCTCTAGGCCCTGCAGCAGACTATCAGTTACACGCGTGTTTGGAGATGGAGATCACAACTTACACCTTCTTGCACAGTAGCAGCTTGCAGGAGAACCCATAGAGTCTTGCCGTCCTCCGAGACTGACAGGCCCTCAAATCCATGATTGTTGTCACGCCCAGTGTCCGGATGTTCAGGGTTGGGGAGAGGTCCCTCACCATTGTCGATGTAATGAGGTGGGCTAGCTGCGGAGAAGGACTCAGTCCCGTTACGGAAGGGAATGATGGCATCCGGGGGTCGGATAGCAGTCAGCATCTTGCCGCTGTGGTCAAAGAGATCTGACAATATTAGTAGCAGTAACACCGAAGCGTTGGCATGCTCGAAACTTACAGACGTAAGGTCCATATTCATCCGAGACCCAGAACGAGCCGTCGTCGTTGACAGCCAGGCCCTCACAGTCGATGGGGATCCTCTTTCCTCCAGGCCCGTCACCGCCGAAGCCGTCACCGGTGTAAGTGGCGACGGGCAAGTCAGGGAAGCCTGGGTACGACAGATGACCCGACGCATCAGCATCTAGACCAGTAGCGGGCGTGCCATCGGGGCCCGAGAAGCGAATGGTGTCCTGGTATGTGAGATGGAGGTTCGGAGCTGAGGGATTGGCGACCGTGGCGTTGTGTGCTGGAGCCAGAGTCACTGTGAACTTGTGGACTCGGGGCTGGAAATTCAGCGTTCCCTCAGTATTCCTAGCAAGTTGATTAGCCCAGCTACGACAAACAAGCAAAGGCGTTTCTAAAAACTCATCAACGGTGCCTGGTTTTCGTAATGGCTCTGAAAAGGTCACCCAAAAAGTGGACAGGCTCGCCTCTCCCGACTAGGCCGGAGAAGTAAATCATACTCACCATCCACGATCCGGCAGACTCCACAGCGTGCCGGTGTAAGTGCCATTGCAGCTCTTCTTCCACGACTTCTTCTCCATGTGGATAGCGCTGCCCAGGCCGCCGAGGTTGTCCCCGAACTTGTCCACCGCGTCCGAGACCACGAAGCCGTAGCCGGCCAGCTCCTCGTAGACGTACTGCTTGCCGTTGCACGTGGTGCTGTTGACGGCCCCCGCGACGACCGTCGTCGAGTTGGCCGCCCGGGGCGCCACCACAGCAGCGCGGGCCGCCGCCGCGACCGCGAGACCCGCCGTGAGGAGGTATGAAGCCATTGTCGAGATGGGGAAAAGCGAATGAAGTCTTCCAGCGGCTCGATGCCTTTGGCGCACGGAGATCGACAGGGCAGAGCAAGGGAACGGAGAGCGAGTGAACTTGACCCGTCCCAGGAGAACGAACGTGTTGGACGGAATAAGCTTCAGAGCTGACCAGGGACGCCCCAAAGCTACCTTATCTACCTATATAGACTTGGTCCTCAGATCCCACGCCGCCCCATCTCCCGCACCCTTCCCTCCACTCCCGACGGCGGATCGGCGCACGCAACCAGGTTCTCGGGATGCTACAACGGAAGGCGCGCCGACTGAATTCACCACGCACGCCCGCGCTAAGTTGTCTGGACTCCACCGGCCCAGCCAGCCCATGCATGCATACGTGACGTTGACCCCACTGACCTATGCACGAAATCGCACGTTCTACGTAGTGGGACAGGGCTTTCCACCCATCTTGCATCCCTTCTATTGAATGAGGCACACGATGGCGGTATATTGGAGGCGCGAAGGAAGCGAGCTCGGTGAAGCTACGCGGGCATAGCAAGGGGCCCGGTGCTGATCCTGGCCTGGGCGCCGCGCCGCACGTTGAGCTTCGTCGTTGTCTGATTGGGCCATCAGACAGCTTAGCTCTCAGGGGGAAGACTATGTAAAGGCTTGGCGACAATTACAGCTGAACCAATTATCTGGCGCGGCTACTTCATTGAGAGGTCAACATCAGAATGAGGGTTTTGCTGGGCTGGAGCCGAAAATGCAACGTTGGGCCCGGCAGATGAGGGATCTTTGCGATCTTGATTCGAGTATGTAAGACGCTATCACCAGCAACGGATGGACATTTGTGTCTTACCAGCTGTGCTGATTTATATCAATTGTCTGTATCTAACAGGAAGTGGCTTCCTCTGGCCACAGTCTCGGCATGGCATTTGCTGCATCGTCAACCGTGTACGCATTTTTGCCATCAAATCGCTGGATACCAGTCGCCCCTTTTGTCGTCCGTTTCCATACTACTGCCAGAATCCAGGGTTTGGCAAGCAAAACCGCAGGTCTGGGGCCAGTGGCACACAGAGTCCCTTCCTCAAAGGACCTCTGATGAGTCTACATACACAAATGAAAGGGCCTTACCGCCCATGAGTCCTAAAACGAGATTGCCAAAGACAGTCTCCCCCAACGCTCCACTGCAAACTCTATCTTGGTATCACGCACGCAAAGCAAATGAGGAGGGGGTTCTGGGTGAACGGCTGGGACAAAGCGAGCTGTGTGAGTCGCCGACACAGCTACAGCCCGTACAGATCCCAGCCATCGTAGTCGTTCGCAGTTGATTTTCGTCCAGTGTTCAGTGTGGAATCCGAGTCGCGCACAGGAGCGAACTCGTTCCTGAACTCCTGGCCCCGTCACAACTCATCATCTTCGGCCTCGATCTCGGAGGGCTTGAGCAAGCCGCCGACCTTGGCCCTTCGCTCGTGGTCTGCCGTGAGCTTCTCGTGAGCTTCCTGCTCCTTCTCGACAACGTAGAGCTCGGCATTGTCCCCGGAAAACTCCTTGAGCGAGATCAAGAAGTCGCGCAAGTTGAGCCGGAACTTGTCGTACTGGTTGTTCAGAGTGAAGAGGCCTTCAATGAAGACGTTGATCTGGGGACTAAACAAGATTGTTAATACGCGCATCATATTCGACTGGTTAGGGAGCTTACATCTGAAGGTTGGGGAACGCATTGCGCAGCAGATTTCCGATAAAGTTGACGAGGAAGTCGCGGTTAGACGTCCCCTGGGGGGCCTGGTCCGTGTAAATAGGACCCTGGATCTTGGGAGTACTACCGTCGGCGGGAATGACGTAGTTGAGGAGCTTCATCAAGAGCATGGACTGGGTCTTGAAACCCGCCTTGTGGTCGGGATCCGTCAGAACAAAGAACACATCCTGAAGAATGGTGATGAAGAACTGCTGGAAGAAAGCGTTCTTGGTAGCATCATCGGTCTTCTCGGCAATGTTGGTAATAAGCTCCAGGCACATGTTAAGGCCGGCGCCCTCCACATCGCGGTTGTCGTGCTTGCTTGCCCACATGCAGGCATCGATGACGAACTTGAACTGTCGGTTGTCCAGCTTCAGCAGGGCAGGGAAGCAGTGAAGGTTGATGGCGCGCAGCAGGTTGAAGAACTCCACACGGTGCTCTGGGAACTCGGAAAAGTCCTTGTTGATCATTTCCAGAGTGCACTCGAACACGTTCTGCATGATGATAGGCACTTGGTCCTCCATCAGGTTGGTAAGCTTCTGGATAATGGTTGACATAGCCTTGAGGACTTCGGCATCCCTGGCGCCTGGCACGTTGCGGTTGTAGTCAACCAGGATGGAGTCCAAAAGTTGAGGAACCATCTGCTGGCGCACAGCGGCCAAGTCTTCAGCCTTGTCGACGTACGTCTCAATCAACTTCAGGATCTCCTTCTTGATGGTTCGAAGGCCGCGGACCTTGGGCATTCGAGGAGCGAGTTCACCATCACGGGCAACGGCCTCGGAAATCAGCTGACTGGTGGCCCTGTACATCTGTAACATGTCCAAGTAAATGCGGCCGATTTGGGGACCAAAGTAGGGTCCGACAGAAGAACAGGCTGAAACGTTCGTCTTCATGATGTTGCCGATGATCTTGATAGTCTCGGTGTCCTGTAGAATAGTCGGGTCCGCAGTCGCATGTCGAATAATCTCATCCCAAGCCGCATTAGGCGCACCCATCAGTTCGCCAAGCAACCTCTCTTGCTGATGCTTGTTCCCCTGGGCAGAAACCATGAAGCCGCAAGCCTCGTAAAACGTGTGGACCTGCTGAGGGCTCAAATCACAGGTGATTCTAGGCAAGTTTCGTACGATCTCCTCGATGAAGGGCTCGCTCTCACTGGGTTGCAAGGCCACGAAATGACGTCTGCATTGGCGGGCAATCTTGATGAACGTATCGCAAGCCATATCCTGAACACCTATTTTTCACTTGTTAGCACCATAGTTGTTTCATATCTTTGACAGTCTGTCGGAAACCAACCTTCGTGAGACTCGTGCATGAACTCGAAAAGCTTGTTGACGACTGTCTTCAAGAACTTCCAGTGGGCCTTGAGGAACCGAGGGTACTGGCCGACGATGTACATGATGTTACTCGCGACGACGGCCTTGTTGTCCTTTCCACGCTTCATCTCGGTGAGTCCCAGCAGGTCCTTGATGACGGTCACAAGGAATCTCTTCTCGGTCTCTTCGTTCATGGCCAGTGAGATAGAACCAATAGCCCAGCACAGAACGTTGCAGTTGTGCCAAGACCACTCGGAGTTGTCGACCTGGCGTTGCAGCTTGTCCGTCATGATCTGTTCCATATCCACGACATCGAGATGTGTCAAGTACACCAGACATTCGCGGATGGTCTTGTACAGCTGAACGGTATCGCTCTCTTTGACGAACTCTCGCACGATCTCTCCCTCATCATTCTCGACAACCAAGACCTCCTCGGGTCGAACCATCTTCTCAATCATGACAACTCGCAAGTTGGACATGACCTCCTTGAACTTGTGCATGCGCAGCGGAATGTTGGACAGAAGGTTGGGATTCGGTGCTCCGGCAGTCGATCCTGTGCTGCCCAGGCTCAGAAGCGGGTTCATCTCCGACTGCATCGGGGCAGTCTGCATCTCCTCGTATAGTTCCTGAACGAGCTTAAGCCAGTAGTCCAAGCAGATCTTGAAGATCTCGCGATCCTCGATCTGGGAGATACGGATCAGATAGAAGTGACCGTGTGTAAGGAAATCGCGGTTGGGCAGGTTCTCGATCAGCTGTTAAACAAGTTAGTGGGCGACCTGAATTTCCATAGGGAATGATACGTACGCCAACATGCTGGCCAAAGAAGTTGCACAGGAACAAGGCCAAGTTCTGGATAAACTCCTGGTCCTTCGAGTTGCTCTGGGGATACGTGCTCTTCAAGTCAAGGTCTAACGGAATGATACCAGCAATAGTAGTAAGCACGTCGCAGAACATCTTGACCACCTGCTCCGTATACGCATTGGGTTGGCCGTGGGCGGCAGTGGTCAAGCCACCAATCTCGGTGAAGACCTGGAGGGTGACGTTGCGGAACTCGGGCACATCGAGGAAGCGCGAACGTAACGTCTCGATCAGGGGGGTCTCGAAGATGTAGCCCAGGGGGATCCAGTTGCAGAAGCGCAGCAGAGTCTCGAGGGTGGCCTTGACCAAGCTGGCTTGGTTGGCTGTGGTGAGGATCTCCTGGCACAGCTGAAAGATCTGGGAGAACTCGTTGCACATGGTGGTCTTGAGATTCCTTGTCTTGGCCGAGGTCATCTGGTCGGCCGAGTAGTCAAAGACCTCCTCGGAGAGGAGTCTGAGGATGATCATGTTGTTCTCGCAAATCGACAGGCTCGTCCGGCAGGAGGAGATGATCTCGTTGATGAAGGTGGGCCAGTTGTGAGGCCATTCTTGCTTGAGGATCGAGATGAGCACCAGGTTGAGCTTGTTGAGCAAGGTGCGCTGCGCCTTGAGGGACTCTTCGGACCCCGAGCACTGGATGATGAAGTTGACGACGAAGTTGCGAATGCCTACAGACACAGCCGACGTTAGTACTTGCGGTGTGCACAGCTGTCTGTTCTCCCTGGTACCGACCTTGGCATTGTTCCCGCGGCAGGACCTTCCATCTTGTCGTGATCACGTTGTCTAGCACCTGGAGACCAAGATCTGCCCGCCTGTTAGCCTAGATGTCTTTCCCTGCTTCGTCTATGGGGCCTCGAGGGCAGCCTACACTTGGTCTGCGGGTAAGTGGCATCGGACAGGATCTTATCCACGAGAAGCCATGCGTCGGGGTCTTCCTTGAACTGCAGCAGAGGGCGAGGGTCAGTACCAGTCCGCTTTCCCAAAGGTCCGGGCCTGGGGGGAGAAATGCATACCTGGTTCAACGCTGCTTGTGCAGCCTTTTGCTGTGAGGCGGGGAAAAGACAAGGTTAGTACACGGTACCTGGCGTTTGGACGCAGCGATCCGGGGCGCAACTGCAAAAGCTGCAAGCTCTGGGCGGCGGGTGAAATACATACCTGCTCGCCGCGGCCTTCGTAGAAGGTCTGGACGGTCACGTCGAGCTCCTCAATCGAGGGCGGCATGGTGAGGTGCGGTCGAGCTGGCTGTGGTGAATTCTGGTGGCGGGGAAGGCGACGGCTCGGCGCACGCGAGAGGGTGGGTGAGGGCGGCGAAGCTGGCCTTTGCAGAGGGGATCGCAAGGCAAGGCGGGAAGAGGGCAGGTCGTTTGCAATCCAGGCGACAAAAAGACAAGGAGACGTGGGCTTGGGTGTGGAAAGGGAAGAAGGAAAAACACCAGAGGAGTTGCGGGCTGGCAGGGTCGAGATATCAAATCGAAGCAGCAGGCGGGCGGGCGGCGCTTGGTGGATTTCGCAGCGAGGCCGTAGGTCCTGTAGGTCATAGGTCGCAACTAGGTCCCAGGTCCCACCGGCGTCAACAGGGCCGCGGGCGTTGGGTGGGCTGCCTGTCCCACGTTGCTGTAGTGGTCGCCGGGTGGGCTGGGAGGCTGAGAAATTGACGTGTTGCCCCGCACTCCGTCACTCTCCCAGGGCTCCAGTCTGGTCCCTCACAACCTCAGGTAAACTCGTTTCTCACCCTCTCCCGTCTGGTCTCTGGGGCCTGTCTCTGCCTGGGACACACACCAGATGAGACCGCGACCCGACCGCCAATCATGGGTCGCGGCTTATGTCGCGACTTGCAGTATCGACTACATCGGCCAAATACTTATGTCTGTAGCCCCCCTCTTAGACAGTTCTGCATCACGCAATTCGCTGTAGCTTTGCAGTCAGACCACCTCCTCACAAGAAGTAACACCGGACCCATGATTTTAACGATACATAACTTCCGACTAGGTCTGAGAACTCTAAGAGCTGAGTGAGGCAATAGCCCATCCACCAAGTCTTGGGTATACTGCAAAGGCAGTCAGCCAGGGCTGGTCTTCTGGGGTAGTGACTGGCCTGAGAGCACATACATCATGGAATAGACTAGTGCTAGAGCCAACAATGCGCAAACGTCCTACCAAAGACCTGTCTTGTAAACTGACATCGTGGAAAACTCAGATGGGCGGGCGGCGCTCCCCAGACTGATGCGATGCTTTGGTCAAGATAGTGATTCATGGTGTCTGGACTATTCGAAGTATCTGGTACTTTCTACGCACACGGGTTTGGATAGCCCAAAAGCGCGATCGCGATTGCCGATAGCTAGCCTAGGCACAGTTGGGCGGACAGGGATCCGAATGACTACAGCTCAGTTGCAGACTGGTGATTGGTCGAGCGGGAACAGTATTGGCCTTCCCTCCCCGTCTGCCCGTGTGCCAATCCTCACAACGATACCCAAATATCGGGGCAGAGACACACTGATGCATGATTATAGCAACGTCCAAACGTTGCGACTATAGGCAATGTGCCTGAACGTTAGGCTGGAGATCGGACAAGGATCATCAGGTAACTACGTGGTGCCTGTTTAGATATCAAGGCTGCAGTGGGACTCTGAGCAGCCCCAGGCAACCTGGCGGCGAACGCGAGGCATCCGAATCGTCATATGTTGAAGCAGATTTTTCTGACCATTTAGTCACCATGGTCCCGGTGAGCTGTTATTATATGGGGCGAGGCGGCGGTCAACAACGGTAGCGTCGACGGTTGCCGGAACAGAGTGGAGCCTCAGCTTATAGTGCATTGATAAGAGACCCCATACACACAATACACTAAACACTTTACTTACCTTGGGAATCTAACTACCTTACTAGATAATCACATTCGTTCTCGGTGTTTTGGGATGCGGGAATTTCTCTGTATTTCCTTGGAGTCTAGTCTTTGCGTGGCTTGTTGCTCTATACACTCAGCTTCTTTTATTTTGTTAATTTTCCTACACGGGGGCCTAGATAGGCGCTTGCGCCCCAAACCTGTATCTATGCCTTCTGGTAGCCAAGCTCCGAGAGACCGTTCGCCAGAGCGTTCAGAGCCTTGTCAATATCCTTTCGGTTAGGGTCCGTCTGTGGTATAGGATTAGTAAACACGCTTGTCGACATATCACAACAAGCGGCACTTACAACGCTGACTCCCATGTGTCCAAAACGGACGTACTTGGGAGCAATCTCCTTGTGAATGCCACCTGCCCAGACAACACCGCTCTTTGCCAACCTCGGCAGCAGCTCGGTGGCCTTGACGGTCTCGGGCAGGTAGATGGCCGTCATGCCGTGCGCCTGGTCCTCGGGCTTCGAGGCGACCTGCTTGAGGCCGAGGTCGGTCACGGCCTTCTTGATCTTATCTGACACCTCGGCGTGCTTCGCAAATCGTTCCGACAACGGCTTGGCCAGGATCTGTGTCAGGGCCGTGTGCAGGGCGTGGATGAGCTGCGGCGACGGGGTCGCAAAGTAGGACGGCTTCTTGGCCTCGTAGTTCTTCATGATGGGGGTCCAGTTCTTCATCGAGGCGAAGTACGAGGCGGGCGGGGTCTTCCTCGCCTCGAAAGCCTTGATGGCCTTTCCACTGAACATGGATATCGACAGGCCGGCCGGGCATCCGATAGCCTTCTGACTGGCAGTGACGACGCCATCCAGCTTCCACTTGTCAAAAGCAATCTCTTCGCAGGCGACACTGCAGACTCCATCCACAACGAGCAGCGTCTCGGGAGACACGCTCTGCACCAGCTCGGACAGCTTCTCCAGCTCGCTGAGGACACCGGTCGAGGTGTCGACGTGGGTGACGGTGATGACCTTGAACTTCTTGGACTTCAGGGCCTCCTCGATCTCGGGCAGCTGGGGGCGTCCGCCGACAGGTCCGGTGAGCTTGGTAACCTTTGCGCCGTACGTCTCGAAGCAGTCTGCGAAGCCGTCGCCGAAGTAGCCGGTGCTCAGGACCAGGACATCCTCGCCGGCCTCGACCAGGTTGGCGGCGACGAGGTCCCAGCCGAGGGTACCAGAGCCGGAGATGATGTAGGGCTGGGCCGACGGGTCGGTGGTCTGGAAGATCTTGCGCACGAGCGAAATGGTCTCGCCGAATGTCGAGACGAAGCCGGGGCCGACGTGGGACTCACTGCGATAACCGAGGCAAGATTAGAGAACGGGACGGGTACATGTGGGATATAGCTGTGCTAGCAGCGGGACGAACCTAAAGTGGCTCATGGACTGTAGCACGGCATCGTCGAACTCGATGGGGCCCGGGATGAGCAGAGTAGGGTGTTCGGGCTGGGAAGACATCTTGGGCGGCTGGGCGAAGGACAATGCACGAGATTGTGTAGTGGAAGAGAGCGAGGCAGCACTGGCGGAGCTTGCAGACAGGTGAGTTGATATCATCGACAGCCGGGTTGAGGGGCGCATTGTGGTATATGAGGGGCAGCTGCCGCGGAGGTGGGGCGCCACTGATCGGGCAACTCTCCGCATCGAAACCTCGAACCTTGAGACGGGTGACCCGGGGGAAGACGGGTGACCCGAGTCTGGGGAAACGGTAGGCTCTAAATTACGAGGGATCGGCCAGCGCCAGGGTCCTGGTTGAATTGAGAGCGGTTCCTGGCAACCCGGAGGCAATTGGAGGCCTATGGGTACGCGAAAAGAACGAATGTAGGGAGTCTGAGACCTCTGACTGGGTGCCGGCGCTGGACGTGTCGTGTAAAGACAGAAAACAGCGACGGGCGGCAGAGGAAAGGAGGGTATCCGAGAAAAGTCCGGCGGGAGAGGGCAGTCTGCCAGCGAGTCGTCGCCCAGCCTCGACCTATCAGTGGCGCTGTTTTGTCAAGAAGCCTCCACCTGTCCGTGGCTCTGATCCGGAACCCCCAGTCTACCAGGTGAAGACGGCGGCGACGTCCGCTTCCAGGGCTCCACGATCTCGCTCCGTTCTCGGGTCGGGGTCCTCCTCCAGGTTGCCAGGGGCTGGGCTAGCCTTGGGGCCTCTTGAGGTATGTACAGTATGTAGGCTGGCTGGTAGATTAGATACTCCAATGCAAGGCTAGCCACCAGCAACGGACGCCGCAAAGCCGCCTTGGAGTAACGTAAGAAATGGACCCCTGTCCCATGCGTCTTGCTGCAGAGGGGTGGCCCGGATCCTGGATGACCTGGGAGTGGTGGGATACGTTTAAGTGGGCTGGCCTGGGTGGTGCTGGCTCAAGCTCCCTGCGCAGCTCAGCTCTGGGGCCTTTGGAGGGACGACGTCAATCCGTCCACCTCCAGTCTATTCTCACAGCCGACCGAAGTCCAGCAACCAGCAGTTCGGCCGCCAGCATCTGGTGGGAGTGAAGAGTCCCAGATCAATTAGAGGGCCCGGAACAAGCGCAGTATAGCACGCCGCCCTTGTTATGAGCGACTGCAGTTGAGTGGCTACTTATTCGGCCAAGTTGTCACCGCCCCGCCGCCGAGTTTCTTTCTGCCTACGGCCAGCCCACGACTGGTGACGATACAGCACCATCCGAGTTGTGAACATCCAGATTGACCGCCCCCGACAATCCGGCTGGCTTTCCTCCCATACAGCCCATCATGGCCTTCCTCATCCTCGTGATCGGGGACCTCCACATCCCGGACCGCGCCTTCGACATACCACCCAAGGTTCGTACAGCCCGCTCTGCGCGCGCGTTGGTGGAAGGGAAATGCGCCCCGGTGCGTACACGACTGACTGACTGACACGCCGCACCGCAGTTCAAGAAGCTCCTCTCCCCGGGCAAGATCGGCCAGACGCTGTGCCTGGGCAACCTGACGGACAAGCCGACGTACGAGCTGCTGCGGTCCATCGCGCCGGACCTCAAGATCGTCAAGGGCCGGATGGACGTGGAGGCGACGTCGCTGCCGCTGTCGCAGGTGGTGACGCACGGGTCGCTGCGCATCGGCTTCACCGAGGGCTTCACGCTGGTGTCGGCCGAGCCCGACGTGCTGCTGGCCGAGGCCAACCGTCTCGACGTCGACGTGCTGTGCTGGGGCGGCACCCACCGCTTCGACGCCTTCGAGTACATGGACAAGTTCTTTGTCAACCCGGGCTCCGCCACCGGCGCCTACACCACCGGCTGGCTCGGCAAGGAGGGCCCCGCCAAGGACGGCGCCGACGAGTCCATCACCCCGAGCTTCTGCCTCATGGACGTCCAGGGCATCTCGCTCACGCTCTACGTGTACCAGCTGCGCAAGGATGCGAATGGCGTCGAGAACGTCGCCGTCGAGAAGGTTACTTATACCAAGCCTGTCGAGCCCGCGGCAGAATCGTGATTCAATAGGGTGGGATGAGAACAAGAGACCAGAAGATGACGGCACGCTGATGCCTGGCGTGGGAAGAAGGATCAGTGCTTAAGGCATGAGATTTCGGTCGCATGAAGCGCTGCGACGAACCATGAAAAGAGGTTGTCGGTACAGCCGGGAAAGAGGAGTTAGGATCTGAGAAGAGCGCATTCAAGTTCGCAAAGAGGTTGGCCTGATCCTACCATCAAGTAGCGAGGCATAGAAGAGAAACGAGCATTGGATCCGCACCATCAAGCCAGATCAGGTCCAAGCGTGCAGATCAAAAGAAAGGATGGCTTCATTAAACATATAATTATCCAGACCTCGTCAAATACTCCAGCGCTATGACTATAAAGTGAGCCTCATCAAACCGACGGGGACGTATGCACCCCCCTTTCCACATGCTGTCGTCAAGTCTGCATGCCCCAATCTCTGACATCCTGCACAAAGAAAATCGTTCATACAAAACTGCAAAACGGCAGTTTAGATATCGATGCCGGCGTTCGTGGTTGTTCATAACATCATACTCCGTCTCCTCATCGAGACCTTGTCCTTCACCGCGGCATCCATGTCTCCTGAGCTGGTGCTGTTGAAACTGCTGTCGCCTTCCGCGGGGCCGTCCTCGGAATCAAAGCGCGACGTGGTCTTCTGAACCGTCATCGAGGCGCGCTTCCGGGGGTTCTTGCTCTTCTCGTGCGGGCCTGTGGAGGCTGCCTCGGCAGCCAGTTCCTCCCGCATTATGGAGGACAGCCTTCTCGACTTCCCAGCGCGTGAAGAGCTGGTTTTCCTGGTCTTCTCTGGTGTTGAAGCCTGCGACCCGTTGCTCTTTGGCGAAGAGCTGGTGAACTCGTAAACATCCTCCCCATCGAATATCTTGGCAACCTCGGCTTCTCTCGTTGCGATTTCTTCCAGCCGGCGGTTCATGGGTTTGTTCGATCCTTTTCCCGTTGCCAGGGCTGAATTGTCCGATCCGCCTCCTTGAACTGAATCTCGCTTCCTTCTGTCTGTCAAGTCCGTAGTGGGTAATAAATCCGAAGGCGATGTCCGTGACACTTTCCGTACCAAGGGACTGGCGGCCATTTCGGATGCAGCCGAGCCCGAGGCCGCCGGGAGATCTTTCCAGCCCTGTGACTTCTCTTCGGACTTCACAGACGGCAGGTCAATGGATTTTGAGTGACTAGTTCTCCGCATCGACTTGCCCTCTCCTGCCACGGCGTCGAATAGCTGCTTAGTAGGCCGGCGCATCTTATCCCGGAGGTTCGGCTCTGCGTAGCTGACGGCAGCCTTGGCCCTACGGCTTCCTCGGCTTGTCTCTCCTTTGGCTGAGATATCGGCAGGCGGTGGCGTATCTCTCATCTCTTCGCGAGGCGCTGCCGGCTGTGGAGAGTCGGGCATGGCCAAATCTGGCTCTGCCGACAGGGCATCTGGCGCGATATCGACGGAAGCTACCTGCACCGGCTCGGGCTCAGGGGCTGGGATCTCGACAGGTGTGGGCGCTTCCTTCATTTTCGGCTTTGCCCTCTCTTTGGTCCTCTCGCTACCCTTGAACTCTGCCTTGGCCTTCGCGATCTCGTCCAATATTGACCCCTTTGCCGATTTCTTTGGCGAATTCACTACTTCGTTCGCACTCTTGGCCCCGAGCGGCTTGCGCGGCGCTGCCGAGGGCTTTGCAGCTATCGGCTTTTCGCGTGCATCTTTTCGTGCCAAAGGAAGATGTTTGATGGGCCTGGAGGCCGGTCGATCGAGTGCAAACGGCAGGTTCTCTTTCCCACCCTTGACCAATTTCGTGGGGTCTCCTCGTGGTCTCATCTCCAGCGCGGCATCCCGTTCCTCGTCCTCTCTCGTCTTTCTCTTCAAGTTGGCCTTAGCAACTTCAGGCTCTGGTGCTGGGAGCAGTACCACGGGTCTGGAGACGGGCTTTTGGAAACTGGATTCGATCTCTTGTGGCTCCTCTTCTGCTGGCTCGTTCTCGGGCGTTGGTTCCTTGGCCTCCCTGACGAGTGGTTTCGACAAAGACTCTTCCACACTCTCTGCTTCTGAATATGACTTTGTTGGCAGACCGATCTTGACCGGATCTTCGTCCACAAACCGTGACACGGGCGGAGGCCCCAGATCGGGCGAGTCTGTGGTATCCACTGCCTCGGAGCAGAGGGCCAATATTTCCTCTTGGCTACTACCTGTCAGTTGCAGTCCAATTATGCATTTGAAGTGGAGAGAGACAAGTTACATACTTTAAGGTCTCCCGTGGACACGACTTGTTCTCCCAAAGAGGGGCCAATCTGCCTTCTTGCAAAGCAGCTGCCTCTAGCTCGCTCGTGTTCCTGCGTCTGAGCCTCGGAGAGCTGGCGAGGCCCATGCCGGGACTCATCCTCATTTTCTTGGCAGCTCGAGGCGAGCGGTTCTTGGGGATGGGCTCGTGGCCGAGGCTGGCGAGCATGGAGCCCCATTCTAGCAGCTGGGCCTCCATCTTCTCTTTGATCTCCAGCGCATGGTCGGCGATGCGCTGAGCGCGGCTCTCACGCAGTTCTGTCTCCAGTCGTAGTATCTGGCCGCGAAGCTCGAGGTTCTCAGAGAGCATGCGCGCGCACTCATTCTCCAAGCTGCGGATGCGCAGTGATTGTGTCGAATTTGTCCTGGCAATGTCTCGATTCTGTCGAAGGAATCTCCGTCGAACTGAGAACACGGTCAGCGGGAAATACAAGGCAGTGGAGGTTGCGCACTGGTGTCCAACGTACGTGTCTCTATGCAGTCTGGCGCCGCCAGGGGCTCGTTCAGTCGTGCCATGGCGCTGTTGTCTGCATGCGCTGACGGCAAGGCAAGTGCACGCTGTCGTCGTGGTCCTGTTGTGTGATCTGTCGATTAGAAGGATGCGGGTATCTGCGGTCGAAGAAGTTGGCGGAGTCGACAAAGTGCTGGCGACGCGATGTGTGCGTGTTGTGTGGTGTGCAAGGTTTTGCTGGAGGAAATGAGACACTCAAAAGATTGTCTACAAAAGCTGGAATGAAAACACACTACCGCATTGGGTATGGCGCCGTGTTATTGGCGGTGGGGTCGCAGCCCAACGAGCCTCTGCAATTGGGCCAGGAGCCTGAGAAGACGCCAGACTCCCAGAGGAGGGCCCTGAAGCTGGACCAAGCACCACCCAGACCAGGCCCCGGCTTTAGTGGCAGACAGACCACATGCGTCACACGTGGGTTTTTGCCCTCCAAAGGACAAGACAAGACTCAAGAGATCGCCCGTTCAGTCGTCACGTTATTGCCATGCAACTGATGGGAGGCGTAACAAGCAACGAATTAAGCACTGGCGGCAAACAAACATACCAACATCTCGACCTGGCCGACTGCGTGCCCTTTCCAAAGGCGAATTAGAGACCCATCTGCCACGAGGCTCTCCATCCACACTGTCCTGCCCTTCAGCCGCGGGGCTCTCCAGTCCACCCAAGCCCCAGACCAACACACAAAGGGTCCTCCCTCGACCGTCGCTTCGCTGCGCAGAGACAACACGCACTACTTCGCCCCAACAACTCGACTGCCATGGCATACTCTACGAGGTCGCTCTCCGGCCACCTGCGCCAGAGCTCGGCTGCAGGCAACTTCAACTCACAATCCTCCGGGCAGTCCAGTGCTCTACAAGCCCGCATCAACGAGAAGAAGGCGGAACTCGCGAACCTGAAAGAGCTCAAAGACCTGAGCGCGGCAGTCGCAGACCAGATGGAGGCACTGGAGCAGAAGCTCTCGACGCTCTCGGACGGGACAGAAGGTACAGTCTGACAGGAGGAAAAACCCTATCTCGGACCAGCCAACTAACCTCGGGCCAGCAATCGCAACGGTGCTCGGCAACTGGCACAACGTCTTACGGGCCATCAACATGGCGTCAGGTGCGATTACACTACCCAGACTCATCATATGGGCGTAGCACGCCTCCGGCTAACCATAGCGAACAGCCAAGTTACCCAAACCGCGGGAAGACCAAGCATCCACGACCGACGACGGAGATTCTGTCCCGCTGCCGCAGACACTGGTGCGAATACCTACGGAACATGCGCCGGCCTTGCAGGCGCAGGCTGAAGGGCTAGAAAGCCAGAACAACTCTGCCTTGTCATGAATCATATCCGGCACTGCAACAGGCCAGCCGGTGTGTAATAGTCTGGTCCGGTCACTCAGCTTTTTGAAGCACGACATGGTGGGCCGCTATGGGAGGTTGGATCACAAGCATGTGGCACCCGACGACTTCATCGAACATGCGGATGGTGGCATGGCCTTCATTCCCCCACCGGGGATATGCGCAGGCTCGAAATGCAACGCCGTCCACAGTTGCATTCTTGTGTGGCTCCAGAGGGCTTATCGTCTGTCAGTGGTGACGGGCACGCTCTGCTACCTACTACTACCATGGGATGTACATAGTATTGCTGCAAACCACCTTCCCTGCCTACCTAGGTATGGGTGGGCCGTGGGCCAACGCCTCATTGCGGGGCGGGCGCGTTCAGAACGCGTGTTAGTCAGCCGTTGCTTGGGGGAAATGCGACCAAATTGTTTGGACGCCGCGGGCTGCGTCGGGGACTGCCGCCAATCCGTAGCATAGTGACTACTATGGTACCCCTGATCTGACGGCCGGTCGGACAGGAACTCGCGCCGCTTGTCCAAGACTGCATGCAATCGCAACACGCAGCAGGGACGGCCCAGGTCAATAACAACAACAAACCCCGCCTGTACGGCTGGCTAGAACTACTTGTCCTGCGCACATAGTAAATCCTCAGAATTCTCCTCCCTGGACAGATCTCCATACGTTCACAGTGTTGTATTGTCAGCCAAAGCCAAGGTCGAGAGAGGGCCCCGCTGGCTCCGAATTAGTACACACTGCGCGTCTTCGTCCCCGTGCTCGATCCCGAGATTGTCATTTCTGATCGACCCTTGCTATTATGCTCATCTAAGCCGTATTCGTCAAGACCACTCAGTCTCTGGCTCCTAGGGGGGATCCGTCTACATTGCCATCCCCCGGATTGAAAAGCGGGCACGATGGCACCCACCACCCAACCCTCCGACTTCGATGTCTTCAGCGACACGAGCCTAGACACCACCAGCGGAGCTGACCAGTCCAGCGTTGATCTTGGTAGCAACAAGTTTGCCGCTTTGCGTAGCATTTCCGTCTCCAACACCCAGAATTCCCAGTCCAGGCAACCGGGCGCAGGCCGTGCTGTGGAGTCGCTGGCTGCTGAGCTCAAGAAGCTGCACATAGGCGAACCCCACGAGATCAGCCATTTCAAAGGCAAAGCCAACGCAAAGCCTCAGACCGGAACCCGCCTGGCACAAACTGCAGTCGCACACAGCAACTTTGAAGTGCTTGAAACAGTCCCCGAAGACGAGAATCACAACCCCTCCGGATCCGCGGCTGTTAGTGTTTCGGATAATAGCCAACATTACATCGAGCTCTCAGGTAAGATATCTGCCATTGATCTGGCTTACCACGCCCGTCTTTTTCTAGCGACGCTGACATTGCGCCTTGAAGCGAACAATTACGCCCAACATCCTCTGGCATTAGCCGCGCGTAACCTGCCGTCCGCCCAGGACCAACTCCTGAAACATCGTGAAGGGGACTTTGAGTGGGTACTTACCTTCAAGATTCCGAAGCAACCGCGAAAGCACAGTGAATCTACTACAGCGGGACGTGCGACATCTGGCAAGACCACCAAGGTTTTCTTCGGCTGCAATTTGATCCCAAGCACAGCGCCATCCGAGGGCAGCACCGGAGACAAGGGCGACCTTTCGCAACCTACATATACCCTCCTAATTACGCCATTGGAAAACAGCCCCGAACTAGAGACTGCGACAGAGTCTGCAAGCGGCGGGGACGATATGGCTCTGGCAAGGTCCGAAGTTGGACATGTTACGCCAGTCAAGGCGTTTCATTCCCAGCCACAGGTCAGGATCGAGGAGGTGTCACCAGCGTCCGGCCAAGTACCAGAAGGAGATAGTTTTGTAGAGATCATTACGTCGAGAACACCACAAAGGCCGGCTGCCCGGATCGAAGATTCATTCGAGGCTATCGACAACCTTGAAGAGCAGCTCGAGGCGTTCAATGTTGCTGCTCATGTGAGCAATGTGGCCTCGCATGATGCAGAGAGGCTGCCTTCGAGAGCCAACGGACCTGCTTCATCATCGAACGCTCAGCACGAGACGAAACACTCGACTCCTCAACCCCGGAAACCAAGCGCTGGGGCAGGCAATTCCGCAGGCCTGAAAAGGTCTCCAAGCGTCCGCATATCGCCATCCATGGCCCATCGTGATTCGCCAAAGCACAAGCTTGACTCACCAAAGTTGAAGGTGGAGGATAAACCGCTGGTTCAGGCTCCGCCCAGAAAACCAACAAACAAGGGTTTGACGAGCCTGTTGCCCCCCAAGCAACTGGCGAAGTCGTCGAGGCCATCTACTGTCCCCACCTTTGAGCTCCCTGGCGAGGCCGTTGCCCGTCGTCTGAAGGAGCAACGGGAGGCTCGATTGTCGATGGACCCGAAAGCGCAGCCACCGCAGGCGTCGTCAAACCCGATGCTCAGACGAACCAAATCTGCCAAACCGCCTACGAGGCCCACCTTCGAGCTCCCTGGCGAAGCGATATCTCGCCGTAAACGCGAGGAAAGAGAAGCGAAGCTCAGGGCTCAGGAGGAGGAGGAACGCAAACGTAGGGAGTTCAAGGCGAAGCCCATCCGCGCAGCGCCCGCTCCCAGCTCTGCTGTTCGCGGTACGATTACAAGCCGTGCACGACAAAACAATGGTGCTCTACCCGAGAACATAGCCCTTCAAACATCTCAAACCCCAAACAAGCGAGCCTCGCTTGTGGTATCTCGCGAGCCACTCTCGAGCACGAACAACCAAAGTCAACCTCGTGGACGTCTTCTTGCAGCAAATTCCTCCGAAGCGAGTCGCGCAACGTCAACATCTACTGGTAGCATCAGTGGGAAGCGCAGCTCAGTGTCTATCGAGGACGTCCAGCAGCAGCGTCTCCGCGGAAAGGAGGTCCTACAGCGAGACAGCATGTATTCCAAGGACCGAGAGCGCGAGAAACGCGAACGTGAAGCCCTGGCTCGTCTGGCAAGAGAGCAAGCAGCAGAGCGCTCGCGTCTGCTAAGCCGACAATGGGCTGAGAAGCAGAAGCGCAAGCGAATGACTATTGGTTCGATAAATGACGCAGTGGCGTCGTCTTCATAGCAGAGTCAAGCAGGCACGTGGGGTATGCGATGAAGGATACGTAAAGACATGGAGGAGGTAGCGAGCACGAGACACGTGGTGGTCGAAAGACAATGTCGGGGCCTGAGGTCCAGGGGGTTGACTTGATTCTCCTAACAAAAGTGTTTAGCATCTGCATGGTTTTAAAGCGCCGGGTCTGGCGTTTACAAAAGGGACATGCAGACAACTGTTGTTCTTGATGTCTGACTATGGCATCACTGGGTGGAGTACGGATTTTTGTTTTCACTGGACTCGACACTCCGCAAATCCAAACTTGTCGGTCAGCATTCGCAGACGTCGAGTGGACCTGTGGAGTTGCGTGGGGTTTGGTTTCCAGCACTTAACAGACTAAATTATCACGAGGATGCTTAATGGCAGCTTTGACTTGTCTATATACTAGTCGTCCCGGGTCTAGACGATGAAGGCGGCCGCTTGTTGCATCCCCAATGTGCAGACTAGCGATCCCAGCTGGCACGTGGTGCTGTGAGACCTGAAGAATGGTTAGCCAAGCCCTCGGCAGGGGTCGTTCTGTAAGCCGCTGCATACCATTAGCCTACGAAGGGGCTGAAAGCAGCCGCGCTGGTTGGAGGAAATTCTGATGGTAGGCTACCCAAGCTGTTCAAATGTGTTTAAATAGAACGTAGTATATTCGCTGAGAACCCCCGCGTTGTCCAGAACAAAATGTTGGTAGGCTCCGAACGCCACGACGCACGGCGTTGGATTTGGATCGATGCCACTGCTTGGGTAAGCTGCTCGTAACACCGTGCAGTGAGGTCTTTTATTCTTCTGTCCTTTTTTGGCATGCCTTTTTGGGCAGGACTATCACCTTTCATGATTGTGATATGACGAACATCGGGTCATCGTAGACTTGAGGGGCTCTGACGTTGAAGGATTGCGCAGCCTCAATGATCCGCTTGTTTGTTGGTTGGCGACCGGTATAGCATATACTGTCATCTACAGTGGCAAGGCAAAATCAGGGAAGCAGACTATCTAGGGAGCTCGAGGATTGATCCTAATGCGATAGCTGGGCCAAACACCCACGGCGCGAGCGTTGGATGCCGCAACTAGGCAATTCACAACGACGGGCCCATCACGCAAGATGGCGAGAGCGACGGCTTCTTGGCATTTCCCGGCCTGTTGGTTAACGCTGTTAAGGTTAATGTGGGCAATCTTGGTAGAACATTTGCTTGATTGCAACTAGATTGCGGTCTAGACCGACCCAATCATGCAGGGTCTCTCTGTGGTCTCCAAGTGGTCTGCTTTTAGCGACGGCCCTCCGCGCAGCGCGTGCTGGCCGGCGCTGAGCCTGCTGCGAGGAAGAGTCAGCGACCAACATCCAGATCAGGAGCTAGAAACCGCATGCACAGCCAATGCGAGCGACTAACGGCTGCACCTACTTGTAAGCGTCGGACCAGGCGGATCCAACTCGTCTGGACCCGACGGCTACGGTACCTTGGAAGAAACGTGGATCAGCAACCAACGGGGCCCGCCTCCGCGGGGGAACTGGAGACACTGCGTGCTTTGTGTGTGTGGTAACAGCATGTACCGACTTGCAGGTGGGAACGAGCCCCCAGCCCTGCACGTCAAGTTGTCTGGACGTCGGCATGGTCGGGTGTCGAGAAGCCAGGTACATAATATTGACGGCCCCTGGTCAAACACATGAACAGGACCCCTTTCGTCCCTCTTGATGATTTTGTCACTGGTCTACCAAGAGCTTCCCGTGAAGCAATACGAACATACACACGCCTATGATCAAGTCTGCCGTCTACGCCTCAGAGCTTGCGCGTCGAAAAGATAACTCCCTAGTCTCTGATACCGCATTCGGCAATTGACGCTCTACCCCGGCAGGAGATCTCGCAGCGCCCAGCGCCCAGCGCGTGCCAAGAAACGTGTGCAACCCCCCCACCAATCCACGTCAACCAGCTCCTTTTGGGTTTTCCTATCGTCGTCTCTTCTCACATGCACTCCGAGCCCGAGAAACCTCCCACATGTCCGCCCAAGATTTATGAAAAGCACGGCCGCGAGAAGGCCGTAGACATCAGCATCGACGAGATTGGCTCTTCGTCTTCTGGCGACAGCAGCAGCGACCTCGAGAGCAACCGGGGAGGAGGAGGAGGGCCCGACGAGATGCCGGCCAGCAAGAAGCCGTCCTGGTGGTCCCGCTACTCGGGATACCAGAGGCTCAGGACCCTACCGCCCAGCAGGACGCGCCGCGCCGTCTTCTTCGTGACGTCCGCCTCGGCCATCACCGTCGTTGCGCTGATTATCTGGCTGCTGCGGACGGGGCATCTCAACGGCCTGCCGCAAAAGGTACGTCGCAATCGCAAGAAGTCCGGGGTTGAGAGACTACTGTAAGGGCGCTGAGAATCGGGGGCGTCGGGGATGTCTCACGACGCTGCATGTCCGATCCACTCTGGCGGTAGTTCCGCGGCGAGACCTGCAGCGCCAAAACACCATCGGGCCTCGAGTCTGCGTTTCAATATCTCATGTGAAGCTGACTCGTGTTTCAGGAAAACGTCAAGGTCACTATAGCACAAGGCACGTACTTTGGCGAGGTCACAGCCAAATCAGATAAATATCCCCGGTCTGTGGATGCATGGCGGGGAATACCGTACGCGCAGAGCACCGGCGGTGAGAATCGGTTTCGCCCTCCCCAGCCGTTGTCAGACACCCCCACACCAGATGTGGTGTACGATGCCCGTTCCTTTGGCTCCGTCTGCGGAGGTGGTGGTGACGAGGATTGTTTGAACCTGAACGTCTACAGGCCGCATTTCGGAGCAGACCCGGCAGCCGATGCACGGGACATGGCGAAGCTGGGAGGCGAGGATAAGAAGATGCCTGTCGTCGTCTACGTGCACGGTGGAGGTTTCAACGGCGGCTCCGGAAAGGAGAGGAACATGGCGAGCTTTGTGAGCTGGGCCGAAACCCCGACCGTTGGCATCAGCTTCAACTACCGCGTTGGAGCGCTTGGCTTCCTGCCGAGCGCCTTGACTCGGAAAGAGGGTGCCCTCAATCTCGGCCTGAAGGATCAGCAGATGCTGCTTGCTTGGGTACAGAAGAACGTGGCCAGCTTCGGGGGAGACCCGGATAACGTCACTCTGATGGGCTTGAGTGCTGGAGCGCACAGCATCGGCCATCAGCTGATCTCTTACGCTCCGGCGAACAAGCTTACCTCGAGTGCGGCACCATTCCACAAGGTTATCATCGAATCCGGCGGACCAACAGCGCGTGCCGTTTTTGCTCCCACACATCCTTTGCACGAGAAGCAGTTCCGAGAGTTTCTCGTCGCCTGTGGGTTGTCGGACACTCCTGACGATGATGTCTTCAACCAGCTTCGAGCACTTCCGCTGTCCAAGATCAAGTCTGCATCCAGCAGCATCTGGAATAAGTACAACGGTAGTTTGAGGTGGGCTTTCCAGCCGTCGATTGACGGGCCGGGAGGCGTGGTTCCTGACTTGCCGCGTCAGTCTTGGGAGAAAGGCAATGTTCTGCGCATTCCGATCATGACGGGGTTCAACACTAACGAGGGTGCCATCTTTGTTCCCGCCGGAGCATCGGACTCAAGCGCTCTTCGCAAGCTTATGGGTGGTATTATCCCAGCACTGAACGAAACCAGTCTGACTCTCATGGAGAGCATCTACCCGGACCCTCTCAACACTACTGAGGGCAAGGATATGTACATCATCAAGCCTCCCGGCGGGTTTGGGAAACAGTTCTGGAGACTCGATGATGCGTATGCGCACTATGCATATATCTGCCCAGTTTTACAAACGGCTCACTACGCGTCGACTTCGGACTCGAAGTCACCTGTCTACGTCTACCACTTCTCCGCGCGATCCCAGGCCCATGGTGCCACTGATCACGGTGACGAGGCTCCTGTTGTCGCTCACGATATGGCCGTGCTGTCCAACTTCCCGGGTCTCCTCAAAACGGCCGATGCCATGACCGGCTTCTGGTCCCGCTTTGCCGCCTTCGGAGACCCGAACTTGGTGTCTGCCGGCACCGCTTCAACATCCGGGACGACATGGCAGAAGTTTCAGAGTCCGTTCTCGAATACAAGCGACAGCACCGCTGGCGACAAGGGCCGCGTTGCACTCTTTGGCGAGGGCAATGATGAACGCATGCTCGCTCGCGGGCGCTCTGCCCCTGGCACCCCGTCACAAGTCGTCAGCCTGACGGATCGGGAGTTGGAGGAGTGCCGGTACTGGTTTGACAGGGTGATCTACAGTGAGGGTTTCGGCGATGGGAATGTTACTTTCACATGATTCTCAGAGAGGGCGACGCAACTTCTTTTTTTCTTCTCTCTATGCGCTGTATGCATGAGTGGTATCGCATTGGGGTTATTGACTGGTTTAGAGCGACTGTTCTACGGAGTTCGGGAGTTTAGTCCTTGCAGAAAAGGGGGCATGAGACAAAGACTCGGGCATAGCATGAAGGTTCACTGGCGTTTCTGGCGTTTTGAAAGATTTACAGAGCCCCCGAAAGATGGGGTCTCGCCTGTTCATACGGTTCTGCTTCGAGAGCCTGCTTTCTCGCCCGTCAGCTGGCACAGACAGGTAGGGCTTTGCCCATAGAGATGCACATGGTACATATCAATACTTAAATATGAATCAGAGAGTGCTCACTGGCCTCGCGGGTTTTATTCGACACGCTAAATATGTCTTCGTAGGCTACTTACACCTTGGGTCGTCGCCGACTTCCACATATAGCTTCAACCTCACGCTTTCCACGCCTGGTCTTCTCCCCGTCTCTCATCTCTCCATAGATTGACTGTAGTATCGGCATAAGAGGCAAGTCTTGCTTCAATAATCGACTCCTTCGAACCAGGTATGCTCGAGCGCTTGGCGGGCAGGAATCCGCCGGGAAGGGTCCAAGTCGGTCAGCTTTCGAATGAGGTCCCTGAACGGTGCATCATGCTCGACTTCGGTCCAGTCCGAGAACGGGTCGTAGGGGATGTAGTCTGCCTTCCGATCTTCCCAGAGCATCTTCAAGATTTGGCAGCTGACCTCCTCGTCGCCAACGTGCTTCATTAGGCCATTCAGGCCTTCCTGGTCTCCAAAGTACGAAACCTGGCGCTGGAGCCGGATCATGGCTGGCAAGGCACCCTGCGCCATATGCTTTCGAAAATCATCGTCAGGTCCCAGGATAACGCGACCTAGCATGGCGAAGATACACTGATGGAATCAGTCGTCGGCACTTCGAAAACAGATGGTAAGATGGACAAGACTCGGGCAGAGTCCGCTGGGTAATATTGCAGATAGTTTTACTTACGACGACCCCGAACGAGAATATGTCGGCCGGTTTGTTCAGCTCACCCTTGAGATGCGCCTCAGGGCTACGCCAGTTGTCATTGCCGGCAAGCATCCCTTTGATGCATCTCCCTTTGGGAAGGTAAGCGGCGTTCTCGAGGTCTGCGATTTGTACCTGCTCCACCGTAATCGTTGGGGGATCCCCGTGGCAGTCGACCATGATGTTGTCGGGTTTGATATCTATTGTGGAAGGTCAGCTCCTTCAGGTGCTCACGACGGATGAGAGAGTGGAATGCAACACGAAAAGGGTGTTATGTACCTAGATGGACAATGTCATAGTCGTGCAGCTCGGCAATACCTAGCAAGCTAGCCTTGAGAATCTGCTTCCTGGCTCGCATTGAAATTCCCTTATTGACCAGGTTCGAGAAATCATCGGTGAGATATCTGTAGACGAGTACGCGCTGGTCTGAAATGGTATCTAGAGGAAGTCGACTATGCACCGATTTACCGCGAAACCTCGGCAGTATATTCTCTTTAAAGCCGGCGAAAATCGCGTCGGGGACAACTTTCAAGATAAACTTGTCACTGCCGGATCTGCTGTTCTGTTAGTCTGCATTCTCGACAACATCGGAGTGACGCTCGGACGTTGCCAACCAGACACGCCCCACGTGCGGCCGCTCTTGAATCAATTGACTGAAGACGTAACGACGCCCAGTGGCTCCGATCAAGTCGCTGGGGAAAGATGACACCGTGGTGCCTCGACGGAGCATGGTGTGGCTGCTGTGAACATCACCAGCTGCGCCGTCTTGATAGTAAAGCGAAAACAGTCCTCCTCACTCCATATACACCAAGAGGAGTTGCGTGCCCCTAACATCAGCAGAAGCGGAGCCTCGATCTTATAGCGCCACGTGCCCGAAGTCATATAGCCCGAGATTGAATCTCCGGGTTTTTAACGAGCCCGCTATAAATCGACTATCTTTTAGTCTCATACACAGCAGTATGCCACATCGTGCGTTTGTGGGCAAATAGATGTTGAAAGTTTCACCTAGCCACAAGTTATTCTTATGATCAAAGTATCGAAAAACTGCCAAGGATTCACTAGTCCTTAAAACACATGTCTCGGTATTATCTAGTGAACTACATAGCTTGCAGCATGCACAACTCAGCCAGTGCCAGCCAGGGTCCGTATGGAAGAAGCATATCCGAAGGACTTAACAAGAGTCCTCTTATATAGCATCGCTCTGTGCGCACACATGATGCACATCGACTTTGCTCCGTGGGTTGCTGAATGTCAAACAAGAGTATTTATAGACACCCATCAACCATAAAAATGACAGTCAGTTCTTCCAATGCTACGTTTGGCCAGTGCTGCAGGTGATATTGTTGGCTGCTAGAATGCACAAACGTGCGGCCAAGCGGCGTGGTACCCCGCTGTTGGTCGTATGTAAATGGTTGTGACGGGCTCCGCTGGCAAGTAAGGGGATCCTGAGTGATAGGCGTGGAGACTGCTTGGCTGTTGTAATACTTCAGCATCGGAAAAATCGACACTGAGAGGGCCGTTGGAGTTTTCTGCTCCATCAAGTGACTCGTATATTCTACCAGTGGTAATGGCCGTCGACAAGTTACTCTCTGCCCTTTCCAAGGAGATCTCCCCGGCATCTAGGATTCTGAAGGATAGAAACACGCCAGCATTCCAAACCTCAATGGAACGCTGGTCGAACCTGAACAAGAAGACCCCATATGGCATTGTCCAGCCTGCCACCGAACAGGATATTCTCCTGGTAGTTCGGAAGGCCTTGGACTTCTCCGTCCCCTTTGTTCCTGTGTCAGGCGGCCACAGTACATGGTCGAGCATCGATAAGAATGGGGTCGTGATCGACCTCAGCACTTATACCGGCGTTGCGGTCAATACTACACAAGACACTGCGACGGTCAGGGGCGGGACTCTGATGAAAGAGCTCCAGACTGCTCTACATCCCTACAAGCGGTTCACTGGTAGGTGAAAGTAATTGACCCGTATTTTATAGTATATGGACTTACATGAATGGCAGCTGTGGGTAATGGAAGCACCGTTGGTGTGATTCCATACTAGCTCAACGGCGGCATCAGTATCTACGGTCCCTTTGTTGGTTACGGGTGTGAGAACATCGTAAGCGCGAAGCTGGTCAATTCTAGCGGTGAATTAGTAGAAGTCTCTCAAACCCAGAGCCCAGATCTTCTGTGGGCGATCTGTGGCGCTGGCCAGTTCTTCGGTCTGGTCACCGAGCTGGTCATCAAGACGTACCCTATGCACTGCTGGGCAACTAGGATGACCAGAGGATGTGCGGAACCTTTATGTTCCCGCCCGAACAGATTGAAGCCGTGAGCGCGGCCGTGCAGCAGATTGCGGAGAACAAGGATCATGTTAACGCCGGTCATGTCATGATTGTGCAAGCACCGCCGGACCTGAAGCAGCAAGTGCTGTTCGTCGCGCCGCAGGTCTTCTGCTCGGCGGCGGAGGCAGCCAGACTCTTCCAGCCGCTCAAGGACATCGGCCCTATCCAGGAGGCCCTGGTGCCGTCCACATTCGAGACGCACAGCGACCACCTCGACTGGGTCGGCGTCAAGGGAGAGTTCAAGCGCTTTAGCCAAATTGGCCTCAAGGGCTGGGACACCGACAACTTCAAGCTGCTTGCCCGATTGCACAGCGAGCTTGTTGCAGACTGTGCTGACGCTGCGCGTTCCGGATATTCGGTCGAGTGGCACTCGCCCTGTAAGAGCCCGAGGGCGCTCAACACGTCTTTCGGGCTCGAAGATGTGGACTATTGGCTGTGAGTACCCAGTTCCATAAGACCTATGTCGAGAACACTTACGATCCCGGTCGCCAGGAACGTGCTTAGCTGGTATAGCGACGCCGCCAACCATGATTTCGTAGGTGAGATGGACGAGAAGGCACAGGCAGCTATGCGTGTCGGCACGGAACCGCACAGATTCGTCGCATACACGAACACATCGCGCGACGGCCCTATCGAGTTCCGGTACAAGGGCGTGGAAAGGATCAGTCGGCTCCAGGGCCTCAAGAGGCATTATGATCCTGAGGGCATCTTCACTAGAGAGGTACTATGATTTCGGAGTCCAGGGAGTCCACGTGTTAGCCGTAGTAGGCGGCTCCTAGGTGTTAGGAACATTCCAGATTCCAGATTCACAGCTAAGCTAGAAAGAAGTTGCCAAGGATGGATCCCTCATAGCTAGTATGAATACTTCGAAGGTCATGTTTCTCTTTCGTGTCTTGTTGAAAGGGGAAGTCTGAGGTACCGCAGTACGGTAAATCCTCACTTACAACACGGATTACGGAGCATAAGGTCGTGATCAGATCTTTGACCTCGTATCATACTTGGCAATTCCGTATCAGATACACACATTTCGTCAAGTTCAATCCTGGATTATACCAATTTCTTTTGAATTGAGTCGCTCGCGTCCTAGATGCTGTCTAGAAGTCCGATTTGTCTACATCCCCGATGCAAACGGGAGATTGATAAGCCACGCACACCGAGGTCTCGGCCCGCAAGTTACAATCAGGTAGAGTCTGCCGCGTTACACGATAGAAGGGGGCTGCATCACCCCGGTTTTTCTTTTCAGGACTATAAAATTAACCGCCCGAATGCATAAGCCACCGAATCATGGGGCCTCCCATGGCCCGTCAAAACGCCTGGCTCAATGTTTTAAAAACTACTAAATACAGGTGGCTCGGTGGTTTACGAGTTGCTAGGCAGCCTCCGCCATGGGCGTGGACGCTACTGGTGTTGAGGCCACGGGGGTGGCGACACCCGCCAAGGCGGCAGCAGAGGGCGTGGCCGCCGTTGAAGGGGTAGGGGATGGCACCGGCGCCGGCGTTGGAGTTGGCACTACGGCTTTATCGCCCCAATCCGATCTGTCCAGCTTGATGTAGGCCTGCTGGAGGACCCTGTAATCCGTAGATCGGCCGTGGAGCTCCAGCGCCTGTACCCAGTCTCGCATCTGGATATTCTTTCCTTTGGCGGAGTCCTCGCGGAGCTCGCCCAGTTTCTGGCTAGGATCTTGCGTGAGAGGTCCTTTGGTGTTTCGGCCACTGGAACCTCCCGCGCCGCTTGCGGGGCCTGTGGCAGGGCCTCTCGGTGTGCTCGCTCCACTGCCTCCACCACCCCCTGCCATCCAAGAGTACTTCTTTCCCTTTCTGCCCATGAATTGGTTCACCGTTGAGTTGACAGTCACACTGCTGGTATCTTGTAACCGAGCGGCCTTCTTGCTTTCCTTCTTCGACATGGGCTTGGTCTCTGACTGGTCGGGGGCGGCCGCACCAGGAGTTCCCGGGGCTACCGAACCAGAACGAGAGGCGTTGGCACCATCTGGATTCTTCTCCCTCTCGGCCGCCTGTTCAGCACGCTTCTGGCGCTTCCTCAGTCGGGCTTCCTCTACATCACGAGTCCTCTTTCCTAGGGTGACCATTGTGCCTGCAAACTGATTTGTCGGCGATGGCTCCGATACAGGGGTGGGCAGGCCATTGCTCAGCTCGCTTGCGGGACCTTTCATATGCCGTCAGTATCTAAGGAACGTAGCACACATGCAAACCAACTTACGCTTGAGCGGATTCGTGCGAGGGCTGACTGCACTATCCATATTTCCACGAGGCTCGGCAGCATCGGCCCATTCTTGGGGGATGGCGCCATGGGCACTCTGCTGGCGATTGCAGGCGACCAGGTTTGCCTCAGCTAGGAGCTCACCCATTCGTTCCTTGGTTGCAAGGGAAAGCAGGGCTATCTGGTCAATTAAGTAGGAATCCTTGGGCAGGAAAGATCCCTTTGTGGACACTATTGTGCCATCGGGGGAAGTCTTGGTCGTGACTCTGATCTCGGGCTTCTCCCAAGTGTTAGGGTGAGAGAAGCGGCCCAAGGGCGCACTGGGGTTCGGGGGTTTGGGATCCAGGTTTAGTTCCAGATTGTGATGGGCAGCAATCTTGCTCATGCGGTAGTGCATCATGCCCGGATGTATAAAGCCTTGACTGAGGACCTCTGAGACGACCGAGGTGGCATAGCGATGCGCTGCCTCGTTCCAAGCGCGGTCTGCCGTTTCTGCCACCAGCTCCTCCTGCGTCTTGGCCTGGACATCTTCAGGCGGCTGATTCGCCGGGCCGGCACCAAACAGAGAGCCTCTGCCTCGGGGAGGAAAGGCACCAAATCCGGTCCTAGCCTCAAACTCGTTCATCAGTTGCTCCTCCTCGTCGAGGTTGATGCCAGTGCCCTGTAGCGTGTCGTCCATATCGTACGCGTACGTTTTTGCCTGCACCGGGGGCTTGATGGCCGTTGCCAGAGGTGGCCCCATGGCACCGGTAGCCGGAGTGGTCGCCGACTGCGGTGCTGGTGAGAATGTAGCATTGGAGTAAACGTGAGCCGCCGGGGTGGGAGGCTGGCTGATTTGAGATGTCTGTGGCAGCATGGGGCTCGGGGCCTGAGGCGTCGCGTGGTTGACGTTGGCCTGCCCAGGCGGCGCGCTGTAGCGGGATGCGGTGGTGCCGGGGGTGACGCGACCGTTCGGCTGTGCAATCGGTGCCGTGTTGTATTGTGGATGCTGGTATTGGTGTTGAGTCTGGGGCTGAGACTGTTGTTGCTGCTGCTGCTGCTGCTGCTGTTGCTGCTGCGGCTGTGGGGGATAGGGCGTCGATGGGGAGGCAAGTCCAGAAGTTGGCGTCCGCACAGCTGGACTAGCATGGCCAGGACCAGGGCTGTTGGCGTAGGACGTCGTCGGAAACGTCGGCGAGCGGGCATCTGGTGTTGCTCGTGGCCGTACCGGCTGCTGTGGTTGCTGCTGCTGCTGCTGCGGCTGTTGAGCAGGATGGCCCTGCTGGCTCAAGGTCGGCGAAGGGCTATGCTGCTGCTGCTGGGGTATAGCTGGCGAGAAGGGCCTGTTCTGAGGCAGCGACTGGGGCGCCGTCTGAGCCATGGTGGGCTGCTGCTTCGACATGACGAGTGCGTCGTCGGAGCGCTTTGGCTGTTGCTAGCTGTGTATCAGGGCACGAAGCGGCGAGCGGCTGGGCGCGCAATGGATCGCAAGTCTGGCTGGAGCTGGGGCGCGCGGCACGAGGCGGGGCGAAGCGGGATGGCGACGGCGAGAGGAAGAGGCACCTTCCAAAGTCGACTTGCTGCTCTCGGGGATTTTGCCGTCCTGCACCGGGAGAACAGTCAAGGGTGAGATGGAAGGCGCACGAGGAAGGTGGCGGGAGGGGAGGTCGTGAAGCTGGGCACCTCTGGTAGGCCTACAGCCTAATGCGCAGACACGGTCACGACCCCATCCGTGTGCCGGTCACAGCCGTAGCCCTGGGCGCGGAATGGTGGGACGGACGCGACGGCGGAGGCGGGGCGTCGATGGGAGCTGGCGTCGCGGCCCGGTCGGGGATGGCGGTGGTGTTGTTGTCGTCGTGGGCGGGATCGTGTTGAGAGGAGTGAGTGAATCGCAATTGGAAGCTCTCCGTCTCCCCCCAAATCTTTCCCTCGTTACACAGTGCACCAAAGGCCAAAGGGGGACCCACAGCCCGCCCAGCCCGCCCAGCCCAGCCAGCCCAGCCAGCCCAGCTTGCCAGCCGCCCAAGCGCGACTTGAGCGACCTGAGCGACTTGGGTTCGGGGGGTTTTGAGCCGCATGGACCACGTGACCTGGCTACCTGGCTACCTGGCTACCTGGCCACAGCGGCTGTACTGTACCTATGGTCCTGTATGTTCGTTCGTGGAGCATTCACAGCCTGGGCAGCCGAGACCAGAGTAGCCCCGTCGTTGCACTGCATCGCACTCGTGGTTTCTCTGTCCTGTCTTGGTGGGATAGCTAGAGCTGGCAATTCGCCTCTACCTAGGTATTCACCACCATCTCCCCTGCCTAGGTACCGTCTGCCCGTGGGCGAGGTACCCACGGTGATTACATAACGCCTGCATCCGCCCGGCATTTAGTGACCTCCAGCTACGGTAGGGAGCTGCCTGGGTCCAGTACCACTGTACCTACAGAGTAGTGCCTACCTAGCTAGCTACCTCGGAGCGGCTCTCACTTCATTATTCGCGACTTTGCGCCAAACCTTGGACGGACCAACCTCGACTCTCAGCATCGTTCGAAGCGCCCCGAAAGCCCTGCTGATTGTGCGCCTTGGCAACCTCGCGTCAAGACTTGGGACGCGTACTTCGCTATTGTGCGGATGGACTGACCCTCACGACCTCCCCCAGGGACACCGCCGTCGCCACACCGCACGCGCTGCCCACCGGCTGTCGCCCGCCCTCCCAACTCGTCCCATCCACCTCGCCAGAGATCGCAATGGCCTCGAAGCGCAAGGCCTCGGCCATGGGTGCCACCGTCAGCGATGAGCCTGTCGACCCCGCCGATGAGCTGATGTTCCTGTGCCTGGGTGGCGGCAACGAGGTTGGCAGGTCGTGTCACATTGTCCAGTACAAGGGCAAGACCGTCATGGTGCGCTCCCTCCCCTCTACCTGCTCCGAACCCCCACGCAACCTTTTCGCCTGCACCCGAGACTAAATCGTGTGCCTCTTGTAGCTTGATGCTGGCCAGCACCCTGCCTACGACGGCCTGGCTTCCCTTCCCTTCTTTGACGAGTTCGATTTGAGCACCGTCGACGTCCTCCTCATCACCCAGTAAGCGAATCCCAGTACAACACAACATATCTATCCCCTTTGTCCTATCCTACCATCTCCCATCTCTCCCCCCTCCCCCTGTAGAACCGTAAGTCAAGGGCGTCATGTTAGTCGATGTAGGGCAATCAGGTATCTTTGGGCTTGGCAAGAACTTATCAGAGAACAACCAATGTGTCTTCCACCGTATGCCTATGCTCGAGCTATCCGCAGCTTCTAGCCCAGCCTATGTATTCAGCTATCAATACAAGATATTCTCTCGTTGCCCAGACCGGTTCCCGCATTGACTGCCGTGATGTTCCCTTTCTCTCTGCACCCTCACCCCCCCTCGGCACTTGCCTGTGAGCACGGTCAGGATCTCCCGCTGACATTGGCACAGTTTCCACATAGATCATGCCGCCTCCCTGCCCTACGTTCTGGCCAAGACCAACTTCAAGGGCAGGGTCTTCATGACACACCCGACAAAGGCCATCTACAAGTGGCTTATAGCAGACAGCGTCCGCGTTGGCAACACCTCGTCCAACCCAACCTCCCAGCCCGTCTATACCGAGCAGGATCACGAGGCCACCTTGCCCAGAATTGAGGCCATCGACTTCCACACTACCCATACCGTCTCCTCCATCCGCATTACCCCTTATCCTGCTGGCCATGTCTTGGGTGCCGCCATGTACCTGATTGAGATCGCCGGCCTCAAGATCTTCTTCACCGGTGACTACTCGAGGGAGCAGGATCGACACCTGGTCTCCGCCGAGGTTCCCCGAGGCGTCAAGATCGATGTCCTCATCACCGAGTCGACGTACGGCGTGGCAAGTCATGTGCCCAGATTGGAAAGAGAGCAAGCTCTGATGAAGTCCATCACCGGCATACTCAACCGAGGGGGCCGCGTTCTCATGCCCGTCTTCGCCTTGGGTCGGGCTCAAGAGCTATTCCTCATCTTGGATGAGTACTGGGCCAAGCATGACGAGTACCAGAAGTTCCCCATCTACTACGCGAGTAACCTCGCTCGTAAGTGCATGGTGGTCTACCAAACCTACGTAGGCGCTATGAACGATAACATCAAGCGCCTATTCCGCGAGCGTATGGCCGAGGCCGAGGCGGCCGGTGAGGGAGTTGGCAAGGGTGGCCCGTGGGACTTCAAGTTCATTCGCTCCCTCAGGAGCCTGGACCGTTTCGAAGACGTTGGTCCCTGCGTCATGATTGCAACTCCTGGTATGTTACAGAACGGCGTGAGTCGAGAATTACTGGAAAGATGGGCGCCAAGCGACAAGAACGGCGTCATCATCACCGGTTACAGTGTTGAGGGCACGATGGCCAAACAGATTGTGACCGAGCCCGATCAGATTCCTGCCGTCATGTCGAGGAACATCAACGCCATGAAGAGAGGCCCGGCTGGAGAGGGAGAGAGAGTCATGATACCCCGAAGATGCAGTGTTGCCGAGTACTCCTTCGCTGCTCACGTCGATGGCAACGAGAACAGAGAGTTCATCGAAGAAGTCAGCGCACCGGTAGTGGTTAGTATCTATTTCCATCCGTGTCAAGTTACCCTATTGACAACCTAGTAGATCCTCGTTCATGGAGAACAGCACAACATGATGCGCTTGAAGTCAAAGCTCCTATCACTCAACAACGCAAAGGCGGAAGCGGACAAGACCAAGGTCTTCAGCCCACGGAACTGCGAGGAATTACGGATTCCTTTCAAGACCGACAAAGTTGCCAAAGTCGTAGGAAAACTGGCGACCATCTCTCCACCAACCCGTGTCATGACATCGGATGACCCAGACGCGCCCCTGGTCACCGGCGTGCTCGTGCAGAACGATTTCAAGATGTCGGTCGTTGACCCTGAGGATTTGAGGGAGTATGCAGGGCTCACCACTTCCATGATTACTTGCAAGCAAAGACTCACCCTGAGCGCTGCTGGTGTTGATCTCATCAAATGGGCTCTGGAAGGTACCTTTGGCAGCATCGAGGAGCTGCCAGAGACGAAGAACCGACCCGCCAAGGATGAGAAGGAGAGCAATGGCGATGACAAGATGCCGGATGCCGACGAAGAGGTATCACAGACAGTCGCCGCTTATCTCGTCATGGGCTCCGTCACTATCCGTTGCCGCAATAACGGCGAGGTGGAGCTGGAGTGGGAGGGCAACATCGTCAACGACGGCATTGCAGATGCCGTCATTGCCGTCCTCCTCTCGGTCGAGAGCAGCCCGGCGGCCGTCAAGCAGTCGGCCAGCAAGCACTCGCACTCCCACGAGCTGCCCGCCCGCAACCCGCATGCGCACCTCGCGCCGCAGGAGCGCCTGGACCGCCTGTTCCTGTTCCTCGAGGCGCAGTTCGGCGCCGACGCCGTGGCGCCCATCGCCAAGCCCAAGCTGCCGCCCGTGAGCAAGGACGCCAAGCCGCTGCTCAAGGCCGGCGGCGAGGACGCCGGCTCCGAGGCCTCCATGGAGCTGTCCGAGGACGGCGACGAGGAGGACAAGCTGCTCGAGCTGCGCCAGAAGACCGAGCTCGAGCGCCTGCACAAGATGGGCATCCCCGTCCCCGGCGTCAGCATCCGCGTCGACAAGGCCGTCGCCACCGTCTGGCTCGAGGACCTCGAGGTCGAGTGTGCGAGCAAGGTCCTCGCCGACCGCGTGAGGGTCGTCGTGGAGAGGGCCGCCGAGGTCACGGCGCCGCTTTGGGGCTGAGCTGGCTATCTAGAGAGGGGGAGGTTTTGAGATGGGGGAGGGGGGAGGGGTGGCTAAATGGGTTCGGCGTTTTCTTGGCAAAGGGATGTCGTCAATGTAGTAGTAAAACTGAGGATGTCATGATCTAGGAATCGATTTCCGCACTAAACGAGGTTCTACAAGACCAGAAGTTTTCTTGTACTAGTCAAACTCATTTTTTCTGTGTACCTGTGACAAGACCCTTGCTTCTGCTGCTTCTGATGAGGTCGACAGCCGGCAGGTAAGAATCACCTGCTTGGCTTGCAATATGCCATATTCTGATCCTTCCCTCAGGCTGCGCGAGCCTGCTATGGTCTTTCCGTCCGTTCTCGACATCTTAGCTAGTCCAACTCCAACACACCGTTCCTGGCATGAGAATCAGGCATTGCCGATCTTCTTCAAGCGACTAATTTCACGACTAATTTTGGTGACCTCCTTTCTGATTGCCTTCTCCTGCGCCTTCAGCACGGCCATTCTTTTCTCCAAAGTTTGACACTTGACGAACTCGGGGACCTTGGGTTTCTGTGACGGGGTCTCACCGCTGGCGATGGAAAGGGAGGCCAGATTCACGCCATCCACGGCTGTTCTTGCGTTAGCGGACCATGCACATACACAGCCCCAATTTTTCAGAGGTTCCTCACCATCTCCATTCAGTGTAGCGGGAGCATTGCTCATCGTGCTCGGGGTGTTCAGTGTAGTGGTGGTGGTGTTGTTGTTCGTCATGCTTGGGGCAAAGATACCACTCGAAGCTGCGTCTCTGGTGTAGAGCCACTTCTCTTCCGCGTCAGCTTTGTATCCCACGAGGTTGATCAATCCATCGACGAGATGGCCAAGGGCTGTCTCCGGCGCAGGGTCGTAGCCGCGCATCTTCCATGTCTCCTCGCGTCGCGCAATGCGAGCGAGGCGAAAGCACATGACGATCTTCTTGACACTACGGATCGATTTGGCATCACAGAAAATCACCGGGAGCCAGCCCTCACGGACGTCGAACCAGAAGCTGAAGTGGTCATTGTCCTTGGCGCGGGCATGCAGAGACTTGAAGAGGACCAGGAGTCGCTCGGCCGCTATTTGCTCGTGGGACCATCCCTTGTCTGTCCAATGGGGCGACTGCTCAAGGAGCATTTCCTTGTGCTTCTTCATCACGTCGTTGTCGACGAGGAAGTCACCCAGGTGGTGTGACGTCTCGTAGTCCGGAGCCATGGTAAGGTCAGGACTGAAATCTGTGGAAATCATCGATGAGCATAAGACAGTATCAAGACAGAAAGAATAGAGTACCTGCTCGTGAAGTTCAACAGATCAAGGAATACATGCCAAGGAATGGCTTCGTATGTGTTGTTGTGATGAAAACGAATGGTGTGGATGATGGGAGGGATGAAAATTCAGAACGTCGTTTGTACAGATCCAGGAAGATACGGCTGCTCGACCAGTCCTGGGAGCCAAGCTCATACGAAAATTGGAGGATGCAGTGGAGGAAAGAATCCAGAAGTCCTGACGATGGGAACAAAACGAACAGGCGAACTTCTGAAATGGCAGAAAACCCGCTTCCAAGCAAACCTGGAGAGAAAGAAGACCAATCCAAACAGTGACGGCCTCGAATAGGAAAAGAGGAAGAGAAGAGGAGGGACAAACGGGCAGGATGCTGGAAATAAACCCTATGTTGTGAGGCTGGCTGGGGCAACCAGGTACCCGTCCGTGGTGGCCTGATACCAGGCAAAAGAGGTGAACAAGGTGAATGGAAGAATTAAGGCCGCAACGAGGCGGAGCAACCAGGAAAGATACCTAGATGCCAATAGAAGCCTGGAATTGCAACAGCTTGAGGATGGCATCTATGGGGGGATTGGCGTAGTGGTAGTGGTGCACAGTGGTTTATTGTACGGGAGTCTGGCTTTTATCTGTGCTGTCTTTCATGGCGCCCATTACAGATAGACTTGCCACTCAACCCTGCCGAGAGCTTCCATTCGACCCTTGCGGTCTCTGTTTTTTTTGGTTTTATTTTTAATTCAACCTTCTCTGTGATGTTCTCTTTGTTTTCCCCGTCAGCCGTCCTCTGTTTCTCTGCCCGCCATTTACGGTCCATCCATGATTTACCTACCTCCCCCTTTTCGCCCCAAGCCTCTGTAAGGAGAGACCAAGTCATTTTGATCTTCTTAAGTATGCGCAAACACCGAGACTATAATGGAATTTCACGTGAGCTCGTTAAGCTACTGCCACCTCGCACACCATGCTGCCGCTGCGTGGGCTGCCACGCCGATGAATGCATCGACTTAATGGACGTTGCATATCGTGACACTAAGAACATCAGCGTGACACAGCGGCCTATTTATTGCATCTCGAGTCTCTGATTATGATGTATTACCTAATAACAAGAATAACGGACACAAAACATATTCTCGTGGGCGGATCATCCTCTCTCAGCTGATTCAGTTGGCGAACTAGGGGTGTTCACAGCCAAGACCCACTTATAAATGACTATAAGCGCTGCATACTCATACAGCTTTGCTTTAGTACTTTACGAAGACAATAACGATGCAAACTTGCAGGGGACGACGACGCTTATGACTTTCTTCAGGTGTCAGATCAAAGAAGAGGTAACTTCCCTGTTGAATCGCCGCAATGAAATACGTCCAAAGGCAAGACCACCATTCACGTGCCTGGTATTTGAACTGCAGTGAACATAAAAGGATGCTACACAACTCGTGGGCCTGAAATTGCCCACCAGTACACTCTCATTTTTCACTCTTTAAAGAATACGAGTACAATAAATGGACCCTAAATGCACACGTGGACTGCCGATGCGCCGTAAGCAACTACTCCAAGCCGATATACTTGCCCCTTCATCGCTTATCATATGAAGGACTAGAAGGATGACAGGCCCTGTTCAGCCGCACCGCAGCCAGCGCGCTTTCGAGGACTCTGCTCCCTTCCAAGTGCTCCACTAAAAATAGACTTACTATAATGAATCACTCGCCTCCGCCTATACCGAGTGCTCTTGTTAAATGTGTAGACACGAGAGAGAGGAGAAAAAGAGTTCCCGCTGATAAGCGCCTTGTTCCGCGTACCATGGATGACAAAAGCCATCAAGAGACACAACTCACCCAGGGTGCCTGAGTACGACGTCCAGTGGCTTCGGCCGAGTCTGGAGTTTCAATAGAGGGTGTGATAGCACGTGCGCAGTGATCCCGGGGGTGGTGGGGGGTTTGCAATCATGCACGGGAGCGCACACCACCATCCCAGGGTGACGCTGTCGAGAACCAAACACAGGATGCGGGCTGCTTAAAAGTTTTTCCACAGCGTCGGTACGCAAGCATCTCAAGATACCACCCTCGGGTCGACAGCCAACCTAGCTGCATATCACAGGGGAAAGAAACGTCAGCCGCAAGCAGTTAGCGTGGCCGGAGTAATTTACAGCACCATGCAGGGCAGAGGCTTTTAGAGTTTGATAAGGAGCCGCGGAACCGAGTTGCGTGCAAAGTGGCAGCATTGCTATTATAATCGGTAACAAGTTTCGAAATCGGGATACGCTACACGGACCCCAAACCCCCAAATCCGGAGGGCTACCCCATACGGGCAATGTTCAGGGGGGAAGGCAGGCAGATCACACAACGGCGAAGTTGGCCGTGAAACATTGGGCGGCCCGTTGGAAACCACGGCATTGCTGGTTGACGTGCAGCCCTTGGACGCCGGGGTTTGCCGTCCGCCAGGACCAAGGTTGTCGTTTGCCTGCCCGGTCGGGCTAACCGGGTTTGATGTCAACCACAAGTTGAAAGTAAAAAGTTCACGATGGTTCCTGGAAAGGGTTAGGCATCTCTTGGAGGGGGCAAAACGTGTGGACAGTGAAGCAGTGAGATTCCAGATTCCAGGACGGCCCCCCAAAGCTGCAATCGCCCCCCGGACAGCTTAGGATCCGAGGGAGGACGACGTAAGCTGTGTGGTTGATCTCGAGGGGTCAGCTGCCAATCACCACGGTGCCCAGAGGAAGACATATATTCATCCTGATTGCATGCCGAAATCCAGCCAAGCCTGGGTCGGTTGACTTCCAGTTGCGCAACGATGCTAGCTGCCGTTCTGTGTTCTTCCCCACGCGGGTGCGTGACCCAGCTGCTGCGGTATCACCTGTGACATGCAGTGTTGGCTGGCCGTCTGATGTTGACGCAGAGTTACTGTAAGAGGCACAGACGAGCTTGGCTATAGGCGGGGTGCTATAGCTGCTGAAGGCCATGGATTGTGGCATCCTGGGGACGATTGGTACTGCATTGTTTCAGTGTTGCTCGATCCCATTGCCATCATCGTGATGCATCATGATGAAAGTCAACATGGGATCGTCAATGTAGCAAAGCCCGATAGTAACGGATACCCTGGTGCACTTTCAAGCCCAAAGACAGGGGAGCGGCGGGCACGACGACTAGCCTGCGGGTGGAAGATGGGACTGGACCCGACTGATTTACATTTGCTGCATGGTCCTACAACTCTGCATGAAATACCCGGTACCCCCTACGAGGGCGTCCGTGACCTACATACTGCCGTCACAGCGGTGAAACTGGCTGTTACCTCGTCGTCTATCCAAACAATGCAGAGGCGATTATACTCTGCTGCAGCATGCCAAGACAGGGTGGGTGTTAGTCTACAGAGTGGCAACAGCACCCAAGAGTCCGGACATGCCAATGGATCAGCGAGACGTAAGCTGTCAGCCGCATTGGATTTGGCCTCCATGCCGAATCCTCCGATTTTGTATTGTTGGTGACTATCATCAACAAGCAAGAAAGTTCCCCCTGCGTCGATGATGGGGACCAAGTGAATAGGGGCGGCCGAAGATTCCTACCCTGTAGTACCAGCTCCAAGACGCTGCAGGCAGATTAGTGACCGATGTACCATCTCTGTATGGAGTCGCAAGGAATGTCTACTGTCAGGCACTGTGGTTCCAAAAGTCGTATTTTGTCGTCATCCGAAAAGACCGGGTCAGCAAGAAGCATAACTGGAGACCCCGGCTAGAGAGTCCAATTGAGAATCCAACTGGGACGGAGCGGAATCGCATTCCTTCTCGGTGACGGGCAAATGGAGGACGTTGGTGGATCCTGGCTCAGTTCGAGTCAACAACCTTGGCCATTGGGCCCTTTGCAGAGTCGGATGTCAAAGGCCGAGCAGTACATAGTATCTGGACAAGTTCCCCCAAGACCGAGACCCGGCACGGCAGCACCTGCAAGCCAGTTGCAAGTGCAGTCCAATGCTCCAAGACTGCTGGCATGTTGGACGCTCAGACCAAGACCAGCTGGCTTTCGGGAAGCCCTACGGTGATGTGCCGCCAAACCCATTGACCCGCTGTGGTGCCGCCGCGGGAGGCGCCATAGCGTGAACCAGTGGCAGCTAGTTCAGTCAGTGGCCAATGTCAATCTCGCTCGACCAAGGCGAACCTCCACCTCGGGCGGGCCTGCAAGCTCGGAGCTGCCCAGATGGGTGCTGGGTGCTGGGCCGGTCAGTCATCTAGGTTTGGCTGCATCTGAGTCGGTGGCCGCTTGGCGACGCGTGATGAAGTCGTGCTGTCTTAGATGTTGTCTCTCGCGTATCGACATGGAGGTGCGTGGTGCGCGACTGCTCTTGCGCAGCCTGCGTCTCCACGAGACAAGCTTGACAAAAAGCTGGCCTGCTGAGTGGTGTACGGCGTGCCGTGGGCTCTGCCTGTCTCGGTCTTGGGGACAGGCGAGCGGGATGGGACCCCCTACCCCCCACCCCTGTGGTTCCATCCGTCTTCTATGTGGCCTTCTCCGCAGCCGCATCGCTGCAAGGAATGCAACAGAAGTCAGAGTTCGAACCCTAAAACGTCGTCTAGAAGACGCAGAGAAAAAGAACACAGAGCCAGGCGCAGGCGCAGGCGCAGGCCCAGCGAGAAGGAGACTGCAGTCAGCGAAAGCACAGAGCAGATCGGGGCTGCCTTGCCTGAAACTGGTTGATTGCATGCGTTGGCGACCCCTCGGAGCTGGAGCTCCCTGCAGGTGCAGGGTAGGGGGAGCTCCGTATCGTATGGAGCCCTCTAACCAAAAACACCACAGGCGGCCGTGACGGTTGAGGGTTTGGCAGTTGATCCTGGGTGATCCTGTTGTTTGTACATAATCCGGGCTCGGGAGTTAAGTAATGGGTTGGGCGACCTGACTCTTTCACGACGGCCGCTCGGGTGAATGTGCGCTGTAACTGACTTCTGGGCTTGGAGGAACCCGGTCTGCTCGCCCTAGGGGCCGCGCCAGAGAGCGGAAAACCAGCTGCTTGTGTCTTTAGACTTTCAGGGTTCGGCCGGGGCCCTCGATCAGGCCTCCCTATTGCCCACGAGCCGTGGGCACTGTGCACCAGCGGGAGAGATGCCGGCCGATCGCCATTCCAGAGCTGCCGGTGTTGCTGCAGTCGTCGCCCGAAGAGGGCATCGTCAGTCCATGGTGCGTGCAAAAGCAGGGCTGGAGTCTGGACCGGTGGCCTCCTATGTAACTTAGATACCTACGTACCTTACCTACTTGGCACGTATGTGTCTAGTTACATCCCATAACGGGCAGCTGGTCCTGGCGCGGACGGGAATCAATCAATCAATTGGCGTTGTTGGCAAGGCCAGCCACGGCAGTCCTCTGGGTTTGAAGAGATGTGCCCCTCGCAGGAGGTCCAACATTGATTGAACCGGCCCAGACCCCCGTGTGTCGACCCCTGATCCAATCACTGCCATCCATACCTGACATCCATGGCCGCCCCCCAAAAAGAAGATGCCCATGCACATGCCCATCAACCATGGCCCCATGCCCATGCCCATGGACAAGGTAGGGCCCCAAACTTCAAAGGGCCCCAAGGGCCCCATAGCCAGAAGCTACATAGAGCACAGTACCAAGACGCCAGTCCAGAGTAGGTGGGTTCCCACCTACATAGTACACATACAGACAGAGGGAGAGAGAGAGAGAGAGAGAGGAATCCATGAACGCCTCGAGGCCTGGCCGCTTCTACACAGTACTTCTGACTGGCAGGGTGTCCTCCCGTCCCGTCGCTCCAGTCGTCCTGTGCGTGTGCTGCCCTTGCTCGCCCATTGCTCTCCCCCCCCCCAAATCCCCGAATGCCAAATGCGCTCCCACCCCCCTTTGAGTCTTCGACGAACCTTTTGCGCCACAGGCTTCGGTCTAGGCTCTAGTCACTAGCACTGCGAAGGTAGCTGTTCCCGAGGTCGCCAAACCCGACAATTCGACCTGCCAATTGCAACACCTGCATACATATCTACAGACAGTGAGATCTGTCTGAGACCGAGTCCTCACAACTCGCTCCACTCCGGACAGCCTCCGACGCCAGACCACACCACATAGTACGGCGCCCACGACGCTAGCTAGCCGTGTCGAGGTACGGTACGGAGTACGAGCAGTGCCAGTGCCAGTGGCAGTAGCAGTAGCAGTAGCAGTAGCATTGCCTCTCGGCCACTTCCCACGGCTACCTCCCCCGACAGCCTACCAGCCTACTTGCAAACTTAAGTTGCCGCCTGTCTGTATCGACCACCAGTGGATCCGCGTCATGGTGCGCGGCCGGAAGCAGGAGGAGACCATCACCACCATCCCCGCGAAACAGGACGCCAGACTGCGCTCCTGATTGCAGCGTGCGCGCGCGCGCGAGAGAGAGAGAGAGAGAACTCCAATCGCCGGGCAGAGAGAATGAGGTCAGTCGGCTCCCGTCCGTCTTCTACAACAAGCTTGGCACAGGGTCTGGTCTTGTCTGCCATTGACCAGGCGCTGCTCCGTCTCGGTTTCCCTGCTTCCTTTGTCCCCATGTCTTGGCTGTCCAAATAGTGGCCCGTAGCTGACATGATCCGTCCCCCGTCGACAGACCAGATGGCTACTGCGATTGACAGTGTGCCGAGGAATCGAGTAGGCAACGAGCCCACAGAAGATATGATGGGAGCTAGGACGGTCCCCATACTCACGTCCACCCCGACGCCCACCATCAAGACATCTGCCCCTTCGCCCCAGGGCGAGCCAATGGAGATCACGACCCCGACCGACTCGTCTGCCCCCCGCGGCTCCAGCAAGAGCCCGGACGGCGAGGGCAGCACCCCGTCCAACGACCAGTCCACGGCCTCGAGCGCGACGAGCATGCCTGCGCCGGCGATTGCTGCGGCCGCCGTTCACCAGCCCAAGATCGTGCAGACAGCCTTTATCCATAAGCTTTACAAGTGAGTGCGGCTGCGACTGGTCACGTCGAACCCCCCTGGCACTCTGCTGGTACTAACAGGAAATGCAGTATGCTGGAGGACCCCAACATCCAACACCTCATCAGTTGGTCACCATCCAATGATAGCTTTGTCATGTCACCATCGCCCGAGTTCTCCAAGGTTCTTGCGTACGTGTAGCTCTCAGCTGGGAACTTGGTTGGTGTTTCTCTGATCTTGCTGACCGGCCACCGTAGGCAATATTTCAAGCACACCAATAACTCTTCATTCGTACGCCAATTGAACATGTACGGATTTCACAAAGGTATGGTGTGCTTCTTTACTTGCGCATGCCTTCTAAGATACTGACGACTCCTGTGTAGTTAGCGACGTATTTCATACGGGCAACCCTGAAACTGCCCTCTGGGAATTCAAACATGGGAATGGAAACTTCAAGCGTGGCGATCTGGTTGGTCTTCGAGAGATCAAGCGCCGAGCCTCACGCCATGCTCTCGTTCACCGAGGAGAGTACCCGAACCAGAAGCCGACGCCTTCTCAACCGGGAACCCCAGCGGAGCCAATGCCGCCGATTCCTGACGGGACCGATCCCAGGGTTGTCAACATTGAACACACTTTGTATGAGCTCAGCTCGCGGCTGCAGCGCAGTGAGGAGAATGCCCACTACATGCATATCAAGCACCAGGCAATGATGGACACCGTAACCCGTCTTTTGGATTTCAACCAGCAACTGTCCAGAACGGTTCTGTCCCTGGTGCCAAATCCTAACGAACCAATTCATCAGGACGGTAAGCAGCCACGTCGGGTGCTGTGTTACTCTTGCTAATACATGACAGTCCTCAAGCTGCAGGGGGATATACAGCGCCAGACCGATATCTTTCGCTCACTAGATGAGCCACATGAGCCACCGCTGTCGAGTAGTCGACAGTACTTTGCGAATCTCGATAACCCACCAGTATCTCCGCGCCAATTGGCGCAGGATGACCGGAGGCTCGCTGCACCGCAGTCAAGGGGACCCAATTTCTACAAACCACCCGTGCCGTCCAGCTTGTCCATCAACGCTCGTCGGCCGTACGGATCGATCGGTGGCCCGGGACTGGCTACTGCTCAATCCTCACCGTCACCACTTCGACCCCAGGCACCGCCGCCCCCTGCTGGTCCTCATCCGTTGGCGACTTCGATCGAACCACCGCCGGGCAGCCTAGCCAGACGCCATACCTCAGCAGATATCAGGGCACACGGATGGCAAGCTAACCCGAACCCTTTCATTGGGTCTGGGCAGTCGTCCTCTCAATGGCCATCGTCCCCAAGTCGGCTCCCCACGGACGACAGGGGCCCTCGCGATTCCATCTCATCTTTCCCACTTCACGCGCAGTCACAGTCGAGGCCGTCAACACCTCCGCCGCCGCCTCCGTTTTCTAACGGTATCAGCACCATGGATAGCTTCAACAACTGGTCATGGAATTCGGCGGGCCGAGAGAACAAGAATCTATCTGTCAAAGAAACCTCTCTTCCGCCGACTCGAAGAGGCAGCATGGCGCATATTCTCAACCCCACCGACACGGCGGAGCAGGAAAACGAAGACGATCCCCGTGGCGATGATGACCGCAAGCGTAAGCGAATGCTCTAAGCCGGGGCACAACAACCACGTCTCACACGATTATTACTTCTTACGCTCTCATTATACGGCGCTTTTTGCATAGAACACCATATACGGAGGTCTTTTTGTCTATTCTTTCCTTCTGCATAGAGGTGCTTGCTTGGATTTGGGAATCACGGAACCGACGAGCTTCTATGCCCTCACATGCGGATGACTAATTTACGGCCGCCCCTTTCTACGATATCCGCACGTTTTTTTGTCGTGTTACACAATATCTACTCCGTCGTCCATGCCATGTTGGTGCATCGGCCCGGGTCATATTTTCACCTGTTCGTTTCTTGAAAAAATATCAAAAGTCTAGTCTGGAACCATTTGAGGCTTTGTCCCATCCATATTCAGGTTCAGAAATATAGTTGACGTTCTGTTTACACTCCAATTGGCTATGTGGCTGTTGGTACGGACGCGCCATGGGGAAGCGTATGTTCGAGGCATCAAGGGGGCTACGGTGCATGTCTATACCCGTTTCGGGGTCGGCGGAAGGCTTCGGGGGGCACAGGGTACGGCCAGATCTAATAGAAGTCTGGAGGGGACATATCGGCACGGGGTTTGGGGGAGAGAGGTTGGCAAGCATTCCTAGAAATGCGGTAATCTTGTACTCTAGGCCGGCGTTAAGACGAGTAAAGGAGTGAAGAGGTTTTTCACTGCACATTTCAAAGCTTCAAATTTCGCAGGTGCCTGACATGTCGGCGGTACATCGTCTTCAATGATGCTTTTCCTCCCGGGGGTATCAGTTCGGTATATACAGAAAACTACTCGCTATCCGGTTCCTTCGCCTGGCTCTTGACCTTCTTTTTCTTGTTATTCTTCTTCTTGGTCTTGTTCTTGCGCTTCCGTTTCGCCGTCAAGACTTCCTCCGCCCTCGAAGACTCCGGATCCCCATCTTGCACCTGCGGGTCCTCGGGTACTTCCACACCCTTACTTTCTGCTTGTACCATCTGGACGTCCTTGTCTCCAGCTTCCTCCACGCTGCTGTCCACGGCCCCACGTGCCTGCCGCCGACCACCCTCGTCGCCGCCCCGCTCGGCCGACTCGGGCTCGGGCTCAGGCTCGACCGCGACCCGCTTGCGCTTCTTGGCCCGGCCCACGCCGCTGCGGCCCTCGTCCTCGTCCTCGCTCTCGGCGCGGGCGCGGGCCGCCGCCACCCCGCTCACGGCGTCCCACTCGGACGGCTTGCCGCCGCTGGCGCCCTTGCCCTTGCCCTTGAGCAGGCCCAGGCGCCCGCGCAGCCGGCGCTCGTCGCGCTCCTTCTGCCGGGTGTCCTCGCGCTCGCGCCGGTTCTCGGGCTTGAACATGCCCAGCCCCATGTTGTCGTCGTACTGCGCCAGGCGGTCGACCTCGAGGTCCTCGGCCTGCGCGACCAGCTGCGCGGGCGTCTTGGTCTGGGGCGGTGCCGCTGCTGCTTGTTGTTGGCCATGGGAGGGGGGCTTCGATGATGATGACGACGATAGTGACGATGGCTTCGGCGATAGGAACGACGGCTGCGAGCGCTTGGCCATCAGCATGGCGATCGAGTTCATGTCCGTCTTGAACCGGGGCGCCGGGTTGGCACCCGGGCCTCCTGGGGCCGCGCTGCCGGCGGGTGGCATTTCGGGGGTTGTCTGTATGTCTGCGGTGGGATCTGTTTAGGTCGTCGAAGGGATTTGCGCTATCGGATCATCGCGGGAGCCTCGAAATTTGGTCTTGAGTGCACATACACGCAGGGCGAGGATTTGTAGTTGTGGTAACAAAGTATATCGATAGGTCAAGGACGAGTCTTGTCCCGCGGCGCGCAATGCAAGGCTGCAGATCTCCCCGGCCCATAAAAAAGTTGGATAGCTGCCCGCGATAAGATAAGATTAGATCAGATCTGCTGGGACGACTATTTTGTCATCCCGGCTGTAAGTGAGGAAGTAACACAATGCAGTTGCATCCTTTCCTGGCACTCTCGATGTATAATGTTCGCGAGGTAACATGGTCTAGCCGCTTTGTGCCATTTTGTTCCATGGGACTCCGGTACAATATGCTGCCTCCCCCACTGCTTGCGAGCGAGAAGTATGCTCTCAAGCCTAGATCAAATTATTCCTTTGGAAATTTTATGGCAAAGTAACTGCGCATCTCTTGACTTTCAATTGTTGTGATGGTTTAGATATGCTTGAAGCAATCGATTACGACTCCTACAAATAAAAGCTTAGACTCATGTTGGAAAAGGGGTCCATGGGCTTATTCTAAGATGGTAAATCATGACTGGTCGTTCACGGACCGACAGATAAGACAGTTTGCTACCGTACGAGTTTCCGTGTTTCCTGAGGACATTAAATCGTTACAACGCCACTCCAATCCGTGGAATGGAGAAATGTTACGTGCATACTGTCACAGAAGCCCCCTCGAAAACAGCCATATCAACCTAGTCATTCCTATGCAAAATCCTCGTCCATCTCATCAGCGCCGCCTAGTCTTCTTTCACCAACCTCGCGAATCTTGTCGCCCAGGATGGTCCGGCCATATCGCTGTGCCACCTTGCCGGCAGCGTCAATCATACGGCCCGTGCGATCCCTCATGAGCTCCACGACCTCGAGGGCACGCATGCCGCGCTCCTCGCCCTCGCGACACTCAATAGCCAGGTACTGCAGGAGCGTCTTGTCGATGTCGAGCTCCAGCCTCGCGAGCGCGGAGCGCTGTGCGTGTGACCCAGCACTCGAAGACGAATCCACGAGATCCTGGAGTTGCGCGGCAAAGATACCTTTGATCAAGTATGCCTGCTCCAACTTCCGAGTCTCCGACTCGTCGTCTTCCGGTTCCGGCGTCGCATCTGGGTCTGCTTCGTTGGCGGCCTTAGACTTCGGCGGTTCCGAGGTCAGGGGTATGGAGAAGTCGAACTCGGAGAGCAGCGGCTTGGGGAAATAGGGGTACTGGTCACCACCCTTGAGGATGATGCAGTGGAACTTATTATCTGCAACGGCAATGGGGAAGTACGTCTCGTGCTTACGCCCGGAGGCCAGGCGGGGCAGGAGTTTCGTGTCCAGGAGCGGGATCCATGATGCCTTGGATGGTTGGCGCCAATGCAGGAGAGTGAGCAGCGTTCCGGTGGAATCATAAACACATGGGTTCTACGCCTGTTAGTCATACTTGCACGAGAGAAGCTGATGGGCGGTGGATAACTTACGCCATCGTCCGAGAAGAAGACGCTCCTTACAGTCGCGCCTTCCGGGAGAGCCACTGTATCCTCATTCTGGCATATCTCATCCCTCTTCACGTTCTCAATGGTGTAGAGAAGTCTTGCGTTGCCATCTGGGCCAATTGGACCGTTGCCCATGGTCAAGACGTAGTCTCTCCAGCTCGCACAGGTGACCATAGGCGTGCTCTTGGGACGGTAGACTCTGTAGGGGATGCCAAACAATGTGTAGACTCTGACGTAGTTGGCGGTCGTCGTCACCGTCACGAAGGAATCGCTCAATGACATGGAGAGCACAGCCTCTCCCTTCGGCAGCTGCGTCCGCCAGTCGGACCGGTTCGTCCAGGTTTCATGAGGTCTGTAGAAGACGGTGGCTGGCGTGTCTTCCTTCGGGGGGCATGAGAATAGTGTGCCGTTCTCAGTAAGACATGCCTTGTCATATAAGAAGGTGTCGGTGAAGTGGAAATCACGGTGGAACTCGTGGTCGTAGAACTCCACAGTTACAGTGTGATGTCCATCTTGATCTACCGTCCAGACGGCTCCAATGAGATTCAGACACAAGTACTTTCGGTTTCCGCGCCAGGGGGTTGAACCAGGCTGGAAAGCCTCGTGATATTGTGCCTCTAGCTGCTGACGCTTGTTTGGACGATTACCAAGACCGTCGCCCCCATCAAGGGTACGCTTACCATTGCCGTTGACGACATAGCCTGCCCCATCGTCATCAACGACAAAGTCCTCATCCTCTTGGAGGGGCCCGTCCATGAGAGAGTCGTAACTGTCCAGGGAATCACGGCGCGGCCGGGCTGCGATCTTCAGCCCATTGACACCGTTGGCATCTGGCCTCCTGACGTTGGCTGATATTTCGGAGAGGGGATCGTGGATGAAAGGGGCAGGTTGCTTGGGCAACTTGAGCAACTGAGCAAATTGCTCTGGCACGAAGTCTGGGTGGATATAGACTTCTCCATCCGAAGTAGTAAAGGATGCCAGATTGTCGGTGGGGTGCCACGAGATATCCATGACATTTGCATAATCTAATCTAGCGACAACGGACTGTGACTTGGTTTCCCAGAGCAGGATCTTCTTGTCCTTGCCCGCCGAGGCGAGCATGGCACCGTTTGGCGACCACGCCAGCGCGGTGACGTCGCCGTTGTGGCCCTTGGAGAAGACTCTCTGCTTCTCCCAGTCGTTCTTGGAGACGACTTGGATGTCTCTTGTGGGCGTAGGGACAGCAAAGGCCCGGCTGTCGGGATGCCACGCGACCAAGGAGCTAACCTCCGCGTCCGTGTCCAAAGCCCCAATGATGCCATCGAGCTTTCGAATCAGCTCAGGTTCCTCGGCGGTCAGAGAGTATACGTATACGACGCCATCTGTGCACGACAGCGACACGGTCGAGCCCTTGGGATCGAAGACGAGGTGTTTCGTTGGCTTGCCGTGCTCCTTGAGGTGGCGCACTTGGCCAATGTCGCTTGTGTTCACGACCTTGACGGTGAGCTCGTCGCTGGCCACGGCGCACCACTTGGAGTCCGGGGAGAGGGCGACATCGCGGACGGGCAAGGAGCAGCGCAGGAGGAACTTTTCGAATGTGGCGTTCGGGATCGAGTACAGGCTGACCGTGCCGTCCTCGGAACCGGCGACAAAGAAGTCGTCCGATGCGTCGACGGCAGTGTGCTGTTCCGGGCAGTCGTCGATGTTGGTGGGCTCGCCGTCGAAGCCCGTCTTGTACAGGCGAATGGTGTTGTTGGATCCCACGGTGACGAGTCTGGAGCCGTTGGGCGTGTAAGCGCAACGGGTCGAGCCCTGGGTGTGGGCAGGTCTCGCTCGGGGGCGAGGAGGTGCCGTCGAAGCCATGCTCTGTGTGCAAGGCGGGTGATACTCGTGCACAGGCGATGGATAAGGTCGAGTAGTATGTCCGGGCGGTCGAATGCAGATTGTCGACACTGCGATGCGAGGTCGGCGCTGGGCAAGTCAATATCGAAACTCGCGAAAGAAAGACGCGCCTTGACGTGTCGGTCAATTTAACGCGTCCATCCAGGGTCGCGGGCCGCTAAGAGCAGGGATACCCCACTATAGCCCGCTGCCAGAGGGGGGCCTGCGCACAGAGGGCGCTGAACCCCCACCCCACCGCCAAGGGCTCAAGCTGCCCATTGCCCATCTACCTAGGCAAGGTTGGAGAGCTGGATTGGATGCTGCCAGCATCGTCATTGGGCCGTTGGTCAGCTCTGGGCAAATTTCTAAGCACCCCTCCACAGCGACCTGCCACTGCCTGACAAAGTAGTATTATTGATACACGCAACCGCCTCCTAGACAACACAGAAGAGCAGCCAGGAGGTGCATTTTCCCTGGGTTCATTCTCCGGAATCAGCCTATCCAACCTCGTACCTCGTGACGAGTGAGAGCATAGCTTGGCCGAACTCGCGGCGGCTGGAAAATAGGGGCTCAATCAAGCTGCCAGCCTACACAACATGCAGAAGGGACTCAGTGCAGACCACTTCTTCGAAACCGAGTAGGTACCTAATTTCTATATATTTCTGCCAAGGGCCTAAAACAGACGTGTCAGCAGCACACACATTGCTCTGTGCTAACAAAATCTATCTGCAGTGCCTCGGCTGAAAGACGCCAGAGGCAGGCGGCCAAGGCGGGCAACAAGAATGGGGACCCCATAGCGCTGAAGGCAAAGCCCCTGGCTGCTATCCGCGATCCGGCCTCACCTGCTGCCTTGTACGTTGCCGAGTCCACAGGTTCAGTCCGCCGGGTGGACCTCGAGGTAAGTTTGGCACTGTTATAAACCAGCTCTCACAACTCACATACTGCGTAGACTCAAGATAGTAAACAAGTCTATCGAGGGCCTTCGGCACCAGTCACATGCGTTGCCGTTGGAGGGCCTGATAACCAAACCATCTTTGCCGGATCATGGGACAAGCATATTTGGACCTGGGATGTATCCTCCAAAGCACCAGGGCGCAAGTACAGCGGCCACTCGGATTTCGTGAAAGCAATCCTCTGCGCAAACCTGGGCGGCAAGGATGTCATTATCAGCGGCGGCGCCGACAAGAAGATCTTGGTCTGGGACGTCGCCACTGGGTCTCGGCTTCACACTCTGCAGGATCAGGCCGTGTCCATGATGGCGATTCAGCACCTGGCCATCGACCCTGTCCAGTCAAGTGCCGACGAGATCATTCTGGTTAGCGCCAGCAGCGATCCTCACCTCCGCCGGTGGCGCATTCGTCTGGACTCGGCGGCCCAGATCGTTGATAGCACGCCAGGGGCGCCAGACGAGGCTCGCCACGCCATACTAGAGCACGAGACGACGGTGTACCAGCTTGTCTTCGATCAGGAAGGCGACGATGTAGATCTATGGACAGCCAGCGGCGATGGCACGGCAAAGTGTCTCTCTCGTGTCAAGAACTATGCCGTCGAGGATACCATCGAGCATGGCGACCACGTGAGAACCGTGGCCCTGACGGATCAGTGGGTCATTACGGCTGGAAGGGATGAAGACGTCAAAGTGTGGGACCGGGCGTCTGGAAAGCTGTATTGCACACTGGAGGGGCACTTTGACGAAGTCACCGGCCTAGTCCTCTTGAAGAGCCAAGCAGGGGCACCCGAACAAGTCGTGTCGGTCTCACTGGACGGCACCATAAGAACCTGGTCCCTGGACAAGAAGGAGCTGGACAAGATCAACCAGGAGAAATCAGATCGGGCCAATGGCGTCGAAGAGGAGGTAGCTGAAGAAGCGCCGGAGCCTTTGATGACTGCGGAAGAGGAAGCCGAGCTTGCCGCCCTCATGGATGAGGACTAGATTTAGTCGTGCTGCTCAATAATACCTGTTGAAAATGTATATGGTATTGCGTTACTGGCCTGCCTTACGTGCACCTATAATAGCTTAGTGCAGGCATGACTCGTGGCCTCCAGATGCTGTTTCACGATTCCGCATTCTACCACCGAGACCCGAAACGGCTATCGTCTTGGAATCCATCAGGCGCGCGCAGCTGCGGTGCCTGTTCGAGACTCTTCGGCAGTAACGTCCCTAGCCCTACGGTACCCAGTAGACGATGATCAGCAGATTCTAGCATCTTGTGGGATTCGGCCCGAACCAGTGTCTCGGTAGTGAGGTCTTTTTTAAGAGTGATCTTCGAGACAACGGTGGGCTAAGCGGTCGAGTTGATCTGCATACATCCCCGATTAGGCAACAGGAACCGCCCAAAATTGATGGCTACTAGCGTCTATTATGTAACTGGCATCACTGCTGGGGTTTGGATGTGCTATGTTTTCCTGGTAGGTGCTCTACTCCTGCTCTACTCGTGCTCTACTCTGCGTATCCGTATATACAGTTCAACAGGGATGATGCCCACTGATCATCGACGATTGCACCTACGGTGCTCGGTGGACCGGTAAAGCAGTCATTAGTGCGGCTTGCAGATATCCATGTCCATCGAAGAGCCAGCCCAAATGCCGATCGAAATCCGGAACTAAACTTACGAAGTGAGGATTGACAAGGGTGTTCTCATGAATTGGTCTTCTTGACGGAGCCCAGGAAGAGACAAATCTCACGAGGCTTGAATCGTCAGATTTGCTTGGAGGGGTTATACAAGGCTATTGAGGTCATTCTCGGGGCCGTGGGTAACTATTGTTGTCGGATCATGCTGGGAAGTAGGTGCTATTCTATCTTTTATTAACTGCCCTCACACATACAACTGGTCCGAATCCCACATCATAAGACAGATACCAGCTTCATTATTTGGGTAGCACAATAGCTTCACACGGAGCTATCCATTGTGGGCTCTCCCTAAAAGAGCAGCGTGCTGTTTCGTTGAAGATCATGATCGGAGTACGGAAAGAAGTCAGACGCATGAACAGTGCAATACTGAGTTGCTCCGTCATGAGGGACTACTTCTTACCCAGGTGGAGAAAATATCACGTAAATTTGGACAAATTCTATCATAATCGTCGAACCGCATATGGGGAACCAGCTGGCTGGGACGTTTGGCGCCCAAAGCTTCATTCTAGGTGAGCTCAACGGCGGTTGGGGCCTACCGCAAAGTATGATCGACGCTGACGTTGGCAGAAATATAACAACGGCGTACGTAGCTTCCCAGGTGTATATTTTTGGGATGCAGGATAATTAGTGAGCGGTAATGTTGGGGGTTTGAGCTCTGGTTCCAAAGGTTATTGATCCTGCTTGTACGATATACTGCCTGCAATACTCAGCCCTAGCTTCTCAAGATGGGACAAAGTTGAGTTTTGGCCATGCTGACGTGTCTCAGATCTCATGTGAGGGCACCGAAAGGTTGTTTGGTCTGACTTGGGATCTCCCAGAACTAGCGCTCGTGGGTGAGCTTCAGGTGTACTACGAAACTTTGTCCACCCTGCCTGGCTTATCGTCCTCGTCTCCCAACGCCCAAGCGATGCGGAGTGCATGCTTGCGCGTTGAAAGAGAAAGCAGAGCTGAAACCTTCATGTATGTAGGAAGATACTGTAGCTGGTTACGGGAATTGTATCTTGAAACGTACCTATGTACAAAGTGCTGACTCGTGCTACAGACTGCAAGATCTCCTCGCGTGGCAGATAGTATGTCTTCGTTTCCTTGAATGATCTGATGAATTCTCCGTGAGACAACACGGCAAGTGACAGATGCTTTTTCCCCCTTTGGTGCCTGGATAGCCATCAGATGGCTTGGAATGTCTCAGAATATCACAATGCAATTGGCTACCTGCAAGCTGTCAGCCCGCAGCACAAAATTGAGGACGCTCAGTCCCTTATTGACTGAGAAGTTCGGCCAGGTCGGAACTAACCAACTCTGATCCAATACTCGACATACCCGTTGGTTGAGATCGAGGTCTAACCCTCAAGCCATGGAGAAAGAAATACGAAATCTTCCGGTCTTGGGACACGAATGAAGCACCGCAGTTACCCACCAGAACAGTGTAGTACCTGCAGCCTCCCACCCCGCGAACTCGTGTTGTGCTTCTCGAGGCGTACAAACAGGTTTCACTTGCATTTCGATATCTGTTGCAGTGCAATGAACCCATTCTCGGGTATCTAGCCAGCCCGCCATATGCACGCCAGCGGCATAATCGCAAAAGCAATACTGGGCTGCCCCTGCTCAATAGCTAGGATGTTTTAATTCCGTGCCGTCGGGTTTGGAGTGTCCCTGGCCAATCCTCTGGAGGCTCTCCTGGAAACCCTGGTACACGTGGAGGCGACGGAGCAAAGATTACGAACTGAACAGTCCCTAGTAGGGTCTAGTAGGGTGGACGGCCTTTGGAGAGAACCGTGAGGCTCACTGACAGCGCCTGTGCACCGACGGCATCAACTATCATCCATAGCGTGTTGGGACATTGACAACGTCAGAGACGGGGTTTGGACGCGACACCGCTGACCATCGATTGGTCGAGGCTTGTTCTACTGGTTAGAATCCCTACTATGCAGGTAGCGCATCAAAGCTCACGATCCTTTTGCACGTTTCTTTGTAGCAGCTTCCGGTCATGACGGGAGGAAAAAAGCAATCGGGTTGCTTTAGTTTGGAGACGGTCTTTTGGTAGAGTTTGAGAAGATGAGAGAACGTACATGCAGTCGAAGCTGGGACAAAACTTTACCGCCCATAGGCCCGTATAGAACGCCGTGAATGATCTGGCACATGACGAATGCAGTGATGAGTGACGGAATTGCCATTTTGAAGAGGAGCCTCGCTGGCCAGACTAGAGACGCATTTCATTTGCTCAACTGGATTACAGAATTACAGATGGAGTTGCTTATGAGAGAGAGGTGAGGTAGTCTGAAGGTAGCGTCGGTCACCTCCACAAAAGCGGTAAGGGTCCCACCAGGGACTTTCAGCCCAGCTGTTCCACCTCATCTAGCTAGCCATGTGGAGTGGACGGTCGTTTGGGACCGTTTGCTGAAGACGACCTGAGACAGATCGCAGGTCTGACTTGGGAGAACGTGGTCGAAGATGCCTCAAGTCCCGTCATGCTGGCCCTCGCTCTGCACAGACATTGCTGTACGTACGGTGCGTGTAAGTGCAGCTCTTGCAGGAAGCGGGTAAATGACTTTTAGCCAGTTGCCAGAGCCCAAGCACACGGGGCACGAGAGCAGCGCAGCGGGACGTATGGAATGCAAGGCACGGGGCCTACATGAAGCTCGGGGCAAAGAAGTATGCGAAGTGAAATGCAAGGTACAGTGCGCGCCAGGCTATTGGCATTCTATTTCATTTGCTCTGTAACTAATAGCAATGCCCAGTGGATGAACAGGGAAGCGGGGCCGCGAGCTGCCTCCCATGTTGACTTTCGCCTGAATAGGTATTCGGACTGGCGCTAGTTAGACGATCGACGCACGTCCAGCAGGGCTGCATGGGCTCCCCCCGGGACCCTCACGAGTGACACTCCTTGACACTCTACGGTTATATTTGGGCAACCTTGACAGGCATATCGGAATCGCCTCAGATAGAGTCCTGGTCGCGTCGACATTGCTGATTGGGGATGGCTTCTGCGCCGCACAGCGACAAGAAAAATGTGTCCCGCCGTCCCGAAGCCCCTCGGGCGCAAAGAGTCCTTGCCATACGGGTCTGCCTCGAGGCTAGGAAGCTGGACAAACAAGACGAACCCCCGTACGATGTCGCTCTGAAACTCGCCGTCTGTGGGTACAAATAAGCTCCAAGATCGGCTCCCGAGGCTTTTTGACACTAGAGCCATAGGCTCATCGACTTTGGCCCCGCTGGCCAATCACCGGCGACCCAACATATCGCTTTCGATCCAGGCTTGCCAGGCTGGTGGGCGGCGTTGATCACAGACTTGGGCCCTGGCAACCCAGGTGAACCCAATCTTCGGCATTCGTCCATCCTTCGCGACCTCCCTCCCGGCCGAAAGATGACTGTTTACCTCATCGTCGTCCGCGAGCGCCCGCCCTGTACGTACCCTTCGGTCCCCCAAGGCTGGCCCTGGCAGACCCTCAGCCCGCGCACAAGTCGATAGGCTAGGTTGAACGTGGTCATGCCCGGGATGAAACTATGGCCCAAATATCCTGTCCTGCCGTGTCTAACGTCGGCGGTCCACATTGCGTAGCTTTCTGCTTCGTTTCATGCTGCTATCCGGAAAGCCATGTAAAAGAAACCCCAGGGCACCTAAGTATGTGCACAGCACTAGACGCCGTCTGCCGTGCGTCCTGTGGCTTTCGCCTTCTTTCGTCTTCCTCCTTTGCTTCTCTTGCTTCAACTGGTTGATATATCCCTTCTTCTTCTTCTTTTTGTTGCCCATCTATTCGATATTAATAACCCCACGGCGCCACCAGTACTGCTGTGTTTGCCTTGTGCCCTTCACTTGTGTCTTGTGGGTGTGTCTTTGGTTGAGAACCAACCTCCACGAGTCTCGGCTGGCCGTTTGCTGGACGCCACTGATTAATATTTTTGTGGTTGATCCCATTTTCCATTCTCCTACCCCCCATTAGAGCCTTTGGGCTTTCCTTACTGGCGGTGTTGGTGCCTGCCATAGTTGCTGTTGGGTAGCCATATCTCACCATTCGCAACATTCCAACCATCCTTGCGCGACGGCGTGGCTTCACTCACCTAAGCACATAAGCTGGCCCCTCCTCCACACCACTTCTGGGATAAGATTCCTCCTTCTGTTTCGAACACATCAGGACTGTTGGTAAGCCAAGATGGACGGCGCGACGGCACACACACCAGACTACTATGGCAGCATAGTCGCGCTCGAAGGGTCGAGGGATACCGTCTCGACCCAACTGCGACTGCTTCCAAGTAGTCCTAAGATATTGGTTCTACCCCCACTTCAACATTTCATGAAAGAGGAGGACGTGGAGTTGCCCTTTGATGCCCGCTCGTTCATACTCAAGATCCATGAGGCATGCAGCGCCAGGGCTGAGATGGCCCACTCGTTTTTACAAGAGTCTTCACCAGACGACAAGAGACTCGTGTTCATGAACGGAGGCACCTCCAACGCTCAGATGAGTTGTCTTTCGGCCATCAGCCAACACACTACCGGTGGAGATATCGTGAAAGCCGAGCGCATCTTCAAAGGGCTCGTTAGCGACGGAGTTGCGGGGCTGCACATGCAATGCGATTCAAGGACGAGCCCGGGGCCATATCGCCATGGCGGAAACAAACATAAGGTTTCGGGAGAGGCAGCAGCTGGACACGGGGATCCCGCATCAGAGGCCATGAAAGCTGCTGAGGCATTGTATCAAGAGACCGCATCCTTGCAACCTAACAGCGACACCGACCTCGCATCCATCAAACACACCCGGAGCATGAGCGTCCCTCTCCGTCGTATCATGGACGACGTGGATGACGGAGCACCTTTCTATATCTTCGGTGCCAGCCATGAGGATGATGAAGCTCATTCCATCGCTAGAACGTCAGGTGGCACACTTCGAGACCTCAACGTATTGGACCTTGCGGATTCGCGCACCCCGAGCCCTTCATCAATACGGCCGCGAACTGCTGCGGAGGATCGTTGGCGAGATCGGACCGTTGTACCAAGCTCCCCGAGCTGCACTGGAATGCCTTATGACCTCGCGACTCCACAGCTCGACTCGTTTGGTAGCAAGTTGAGCCTGCGTGGTGGCACATTTGGATCACTGCCCGGTACACCAGGGGTTTTCTATGGAGAAGCATACCTAGTTGACGTTCGATCGTCACCCGCACGCAAGACACCGCAACGGCACAGGAGGATAAGATCGATTGACAGGGTTTACGCAGGCGCCATCCGAAACCAGGACATCTCTGTGACCAGTGTGAGCCAGTCATTGGCCTTCATCACACATGAAAGAAGCGTGTCTAACCCCGTCCCAAACACTCGCAAGGAGTCTGTCGAACCACTTCCACTGCGCTCTAAATTCTACTACGAAGCCTCGAACACAGAGTCCATGAAACCAAGTAAAACTACAGTTCGGAAGCCACCACCTACTCGGCTTGATCTGGGCAAGTCTGCCTCGGCTCGTCGGTCTGGCATTTACGTTGATAAAGGTACCAACCCTGAAACACATCTTGTAGCTAAGGGTACTTGGGCTGGTGGCTCCCGTATTGGTAGCGGAGAGGGCTTTGGACTAGATGCCGATCTTCTCTTTGAGACGATTCTACCCATGGTCGAAGACCTCGTTATTCATCTCAAAGATGAAGTTCAGGACTCCCTGCTCGAATCTGTTATTAAAGGGTTCAAGAATGGTTCTTTCCCAGTGTTACCATCTCAGTCACGCTGTGAAAGCCCCAGCATGGTTGGAATGAGCTTTCTGGTCACAGATCAGTCAATAGCATCCCCAGCACCGTCTGACGGAAGCCATTATGATCCATTCGCATCTCATGAGTACTATGCCATCTCCCAGGCCCTAGGACCACCACAGGAAGGCAGCAACAAGCGAGGCTCGGCCATCATGGACGCGCCCCCAACGCCAGCACAGACGCCACCTCCATCAACTGTTGTCGTTGATAAGAGCTTCCACGAGTTTGCCACAACGGATTGTAGTACGGCAGTCTGCGTCCAGAACTCACTGAGGTCAATCCTTAATATCTACTTCTCCCCTGAGCAAGTAGGATACCATCAATTCAACTTTCCGCTCCTACCCGAGCTCAGTAGTGTGTGGAAGCCGGTGTTCAGAGAGACTGAAGATGGCAGCCCAAGAAGAAACCGTGGCAAGATCGATCTGCTTCTAGCTATCGGAACCCAGAAAGGGGTCACCAGAGAGTTTCTATCAGCCATCACCAGTTCTCTTGAGAGATTAGGTACCAAATCGAGTGGAGCGAGGAGGAGTGGCAGGCTTGACTTGAGGTAAGTGCCCACATCAGCAGCAAACATGGCCCTATATTAACGTCTGTTCAAAGGTACCTCATTGCGAATGCCATGCAGTCTTACACATCGCAACCATTGGCCAAGCAGACCAAGGATAATCCTTTCCACAATCCTCTACTTCTTGCCACACTAATTATTCCTCATCTGGAGATGTACCTCGCGGCTCACAGCGGGACACGTTTCCTGCTCTTGGAGTACCCGCCCGAGCATTTGGCAACTGTTCTCGCACTGCAGAGACTCGTAGGAGTTGATCTGCTGAAGGTAGCTGGCATTTTGAATGCCGAATCACCCGAATTCAAGCAAAATGCGCGGTTTCCTTCGCCGTCTAGAAGGGCCAATCATTCTAATAACTCCTCCGTGTCGGAAGCGTCACAATCTAGCTCTAAATCAGGGGCTACTCTACTGCGGAGAACGGGTTCGAAGATCTCTGGCGTCCCGTCTTTCTCGAAGGCGAATTTCCTTCTGACGTCTTCTGCGAGTGACGCGGAAATAGCCACGCTGATCTCCACCATCTGGAAGATCCTGGTTGATATCTCGCCGTTCTACATACCTGAAGGAAGTCCAACAGCACCAGCATCATCACACAGCTCTAGGACAGTAATCAAGGATACGAAGTTTGGCGCTTTGCCTTTTGGAGGATCTGCCGTCGATTATGCCCCTTTCACCAAAGCTGCCGTCATGATGGGCTTCCAGTCACCCCCGGTGTCGCCAGCTTCAGACGAGAACGCCATCACGCTGCCATCACCAGGTACTAAGGATACCCAAGGAGCCAAACACCAGGCAAAACCATCGACTTCTTCAATGGAAAGCTCGAGGACCGCGAGGGCGGGGTTGAGCCAGCGGACCAAGCTCCAGAAGCTACTAGCCCAGGAGGTAGCCGGCGAGGCCGACCGCCTGGCCGTCCGGCCTACAACCGTCGGGTCGTACTTTGACGTCTCTGAGGACGAGGAGAGCAAGTTATATGCCGACGAGCGCAAGTACGTGCCCATGTACCTGAAGAAGCCCGAGGTCCGGAAGGGCAACAGTCGCAAGGCCCTGAAGTGGCTGGGCCTTGCCTGATGGCCCTCCGCGACCCTCTATCTTTTATCGGCAGTTTCTGCTGCACTTGGGCTTGTCCCACGACTCTTGTTTATCATTTGTGTGTTTCTCTCTTTCCGGTTACCCGGTCGATACCCTGCAGTACACGCAGCAAAAACCAGCGAGCGGAGCCCCCTTCAATCCGCACGACATGACGCAACGAACCATATCAGTGCAACTAACTATTTCGCTTATTTTCGACTTGGCATGCGATCGTGTTTCACGCCATCCTTGGCCCTCGAGCCCAGCGTTCCTAGTGTCCGGCGCGGCGCGGGGGTACGGATACTCTTAGCTTTATCGTGGTTTATGCTTTCGGGGTCCCATGGTAATCTGGTTTTGGGCAGCATTGGCATGGGAGTGGGTAAACATGTTTCCAACTGCCATACTATTCGTTCGTTTTAGAGGACATGGCGCACAGGATCACGACAGTGGCGCAAGAAAGAAAAAAAGGACGGGCTGTCCCAAATAACGAGCGTTGTACATACACACCTCCATGATTACAGTAATTTTTGGAACCAATCTAGAATCAATAACGAATGTACTACACACCTTGAACGAAGAATTAGGTGTTTTCAACGCGGATCATGATTCCAGTTGATTTCGGATAATTGATATGATTCGCCCACACTGAATACTGAGAATGAAGTTGTGAAATCATTTGCGATATGGTATTCCCGAAATATATGTATAAACCACCCTCACTCCTGTACACGCTCAAAAGTAGAAGATGCATGGTCATGCAGACAGTCTCAAAGCAGGATCAATATTCAACAAGCCTTAGTCTCTTTCCTACATCTCTGCGCCGTGCCTTCTCCGAGGCCTTGGCCTCACCATTGTCGAGAGCCTCGCCACGAGCCTTGAGTGCTTGGAGAAGCATTCCAGCGTCAAAAAACCCGTCTGACATTGCGTTAGCATGTTACACTCGGATCGAGAATGCGTGATACCACGGAAACAAAGGGAAGTCGGTCACTTACATCCACCCAGTTCATCATCCTCGCTCATCGTCATGCTGTCCTCGGTCGGAGACCTCGTGCCATTTGCGGACCTAACCTCCCTGCGGATTGCTTCGGTACCGGTGATCATGCGTCCACGTGCCTTCAAGCCCTTCGCAGCCTTGGCCTTGGCCGGGTCGATTTCGCGGGCTCTGGTCTGTTTCGTCGAGGTGGCGCGGCGGTTCGTGATCCTTAGCACGCGGCGGATTTCGAGTAGGTAGCTCTCTAAGGTATCAACGAATCGCTTCGTCTGTCGATGCTTGCTGGAGACGGAGATGGTGATGCCATCATCCTTGATGATATACCCAATACCGAAACCATCACCAGACGTGGGACCAAAGCCAAAGTGCCGTAGTGATGGGTTTCCACAGTTAGAGGTTGACAAAATCGTCGTGTTCAACTTGTCCCACCCTGCATCGGCAAAGATGTGAGGCACTAAATGCTCCCGTGAGCGAGAGCCAGTGCTGTCGCCCCTTTCTCTGGTCTTGATCTCCACATCCATCGATAAGTCAGAGTTGCGTGCCGGGCTCCCGACTGGGGAATTGAAATCCCTGTCAGACCCGCTGTCAATGGGGCTCGAATAGCCTGTACTGCTCGAACTGTTTTGTTGCTCGTCGATCAGCTTCTGCCATACGCAGAAGAGAGCATATAGATGACGGTCGCAGCCCTGAGCCTTCGCACAATCTCTGGTATTTTCAACGTGGCTCTGGCACGCCTTGCGTAAAGCGTCAACCTTTTGCTCCGCCGGATGATCCGCCCAGAACGTCTGTACAAAGTTGACCGAGTCCTCTGTGACAGACCTGATCGCTTCCGTCCGACCATGGAGAAACATTTTCGTCATCGATGGTTCATAAGTGCATTCGACCCGTCCGTAGAGACCATAGTAGGCAGCCTGAAATGCCATCTGAACAAAGGCATCCGGGGAGAATCCCATGGAAGTAATGAAGTTTTTGCCATAACCACTGAAGTCTAGACATTCGAACTCGTTCTGCCCAATGAGATCTGCCAGCCTTGTCTCGGCGAACCGTGCCGCAATACTGAGCTCAGGAAGCATGTCCCATTCAAGCTTGTGAGGCGTCGTGTTGACATCTCCGAAACTCTCCGGGTCACGCTTGGATGGATCTGGGCTTGTTGTCTTCCACAAACTCATGGCTTGTCCGTTGATGCTCCTTGCAAACCGCAAGATGGTATCCGTATACACATCGCTGGCAAATCGCAGGACAGTATGACCATCAACACCAGTGTGCTCGAAATTAATCCCCGCACTTCCGTTCTTGCAGACAATGATCTGCAATTTGTCATACCACCGATTGATGCAGGTACCAATCTGCACCCCTTTCTCCACTTGATTCGAGCCACAGAGCATATTCTGGCATAGTTGTGCAGCTGTGGTGGGTTCTGTATAGTCGAGACATAACACAAATAGTGCCGAGTCGATGATTCCTAAACAGTCGGCATTGTTTGAGCCTTCTTCCTTTGTGAGAATATCCCGAAGACCCGACCAGATCTTGCGATTCTCGGTACTGAGGATACCAAGAGCACCTTTGGCAGCTTCCTGGATCGGTGTGTGTGCGGCGTCGTCGATTATAGTCTGCAAATTGATAGAGATATCCTTCTCACTCATGATGAGATCTGAATTGTCATCGAGCACGTCGAACCAGTAAAACTGCCCGTGACAGAGCGCAACGATGTGCTTGGAATCGGGATCTTGTTCTATCTGACACCCGTGCTCTGTTGGGACTCGTGCTGTTCCGAAAAGTCGTGAGTATTGATACATATCCAAAGGCTTTCCCTTGATGGTGTCTGGAGGCAGTTCCTCTCGGCGTACAGCCCTGACGAACTCCAAGGCGGATACGACCAACGAGGCCGCACGAGTAACCTGATTATTTCTAGCTGGTGTCGGGTCATCTTCAAGCAAGAAGAAAGGGTTCAGGTTGAGGACGACGGGATTATCGAAATTCAGGTATGAGTCGTACCCTGCGGCAGGATTAGTACATACAGGAAAGTATTGTAAATAGCTCAAACTCACAGAACTGTTCGATGTAGCTCGTCTTGCCCACTGCATACTGTTGCAGCTTTTCTTGCAAACCCGGCCCGTCGTGCTTCAAAAACTCCTGTACAGCATGCTTGGTCTCGGCGTGCTCTCTTGGGCCCTGGAGCGGTTTCAAGGCAGCCAAGTACTTTGTGCAGGTATGTTCAAGGTCGGGGATGGGGAGCTTTGGCAGGCTGTCCTGACCCGCGAAGGTGATGCCTCCTTCCTTGGGTGATTCATTCATGATTGGCACGGACGGCTTCCGATTCCGAGCCAATGCGTCTTTCGCAATGCCGTTGGGAAGATCTGGCATAGAACGGGGAATAGACGTCGGTGAACTGCCAGCTAGAGTCTCTCCAAGGCTCTTGGGCATAGCAAATATACGCACTTGAGTGGGCATGGTGTCAGCCGAGGTTCGACTCTCAAGCGTACAACGGACAAACGCAGGTGCATATATTCAAGCCGCGCAAGGCTGTGCGGTAGAAGTAGTGGCAGTCTTGCAGACAATAGGATGGCATCCCACTAGAGTTGCGACTATGGCGCTGACATGAGCGGATCAAAGGGAGAATGGGAGAGCAGGGAAGGGAGACGGAAAGTATAAATGGTGTCTGATACTAGCGAGGACCCGATGGATGAAGTGTACAAGACGAGACGGCGGAGTGGGCCCATGACTGCATGTGCTTCAGCCCAGGAAGACATATCCAGATGCATCAGATCGGCCCATGGCATGTGGACCTGAACTACTCGGCCAAGACAGAGACATGGTCTCATCGGCAAGGTTGAGGAAATGGGACGAATGATTGGCTCTGGAGGCTCGCGATGGAGCAGGAAGCTCATCCGCAAACCCGATAGTAGATAATATGGGTGCAGCCAGGCGGCAATCTGCCGAGAGAGGCTGGATAAAGATATCAGAGCAGAGAGACACATGGACGTACCGTAGAGAAGTAACGTTCGGTCGTCCAGGGCTCGGTACCTTCGGTGCAAGATGATGCGAGGTTATGTTGCATGTGTCTGAGAACAAGACATGCAGACAGCGAAGGCCGGAAGATTTCACGGGACGGTTATACGTTGCCCTGGCTGCTGAAGAATTAGCATTGGGTATTGGGCAGATGGGTTGGTCGCAATGGCACAGTAGCGTATTTCATCCGCCTGGGCCAAACCTTCACATGCAAGCAGGCAAGCCTAGCTGGGTTGTCCAAGCATGACGTGCCGGCCAGCACGGAGAGCCGGGTGCAGAGTCATGAACAGGAAGGGAAAGCGTTGGCTTCGAGACCCACCTCGCCTTGCTGGAGCGCGCCCGGGAGTATGGGGTTTCTCGTGGGCGTGGTGGCCGAGGTGCGAGGGTAGCTCGTCTGGGCTCTCCAATGCTTCGGACGAGTGGATGTCTTGTGGTTGGATATCGGGGATAAGGGGACCGGGGAACCTGGAATTGACGCGCGCGCAAGCGAGTTCACATGGGACGAGCGTAAACGACAGCCTCGTTCGTTCGTTCGTTTGTTCGTTCGTTCTCTTAAGGATATTCTACGTGCCTCGTCGCGGAAGGGCGCTCGTCAGTCATGCAGCGAAGGGGCTGGACTTTCGACCCGGACGGACTGAGAGCGTCGTCAAATGATTATTAAATGTCCAGGTGAGCGCGACCTCATACGTGAATCTGGGGTAGGCCACAGCAATGACGGCACAAAGGATAAATGTGGAGCTTATCATGTCTCCCGAGCGGAGGGCACCACTGGAAACGCCCGCCAAGCTGCTGGAAGGACACTTCCAGCACCTGGGCAGCGCAACCCCGTGCCGCACTTGCGGGGGTGATCCCAATGCCTGGTTCTGGGGCCTTTCCTTGGCGTGCCTTGTGACAGCCCCAGAAGAACATTCTACTGTATGCGCGTGCAGTATTGGTGGGCTCCGGCTGTGTGCAGGTTCACCTGGGCAGTCTTGGGCGCCTGGGTAGAGGTGTAGTTGGTACGATCGAGGCGGGCTCCAAGCTTTGCTGACGAAATTCCGAATCGTGGAACAGCTGATCATATACTGCATGACACAACGCGGGCGATCCTCAGTGTCAGGTCTACCATCTGCCTGAACATGTCGCTGAAGACACCGCACAACCACAAACGTCATATCAATTAGATATGCAGAGAGAGTATTGCTTCAAAACAACAGTGTTCGCATCGCAGCTGTCGGGTGTGACTTGCTCCGAAGGCCTACGTCTTTGCCATCCCACGCCTTCACACTGCCAGATCCCTAGTTTCCACGACGAAGCGGCGAGGCTCCGGCATCACGGAGCTGTGGGGCTTCCGCCCACGGTCTGCAATCCTCCTTCGTCGTGTCGAACGGCAGTTAACCCCACCATTCTCTGTGTGCAGGCTCTAGCATGCGAAGCAGTCACGCATTTCAGATCAATCCCCGAAACTGTTCCCGGGATGCTCAAATCGTAAAGAATATTCTCAAGTTTTGGCGAATCTCATCGCAATCATCCCTCTCAAGAGAACACGCGCGGGTCTTCTTAGAGCCGAGCCAGGTTGGTTGGTTTACAGATCTCTAGAAATCTGGGATGCTTATATCTTACTCTCAATGTCATTGACAATAAGCCATCGCTTTAATTGGCAAATACCGCGTCGGGCCAGAATAAATCATAATACCTATACCGGTCAACCCATTGTTTTATGGTGGTTGAAAAACACAGGACTAACCCTACAGTCATCGAATCGCGTGTGTCTGATTGCAGGCTGACCTGAGGTGAGGGGCTTCATCGCCGAATTACGCGTGCGCATCGAAGCTGCGTACCTTGATTACGTTCAAGGAGAGAACAAACGGGTCGAAACGCAATGGGAAGCTGAAACGGGAATTTGAAGTGGCCCATCTATAATTCTACACTTGAAGCCACTTGCACAGTCACTTTTATATATATATTCATGCGCCTGTGCAGACATACAGGCGGATGCGAATGCGAGGTGGGTACAAGCCACATAGCCCCTTCGGACTGAGGCTGACCCGCAGATCTTCCTGCAGCACAGGCTACAATATTCCTTTGAGACGTCATATTATATGCTTACCTGCCACGAGATTTGATGCTTAGTTGCACCAAAATCGTATAAGGATCCTGGGTCAAGGTCCATACGGCGGACAGGATTCCGCTTTTAGACCCTAACTCGATTTTACCCTCAACGTTTGGCCCACAGAACCGGGCCACCTCTTCCCAAACATGTGGCCAGTCCTGAGCGCGGCCCGGTTCTGGAGGTCAATCGTCGGCGGGTTCTAGAGCTGTCCGAGTGCGAGGCCTTCTGTGCCGTGCGCTGGGAGCTTCTGATAGGCCAAATCTCATGGTGGTGGATGACGCCTCTATCGCTGAGCACGTCGGCTGAGTGACGCTTCTCCATACGATAACTATTTTAGGTGAACTATCCTAGAAGCTCCAGATGCGTAGAATGAGGGCTCCGTTCCTTCTGAATAAGACGACATCAAACCCATCTCATGTTTTAGTATTTCAACGCTCGTTTCTTCATTGGTAACGAACAGTGTGCGGTTGAATGAGATCGCTTCTCCGTCCAACTACTATCACTTTACCCCCTAGATTACTCAGATACACTCTAGAAAGGAGCCACCATGATCATTACGACGTATCGATATTTCCGTCGCAAATATGGGCCCCAAGAGCCCAGAACAGAGGAGACAACCCAAACTCCAAAGAAGATATCTCCTCCGTGTCACCACCGATCCCAAGGGGAGCATAATGAGTGGCCGTCCACGGACAACGAAGAGTGCCTCCAATGTAAGGCAGAACAGCGGGCTCTCAGAAAGTACCGGTGGAAGATAATACTGGCCTTGATACTCCCATATTGTCTCCAGTCTTTGGACATCACAATGTAGGTTGAGATGCAGAAATATACCTGTACTGCAGAGAGACTGAACGAACCCAACCCAGTGTTGCCAGCGCCTTGCCATGGATTGCATCAGATTTCGGTAAGCAACCGTCCCACCTCGAAACCAGAACACAAAGCTGAGACGTGAAAAGACGAGATAGCACAACTCAACTGGATCATCTCGGCCTTCAACCTGACCTCAGCTGCTTTCATCCCCTTCTGGGGCCAAGCCGCAGATGCGTTTGGCCGACACTGGTCACTGCAAACAACTATGATCTTAATGCTGATAGGCAGCGCATTCTGCACCGCCGCCCCAACCAACGCGTTCGCCTTATTTCTCCTCGGCCGAGCTATACAGGGCATCGGATGTGCTGGGATCGGGACCATCATCCGGGTAGTGCTGGCGGACAAGGTGTCGCTGAAAGAGAACGCAAGGAACTGGACCGTGTTCACCTTGACCGGCGGCGCCAGCTACGGGCTGGGCCCTGTGATCGGCGGCTACCTGACCAAGGTGAACTGGAGGTGGTGTTTCGGTATCAACCTGCCCATCGGCGTCGTCGGCATGGCCACGGTGTTCCTGGTGCGCGACGAGATGCTGGGGCCGCAGTCCATGCCGGGGCTCAACGAGCACGGGGCCGGCCGCCGCCAGCGGTTTGCGAAGCGTCTCGGCACCATCGACAGCGGCGGCCAGCTGCTGTTTCTGTTCGGCTTCGGTCTGCTCGTCCTGGCGCTTACCTGGGCGGGCGCGACGTACGACTGGAACAGCGCCCAGGTCGTCAGCACGCTTGTGCTAGGCATACTGATCGTCGCCGCATTCCTGTTTTACGAATACCTGATGATCCCGGGCAAAGCCCTCGCGCAAAGATTGTCCCACCAGAAACCCATGATGCCTTGGTATCTCCTTAAGAACCGGAATATCAGTCTCCTGTTCTACATCAACTTCGCTACTGGGATGGCAATGTACAGTGTAAGTCATGGCCTTGGAATACAGTCCTGTTATAAGCTAATCAACAATAGGTTCTATATTTCTCGGATATATACTTCACAATGGTCAAGGTAAGTCGCCTGAAGTATGAGGTAATATTGGCCCAATGAATGGCAACTGACTATCACTACAGCATTTTACCCCTGATGAAGCGGGCGTTCAGCTGCTATTCTACACCCCTGGCCTTGGAGGTACGTTGAAACGCCGTGACCCATGCTAGTCCCTCCTAACAACGTATAGCTGGTGTCTACTTGTCGATGCTATTCTGCAACCGCTGGCCACGGAACACCTTTGTTCCGCTCTTACTTGGCTCCGTCGTCGAGGCGTTCGGTGTCGGCCTGCTCGCGTGGGCGCTCTATTTCGAGCACAACCCCACGATCTACGGGATGATCGCCTTGACGGGTGCAGGAACGGGCCTCCGCTTCATGCCGGGCAGCCTCCACGCGATCGGCTTCTTCCCCAACGACATTGCGACCGTTACAGCCCTCATGGGCGTTGCGATGCCGTTTGGCGGGACGTTGGCCCTGACCATCATGGCTACCGTGTTCAACAACACTTCCGGTATCGGGCGCGACTCACCCTTCCGAGACTTTAGCACTCTGGACCAGCAGCCAGCAGATGTCCTGGCTCAGGTGACGGAAAGTGCAAGGGTATGTCTCTCCCCTGATACACCACCCGGTACACCGCTAATATGTGCATTAGAACGGCATCACGTGGGCATTTGTAGCACTTACACCCTTTATGGTATTGGTGAGTGCTTCCTGAGGTTATCCTTCCCCTCAGGTTCGACTAACATGCAACAGTGCATTATGTGCTCGTCCTGCTTGGGCAATGTCACGATCGATCCTCGGAGTAGTGTGGATGATCTGGGGCAAGGAAGAGGTGGCCATCTTACCCACGGGAGCTACCTGCTTTCACTCTTCAGGGGCAAGACTAGCCAGAGAGACAACATTGCAGAGGAGGAACGACAGCTTCAAACTTTCACCAGGGAATAAAAGCGGTGCGGATCGCAACTGGAAATGTACACCCATACTTGTCATTGTTTAAAGCGAAATTTGACGTTTCTTACGGCACTATACCCCTTCAATTGATCCATCCTGATCTTCACAGTCGACCATAGATGGCTGTTTCGGTTATTGTGAATGTTAGATGTACTTACATACGATGAAACCAGGGCACGCATAAGTATAAATAAGCTCTATTGATCATCACAAACGTGTCGTCCAAGGTCGCTCTCTCTCACAAGCCAAAACTGCATGTCCGCTAAGCTCGATGTCACAATGCTCCCACGATACCAATCGCGCCATATCTTCTGTATCACGTTGTCCTCCTGCTTGGGCGGGTCCCGCGCCTGCCTCTGATACCGCTCCGAGAGCTCCCGGCGATCGACCTCATCGTCCAAGCTCAGCCGCCCGACCAGGCTGCTGTGAACCACCTCGGGCTCGCCCTGCCGCAGTCGGCTCTCCCTCTGCCTGGTGCCGTAGGCCACGCTCTCGCCGGGGACGAGCGGGCTCTCGCCGCCCATGAGCCCATGCGTCCACTCGTCCCCTTCGTTCACGCAGACCAGGACCCGCCCGCTGGGCGGCTTGATCCGGTCCACGATGTGGAACAGGGCGCCGAAGATCTGCTGCGACCCGCTCTCGCCGTGCCTCAGGGCGCGGAACGCGACGGCCACGGTGCGCACGCGCTTCGTGTCCTCGCGGTCCAGGAAGTACGTCATGGGGCTGTTGAAGCCGGTCGACGTGCACGGCTCCAGCTCGCCCAGGAGGAACAGGGCGTCCTGCTGGAAGTTGAAGTAGACCCTCGGCTCGGACCAGCGCGGCGTCTCGCGGACCGGCGCGACGTCCAAGTCCCAGGACGACGAGACCAGATCCATGTCGGCCAGGATGGCGGGCACCTTCCAGCTCCAGGCCAGCTCGTAGTGCGCCAGCCCCACGGACCGGGCCTCGCGGTTCACGTGCAGCAGCACGGGGACCAGACGGCACGCGGGCCGCAGTGCCAGCTCCGACTCCTGCTCCGCGGCGTTCTCCGGGTCCTGGCACGAGATCAGGAGGATCCGGGGCTGGAGGAGGAGCGCCCAGATCTGGAGGCGGAGCTCGGTGGGGAGCTGGGAGAACTGAGGGAACGCCGTGTGGAAGGGCGCGCCCGACGGGGCGAGGCCATCGCTGTGGACCTGGAACCGCAGCCAGAAACCGGCGTCCGGAGGTATCGCCATCGTGTCTGATGGGAACCGCGGTGATGTCGCCCGAGACTCTGGTGGGTCCTCCGGTTGTCAAGCTGCCGGTGTGTGGCTTGCGGGCTTCTGGGCGGTAAAAGGGTGTGCCCGGTTGTAGTGGAACCGAAAGACGGCCCACCTGTCTACTCGAACCAGCTCTCTCCCGTGCACGTTCTCATGGCATTGACGGGCATCGGCATCGATATGTCTGTTTGCTGGGGGCAGGAGGGGGGATGGCAATGCCGGAGTTGGAGGGAGACTGTCCGGTTCCAGAGGAGTGGGAACATTCCGCACGTTCCCGCGTACTCGGTGGCAACGGGCTGACGGAGTGCGGGAAGCAACAACTGTCCTCGTACCAATCACGCACGGAATCGATCCAGGGTCAAGGCGCTTACCCTCCAGGCTCATATTGCGAAGGAAAAACTATTTGTTTCATGGCTTGCCTAAAATACATAATATGCATGGGGGACTGACAAGATATAACTTCCCTGGCTCTACAAGGCCTGCAGTTCCACCTTCCGACACAGCGGGCGAAGCCAGCAGAGGTGCGACTGTGTCCATTCCAAAGCCGGAACACTACAAAGACACATGGCAGCGTATATCATATATACTCTTATTTCAGATTGAGTGGTGATACTAATCTACCAGCAGCACCAATGCTTGCTTCCGTGCTATGTTACACCTGCCCTCTTGTACTTTACATCGGCGTATAGTATCATACATTTACATTTGCTTCGCATAATGCTTTCGCGGTCTCGCCGGACCTCTCAACGCGTGGGGAATCATAATTAGTCCCCGTCACGACCTGGGATCCTTCCTGCCATCTTCCGTGGCGTGGAACATGGGACACGCGCCCTGTGGCTGTCTCCCCCTGATCTCGCCGAGGAGCCAATCTGTAAGGTGGACGACCTTGGCACCGACACCCTTCTCCCAGGCACCACTCTGGTCGACGTGCTCAATGGTATGGCTGATGATCTTGCCGTCCTTGTCGAACTCAAATATGAACAAGCCCGTGAATTCCTTCTTGGAACCGCTGCCCTGCGTCCCGCGCAACGTGCTGTCGAGCTTCTGCTCTCCTTGCTCGGTCAAGCTCGGCTCGGAATCGCCGCTCGACTTTTCCGCTGTCCTCCATTTGACGACGAGCTGTTCGGGATATGCCCCCGCCCTTTGGGGAGAGAAGTGTAGTGGTTCCGTTGTCATGCGCTCGGATAGAACCTGTATCTTCAGGTTACCGAGGATGGGTACTCGGTTCCAGGCGATGGGCGACGTCCATAGCGCAGCAGTATAGGCGATGCGCCCCGATACCGTCGGCAGGTAGGGATGTGTCGAAGGGAACAGATGGAGTGATATGTTCTGCGACACTATGTCTTGGGGCAGTGGCGACTGAAGAAGCGTAGGAAGGCGTTTCTGGAGAACGCGCAGAGCTATGGGAGGGTTGAGTGTTAGAGGCAAAAAGCCAGACACAGAGCAACGACGAGTGTATAGTGACGAGACTTACTCTTCCCTAGCTTGATTTTCCGCTCGTTGTCTGGTCCCTTCGGGTTCAGGCCTGAGGGCAGCTCGAAGCGCGGCAGTGTCGAGTCGAACCAGATCGGGGCAAGTTCAAGCGTAGAGCTTGTACAGGACGCTGGCGGCAGAGTCGCAAGCGACTTGGCTGTGGATGGTGACGGATGTGAGGCGTGGGAAGCTATCGTGGGGCCGGCGGAAGCGAAGTATGGCGGCGCCGGCAGGGTCGAGGCCCGTACCGCGGCCCTGGAGCCGGAGCTCAGGACATGGGACGGCGACCGTAGGAGGCTGCTGGAGAGGGACATGGGTCCGGAGCCTGGCTGGCGGCAGGACGGCGGAAGCAGGTCATCAATCCGGTTGGAGTTGCGGGAGAGAGACGGAGGTGTCGTGGAGGGTGTTGGCGGTCCTAGGTCGATCGGGCAGCTGCAGAGTCCAATGCGAGCAAACACATGATGTAAGTGAAGCGATTCGGGGAGGCGCAAAGCTGGGAGCCGTGAGCCCCACTGTAGAGTGCCGCCCGGACGGCTGGCAGGGTTCCCGTCTGGTGTTCGAACAGGGGTTCAGCAGGCAATGGAGGCCAGCAGGCATCGGATCCCCGCTAACCTAACTAACAAGGTGAACGGTTTGTCAGTCCCAGGTCTCGTCTGGAGCAGTGGGGGGGCAGGCTCCAGTAATTGGTACGCAGTAAGTTAGTTCTGTCTACAGTACGAGCGACGGTAGCGGTCGTAGACACCCAAGACCCTTCTTGTCTCTTCTGAACAGTAGTATGATGCCTAAAGACAGGTGACTTTGGATACGTCTCGTCCCTGCGAGCCGCCCTGTGTTCCTGATAACAGAAGCTGCCAAAGAGGTCGGGGTGGCAGATCAATCGGTCAGCATGCGACCTCCTAGTGACTGAGGTTGTCGATCTTTCACCGACAGGACGTATGCCAGTCCCGAGCCCGCTGGCATCAGCTGGGAGTGAATCACAAGACAACTGACACGTGCCAGTCTCATCTGATCACGCTGGCGCCCGTCCCCTGATCTCAGGTGGCGGCCCACAAAGAAACAGCACGCACCCTGAGGCCATTCAGGCCCATTCAGGCCCATTCTTATCGTGGTGGCCACTGGCCGGCAGCCTTAGTGCTGTGACAAGCGAGCCAATGGGCCCCTAGCCCAGGTTGCCAGGCTCTCCCCACCCCTTTGTACCAACCTGGCCTGCCTAGTTGCCTAGGTAAGGCACCTCTATCCGCCAGGCTGTGTGTGCCGTGCAGTGCGCTGCTGTGCTGTCGACGACGCCTGGAGTGTAGGGGGGCCTGGGGGGGCGTCAGTGAATTAGGGAGTTAGGTACCCTGGAGTCTTAGACTGGCCACCGGCCGGCGTTGGTGGGTGACTGGCCTTGACTGGCCTTGACTGGCCTTGACTGGCCTTGACGCTCCTGGACGCTCCCTGACGCAGCCGAAAGTCCGTGCCTGTCTCTTGATTCCTTTCTCTTGTCCCATCCGCGCCAACTGACGACATCTCTGAATCAACGCACATCAACCTCGCATTATCCATCTCGTCTATCGCCCACCTGCTCCCCTATCGCCCTCGAGCCCCTTGATATCGATCCTCAACTCCCGACTTGCTGGTCGCGGCTGATATCTCCCTTGTCTCCTGGCCCCTCCGCCGCTTCTCACCAAACCCGCCGCCCATCTCGCCTCTCACCGCGAAAATGAATCCTGAGTAGTACGTCTCGTCCCTGATGCCGCCGCCTGCCTCGTCGCCAGACGCCAGAACCTGCGTGCCCCTCGAGAACCGCTGCTGACCTGTGCCATCAGAGTTCCTGTCGTTCTCCTTGTCTCTGCCCCTCGCGGCTGTGCGCGCCCCTCGTCTTGCCCGGCTGCCAAACGTGCGGCTGCGGCTCCTCTCGGCCGTCGCCCTGTGCTTCAACACCGTGATCCTCGTCACATAAGCCGCAAACAACATCGAGCCGCGACATCGAGCCGCAACCCGGACCCGCGATGCCTCAGAACAAACGGCCGGCCGTGTTGCCCTGGCCCCGGCCTCCTCACCTGTCCACCTCCACGATCCATCCACCCTTCCCATCCAGCACCGCACCGCATCAGCCTCGCATCACGCATCAACCCAGTCAAGATGGCCGATGATCGCAAGGACCCCAAGCCTGCCAGCCCCCTGGGCGGCAAGTTTGTGCCTATCCGCATCACCGATGACATGGCCCCCGAGGTCCAGGAGTACCTGCTCAAGAACGGCCTCGGTACTCGTGCCATCAGCCTCCCCCAGTCTCTCGGCGCTGGTCCCCCGCCCAGACTGTCGCACAAGCCGTATGACTTCGAGGACTGGCAGAAGCAGTTTGCCCGGTTTGCTGATGCTGACTTGACTTTCCACAGATACGACTACCTTTTCAAGCTGCTGCTGATCGGTGACTCGGGTGTCGGCAAGTCCTGCTTGCTGCTCCGTTTCGCTGACGACACCTATACCGAGTCCTACATCTCCACCATCGGCGTCGATTTCGTAGGTTTCCCCGTTTGCCTTGCGCCGCGTGCCCTGGTTTCAAGACTGACTCGATGCAGAAAATCCGCACTATTGAGCTCGATGGTAAGACCGTCAAGCTTCAGATCGTAAGTCTCGAAAAACCCCCCTCGTTTGCTTAGATGCGTCCCTTCGTACTGACGTGTGTCATTCTAGTGGGACACCGCCGGCCAGGAGCGTTTCCGTACCATCACCTCGTCGTACTACCGTGGTGCCCACGGTATCTGCGTCGTCTACGATGTTACCGACATGGACTCCTTCAACAACGTCAAGCAGTGGCTCCAGGAGATTGACCGCTACGCCACCGAGGGCGTCAACAAGCTTCTCGTGGGCAACAAGTCCGATATGTCGGACAAGAAGGTCGTCGAGTACACTGTCGCCAAGGTTAGTTGCAGCAAAAAATTCACGTTGACATGTGTCAATTTTTTATTCTATCTGTTTGTCATTGTGCTAAACTTGCCCCTCACAGGAGTTCGCCGACAGCTTAGGCATCCCGTTCTTGGAGACTTCGGCCAAGAACGCCTCCAACGTCGAGCAGGCTTTCCTGACCATGGCCCGCCAGATCAAGGAGCGCATGGGCTCGCAGGCTACCACGAACACCAAGCCCGGCATCCAGGTCAGCCCCGGCCACAACGTCTCCTCGAACTCTGGCGGTGGCTGCTGCTAAGCGGCTTGGAACACTTCTCACGATACCCTGATACATCTCTGCATTCATTCGCCTCGGTTCTGATTTCCTGGAGTGTCATTGGCAATACAGGCTTGTGCAAAGGGTTGATATGGTTGGCAATTGGAGGGAAGGCTTGAGTAATGATCTCTTCTCGCGTCGGACCGCGAACAGAGAACCCCAAGCCGCTCTCCCCTACGGATTCTAGTCACTTCTATGGATGCTAGCAGTCTGAGGTCGCCGACATCATCAATCGGACATACTGACAACTCAATGTTTTTCTTCACGACCCGGAATGTGAGAACACGGTGATGAATGAGTGATTGTGAGCGCGCAGGCTGGTGAGATTGTCCCTCTGTTCAGCGGGTGGCAAACCTGTCCCGGCCTTGTGTGTGTTTGGGCATGACTTAATTAGACGTGACGTTTAATGGCTGGTATACGCGTGGTTGCACATGGCTTGTGCGTGTATTTTTTTGCGAGTTTTGTTCGTGTTTATTAGAGGGTCAATTTCTGGTGTTTCTGTTACATCTAGGCCGTTCTTTGCATATCGAGAAATTCCTTCAAGCGTACGCACACCTACAGATCCATGTGTTGTCTTGTGACGCGGTAAAGCCGCAGCAGGTCTGCCATATGGTAGTTTGCATGTATTGTCTTAAAGATTCTCCTCATGCCATGTCTCTCGAAGCTTGACGTTGGGCCCTCCCGAAACGCATGGCGACATCCGCCTTTAGCACGCTTGCGAGGCGAATAGTAACTGGCATCGAACCTATTTGAGCACTTATTCCAGCCCCCCACGCCCACAGCCAGTCGACGACGACTTCGGACACTCTCGTCGCCTTTCTTCACAGTCAAATCAGCCCAGTAGGCCCGTCCACTCGGCGCGCTCCTTCTCCACTGTCGCCTCGACCAAACGACACACACAAAGCTCGCAGAAGCCTCTACATGAAGCGTGGGCTTGGAGGCGATATCTCGCGTGCGGGCCGCAGGACTGTTCTTCGGGCCCGTAGCGGAGCTGCCGTTGAGCGTCGTCCTCGCAGCCTGGCTGGGCAGCGCGATGAGGATGCCCGTGGGGCTGGATATCGGGACGGGCGTTGGCCAAGAGGATGACGGGACTGCGTCCCCTTTGGGAATCGGGTAGCGTCCGACCCTACCATCTCGGCCACACCAGGCGGGAGGGTTGACAGGGAACGGTCAGAGGTTGGTTGGTGGAGGATCTTGCGCGATGCTAAATGTACTTTTAGCTTGCGATGGAGGGTCATAGTGTTGATGGGGTGGGAGTACACGGGATCAAATGGACTGATTAGCGGATGTTCCATGCTTGCTCATATACGATGATGGATGTCAATTTATACTGACTTGCAGGACCACGGTCGTCGGCTACTGTGCGGCTTCATCTTCAGAACATTCTCTGTCGTGCGGTATCCGGCCCTCTCAGAACAAAGAGAGATCTCTGCGCATCAAGATGGGCTTCCATAACATATTGGGAAAGTAAATCGGACTGTCACTGTACCTATTAAAGCTTTGTACAAACCAGTTCGGCATAGGATCAATCAGTGTATAAATATGACGCCCCTGCCGCTTGAAGGAGAGAGTGGCAGCCTCTCATAAGGGGGTTTTCGAGACAGGTGGTTCTTTGTTGTATATGACAGGTCATACAACGCATCGTAGTGAAATTAGGGTTGATATGTTTCGACATGAACTCCATCACTACCGGTATAGAACCACACGCCTTTCGGTATTTAGATATCGTCGTGAGCGCACCGGTGTTCCTGCGGACCAGTAACCCATCCTCGTGATGCCCAGATACAGATACGTCAATCCAGACCACCTTTGCATCTGCGACCACCACAGAGGCGACCCATACGGTAGGCCGGTAGCGGCGTGGACAAGCTCAACGACGGATCTGCCAATGTTATGTCTTGAGTGTTGGGCCGCGACCATCGTTGACTCGCCGAATCTGTGTTCTACGAGTATCGAAGACTGGACCGACTCACTTCCCTCAGATGACTTGGCCTTGTTCAGAGTCCAGGCAATCCTGCCGGCTATCGAGGCCCGGGTTGAGAAGGAGCACACGCCCTGGCGCACTGCCTACGACTTCCGAGAGTTCATGCATTTGTTCCAGCAAGAGTTTCTTCCCGACTTCTGGGACTTCGTGGACCAGGCCGACCCGGACGAGGAGTGGGCAGCCGTGAGTGTCATATTAGAGGGCCTGCTCGGCTTCACCGGCGTCTACGCAGACATGGACGAAGGCAAGACGTGGGCAGAGTTGGTCGTACGGTTCCCTGCAATGGCGACGGATGAGTTTCGGCAACACATTCTAAGTCTCTTCCAGGAGGTGTTCCCAAAGAGGATCAGGAGACAGGCCCGGTTGCGCATAACTACACATTGAGGCAAGGAGTCAGATGACAGCCTTGAAGACTCTTCTGATGGGATGATCGAACACTCACGCGAGACGTTCATGGAATTGATGAGGGGCCAATAGTTCATCTACGTATGCGGAGTTGCCTCCTGTTTCCCCTTCTTGTCGACCGCCTTCAAGCCACCTGTAGTGACCTCGAATTCGACCGCATTTTCAAGCCCTTGCCCGCTTTCCTTGACGTGCGGCGCAAAGACGACCTTCATCCACCTCTTCCAATTTTTTAGATAGACGGTGTTGGAGCTTTCATCCTCGATGACCTGCTTACGACCATAGACGGGTCGCCGCAGTAGCGCTATACGGCATGCGAGCTGAGTAGACCAGACCAAGCCCAAGCTTGGGGTTTTGAGAGCATGGTCCATTGGGTCATCACCCCAGCCCGTGAACCATCGCTGCTGATGGTCGAGTAGTAGCGCGGGAGGGGCAAGTGGTTCTTCCGGAGCGGGTTCCGGCATGCTTGACCTAACGGCCTCGGGCGGCATGCTGGACGTCGGTTCGGCGCCGGGGAGGGGTCCCTTAGATCCCCTGGTACGGCTGGCAAGGGGGCTCTCCTGAGAAACACGTCCCGCATAGGGTAGGCTACTTCCTTTAGAAGCGAACCCTGAGGAGCTATCAGAGAAACGGTCGCCAACCTGGTTCGCCACCACGACGGCGAGGTTATGCTTGCGAGCCAAGTCGTGAAGCAGCTGCCCGAGTCGGACCAGCTCGTTACCGCGGACGCCCATGTTAAAGCCGCCCGAGCCTTTCGAGCCGCCGCGCTCATACTCTGCGCGATAGTTGGCTGCCACCGAGTCCAACACTATCAACCCAATGTTGCGACGAGACACCTCAACGGGAACCTGAAACTGAAGGATGTGGTCTTGAGACTCCAGATCAGGCGTGACCGTGCTGATGATCTGGTCCAGGGAGGGCTTGGTGGATTTGTCCATGTCCTGGAAGAACGGGTGGTGGTCGAGGATCTGGGCAAGACGCTTGGTCGACAGTGCTGCTTCCGTGGAGATATACAACGCCGGCCGACCCAGTCCATGCGGTGGTGGTAGTTGTGCGGCCAACAGGAGCGTCAGGAGGAACTGTGTTTTCCCAGCGCCGCTCTCCCCAGTGATCTCACTGATGTAACCCGCTGGCATTCCCCCGCCCAGTGCCTTGTCGAGCGTTGCGTCCAACGTGCTGACGCAGCTCCATTGCTGGACGAAGTCGCCGCCGGCCTGCTTCAGACTGCTTGACTTCGCTGGCTGCTTATCCGAGACCCCCAGGTCTGCGTGGAGAGCTTCCAGGACGGCGCTGCATAGTCGCTTCAAGTCCAGCAGCGGAAGCTGTGTCCGCTTGCCGAGGTCGGTGACGTCGAGTGTGAGGAGATCACTCGTCGTCACCTGATGCTTCTCGATGGTGGATAGGAGGTGTGCATAACGGCCGGCTGGGAAGTCTGGCAGGACGCGCGACAGATCTGTCATGAGGCCGAACACATTCTAGTCCGATATTGGCGCAATGAGAATCCGCGCAGCCACGCCTGCGTTCTTGTGACCGCTCGGTGTAGAATGCGGGCTCGGTCGGCTGCCCAGGGCAGATGTCTCTACGATACCTCTTGGGGCTGGCGCGTGAGTGGTGGACGAATAGGGTGTGGGGTTGTGCTCCCCGTGCCAGCCAGTTGAGGTCAATGAGAATGAAACGCTGCGGCTGATCTTTGACAAGACCCCCGGTCGACTTCGCCAAAGATCTCTACTTGCGTGCTAGGAGCCTCCACCCAACGTTGCTTGGCCAGTTCCCTATTTAGCGGACTCTAGCGCGGAATTGCTGCCGCCTCAGCCAGCTGCGGCTTTCAACGTGAAAGATGCGCCTGGCCAGGCACCCTCACCCACGTCCACGGACTTTCACATCCGTCGTGTATGCAATTGCCGGTGTTCGTGACTGTAGCATTGATTCTGCATTCCGTCGATCCCGGAGGCGGTGCTGTCGTCGACTACCCCACGACTCCATCTGGGCTCCCTGTAGATCGTTGCATCGGGGACTTGACCCGGCAGTCTCTGGTCGAATCTTCACTGTGGGATGGGGGAATCCCACAAACATTAACAAATACTTGTCGGAAGCATTCAACCAAGAGCCAGGCTGACCTGGTCTCGGCCCAAAAAGCACAGTTGGTCTCGTATTACGCTGGACCTGATCAAGCTGATAGGGACTGTAGATTGGTAAAGCCTCAGCTCTCCGCCAGCTTGCATGGGTACTTGACATCGTCTGATTCGCTCTGAAGTTTATTCTACTACCAGACATGGGACAGCCCATTCACAACCGCCTTCTCTGGACCCGTTGTTTGTATTATGTCTTTCATAGAGGCCGAAGAACCGGTGCTGTATGGTCAGTGCCAACGCTTTGCTCTGTATGGCCTCTTGGGCTTAACTGCTTTGGTTTGTGGCGCTTTCAGCTCCTGCAAGACGACACACTTGCCTATTGGCTGCAGAGATCGTCCCGCAAATCTACCAATCTCCCTTGGTCAAAGGTAATATTAACCTGGGATAGTCAAGTCCCAGACTGTCTAGGCGTCGGTCCACTTTACGCTGGACCCTGAGGAAGTATGCCTTGCGGCTGATACAGCAGGTCGCCCAATATTGGGCTGCGGGCGCCGCTCGTGCTCCGAGAACTGACAAGGTGGACTAGTCACTTACATAAAATTCTTGTCCTCCTTGGCTTCTCACGAGTTTGCCTGTTTACTTCCTACCCTTTTGATTTTCGTCCGGCCGTGTAGAGGTGTTCAACGGGAAGCTCTGGTACAAACCAGGGATTAGTCTCATATCTGTTCCTAGGCCAATAACCCGAATGTATATGCCTCGCTACCGGATGGCCGCCTTACTTCTCACAGCCGTTTTCGGCACGGCAGTTAGAGCCCTAGCCTTGGAGTCGACTATACCCCGACCGACAGAGGCCTCAATACCAGACCCAACACTTCAGTTGCCAGAGATCACGGAACCACCCAGTCCATCCGTTGTAAAAGAATTGTTGAGGCGAGCCGATGTCGAGACCGTCCTGGTAGCCCCAGATAATACTTGCGGTTACGTGAGCGGGCTCCTTGGTATGGACAACTGCACGCCACCTTAACGGGCACAGCTGGCTGACACATCCGGTTTTCAGGCGCTGCTTATACTTGCGGCAATACGAATGGCTACTGTGCCTTCATCACCACCGCTGCCTTTGGTGCTGTGGCCTGTTGCAACAGTGGAGGATGCGATTTCCGTACCGACTGCCGGGACAGGGAGCAGATCTCCGACGGCGACTGTGGTAATGGATGTATGAACGATATATATACCGTGAAATGGTAGGCACTCCACGAGCCGCCCCCAACAGTAGTGAACCATTCTTATTGATCATTCAACCAGCTCGGAGGCTTCCCTCCCCTATTGCGGAACCATCAGGTTCTCAAGCAGCATCACCGACTACTTTTGCCATTCACTCAGCTATTCGACTCCAATGAACGCTCTGACAACATGGATTGGCGAGGCGGACGGCCGGAAGTATTCGCAGGTGGTCGTTACCCTGAGTTCTGATGCCCTTACTTCCGTCGGCACATCGGCTCGAGGATCAGGAAGCGCCACAGCAACAGGTGCCAGTGGCTCTTCAGGAAGCTCTTCAGGCGACTCATCCGGCGGCTCATCCGGTAGCAGCAGCGGCGGCAGCGGCGGAGGCTCCTCAACCAACATCGGTGCTATCGTCGGTGGTGCGGTTGGCGGTGTGGCGGTCCTGGCACTGATCGGGTTTGGAATCTGGTTCTTAGTCAGACGGAGCAACAAGAACAAGGCGGCGGCGGTGGCGCCACCACCAGGCCCAGCACCATATCCCCAGATGCAGCAGTCGCCTCCGCCTGGCGGTCCCTCGCCTGGCCCCATGGGCGTGGCGGGACACCAATCAGTATACAACCCGCAGTACCCTCAACAGCCGGGTCAGCAGTACCCATCGCCAGAAGGATACATGTCGCCTGGTGCCGGGTATTTCCCCAACCAGGAGAAGCCTGGAGACCCGTACATCACACACGCCTCCGTCCAGCCGTCGAGCCCGGTGTCGCAGGTCACCGATCCCAGGATGAGCATCCAGCCATCGAGCCCAACATCCACCGTCAACTCGTTCCAACCGCAGCACACTGGCGGCTACCAAGCGCCGACGCCAACGGTGCCTTCCACGGTCTACGAGGCTGGAGGCGATGCGGTCGGCACCCAAGGGCCCAATGCCAATCACCGTGGGCAGTTCCATGAGCTGAGTTGAGAGGGAAGGGGAGGATGATCTCAAAGGCCCCAATTTGGTTGTCAGTGCGCGGTAATGGCTATAGATTCGTGCTAGCGGGCCGTAAGTACAAGCAGCACGCGATGAGAGGCAATTGAACTTGATATTGAGTAAAATGAGATAAGAGCTCAATAGCTCTGATTACTCGGGTGACATTCTGCCATTTCGACCTCTGTTTGTGCTTGTGCTACTAAAATTGTTATGATTTGGTCACTGAGCGGCTAAAGAGACAACTATAACTATAAAGGGCCGGTGACGCAGATGTTTCGGAGTATACACGGTAAGACAGGAGAAACATATTGAGACGAACATACAAGCTAAGTGATCAGAAAAACATCCCAGCGAGACTTCGTCGAAGTTTGGACTCCCTAGCTGGAAGTCTCTATGTAGGGCAATACATTCAGCTTTGCAACCCAAGAATCAGTTCGTGGTTCATTTTCATGCTCATTATCTACCTAGTGAGAACAACGTTCTGTGCCATGCCATGCTTTTCCCATCTTACGTAAATGCAAACCTGTAGCAAAGACGCCAATTTATGCAATATGTACAGTGCCTCCTCTACCCGTCTACTTTGGGTGAGGGAACTCGTCCTCTAGCTGCAGCCGCACGCCAACGTTCATACTGATCAGCTCCTGCACCAGGAGTTTGGCAGCGTAAGGCATCGTCATCTTTGCAACCTCGCGGCTTGTGCGGCACGTACTGCAGTAGCCTCTGTAACCGAAAAGCCCACATTTCTGGCAAATATCGACGTCTGTTCCATCAGAGCTGATCATGAGACGTTCCAGAAGGAGTTGCGAGGCACCATAGGCAATGAGACAGTCACGCTCCATTTCTCCTAGACGAAGACCACCATCCCTTGATCGACCTTCCGTGGGCTGCCGTGTGAGGATCGCCCTGGGACCTCTGGAGCGGGAATGCATCTTGTCTTGCACCATGTGCTTCAGGCGTTGGTAGAAGATGGGCCCGTTGAAGATATAAGCCTGGAGCGGCTCACCGGTGATGCCTGATGTGAAGTAATCTTTGCCCTCCCATGAGAAACCAGCCTCAACGAGGTTCCTGCTCATCTCTTCTAAAGGATGGGATCGGAATGCGTCACCGTAGCCGAAATCTTTGCGACCTCGAATGATAGAAGCTTTGCCTGTGAGACATTCGAGAAGCTTACCGACCGTCATACGGGAGGGGAAACCGTGAGGGTTCATGATAATATCGGGACACAGCCCAGTGTCTGAAAACGGCATGTCTTCTTGATCGACAATGATGCCGACAACACCCTTTTGACCGTGGCGTGACGAGAACTTGTCTCCCAACTCGGGACGTCGTGTCTGTCTCGTTTGCACTTTGATGAGTTGTGTTTCGTAGGTTGTTTGCGTTACCATGACTTTGTCAACAATTGCACCATCGTACAACTTGAACGAAACAGGAGCCTCCCTATACTCATCTGACCTCCTTTCTTTACCGATTCCGGGAGTGGTGTCAGTCGGGCTTTCCTTCTTGATGAGGACATTTCCGCTATTCAGTTTCCAGCCTACATCCGCGAGTCCATCGCTGGTCAAGGCCGCGTGCCTATCGTCGGCTTGAGCGGGGTCTTTATCTCCAATTCGGTCGCGTGTGCCATTGGGGTACTTATTGAGCTCCGCGGTGTATTTGCGGAAGGCTTGAGATCTCCCGAAACCGCGGTCTAGCGATGCCTTGTTAAGAACCAGAGCATCCTCGATATCATATCCAGAGTAAGACATGACCACAACTGTGGCGTTTTGGCCAGCGGGTAGCTTGTCATAGTTGATGAGCTCGATAGTCTTAGAGATGACCATGGGCCGCTGAGGGTATACAAGGGTGTACAACAGCGTATCGATGCGATTGAACTGGTTATAGGCGATAGCTCCGATCGCTTGTTTACCCATAGCGCACTGGTAGGTGTTTCTGGGTGACTGGTTGTGGTGAGGGAAGGGAATCAGACCTGCGACTGCTCCTAGGATTGTGAAGGGTTCGATTTCAACATGCGTCGATGCCTTCGTAATGTCCTTCTCCGAAAGAGCCACCAGACAGTCGTTCTCTTCGTTGACGTCGAGATACTCGACAATTCCTCGAGTGAGAAAATCGTCAAATGTAGCCTTTCCAGCCTGCAGCATTCTCAGATGGCTCGCCTTGATCTTGGCTTCTCCATTCTTCACAATGATATAAGGCCGGCAAATTCTGCCCTCATCTGTCGCTATATGGACAGCAGATAGATGAGTATTGACGTTGATACTGACGAAGGGAGAAACCCATCCTCTGCGACGCATGGTGCGGAATTTTGCAGCAAATCTTTTGGGGAATCGAGTGAGGGCAAATGGAGTACCGTTGATGTGTACAATATATGTGCCAGGCTTGTGGATTTCTGCTCCTGAGAAACACCGCAGAGGCTCGACTCCGGAGTCCAGTGTGTAGACCCATCGCTTGACGGGTTCCTCGTCGATGTTTGTCGTAATGTGTGTCATCAAGGCGAGGTTCTTGACCAAACCACAGGCCTCACCCTCAGGTGTGTCCGAGGGGCACAACATACCCCACTGCGATGGTTGAAGTGCACGAGGACCACTGACCTTTCGTGTCTTCTCGAACTGACTGCTTATCCGGGTCATCATTCCGAGAGCAGCAATGTAACTCAGTCGACTGAGGACGTGCGTAACACCAGCCCTTTCCATCTTGAAACGCTTCACGCTCCAGTTTCCGGTCTGGATTGCCCGATTCATACCATCGGTGATGTGGCGGCCCAACGAGCTGATGTGCTGTAGAGGATCGAATGCTGCGCGGTGGTTCTTTTTCAGGATGTTATCGCACGCAAATTTGAGGTCGGTCAAGTATTTCTTGAACAGATCTTCAAATAACAGAGACAAAAGCTGACCGGCCAACTCCAATCTCTTGTTGCCAACAAAATCTCTGTCATCGACCAATTTCGGGTTGTAGTGCGCCATCAGCACACGTCGCGTCATGAGTGCTATGTAGATGGCTTTCGGGAAGAAGTCGAGACCTTCCACGGGAATGTGGGCAATGATAATGTTCGCGAGAGCGTCCAGACCTTCTTCCACATTGCTTCGTCTGGGTTGCGGCAGACCTGTGCCTCCCGGCTTGTTCCTGCCACCCATCTTTACTCTTGCTCCAATGTAGTCGAGCGCCTGATGTTGAGTGGCTACTCCGACCTTCGCCGCCTCCTCAAAATTGACGACAAAGTCGTCCTGGAATCTTCCATCGGTGCCAGCAACGAGCTGCATGATCTCGAAATCCGAAAGACCACCAAGCGCTTTCAAGACAATGATGATGGGGACCGGCTCTACCAAAACGTTGTGTACAAGGTTCAGGCGATCTTTCTTGAGCATGACGTAGGTCTTGGATTTACGCTCATGTGTCGAACTGGTTACCGAAGCAGAGATGATGTGGTTCTTCTCATCTGCCTCCACGATTACTCGATTCTTGCTAAGCTGTTCCTGGACAAGGATGACCTTCTCCGTTCCGTTCACGATGAAATAGCCGCCAGGATCCAGAGGACATTCGTTCATCTTCGCCATCTGCGCGTTGTTGGCACCATAAAGACGGCACTTGTTGCTTCGAAGCATGACAGGCATGCGGGCAAGCTCAACATTGCGGCGGACAACCCGCACCTTTTCTCGAGGATAGGCGATATCCACGAGAATCTTGGCGGAATAGGTCATGTCACGTAGCCGACATTCATGGGGGGTAATCTCATTGACCACTCGAAACTCGTTGAAGTCTGGACGATCGGGCATCTCAACCCGGATGTCCAAGAACTCGATGAAGAAAGAGCCCGTGACATCGCTTCTGACGGTCCTGTTGGCCTTGAGGATTTCCTTGATTTCATGATCGACGAAGAAGTTGTACGAATCAATATGCCTGTGCCATGTGAGTTAGGGACGGACGTAATCCTGCATAATGGACGAACACATACTGCTTCACAAGACCTGTGAGACTTGTTAGCCAAAAAATTCGACGCGAGTGAGGATCGTGACGTGCCGCCTGGCCGCCAGATGACTAAAACGTACCTTTCACCTTCAGAAACGCAGGGAGCAGCTGGAATTTGTCGCTAGCCGTGGAAATCGGATCCGTGAGCTTCTTCCCGTTGTAGAAAGGCTCGAGGAGAGCCTCGAAGCCATCATCGGTCACCGCCATCTTGATAGTCGCATGCAGCTCGAATTCTCATATCGCATCCGCTTGCAGTCGGCACCCAAGAAGGCGTGAGATGACTCGAAAAGCTATGACCCACCAACTGAAAAGTCCAAGCCCGTCCCCCACCACGGATGGCAAAGCACGTGGCCGATAAGGGCGATAAGCTAGCTACGTACAGCACCTACTCCGTAGGTCACCTCTTCCCTCCAATCTTTGCGAGAGGCGGATCAAAGTTTTGCCCCTTGCAGATGGTCTGCCAACCCCATCAACACCATCCACCATCATCGCCGTCGCCATTCGCCATGTCAAGAGTCACACATCAACACAAGGCCTCGACCTGGGCTTCACTGCCCGTGCCCCGCCGTGTGTAAAGTCGGTGCGGAGAACCTATCAAGCCGGTGGCACCAGATCAAGGGCTACGACGAACTTTCCGTGTTTGGCACGGCCTAGCCGTCAAAATATCTGTTCGGCTGCGTCTAACTAGGATCTCAATGCTGCACCCCTTCCTGTCTGCCTTCCTTCAGCGGGCGAACTGGAGCATCCGATTTGAGCATCTTTCATCGAAACGCCTGGACCAGCATGACCAGGGACTAATTAACGTTGGGCTCTGTGCCATCCCTGATCTCTGCGCCCAAGCCCGCTTGCCCCTCCAGAGCCCCAGTCAATCCTGAAGCCCCTCAACAACCCCTCACCTTGACCTGCAGATACCCCTCCAGTCCTCAGTCTTGCACTGCCATGTGTTCGTAGAACGTGTCAAGTATTGATCAGTAATAGTGATTGGCAGCTCTCTCTGGCTTGGATCAGTACATTAATGCGGCAACCCGTACATGAGTCATAAAAAGCACTTGGTGCACTGCACCAATAGCTGGCCCGTTACATCAAGCACTGTAATATGAGAGCCTGCGTTATACTGCACAACCCATCGCAAGATGTTGTCTTGACAAACTCTACAAGGAGCTCAACCTCCAGGGGGTGAACCGAAGTGGATACGAATAGCACATAATCTATCCCTGATCTTCATACACGAAGGTCGTGGAGATGTTGATCTTCCACCTCATCTTGCAAGCTAACTTTACTTGGAGGGCGATTTCTTTCTGCTCCGAGATTTTGGTCGCTCCAGAGCTCGAAGCGGCGATTGAGGACCCGCAGCGCTTGAAACGACACTTTTGCACCGATGCCCGCCGTTAAACACCGGGATTACGGGACTGGCAAGAGGATTGCGGTGCGAAGGTCCTGGGCAGACTAATAGGAACGACTATAGTCGGTGCAGTGGTCCTAGCGAGTTCCAGCCACGCGCTACGCCAGACTGCCTTATGTATACTTGATGCAGCCACCAACGCTTGATGCAGCCGGGCCAGGAATAGGACTCCTTGCAGAACAAGGTGAGGCACGCTTGAGCAAGGGAAAAGAGTCAGACCTGATTCGTGAAAAAAAAAGTCGGTGAGCTCGAGGTCAACGTAGCAGCGACATATGGTGGACTGACCCAAGGCGTTTCTTGCCACTGAATGATGCAACTCTCAACTGCTGATTTGCTCTTGTCGCTTTGCTGATCGCATGGTCATGTCCACCATCATGCAAGAATAGATCTGTGGAGTGGCTGATCTTTTTCCAGCAGTAAATCTATTGGTCAGTATCGCACAGGCTCAACATGGGCAGTGATGTATAGGAATATTTGATTATTTTTCAGGGCCATGTTTGCTTTTGGTATGTAGATAATGGTCGGAAGTGAGAGGACATTCATACAATTTTGACGAGCACTTCTTGTAGAGAGGAGGGCACACTCAGAACACATTGTTTGTGCCTAGACCTGAGATCAACTGGAACACACGCTCATCAACCACCCATAGCCGCTTTTCCGGGGCCGTCATGGTCGGCTCAACGATATACTATAAATCCTCGATGATCTGCACTAAGCCAATACTTCCCAAGGCCACACTTCTAGCTTGACCTAAAAACTTAGGGCAGAAGGACCCTTAACGGGTGAATGCCTATTCTAGAGGGAGAACACACGATAGGGCGGTCTGCACAGATAGCGTAGAACGAATGTTGGTTGCTTGGCTCAATCTGTAAGCTTTGATTGGTTCATGTACACCAGCTGTCGAGGGTCTAGGAGTGGTCTGGTGCACGAGATCCGACTCCGCTGGGGCTCGCAACGATATTCAAGACGATCGCGGGGTATTGTTGCGTCATGCGGGCTAATAGGGCCTTCAGTTTGCTCTTTGGCGCCTCCAAGATAGTCGAGATTGGGTGCAGTTGTCTAAGTCTGCACGACACAGATCCTTTTCAAGACAATCAAGTCCCTAGATGGATCGGACTGGATACTCTTCGCTTCCACTTCTACCATCAAACCTTTGGCATCTGTGACCCGGGTAAATGTGCGCGCGCCCGCCGCCCGCCCAATGTACCTACTTCAGTAGGTAGACACAGACACAGAGAGGGCGGGCAAACGTAGGTAGGCGCCGGGTTCCAGATCTGCTCTAGAAGCAAGTGATCTGGCCTATGAGGCGCCAGAGTTATACTAAATCAAGTCTAGCCACAGACGGACATGGGTGACCTGCATCGCCCAACCACACGACGGGGCATGTATAATTCCACCTTATACCTCCGTGCTTATGCATTAGCTGTGGGGTTCGTTCAGGTCTCGTCGCATGTCGGCAGCCAGGCCAGTCGCGGTAAGATTCTGACAACAGGGACGACATGCAGCATTGCTGCACGACGAAAGACTCCGTTTTCTAGCATTGGTCCAGAGAACGAGACATGCGAGCGCGCAAATGTTGCTGGCAATTGCTACGTATGTACTTCCAGAGTGTTTCGAGATACGATTAACTCGTCGCCTGCCGACAACTACAGAGTACATCGTAGTCCCCCGCACTAAGAGGGGAACTCGGTCCGCAATTCGGCCATGGCTTCGGTTGCTCCCATCGATTCCCAGTCCAACGACGCTCACCGCTCCCTTCATTTCTGTGGTCCTGAGGGGCTGGCTTGTACCGGCCACACACGCTGTGGAGTCCCCCCGGTAGAAAACTCAGAGATGGGTGTACATACTCCATGAGTTAGGCACATTGATGAATGAGATGTCAAGCCTCGAAACGATGCCGTGCCGCACCTGTGTACTTCTATAATGTCCCAACTACGTATCACAGTGGCAATTCACGAGGGTCCAACACGTAGCCGCCAGCCACGGCGCCGCCAGTGACAGCTGTCAAACGTGACTCCAACGGCAAGCGAAACTTTGGTAACTTGGATAGCACTCCAGCAAACTAGGCTTTTGCAGCCCATCTGGTCTTGGAATTCCCCTGGATTCGAGAGATAGAGTTCGCTTGACGCTTGACGCTTGACGCTTGACGCCATTCTCCCGTCGCCGAAAACAGGGCGACCACAGCAGTCGCAAGCCCTAGATTCTAGCCTGCAAAGCATGCCTGACCTATTAGACGAGAAAAAAACGTTGAAGCAAAGATTTCAGACCAGAGCGATAAGTACGTAACGCAGCTCCACAGGCGTGTGTATCTGGAGTGCTGCCGCGCTGGAGACGGAGTACCTTGGCCTGCAGGCCTGGTTGCCCGTAGCGGCGGATGAGCCAGGACCGGGACTGGGTAGCAGGTGTAGGGACTAGGGACCAGCACCAGAAGAAGGAACAAGCCCACAAGAGCGCCGAGCCTGAACAGGGGTCTCAACTGGTGCCGCCGCCTCGACCTCCTCCTGCCTCACCCCCCCAGAGAAACATCGATCTTCTCTTCTCCCGACCTGCCCACAACTCCACACTCTTTTTGTAGCATTTGCGATTGCAATTCCTTCTCGTGCTGCCGCTACCTGGCTCTCCAGGGCAGCGTCTGTGCTATTAGCTGGTTCTCTTCAAGGTGAGCAGGCGTCCCCGTGTCCCCTGGGTTGGCTTCGCAGCGCCGCCCCCCTGAGAGAGAAGCGCCGCCGTTGCGGTCAATTGTGCCGCGGGGAGACCTGCGAGACGGAGCTGCCAGAGGAGAGGAATACGGCGGGCGACACGACGGGCGCACGGCGCATGCTCCTCTCAGTCCCTCGAGTGTCCTCTGCGGCAGTTGCACTGGGCTGCGACCGCCGCGCCTCTCCCCGGCGGCTGTGAAGTTGCGAGTTGTCTTGTGTGAGCCGCGAATCGTGTGCTGACCAACTGTTGCTATAATCCCTCAGTTTATAGAACGGCGACAACGACTTGACTCTGTACGAAGGCTCCGCCGGTGTTGTAACAACAGTAAAGATAACGAAGATGGATGACTACCGATTTCGCGCGCAGCAGTCTCCCCGAAACGAGGCGCCGATGAATTCCCTTGTCTCACCACCGAGGAATGGCAACCGACTGCCTCAGCCAGACCCTCGAACCTCTCTGCCTCGCCGCTTCACGACGGACTCAGGCCATGTACCAACACTGTCATCATTAACCCTCCAGCGGCCCCCGGAGCCGCAAGTATATCCCACTGCCGTAAGTTGTGCCCTGTCGTTCTTTTAATCCATGCTTGTCCAAGCTTCCGGGCATGTTTCGAGCCCTCAATCGCATGTGTCTGTGTCTGCGGAACGCATCGCTGACGCCAACGCGCTACAGACCGAGTATAAGGCCCAACTGGTAAGGGCATCCCCCAAGTTCCACATAGATGGTGCACTGCTTCTCAAGACTAGCATCGTTGGCCGATGGCGCCGGAAGCCTATTTCATCCAGCCCTTTCTGTGCATGTCGATGCTGATCATGATGGTAGGCGCAGAAGAGACGACTAGAGTATGAGAAGCTCAGGGAGCAGAAACAACTCTTTGAGCTCGAAATGAAGAAGCTGGAAGCCGAACAGCGTCAGGATGAGGCCGAATTGAGACTCCAGATGGACATGGGCAGAGGAAGCGGACTGGGCTTGACTGGACACCAATCCGAACCAACAACGCCGCCTGAATATCGTGAGACCTCTGGGTTCCCTGGCATGTTTTCGCGCCCCAACCGATACTCCCTCTCGAGCCTGGCTTCGCCGCCAGGGTTGTTCAACAACAGGTCTGGGAGATCAGGATCGAACTTGGCATCCCCTCAATCGGGAATCATGCAGTCGCAATCTCGGGCCTTTGCGTTTGATGATCACCTACCCTCGCGGTCAGTTCCAGGAAGTCGAAGAAACAGCGACGAGGACGAAAAAGAGGAAGCCCTTCGCCAGGATCCTACCAGCCACCGGTCAACTAACGCGTGAGTATTCTTGTTTCCTTAAAGTGTGTCCCACAAGCCTTCGCGCAATTCACTCTTGATTTCACGTTTCGTAGCATGCTCTGGTCGTTGAGGACTCTCCATCAGTATACCATAGCGCACGGGCCATATCCCTAGTGTCCCTCCTGGCCCCCTTCTTCCTACACATCGCAGCAGCGAAAGGTAGTATCTCAAGACGAGAAACCAGTTCGCCCCAAGATTATGAGGTTTACCAAAGCTGAGAACCTACGGCACCCTGCATATTCCCAATTGCCTGCCTCCCCTCACTTCTCGTTCTTTCCCCTTCACATTCTTCCTGTTCTTCATACTCCATATCTCCTTCCATTCGATTAAGTCGGAGTGCTGCACCTTAACGCAAGAACTGGTATCACGGATTACTGGATGCAGTGGTTTTGTGTTGTTCCGAAGAATTGGCAGTTGCACTGCATTGGGGTTTGAGGCGGCTTGATTCGAGCACCAGGGGTACACACCCTTTGCATAATCGTCGATTCACTCATTCACGCACTCCCACATTGTCACATTGAAGGGAAACTTTCGCAGTTGCCTTGATTATTCAAACCCTCAACGATTCACTCTTGTTCTGCTCGCAATTTTTAAGAGCAGTGGGTGATCCTTGCACCAGCCTGAACTCCTTTATAGAGGCTGTTGCTGATCCACCTTCTCTTGATCAACCCTTCCTCCATCCTCATCCTCACCTGGTTCACGCTTTTCGGTCCGGAAAGGACTCAGCTATTCCTTCACCTTCTTCGTTCCTCACAATCACTTGTCTTTGCATCTGCCTTTGACTTAAACAGTTTACCTTGACTTTCGCCCTCGTCACACAAGTCCTGACAGTATATACACTGCACTTATCACTGGTCATCACTACATCTGCGATCATAGCAGTGATCATACCTCTTCTGCCTCGAGGCTCACTCAGTTGTACTAATTGCGGCTCGTTCTAGCCTCAACCGATACTCTATGCCTGTCACTCGACGAGGCAACCCTCTTTACGACAACATCGATCAAACCAACGCAGCTGGTTTCCTATTCGGCGACGACGACAACACAATGGAATCTAGCTACGCTGGTCTCGACAAGGCTGGTGATGACGGTTTTCCGAAGCTGATTGCGCAGAAAGACAACCCCCATCGCGTAAGTTAATTTCTCCACGGATAGGCGGCACTCCCCCGACTATTCTTTTCTGGCCTTGCCCAATACCGCGGGAAAATTACATGACCAAAACTTCACACCATCATTCCAGTTCATGGTTTGGTAATGAGTTGGAAACCGATGTTCGAGAGACATCTGCCATCTCTCGTGGCCCTCTCTGCTGTCCAGCCTGCAGCGTCCCAAGCTCACTACACAGATTCTGGCAATTGTCAACAAACGATCAGCGCCTTTCACCTCACGTAGAGCCTTGAGCACACCCACTCATCATTTCACACTCCTCCCACACCACTCTTGGCTACTGCAAACCACTGCATATCATCTTTCTTGACTCCCGCTGCCCGTTTGTTTCTCGATGTGCTGACTCATTTGCTACACAGCTCTCAGCATCATCCGTTGCCGTCGACTTGACCTCGCTTGGCGGCACCAGTTCTGACGCGTCAAACGGTTGGAACAAGATGACCTCGCTCCACCGCCACCAGCAGAGCCTGTCGCAGCTCGAATCATCTCAGATGATGAATTCTGCCGACACAATAGGCGCGGGCCAGGCCGGCTCTGATGCTAACACCATCGGCTCGCGCTCCGGTATTCGTCACTCGCTCGACCTCAAGCAGCATGGATTGGACTTGAGCTATTTTGCCAAGGAGTCCGGTCCGGACACCACCAATGCTATCAAGTCCCCTTCTGCCGTTCAGAACATGACAGGCGCACCCAAGCTGCAGACGTCCTTCTCTGCCAACGACATCCATGCCGTCAAGACACCTGCCGGCTCCGTCAACCTGTCCAATGCCAACGCGCACGCGCAGCAGCACTTCCACAACCACAATGCAAGCATCGGTCGCATCCCTCCCGGTGCCATGCCGAAGCGTCATAGTCGCGAGCTATCCAGCGACAACCACATCCCTGGACTTCCTCAGGCAGCAACTTTCCCTTCAATCGGCTCAGCTCTCCACGCCAATGCCCCTGCCTTTGGACCTGCTGTCACCTCGCAAGGGCCGGCTCAGAACAGCCCCTCAGTTGCTTCACCCGGCTCCTCTGGTGGATTCCCTTCCTATTACGGCGCCAATGGATACAACCCCAACCCGACGAGCCCCAACGGGGCCCCCTTCAACATGGGAATGCTTATGCAAGGTATGGGCAACCTGAACATGAACGGTTTCACTCCGCAGGGCTTCACCGGTTACGCTCCCATGTATCAAAGTGGCCCTCCTCGCGACTCCCAGCAGCGTGTCATTCAGCAGCGCCGCGCCCAAGACAATGATAGTAAGGAAGCCCATACAGCCACTCGTTGCACAGATATTTGCTAACAACCCCAGCAGGTATGAACCGATTGAACAACGCACCCTTCGAGAGTTACATCGGCCATCTATTTGAGCTCTGCAAGGACCAGCACGGCTGCCGATACCTTCAGAAGCAGCTTGAGAACAGGGACCCTGACCAGATTCACATGATCTGGCTCGAGACAAGCCCTCATGTCGTTGAGCTGATGATGGATCCTTTCGGCAACTACTTGTGCCAGAAGTTGCTTGAGTTCTGCAGCGATACCGAGCGCACTGAGCTCATCCGCAATGCCGCCGACCACATGGTGAAGATCGCGCTCAACCAGCATGGCACGCGTGCGCTGCAGAAGATGATCGAGGGTGTTACGTTGCCCGAGCATGTCCAGATCATCATTGAGGCACTTCGCCACCAAGTGGTTGACCTCATCCAGGATCTGAATGGCAACCATGTCATTCAGAAGTGCCTCAACAAGCTGAGTTCCGATGAGAATCAGTTCATCTTTGAGGCTGTCGGCAGACACTGTGTCGACGTTGGAACCCACCGTCACGGCTGCTGTGTGCTTCAGCGCTGCATTGACCATGCCGCTGGAGAGCAGAAGATGTGGCTCATCACCCAAATTACCGACAACGCACCGCGCCTTGTTCAAGATCCCTTCGGTAACTACGTGGTCCAGTACATCATCGATCTGAATGAGCCCGCCTTTACGGAGCCCCTCGTTACCAAGTTCCAGGGCAGAATCAGCCAGCTCTCTCGTCACAAGTTCAGCTCGAACGTCATTGAGAAGTGCTTGCGCTGCGCCTCCGAGCCATCTCGCGACCGCATGGTCCAGGAACTGCTCGTTCCCGGCGAGTTGGAGCGACTATTGAGAGACAACTACGGCAACTACGTGGTCCAGACTGCATTGGACCATTGCACCACTCAGATGAAGCACCAGCTTGTTGAGGCCATCCGACCGGTTCTTCCTCTCGTCCGTGGCACGCCGTATGGCCGCCGCATTTCAGCCAAGGTCCTGACGCACGACGGCAACCGCTCCAACGGCTCCTCCAACAACAGCGGCCAGACAACTCCGTCGGACCCCACTCAGGGCCAGATATCGCTCCGAGGCACTGGGGGTGGCCGCAACGCCAACAACACCGGCCTGCCCATGGGCGGATTCGGCAATGGTGTCGGTGGCGGCCGCAATCAGGCCTCTTACCCGGCCAGCAGTTCTCTGAGCGTTCCGCCTCCCCAACCGCCTCGCATGAACCAAGGTTACACCTATCCCGGCACCAACCTCCAGCAGGGCAATGGTGAGGGCCAGTTCTTCTAGACGATGTGCCTACGCAATCTGCCGTTATGCGATCATGGTGCGATGAAAGAAGCGACGGCATTCATTTGGGCGGGTTTCCATCAAGCAATGCGGGTTTCTGTTTGGCTTTTGACAAAGCACGAATGAAATGGCTTCTACGAACCTAACGATTTTCCCTTGTTCGGGCACCCCTAAATTCTCTCGACATCCGCGTACATTTTCGATCAACGAGCAAACAACTGGCACCCATCGTTCCACGGGTTGCCGTGTATACTATCTGCTCGATGATATACGATTCGTCATCTCTTGGGTCTCACCACGGGGTTGGATGATCATGTCTTGGCCATGTGCAAGAAACATCGTCACCCGTAGATACCTTGAGGCTTGTACTTTTGTACCCTCACGCAGACATAGACTTTTCCTACTTCTTTTCCTTTGGGCTTGGGCTGTAAACTTGACTCGCGATGCTTTTGCGACTTTTTCTTCTGTCATGAGCGTTGGGTCATACGATCTTCACGAAGATTTATGTTCTCTTCGACACACTGGGATGGATGGTGTCACCACGCGGTATAACATCTCATGAACGTCAGCAATCATCGAGTTTCATTCATCTGCAAAACTCCTGGATCGGCATTCCCAGGACGTTCATGATTGGGAAGAGCAAAACCTTCGACACTGGAGACAGAAGCGGTGAAGAGACCTGCTATGGTACTGCGGCGAATGTGTGCATCTCTGAAGTGGGATGGAGAGAAGCACCGTGGATCTGGGCTGTGGAGGAGAGGTTATAGCCCATCGCATCTCGTGGGGGATTTCTCCAGCGTGTGTATCTGCGAAGCCATGTTCTTCCACTGATATTCTTCTTTTCTTCGTTTGATCTCTATGACCACGCAGAGGGTCATAGGAGATTTGCAGGCATGTAGACCCGGTGATCTTCACACAGGTCATGGACAGTTAGATCTCTGACCCTGCAGATAGCCGAAAATAAAAGGGCTCGTACTATAGACAGAACCTCCTAAAGTGTTCCATCCGTGACTCGATGCCAACGAAGCCTTACTCGTGCACTCGTTCCGTGCTCGCCACGCATCTCCCGTGACTCTTATCAAACCTCGCTCGCTCGCCCAGATGTAGACATCCATCGTAGTGTTAAGCTCAATATTGAAGTAGGTTTGTTTGTTCTCGTTAGAGATGTGCCCGCAACTTCAGAATGCCTGCTCGGTGAGATGGTGCAGCCACCTGCAGATGGCGAGCACTTGGCCAAGACATTCCTCGCAGTCAGGACCAGGTGCATTAATTCAGCATAATCACTGTAAACATGGGCACGAGTGACATGATGCCGCCTGCAGTGTGTGCTATCCTCTTCACGCAAGGCCGAGATGGGAGACGGAGATGGGGGCTCCAGACGCTCGGGGACCACCAAGTCAGCGTCCATAAGGCGACGATGTGTGGCACTTGGTTACTCTCTCCATATCTGCGCCTTCGAGGGTGGAATTACCATCTCGTCCGCCGGTGTGCCTTTTCACTCGTGCTGCCTCGGAATAACCTCCCGCTCTTCCGCGACTCGCACGACAAGTATGTCGTCAAATAGAGACTCCACCGTGTAGTCATATGCCACAGAGTTTCACAGGGGTCCAGTGGTACACCAGCCGAGAAGGAGCTGTCCAAACCCATGCCGCAGAATGGAGCGTTTGAAAATGAGAGCCGCTTCACGACGGAGCCAGCACGGTGTCTGTGAGGAATTTGGAGTCTGGACAGCCCTTTCATATCCGAGAGCTGGTTTCCCCGAAGGAAGTAAAAGCCCATTTATGATGAGAGAACTGTGAATGTACCAGGCGAAATCCGGCAGCCAGCCAGTCCCTCGACGGAACCGGAGGCAATCGTGCGAGCTTACTTCGACAAGCCGCATGACATCCTACTATTCACTTCTACAACCTTGAAAATACTACTGAGCATTATGTTTGGTTGTGCTGCTGGTTGGTTGAACATGAGATCCGATGTGAGTGTCACCTCCGTAGACACTCTCAGCCGCCGAGCTTATACCTAGCAAGAATACAACCGCGGCCTAGCCTTCGGATGTACGCTGGCGTCTGGTATTGGGGCTACTGTAAACGAGATGCTTACAGCCTGCCGAGTATGCAACCGTCGGCCGATGTAAGTCGCAGTGGAGGGCCATTATATGTAGGTGATGAGTGTCCGTACGTGCCAAGTCTCAAAGTGTCATCACGGTAATGCTCCCATGTCAAAGCACGTCACAAACAGTTTAAAACGAAAGGATATCTCATAAAATCATTGGCGGAATGAATTTTGTTCCATTCTCAAATACGTAACGTGACTCCGGCCACAATTTTCCTCAGTAAGTGAACCAGACCATGAAGCAGGACCTTACTCCATCGACAATTGATGATGCCAACTGCCGAACCCTCAACCATTCCATCCCCGAGCATGCCGCGTTCAGCGCAGCATTTATCGGTAACGCCACAGGGACAGGGTGTTGTGGCGCTTCCAGGTCTTTCTGCGGCCAGCCTTGGTCTTGTTGTAGCGGTGGCCCTTGTTGAGACCACGGGACTTCTTGCCGGTGGCGGTGAGACCACGAGCCTCGCGGTGCTTGTGGACGGGGTTGACGATCCAGTTGATGCGGGGGTCGATGCGGATGGCCTTGTGCTGGGGGTCGACGAGGATGACCTCGTAGTACTTGTAGGTCGAGTCCTGGTTGATCCAGTACGAGTTCAGGACGCGCAAGTTGGCGCAGCGGCGGCCGACACGCTCCTCAGCGGTGGCCTTGAGGGATCGCTGGTACTTGAGCTGGTTCACACCCTGGTTGGTGGGCTTGCCTGTAGTCGGAGCATGGTCAGCGGGTTTCTCTCGTCTGCAGGCGACTGCAGCACAGGAGCAGCAGCCGTAGCGTGGAACATACCGTAGGTGGCACCCTTGGGAACGGGCCTCTTGCGGCCACCACGGCGGACGCGGACGCGGTAGATGACATAGCCCTGCTTGGCCTTGTATCCGAGGCGGCGGGCCTTGTCGGGGCGCGAAGGGCGGGAAGCGCGGTGGATGACGTTCAACTGACGGAGCTATATTGATGCAGTCTCAGCAAATGTTCAACGACTGTATAGCAGAGACACGGGTCATTCTTCGCTCCCGCCTGGGACTGCAGTGGCAGGCAAGCCAGTCTCGGTGCGGCTGCTCTCGACTTCGGGACGAGAGCAGGCGGCAGAGAGAGAGGCAGAGGCCATGCCACCACGCAGGCAGGCGAGAGGGCGAAGAGAACACAAGCGTCCACATGTTCATCCATTGATCCAGGTTGAATGCATATGTTCGAGCGTGTTGCCTTTTGTGTGTCGGGGTGGTCGTGGATTGGAGTTTTTTCAACATACTTCCCAGCAGCGGACTCGGAGGAGGAATCGCAGGACATCCGACTGCTTCTTCTTCTGAAGCTCTTCGACGTACTTGAGGGCACCCATCTTGACTGTTGGCGGAGGGGAACGAGGTTAGCCGGGGGAGAGAGGCGGGGAGGGAAAGAGGGAGAGAACAGTCGTCGTCGTCGTCGTCGTGATGGGGGGATGAGACGTACCAGGTTGGGAATTGTGGCCTGCAGAAACGGGTTCTCTTGTGTCGTTTGTTTGAGGGTTGAGCAAAACTGAGAAGTTCCGAAATCTCGAAAATTTCAGGTGGGCATGGAAAATTCAAAGTGTGTGCGCAGTGGGCAGGAGCGGACAGGGGATATTGGCACTAGTCCGGATTGCGACTAGAACAAGCCCCACTCTGGCTCACCGCGAGCCCGGCAGAAACAAAGTGCCCTTGGTGCCCTAACAGTACTAGTTAACTTATGTACCACGTACTCGTCCTCAGCCAATTGAGTTCAAGCAGGTGAAGAACGGACAATCCGCTGGTGCAGGTGAGATTGACGACGAGGGACAGACTTGGAGGAAATGCATTATCTCAATCGATTATGTGAGTCCCGTAGACGATATATGGGACAAACCAGCTCTACAGTTCGCTACGAGCTCAAGCTACTCGTGTTTTTTCTACCTGGCCAAAGTTCTCCGCCTCCCGCGCCCACCTGAGCTACATAGCTAAGTAACTTGGTCGTTGTGAAGTGGTAAATTGGTCAACCCCCTTTCTGCGGAGCCGTTGATGTCCCAAACATTCCTCATCTGCCCGTCGAAGAATGCTTGGCGATGCATCTTACTTCCGTAGCACCAAGAGCATCATCGCTCGCGGCGTGGTGCCATGGTCTCTGTTAAGCCCTTGAAACCCTCGATCTGCTCAAAGGCGACGCTGCCCCAGCAATCCTCACCAATCTTCTTGCGGCTCTCCGCAAAGAGCTCCGCTGCCGCCTGCTCGTGTCCACCCAGCTTCTCGTGACCCTCACTCGCTGAGTATGTGTGGGGTGCGAGCAGGCCCTCGATGATCCTTTCACCGTGCTCGCGTCCGCAGTTTAGGAGTTCCTTGATATCCTGCTTGTCCTTGCTCCAAGTCGCCGTAGGCAGCTCAATTTTCTGCGTCTTCAGGTCTTCGTCCGTGTCCTTGTAACTTTGGATGAGCAAGCGACAGCCAGCAACAATACCCTGGGCCTGACGAAGTAGGTCTGCGTCTTCGGGTACATCATGCTTTGCCTGCTTGCTGGCCGAGTTTCTAGTTGGCGGTACGGATGCTACTGAGGAGTAGACCTTCTTGTAAGCTGCGAGGAATCGCTGGTGATGCTTCTTACTACATTGCGACCTGTAATCAGCTGTTGGTACTTAGCAGTAGTGGCGTGGGACTTACAGGGCCTCCTCCTGATCCTTCAAATATTCTTCTAATTGCTTCTTATGCTTTTCGGCTTTCTGAGAGAACTTCTTGACAATTTCCTTGGACTGGGCGGCTTCGAAACGATTGATCTTGGCCATTTGTCTGGCCCAATCCTCAAAATCCCTATGGTACTATTAGCGGTCCGTGTTGGTGTCGGGATCCTAAGTATTAGAAGGCTTGCCGGGTGGTTTCCTGGCCTATTTCATTGTCATCGTCGTCAAGGCGAGAGAAGCTCTTGTCCTTGGAACGTCTCACGAGCCTTTTGGAATTATCTGGGCCTCCAAACTCGGGCATGCCGTCGGAGAGCTCAGGACTCTCAGCGCCCTTTCTCTTGATGCCTCGCTTTGGTGGCATGATGTGCCTCCACTCAGGAACCAGGACGGGAACAGTGCAGACTGATGAAAGTGCTCAATTGGCCAGTACAGGGGAGAAGGTGAGTCAAATTTCTGGATGACTCTTCCTATATGGGAATGTCGGGGCCGGTGAAATGGCAAACTGTTTACCAAATTACCCAAGGTTCATGTCAGTATGGTGGGGCCTGTTCGACGTTCTTGCCTGCTCAACGTAACACTGTCTAGCCAACTTTTCAAGGAGAAGGTGCTTCCCGTGTCGCGATTGCCATTTCAAGTAAAGCCCAAAATTCGAATCGGCATTCAGTCTATCAGTCTATCTGTCTATCAAAAAGGACAATGTTGTACATGCATGTGTTGCGTGGGGGAAGTCTCTTTTTCTCCATTTAAGTCCAGTTCTGGACGGCTCTCAAATACAAGACGAGCCATACAACCCATTTCCTACTACGGGCTCCCTGCCAACCTGTTCAATGAGGCGACCCTCTTGCCAAGAATACTGTCGCTCGCACGCACCATCGAGGTCGTCAGCCCGTACAACGTCTCATCTTCCTCCTCGTCCGGCTGCTGGTCGACGTCCAATAAGATCTGGTGGAACTTATTCCAAGCTTCCGATACACGTTGAGCCTTGCTTCGTCGGCTCGACTGCAAAGATGCGGCGGCGCCGATCTCGGCAGATAGAGAGACTGAGCCCTGGGCCGACATTGGCCTGTGTTTTCTCTGGATGGTTGATTCGGCGGCAGGAGAATCTACGTAATGAACGACCTCTTGACCCGTTTGAGACAGACGCTCCTCTCTTCGTTCCCGTGAAGGCGTCTTGAATGCTGCAGAACCTCTGCCTGTGAGTTCAAATTGCGGGATCTTAACGTGGGCTACCGGAATCCCCCCAGTATTACCATACGCAGGAGGTGGCGGCGATGCTGCATCGCGGCTGCTGTTAAAGGTTGCACCGTCTTCGGGCATTGCAGTGTCCTTGTGACTAGTGAGAATTTAGTTTTATTTTCCCTGAAAGAGTCCTCAAGCATGATGATCTTACCCAGCTTCGAATGACCTGTCTTTCATCGGCAACTGCCTGGAAACATTGTAGAGCTTTCTCTTCACTTTGTCGAGAATGATCTTCTCAAGATCTTCGCCTGACTTGTTCTTGACACCATAGTACCCATCCAGATTGAGCTTTATCAACAGTTCATCAATGTCTGCAGTGGTTCTCGCGTTTTTCCCATGCTTCTTGAGAAATGACTCGAACTGCGCATTGTGTTCAGCGGTCCACCGAAAGACGGTTTTGGTCTGGATGTTCTCCGCTCGAACTCCACCCCAGACCATCGACTTTGAGGTTCGGGTCGGTCGAGAATGGACAGTCATTCTGATATTCGTTTTCGAGTGAAGATTTTCTTCCTTTTTTTTTTAGTTTTCGGAGGTTTCTTGTTCGTAGTGTTCCTTGCCTGTTGTGCGTGGATGCAGACTGGAGACTACATGCCGTGGATGTTCGCATACTTATACCTGAGCCCACAGGCAACTGGGTGTATCGGTGCCTTGTATGATGCTGATAACATTGTCTCGGAATCTCTTTGACAAAAAAGTCTTACCTTGCGGGCTTGGAAACAGAACCCAACTGTAACTTTGATCATTGTCATCCGGCGACGGCAGTAGTTGGCATGTCTTGCCTGGTTGCCACCGAGACTGAACAACGCCTGAGATCTGTTTCAAAGCTACCTTAAACTGACGAGAGAATATGCGAATTGCATACTAGCAGCTCGAAAGTACTCATCGTCATGCTTACACAACTTCGATTGGGCCTGCTACATATCTTCCCATCGCTTCTGTATGCTTCTGGAACACCACCCACTATGAATCGAGGGCTACCAAGATGAAATGTGTTTGATCCACTAGGCGCGCAAGATATGCTCAAAATTACAATCAACACATTGAACCAAGTTGAAGTGTTTGCAGATACATACTTCTTTGGCTATACAAGCACTTGACAGTACGGGCTGATGTGTGCATACTAGCTAGGAAAAAGGTCAGACTCGAACCTTGTGTCTTGATGTTTCCCAACGAGTCTCACGAAATGGAATGAATCTTAGTCTTGTAGCACTGTTCTGGTGAGAACATACCTGACCAAGTTGCTTCGCGCCGTGGTCCGGTTACACCAGAGTAAGATTAGCTGTGTGTGGGACAGGCAACATGTAGGGTAGGAATAAGCATGCGAGGGTGTTTAAGTGGAGCGATGTAAGCATAGGGGAAGGTCATATCATGTCACGGTTTATTGAACACTAAGACGAAAACATTTACTTAGGCAACAACTTTTCTTTCGTAGCTCTAGCCCGGGTATAACAGAGCTTGATGTTTCGACGTAGCAGAAGTCCTTGCCGTAGAGATTGTCCTAAAGTCCTCACAGGAAGGTTATTCTCGGACTGCCGGATACGTTCAACCCAAGCGACAAGGGTCGCTTACCGGCCCAATCGCAAGTTCGCGGTCCCACTCAACTGACCAGCAATGGTCCGTCATCCCGGAAGCGGTTTGAGCATCATGAAGTCCCTCAGTTCCGACGTCTCCAGCGGGACCAGAAGCGGCGCAAGCAGCTCTCGAAGCGCCATGGCGGCGGCGCCAAGCACGCAATGGGCGAGCTCTAGCGACTGGGATGCCCATCGGGCGACCATCACAGACATGTACGAGGCGCAGGGCATGAAACTTCGAGAAGTCATGAAGATAATGCAGGAGAAGCATCATTTTTACGCCACTGCACGAATGTACAAGGCGCGGTTTCAAAAATGGGGTCTCCAGAAAACATTGAGATTCGAGCAAGTTGGCGAGCTTCTACGCCTCAATATGGACCACGCTGGCGTTGGCAAACCATCTACGCGACTCATCCGCGGCAAGCCGGTCGATGAAAAGCGACTGAGAACGTACCTGCGCAACCTCCCGCCGGAGAAGCATGAGCTACTAGCAAAGATGGCCCTCGGCAGCCCTGAGCCTGCACCGCCAACGCCACCATCGGTGGTTTCATGCCGTACTCCGTCACCTGGTCCGTCCATATCACATCTGTTCTACATTCCTCCGCCAGACGACTTGAGGATGCCGGAAGAATGCATCGCCACCATGCGAGCCTATGTAGACGAATCGCTGGCTACCGGTCTGTGGAGTCTCAACCCCAACGAGGTTTTGAGAGCGGGAGCGCTGTTCAGCTTCTGGAACCTGGGCAGAACGGCCAAGAGGTTACTCAAAGCTGGACAGACCAAGCAGGCATTTCGCGTCCTTCAGAGTTGCTTTCACGCATACAGAGCGCTGCTCGCTGCGCAGAGCCCTTTGCTCTTTCTCTACACCTACGTGGTCTGCCTCTTCTTTGCCGACGGATATCCCTCGCTCTATATGTCGTTCCTCAAATACATAACCGACTTAAGCAGCATAGTATACGCGGTTTCCCATCCTCTCCACGTGCTGTTTAAGAATATGTACCTCATGGGGCCGCTGGCTGCTCGGACAAACGTCGCGTGTCTGACACAGTCGTACATGGACTTCTGTCGAGTAAGTCCCGATAGCATGGCCATGATAGACGTCGAGGGATTTCTCAGCCTTCACTTTGCCGGGATGGGGCTCCACGACTGGAAGGATGCCGAAGCTACGCTGCGTAGGTTGCTGACGACCCTCGAGTTGCATAGAGGTGTCGAGGCCATGGAAGCGGTCTATCTTGACGCTAGGGACGACCTCGCTTCCATGGTAATGCACCAGGGGAGGTTTGATGAAGCCCGAGATATTATCCGCGAATCGCTCAAGTCTCCGGTTCTCCAGCGATATCCATTATTGCATGCTTCGTGCTATCGCAACCTGTTCTTGGCAGACAGGGATCAGGGTCTTCAAGAAGAAGCTATTGAATCAGGCTACAAGGTTGTGAAGTTCACCATCAACCTTTGGGGTATGAGTGATAGTAAGACAATCACTGTACTATCTGATCTCCGGAATTACCTGCGCGAAATCGGACGCGACGAAATGGCAGATAAACTCAATGAAGATTGCGAGACTGCCATAAACGAACTGAACAAGGACTTGGAGGATATAGACCTGACCGTGTGATCACCACACGAAGTCCTGAGAGCCGTGCGGTAGCCAGCTTTGGTGTATATCCTGGAAGATGGGTTTCTAAGAGAAGGTCCGCGGACTTCTGAGCAAGCAAAGCACTTCCACTTTCGAGGCTAGCCCGCGGACATCCTATGAACAACCCAAGCTTGGCCTCGCGGGCTTGCATCTCAAGGGGAGAGGAGCCCCACGAGAACTGGTATCACTATTTCAATCACATTGTAATGAACGGCGCCAAGTTAAATCTGGTCCGATTAATGTCTGTAAGTGCATCTACCTCCCGTACTGCTTTGTAATGGGCGAATGCGGCCACGTGCTTATGGTTGCTCTAGTCATTCGATGCTGCAGGCACGCATTATGTTTGCCCGCCATATGGCTTCTCTCTGGTCGGTATCTAGCACGGCGGACGGGCGTAATAATTGGACGATATCTGGGCGGCTTGTTGAGATACCAGCCAGGCTATCGTTAATGGACCACATATTGGTAGCTGCCCAGTGATAGTTTAGAGACCTCTGCGTTTCACTGACAGTTTGCGGACCGAAACAGAATCTTCTGGCTCCATTGAGAAATCACATGGGCCATGAGATGATGTTCAGATCGAAGGAGATTGTGTATAATGTTTTGGAAGTTCGATTAGACCGCCGGTATGTTCTACATACCCATTACACTTCCCAACGTGACAGCGGGCATCTCGTGTTCCGAGCTCTTGTCACATACTATGAGCCTTGCTCTTTTCATCATCATCAAAGTCTTGGAATGAGTGCTCGCAAAATCGACGACCGAGTCAAGGGGTTTCTGAAAATTGACATCTTATTCGCCAAGCCTTGTATATATAGGGCCCCTAAGTTCTAGCTGCCGGGCACCAATGAAAATGACTGGTACTTCATTACATGAGTGTATCTCGAAGAAGGCCGCGACTTGATAAAAATAATATTCTAGGTAGCCATACGTTCTTGCTGGTTTGGGCTTTGTCTTTGAAAAACTTGTGACCCGCCGTATAATAGAACCGAGCCGAGCTATTGCCTCGCGTTTGCGTTCCGGAATATAGCTTTCCTAAGTTGGAAATAAATTAGCTACGGCTCTACATGCGTTCCTGACACTACGAGCTCTGCACTAAGCCCTACGCCGAATCGACCCCAGGGTCCAATGGGGGAAGATCTGCGCCTTTCGGGGCTCCACTTGCCTCATCGGGCCTTTTCAATACTAGATGCCGACATAGGGAGTAGGACAATCCCTCTTGACACAATATGTTCATCTTTAGCTGATAACTGGATAGGAGATATGTCTAGTTTTCTGGTGTGTGGCTGCAGAGATATCTCGATTCTCCGAATTAATAACAGCCCTGAGAAGAAATCCAGTAGAACTCCGTTCCTTGCCCACGATATAAATTGGAACAGAATGAAAGCACAAGTGGCTAACAAAGGTCGACAGTAACCGCTCAACAGGTTTGACCGTAGCAACGAGTGTAAACGGAAACCTACTATCTGCTAAGTCTCATAATGCCGGCTGACTTCACTTGTCGACAACCTTGAGCACGTCAGCCTCGACTTCTTATACCTCGAAAGACTTCCCGGGAAGATTCCAGAGGAAAAGGGTACCTTCACGGGTCCTCCGTTCAATAATTCTTCTTCTCAACAGAAAACAAGCATCCGCTCAGATTCTCAGATCGCCCCGGCCTCTTCCGAAAGCACTGCCGCCGAAAAGGAAGCACACGATGCCAATTGCGCCAAGGAAGCTGAAGCTCCCGAGGCCTCCCCACGCGATGTCCATGGCTGGAAATTGGCCATATCGTACATGGACTTGCTGTCATTCATTCTCCTCTACGCTTTTGATTGCACTGTGGTCGCCGATGTCCAGACCTCCATTATCAATGACTTTGGCGCGATAGACCAGTTGTCGTGGCTCAGCAACGGTATGGTTATGCCGGCCACCGCCATAATACAGATCAGGTCGGTACAGTTAACGTTACAGTCTCCGCGATTAATTATATCCTAGCACCGCCGCACCAGGTTGCATGTTACCCGGAAAACACCGCCAAGCCGCCGCTTCTGAACCGCTGCCCTGGCTTTGGGGATAAGCATGGCAAGGCCCGAGCGGCATTGGCAACTCTGCGAGGCGAATTGGCTCTGCCAAGAGTGGTCGGTGTCCGTGGCCGTGGTTACGAATGGGAAGAGGCCGAGCCTCGAAAGGGACTGCCGCCCCTCGGGTGTAGGCATGTAGTCGGCAGTAGTTGACGGTGTTATAGAAGTGTTTAGAAGGGCCCCAATGAGTTCTCGGCCTGCCGATGCGCTCACTCCCGACGTCCAGTCAAGGGACGGCTCCACCGCGCCCCAGTCCATGTGCTGCTCCAAGCTACTCTCTGGTGGGTGGGTATCTTTCATGTTCGACCAGCCTTCTGAGGACCCAAGCAGTTGCTGAAAGGCGGCATTAGACCCTCCAAATTGGCCCACAGGGTATGTGATAAAGGCCATCTGAATGTCTTCCAAGGCTGGGCGTCTCTGATCCGGAGAAGGCCGAGAGGAAGCTGGGCTGGGAGACGGAGCCGACTGTGTGTATCTGCAAGAGAGCAACCGGTTGGTGCAGCGCTCGTCGTCTTCAGGACATTTGACCTTAGCTGTGCAGCATCTCTCGCACGCCGTCTTTGGCCGCCGAACCAGCGGCTTCACACTCTGCGACGCCGAGCTCTACAAGTTGAGGACCAAGTTGGCGGGCATCTCTTGCCTGCGGGAAGCGCGGGGATGAGAACTGTGGACGACGGGTGACGACATTTTGGGTGACACATAACGATACGGTTATCTTTACTCATGGTAGATCGATAGTTGTTCAATAACTTTGATTTGTAACTTGAGCGGCATGTACCCATACGAGAAGCTGAATCAATTACAAGGCGCCCTAGGTTGACTTAGTCAGCCAAGAGTGCCAATAGACTGCCTTGACGGGAATGTATTGTGCAGCATCGTGTAATCGACCGCACCCATACGATCGATGATAGCAGGATAAACCCACTAAATGTAAGCATAACACATTGAGTTAGCCGTCTTTCCCCCAATCACTCGGGTTGCGAGCTGAGCCAAGTACTATATTGGGGCACCACCTCACTCTTGGGCAACTCCTACAATTTGGCATCACCAGATCTCTCCAGCTGCGGGCCGCGTGGATCATCTTGCGATCACATTTGCAGGACCCGATGAGTCGGGCTTTGATGCCCTCAACAACGGGCCCTCAACAGTTGTTGCTGGCGTGTTGTCCACAGTGCGCCAGGCTACCAACATGGCTCCCTATACACTGCGTTTAGACCCAAAGCAGCCAATCCATGCGCATACGTGTGGTCGTATCAAGGAACTGCTCCGGAAGTGCAGGCAAGCCTAAGGAGAATATTATGTCTGATCGGGCCATCTACACATCCATCCTGCATCACGGCCCGGCCTTTGGTGTTTGTCCAAATTGTCGGACACGCAAGTTAAGCTACGGAGCCTACACGTCGAGTTGGACGGGATATAGAACCGACTGATTCTTACGGTTGTAGACAACTTTGAAAAGAGCGTAGATACCTGGTCTGTGAGTTCCGAGACCATCCTGCCTGGTGGCGTGTTTGGTCGAGGTACGCAATGAACTGACCAGATAAACAGTCCGATGCCCTACTTACATCACCGATGGCAACACCCTTTGGTTGTTGTTGGGGCTTTCCGAACAGAATGACCACCGGAAAGCAATACAGAGGGTGGGCGAGTATTGGCGGCAGAGAGTGGACGACTTAGTCGTCTCAAGACTATGGGAAGAGTTTTTGATTCGTGAAAAGGTGGGCTCAAGCTTACCAAAGGTGAGAATTCGTCTTTACGAGCAACTACGGGAAATTGGAGGTGAAACTTGAGGCGTGTTATCTACAGAGGCATACAACCGCTGGCTGGTGTTGGTCTAAGGTATTATTTTCCAAGTCAACCTCTATGATCTACTTTGGGGTGTCAAAACACTAGATAAAGAGGGTGTAGTGGCTCATCTCTAAAGTTCGAAAACTGGTTCACGTAGACTCTCAATGCTGTAGAGTTTGGAGTGGATCAGGCAATTCACTATGTATAGCGGCTGGAGCAAAGTTCCGTCCTGCGCATGGTTATAGTCGTGGCCAACGAGAGCATACCAACCAGCAGCTTTTACGAAAAACACTTCGCAAGAGTATGGTAATTGGGATTATACACTAGCAGTGGCCCCCCAGGCTAACGACCTCGTACGGCGCATAATTAGATTGGTCCAGCTAGACCAGTGTTTCGAGGCCTTCGGTCGGCTTGGGCCCGCCCTTCGACTTCCGCTCTTCCTCGGCACCAGATGCCTTCCAAGCACTGACGATGAGGTTGACGATGTGATCCACGGCGACGCCCTTCTTGACCTGCGCAAAGACCGTCGGTCCCCCCTCGCGCATCTTCCTGGCATCCCTCTCCATGACGTCCAAGTCGGCCCCAACGGCCTCTGCCAGATCCGTCTTGTTTACGACCAGCAGATCACTCTGTGTGATTCCTGGTCCGCCCTTTCTAGGGATCTTGTCACCTCCACTCACGTCGATCACGTAGATGATGTAGTCGGCCAGCTCGCGCGAGTAGTTTGCAGCAAGGTTGTCGCCGCCGGACTCGATAAGCAGTATGTCGGAGCCGAACTCGCGGTGGAGATCCTCCAGGGCCGCCAGGTTTGCCGAGATATCTTCACGTACAGCCGCGTGCGGGCAGCCTCCCGTCTCGATTGCGCGGATCCGTGGCGCAGGAAGGGCCTTGTGTCTAGTGAGGAACTCGGCGTCCTCGCGAGTGAAGATATCGTTCGTCACGGCCGCTATGGAGTATTTCTCGCGCAGAGCGAGGCAGAGGGCTAGCATGAGGGCGGTCTTACCCGACCCAACTGGACTGAGAGGCATTAGTGACTGTCCTCGCCATGTAGGCGCTCCGATTAGACAGCTACGCACCCGCCAATGCCGACCGTGAAAGCACGTTCGCTCCAATCTCTACCTTCTACTATAGGCATCTCCCGGCCCAAGTAGCTGCCAGGTCCGTCAAGAATCTCGTGGGAGTGGCCATGCTCAGCAGCAGAGAAGCCATCATGCGAATGGCCCCCAATACCGTCGTGGGAGTGTGTATGCGACATATTCTGGAAGAAGTCGGGCGAGAAAGGGGTGACCTGTCTTGCAAAGTTATGGAGATCCGTCGCCTGGGCTGAAAACAATATTCAACGCTGGAGATAAAAAGCGCACATATATGGCGGCGTACACGATGATCAGCTTGGCCAGCTTCAACGCTGCTTATCACCTAGCTAGAGCTAAAAGCTCCCACCAAAGAGAGGGGCAGCTCTGAATGCGGGGGAAACCAGAAAAAAAATCCAGGGACTGATCCCAAGCTCCCCTCACTAGTTTGGCACTTGTGAATCGGAGCACGGCGTCGCCCTACACGAACACCAGAAAACACTCCGTAAAGGAAGGTCAGAAACGATTGGAACACATGCTTTCACCTACGTCACTGTTGATGAGACCCAGAGTGCGTCATTGGTGGTGACAAAATTGTCAATCAAAAAAAAAAAAGGAAATTGCTCTCGATCGGGGAATTGAACCCCGGTCTCCAGCGAGTTGTACCACTGAATTGTGATGACAAGCTGGCATACTGACCACTATACTAATCGAGATGAAATCTCTGTGATTTGTTGGAAAACGATGGGTCTAAAGTGTGCTATCAAGCCTGGTTATGCGTGCTCCACATGTACGCACCCTGCATATTTGTAATATCAATTACCCACCTAGGGGTGTCGTGCTTCTTTCTTGAGCATCCCATGGTTCATACTTCGTGCGGTATGAAGACGTTCTCCGAAAATGAGACTCACGAGATAGCTGGCCTAGTGGGTTTGCTGGTGTTATTTCTCAGATGAATCGTCAATGAAAGACTTTGTAGTGGCTTTCAATAGTTCTATGGATGTCCGCAGCCCGCAATATCGCCCGTCCAAGCTATGAGCCGTTCCGTGCCAGAGTGTTTGGTCTCCAGAAACCTAGAGCTGTGAGACTTTTTTGTACACCGCTGTGGCTTCTTTTCCGATTCCAGATATCCACCTCCAATGTGCGAAAAATCCCGTAGTTAGCTTTTGTACTCGGGCGCCAGTCAATTCCCAAAACGAAGGCTACGATCCATCTCGGCGCGGTCCGGATATCCAACTCGACTTGAACATAGCGTGGGAAAATGTGGGCAAGTCGCCCTCGTCAACCCCGGTAGGCTTCATTATCGTCGGTCTGGCCCACTCGGCCATGGCGATGTTGGCTTTCCTTCTCGTAACTCTATTTGAATTGCTAGGATGGCCTGTTACCTGCGTAACCTGCGCCTTGCGTTCCCGTAGACGATGCCGGAATGATTTTGACGGCGGGTATGTTGTAGATCTTCCCGTTGGAAATGGGTCTCACAAGGGCATTGTGGGGCAGGCGCATTTTACATAGTACTATGGTACAGCATAGGCAGTCAAGGCAATCTTTTATTCCAAGTTGTCCGCTACAAACAGTCATTTGTAGACTATCACTTCAAACGAAAGATGTTCCTCATTAAAACTGAGTTTTTTAGTGAACGGAGCTCTGCCTGACCGAGAGGCAACCGGTAAGAAAGTCATTTGATAGTGAGTTGCAAGTCTGACACTTGGCGCAGAACAAGAAAACCGTGTCGCGTGGCTTGATGATAGTGCCTTGAGAGATCAGCTGGCTTGTTAGCGTCGTAGCTGTTATTCCTGCCTGGGTACATTTGGAACGCCCAACGCCTGTCGTCGTTCATCCCTGACTTGCCTTCACGAAGATATTGTATCAAAGATGCGCCGCTTTTTTCCTTGCTTTGGATACAAACGAGGCCCACCTAGCACGTTACTGCCATCCCATGCAGTTTGCGACGCCCAATATTGCACCGCATCCGATGGTCGGCCGGTGGTACATGATGTAAACACCGCAATACCACACCAACTTGCTTCTGCATGCCTGTGTGGTTGCACCGAAGTTGCGAGGCGTTTGTGCAAGATCTGTTTCAAGCCTCAGCCTAATCGTAAACTCTATCTTGACTTTGCGGAAGTCCTTGGTGCTTTCAGTAATTTTCTATGGCGCCGTGTCAAAAAGCACAAGGCCGACCGGGATAAAGAGGGTTGTGATTACAGGCCTACAGTTTTTCATCGAACGATCCAGATCCTGGATAAATATTTGACTGGGGAAACTGTCTGGGGTTCCTGAGTGCGGGAGCCCAGGATACGGACAAGGGTGACAATGCACGATCCCAAATCCGACCGAATCCGTAAGCACTCTAACCGCTTCAACCGTACATTGTGACACTGCAATGCGCAAACGGTAAGGGCCCATGGCCCGCCAACAAGTTAAATCGCGTGAAAACACGAGGGGTTGCATCCGAGCCTGTCCTCCAAATCCGCCGGGGCACGACTGACAAGCCCCCTGGAGCGGTGAGTTGAAGAGAAAACCATCTCGTGAGCTCGGGCAAGGCTGGAAACGGTATTAGCGCACGAGCGCCATGGGAAAACTCGAGCGCTCTGCAATTTGCTTAAGTTGCTCAAGCGTTGGACTAGGTACTCGAGACTATTTTAGCTTGCGAGATGTGAACCACGGCACCAAAATGACTGCAGTAGGGGCGCCTCCTGTTCAATAAAGTCGGGCGGCCCTGTCCAAAAGGTGCATGCAGGTGTGCCGCCGAACCCCAGGTTACGTTAAGCTGCTCACCAACCCCAATGTGGTATGTGATCACCCTGGTATTCATCGTCTGACCATCTCTTGCAACCGACCCGGCTACTTCCGCCAGACGATCTCTCCAGAAATCGCAGCGACTGTCCTTCTTTCCCTTTCCTCATTTCTTAATTTACATCAGATTACATTTTGGTGTTTTGTACTGGTCTCGCACGACAAGGAAGACCCTCCGGAGGCCCATCACGATCTCCGGTTGGTCGCCGCCACTTATACACGCGGGAACTCATGTATCCATGCCATTCGACTTCGGAACACACCACTCAGTTTCTACATCATCTTTTGTGAATCCGAGGGAGACTCAGGAGATTCTAATCACCCGCTTAAAGTGCTTATATTTATAAAAGTTAGAGCTGCATTTCACGCCACGCCATGCACTTCAACTCGTCGTATCCTTCTAATGACTTCGCCTTACGGCAAGCCATACTGCAAGGCAAAAGCGGAAATACCATGGCAACCAAGAAGCCACGCCAGCTGGTATCACAGCCTGTTCATGCGGAAGACTTGAGGCGCAGGCTCTACGTCGTCATCTCGGAACAGAACTCGGCCAGGGAGAAGAGGCGGCGGGATCGGGCAGAAGCAATGGCCTACAGAAAAAGAACCGCAGAGCAACCACACCAGGAGGAGGATATTACCAATAAAGATGAGGCATCCGCAAAAGTGGAGAGGATTGCAAATGAACCCGGTGTCGGCGTTCGAACTTCGACTATAATCAAGTCAGACTCTATTATAGTTCCAGAGAGCACCGACGACTGGAACACGGAGAAGGAAGCACAGCTAGACTTTGGAGATGCAATTAAGAGAATCGACACAGGTCGGGAACTGCGTTCGAAGATCGTGTCGAGGAGCCAGATACCCAAGGAGCCATACCACCATGTACCCTCAGAAGCAGCAACCCAGTTTGCGCGGACGGCGACGGCTAAGGGACTGAAGGACAAGAGTTCCATACACGATCTCTCACATCAGGCAATGAAGGCTCACAGGGAAGGTCACTTGACGGATGCAGGGAAGATGCCGGCGGATCACAACCGTGAACTACGAAAGGTGCGAAGTTACCAGGAGAAACTCTTCAAGCGGAACCAGTTCCAAAACACCCGTGCCCTTGAGGAATCCGTTGGAGGGAACGCGCCGAGGAGTGCAAAACAGCGACACACAATACCCAATGGCTATTCCGATCTGCCTGCAACGAGGAGGTTCAGCGGCCTGCGAGAGTCGCTCGACGAGAGGGCGACAAACACCCACGAAGCCATCCCCGAAAACGCCGTCGTGGACCTGACCACTGTGAACCTGTACCGTGCCGACTGGACGCAAAGCGACGAGATTCAGGACAGGCGCAAGGGGATGAAGAGCCCGCTGCTGAGGAAAGCAGATTCTCTATGGGGTCTGAAGGAACGGTTCACCAAGCACGGACGGGAAGCGCGGGAAGGACATCATGGATCAGAGAAGATCCAGGCTATCGCGCTCAAATCTCCCAAGAGCGGAATCTTTGGCAGATTTAAGAGACAACTGGCTACTGTTGTCGCATAGACTTAATGAATAAATGATACATGACTGCAAATGAATTTGCTCGCGTCAATTCGGTCTCCCAAGTTCAGATGAGCCCCTCTGAGGGCTTCAGTGGAGAGCATGGTCTGCAACGGATCATCTCATCCCTTCTACAGGACTCCTGATTGAATCCAGCCAGTCTATTGACCTGTCAGTGACAGGCCTTGCCAACACAGTTCTTTGCGTACCTCGGGTGCAAGTGATGCTCACCTGTTTTCGAACCACTCCAGGACTGTCTGTCGTGAATGTGCCGGGAGTGCCAGGACGCTCTTCTTTCAGTGTCTGGCACGATGACAGAAGGCTAGTTGCGACCGCCATCTTATTTTGCCCAATACAAGAAACCACATGATGCGGCGACGCTCCAACAGCCTCAAGTCCAGTCCATGGCGTAAGCACAGCCTAGTCTAGCCTTGACCAGTCAAGACCAAATACCCAGCGATTCGTCGTATTTATTCATTCCAAGAGTGACTGCCCTCTTCGCCATCGCAATTCCACCGAAGCCTTCGCGGCCCACTGACGGCGTTCGGGTTTGACTTGATGTATTTGGATGCACCTAGTCACGCTCCTTCTCAGTACGGATGAGTTGGCCAATCTCCTGGGCATCCCTCTGAGCGGCCAAGCGACGGAAAACATCGTCTGCATTCTCCTGCTCCTTGCGGGCGTTGGTGATCTTCACCAGCTCACAAAACTCTTGGATCCCGCCAGAGAAGTCCTCGTCCCGCGCCTTGCGGAGGGCATTGAGAGCGTTCTGGATGCCAATCTCCTTCGTCCACGGCTTTGGGTTCTTGCGCCTGAACCCGAACTTCTCGCCGCTTTCAGACCCCGGCGTCATAGTGGCTGGGGGATCGGTTTCACCGGCGATGGCCAGGAGCTGGGAGGAAAGATTTGGATATTTTTGGAAGAGCTTGTTGAATTCGTCCGGCTCTTCCGCACCATCTTGAGGCCTCTGCTGCTCTGCGGCGCCACTTGAGGGTGCAGCAGCGAGAAGTGGCTCGGCAGCTGGCGCAACGGGCTTTTCTTCCTCGGCAGGGTGTCCTTCGCGATGGCTCTTGCTACAAGCGAGGGAACAACTGTTGGAAATAAGCGAAGGCCACGAACACATGGGTTTCATCTCCGTCTGCACTTACGTATATTTCAGACAGCGCGGGCACTTGTACTTGCCCTCAACAGCCTCGCAGGCGACGCATAAGCGGTCTGCAGCTGTGGTCGTCACCATGATTGAGACTTCGACTGGAAAACCGAGGCGGCGCGCTGGTATATCTCTGCAAGATTGTCTTGTCGACTTGGTGGCTACTCAGAATATGCAGGTTTAGTGATTTATTGCGTGTAGTGAACGACGCGTGTGCAAAGAGTCGGTCTGGCTGAATGATGGGCTGGATGCAGGCTGCTTGATCAGCTCATGCCCCAAATGATCGACGAACGGTTAATTCGAACAAGCGATACCAACTCTCGATAACACTACAACGTCCTCCCTGCGGATCGAGTATAAATGAAGGCGACAGTAAACCGCTGGTCGAGCGTGAATCTCCAGACTTGCGGTTGCCAGGACCTGGCCTTTTCCTCAGTAAACAGACAAGTCCACAAATCCAGTTGAATGGTAAGGCAGAGCCTTCCCTTCAGGCATGCAACAAGAGGTGGCTTGTCGAGACAACGTTAGTTGGGTTGAAGGTTTAATGCGAAAGCGAAAATGAAATGCGAAGATGCTGGGTGGACCGAATACCTCGGCGAGTCATTTGTTTGCAGAGGGCTCGATAAATGGTGGAAATGATGGTAGTATTTGAATATTTCGAGCAGAAGACTTACATGGGTTATGAAGCACCTTTATAAAGAAGAGTTCTGCGCTCGCACTCACTCGATTTGAGGCTAGGCGTGGAGTGAAGACTCTGCATGAGATACGAAGTATCGGATTACTAAATTGCTGTCTGTCCTGCTGGTCGCAGGATGGATGAGTGTATGAGAAGCTCTAGTAGAAGCTATTGCGTGTTGATGTACAAGACGCGAATTCAGCACGCGTATGTTGGCCAGTCGCCTGAACACATCTTCTCGAGACGTCTTTTCGCCTTTCATCGATATGTTCCACACTTTCAAAGCTGCAGTTGAGCGGGTACGGTACTGGGCTACCTCTTCTACGAGCTACGGTGGAGATGATTGGCCCGCCCTGGCGAATGAAAGCCAAGCAAATGGAATTTGCGTCATGCCGTTGGCGAGGATTGATAATCGGCGGCAACTTTTTCTTATCGATATCGGCATCTTGAACCCCAACATCGCAACGGATCCAACAACCAAACACCTGCGAGCTATAGACAACGCCCCCTCGACACTCCCACTTCTACATACGAAATCGCTCGTCCTCCCTATCGATACGTCTGCCAACTCTCACTATACCCCAACTGCTGGCCAGTATGCCTGCTTCTGCTAGACTCGCCCGTCCAGCCGCCGCCTTGCTGTCAGCAACGGCACGGCAAGGCCGGCCTGCAGCCAGCCGCATTTATCAGGCTGCGCGCAAGGCGCATACAAGCTCGAGGTCGACCGGCATCTCTTCAAGATCATCGCGACCGGTTCTGCAACCCGTGGCCCTCCCCCAGATTGCTCCTCGAGGCGCCCGGAGCATCTTCATCCAGACAGAGAACACACCGAACGTGGATGCTCTCAAGTTTCTGCCGAATCACCGCGTGCTACCCGAAAACATCAACACACCCTTCATCGAGTACCTCAATCCCCGAAGCACCATCGCCCCGCCATATCCCTCTCCGTTGGCTGCCCAGCTCATGAACATCGAGGGTGTGACGGCCGTATTCTACGGCGCGGATTTCATTACAGTTACCAAGACTGCAGACGCCAACTGGGCCCATATTCGCCCCGAAATCTTCAGCCATATCACAGAAGCCATCACCTCTGGCCAAGAGTTGGTCACGATCAGCAAAAGAGAGACCGGGGCAGATGGTCAGGAGATCGCTGAGGAGGCCGACAGTCTGGCTTACGACGAGAACGACAGTGAGGTGGTGGGAATGATCAAGGAATTGCTCGAGACGCGGATACGACCTGCCATCCAAGAAGATGGTGGCGATATCGAGTTCAGGGGCTTTACCGACGATGGTTTCGTTCACCTGAAGTTGCGGGGCGCATGCAGGACTTGCGACTCGAGTACCGTGACATTGAAGAACGGAATCGAAGGCATGCTTATGCATTATGTGAGTCCACTGCCCCGACTTTTAGCCTATTACTCCGACCAGACTAACACCATAAATAGATCGAAGAAGTCAAGGGAGTTCACCAGGTCACAGATCCGGAGGAAGAGATTGCGTTGGCCGAGTTTGAGAAATTTGAGCAGAAGCTTAGGGCTCAAAAGGGTCCCGATGCCGCGCCATCAGCTTTTGAAAAGGGCGCCATAGATTCTGCTCCCGCTTGAGTGCCTTTGCCTCAACGGTCAAGTAGACAGACCCAACCCTGTAGTGTACAAATGTAAAATGTAATATTCAACAGACACAGAAGTCTTGAGCATAGCCTTGCAGTAGAAGTGGAGAATTCTTGTCAGCGTCGACCTCCGGGTAATACCGTTCATGCAAATCGGCGAACCCGACTGCGCTCTCTAACATCCCGAACTCTTGGGACGTAGATTAAGAAACGTCAGTAGCTTCAAAGGGAACACAATCATTCTGACAAGTACTGAAGTGTTAGATGATTCGGTACAATCAGAGAGGTGACAGGTGATCATCGGCATTCAAGACTACCATGTGCAATTGTAGAGTGATCCGCTGGGCATTCACTATATTCACATAAACACTTCTCATCTTACCGCAAATTCTGCAGTGACTTACAACCAGTGAAAATAATACAAAACAGAAAACAATCCTCCGGTCTAACCAGAAATGCACCTCAGCCTATCGAACACATACATAACACCGCTTTTGACGAACCCACGACGACGACAACAGTATCATCAGCAACATCTTCATATTGACCGTAAGCCCTTGCCAACATTTCAAACGAAAAACAGTCTGGGAACCTGAATCCTACAGCCGAATCGTTCACGCCCAGCACCAGCAGCGGAACCGCATCCAAGCCTCAAAGCAGCAGCCAGTCCAAACCTGCAGACTCGTCGGCCAAGCCGACTCCACCGACTGCACCCCGGCAGAAACCAGCCGCCTATCGGGAGTCGTACAATTATAGCAGAGGCTTTGAGGATACCCCCAAGTACTATTCAGGCCCAGATTAGAAGTTCGCCTGCCCCAGGCAAACATGAGCTCGACAGTCGCCTCCTATTTTTGGAGCCTACTTGATACTCTGTAGGGACTTAAACTTCAAGCCAGTTTGCGCACATGATCCTGAAACGTGATATATTAGATGCGTATTGACCTATGGAGAAAGGGTTGCCTCCCACGATGTGAACAGGATATCACCGGTGGCAAAGTCTCACCGAGAGATTGAGTGCAATTCCCTTATGGCGCCAGTCACCACCTCCCCATAGTCTGTCCTTCTGTGATCCTACCCCTACTTGCCTCTGCGTTTATCGGCCGCAATTATGGCAGAATTTTTCTACCAGAAGCACACTTTGCGCCTCCTAATACTAGATCCATGAGAATGTGAATATAGCAATGTACTACGGGGTGCAACTTACTGATGACTAAATGATGCCTTGTTAGCAGCTGGCGAAGAGAATAGGAGTGAGTCTACAGTACATTCAGCCATTTGCCTATTTCGGAGGATATCCTATATCCCTGTTTTGCTACGCATCGTGCAGCCCAGCTATCTCTCGACGTCGATGTAGACCACTGAAAAATTGTTATCCTTGTTCCCTACCCCGTAACATCCATCAAGGCCGTTCTTAATAGCATATAGAACTGAGTGGAGCATCTTTTCCTTTATCTACTTTTAGGTTATTCTTAGGACTTACATACTTCATACAGAATTTGCTCTTCAATTACGCTCCCATCGTGCGTTTAAATCCCATATGTGATGTTGTTCGTTTGTAGGTTATCTCTAGAGCCTCATATTCTCTGCACCAGAGGAATGAAATTCGTATTACCAGTCCAGAGCACAGGCGAAGAAGTCCTCGTATTTGCTGTCTGTCAATGCTGGCTGGGGGCAGCCGGCAACGCCTCCCAGAGAAGATTTTATAGTTTGGAAGGTTTGTAGATGGTCCTGAGGGCCGACTCCAGCCGTACGTTTCCCCCTTGGCCTTGTGAAGCTGATGTTGCGTACACGGCCTCTATTTCAGCCTGATAGGCCCGCTCGGTGACTTTGCGTATAATAGTATTCTTTGCTGTTCGTGCAAAGGGCTTTTCAGATATGGCACAGACGACCTTGCCAGGCAAGACCCGCCCCGGCCCTTGTATTTGCGCGTTTGCTTCCTCAATTCTTGGCCAAAGCGTTTCCAAAAAGCTTGCGCGTGCACCCTCGGCGAGCGGTTCTGTCGGCTCGATGACTAAAACTGTCTTGTTCCTCTTGTTGCCAACGAGCAATGCGCCAAGGACGGAAGGGTGCCCCTCCACGTGCTGCTCCAATGGAATTGGGTTGACTTTCTCGCCGTTGCTTAACACAATGATATCGTCTATGCGGCCAAAGTACTTGTAGAGTTTAGGCTTCTCGGGGTGCCTGAGAAAAAGATCTTTCGTGTGGTATGCTTTGGCACCCCGTACGTTATGATAGAGAGGGCACCAGTCTTTGGTGTCCTCGTCTGCCAATATTACTAGCTCGTAGGCGCCTTCGGTGCGGTCATAGAGTTGCATCTCATGCTTGACATAAGGGGCAAACTCATGGTACAACCAATCCTCTCGGGCCTTCCGCAATTCGGGGAGCGGGAAAGTCTCTGTAGAGCCGATGAAGTTCAAAAGTTCAACCGCGCTGCTAGCCTGGTCCCCAACCGCGGGAGATGCAGGAGCACCAGCAACAGCAGCGAATTTGAGGCCCCTTAAAAAGTCCATGCCGCCTGGCTCGTGAAGAATCTGTTCGAGCATGGCAGGAACAACCAATATTGCCTTCAAATCTTGCTGCCGCGCCATCTCCTTGAGCATGGCGGGACTTGGTGCAATGTGCGGTGGGCCGAACACGAAGGTGAGATTATTGAAAATACCGCCGCCTTTTCACCTCATCAGTTTGCTGACGCCTTATAGTTCTCTGCATCAGATAACGAACTTACACATGGAGAGCCAAAAACCTCCGAGCTAGACGAAAATCAGATCTCTCAACCCTTATCGGATCAATCGATGTCAAACTCACGTGAAAGAAGGGTAAGATGAGGAACATGCGGGTCTCCTCGTCAAACTCGAAGAACGAGGCGTCCCTTTTCTCCCGCCCTGCTGGAGCAGGCATTATGTGCTCGAAGTCAACCGCCGCGAAACTCCCATGAGTCATTGTGATTGGTTTTGGGGCGCCTGACTTCCGTTAGTCGTGTGATCTCTCATTCATGTGGACAAAGTATCATCTAAGACTCACCAGTTGATCCTGAAGAATGCAAGATAACTACAGGATCGTTTCTGGCCTCGTCGAAGCTCTTTAAGAATGGGTAACGTGCTGGGCTGCTTTGCAGCATCTGCCTTAGAGAGGGGAGTACTTCTGTACGGGTTGATGGTGCCAAGGCTTGGAGCGACTTGACCAAGGGGCCAAGCTCATCAGCGTACAGTATCTTGGTACTGCCGGTCTGTTCCATTAAGGACGAGTTGATTGAGGAAGGGTTCCGAGGCGACGGAAGAAGTAGCTAAGAATTATTAGAGAGACCCAACACCGAATGACTCGAGAACAAAACCTTGTATCCTGTCTTGACGGCTGCCAGGAACGTGACAGGGCCACGAAGCTCCGAAAGTCCTATGTACGTCAGAGTCTCAAAGCCGTCACTCTTGCCAAACGTATCCTCGATCCATTTAGCCATGAAATCAACACATCGGGCCAAGTCCGCCACTGTCACGTCAAGAAACCCATCCTTGACATCTGAGGTCGTGGGGATGGCGGCATACACTCTCCCGGGGTTGAGATCTCTCAGCTCGTCCAAGACGTTCGGAAGGAGTCTCCGTCCATAAGGCGCGGTGCCGTTCACTGCCATTCTGCGTGATGGAGGTATTAGGATGGTCTGAGAAAGAATGAACAGGCTATACGAGTCCCCTCTACACTGGAATGGATCTTTGAATGTAAGGGAAAGTAAATTCTTAGTATTCGTCAGGAGTCGGGCGACTTATCCCTTACGTGTTGTGCGTTCGATCCCCCCTGCATTGCTGTAAGCACTTGCGCCGCCAGTGGGGTCAGTCGCCGTGCATCGTAACATGGATTTGGTGGAGATCGTCGGCCCAACAAGTTGTAGAACGCGCACAATCTGTACTGATGGGACTCATTGGGACTTGCTTGTCAAGCTTCATGAGGCGTTGACCAAAAAGGGCCAATACTTCAACTCAGATGGTAGTTCGTGATCCACAATCAGACCGTTTACTTAAAATCGGAACCTGCGCTCTTTTTTTTCTTCTTTTTTTCCCTTGTTTTCCAAGAGCCGTAGAAAAGAAATTGAGAGATGCGACCGTCAGTAATGCCTCTGGTGGAGGTCGCCTGGGAGAGTCCAGAAGACGCCGACGAGATGGGCTATCGAGCCAGAAGATCGGCTGTTACATTGGGTTCCTAGGGTCGACCATGGTGAAGGCGGCAACCTATAAACTCCTCAATCCTAGGTATTGACGACATCATCGAAGCCAATGTTAATGCTCCCATGTGGAATATCCTGAAAGCCACTTGTTCGGTCCAAGGTTGCAACCAGCCCTATATGAGTCAGGCACCGATTTCTTACTAACGTCTAACAGTATGAGAAATATTACTGACAGTTCTGCGCCACTTTCTACACTTCGTGCGGGTTGCGCTACTCTCTGGCGTTGAAAGTATCGACGGTGCTGTCGGTGGCGGATAATTTGTATAGCTCAGCCAAATGGTGATAAAGACAGTTGCGTTGGAAGGGGCGCTGTCTATAAAACGGCACAAGCTAACTTTTGACCATAGCCCAAATGAATCTTCGTAGGCCGAGGGGATTATGGCTTTGTATCTTAGGAGGTTGGAGGATTCCGTGTCAATCAAGTATACGGTCAGAGTTGTGATCTGTAATCGAATCCAGTCGGCTTCATGTAGCCGCAGATGAGGACCCAAACAGAGTTCGTCCTATCTCTATTCAGAGGCGGGAATTCACCCGGTCGATAAAGAGGTTTTCCAGATGCCAAACGTTGGTCCGATCGCGCTAACATAGCCTGCTTTGTAGTGCCATGCGATGGAGCGTCGACAGGAGAAGTCAGAGAAGCGTGAGCGGTCGACCGCATAGTTGATTAAGTCAGAGTCGATGTGAAATAGCAGGGCGGACATCGGACAGATGCAAAGACCCGCTGGGTAGACAGCATGGTTAAGGTTGTCTTGTTCTTCGACTGACTATACCATTCCAAATATATTCCAGTTTCAGCGACGGAGCAGCCCCTGACGTATGTCGAATAACAGCAAGCTGCAAACCCTTTCGGGTGCCGACTGACACTCCCTTAAGCCCCTGACCCCTTTCGCCCCTGGAGCAGGAGCGGACCAGCACCAACTACTTTGGCGGGGGCCGGACAAGTTCGCACGAATGCAAACGTAATATATAAGAATGCATATGACTTTGCTTTCTGGCAAGTTTTGGGTAATCGTTTAAACCTGTAGGCTTTGTTTTCTAGGGCAGACATACCGGAGAAAAGAACAAATGGGCACCATTTCTATTACGAGGATCATTGAACATGAACGAGCCCACAGATATGTCCTTGAGATCAGAGATAGACACATCAATAGTGCCGTTCATGGACCCTCTTAGATGCTTAGAATGCTCGTGTCAACCGTGCGTCCTCCCTTTTTCCCCAAGTCCGGCCTATGCCATGAAGCAGGAGGCTGATATCTACATCGATTTTCACTAAACAGCGTTCAACAAAAGTTCTCGGAATCTCTCAGACACGAGACTTCTTGAGCGTCTCACTAATTGCAGCTCTTCCATCTTGAACCTAGAGGGCCGCGTATTATGAATGTTGGATATCATCACATTACCAGACAAACATGAGGGCTGTCATACCACGAAGTATTGCGGGAATAGAATTCCTAGAAGTGAGATCAGAGATCAACATCGAGTTGCAGACTCTGTGCAGAAAATGCTATATGATATGAGTTCGTACCTTGATATTCTAGCATCAGATTAAATCGATAGCAATACACTTGACCAGTTAACCTGCAATACTCTAGACCAAAGGTTCTACGGCAGCCCTTGCTGGATCGACAGCCTTATTCAATCTTGGCCGCTTACACTGACAGTACCTGAAATAAGTTGAAGAATCTCATATTAGTCCCGTAAGTTTCCGTTCGGCATGCGGATTCAACAGTATTAAAGAATTGCTATGCAACTCTGGCAGAACGACCAGTCTGAAGTTGCTAGCATAAGAGACTGTGGTATGGATCCAGCGTATTACAATTCTGGCTACGACCCAGTTAAGGAAGAAGGCTGTGATCGAGGTCAAGAACCCTCAATCGCGAACATCTAGGATTACGAAACGGGATATTGTCAGGCTTGAATGACCAGAAATACTGTTTGGTTGCCGGCAACATAGACTTGACTATGTACCTTTTGATGGTTGCATATATTACGGAAGAATGTGTGTCACAAATCTTCCTGCTTAATTCGTTCATGCACCTCCTAATGCATGAGAGGGGATTCTTGCTCCTTACAGCTACTCACCTATAGGGTTGCTGGGTAGGTAGGCACTGGAGTAAACCAGCATTACTCTCTGTGCGAATCCAGATTGGGCGAGGCATTTGGGGTGTCGTGCCACACAGGTACAGAGTGCCGCCCTTCGAGGCGTCTGCTTTGAAATGCCTCGAACGTTGTTGAGCAGCAAGGGGCCACCCTGCCAGCCTGTATACCAATCAATCAATTGTCACGCTGATCACTGGGCTAATGCACCCCAGAGTTCCCAGAATGGTGGCGAGCCAGGGCTGGGACATCGTCGATCTGTTTGGCTGCAGCGTCGTAAATGGTCTAGAATCCGGAATTTAGGGGTTTGGGGGTTTGATATGCTAGACACGGGCCTGACTGGCAGACTGGCTAAGTTGGTTGAGAGGAGACCGATTGACAAGCCGGACATGCGATGCAACACCGAGCCGCCCCAGCCGTAACTTTTTGGGGGAGGTCACAATGCTTGAGTATGTGGCAATAGAATACAGCACTAGACTTCGACATAGGAACTACTAAAGCACAGGCACACCAGGCGACTCGGCGGAACAGCCCAGGTTTACTGATTGTCGAGAGGGGCTTGAGAGGGGCTGATGTCACATGGCCCCCTGTCTCCGCACCCTAAGCTGGCTGTCGATGGTATGGCACGTCTGAACGGCCAGACGTCAAGCTGCATAGCACGGGATATCCCTTCGTGTGGTTATGTTACGTACTGTGGTAGTGGGTTGCACTTGTAGGCATAATCAAGCTTGACCGAGCCCCCGAGATGGCCTTGACATGAGGGAGATGGATCTTAGATGACGTCGAGCCTAGTGGACTTGGCCACAAAGGACTTGGCTATGCGCGTCGCTACATGCATGGTGCGGGGGGCGATTATATCAGCTTCGCCAAGGGGTAGAGCGATATATTGTTGCCCGAACAGTTGTTGTTAAAAGTGATAAGATGTCTGGATGCGATGGTTCGACCCTACGTCACATTTGCGTGGCAAGAGGCCGGGCCGCAACGCAACAAAATTTCGGACGCTGTCACGGGGTTATAATCAATCCGTCGACGGTCCTGAGGGTGGGACAGGAAGCTCGAGCTTGTAATATGGATCTTGAACGTAATATGGACAGTGGGGCAGAGAAAGAGGAAGTGGCGGAGGCTGCGCAACACCGACCTCCCTGGGACCAAGAGGATCCAATGTGTCGTATGTCCCAAGTTGTGTTGTTCCTTCAGCGAATGCCTTCAGGTGTTACTGCTTCAAAGCCCCAGAGAACCACGCCTGTGAAGTGCGGGAATAAACACCTATGTAAGCGGGCATATTTGTACCAAGCTTTGGACCTCCTGGATGAAGTTCGTCTTCTGCAATTGCCCTTTCTTTTTTAGGGTCCGCTAATGCTCTTTGTCCTCCCAGCACGGACGTGCCAATTGGACCCTAATTCGAGAGAGAAAACGGGGTCAACCAAGGATCTGACGGATACGCGGTTCGCAAAGATGGCGAGCACGCGAGTGAAGGGCGAGAGAATCCGGGGTAAAGCCCCTGGCGCCAAACGTGCGCAACGCCAAGGGCGGATGGACAAGGGGGAGGGAGAAAAGCGCGGGTGGTTGGTGCCATGCCTGCATTGGAGACGTTCGCCTTTGGCTCAGACCACACAGCGACCAATTCTGCTACAAGATAGCCTTCCCTCCAAAAGGCCATGCCTCGAGCGAAATCGTGAATCCGGTCTCGCCAGTTCATGCTCAAGAACGATCTCCCGGGCCATGGCCTTTGAGCTACATGAGCTATGTATGTTGGAAAAAGCCGTCTACCAAAGTCGCAGATTCTATGTTAAGCCACCATTCCATTTAGGCTGGCGGGTGCAGCTACGATCCTTGGAGGTGCATCTTACCAGGTCTGATGAACTGCAAAGCCTCCACTCCAGATGCATGCGATGCAGCGCAATGCGATGCACGCCGTGCTTATGGGCCAGGGTCGATCAGGTCTGGATGCCACTCTAGCTCCCTGTGGGCTGTGGACTCGGCCCCATTCGTAGGGGCGCTTGGCCTAGGGGAGATGCTGCGGGCTCCTTGACACTCCGATCAAACCTCTGCCCGTGGTGGTGGGTGTCGTCGAGATCTTCGGGCAAAGGTCGTCGAGCTGAGCCCCGACTGCGAAACAGACCCTGAATACCTCTGGAGGGTTGCATGATTATTTTGAGTTGATGTCATATTTGGCGCCAATCTAATATAGGGCTCCAACGAGGCATGATTCGCTGCAGCCGTTGCAGAAGTAAAGTTCAACAAGCCCGCTACCCCTCCCGGATGTCTTGTAAGCGTGACCACGAAAACGGTCGCTGTGTTCCCCCTTTCCTTGCAAGGATTTGTCCAGAACTGTCCCTCTGTAGCTCATCGAAGATGGTGTCGTGTCAGTCGGAGACTTTCAGAAGGCGTACGCTACGCTATGCTATGCAAGTGGCAGAGTGGATGCACGTTTTTTCTGGTACATGAGCTCCATGCTTTCGTGCAATTCACAGCTTCCAGGTTGCATGTCGAAACAAGATGCAAGCGAACTGCATGCAGCTACCTCGGTCTGATCAAGTGAATGCCACAGTACCAATTCAAGGACAGATCCTGTCGCCTGTGGCTTTCGAAAGATGTGATCTATGCAAGACACCTCGGTCAAGGCAGAGATGGTGGCAGCAAGATGTTTGCCGCAGCCGCGACGACCTTGTCGATTGGTGGCACGTACTGGGGTTGCAAGATTGGTGTGGTCGATAAATGCTGAAGATCGATTCCAGGGTTTGATTCCAGAGGCTGAAGACTAGTGTGGCTCTTTCGTAATTCCAGCTCCTGGGAAGTGCCTCTTGACCATGTTGAAAAAAAATAGGCGAGCCGTGTGTGCCTGTCCTGCCTGATTGGGTCATGCTTCGTGAACGAGAGGTTGGTGGAGACCGGTGGGAGGTCTTGTTGCAACCACCACCTGCGGATGCTGGTGTCCCTCCCATTCTGTTGAGATTGTAACACGCTACATGAGAGACGGACGTAAAGCAATCAATGAAGCGTGATAGGTCAACGGACAATCTGGACGGCCCTACAGAGCCTTGGTAGCATCCGAGAGGGCATCGGAATAGAGACCTTTACTGTAGGTGAAAATTTTGTTGCTATGCATGGACTACACAAATTGCTGAAGATGCTGTACAGTACGGATTGGGCTGTTCTGGCTCCTCTTTCCACGCCGATGCCCGCCTTCGAGTTGTCTCAGTCATTGCAGTGTGTGTAGGTATGCAAGCAGGCTGGCAACCAATCACGATGGCGAGGCGGCGTGAGTTGACAAAGAAACTTGTCTCCGCAGGACTGGGAGTACAGGATGGTCATGCCACCAGGCGTGAAACGTCATTGGTGAGTCGAGCGAGATGCAAAGTAAGATTGGCCGACTCGTTATGCAAAGAAAAGATTGGCCTGGTTTCCATGTGTCGTTCCCTCTCCGATCCCCACACTCGCGGCACATTCATCTTAGTGGGCATCGGTACAGAGTACCGTAGCACTGAGCAGCGAACCGGTCCGCTGTGCGAGACTTGCCTCTTTGGACGTGAAGCTGCCAGGCTGCTCTTCGTGACCGAGACAACGCCAGAACGGCATGCACAGGCATGCCTGTCCCTTCAACACGCATGCACATTGCTTGGCCAGTATGTAGAGTTGTGACGAGTTTGTTCGGCAGAGAGAGATGCTCACTGAGCGAGCGCGAGAGCGAGAGAAGGCCTGCAGCGAAACCACCAATAGACTGTCTTCCTTCACCACCCACACCTTTGGGCATCTCTGATCGAAGCTAAACCAGCCTCGACCTGCGTAGAATGCATCGAAGGACAACCACGCACCACCCAGCCCAGAGCATTTACGTACTGCGCCGTAGCCCCCAGGTGCCCACTGCACGAAAGTCAATGGCGCGCTAAGTTGGATCAACCGGAGAAGACGCCTCCATATTAAAAGTACGGTGTCGCCTCCAGAGGCAGCGTGCGTGGGCGACCTCCGACCATCCTCCATCCTGCGAATGCCTACTGCCCTCCCCCGAACTCGTACATAACCAGACACAACCGCAGACAGAAACACCCACAGGCTGGCCAGACGTTGCTCGTTTCTCGTACGTCGAGCCGGCGGATATTAGTCCCCGCAAAGCCTCCTCACATCGGACCAGACCTTTGTGGACGCTTGCTTATAAGCACCCACAAGCATCTAGCTGCCACCTGCATAGCACGAGCCCGCTACCCAGGCAGCTCCAGCGCCCCATCCGAGTGCAGCCGGGTGGTACCGTCCTGTGGACAGCCAGACCTCGGGGAGCAGACGGATGGTTCCTAAGGTCTCGCTAGGCACTGGAGCCCGGGCCCTTGTTTGGGGGACCTAATGATCAGTTAGGGGGTCCCTTGCCGCTAAAACCCAGGTCACCTCCACCATCCGTGGACGCTAAGCTCCACCAGCCACTTTCTCGCGGAAGTCTCGTGTCGCAACGTCCTGCCCAGCGCTTCCCCGCTTCCACAACCCTCGCCGCTCTCCTCCTCCACCACTGCTACCACTACCCTACCACCGCCAAACCTCACTTCACTTCTCTTAACACTCTCCTCTTCCCTCCTCTCCTCCCCTCCCGCCTCCCCTCCCCGTCCTCGGCACCCTCGGTCTCGAATGACGACGACAGCTGGGCTCGACCTCTTACACCACGCCTCTGCACCTCAACGACGGCGTGTACAGCTGTTTTGCGACGGGAGCGACAACCAGCAGCACAGCACAGCACCCATTCTTCAACAATGGGCATGTAACACCATCCCACAGCTCGTCGCAACTTGGCCCGTGACCGATCTTCGATAGGAGAGCTGAGCGCAGTCCCGGCTGTGATGAACACATTCGACTTTCCTTGACAAAGACACTGCTAGACTGGTTCCAATTAGAGGCTCTTATATACTGGGAGAACGGCGCGCATTGGTGACTTGACCGTCAAGTTCGGAGCCGTGAACGTCACTCTGTAATCGGGCGGAGACCAGGACTCTGAAAATCGTTTCTTGCGACGACCTCCACCAAACCATCCTCGTGACCTACTCACCTACGGGCGTTTTACTTTTCCGACCAATAACTCATTCACTTGCCTGTTCTTTGCGACTGTTAGACACCTCTTGCGATACCCGATCATAGATCTAATAACATTATTTTACTCACCATTCAGGTAAGCCCATCTTCCCTGCCGTTGCCCCCTCTCTTCGTTAGGATATTGCATTTTGGATTTGGGCATACATACAGCAATGTCAGGGTCGCTACCTGGCCAGCTGTCGAGCACACCAGCGCTCCAGGGAACCACAAGACGCATTGTTGAGACCAGTTCTTCACCTCAAGATTCAAAATATATGCAACTGCCCCGCGGACTTTTCGTCTGTCCCCAGGACGATCCACTGGGAGCGGAATTTGTTTCTGATCAGGCACCGAGCGCTAACGGTCACACGCAGCAACGGAGTTTTCGCAGTGCTTACATCTACGACGATATTCTCTGAAAGCAACGAACGAAACTCGACTGCTCTTTCTCAAAGTTTGCTTTGTGACGCCAGTTCTGAAGTGAGCCATTGTGAGGAACGACCACTCACTCACCCGCTCACTCACTCACACGCGTCCACTAGCACGTTTGGGATCACTTGTTGGCTGGACTTCCGAACGCGAATAGCTTCGATTTCCTGAATCATCAAGGCTTTTCCCGTCACCCGTTCATTAGTAATCATGAGCAACATGAAGTCTGCAGCGGCGCCCAAGCCCGGCCAAGGCGGGTTCCCCCCGAGCAATCAGTCTATTCTTCTGGATAAGCTTCACGTCCGTCGTTCAACACCAGACTCTGAGGCTCTTGCCAGCTCTGATGACGAAGCCGATGCTCATCAACGTCAAGACACTGCTCACACTGGGGCTCACCATCAGAAACCTGTGCGCCGAGCCTCTTGGCTGAACGATACCTCACAAAGCATGCCGCAGCCCAGAAAGTCATCTTTCGCCAGCAGCACCATGTCTCCCACAGCGTCCCACCCCAGCACACCATCGGCCGAGTCTGGTGCTGGCGTTTGGGGTGCGCATCCTGCTCACAACGCTGCTGTGGGTCGAGCTCACCAACCGTCAACTTTCCCTTGGGGCACTGGCATCTGGAACACAGACCGCAGCAAGGAGCCACCGTCAAGATTGAGCGAAGTTCTACAGTCGCCCACCTCGACTGGTCCTCCCGGCCTAAGCACTGCTGGTTCATTTGGAGGTGATAACTCGTTTTCACAGACATCACCAGGCCCTCGGGACCTCGGACCCAACCCGCAAATTCCATTCGCAATACCCCTTCATCCAACCCCCAAGACCTATCGCTCTCAGTCTTACTCGGTTGGGCAGCTCGAGCCAGACGCTAACAACCCTTCTATGCCCCCGTCGTCTCTTATGGCGGGTCGTGGAAGGGCTATTGGCCCATCGGGACTGCAGCACCGGCCTTCGCGCCCGAGCATGTTAAGTGAGATGTCGAATGACGGCATGCTGGGCAAGGTTCATGAGGTGGAAGATGATGATAATCAGAGCTCCCACAGCTCTGGGCATGGGACTTTGACACAACAGTCTGCTGAATCCAAAACAATCGAGTTACTTGCTCGTGAGAATGCAATGCTGCGTCAACAGCAACAACAGCAGCAACAGCAGCAGCAGCAGCAGCAGCAGCAGCAACAACAACAGCAACAATATCAAAACTCTCGAATTCGACCAAGGGCATCGACTACATACGGTCTGGGCAACGGCTACAGCGTCCATGATCCAGTTCCAGAGGAATCCGACTTTGCGGTGGACGAGCTCGATGAAGTTGGCGAAGGACATGATGCAGCAGCAAGAGCGAAACGTGCCATGAGTCGACGCATGAGCGAGTACGGTGCCGGCGCTTTCGGTAATCGTTCCCCGCTTTATCCGGTTGAGAACCGCAAGCTCGAAAATGTGAAGAAGGCATTCTGGCAAAGCTCCCTGGGCTTCGGTGGCCTAGGCGACATCCCACAGAGCCGCAGGCATTCGTTTGCCGATGTACCTACGCGTCAAGGTTCCATCAGCTCGATCGGAGAGGCCCCGTCGTTGCATGAGGTGAACTCTCCTGAGATGATGACTTCTCATGATTTCGGGGGCTTTTCCGAGGCGCCGAATTTCAATGCCGCAAATCCATGTAAGTTGATATTGTGACATCAAAATCGATATCCTATCCCTAATGCATCTCACAGTGTCGTACTTCACCCCTGGGGGAAACCATCCGAGTGCACAGCAAGCCATTGCATCGTCGGCTTACGCTAACCCCTACGCGTCGTATGGAATACCTGCTGCCCTGTCGAACCGTGCACCCTCCCCACATCGCAGTATGTATGGGATGAGCCAGCCGAGACATAACCAGTTGTTGCACATCGTCCTCTTCAAATGCTCTCGAGCCGACGTGTTCTACATCCAAGAGGGGACTGGTCTTACCGTGAAACCCGGCGACTTGGTCATTGTCGAGGCTGATCGGGGCACTGATCTTGGAACTGTGGATAGGAGCAACGTTGATTGGCAAACCGCCAAGGAACTTAAAGAGCACTATGCCGAAGAACATTACAAGTGGCTTATGATGTACTCTCAGAATGCAGCTGCTGCCCAAGAAGGCACAGGAGCAGGTTTAATGGCCGCCTCAAATGGGATGCAAGGTGGTGCTATCGGCGGCATGGGACCCCCCAGCCAACATCATATGCAGGAACCCAACGCTGGCGAGCTCAAGCCGAAGCTCATTAAACGTCTCGCGCAAAGCCATGAGATTCACAATCTTCGGGAGAAAGAGGGCAACGAGGCGAAGGCCAAACGCGTCTGCATGCAGAAGGTGAAGGAGCACGGCCTCAACATGGAGATATTGGATGCTGAGTTCCAGATGTGAGTCTACCCCAGGACTGGAACCAAGAAACCTGCTGACAGAAACCCAGGGATTGGAAGAAGTTGACATTTTACTACTTTGCCGATTCGTACATCAACTTCAACTCGCTCGTCACGGATCTGTTCAAGATCTACAAGACGCGAATTTGGATGTCTGCCATCAACCCTGCTTCGTTCGCCAGTCCAACGCTGGGCCTACAGGCTCCAAGCGGTATCGGGCCGGGGGCTATCGGCATCGGACGAGGCAATGGAGGTGCACCGAACAACACTGAGCGGCGCCAGAATCAGCAACAAGAGGGCCAGCCCAGTTACGCTGCAGGTGGCGCCGCAGGTGGTGCTGCAGGACGCCCGTTCCAGTCACCGTTCGGCCAATCGTTTCCTTCTGACCGATCGGTCGTATCCGGCAGTGCATACCCACCAGCTGGGTTTCCCATGTCTGCTTATGGGGCATTCGGAATTGGCTCTAGGGCCGGCGGCGTCTCCTATGTGCCTGGTATGATCTCGGGCGTGGATAATTACTCGAACGGTTTCCCTCAGGCTACGGACTTCCAGGCAATGCGAGGCAGATTCCCGAGCCCGCACGACACTTCCACACCGCAGGAGACCAGTGTTCCAGCAGGGGCGGGCCAGAATGAGTGGGTGAATTCCTTCCAGGGCCTGTCGCTCAACTCTCGTTAGACCCCGAAAGGGTCGACTACACCCCTGAGATGAGCAGAGCGTGCTCATTCTCGTACTATACTTCACTCGTTACATACGGATTTACATTCTTGCATCAAGTTAGCAAAGCTGGCCCGCGGCTACTTTGAAAAAGAAGACATCGGTCTGTCCGACAGACCTTGGCGTTGGCTGTTATGATTTGACACGCAAAGACTTGCAGACTCACGGACACAAGACTGGCCCCCGGATATGGCGGCATTTGTTTCATTCGGTTTCCGTACGAGCTCATCTGACTTATGATGGCATTCAAGAAGACCGCAAGACAAAATCGGATTTTTTATTATTTCTTCTTTTTCCAGGCAAGGGAGATCGACATAGACAGAGAAACCTGGCACGAGCATCGGGTGTAATTTGATATTCGAAAGGGAAGGGACGTTTTCCACCTGCACTTGGGTATCCCATGGTGTTAATTGTACGATCAATCTACTTCGCTTTCTCTTTCCTCGACGACGATCACGACGTGGTTACTTGATGGAAATCTTTCTTCTTTCGGTCAACCCTCTGGAAAGGAGGTCTTCTAGGGTTTCATAGGACAGGGCACAGAGAGAACAGGAAAAGTTCAGAGAACCAAGGATACTATCTAACAATTCATCGAGACCTGTGAAGAATCATGGTTTATATTTTGACGCGCCACTCCGCGTTCCTTGACCGCTAAAACCTTGACTTGTGACTCCGGCTAGCCGTGATGAGAAATAGAAGACGCCGTCGACCAACTACTGAACTTCTGTTTCTTGATTGAACGTCTCCGCGCGTAGTCAAACCCGAAGACCTTTAGACATAACATGGTGATGTCGCGTGCCCCCCCGTAGCTGGGTGAAGGTGGACCTGGCTGGCGTTCACTAAAACGGATCTACCCGCTGGAATCCCCGGGGAACTAATTAACCCTATGTGGGTACCCCTGTGGGCAACACCACAGTCCGGGGATAGCGAGCCGGCGCGAAGCGACCCCGAATCCCTGTGCTGCGCGCGCAGGGTAGGGACGGAGTATACCCAAGCAAACAGCAAACCAAGGTCGGTCGGGAACCGCCCAGCCCGCGCGAGGGGGGGTGGCACGATGGATGGTGCGCTCCCACATCGTACGTTGATCTGCCCCCCTTTCCTCGGTGCTGCAGGTTCAGAAGAAAAGAAACTGCCCTTTTCTTATATCTGTGTGTGTGTGTGTGTGTGTGTGTTCGCTCGTCGGGATTTGGTTGCGTGCTGGGTTCCTGGGACATGCGCGCAACTGCCGATCGGGGGTGGCGGGCGATCATCGATCGAGGAGGGGGCCAAGGTTTCTTTGCACGCACACGCTCGCAGTCTCGAGAATAGCTCTCGTGTCTCTCTGTCTCTCTCTGTCTCTCTTTAATCAGGGATATTGCGGCACACAGTCGGCTTTCCTGCTCCTGAGCCGCTGTTCATGCTGGTACTCGGTATGAATGCGGCGGGATGCAGGGGGGCCTTGGGGGGACCCGCTGCCTTCACATGGAGAAAGTGTTTCGTTGTTACTTTGTAGAAAATGGACAATAATGGAGGCACCTCCGGAAATAAACAAAAGGGCATGGTAGAGCCCATGGCCGCGCAATGACCTGCAGATGTGCCGGTGCCAGGATGTCCAGACCCCTGCGGGTTCGCGGCAAAGTCACAGGTGCGCAACACGTCCGTTTGCTTGTGCAGATATCTCGTAAACGTGAATTCTTTCCAAAAGTCGTAAAGCTGGGACCGAACGGGCGCCCTCTAATCTATCTAAGTCGTGATCTCTCTACTGGACATCCTCATCCATGGTCTCGTCTTGGAAGCCCTGGAACTCGGCCTCCTCCAACAGGGGACCGGTGAAGGGCCTCGCATCTCGGGGCCACATGCGCTTGTAGAGACTGACACCAATGCTGTCTTGGGGATTGATGCGTCCGTCAAAGGTGGCCTTGAAGTATCCATGCGTACCCAGAGCCTCCTTGACGTAACCGCTCCTCCCGCGCCTGGTCCACAGCGGGAGGGCCTTGAACCATTCCACGTCGTCGCGGTTGAAGAACATGTACCGGATCGTGACGACCTTCTTGTGGATGTGGTACGGGTGGCCAGTGAGAATGACACGTTTCGCGATGACTCTCGACGTCGACGGGGCGCGCGCCGTTCCGGTCGCCACGAGTTGTAGAGGAAGCTCAGAACCGTCCTCGTCGGCGTCCTCGCCATTCTCGGGCACAGTTCGCTTGAAGAACAGAGTCGGTACCGATCCCCAGGTGATAGGGCCCATGAAACTCGCGATTGCGGACTGTCCCGGGTGGAGGAACCTGCAGTACTTGTGCACGTCGTTCTCGGTGTTCCCGCTGAGGGAAAATAGGGGGTTCACGACGAAGCGGCGGGGGCCGCATTGGACGATGAGCTCTTCCTTGGCCTTGATTGACTTTTCGTAATCCTCCTTGTGGGTGACTTCAAAGTTCAATGCTGTCCTCTTGTTCTCATGCCTCAGCAATGAGAATAGTGTGATAGGTTGGGTAGGCTTGTACGTCTTCTGTAGCTCAGACGGTAGCCCCTTTAGGTAGACTTGAACTCTCGTGCCTGGTGCCACACCGCCGACCAATGCTTCCTGGATCGACCGATTCCTCGAGGATTGGTAGTTGGATATCTGTAAGAGTCTCGACCATTCTTCTGGTTCGTATGGCCTGTCTTCTTCCGTGTTCCATGGACTCGTCCTCAAACTCTTGAGTCCTCGATACTTTGCCAGTCTCTCTCTTGCAAGAACGTTGGGGAGCAGCTCGACCTCGTCCGGGAATTCCATGTCGTCCTCGGCTTCATCCCGCTTCCTAGCTCTGTACGCTGCCAATTGCTCAGCGTCATCCGCTTCGTCGAGCTCCTCGAACTTCTCCGATTGTGGGTATTCGGACATGGCGGCTTCTGTCGGTTCCGCAGCAGCCAGGCCCTCCATTCCGTCTTCGGGGGCTGCTTGTTCTGGCTCTGCGTCGGCATCTTCCATCTCCTCGTCATCCATATCCGACTCCGAGTCGGAGACATCTTCGAGGAACCATGCTGACTGATAGTTGGACGTTCCCTTGGGTAGCTTCTTTGGCAGTGCAGGCTTCAGCATCTCGTCCTCGGAGAAGTAGTGGTGATCGTCTAGAAGAACACCCTTCTTGCTGGTAGCAGCAACTGAGGCCAGGTCGTCGTTTGCGTCGTCCATCCGGGCCTCCTCGGGTGCTAGCTCGGCCAGATCATCTTGATCTTCCGTCGGTGTCTCCAGCACGTTTTCAGCGCCGGTCTCGTCCACGGCCATGTCGCCATCTCTCTTCCTCTTGGTTGCCAGAGGCGCGGCCACAATCTTCTCGATTTGAAATGAGCCCCAGTCGCCTACCTGGACCAGGCGGTCTGCCTTGAGGCCCTTGCCACGGACTACACCGGTGACGACGGTCGACTCTGACGACGAGGTGGGCCACTGGATCTCGTCGGCCAACATCCAACTCCTCTGATCCCTCCAGTTGATGCCCTTGGGTGTGGTGCTGCACAGCGACCTCATGAGGTTGGAGCACTCCTGCCTCGAGTCGAGGCTGTAGACCTTGCCCTGGTCGGGGTGGAAGTGTGTCATGAAGGAGGCCAGCGACTTGACGACATCCGGGCGGGCCTTGGCAGGCTGGATCCTCTCGAGGTTCTGAACGACGGAGAAGCAGGTGGACATGCCCTGGTTTTCGATACTCCGAATGATGAGCTCGCCCAGGGAGTCGACCTCGACGTCGGGCGACAGGACAAAGACGACAAAGTCGGCAACGCGAGCAGCGTCCATGCAGGCGGTCAGGTCGCGCTTCAGGGGGACGTACTGCAGCTTCTGCTTGAAGCGGTCGACGGAGACGCGGAAGCTGGTGTCGGAGACGTCGGACTCGATGTCGAGGCTGCTGTTGAGGCTCTTGATGGCGGCCGAGACATCGCCGTCGTGGCACAGGGGGACGACGGCAACGATCCTCGGGGCGCCATCCTTGCCGTTGAAGACCGAGTTCTCCTTCTGGTGCTCCTTGTGCTTGAGGACCTGGCGCTGCTTGGCCTGGTTTCGGCGGTCGAGTTTGGACATGACTTGCTGGTGGGGAGTCTTGCGCTGGCCCTTTTCGCTGCTGAGTTTGCCTGTGGAGCGGGGGGAACGAGAGCCGCGGGTTAGCCAGACGAAACATGGCAGAGCGCAGGATGGGGAGGGGGTCCTTTCGTACCCTTGGCCTGCTCTCGCAAGGCGCCCTTGGTGGCCTTCTTGGACTTGTAGCCCTTGTGCGAGACCTTGGTGGTCGGGCGGTGGGAGTGAGCCCCCACGGCGGACGGCATCTTCCCGTCGCCGCCTGCTTTGAAGCGGAAGGGGAGAGAAGCCACGGTGGTGGATGGCGGGCGGGGACGACTCCGAGGGACGTCGGGAACCTGTGAGGATGCAATGTGCGATGCCGCGCGGGGTAGGGAGGATTGTGGTGTGCAAGCAGCAGTTCTGTCTCGACAAAACTATCTCGATAGACGGTTGGCGACCCGACTATACTACGCCGTCCTGTCTGGTGGTGGTTGGCGGGGGCGAAGGCTTTATCAGGGTGCGATCGAGGGGCAGCGCTGAATATTTTTTTTGTGGTTATCGTTATCGGATAAGCCTACAGCGGCCTCTGGCGTGTCTGGAGCCCGCCAAGACCGACGGGACCCCCCTGTCGCCGCCCCGGTTTTCCTGCCGGACCCCGCTAAAAAGTTGAGCATGCGCTACCACTGGCCCAGAAAATTTCAGGACGACGGCCGGTGACAATCCGCAGCTCCCATCGCCCAGAGTGAGTGAAGTCAAGTCGGGTCGCCCTGCATCTCGCATCGTAGTCGCAACTCATCGCATTACAGCACAGCAGCCGCAGCTGCCACCGTCCCTCCCAGAGCCGAGCCCGAGCTGAGCCAGACCAGAGCCATGGAAGTCGACGACCTGGAAGTCACCGAGCGCCCCTCGGCAAAGGCACACGACAATGGCGCCGTCACCGTCAAGCGCGCGAGGACCGAGCTGATCCCCAAGCACGAGCGCGAGAGGATACGCCGCCACAAGGAGGCACGCCGCGACTACGGCCGCGGCAGCAAGATCGACGTCAAGGGCATCAAGGACAAGAAGCTGCGCAGGAACCTCAAGGGCTTGGAGAACAAGTACAAGGACGCGGCCATTGCCGCCAAAGACGTGAGCCGCCCTCCAAAACCCCTTCCCCTGACCACCAACTCTCCGTGTACTGACCAATTCCCAGGCCGAAGTCCTCCTCGAAAACAGCGCTGGATTCCTCGAGCCCGAGACCGAGCTCGAACGCACCTACCGCACACGACAGGACGAGATCCAGGAGGGCGTGTCGCTCGAGACGGCAAAGAAGCGCTTCGAACTGAAGCTGGACCAGCTGGGCCCTTACTGCTTCGAGTACAGCCGGAACGGCCGCGACCTCCTTCTGGGTGGGCGGAAGGGCCATGTCGCCGTCATGGACTGGAGGGCGGGCAAGCTCAAGGGTAAGTTCTCCCCAGGCGGCCCCTAACACCAGGAAGCTGGTCGGCTAATCTTTTTCTCTGCCATGTAGCCGAGCTACAATTGGGTGAGACCGTGAGAGACGTGCAGTTCCTGGCCAATAACTTCTTTGCCGTGTCGCAAAAAAAGTACGTCTATATCTACGACCAGGCGGGCGTCGAGATACATTGCATGCGCAAGCTGCAGGAAGTCTCCCACATGGAGTTCCTCCCGTACCACTACTTGCTAGCTACCGCGGGCTTGTCGGGATATCTCAAATGGCAAGACGTCTCGACGGGTCAGCTAGTCACCGAGATTCCAACCAGGCTGGGACCGCCCACCGCCATGTCTCAAAACCCTTGGAATGCCGTCCTTCATGTCGGCCATCAGAACGGCACCGTCACTCTCTGGTCGCCGAACTCTACCGATCCATTGGTCAAGCTGCTCGCCCACAAGGGGCCCGTGCGGTCTCTGGCTGTCGATAGGGAGGGACGGTATATGGTCTCCACGGGCCAGGACCGTAAGATGGCCGTCTGGGACATCCGCATGTTCAAAGAGGTCAACAACTACTTCACCCGGACGCCCGCCGCATCGGTGGCCATCTCAGACCGCAACCTGACAGCTGTGGGCTGGGGCACCTCTACTACCATCTGGAAAGATCTCTACACGAAACACAAGGCGGACCAAGAAAAGCAGCAGTCGCCATACTTGTCATGGGGCGGCGAGGGTAAAGCTATCGAGAGAGTCCGCTGGTGCCCCTTTGAGGATGCCCTCGGTATTGGCCATGATGATGGTTTCGATGTAAGCTATAGTTCACAGCTGAACCCAAGATTCTTTGCTGTCTTCATTTACTAATCAAAGCTTTAGTCTATTATCGTACCTGGCGCGGGTGAAGCCAACTTCGACGCCCTCGAAATCAATCCTTTCGAGACTGCCAAGCAGCGACAGGAATCTGAGGTCAAGGGCTTGCTCAACAAACTGCAGCCCGGCATGATCTCGCTTGACCCATCATTCATCGGAAATCTGGATCTGCGCTCCGAGGAACAGCGGAGGGCCGAGAGGGACCTGGATGCCAAGCCCGTGGATCTTGAGACCGAGATCAAGAACCGTGCGCGTGGAAAGAACTCGGCTCTGAAGAAGTACCTGAGGAAGCAAAGGTCAAAGAACGTCATCGACGAGAAGAGACTCAAGGTGGAAGAGCTCTGGAAGGAGCAGCAGCAGAAGAACCAGCAGAAGCGCCAAGAGAAGACTGCCGAGCTTGGCCCTGCTCTGGGTAGATTCGCAAGGAGGGAGTAAGCTTCGCGGTCCGGCGACCGAACAAAGTCGACAAGTCCGCGTATGCTAAGATTTGTCGACTTCATTCCTACCCGCACTCGGCCCTCCATGGTGCAAATTAAGTCTTATGGCACTAGATCACATGGAGAGCGCTTCATCAAGAGCCGCACTAGCGATTTGCACCATCCTACTAATAGGGCGAATGGCAAGGTGCATAGTTCGTACTAATTCGGTTGTTTGGCTTTGCAGTTGATTAGACCATCGACTAGCTCTCTCTGGAACGAAAGATCTGTAATGACCCCAACACATGTGGCTCATCTTTCTCGGTTTGCTGGGCACGGGCTGGTGTGGTTTCAAGATTTGCGCCCAACTTATATGCCAGGCCTGTACTCCCATGGTGTTAGGCATGCTCGCGTGGGTGAGTCAGCAGTCTGGGATATAGGCTGCTCGACTGGGAACGTATAGGTCATATAGCCAAAAGTTGATACTCGGTTGGACATACAAACAAAAGGCTGTGGCAGCTTCTGGCAAGATCCGGGGCCGATAGACGTATACCGATGGTCAATGTACACTGCCCGGACTGGGGAGTGGCTATCATGGCGACTATACCGGGAGAAATAAAATGAACAAGTTCTTGGACAAGTCCTACATGTCTATCGCACTCTTTTCGCTTTGTGTATACTAACTAAACGAATATTGCTCTATCTTCACCAAACCTGATTGACGACGACCGACCAAGCCTTGCTATTGCGCCGAAGGCATGCCACACAACCTCAAATTCCTGTCAATCGCTCTTCGGCCGGTATGTTAATCGGGACTTTGGACCTCTGATTTCCCTCCACGGGGCACAGGGGTGGATATTCCCACGCTGACAGACCATAGCCGCTCGTCTTAGTCATCAAGTCCTTTAACCGAAGTTGCTTGGTGTTATCGACGAACAATGGCCGACCACCATGTTCATCTCGGCTAGGTTCTCTCGTGGGGGGTAAAACACAGTCCAACAAGCAGACGTCGACAGATCATGGGCAAAGCTGGGGAGAAAGGAGGAATTTGAGTTCGTTTGCAATACAATACTATAACTATTTGCTCGGCCGCGGCCGTGGGGATATCATCAAGTCACAAGTCACAAGTTGCGCTGTTTTCCACCACTACTTTTTGTCTCTCTCACACACACACCCTTCGCCCCCTCGCCCCCGTCTCTCTCGTTCGTCCAGGGCGGCAAGCCAAGTTCAAAACTGAACCATGCCCCGGTATCTCCTTTGGACCTCTAGAACCCCTTGCGCAACAGACAACATGGAAAGAGGAAAAAAAAAAACACAAGTGCGGGCCCCTGGATTCGCTCACAAGCTCGGCAATGTCTGCTGCCGTTGGCAAGAACGGGTGGGTTCTTTTCAAATCATATCTCCTGTACGCCTCAATCGAATAGCAACTATATAGTACAAGGGATTCGGTCTGATTATCTCCTCGCAAAGACGCCAGTGGACAGTTCATGGGGTGGTCGGTGGGGGTTTCCCCCGCGTTCCCTCGGAAAGAGAAACCTAGTGTCGACCCATTTGTCGTAGCATACGAGGGCCAGATATGTTCTTAGCTGCTGGGTTTTGTCCGACCCTCATGGCCGTGAACGAGTGAATACCGGATTGGCTTGTGGAACAGATCTTGATCAGTCGTGATGGCGGCGGCGGTGGTGGTGAAAAGGAAATAGTTGCAGATTGGGCGTCGTAGTGAGACGCGCAGATGAACGGGGGGCCGCGCCGGTGCCCCCGTGAACGACGAGCCCTTATCCCTCGGGTCCTCCATACACAGTGAAATGGTGGTAGTGGTATCATGTCGTGAAAATCGTCGTCATAGTAGTATACATTAGCAAAGCAGCAGCCCGCTTTCCCCCTTCTTGAGTCAGAATCCCAAGGCCTTCGGTCGACGTGTGACTGGAGGTCTCAATATCTCTTGCATCCAAAAGCCCAGTCCTTGGTTTCTCGCCTTCTACGAGCCGTTCGCCGTGTCGAATACTGACAAAAGGTCCGGCTCAGGCATGAATTTCTCGTCATCGAGACGGATGGCCTTCTTAAGTATCTTGACGGTCGCCATCACCACGTCCTCAGACTGTGACCATGGCCCAAGTCGATCAATTATCCTGGCAACAGGGCCAGGGTCGTCTCCGGCTTGACCGCCGTCGATTTTCCTCCTGGACTCTTCTGATAATCTCCACGCTTGCTCCTGTTCTCTCATGACCCCGAATAGTTCGCGTGCCGTGTTGGCGTTTTCGGGACCCATAGCCACCAACGTTTTGCTATACCACACAAGGGATATGGCGTGCAATCTCATGAAAAGCGCAAAGACTGGGCTCGATTGCATGCAGTCGGATTTATACACGCGCATCAGCGGCATCAAACTGCGCCACTGACTAGCATCGCGCTGTTTGCGCTCAGCCTCCCGCGCCTCGTCCTGCGCTTTGAAGCCTGTCATGTAGGCCACCGTAGACTGGATCACGGCCGCCATGGCAGCGTTGCGCTCTTTCGTCGTGGGATTCGTGGACGTGGACGCCCCGTCCCTCGGTTTCACGATGCGATCTCGCTTGTGTTTGAGCTTTGTGCCAATGGCCACCAGGTCAGAGTGCTGCTTCCTAAGCCTGTTCGCTCTTTCCGGGTCCACCGATGCAGACCGGCGATCCGTGTTGACGCCTGCCGGGGTGACGTTTGTGCCACCCGGTGTACCGGCCTGAGAACTGCTCGAAGCCACCCGCTGCATGGCGGAACTGTGCTTGGACGGCGTTGAAGGTTGAGGCGGCTCCGCCGTTCTCGGGCGCTTAATCGCGGACGGCTGCTCGCTGACATCTGTTGAGGCACGGGGGCGTTTGCGGGCGGCAGTCGCAGACGGCGGTTCCAGGCTGTCGGACCGTTCCCTGGTAGCATGTTCGTCCTTCCTCGTCGACTCTGGTACATCCCTCCTGGCAGTCTCTTGCTTCTTCTTCGGAGCCAATGCCAGAAGTCTCGACACCGTCTTGCTCAGCTTTTTCGGGTATTTTAACCTCACAATCATCGGGGTCTCTTCTTCTCTCTTTTCCTTCTTGGTGTTGCTGCTGTCAACGTGAATCGTCTCCTCCTTTGCTGGCTTTGCGACAGACTTCTTTGCACTGCTGCCGGGGGAATCCACCGCGGAGCTGCTCTTTTGGCTCGGCTCCTTGCCCGAGCCTGGCTTCTTCTCTTTTAAAACCTGCTCAGCCAGCGCTTCTCTGACTATAGGTGGCAATGTGGGAGACAGGAGAGGCGGGATCTCCAATCTTGACTTCTTGGCCGTTGACGAGGGCTCGTGTTCGTCGCGTGGCTTCTTCAATTGCAGCTTTGCATCCTTGTCCACCTGTTTCTTCAGCGGGCTCGGCCGGGGCTCTGCTTTCTTGTCAGGGTAATCGGAGGCGCCAAGTGGTGACAGCAAGGGCGGTATGTGCGGCTTCTCCTTCTTGGGTGTTCCATGGGTGCTATTGGCGGACTTCTGGGACTGAGACCCGTTGACCTGGCTATTCGGCCGCGGAGAAACGCCGCGGCTGCTGGAGTTGCTAGTTGCTGATTTCGTGATGCCGTTTGGCAAAGGCGACGGCTTGAGCTCCTTTGCCGACTTCTTGTCATGAGCGACCAGCTTATCGGCCGGTTTGTTGGGAGTGTCGGGCCTGGGCGGTGGACGCGACGTGGCATTGGGTGTTGTGCCTTCGATCTTGGTGCGCTTGGCCGACCTGCTCTCGTCGTTGACATCCGAAGGCCGCTTCTTTCTTTCCGGGGAGGGACTGGTGAGGCGGCGCACGTCGGGCTTGGGGGGCAGGCTGGGATGCGCCTTGTTGATGGCAGCCTTGCGCAGCATGCTGTCGGCAGCGGAGGTGCCGTTCTCCTTCTTAATGGTGGGCACCGGTGGCTGGTCCTTGACGGCGGCGTGCTTGGGCGCGGTGGGCGCGCTCGGGGTCGCGACGGAGACGGCGGCAGCCTTCTTGGGGGAGGACCCCTCGGACGGGAGGGATTCTTGCTTGCGACTCTTGTAGTCCTTCAGCGACAGCTTGGTCTTGGGCTTGTTCGGGTCCGACTGGGGCCGTGGGGGCTTGGGCGCATGGCTCTCCTCCTTGCGGATGTCGGAGTGGGCTCTGGTGAGAAGCAGACCGCGATCGGCGTCGAACAGAAAGGTCATGTACTGCAGAGGCCGGATGACATCCTCCTCGAGGCGGGTATCGTTGGGATGCAGGTGGTAGCGCGAATCGGGCGAGACAGACAGGTGGTGCGGGCGGTCGGGCAAGCTGCTGGCTAGACTCTTGATGGACTTGGCCGCCGCCTCCATGGTCGTCCCTTTGTTCTCATGCAACGTCGAGCTGTTGCGCGCGGAGGTGGGATGGTGGCATCAAAGGGGAGCGCGGGCGCCGGCTGGGGGGCCGATCTTCTTTTCCTTCTTTGTTGTTGTCCAAGGATAGTCACCTGGGTATGCAACTCAAGTGCGCGCGCGCGCGCGTGTGTGTGTGCGGGTATGTGTCTGCGTGGTGTTCGTCCTCCAAAGCAGGTGGAACGTCGTGGCCAGGGCCAGGGGTGTGGGTTGTCCAAAAGGCTGGAGAGGACGGGCAGACGGGGTAGCAGCCCGGCGGCCGTGGGCGTGTGGTGGGTTGAGATAAGACGGGAAGGGATGGGAATGTCTGACTTTAGAGTTTAGCGGGATCGTTCCCAGGTTCAACCTCAGAGAGGGCCGGCGACCAGAGAAATCCAATGAGGGGGATGCGATGCGGTGCGGTGGGCGAACAGGAACACATGGTGACCCGAACCAAACAAGCACGCATTTGCGCCTCAACCTCAACCTCAACCTCAACCTCGACCTCGACCTGCTATCCCCATGTACTCTAGCGAGCAGAGATACAGACAGCGAGAGACAGGAGCAAGTTGCGCGGGCGAGATGGAGGAGTGGACTATACACAGCAGAAATGACTGACCTCTTCTCCTAACTTTGGTATTGTCTCCCCCGGTGCGTGTACGTGTGCGTGTGCGTGTGCGTGTGCGTGTGCGTTTTGAGGCACCTCTGTTTCGAGGCACGTACGGGTCGGTCTGAAGTGCACGCGAGGTTGAGCGACGGGCAATGGGCAGCAGGCAGATGGGGACTACCGAGCGCGATGCACCCACACTGCGCACCCGTATCGCGGCACGCCAGGACCTAGCTACCTTGACTAGCGCCTGCCTGGGGGAAGGTATTGTTCTCGGGCGAGCATGAGGATGGGATTGGGAGAGATGGAGACGCAGGTCACAGAAAACGCGACGGGGATGCCGACGCAGCTTGGCAACTGATTGGATACAGACCGTCTCCCTCTCCTCTCCAAGCCGAACCGGTGCAGTGAGCGAGCGCGCGAGCTCTTGGTCATAACCGGAAACAGGGCAGGACAGACAGTTGACTTGGCTAGACTAGACGTCAGGCTTTCGCAGCAGCGCATCACACATTCCGATGCACCAGATGTCGCGACGAGACGTGTAGCTACGTCCCTAGTTAACGTAGGGAGCTGGCTGCCATGGCCGACTCGTGACTCGTGCGTGCCGTCTTACCGTACCCTTGGTGTCGAGAGCCTGACTTGAGCACTTACACAGTACTAACTCCGGGGGGCCTTGCTGCTTGCTTGGTCTACTCCACTGGCTTTGCAGCGGCCGGCAGCCAGCGCCCAGTGGTGATGGACGTAGCTTAGCGGTAGCGGAGCGGGCCCGCGGCAGGTAGCGTGCGTAGCTCGCAGGACACGGGGCGGCTTGGAAGATGCTGACGGCGTCTATAGATCAGGCCGAGGGAGAGAGATAGAGTCCCGACGGATAGGATCACGGCTGCGGTGTACTTATTAAGAGACATTCCTACCCGTGTCAGGTCGAGTCGCTTTAGTCCTCGCCAAAACAAGACCCAATTCGACAAGTCTTCGAACCGGAGAGGTGTAACACGCATCAGATCACGGCCGAACGCGTCAATGGGGACGGGGACGGACTGTACGAACCAACTAATCCCTACCTTCGGTAACAGTAGCTTGACTTGCAAACCACCGACCACTACCTTAGTTAATGCCGATCATAGCAGTGAACTCTATCGACTACCTACACCATAGCCACTCCACTGGGCCGAAGACGTGCTGCCTCTTGCCCTTCACCACTTCATTGAATCACTTTCACTCAATCAACTGGCAGATGCCGCAGGGCTGCGTGGCTGACCGTAAGCAAATCGACATGCATGGTCCCTAAGTCCTACAGCCAAGGCATATACCGCACAGTACACATGGGCATACTGTAGCAATCGAAACCTAATCGATCCGCCCACGCCCACATCAGATTACTTGCAGTCCATATTGGGGGGGGCTTTCCATCCTTCATAACGCGCATTCAAGCTCCCGCCGCTCCGCTCTGCCGACTCTGCAATCGGTGACCAGCTTGTTCCTTAATTACACACAACCGTGAGATCAGACACACGCCCACGCCCACGCCCTGCTGTGTGCTTACAACCTGCCCAACCGCCAGCCTCAGCCGGCCAGAGAGGCTGCCCGCCGACTGGAAACAGCGTGGGGCCCCACCCCTTGGCTTGCCTGGCCCCTTGCCCCTGGCCCCTTTCTGTAAGTTACATGGCAAGGGAATTGAGAATTCCCCGATTTTCAGCCTCATTCAACGGCCCTTGATGATCAACCTGTTGCTTACCGGACATGAGAGAGAAATTGATTCGTCACAGTTCACCTTATAGGGAGACAAACAGTCGCTCTTTGACACGTTGCCCAGAAACTCTAGGTCGCCTGGAGGTTCCGCGGTCATAAATTGCTATAGATTGCTATCCAGGTGGAAAGTTGCGGGTCTTGGAAAGTAGTTCAAGCTAGGTAGGTATTTAGCAGTAGATGCCACAATTTCTACCAAACACACGGAAGCGTGGTCCATGTCTTGCTGCGGGATTCGAAAGGTGACTAAACCCAACAAAGTGAACTGGAGAGATAAATGTAATATATATGCACTCTTTCATCAATCATAATCATCCATATCTTCCTGTTTTTTCTGTCGTGTCTTGGGTACTCTTCAGGGGAGCCAAGCATCCTGGAGCCGCATCGACGTCGACTTACATAACCCACCCACTTTGCTCTCGATAAGACCGCCAAGGAAAGCCAGTCACTCCCTCCCAAAACATCTGCACCATCGACCAGCAGAGAAAGAGAGAGAGAAAACATGTCCGACAAGCCCAACGCCTTCACGCCCACGGCGGCGCTGCTGTCCACCAGCATCGTCGCCTTCCTCAGCGGCTTCATGCTGGGCATCTACTCGATCCGCGGCTACCTGATCCCGCCCTCCATGTCCGAGGAGCGCCGCCGCAACCTGACCGACCCCGTCGAGAGCGACGAGTCCGACGTCGACGTCGACGACAGCCTGCTCGACCACGCCCCCAACTGGGCCAACAGCACCGACGCCGACAAGCGCGACGGCCTGAAGCAGAACCGGCCCAAGAAGGCCAAGGCCGCCAGCGCCGTCGACCCCTCGACCAGCGCGCTCGCCGCCGCCAGCCCCAACGAGGAGTGCAAGCTGGTGCTGGTCGTGCGGACGGACCTGGGCATGACCAAAGGTACGAAGGAGCCGTCGACACAATGACGAACCAACTCCCCTCCCCCCAACCCCGAGGCGCACAAAGGCTAACGCAGGCAACCCTTTTCCCCGAACAACAGGCAAGATCGCGGCGCAGTGCTCGCACGCCACCCTGGCGTGCTACAAGTCGCTGGCGCGGCAGCCGGCGACGTCGGCCGCGGGCCAGGTGCTGAAGCGGTGGGAGCGGCTGGGGCAGGCCAAGATCGCGGTGCAGACCAAGTCGCAGCAGGAGCTGCTGGACCTGATGGGGCGGGCGCGCGCCCTGGGCCTGACGGCCGAGGTCATCCAGGACGCCGGCCGCACGCAGATCGAGGCCGGCAGCATGACGGTGCTGGGCGTCGGCCCCGCGCCCAAGAGCCTGGTCGACCAGGTCACCGGCGGCCTGAAGCTCTTGTAACTGCAGCGGGTTCGGAGGGAGCGCTGGACCAACGAACGCGGTTGACGAAGATATCCTCGCCCCCTTCTCCAGGGCGTACCGAGCGACATACGCTGCACTACTCTACAATCGGTCTTCGGCGGCACCTTGGACGGGTACGAGTGGATTAGTATGGCAGTGTTCATCGCCGGTCATGCGTGGACTAGAGGGGAAGGTGCATATGTCATCATCGCCATGCGCAACTCCCATGCACATGGTAGCGAGGTTGGCACAGAGAACACGGCGGCATTTTGTGGTATAGACGGCGTTTCGGAAAGCGAAAAGGCATATGATTTGCGGCGAGGCGTCATTACGAAATGTACAACCACCACTTAGAAAAATGGGATGAGGGCACATACATACATCAGCACGCAAACTAGACTCGCGACTTGAGATTCAAGTACTCTCTATTCCTTGAAGGCCTACATAGTGAAAACGGACTAGTGCAGCGCATTCCTCTCTGCAAACCACCGGACGACATGGGTGTCGTCAAGCCTCAATGTGAGGCCCCCTGACCAGATGCTTTCCTTGGGGTCTGTACAGCCTCGAGAGCTTCTCTACAGGTACCAAGACTACTTGCATATAACCCCTTGGTCGTTTCCTCCCCCGAGCAACAGCAAAACAGTTTTCCGTGATGGGTATACGTATCGATGCAAAACAGAGCCTTCCCTTAAAAAATAATTCCATGTACAAGGAGTTGATTGAGTTTCATCGTCTAGTCTCGCCTCTTCGCCCGTCGTATGTTGGCAATAGAATATGTGCATGGGTTTCCGATTTTTCCAATATTTGAGCCGGTTCGACCTGCGACCTGGGAATATTCCGCGGAACAGCATTCCGCGGAACGACCTTTGTGGCTAATGCTGGGCATTGGTATCGACTCGTAACGGATATACCGGAGCGGTATTGACACCATTAGTATCTAGCTTCCGCTTCTTGCTAGGCTCACCCGTATTTCTTTGCGGCGTCGCCGAGCGCTTCTGCTGCGATCCACGACTGAGCTGCTCTAAGACATTCTGAAAGGCATCTAACCTTTGCCTGTAGTTTTCGTAGTACACGTATAGGCTGTCTATGCGTGGGCCTAGACGTGTACAGTATGCCTCAATATGTTTGGCCATCTCGACACACATGGCCTGTGTATTGATATTATTCAGCTGAGTATTCAAGCCTTGAATTGCGAACTCTTGAGACTCCAGTGCCTGTTGGGTCCTGGTGCGCGTTTCGTCGCAGGCGGTGTAGACTTTCTGAATACTGGCCTTGATGGCACTGGCGTCGGCATCATGAGATCCGGCCGCGTCCTCCAACCTGGCTGACAATTGAGTGAGACTGTCCGATAGCTCCCTGAGCTGGTTGGCTTGTGCCACCGTTCCATCTTCCATTACTTTGATCCGGGCGGCCAAATTCAGGTCGCCGGTCGCGGGACTAGCACGAGAGTCGAGCTGAGGAGTAGGGGCCGGCGTTCTTGCTTGCACAGGCTTTGCCTCAAGTGTTTTGATACGAGCTTCGTGCTGATCCATAGTCTCGCCAATGGCGTCGGTCATGGCTTCCACGGTCTTCTCAACTGTTTCAATAACACTCGGCTCGATTTCGGACATCCTCTGCTGTGCACTCGCTAGTTTCTGATCAATTTGCTGCACGGCGGCCTTCAGATTTTGCGACTCTTGATGCGCTCGTTGAACCTCGGTCTTGAGGTTTTCTGACTCTTGATGTGCTCGTTGAACCTCGGTCTTGAGGTTTTCTGACTCTTGTTGCGCACGTTGCACATCAGCCTCGAGGCCTTGTAACTTGGCACCGTGCACTTCAATTGCAGGATGTACAGCTGGTTCGGCACGGGATCCAGATTCTTTGATGGATCGAACATCCGCCGTCACCTCCAGGAACTGCCGGTCATACCTCTCAATTTTCTCTGGCACCTCCAGTGAGACCCAGTTGTTGATGAGGGAATTGAAGTCCTCGGAATCTATGTTCTCAGTTCGCTTTTGGATACTGGAGACGGCACTTTGTATTGTTAACATCTTGGACTCCAGCCCCTCTAGCGACGTGGCAAGCTCCTTCGACTTGTCTTGGCGACGCTCAATTTTACGAATGCTGTCGCCGTGTTGGCGGAGTTGATCCTGAACTTCTTTCGAGGCAGACGTGGACTTGGCTAGTCCTTCGGGAGCCACCTTTGATTTCTGGAGTTTGTCAATACTCCGCTGTAGAGGATCAACCTTGCGTATTGTGTCTTGATGCTGACGAACTTGCCCTTCGAGCTCCTTCAGCTGTGCAGCAGTCTTGGCCATGTCGGCAGAGGTGGCCTTGGACTCTTTCAGCTGGTTAACACTCGACATGGCAGAGGCTAGCTGTGCTTTGACGGTGGAAGCCTGTTCGCATACAGCGTCCAGGTCTTTTCGCAGACTAGCGGTCTCATTTTCTCGACATTTCCTTTCAAGATTCTGGTCGGGAAGCCCGTTGATGAAAAGCTCTAGCGACTTGACTCTGTCCTCGGATTCCTTGCAACGGACTTGGAGAACATTGATCTTCTCGCCCGACTCTTTCTTGTCGGCTTCCAGCTGCTGGATTTTGTGGCGAGCTTCGGTCATATCCTTCTGAAAATTCTTCTGGAAGACTGTGAATCTCTCTTCAAGAGACTGGATAGCAGGGGCATGGTCAGGAGCCGCTGGTGCGGCGGTCGGCGGTGTTGGCATTTCACTTTTCTTGTTGCTGACGATTTCCGCCGCTACACCCTCTAAATCTTTGAAGAAGGACTTCTCATTCGTCCGCCATTTTGTCTCCAGCTCATTGATGACCAGGTCATCCTTCTCCTTGGTTCGCTGATAAATCTCAAGCACCTGCGGGAAGTCGCCAGACCTCGCCTGCGACTTCTTGAATTGAGCATCTCTAGCCTCCCTCTCCTTTGCCCTCCTCTTTCTCTCTGGCCCGAATGCGCAACGCCAATACAGGTCTTCGCTGAATCGGAAGAGCACATCAAATACGGGCTGAAGGCTGGGGTCTCTCGTCTTGGGAATGACTGAAGCTACAATCGGGCTTGGTATCGCAGAGGAAGCGGGTGCGGATGGGACTGCTGATTTTGCCAATGTCGGGCCTGAGGGCGCGACACGGGAGGAGATGGACGGGTTGCGAGGGCCGGTGGGAGGACTTCTCGCAGAAGATGCCGAGGCGCGTGGCCCAGTTGGCGCGTTGAGTACAGCCGGGTCGGTATTGAGTGACAGGCCCTTGGTCCTACTATCAGCCTCCCGCCCTCGATCTGTCGGCCTGTCCTGCCTGTGTTCGCTGCGGGTTGGAGAGGTCGAGCTCAATCCACGGTCGCTGTCACGACGGACCGGCGCCCTATCCCTCTCACGGCTGCGGTCGCGGTCGCGGTCGCGGTCACGGTCACGGTCACGCCCCCTCGCGTCTCCTGGCCTATATGATTCGTAGCCCCCGAGCCCCGAGCGGCGTCGGTCGTCGTCGAACCCATACTGTCGTTGAAACGCCATTCCGTGCCGGTGTCATGCTGCGGAAGGCGGTGGTCAGGACGGGCAAACGGGCCGAAGCAACGAGGCCGTCGGCCTACCTAGAGTCTCTGTGCCAACTCCTCAAGCAGGTTCTGGGCGCCTAGTGTCGAGGTTGCAGATATGCCCTCCCGAGCCGTGGAAGTGAAGGTGGTAGGCAGATAGATGGTGCCTGCTTCAAGCTGGATCCCCAGGATTTGGCTTCAGCCGGGTCACATTGCCCGGATCCTTCGCGCCTGCCTCTCGAGTCTATTCGGCACGTTCGAAACGGCGATATTGACTTGACGGCGAGGACCAAGATTTGCGTTTCCGCCACCCAGTGGTTTGGCTCGCTTTTGCTGGACTGCAGGCGCGCATCCAAGTGACATGCGGGACGCGCCTCCAAATTTGGGTAGAATTGGGGTTCGCAGGGGTTGTGGTGCAGTGTGCTGCGACCTAAGCCGTTCACGGGTCGAAGGACGAGGGGGAAGTGCATGTGCAAGTGCAGGCGCTCGCCTTCGTGCACAGAGTGCAAACTCGTCGTCGAGATATGGCGGCGAGCCGAATTTGCTGCGTAAAGACTCGTAGTACCGTATCTTGTCGTATCGGTGTAGACTTGAAGCCCAAAGTGATAGGCGGGAATCGGTTGCAGCGCCCGTGCAGTAGTAGAGGACACAAGATGGCTGCGTACCCACTCCTGCCCAGCTTCCTACCACTCAACTTGAGTTCTATGTCGAAAGGATGGAGTTGAGGGGGAGGAGGCAGTCAGCCAAGCCGAGCACCCCTTGCATCAACACGACTGGACGAGACGTTATCTATAGTTCCTCGCAGTGCGTGTGTGAAAGACCGGACCAAATTATATTCAGACGCAGACGGGGTAGGTGAGAGGGTGATACCTGATACCAGATCTGGAACTTGGGAGTTTTCTTTTCGTTCAGCATGCGAACGCAAGGGGGACCTGGATGTGCGAGAGGAAAAAGAAAGCAGAACTCGATTGAATGAGAGCGCTGCAGAGGGCTATGGAGGTGCGTGAAGAGGGGCCTTGTCCGCCAATTGCAAGGTGTTGGTCAGAAGTATTCCCTTGCGTAGAGAGGAAAACGAACGGGGTGCCTGAAAAAAAGCAACAGCCTGAGAAAAATGAGTTATACGGCGACCTGGACGAATGGCAGGCCGATGAACCAGAGAAATGGTGTGGTTGCGAAATGCGGGCATCAATCATGGAGTTGCACCGCGTTTGCATGAGAATCCGATCCGGGCTTCCTGACAAATGAAGATCTGGACAGGCATCATTTCCATAACCAGAAGGGCAGGGCCGACGATGTCAACGAAGTAGTTACACACAGGCACGCACAACTGGGTCTCTAGCAAGCCCAGCGCTAGGAGTTGGGTTCGGGAACGTGACCCGTTGTTAGTGTTCAGTCAGCTGGAGGAAGCAAACATTGTTCGAAATGCATACCATAGTACGTACATAGGCAGTAAGGATATATCACATCCCAGCAAGGGTGTTGCCCCCAAACGGTGCTGGGGTTTCCGTTTGTGCAATACTATGGCACGTGAGGTGATGGCATGGCGCCTGCGGCCGTCTGGAATCGGCAACTTCCATGGCGTGATGAGGAGTAAAGTGTACTGCCCTCACTGTCGATATTGGATTTTCCCAGAGTCACACCGCCTCATGGGATTGGTCCCGACTGGTCCCGACTGGTCCCTTGATAGCAGACATGTACTATAGTCACGGCTGGTCTGTAAGGGATCATGCCCGCGTTTCTTGGACAGACGAGGCAGTAGACGCCGAGGGGCGGCTGGGCGACTAAAAGAGATAGCGCCCAAAAGAGGTACTACTATGGTATGGTACCGTAGCCTTGGAAGCTTTAGCGGGCCTCTTCAGTAGTTGCAACAGCGCCAGCAGATTCCGACCCCCCAGGCGCGGCGCGCGGCGCGGCAGCTGTCAGCGAAATTTAATCGGTCGCATCTCAAGCTCCCAAAGCTCAGATCGCGACAGAAACGGAACGGCCCATCGACGACTGCATCCGCATCCGATCGTCTCCCCAAACCACCACGCCATCTGCCGTTGAAGACCTGTCAAGATGGCAGCTGTAAGTATTGCCTGTGTCGTACGCATTGCCGCCCAGTGCTGACCCGCCCGCGCCATGCAGCCCGTGATGACCGTCTCCGAGAGCAAGGACCTCCGAGGTCTGAACCTCATCGCCGCCCACTCGCACATCCGCGGCCTGGGTGTCGACGCCGACACGCTGGAGCCGAGGTCCAACTCGCAGGGCCTGGTCGGCCAGGAGAAGGCCCGGAAGGCCGCCGCCGTCATTCTGGAGATGATCAAGGTCGGAAAGATCGCTGGCCGCGCCGTCTTGATCGCCGGTCCTCCCAGGTGAGCTCGCCCGCCCGCTCGCCCGCAGACGGGGCCTTCGTTTCGCTTCAGTCGCGGGGGCAGCCAGGAGCTGACACATAGTCTGTTGTTTCTAGCACGGGAAAGACGGCCATAGCCATGGGCATGGCGCAATCGCTCGGGCCCGACGTCCCCTTCACGACCCTCGCCTCGTCCGAGATCTTCTCGCTCGAGATGTCCAAGACCGAGGCCCTCACCCAGGCCTTCCGCAAGTCCATCGGCGTGCGCATCAAGGAGGAGACCGAGATCATGGAGGGCGAGGTCGTCGAGATCCAGATCGACCGCTCCGTCACGGGCGGCGCCAAGCAGGGCAAGCTCACCATCAAGACCACCGACATGGAGGCCGTCTACGACATGGGCGCCAAGATGATCGACGCCATGACCAAGGAGCGCGTCATGGCCGGCGACATCATCTCCATCGACAAGAGCAGCGGCAAGATCACCAAGCTGGGCCGCAGCTACGCCCGCAGCCGCGACTACGACGCCATGGGCGCCGACACAAAGTTCCTCCAGTGCCCCGACGGCGAGCTGCAGAAGCGCAAGGAGGTGGTGCACACCGTCACCCTGCACGAGATCGACGTCATCAACTCGCGGACGCAGGGCTTCCTGGCCCTGTTCAGCGGCGACACGGGCGAGATCCGCAGCGAGATTCGCGACCAGATCGACACCAAGGTCGCCGAGTGGAAGGAGGAGGGCAAGGCCGAGATCGTCCCCGGCGTCCTGTTCATCGACGAGGTGCACATGCTCGACATCGAGTGCTTCAGCTACGTCAACCGCGCCCTTGAGGTCGACCTGGCCCCCGTCGTCATCATGGCCAGCAACCGGGGCAACTCCAAGATCCGCGGCACCGACTACCGCAGCCCGCACGGCCTGCCGCTCGACTTCCTCGACCGCGTCGTCATCATCCAAACCCAGACGTACGCCGCCGACGACATCAACAAGATCCTGGCCATCCGCGCCCAGGAGGAGGAGGTCGACGTCTCGCCCGACGCCCTGGCCCTGCTGACCAAGATCGGCCAGGAGGCCGGCCTGCGCTACGCCAGCAACCTCATCACGACCTCGCAGCTCATCTCGGCCAAGCGACGCGCCAAGCAGGTCACGGTCGACGACGTGCAGCGCAGCTTCAAGCTCTTCTACGACCCGAACCGGAGTGTGCGCTTCGTGTCCGAGTCGGAGAAGCGTCTGATCGGGAACAACGGGGCGGTGGATTTTGCCATCCCCAACGGCAACGGCGGCGGCGACGCCATGGAGATTAGCTAGAGGTCATAGAATCGGGCGTCGTTGTTATCGGTTTTTTTATTTTTTTTATTGTCAAGTTTTCGGGCGTTTGTGGAGATCAAAATGGACACGAGAGCAAGAGAGAGATTCAGCACTTGAAGCCATAGAGTCTTGTATCATAGGTGGATTGGCGTAATTCTATGTCATTGATTCATACTATCGCAGTCTCGACGTTTCCCGTCATATATCTGATCCCATAAAAAGCCGTGCGGTCCGATTGCCGTTTTACCGTCGAACCTTGCTGCCCCAGCCTCATGAATCTAAAAGGACTACTTTCATTCTTTTTCTTTTCTTGACTTTCCCGCCTGCTCATCCGCAGGACTTGCTTAGAGCTTGGGATGGTGGTCAATTCATTTGGCACCGTCAACCTTGGCGACGTAGGCCAGGAGGTCCAGGACACGACGGCTGTAACCCCACTCGTTGTCGTACCAGGAGACGAGCTTGACAAAGTTCTTGTTCAAGGAGATACCAGCCTTGGCATCGAAGATGGAGGAGTTGGTGTTGCCGATCATGTCGGTAGAGACAACCTCGTCCTCAGTGTAGGCGAGTATACCTGTGAGGATCGGTGTTAGTTTTCTGTTTCTCTATTTTTTTTTTCTTTCTCACGAGTTGCCCGAAGGCCGAAGGGCAGATTTTCAGTAGACTTACCCTTGAGGGGGCCGTTGGCAGCCTCCTTGATGGCCTCCTTGATCTCGTCGTAGGTGGCGCCCTTCTCGATGCGGGCAGTCAGGTCGACGACGGAGACGTTGGCAGTGGGGACACGCATGGACATGCCGGTGAGCTTGCCGTTCAGGTCGGGGATGACCTTGCCGACGGCCTTGGCGGCACCGGTGCTGCTGGGGATGATGTTCTGAGCAGCGGTACGGCCACCACGCCAGTCCTTGGCCGAGGGGCCGTCGACGGTCTTCTGGGTGGCGGTGTAGGAGTGGACGGTGGTCATGAGACCCTCGACGATGGTGAACTTGTCGTGGATGACCTTGGCCAGGGGAGCCAGGCAGTTGGTGGTGCACGAGGCGTTGGAGATGACATCGGCCTTGCCGTCGTAGGTCTTCTCGTTGACGCCCATCACGTACATGGGGGCATCGGCGGAGGGGGCCGAGATGATGACCTTCTTGGCACCGCCGGACAAGTGAGCCTTGGCCTTGTCGGTGGTGGTGAAGACACCGGTGGACTCGACAATGTACTCAGCGCCGGTGTCCTTCCAGGGGATGGCGGCGGGGTCGCGCTCGGTGTAGAACTTGACCTTCTTGCCGTTGACGACGAGGTCGGAGCCCGAGACCTCGATGGTGCCCTTGAACTGGCCGTGGGTGGAGTCGTACTTGAGCATGTACTCAGCGTACTTGGGCTCGATGAAGGGGTCGTTCACGGCCACGATCTCAATCTCGGGGTGCTCAACGGCATTGCGGAAGACGATACGACCGATGCGGCCGAAGCCGTTGATACCAACCTTGACCATGGTGAGGGGTGGGGGGTGGGGGTGGTGTGTGTGAGAGGGGTGAGACTTGGATGAAGTGGGATGGACTGGCACAAGAATCAGGAACGCTCTTCGAAAAGACGTCTCTGATTGTCTGGGCTAGGATAGGAGAGTGATGATGGATGAGATGGGAGAGAGGATCGAGCTCCAAGGGCGGGTGCGAGGAGGGCGTCTGCTAGGTTTAATAGCTCTGGCGTTGCAGGTTGGACGAGGGATGGCCGGCGGGATTTTGGTGGGGTGATGACATACGGCCTGACCACAAAGGTTGAGGTGGGCGACCAGACCACGAAGGAGGGGCAGTCTGAGCCGTGCGTCGTGCGAGGGGAGCCACGTTGTCGCCCGCCCGCCGCGTCCTCCCGTTAGAGGCTACCTGGGAGGTACATGCACCCAAGGATGCCCCTCTGCCCCTCTGCCCCTCCGTCCATGCCTACCTAGCTACAAGACAAGAGGGCAGCAGATGTGCGCCCAGCTGACCGTCGGGCTGGGAGACGCGATGCAGCTCGTCAACCCCGTCCCGGATTGACTCTTGGGCATATGATCCTGATCTAGGACAGTGCTGTAGCCTGGGAACTCAAAGCATCTCTTGAACCCGTCAGTCCGGAACCCCTCCATCCCCGGGTCGAGCCTATCCAGCCCTGCCAGCGCCCTCGTGCGGGCTGGTCTCGCCGGAGAGTTTGTTGAGTGCTTTGTCTGGCCGGACACCCCGCGGGCAAGTAGAGTCACCGTGCCCTCTAACACGCAGCACTCCCAGACAGTGCGCGCCCTAGCTCTCGATATCTCGTCCAGACAAATTTTCTACAGTACCTATGTCGGAGCTCAATGCTTGAGTGTGCTTCGTAAAAATCACTCAATCGGTGAAACCATGATATTACATTCTATCACTGACGAGACGTCTCTGCATGCTCCAGATCGCCTCAGGCGGTCCCAGCATCCAAGATGCCCATGTATATGCCATGTACCGCTAGGAGTCCCGAGCTCATCCACGTTACCCCAGATTCACGAAAACCAGACGGGCAGCGTCACGGAATCTCGGTTCATCCAGGACGACCTGCCACGACTCTGCCCGAGAATAGCTCGGCTGCGTGGTCGACGGCTTCCAGAGCCGCCAAACCGGCTATATAATGGACGACCCGTTCCCTTGGCTACCTGCATGCCTGCTTGACTTTTTCTTCTGATCCCCCTCTCTTCCGGGCGTGCATCCGGAAGCCCGCTGCTTGGTGTTTTAGTGTATACTCGCTACCTACAGTACTACTCTCCACGGGTTGGCAGCTGGAGATTTCTACTCCCTGCTGACGCTAAAGCTACATAGGTAGCCACCCAGTGTCTTGTCCTTGCAACTGTCTTTACCCCTTCCCTTTCTTCCTGGAGCTCCAGCTGGGCGAAACAACAATAAGCTGCCAGAGTCTCAAGCGAGTCTCGAGCCCTTGGGCTGGCCACGGCGGTCAATGACGCCCAGATACTGACATCTCCTGGGTCAGCTGCTTGCCAAGATTGTCATTATGCAACGAGGGCCCTGAGCATGAGTCAAAACTACAAAAGAGCTTGGGGGTAGCTCCCCTCAGGCAAGCTCTTGGGGCGCCGAGCTCGCACCGTAATGAAACTTGATTGCGGGCATGCTGCGGCGCAACACTGGGTCTGGCTCGAATAGGACCGAAGACCTGTTGGAGCCAATGGAGATTGGAAACGGCTGGGCGTGTTCAAAATCACTCAACCAAACCGGACCGCCAGCACGTCCCAGGAGACCTGCGAACATCAATCATGGGCATTGTTGATGAACGTCGCGGGCAGGCACTCTCAATATTTCGTATTGGCCACAAGATATCCCACGCCTCTATTATCCCTCCCTCCGTCCCGACTGCTGATGCACCGGCCCATTACCTTGTACAGGGCCCACAGAAGAAAACCCTGCGTCATGTAAGCTTGTAAGGCTGAGATCGGCCGGCCCCTGCCTACCCGCGGTCAAAAGATCAGCAGGGTTTTTGACATGGCAATCTGGTTGTCCCTATTAGTCTTGGAAACTGTCATGGCTTCCATATTCGCAATGTGGATTCCATCACTGTTTGGCCACCCCGGCCAGGACCCCGATAAATCCATCGAATAGCTCCGGCGCTCTCCGGCCGAATGATCAAAAACAACATGACCTTAGAGCCGGCAGCAGCACACAGGGCTGACTAATGCAATAATCACGACCCGCAAGCCAGAAACACATGTTTGGTTTCTGGCGTGACAGCATACGGAGGACGGTTGCGACTGTTTCAACACAGCAGCCGCACGGGGACACACTCCATTTGCTATTTTGGGTCATCCAGCAGCTTGGCAGCCCAATGCGAAATCACCACACCTGGCAGGGCTAGGCGTCTACTCACTAACCTAATCCTCGGTGACTGGGCATACTTTCTTAACTTCCATTGCCTTTCAAGAGCAGATCATGTCGGACACTTGGCCATTGACGCATTTCTCGGCAAGGACTACACGTGATTGTCGAACCCGTACATATAACATACGTAGACTGGATTAGTATTGCGCCTTGATTGTATGCTGCACGCCGCAGTCGTTAGAAACATCACAAGTTCTATTGCTTGCATGGTTTGTACTGTCATTTGACCCCTTAGGATGAGTGGAGATTCTCGTTATATTCAACGTCAAGACTGGTACATGTGCCGCGCCCGTGTCAACGTTGTAAACACACTTCAGCGCCTTTCTTGCTTGCGAACGGGGCTCCTTTACGCATATAAGGCTGCCCTGACGCAGCCATGGCCGGACAAAGCTCATGCAGATGGTCCTTCTCCCGCGCGCAGCTGGGTCCATATAACCGGGGGCATCTTCGTATAGTTGATGCCATCACTTCTGATCTTGTTGGTCGTCTCCTCGGACTGGGCAGCCAGGACTTTGCCAAAGTCGCCCTCGTTCTCCATCTGCGCAAACAGAATCAGCTCGTAGGGGCTGTCCGAGGTGCTGCTCGGGATCTCTGCTCTCCAAGTCTTGGCGTACGGCTGCCAGAGGTCGTACACCATTGGGACGTGCTTGTTGATATAGTAGTCAACGTTCATCTCCGCCCCCTTGGGGTAAGCGATGACAACAACTTCAACCGGCATGTTGGAAGAATGTGTTGGCTTATGCGGCACCTGCTAAGTTGTTAGCATGTATCTATATTCAATTTGTTCGCCATGTACCAACCTATGTATGTTGATATTGGATTCTGGCGAAGTCTGCGTAAACTAGTCTGTTATGTTCTCGAGTTCCAGCCTCACAAAGAGGAGCACAATGTTTTTTTATACTTCTCAGCAGTCCCCTCTTATCTCCTGGAGTTTTATCTCCCTGAATACTATCTCCTTGAGGATTCTCTTCGAGGATTGGCTCCCTGAAAGTTATCTCCTTGAGTCTTATCTCCTTGGTATCCCACAAGGGAGTTGTTCAGTCCGCGTGAAGCGTCATGGTAAGGAGGATCGCTTGAAATGGATGTGACTTGTATCAGAAGTGTCCGGCTGCTCCGGTCTTTTTTCTGTATGGCCAAGGAAGCCTCCGTGGCCTACACGTCAGACCGAGGAGCTATAAACGCCACGAAGCTGTGATCGTATGTCCCTGTCAGCTGAGGCAACACTGCCCAGCCCGAGTCAATATATGAAGCGCACGGCACCTTTGTCAGCTGCAAATTACGGGCCAGATTAAATCCGCTAGCTCTGCCATCCTTGCAATATCGGATGCCTGCGAAATTGTTGCTAAACAGGCTTCTGTACCTCGAGCGTAGTTTTGCTGGACGTAGAAGGGATACGAAGATTGGGCTTGCCCACAATTAGATATTTCCAACCAATCTTCATGGGTCCCAAAAGACTTACTAAAGCGGCCGCAGCGCAGATTATATATGACAGGTGCTCTGCTCTCATAGCGGCGTCTATGAGGTTGAGGTTTGAGGTGCCCAGGTGACTCAGCATGCCACCCACTGTTTCCCGCTGCTTGGCTGCGTATGATATGATGTCCGAAGGTCAAACGACGCGCGGATTCGGAGCGCTCCCTCATCTTCTCACTTATGTTTCCCGTTCAGTGTGATATCTCTTGCCAATCCAGGCTGACCTGTAAACCTCGGAAGAAACGTCAAGGTGCCGTACTGTGAGGAGTATCGAATGGCTACCCAATGGAGTACTAGCCGTCACGAAAGAGACGATCCTTCCAAAGGGGCGGCGATCATCTTCCAAGCTTCTCTTGTGCAAAACGGTGTGGGCGTTACTGGTCTTCTAGAAGTGACACCTCCACATAATGGCCGCAGATAGGTCCAAACGTTTGACACAGCACCTGACCACGTCAAGGGCTTTCACTTGCGACAGGTGGCCCAGGTGTCCGCAGCCCCAAAACCACGGCCATCACATGTTTCATAACCATGGCTTATCCAAAGCTGAGTTCAGTCGCGAGTAATCACTGGCGCTGGACTGGCATTAAGACAAAGGGGTCTCGGGGATCGCTGGACGAGCTTAAACAGTAGCCGGGCTGTTGTCACGATGATGGAAGCCCATGTTGAATAGATCAGCCCGGCAAGATGAGTTATCGATGATACCTGACTTAGAGGTCAACGACGTTAAGATTAACCGACGGAGTGAACTCAATACACGGCTCAAGAACCAGTTAACTCTTGTACGACCGCAAGATCACAGACTGCAAAATGCCTGAAACGCTCAATCGACGATGGAATCCGTACCGTTCATCCTGAGGCAGGACCTGGGATCGTGGTCAGTGACGGCCACTGATTCTTGGTATTCATGTACAAGAGGTGGCCCAGGTAGTCGGTCAATTGTCGCATACATTAAGAAACCCTCACCCGATCAGAAGGTCCAGGAAACTTCAGGGTGCCAAGCAGCCGGGGTCGCTTTGTAAACGAACGTGGTACTTTCGGTTGCCAATTTTAGTCCTATGGAGAACATATCCTTGGCATCGCTGTCCAGACGAAATTACCAGCCTAGAACGATCTAGAGAGATAGTATGGACGCCGTTGATTGGCCGCTTGGCCTGGGGGAACTTGACCGTGCCGCTGAACCGCATGGCCGTTAATACGAAAGGCATCGTTAACAGGCTTACCAGGAGGCCCTGAAATGACTCTTCCGGCCTAAGTTAAAGCTCACGATAGATACCCTTGTGGAAGAGAAAATATTTAAATCAGAATTGGTTCCTCCCATAGAGGACTGTCCCCAGGTTTTGTAACAACAACTTTCGCATTTGATACGCTCGTCATCTGCTCAATAACCTTAGACCTGATCTCGCGATTGCAGGGATACAATTGTCTTCGTTTTTGATTGGGCGCAATCAACGAATCTTTCCTGGTCTTGGAAAGCAATCACCTAAGGAGGTGCGTCCTTGGGCCATGAAGTCAATAGCCTTTTGCGAGTTTGCAGAACTCCTTAGCCTACTGGCTACAGCGCAATTAGCAGTTGCGAAGAAGGCTAGCTTCGCCGAACTTTCGCTTTCACGTAGCGCCGCACCGTTGCCGTCAACGCTGAAGAAGAGGCAATCCAACCTTCCGCTCACCAGATCATTTGGCAATGAGACCTACACGGTCAACGGTGCGCTTATCTGGCACGACAGCAATTTCATTCTAGCAAGCTGACTTTGGATAGTGGACATCGGAAACCCAAAACAGAGCGTTAAATTAGCAGTGGATGTTGGCTCCTATGTTACATACGTGCTCGAAACATGCGAAGAGAACTATTTCTACATTGAACAATGCAAGACTTTCGGAACGTACAACGAGTCACTTTCCTCCTCAAGCAAGTATGTCTCGTCCGATGAGGCCTATATAGACAACGACGACGGAAGTTCCTATTCGCTGGTCCACTATGCCGATGATTTGACCATACAAGGCGAGGGTAAGCATACATAACACTCTGTGTCGGGAATAAGTGATTAAAACTCTATCTAGATACTTTGAAGAACGTAACATTCGGCGTCTACGAGTATCCCTCTGCGGTTCATTCTGGCTCGCTAGGCCTTGGCTTCGGCAGGGGAGTCAACTCAAACCACTCCAATGTGGTTGATGAACTCGTGTCCCAAGGCGTGATGCAGACCAAGGCCTTCGGACTGGCCCTTGGGACGGGCCACAGTCTAAATGAAGGCTCTCTGGTCTTGGGCGGCGTTGACACGAAAAAGTTCGCCGGTGCACTCCAGAAGGTCCCTATTATCGATCCCCCAAAATATCCATTTGATTATGAAGAGTTCAGGTTAATATGCCCAGATGACGTCTACTTTCTATGAGCTAATTACCATATTAGGTACTGGATGAACGTGGATAGCCTTACGTTACGAAACGGGATTAACGAGAGCTCACACCCAGGGTTCAAAGTGATGACCCATTCCATGGACGAAGTGAGCTACCTCCCTACCAAGGTTGTCAACGAGATTGCTTCAGCATTTGGTATCTACAACACCAGCGACGAGATCGATGAATGGTACGTGGTTCCTTGCGAGTCCAAAGACCTCGTGAAAGGATCTGTGGATCTACACTTCGGCGCCCTGAATGTCAGCATCCCGTATGCCGATTTTATCATCTCCAGTACACAGCTGGAGGAAATTGATTATGAGACTGCGCGCGAGCTGTGCTACTTGTCTACTTTCCCATGGGATGACTTGGAGGTCGAGAAAGACATCGACTTCTATTACCTCGGTCACCCATTCCTAAGAGCTGTATATGCTGTGTATGATCAAGACAACAGGGCTATGTGGCTGGCGAATCGGAATGAGTGTGGGAGCGATATCAAAGAAATCACCAAGAGTGAAGATTCGATCAGCGGGATCAGGGGGCAGTGCGACGGGTCCGGTCTTGAATCCAGTTTTGGCTCGAATTCTACCGACAACAACAGAGACGCAGAAGGCTTAGGTACCCGAACACGGGCTTCGATCGGCGCTCTGGCCATTTCCATGTTCGCCTGGTTTCTTTTGGGCTTCTAATGTCTTCGGATGCGATAGCCTAGAACAGGCTGAATTTAGGAGTTTTCCATAACTGTTGTCTTATGTACATTTCGAGATACCCGTGATTTGAGCTGGAGAGGTAGAGACTTTGCTAATATAGCTGTTGAAGGAATGTGATCTAGGGTAATGCCTCCATCTGCTCCGCGCAGAGAAGTTGGATAAATGTGTTTTCCATAGTTTCTGCCACTGAGCGATACGTGAGGCCCAAACCCTCGTTGCCTTGGTGCCGTCGACCTTATAAACATCCTCCACGAGCGCCGGTTACCCCTCTGGCAATCTGTCTTCCAACTCCGGAACACGAACTTTGGCAGTGTCTATTGCGGACTGGTACTGAAAGCCTTGGCCAACCCAGAACCTTTGCCCTCCGGCCTCTGCAACCTGGCGCGCCAAAACATGGGCTGCAGAGATCTCACGGGCATCGGCATAGCCGCCGAAGTCAAAAGGTACAACGCCTTCTCCGTCTACCATGCTCCAGAGAAGACTGAGTGATTCGCATAAGTGCTTGGTGCTCTTGAGATCCGCACCGTAAGGACCGTAGATCCACGGAGGCGTGATGGTGACTAGATCAAACTGAGGCTTATTGCCACTCACCCAATCCCACATTGCACGCTCCGCGAGTTCTTTGAATGCGCAGTAAGCCGTTACCCCGCCCGCCTTGGCGGTTTTCTCAAAGGTCACTGGATTCCAGTCCTTCTCATCGTACGTGTAACCAGGGCGTTTCCCCTTTGAAAGGTCGACGACAGAAGCATGGCTGGAGGTTGCCACGACTCGCTTCACAGAGGCTCTCCATCTCTAAGCCGCCTCTAGTATAGCGATGGAGCCGTGGATCGCTGGTTCCAGTAGACCCTTGATAATGTCTTTGGGCCCTAGGAGAAATGGGGAGGCCGAGTGCATGATGCCTGTGACGTCGCTGAAGGCCTGCTCGTAGGCATCCACCTTCGTGATGTCGGGTACAATAATGTACGACAGTTGGCCCATGTAATGAGGAAAATATGCCTGAATCTTCTGCGCCGAGGACTTCGACCTGGCTACTGCCCGCACTTTGAAGCCACTCTCGACAGCAGCCTTGATATGGTGTCCACCAAGATAGCCACTTGCTCCTGTAATCAATAAAGTTAGTTCCATGTTCACTTGACATGATGAGTTGAGCAGCCGTATAAGTAGAGATGATATTGGTTTCTTCAGTTACAAGTCAAAAACCGTACTACTTAGGACCCAAACTGAATGGTTGACTCGCACATAATACGCGCTGAACTAGGGAAATTGATCAAGGCGAATGTACTCATTCTTTTAACTTACTGACCATGTAAAATACTGGCGCATTATTCAAGGCTAAGGAATTATTTCAACACTGTTGAAGAATAGGCTGATGGACCAATCAGCTAATTGCATACATAGTGCATTCTGCAGTGTCGGCTTACAGCTGACATGTTGATTTTACGGCTCCCATCATATATCTGCCAATAACAGAAAATTGCGCTAGGCTATTGAGTCATAGCCGACGTGGTAACGTGTATGCTGACCAAGACAATTTTATCAATTTGAGAGATTCCAAGGCCGAGGTGAGAACTCCGAGGAGGCAAGGGTCCGCAGGTATTCGGACTACAGAATAGCCAAAGGGCTCGGGAACTTCTAAACGTCTCCTGTTTTGAAAATGATAAGAACGCCCCAACCCAGTTGCTTTCAGGACAGCTGTGAAAGTGCATACTTGCGAGGTTGAGCTCAGTGCCTCAGGCGCACCCCTTCGTTCACACCCAATGCGGAGAGTATAGTGAAACTGCGTGCAATCCTTGATCTCGCGTCGTGCGGCCAAAGACAGGAGAGTACCCTCAGGTTGGGGCCATTGGAATTCCACGTTTCGCTCGGAAGCTTGCCTAGTCGACTACTTGGAAACCGGAAGTAACGTCTGTCACATATGGACTCTCATGTAAGCACAGTAAACTTTGCAACTGCAATCTAATAATTTCAACTATGCCTATGGGACTGTAAAATCTAAACTCTAGTACTTGGAGGCGGGCCCAAGTAGCTGTCTTTCACGCCTCCCAAATCTACAACCAGCTTCTCTAGCATCATATTGGTATGCTTGAAACGTATCTTCAGAGTATGTTCGCCGGCTTTCAATGACGAAATCTCGATGCGACGCTTCCAAACTCCATCACCAGCGGCCTCAAACCAACCATCACCCAGATACCAACCCATGGTCGCTGAAAGTTGAACATCTCCCTTCTTCGCCTCCAGCAGGCTATGGCTGGCTATTTCGGAGTCATCGATCTGTAGGTCGTACGCCATGGTCTCTTCAGGCGATACGTCTAGAGTTATGGCGAACTCGAGCAGTATCGCAGCAGCCGAGTGCTCACTGAAAGTGAAAAACCTGTAGCTCAAGAATGGTACATCAGAACCTTCAGGCAGAGGACCAGCAAACATGACGTTTCCAGTCTCTGTCCTCCCAGCGTCTGGTAGATGTAAATACGGCGCAGAGATGACCGCGCTGCTGGATGGGATTGAAACGTATCCATCTGCCTCCACAAAACCGTCCTTGAAAGAGGCGGGGGCCTTTCGTCCAAGAACAGGGAGGTGAACCTGCTCAAAGTCCCCTTCATCCGACCTGATATCTACCAAGATCTCCTCGTTGAAGTCTTCTGGTACTTGCTCCCAATCAATCTTGATAATAACGCGGGCGTCATCCTCCCCGGGCACCAAGACGCCTGACGTGGTGGAAAGCTTCACCCAAGGGTGATGCGCAGATGCTGACCAGTGTATCGTGATCGGACCCCGCGTGAATACATCAAACCAACGGCTGTCTGGACCATACCGACTCAGGGGCCCAAAGGTCAAGCCAGGGACTAGATCCCTCCGGCTGGGGTGGGTACGCTCCGATTCCTCGTTGATCACACCAGGTCTTACGCCCGCATGGCCCTCGATAGCGACACCCATCTGACCCACGATAGGGTTTGACTCCTGCCGCTTCTGCACGAAGCAGAGCCCGCTGATCATGTCTCGCGAAGGCGCGTGCCAGGTGTCGCCATAGCCAAGATGGGTTTGTCTCAACATGTGGTTCCATTTACCTCCCAACAAAGCATGGTATTCCTCCGAAATATCATAGTCGGCGTCGAAGAGGGCTAATACACGCTGGACTAGCGTGTTGGCACTGTTGCGGCGCTGGCGAGCGAAGAGCTGGTTTCGGGCAAGATTGACACGCAATGCGACGTATGTCCACGTGGCCTTGAGAGGGTGAAGGATAAGCTGGAAGGAAGCAGCTTTCTCCTCATCAGACTTGAACTCTCCATGGATTTCTTCGGCTTTGTCAAGGAGTGTTCTCCAGCCATCAAGGACCCGTTCCGCCTCATTGTAGTTGAGAAGTGAAAAAGTGTCAGCCTCAATAAGCTCATGTTTTCGGAGAGAGGACAGGCGATCATAACCTTGAAGCAATGGAGCGACCTTGTCTGCTAGCTCCGGCCCGAATTCACGCTCGGCCATGGTGTGATAGAACCGGTAGAAACCATCCGCTGGGATGTTTTCCACGTTCCACGCTAGTTCCATAGCGAAGGTAATGGGGACTTCGAGTGGCTTCAAATCGCCTACATTGAAGATCCAGATCTGCCGTGCGTTTCGGCGGTATGTCTCCATCAATTGATGCCAAGCTTTGCCCTGCGTCACACTGTCAGACGTAAGCCAACTCATTCATGGCATAGGACCTACTAGGGAGTTGCTGTTGATCCATTTGTAGCTACGTGGCCATCCGACATACTCGAAGTGGTAATACAACTGGAGGAAGCTGTTAACCTCGGTCTCATACGGAATAGGATGTACTTGCGCCTGAACCGCCTTTTCTGTTCATTTCCTTGGACGTGGGAAGCCGGCGAGTCGTGCCAACGTTATCGTCTCCGAATAAGAGAGTTACATCATCCGGTACATCCAGCCTCCCGGTCTCGTAGTGGTCCTGGACCTCCTTGTACAGTGCCAACAATTCTGAGAACACAAATCAGCGTGGCATTCATGAGTTGGGGACGCAGGGAAGTTTACGAGGTACAGCGTCCTCTTTGCCGTACACCTTCTTTATGATCTCACGCTGAGTCTTGATCACATCTCGGATTGTCCCCGCTGGATCTTTACCAGCCATCTTTCTGTCATATTCGCCACGCATGCCGAGGGTAAAATACGATTCGCACCCCTTCGCTCTGCTCGCACCTTCCTCAAAGAACTCGGAAATCTTCTGCTTGTTGTTAATCCAGTCCCAACTGCCGTCCTCGTTCTCCATGAACCATTCATTTGTAAGGCGCTGCATCGGTTCATGATGAGACGTTGAGATTGCGATGCCACATTCCTCTGCGAGCTTCTGGTTCATAGGATCATCGGTAAAGAAAGAGGCCCCGGGATTTGGATAGCCAGGCCACATTGCGGGCCACATGAAATTTGCCTTTAGATGTTGTCAGTATTAAGATCAGTAGACTAATGCAAATTTGGTCTACCTTTAGACGAAGCAGCAGCTCGAAGACATGAATGTACATCTTAGAATTGTAGCCGCCAAACTTTTCTCGTGCCCATCCCGTCATAGCCGGTGCCTCATCGTTGAGGAATATACCACGGAAACGAACGCTGGGTTCGCCATGTTTTGTAGTTTTGTTTATTGCGAAGATCTGATCATGGTTCTTTGCTGGAACGTCCGCCCACCAGTACCATCTGCAGTTCAAAGTAAGCGGCAAATAGCAACATAATTCGATGGGTTCAGACGTACGGCGAAACACCTATCTGCTCTGACAGAGTATATACTCCGAAAATTGTTCCCCTCTTGTCGCTGCCCGTGATCACTAAGGCCTTAGAGCAGCCCTCCCAAGGTTGGTCCACAATGGTTGTGATGAAGGACTCCCATTTCCCCCGGATGCTGCTAACATCTATCTTGCCCTCCACTTCAAGCTTCTGTATAAGGGTGCTGTGGTCCAGCGAGCCAACGATGATGGCAATGGGCATCTGAGGTGTCGGATGTACCTGATCTACCTTGGTTACTGGGTTGGGCAAACCTCGCGTCACTCGAGCGAAGTCCTGAGACAGATTTTGAGCCGCTAGGTGTACGCCTGGGAAGTCATCCTGGTTTACCAGAATCTTGGCGCCGACGAGGTCGACGGCACCATCCTCAGGGGAGAAGGTCACGAACTTTTCCTCGAACATCTTAACCTTCTCTAAAGGCGAAAAGGCAAGCAGTCTGTATTCTAGACGCTTACAGGTAGGCCATCAACATGCCAGAGATGGTGAATCGCGGGGTTGAGATATTTCCACTTCTTCCTGTGACAGTTCGGCACCAGCTCCGATGCCCGGCGGGGTCGGAACATTGGCGGTAGACTTGTGCCGAGTTGAAGTCGGGCCATGGCCGACGCTCATTCCCCAACTACAAACCTCATGACCCGGTCCGTATTCACCGGGGTTGACCGGGTCCCTATTACCAGTGGTCCAGCCAGTAGATATTGTGATCTGGGCAAGCGATCGTCAGATCGCAGCACTTTCGACTTGGTTATGAGCTTCGGAATCCATATCGAGGTCATGCCTGACTGACCAGGGGTCTTGGCGAGGCGTCCATGCAGTGAAGCGGGTACGCTAAGTAGTATACAAAAGCCACTTTGACCACGCCAAATCCATCGAGGTCGTGCACATGTCGGATTAAATGCTTTCCACCAGTAGACGGCCATTGGTCTCATTGTCTACTGTGGTACCGTAGGAAGATCTCCAGCAGCTTGATGGTTGGCGTCTTCTCCGCTCTGAGGATCCCCACATCGACAACAACCCCCACAGGGGTTCCCCAACTCCCCCGCGCCCTTCCCCAGCCTTGAAGTCGGACACTACCCCGGGTTTGGGACCCAAGTGCTAACGAGTTGGCGTGCGCCGCATGCCACTAACAACAAGGGTATGGGCTTGCACGGTTCACCTCGACTAGCATTGCAGGGCCCACGGGGTTGGTTTTCCTGTCCAAGTGTCGACTTGAGGGTTGAGTCGCGGTTCATGACATCAGCTAGCTAATGGACGAGTCCGACGGTGACATGAATCAACAGCCGGCCAAATAGCCGTGCTCACCCGTAGAAGAACCCTGGCCGAAGTGCATATATACACCAGTCGGGCCTCGCTCGCCATGATTTGATTTTCGCGTGACCATTGAACTTCAGAAGACAAGATGTTCCAGTTGAAGAGCGTACTGCTGGGCGCCGCGCTAGTTCGCGGTGTCATGTCTGCCACGGCGCTCACAGGCGCCCCTTTGGACCTGTTTCAGGAGTCCATGTCCTTTCTAGACGACATTTATGATCCCGCTGCAGGATACATGTATGATTTCTCAAGTGGGGGCGCGCTCACACACACAACTCGTTCCTCTCCCTGGTATGCCGCTGGGCTGCTCCAGAGAAACCGGGGGGACGATAGAGAGCAGGCCATAAAGATTCTCAAAAATGTCATTGGCGATCAATATAAGGATCCATCTAGTCAATGGTAGGCTCAAAACTATTCAATGCCTCAAATAGACTAACAGCAATCCAAGGTATGGCGACTACACCAAGTTCCCAGAGACGCCAACCGTTGGGACGTCTCAGAACCCTCAAGTTGTAAGTTTCACCTCGGCAGATCTAGTCCATTCAGCTGACATTTCGTAGATATATGGGTCTTGGGACCCAAACTGGCGGTCTTTCGTTGGCGTGACTTTGATTGTCATCTACGAGGAGTTTGGTGATCTGCTAACGCAGGACATGAAAGCCCTAATCCTGGAAAGCATGTACAACAGCACAGTTGGCGACAGTTATCGGGTCGGTGGCGTCGACAACGATAACCTATACCCTTGCTACAGTAACCCCTGGCTCATGCGAACACTGGCCACGGCTTGGACTGGCCGTATGTGGAACAACACCAACATGACGGAGTCGGCCGAGACGGATGCGAAACTGGCACTCGAACTATTCAACCTCAACAACACCCTATCGGAATTTAATAGCCCAACCTACGCGAGCACTTCCCTAACCGCTGTTGCACTCTGGTCCAAATACCTGCCCGAAGATTCGCTGCTGGCCCAAAATGGCGCCCGAATGGTCAAGGAGATCTGGAACACGGTTGGCGAGATGTACCACCCAGGCTTGAAGAATATTGCTGGCCCATTTGATCGTGCTTATGGCTTTGATATGAACAAGTACGTGTCCCTGATTGGCTTGAATATTTGGGCCTTGATCGGGAAGAAGGATGCTCCGATGTATAAATTGGTAAGCTGTTACGCTCTGATGTGTCTTATTCAAAGAAGAGAATAACGGGAACATGTTGACTGACATCATCAGCCATGGGTGATGTCCCATAATAACGACTATAATACGGCACCTCTGATTGCGATTGTGGCCCCATACATGAACTCACTCGTCTCTAACGAGACTATTGCCAAGCTCAAGAGCTTTGCTGGCGAGCACACCTACAGAACCTCCGCGTACTCTCCGCCAGTTGATCTTACGCCGCGAAATATCACAGCGTGGCTAGGACCGGCGATGTCCATAGGCGCGCAGTCGTTCGATCAGACACAGGTCGGCGGCTTTGCGAATTCGACGAGCCAATGGAACCCGGCCGCCATCCAGTGGAAATTCGCTGACAGCAGTCTGGGCTACATGCATCTAGTTGGAACGGAGAAAGCGCTTCATGCGGACGTCCAACCCGGATTTCTGAATCTTACGTATCCTAAGGGCACGTCTAAAAGTAAATTTCAGTTCCGCCTCAGCCAGAATCCTCTGGGCGGAAAGCGAGACATTTGGAGTTTGGCGGACATCGAGAATATTGACATGACAGTCAGTGGTACAGTCAATACTACTGCGTCTTTTGGCTACTGCGGTCAATATGGGGGCGTTTGTGACGATGTAAAGTAAGTTGTCTCCGTTATACAAGGTCCTAAATAGGGCGACTAATACCAGCTTCTAACTTTGACACTAGTAACTTCGCTGTCTTTCTCGTAACATATCTCATGCCGGAAGGAAGTACCGAAACTCCAAATATCCAAATCAAGCTCTCATATAAATAATTAGGATTAATAATTATAATATAACGACTTACTCCACCTGCGGCCCCTTGGACGTAACTCGAGTTGAATCACGCTTATTTTTGTAGAACCGAATTACGTTAAATATAGAAGTAATTTGAGTCTTTTAACTAATTGATACACGGAATGGACCTTAACTTAATGCATGACCGAGTCTCCAGTGACGACCACGAATAAGCGGGTTTGGTTAACTGTCTAAACCACGCCTGTCCTCTTACAGAAAGCCGCGATAGGGTTTGAACTTCGGTTGATTTTCGCATTGGTTATTAAGTCGAACTTTGAATCGGCTACTAACGACAAAATCATATACAAGCTTATAATATAAGATGAGGCATTTAAGCTCCAGGTAGTGTAAGCCGCGGGATTATGCGACTTGAATCTGTTTAGGCAGCGCGCGAAGAATCGAATCAGTCCGACTAGAACAAATGATTAAGTTTCAACAATGTTCCCACTCAACCGGTCATCTTGCCTGGGACCGGCGTCAAACGTTGAAAACAAATAGGGTTCAATCCGCCATTGGTCCCATTCTATATATCATTATATACATGCAACTCAGTGAAAGTATGATATAACTCTAATAACTCTAATATCATTAAATCATTCTGTGTTATAGGTGTCTATCAGACTGCGGGAAAGTGGGATTAACGCTTTCCATGTCGCTCAAGCAGATCTATGCATCCTAGCCATGTCTATACAATCCGTATTTCGCCTCCCATTTCATTTTAGCATTATGCCAGGACTGCCTTCTTCAGCACCTGCATGAACTTCCAAACATCACTAAATGTGCAATACATTGGCACCGGTGCAACTCTGATAACATCCGGCTTGCGTTTGTCGCAAACAATGGCATTCTCGACGAGCGCATCGGCGACTTTCTCGAGGAGTCCTGCCCGTAGCAGCACGCTGAGTTGCGTCCCCCTTTGGAGCGGATCTCTTGGTGTGATCACGCGGAACGGAGGCTCAGCGCTGCTGTCACTTGCCACGATTTCATCTAGTAGGTACTCCGCGTACGCCGTCAAGACCAAAGCCTTTGATCGGAGGGAGTTCATGCTTGTCATGTTGAAAACCGAAAGAGCACCGGACAAGGCTGCAAGATCGATGGCCGAAGGGTTAGAGCATTGAAACCCGCCGGCTCCAACGGTAGGCAGGAAGTTGTTGTCCATGTTGAATCTGACAGATTTGTCGCCGCCGTACCAACCTGACAGGCGGTTGCGATATACGGGGCGTTCCGTCTCTGGGTCAGACTCGACCTTGCCGTGTCTTTCGTGTACAAATGCGCCGGCGATAGAGCCAGCGCCTGCATTCATGTACTTATATGTACACCAGCATGCAAAGTCAACATTCCAGTCGTGAAGTGACAACTCCACATTGCCGGCCGCGTGTGCGAGATCCCACCCCACGATGATACCTTTGTCCTGGGCATATTTTGTGATCCGGGGAATGTCGAAAAGTTGGCCACTGTAATATTGGATCCCAGGGAGGAGTAGAAGTGCTGTTTCCTCCGCATGTTCATCAATGGTGGCCAAAATCTTGTCCGTAGAGATGTAATAGTCATCTGGTTGGATCTGGATCATTGACTTCGATGGATCGAGTCCATGCCACCGGATTTGTGATTCAATGGCATACTGCTCACTGTTAGTCAACAGACGTTAAGGGAAAGCTTTGAAGGCTTACGTGGTCGCTGGGGAATGGCTTCCATTCCAGGATGATCTTGTGTCTCTTCTCTGATGGCTTGTAAAAGCTTGCCATCATGAGATGGAGGTTTATGGTCAATGTGTTCATGATGACGATCTCGCTGGGAAGAGAGCCCACGATGTCGGCAGACTTCTTAGCGCAATCCTCTGCCATATCCTGCCAACATACTAAAGGCGAGTTCTCCATATTTGAGAAGTGACCTCCGACTCCAATTGACGCCCATGTCTCCAGTTGGGCCTCCAAATACTTCCTTACGGCTTTGGGCTGAACTCCCAGCGAGTTTCCACAGAAGTAGATACTGGGAGTTGAATCATCCTCAGATGCCGCGCCATTGGTAGTGCCATTCAAATGACTGGTTCCATTGCCATTAGACGCTTGCTTGGCAGGAGTACCTACTCCCTGTTAGCCGAAGCTTCCGAGAAACTGCTGAATACTATACCTGGAATAGTTCCATCAAGAGCCACCTTCCTCAGGGAAGCTTTTGTGGGCAGTATAAACTGTTCGCGGAGATGCTTCAAGCTATCCTCACTATCCAAGGTCTGCGCATACTCTAGCGTGCTAGCGTTGGCCGGGAATTTTGGCGAGGCACCGGCACGAAGCCGATCGACAAGATCAGTGAATCCCATTGCGACTGGACAAAATTTCAATGTGTTGGATTGTTAAGATTTCCGCCTAAAGATTGAGACAACTCTTCTCTTGTATACAAGTTATCGGATTTTGCCTGTCGAGACTATATCCACTTTGGAAAAACGCGATTGGCCAGCTCCGTCCCGATTTGGCTCCGATATTCAAAAGTCGCTTCCGAGATCCGACACCCGCGAGCAGAGACATTTGCATACAACCCGTCCGCCTAGGAACGGAATGACAAAACGGAGTGATAGAACCGAACTTGGCTGGGATTGATCAACGTGCATTCGAAAGTTGCGAATTCCTTGGACCGAAAAGACGGTGAAAAGTGGGCGAGCCCCTATCTGTGAACCCAAGACCGAATGTTTCGACTTGGTGCTCGCATCATTAAGCTTCCGACATTACTTATCAAGACATTTTAAATGTCCTACCTCTAGACTTTGAGTTTCCGCAGAACTCATTCTTGTCCAAAGTCACCATTGTACCCCAGAATTGAGCAAGTTTTCGGTCATCGACCCCATAAACTCAAAAGGCCTGAAACCGGCTCATTCTGAGAACCGAAATCCAGCTATTTCCTTAACATTGGATCGAGTCCCAAATACTGCCTTTTATACAGTAGCGTTATCACTGCCGTCACGATGCCAGCGCGTACAGATTCCCCTCCACCTCCGCGGTCGGTCATGGAGACTTTGGCGCAAAAATACGACGTCACAAGGAATGGATTTCTTCCGCACTCAGCGCCCGTCAAACGTCTTAGCATGCACTACGCGACTTGGGAACTTCTGGCGCAATGCCTACCGGAGCTTCTAAAAGAACGGTGTCTGCGAGGGGTGGTGGATGGGATGAAAGTACTTTCGGTCGACAACCTGACATCCGAGGAAGAATGGCAGCGAGCATATGTGATTCTAACCTTCCTGGCACATGGATACATCTGGGGCGGCAAGAAGCCATCCGAGGTATGCAAATCCTTGAAATCAGATGCCAGTAGGGTATACGTTAACCTGATGCAGGTGCTTCCACCACAAATAGCTGTCCCATTGTTACAAGTCTCAGAACACTTCGATCTTCCACCAACAGCGACATATGCAGGCTTAGTCCTGTGGAACTTCCAGAGTACGAGCACTGACTTCAGTGATCCCGACTCACTGAAGGCTATAACAACTTTCACCGGCACAGAAGATGAGTCATGGTTCTACATGGTCTCAGTAGCACTAGAAGCCCAGACCGCTTATGTCATACCAATCATGGTGCAGGCAATCGAAGCGATCGAGCGCCGCGACTACGAAACAATGTCAGTAGGGTTGGAAGAAATGATCAACAGTATCAAGGAGATGGATGCATTGTTGACGAGGATGTACGAAAAGTGTGAACCGGCGACGTTTTACCATGATATTCGGCCATTGCTGGCCGGAAGCATGAATATGGAGAAAGCGGGACTGCCAAACGGAGTGTTCTACGACGAAGGCGATGGAAAGGGGTCATGGAGGAAGTTGATGGGCGGCAGCAATGGCCAAAGTTCAACGATCCAATTCCTGGATATCGTCCTCGGCGTTGTCCACACTGGTGGTGCCGAGAACGCAACTTGCCCAGTATCTGGCGTTCGAGGAGATGCAAGTACGACGGGCTGCCCTATTTCTGCCTCGAAAGAACGCCAGGTGGGATACCACGAGCAGGTTCGAGCCTACATGCCCCAAGGCCACCGGAACTTCTTGAAGAATCTCTCTCGCATGGGCAGTCTGCAGGAATTCGCTATGTCGGATCATCCGGGCGCTGAACACGCACGGCTCCGCGGACTGCATGAGGAAGCCTGCCGGACGATGGGCGACTTCAGAAAGAAGCATATCCAGATTGTCACCCGGTATATCATCATCCCCAAGACCAAACAACCCACCGATAAGAAGGTGCGTAACCTTGCGACGGCGTCCTCTGAGTCCAGCGATACGTCGGAGTTGAAAGGCACCGGTGGCACATCCTTGGCAAAGTTTCTGGCACAGTCACGAGACGAGACATACATGGCGGGATGCATGACGCGTGAAGAGTCTCGCGTTGATCCGAAGGGGAAGGAGTGATGCAATGTGCTTGGCATCCGAGCATTGCAATACAGGCGTATATTTGCATTCCCAAGGCGTTTTTGACCCCGGTTCCATTGCATAGTGCAAGCGAGCAGCATTCCATAGAGCGTTCCCTTCTTGATAGATTCACATAATACCAAGCCTAATTGCACAACAGAAATTACTTCATGTGGTGATCTCATCGCCGATTACCTGCTCATGTGATGCTCAGGCGAGTGGAGTGAGGTCAGTTCTAGTCTCCGCGGATGAGAGAATTCAGGATTTTTAGCGTTGAGGATTCCGAGACCCGAACTTCCGAAGTCCGGACGGCCCACGACTGAATTTGTTTCCTAAATGGCGCGCATCCCGACGGTCAACGGATCTCATTATTGACTCTTCTACTGTCGCAAAGTGTTTCGGAACCTTTGAGAGGGGACAGGGTCAGCTACAGACGGCTGCCCAATGATGGAGCACTCCCCACGGGACACGCAATATGTGCGGGTGCGGGTAGCGAACGCCTGCGACTCCTGCAAAGTCCGAAAAGGTGCGCTGCCCCCTATCCGCTTCCGACTGACGTGCTGACGGGAACCCAGTGAAATGTGACGGCAAACTGCCCTGTAGCTACTGTAGCCGACACAAGAAGGCTCACCTGTGCCACTTCACGCCTCAGCGGCGGCGCCGTACCACCGCCCCGGCGTCTCCGTCATCCGTGCAGAACCCCTCCCCAGGTTCCGTGCGGCCATCCGCTCGGCCCGAGACGCCAACGGACCAACAACATTCGTCGTCGACGTCAGCTCCGACGCCCACCGTTGCAACGGCCCCAACGGCGCGCGTTGCAGGGCCTCTGCACAGCGATGCTTCTGCAGAGGAAGAAGCCGAAGTCCCTAGGGATGCGAGGCTATTGTACGATGCGCAAGGAAAGCTGAGTACGGCAGAGACCCCGTGCAGCCGAAAGCATATATCTCAAGATTGCTGATCCCGTTGTATAGTCTTCATTGGCGATTGCGCGCCCCTGTCGTTCTTCCAAACAGTGAGACAGCTTGTCCTCTCGCGGATTGACCCGCATGCATTCGCCTCACAAACCGGTCGCATGCCTGTGCTTCAGAACGCACATCCAAGCCATGCTGTCCACCCTGGTGGCCAGGAACCTTTTGTCGATGCTAGTAACATCCAGTCCATCGTTGACAAGTATCTTGCGGTGGTGAGTTCCTTCATGGTGAAGTGTGTTGTATTTAGTTTGACTAAGCCTCTAGACCTCTGGGTTGGTGGACCTATTCAGCACAGTTCGACTTGCCGATGACATATCCGCTTGGGCACCCAACAGGGGCAACGATCTCAACGCCGCCGTCCACTACCTCGTATTGGCCATTGGACTTCAGAGCGTTGACGATTCTCTAGCCTCCGCCTACTTCGAGCATGCTAAGGTGCTTGCTCTAGCAACACTGGGGAGTGAATTGAGTGTCGGTACAGTCCAAGCCTTCACACTTATTACCATATATATGCTCCGGGCTTGTCAAATCACCGGGGCATTCCTGTTCTTCGGTAAGTTGGTTCTTACCAAAAGTGGTCACATTGGTTAACGGACAAAGGGATTGCGGTACGAGCCGTATATTCCATTGGTGCACACAGGACGGAGGTGAACTCGAGATTTGGCCCAGAGATTCAGAAGCATAGGTAGGCCCCTGACGAACGCCACCATGCTAGGCCAATGTCGGATCTAACTTCTCAAGGGACCGATTATGGAAGAGCGTAAGAATCATCGACCTCTTCCTCAGCATTTCCATGGGACGACCGCCAGCCACCTCTGATGTTGATTGCACAGTACCTTATCGCGTCACAGATGAGGCGGGCCGGGAGCCCTCCGATATACTCAACGCATCAGTCCAGGTGCTTTTGATCATTGAGAGGATTGTTCTCGAGGTGTACTCGCGGAAGAAGATTTCAATGCAGCTCACCGAAGGGATCTCCCGTCAGCTGCGGGGCTGGTCCACGCGCTGGTTGGCCGAGCTGAAGAGCATCATCGCCAATCCCCATGAGCACGGAGATGAAAGAAAGATCATCGGGGCTTGCCATGTGCTCTGTTCGTACTACTATGCAGTCATGCTGGTATCTCGACCGTTTCTTATGTATGAGATGGTCAAGAGGCTTCCGGAAAGCCCTTCCAGGGTCGAAGCGAGTCGTGACAATGGTAGCTCCAGCCGCTCAAAACTGGCCAATGCATGCATAGACGCGGGCAGTCTCATGATCGAGTCTGTCTCAGATCTAGTTCAACTCGGTCTTGTGGATGGATGCATGCCCCTGATTGTGTGAGTAGCTCCTGGAAGCCCAACCCGTCTCATCGCTGATTTGGCAGGTCGTGGATGTTTACGGCATCCCTTGTTGTGGGCGTCGGACTGCTGGGCGACTTCGGTCGTATCTTGGAGAAGGATATTCGCATGTCGATTTATGCACTCGAATACTTTGCCCGACACGATGCTCATGCCATGCAGTACTCGCTCATCATCAACTCGCTGTACTCGAGCGCGACTGACTATCTCGAACGAAAAGAGAGATATGAGAGACTGCAGATTTCTGAGAGTTCTTCACAACTTTTCGGCTTGACCCCCAGGCAACCGCGCGAGGCGTCAAACATCGCGTCAAGACAAAGCCAGGGCAACTTTCAGGCACCCAGCACCAGCCAGACGCCTGCAGCGCCTACTGAGGCAGCTGATGGTAACCGCGAGCTCGGGAGTTCCTTTTTTGACGACCTTGACCCTTCCATCTTTTCCTTCACCCATTCTTCATCCCACACACCCGAGCTGCCGGTAGTCAACGGCACATCGCAGAACTCCGACCAGGTCTTTGGTGCACTCAACCTTTTCCCACTGTTGGACGAGGGCGGGCATATCGACCTAGCTCATTATTTATAATCTTGGGCTGTCTTTGTGGCTCTTTCGCAAACGATCCACGATTCGCCTCGTTTGGTCATATCCTTGAACTGGCTGCAAATAACTTCCTGCCACCTGTTTGTAAGTGCGTCTACACTGTATTTTCTTCCCTCCCCACACTGCCGGTGGCTAAATAAATCCGTCCGACAGTTTTTAGTAGGACAAGGCTCAAGAAACTAGGCTGACGATAGCGCATTCGGCCACGACCACCTCGAATATGGCGGTCTCCGAAAACCTGGCGGCTGTGCCTATGTCGCAGATTGCCAAAACCGCAGCGGTTCTTGAATCTTCTGAGCATCGAGACATGCTTGATGTCATCGACACGCTTCGCTCGCAGGGTATATCTCGTTATGTCGACTTGCCTCAGATTATCGTCTGTGGTGATCAGTCTTCCGGCAAGAGCTCTGTCCTGGAGGCCATCTCGCGAGTAGATTTTCCCACCAAGGACGGTCTCTGCACCCGGTTCGCTACTGAACTGATCCTGCGTCGCAGCGAGACCGAAGACCTACGAATCTACATTGTTCCTGGCCCTGACCGCAATGACAAGGAGAAAGAGAGTCTGTCATCTGTTCGCTTTATGGCGGATTTCAGCTCTATTGGTGACGCTATCGAGCAGGCCAAGTCGTCCATGGAGGCTGCTGGTAACCAAGGCACCAACTTCTTTAGTGACACTCTTCGCGTCGAAATATCAGGTCCGGATCAGCCTCATCTCACAATGGTGGATCTTCCTGGTCTCTTCCTGGCCTCCAACAAGGCGCAGTCGTATTCCGATGCCGAAATGGTCAAAAAGATGGTCCTTTCCTACAGTATGTATATTTGCAAATTTTTGGGGCCCCCCTCGACGCACTAGGAGCTCCAGAGAGTAGCGTCTTAGAAGCCTTTAACCATATAGACAAATCCAGTGGGGAAAATACTAACTCCCATTACTACAGTGAAGAAACCACGAAGCATCATCCTCGCTGTTGTGTCCGCCAGTAATGAGTTTGTCCTCCAACAAGTCACCCAACTTGCTCGCGAGATCGATCCTAGTGGCAAACGAACACTTGGCCTGATCACCAAGCCTGACAAACTTGACCAGGGTTCCGAGACCGAACAGTACTATGTGCAGCTTGCCCAGAACACAAACGTGAAGCTCACCCTCGGCTGGCATGTCCTACGCAACCGGAGCTATGCGGAAAGCATGGCCACCTCGCGGGAGCGTGACAATCGAGAAGCATCCTTCTTTCAGGGCGCACCTTGGGATGCTCTGCCTACCGGACATAAGGGTATTGCGGCTCTGAGGTCGCGACTGAGCACAATCCTCCGAGACCAAATCTTATCACAGCTTCCTAGCGTTATCTCCGATGTCAAGACCGGTCTTAAGGAATCCGAGACGCAGCTCGATCGGCTAGGCAGTGCACGCGCGACCATTACCGATCAACGTTCATACTTGCTAATGTGCAGTCAGGAGTTCACCTCGCTCATTCGCCAAGCCACTGAAGGACACTATTTCCACACCTTCTTCCAGGGTAAACTTGGTGAGACCATGGACGCAACCCGCCTACGAGCTGTTGTACAGCAGAGATTGACACACTTCGCTACCCACATGCAAACCAATGGCAAAAAGGAGCAAATCATTGATGCCCGTGAATCTGATGAAATGCAGCAGGGTCAGATCAGCCGCTCTTTCTACCTTGACAAAGTTCGTTTTATCATGGAGAATTGCCGCGGCAAGGAACTCGCAGGCATGTTTAATCCTGCAGTCGTTTCCCAGCTATTCCGCCAACAGTCTGAACCTTGGGAGGCGATCGCCCAAACAGCAATGAAGGATATTGTCGCATCTGCTCAAGCTACAGTCGATGCTGCCCTGAGCGCAACCGTTAGTGGACCTGTCAAGGAGCGCATCCATTCGCAACTCATTGAGTCAGCCATGGAGCGCCTCGGCAAGGAATTGAATGACAAAATCGATGGACTTCTAGAACCCCACAAATACTGTCATCCTATCACCTATAATCACTACTTGACAGACAACGTCCAGAAGGCATAGACGGAACGTTTCAGGGACTCCATCGAAAGCGCCTTGCGCGCCGCCATCCCGAACATCAATTTCAGCAATGGTCCGCAGCCACTTCTTGTTGACCCGCGGGCACTCTTGAACAATATTGCAGCCGAATCAGAACCCAGCATGGACAAATACACTTGCCAGCTTGCTGTCGACACAATGGAAGCTTACTACAAGGTACGCGATCAACCAAACCGCGCCCGTACCTCCACTTGCTAATATCCAATCTTTGGTAGGTCGCGCTGAAGAAATTCATTGATGATTTTAGTGTCGATGCTGTGGAAATGTGTCTCATCAAGAAGCTTCCCGGCGTCTTTTCTCTCGAGGTTGTCTCTCGCCTTGACGATGCAGACATTTTACGCCTCGCCTCCGAGAGTGATTCGGCCATTGAACAGCGGGAGGAGTTACTCGAGAAGAAGAAGGTGCTGGAGTCTGCCCTCGAGGCTTTGCACCGCATTTCCGTTGTCCGTAGCTAGGCTCTCCATCTCTGGCCCTTAATCTGTGCCGACATATGATGGCGTGCTTCAAGGTAGCATGCCCCATCTCGTGGAGCCTAGCTCTGTCCGTTAGCCGTAATGCAAGCTGGTACCACTCCCATTATCCCACGACTTCGTGGGGTCAATGCTGGGATAATTTGATATGCAGAACCATTGCGACAAAGTAGTCAGTGTTTCGATCCGTGCTAGGGCAATATCAAGCCCGAGGTGATTTGCTCCGCAACTGCAGATATTATGGCCCTGTTGAGGTCCCAAAGCATTGGAAAACGCAGAAGGATATCCGTGTGATGCTAATATACGTAAATGAAAGCCCTGCCCACGATCCGCAGTCTTCAGGATGGTACGATTGTGGCTTTCCACACAACTATCGCCAGGTTATTTCCGCTAGCCAACATGAGTGCAGTATCTGTACCTTGGATTTACTGGAATTGGTGTTTACACCAGCCTTTTCTCTTCGGGGTCTCTGATTAGGAATAATCCTGCCAGGTAGCCAAGACCACCGCCACGGTTAACTGTGATATGTGCCTTTCAAAGAGCTGTAGTATGGTGAGCTCGGGCTGGTGAGACGTGGTATAGAATTGTGGCTGAGAAATGGTGGCTGTGCTTTTTCGCGTGTTATTTATTTAATTTCCTTCCTTTTTATAGAATTTAATATACCATCGCACTTTTTGCCTTTATTTTATAACTATTCGGTTTAGCGACCGTCGATTTATACGTCTATTTTAATTATACGAATAATATACGTTCAATTCGTCGGTATTAACGAGGAGAACTGCGTTAATTGAGGTTGTGTTATTTAGGGAATATGGCCCAGGAGCACCACTCCAGTTTAATGGCTTGTCACTTGTATTATGCGGTATTTTCCTTCAGTATACAGCGTTTCCATTGCGATGCCAGACATGTACCGATGATTTACAAGGGCGGGGATGCTTTGACCTTTGAAAATCTCGAGGACAAGGCGGGTTCCGAAACCGTTCGACTGAACAAGGAAATACGTCTTTTCTGACATCCTAGTGTTCCTTATATTAGGTCAATTTCACAGGAGTTCTTTCTTAGCATTCTTGATGCACTTGACTCGACTTTCCGTGGCCTTGCTGTGGCGCTCTTGTACGTTGGCACCTCGTACACAACAATTTTCAGAAATAAATGTTATTTTATTGAAGGGCTTGAAGAGCTGAAATTTTTCATTATAATGGATGATTTGGACCATATCGCGCATGCGAATTCTCAATGGCAGTGTCGACCATGGCACGGATGGGACGACCCTTGCCCGGACGGTAAGGGGCGCAACGTTCTCATCTTTTTGAAGGATTGTCCAGAAGATCTTGACCAAACACAGGCGCTAGTTGCGGCGGAACTCCGTAAATTAGAGGCCCCAAGAGATTTTATTGGAAATATCTTCGACCACGAAAAGAACGGTCGTGCCCTTTATGGGAACCAGGCAGCACGAGAAATCTTCGGGGAGCTGGACGACCTAATCAGTCTCGCCAGATCGTTCAAGCAGAATTTTGAGATCGAAGATGACAATCAAGACTGGTTTAAAGAGATGGTGAAGAAAGAATTTCAACATAATCCTAACTACCAGGACCATTCTAAGAAAGAAATACTCCAGCATTTGTTTCAATGGTCGCGACTATGGCATGGTGCCCGAGACCGAGCGCTTCAGCATTGCACTACGCGCAATCCTATCTTTTTTGGGGCGTACGGTAATAATCCATATTATGATGGACGTGGCGCGCCTGCAAACGTAGTATTGCATGAAGCTCGACTAGAGGAGGATGCGGTGCTAGCACATTTTCACCTGAACCAAAGCCTCGAGCACCATTTTCAGCATGCATATGGTATGGACAAAAGCGACGTTCTTGCGCTCAGTATGTTGGTATCCTGTCCCACTCGTAAAGACAATAGAGTTCTGTGTTCATAGAGTCATTCAAAAGAACAGTGGCTAATTTGGATGTAGTGAACGCACGCCAGGATGCCTCGTCGCGCGCGTCCATGTCACGCGGTGCGTACATTTTTACATGGCTGGCGAGTTACATTAACGAATTTGCATCTATTCGGCAACTGGCTCATCATACCGTATGGAAAAGGGCCACGGGTATCGTCGGTCAAAATCGAATTCGATTCTATCGGAACAGAGTACCAATAGAGCAGCCGTCGCATGACGCATATAGGGCTTTCGTCGCAACGACTAATTCGTTGGTCAAAGATTACAACAATCACCATTGCATAAACAGAACCACCTTCGATATCCTTAGGAACCAAATCTTGGACCTAAATCGACAAGTGCGGACGACCCGAATATTGAAGGTTGACGGGGTAAACGCCACTCCAGTACCCCCTAATACGTCCCTGGACGTTCAAATTCAGTCGAGACTGGATCATTTCCCGGCAGAGACAGCATCTAGAAACATCAATCATCCACCTGCTCGACTATACTGCGACACGACAAATTGGCCACCGCCTCAGCCACCGCATGACCACGATGACGATGATGATGACGATAACGATGACGGAGCGGACGGCGGGAATGGTCCCGTCACGCCTGCGCCTGACCCAAATACGAGCAATGCGGGAAGCAGAGCTGTTGCTGGCCAGATTAGCACCACCACACCCACAACGGAGAATCGTCGAATTTTCCGTCCACCGTAAGTATTTCTCTAACACTTCTTGTAGGCGATTATACAGCCTTGCTACAGGGGCATCGCAAACTCAATATTTGACGGGCACTGAACCGCGTAATCATTTAGCAAGCGACAGAATAGGACGACGCCTGACACTTCTGCCACTCTGAACAGCCCCCCACAGACTTCGAGCACTCCAACTCCAAGTAGAAAGAGGACCAGAACAGCAGGTAAGACGAGCCTCACAGTAGCTCAAGTTTTTGAGCTTCTATATTTGCGAGGCATACTGACAAACCTTGTGAAGCAGGGACAGATACCGCTCTGGGCCAGCTAGTATCCGGCGTGGTCAAGGGACTGTATAGGATGACCTTTACCGGTCCCGGCGATAATGGTGCACCCCCGGTGGTGGTTGAAGTCACAGGGCGTGAAATCACCGGAACACCGTCCGGGGCGTGCAAGAGACGCAAAGTAGATCCTGCCGATAATATGGGTTCTTAGCCTACAGGTCGCAACTGTGCTTTCCGTGGTGACGGTTAGCTTTCCTGATATCCCAGGCCACAAATAGAAAGTAGACAAGTCGAATTTTCGAATTTGAAACAGTGAAAATAATACATGCATTCGGGCAGGGTTATCAGGGGCCATGCTGGACAAACTTGTATCTGGTGGTCTCGAAAAGGGCTGCTAGTTTTGGGCCTGATTCGTCAATTGCTTCACCCTAAGAAGATTCCCCCCTCTCCCCCAATATCTGAGTACATCCACACTTTGAGACTTTTCTCAGAGAATCCGCCAACTAAATTTCCATCGTCTCTAAAGAAGAACTAGAGAACGACCCATGGTGCCCTAAAGTAGCCTCACGTCTAAGAGGACTTCTCTAATAACCTTAGAAACCATATCGATCTCTCGAAGGGTCACCAAAAGCCTTTCTACTTCATCAAAGCATAGTGGTGGTAGAGAGTGCCATAGCCCATCTAGATTCCATAAGCTTCAAGTCTCAAGTGCTGCATCTACGAATGAGTCGATCAAGACACAGCATCGTGAGATTCATTGACATGCGGAGCAGCAGTGCGCTGTGTAGTCTGGTTCCGCATAATTAATGATGCACTTGCGAACTGGATGACAAGTGCCAGCTGACCTCTCAAAACACTCATTTTATCAACACGAATACGAGTACTTAGTTAAAATTACATCCAGAAGCTCTAAGACCTAGGCGCCTGCTTCCATGAACTGAACAACAACGGAGTTCGTGGGCCATGTACTCGTGTCGATGAAGCCTAGTCTTCCTAAAACACACGTCTGGTGAAAATTGGTAGCTTCAAGCTCTATGCTGAGGTCTTCTTCGATGGCCACAAATCCTTCACAATGAAAGCTACATGCACAATGTATTTGTTGAACGTGAGTTTCGTTTATAGCGACCTTTGCTGCTGGTAGGGTATTCTAGACGTCGACTGATGTCATGAAAGGAGTATGATGTGTCTAAAGCCTCGGTGATGAAATGAATTCTCTATGCCTTTTATTAAACAAAGAACCAGTCGCGGTCACGGAAGCATGGTTCTTATGTGCGGCGGCTTGTGTGAAAGGAATAAGGGATCAATGTTGCATATCTCACTACTGGCGATGAGAAAAGGTTGCTGTCATCGAGGGTCTCTCTTATAATCAAAGATCCCGCCTATCGGAAAAGGTCAAACAACATGAGGCATTATGTATTGAACTGGAGTGGTGCTCCTGGGCCATATTCCCCAAGTAACACAACCTCAGCCAACGCAGTCCTCCTCGTCAGTGTCGACGAATTGAACGTACATTGTTCGTATAGTCAAAATAGACGTGTAAATCGACGGTCGCCAAACCGGATAGTCGTAAAATGAAGGCAAAAAGTGCGATGGTGTATTAAATTCTACGGAAAGGAAGGAAATTAAATAAGTGAAACGCGAAAAAGCACAGCCACTATTTCTCAGCCACAATTCTATACCACGTCTCACCAGCCCGAGCTCAGTATTTATACCTTCCACAAGTGAGCTCTTTATCAACCTATTAGTTTTTTGTCGGCAGTTAGGTCAATTCATAACACTAATTTGATAGATTGTATTGCCGCTCATGCGAAGGCTCTGACTTCACACGGCTCCGGAACGTTTTAGACCTCGTATACGAGTGCGTATCATACAATTTGGTATAGCCAGCGAGCATCCTTGGGCTACCCAAGGGGTGCAAGCTAGCTATGCATGCTGTAGAGCGTTCAAACCGTCGCGTGGCATACCAGGGGACAGAACGTTGTTTGCAGCCGGAAAAATCTCTTGCCCATTCCCAAATATACTGAATGGCAATTCAATGCGAGTTTCATTAGCAAACTTCCAGCTCTTCAGGTGGACTCGTTGTGTACTAGCACGTCGCGACCCTTGAGGCGGACGTAACCGAGCTAGACCAGCTCAGGAACGAGGGCCAGAACGCCAGAATCCACACGCCCAACGCCTCCACATTCTAACTACCGCGTTTTGCGGAGTTCAATAAAATTGCCGGTAAGCTAGTCCACGCCCCACGGTCGGCTCTGGAACACCAACTTGGATTAAATAGAAATCAACGTAGGGATAACTGATACCTATCAGAAGGTCAAGTCCTTCGTTCAACAACTAGGAACATTTCCTTTCTTGTAACTGGTGTTTTTATGGAAGACTGCCCAATTCATAGTTGATTGGAAGCATGGAGTTTCGGTGAGAATAAGGTGAGAGTTATTGCAGGTCCGACCCCCGGGAGGGGGCCACGTAACGCAGAGTTCGACGTCAGATCTAGAACTTCTAGGACCTTATTGGATGGATCCAGGCTGTACTCTCTTCTCCTACTAGCGATCGCCACGCCAAGATTCAGGGGTAGCTGAGAGCTGAAATGGGATCAGCGTCCTTAAAGAGCAGAGAGCCTCCATTAATCCCAAAGGCATAGTTGCAAAAAAGGTCAGCTGAAAGGTGGATAGATTGCTTACTTCTTCGAGGCTGCCCAAGACCGAAATCTTCAATAGATTCAAAAGCCATGCTTCCATTACGTGTTGTTGATAGTTCTGGGCCTTGATGGACCATACCTGGAAATAGTGGCCTGGTGAATATAACGTATAAAAACTTGCTCTTCCTCAATGTGATCATAGTTTCACATCAGCCAAAGTAGATTCGAACTGTGGTATCACGCCTTGTCCTGTGTGTCGAATCTCCAGAGTCGAAAACATGCGATTCTTTACATCCCCTGCCCTTTTGCTACCGTTAGCAGTGTCTGCTGCGCCAACAAGCAGCTCTGCAAATGTCTTGCTGAATGAATTGTTCTGCAAAGTCAATGTAGTAGTGATATCAGCACTCAAAAAAGATGCTGCAGCAACTTCTTACTGTTCAAGCTATCTGTCGATACCCACTTTGACCTAGTGAGTACACATTTTACGATGACCACTATCTGAAATTTGACTAAGTAGTTTGCAGTACGGCGACGGCTACAGCGACACCTTCGAGCGTATACACCACAACCCCGACAACAATTACCGGCGATGCAACGACGGCCACAACTACGTCCACGGCCACGACAACTACCGACATTACCACGACCGAGACCGTAACCGAGGTACGTATATCTCGCCATGTAAGGCAAAGCAATGCCCGTTCTAACGATCTGCTTGATAGACTATCACGGATATCACAACCTTGACCACGTCGACTTCAACTTTAACTTGCCTGAATAGCGCCTATACGGCTTCCACTCCGGTTGGAACCATACTGAAACGCGGCGTTGTTGCATCAAAGCCGACTTGCCTTCCCACCACCTGGGCTTCAGCTGCTGTATCTACCGCCTGCTCGTGCCTGTCCATTCCGACGCCATCCACTACTACGACTGTGACTCAGACTCTTGTGCCGGGAACAATCACCGTTACTTCAACCGATGTCCTGACACCAATTGTCACCGCGTGAGTGCAAAAAGTTTCTGGCTGAAAGTCTCGACTACTGACAGCCGCATTATAGCACTGAGACAACCACATCTACAGTAACAAATACACAAACGGAAACAATCACAACTCAGTCCACAACGACCCTTACTGCCTACGCAGAGGCAACAACTATTGCGTCGAACGGTATAGCCTACAGCAAGTTTACGCACTCCTATAATGCAGACTCGAGCAGCAGCGGCTTCACCTCGACTGCCTTCAAGTCCTTGACAGCTGACTGGACTGGTTCTCTCCAATCGCTGTCCTTCAGCACTCCGAACTGGCCGGGTGGCTCACAGTACCTTACGCTTTCTGACCATGCCGCTTTCCTCGAGACGCAGGCCGCGCTGCTCCTGCAGGGCTTCTTCATTGCCCAGCAGAGCGGAACTTATACCTTCTACAGCTCGCGGGATTACATTGACAACTGGGGTTACCTCTGGACCGGCGACGCAGCATACAGCTCTTGGGACGATACTAATACGGCTTTCCAAGCTAGCCGTACTGGTGCTGGGTACTATGGAGGGTCTTCCAGTGTTACGTTGAATGCTGGCGATGCTATTCCGCTGACGTGGCTCTGGGCTAATGGAGGTGGTGTTGCACGCAGTTACTTCATGATCACTGCTCCTGATGGAACAAGCACTACGGACTCTACTGGATACTTTGTCCAAGCATGCAGTTCTAGCGTCTTTTCCTAGATGTAACAGCATAGTTTTGGGGACTCGCAGGAACAATGTTGTCCATAATCATTAAGGATTTGGGTTCTCAGGCGGAACGAGCATAGGTAGTAATACCAAATAGAGAATTCAAACAGGATGTCTTCCCAACTTCGCAGTGCCTCTAGAGGGGTGATATGATGCAGATAGCGCGTTGGGACAAAGGATTCTTTGACCTGCAGAAAGCGGCCGACGTGCAGTTACAGCCTTTCCCAATCTGGTGTTATTCCGACAACAAGGGTCAGTTTCGGGACCGATAATATTCCAGTCTCTTTGGAATAACAGGCAGTGGGTTTCTATCTCCCCTCTCATCCTGAGTGTGATTTTCACGTATGTCCCTCTTGAACCAGTCGCCGCGATGAAATCGGGTGACTGGGGGCACATACGGTGGTTTAGTATATGGCAAGTTTAATAAATTAGGAACAAGTTAATCTGCAAGCCATCGAATTTGGCCGAACTTTCCCACCCGAGATACCAGATGCAACACAAATCAATATGAACGTGATTAGTGTACTGACGACCCTTTCCCAAAGTCAAAGCTCATTCTTGTATCCCTCTACAATGGAGCAATCTAGGAGGTAGGCTGGATGATGATCCTCCTGCAAAATTTCCGATTGTGGACATGATGGGATTCAATAATCAATCCTGTCAGATTCGGCTAGAATTTCGTAAGAAGTTACTAGCTCTGTAGTAGTAGTGAAACTGAACAAGAGCCAATACAAACATCACAATAGTTGGTTTCTACGTAATTAAGACAAGATTGCTGTAACTTTCCGCCATGGATTGAACCAGTGTAGTACGCAACGGTTGGGTTTGTTACGGATATGAGAGCTAATTGGCATCTCGATACTTAGATTCAGCATGCTGAATCAGATATTGCCTTGTATGTCAGATCATCACTGAGATCCGATTTTCTGCAGAGCAGATCTTCGGATAATACTAGCATACGCTTGGTCATATTGTTACTTTCCGCTGGGGGCGGATCTTTCATGCCAAACCGGAGTCGACTGGGTCCTACACAGGATTGTCAACTGCAGAAGATCTCGACGAAAACGGCTGGTTAAATAGATAACGTTGAACGATCAATATACAGCAAAGACCAACGTACTGTCAATTTCGTAGACGGCGCATGAGGCGCTCGAAGCTCACCAGAAACTTAAGGTTGGAGGATTATTCGACAGCGACATGAAGTTTTTTCTCTCTTGTGCGGAGGCAAATCCTTCTGCATGGATAAATAGACGGAATGGCATGGACCACTTGCTGGGAATTCGCTCAACAAACATCGTACCGCTTTTCCCCATTGCTATTTAGACAACTTCCTCGCAATGCCTTTTATCATCTGGGGTTTACTTTTGAAAAAGAACATGATGGATTGTCGTGTGTACTAATTTAGCTTCATCCGTAGCTTTGCAAAACACGGATCGGACATGGCTCCAAAGCTTGGCATCTCGCCACGTCAAGAAGGCTACATTGGGAATCTTTCCCGAGCAACTTTTGTTGACCGAACAAGCCTGCCAGGACCGAGACCCGGCAAAATTTTCATCATCCTTGACCGTGCAACACGTCAGAAGCCTGGCCTTCAATCTCAGCTCATGCCAGCGTAGCAATCCGTCCTGCCTTGCAGCTGCGCGTCTAGACGAAGCGCCCGGTGAGTGCATTGAAATCTACGTGACTGACAGGTACGATCGCCCGGGTGGATCAGGATGAAGCCCCCATGAAAGGCCTGCTCGACTGCACTTGTTACAGTGCCGAGCCAGTCAGGGACGGCGCGGAACATGCCCGGTTGTCCAAGTGGGAGGGATGCCATGGGATACTACCTATCCTAGCTCTCCCTCCAGCACGGGCGGGCTATACCGGACGCACTGCGGCATTGTGTGCGTTGGTCAACCAGGGCAGCCTACCTAAGCGGCCGGAAGCGAGTGTGACATTCCTCGGTCCAATGATGTGCAGCCTTGAGCTGCGGGAGCATCCTATTGGACGGAGCTGGTGCCTAGTACTGATGCTGTCAAGTGAATGTATCTCTCAAACATCCCCTCATTGCCGGCTCGACGACGGCCTAATGGCTGATGCTTGTACGATATATGAACATTCATACATGATCTCAACTCATCATGCCTTGTGTGGTGATCGGACGAAGTAGAGTTCGCGATCCGCACAGGCCTGTGGTTTGTTAGGGCCCAGAAGGACTGCGGAGATCGCATAGTAGACACAATGATTTACATATGCTGTCCAACGTGACAAGTTGAGCCGCAGCACCATATGAATGTACGTCACACGTACACAACGGCGGTGCCGAATGCGATATGTCTTCCTTCGTGTCCGCTTAAGGGAGGTGACTAGGCGATTGTCGGCTGTGCTATGCATGGGTGATGGCAAATCTGTCAATGGATGGCTGCTGGCGTGGGGTCGTTGTGGTGACGACCCGCTTGGCGTACGACACATCGTGACTTCTAACTGCGGCTTGCCGTCTTTCGGGCCGGCCGTCCTTCGTTGACCTTGGTGCTCTGTTGCTCTGGGCTGGCCATGACATGTAATATTACTCTGGTCGTCTTTGTTTGTTCATCTGATTGCGAGCTGGCTTAAGGAGTTATGCGACGAGATTCACTCGAACGGCGAATGCCGTGATGCCTGCAACGAGGTTGAATGCAAGACTGAACTCAAAAGAATAATGGAAAACTGCCGAGCTCACTAACTGAGCGACAAATGCCGAATATGCCGGTGGTCTATCCATGACCTCATTTTTGTGGCAGTGGCTGGTAGACGGGATACAAACGTCTCTCTGAGGCTCCTCGTTTACGATGCTCCTTTGGCTAGACTGTATTGACGGGGCGACCTTTATTGAAGCCGCGGGAATTGATTTGACAGGCGCGTACGGCGCGAGTCGTGTCACGTCACGATACGCAATGAATATAGGACAACTTGGAAAGCTGCATCCCGCAGAATGGCGCAAAGTCTGCAGCCAGGCTAAAGGGACGGCTATCGCGGGCGTCGTCGCATGGTCCGACCCGCAGATTGCTCTTACTTGAAGCCCACCTTCACTCTTCAGCGTGTGTGTTGATTACATGCATCTGGGAGCTGTTTTACGCGGAGCCGGATTGGTCAATCTGAGACGCATCTAGCAAGCTGCCCTCGTCTCGAACGAAGGAGAACTCTGGGCCAACAGCATGCCCAGCTTGCCGCGAAGTAGCACCTGCAGCGCCAGTGGCATGGTCAACACTGGACCAACAGCACGTTACCTCTCCGCATACCTGAAAGTCAGTGATTGGCCCATGCAAGCATGGATGCAGGAATCGCGAAAGCTCCGGTTGTCTGGTTGAGGATACCCTTGTATGAGAAGAGGCACACATCTGTACCACCATGGCAGGGTCGTTACAGGGAGAGATAGCCTAGGGCCTCCCCGCCATGGCCCTTGTCCGGCAAGTTAATGGCGTCTTATTTCAGCCGAATATGGGGTAGCAAAGCGTGAAGGTGACTGGGCCGCATCTTCACATCCAGCTCTGCCAGCCCACAAGCCGTGGGTGTCCTGCAGCTGTCCATGGCCACTGGCATTCATTTGACCACCAGCACCACGGAGTCGTCGAGTGTGTTGGGCAGTTGTTCCAAACCTGGACGGCGAAGCCAGTAGTCTAGTTGATGCGCGATCATTATTTCAAGCCCGCTTGGACCTTTTTCTCCAGGAAGTGAATGGCCGTAGTGATGTTGGACCTGGTCGGGGTTTCAATGCATGAGCGATAACCTAATGCCTGTGGTCTAGGGGTCGCCCAAGACCTTGACCGAACAAGGCGAGCAATCACACGCAGCACAGAACAGCACCGAGGCAATACCCTAAGTAAGACGCTACAGACCGGGCTTGGCCGGGAACTGGCTTCAATCTCGGTGTGCTTATATGTGAGTGAGAAAGAGTGAGAGTGAAACAACAGACAGAGAAGAGGAGTTACATGGTCGTACGCGACATACCATAGTACAAGATCAAGAACATGGTACTTGCTACCTAGTACCCTGGCAAAACCTCGAATCAATACCCCCAGCATCGCGTAGAGAAGCTCCCTGCTCCTATCATGCTGTGCAACAGGCATCCCCGTATCTCCCGAACTTGGCGGCTGGTGGAGGGGGCGGGGTTGTCGATGCACCTGGGTCTTCTCCCATCAGTTAAATTGGTGCACCAAGTGTGTATATAATCTACCATTGAAGGAATAAGTTTCGTGACCACGCAAGCGATACGGCTTGGCTAGCACTGCCATAGTCTAATAAACACAAGCGACGCTCTCTAAGCGGTTCAAGATCAACGTGAAAGGACGCGGCCCATAGTCATGGAAAAGTCAAATAGAAAGCCACTTGCTGTGAAGACCAATGAATGCGCAAAACGTAGTGCGTATCTTGTTGGAAGCGTGGTGCATGGCCCCTCGAGCTCAGCTGCTGCATGCGCCTATAGGCCAACGGCATCCCTTAGGCCCTGTCAAGCATCCTCATATAATGACACTCAGGGGTGACCGAATTAGTTCATAGCCGGATTTAAACATACCCGTTTGGATCAAGGCCTGGCCTCAGATGTGAAGGAGTGATCTCGTCTGCAGTAGTTCCTAACACCCGTATCTCCACCAACCGATGCTCTCATCGACCCAAGATCTCTGTGTGAGAAACTGAGCTTGGAGTTAGCTCGGCCACGATCGGCCACAGTTCGTCGCCAGGCCATCGCTAGTTTGAGTCGGCTATTGAGGTCCAATAAGGGTCCAATTAGACGCCAAACGACACCTTCTGGTGAGATTGGCGACAGATCACAGCGGACCGCATCTGCCTCCCAATAGATCCTAAACTAAGTTAGCTACACCCCTGTACAGACAGGACCCACGATGGGGTTTGTGGTGTGAAGCTCACATGTGTGAGCATGGGTTGTACTGGCAAGTTGTGTTGGGCGTGCCACCGGCCAGCGTCCACTTACGCCAGCAAAAGGCATGGTGCTGTTCGGGCCACGCTTGGGGAGTGCTTGGGGCCGCTTGAGTAACACACACCCACGACCAGGTATCGAGTCTGCTGCTGACCTGAAGATGTGCGTGGTTCCTGGGACAATGACGCAACTTCTGAACAGGTCGTACTGCGTATCCAGCAGTTTGCTTGGATGCCAAGGTGCCAGTCCCATCAGCTCCAGTCAACCTGATCATACTTTCTTTAACTTCCCGCCGCTAGCTACCGGGCCAGCCGGGCAGCCGGTCGTCACTAGCATAACGTGTATGGCCCTACCCGAGCAAGCAATAATTGCTTCTGGTACACCGGTTCTGGCCGACTTTCATAACCCGTCCAAATGAAAACTCCTTCCTGGAAGACTGCTTTGGATGCGACATCGAGATTACGGATTGCAACAACACAATAATTGTTATTATTAGCCCAGAGATCAGCAGAGTATCCTGGTAGCAGACGAAGGTAAGCGAAGCAGGGCCAGATTTGGCAGATATGGAGTGCCATCTGGGGCCTGGAGTCGGCTATCAATGAATCATGATCGGGATAACTTAGCGATAGATACCCTTACCCACCAGTCTTGATGCAGTAAGTCTCTGCTTACCATCAATACGGCGTGGAGAAATGCAGGACAGGGCCACCGTAAAGGCGCAATGGGGCCAAGGTGGTAGCATCTCACTCCAGTTCTGAAGCACCTGCGCGATCCACGCAGCCCACAACCGTCACGAGCGCCGCCATCGGGCTCTTAGTAGTAGTACTGTGCCGGCTCTGGTCTGTCATCGTTCTGTATGGGCTGAGGCACGGCAAGTTCCCATGCTAGCTGGTCAGCAGTTGTCGAGGTAGTAGTGAGCGAGCGAATGAGATCTTATCGCTGGATAGCAATAACCTACTGTACAAGTGCGGCTGCCATGGGAGGATTGGTGTGAAGGGGCGGCTGGGATCCTCCGAATGGGCATTCCTAGTATTAGCAGCCCTGCGCTTAGCCCTCGAGAGACCTCAAACCGGCTAGTCGAAAGGCCCCATCCTAGCTCATCAGCACTGGTGCTGGGTGCTAGCCACGCTAGCAGCCACCACGCTACAGGGGGTGCTTAGTGCCTCCAGCAGTGTCCAGTGGCCACACTATTTTCGTTCCAAGGTCCCAATACTCCCGTCACCTGGGGGTGGGCAATGTCCGTCAAGGCCCGGAGTACCTCGAACCCCAACCATGGTACGGACAGAGACAATGATCTGATGTCAAGGAATATCAGACATCAAAGACCCATGTTGCGGGTCCGCTTGTTCGCCGCACTATCTGGCAGGAGATAATGCGGCTTGAGTGACGGGGAGTGACAGACAGCGCTGATACCCATTGTGTACGCACTCCGTACTCATGTCACGCCCGGTCGTGTCGAATGCATCTACGGGTACTTCAGGTATCTGTCTAACCACATGAATACAGTGCCTACCTACCTACATGAGTTACAGCCAGCGGTAGGGGTCGATGCTGATGCTGGGTGCTGGGTTGGGGTCGGCCAGGGCGGCCATGGCCTCAGTACATAATAAACTTGCAGGGTCGGTTTTCAATGGCTGGCGGGCCTGGCCGGCTCTCGTGCTGTATTATTGTCCGCACTCCGTATAGACGAGAGCGCAACAGGTTACATTTGTACTGTATGCACTCTACGATGTGCCGCGCTGTCCCCTCCCATTGACCGTTCTTTGAAATTCCCCTTCAACCCTCCCCTCCGTTCGAACATCTCCTCTCCCCTCTGTTCGATCACTTCGTCCCCTCCGGCCGTTGTTGCCGTTGAGTTAGCGCCCGCCTCAGCTCGACCCGAAGGCCTCGTGCACCATCGCCCGGAGGAAGCCCCAGGTGAATAGGCTGGCCGTCCTCACCTCCCGCCGACTCCAAGGTTTCTTCTAGCTTGTATGTGCCGAAGCTTGCGGGCTCGGGGTCAGGCTCAGGCATGTTCCGGCCTATTCCAACGCCGTTTACCTCCTTCCAGACGTCCTATGGAGTAGCGAACGCGAACATCCCAGACTACACGTTCGCACCCACTCCGCTGGGCCAGGGCGGTAGCGGCGGGGGAGCCAACGCTGGCGGCTTGGGTCCGGATACCTCTGCCAACGTCTACGCCTCGCCAATCTTCCAAAGCCTTCTGGACAACGGCTCGTCTCACCTCCCACCCGCCCACCACAACACCCTCCAACCTCAATCAAGTCACGAACATTACGGGCGCTCGCCCCGAGGCCCGAGCCACAACATCAAGATGGAGCAGCCGAGTGACCTAGCGCAGCAGGAAGCTGCTGCCAGGGAGTACAAACCCGAGCTCGAGGTGCGTTCGCCATGTCGGTTCCTTGCTTCCTTGCTTCTTCTCTCTGCCTCCCTTGTCGTGCATCTAGGTGGTTACATATCTAGGCGGGTGCATTCCTTCAGCAAGTGTTCAATGAGCTTACGTCCAAGCAGGGCCCCATAGTCGGCGAGAAGAAGCCAAGCCATGCAATCACGGAGGAGTATGCGAAAGCAGACCCCATATATGTTGCTAAAACCATGGTAAGCCCACGACAAAGACACGAGCGTAGCCCGATCCGGGGCGAGCTTCAGCAGCCTTTGGAGCTCGGTTCCGGCTTTGCTGAAGAACGTCCCCTGACGTTTGCTTTACCGCCTCCCTCTTGCTGGATGGCTTACCCCAGTGGCTCGGCCAGAGAAACTGACCCCGGTCCCAGGCATTACCCCAGACTTATTCCCATTATCGTCCGATCCAAGGGGATGGCAACTGTGGCTGGCGAGGTGAGTTACAGCTTTACGATTCTTCGGCATCTCAACACTATTTACCCCGCAATCCGTGCACCAGCAGGGGAGATGACGGGCCAAATGCTGTATGGATTGTGTCAATGATGGGGAGCGCGCTTTCACACACACATCGGCATATTTTTCTTGATTTTCAATTGATGGAACGCTGCTAACGTGTCGTTGGTGATCCTAGCCATCGGCTTCGGTTACTTTGAGTCTCTAATACGATGCGGGGACATCGACAAACTGCAGGCCGAGTTGGCCAGGCTGACAGGACTGAATGAATATCTGGAGAACGTGGGCGGCTATAGTCCTTACGTTTTCGAGGACATGGTCGATGTGACCATTGAGTTGATGACGGAGATCATACAGGCCGTCAAGGCTGGTCAGGATGCCATGCCGCTGCTGATGGCCAAATTCAACGACGAAGAGACGTCCGCGCCTATAGTCTATCACCTGCGGCTGCTCGCTGCGTCTTATCTGAAAGGCAATCTGGACCAGTACGAGGCTTACATACCCGGAGATGCGGACAGCTACTGCAATGAATGGATACTGCCAGTCAATCGGGAGATAGACCAGGTCGAGGTGATGCTCCTGTTCAATATCCTCTTGAAGCCGGCGGACATCGTCTTGGAGATTGCGTATCTGGACCGGAGTGAAGGGGACGAAGTCAATCTGCACCGCATGCCCGAGGAGGCCAAAAACAAGGATCCGAAGATGCTGGGTTCCATCATCCACCTGCTATACCGCCCTGGTCATTACGATCTATTGTATCGCGAGGACGCCTCTACTGCACCGTCAGCAGCCCCCGAGCCACCAGCAGCACCTACATCGCTGCAAGTGAATCGAGTGTCGTCATTCAGCCATCAACATGAGATTCAGAGCGTAGCTCCCTCGCTGGGAGCCTTCTCCAGTCTCAGTATGGGCACGCTAGGCATGATACCTGGATTCGAGCCGGCCGGGTTCGCACCTCTAGGTTCACCTCCAGCTGTGGCATCTCCTGTGGGTTCTGGCTACAGCCCGTCATCGCAGTCGACGTGGGTGCCGCAGTCCTACTCCGAGACCTTGCCATCAGCACCGTCTCCGATGTCGTCTCAAACGTCCCAGCCGTCCCCACCACCGCAGCAGTCACAGGATGCTATAACGTCACTGACATCACTTCGCTTCAGCAAGCACATGTTTCCGGTTCCTGGGGCTGTTGATGCCAGTGCATTCTCTCCGGAGCCAACATTCACCACCAACATATTCAAACAAAGCTACTTTAATACTGCACACTACAACAACCCCCACTTTCAGCCTGAAGAGTACAAGCCGGACCAGGACGACGAGATACCCACGAGTAAGAGCAACGGTCGGAAACGGAGTACCTAGCATTGCAGCGGCAGCACAAAAGTTTTACCGGTTCGTAGAGGACGATGGTGTTTCTTGGTGCACTTGACGACTATGGATTTACTCAGGATTGGGGCTTCATATTGGTATTTGACATTACAAACGGCGTTCCTTAATGAACCAACCTTGCTTTACAACGTTCGGGCCATGAGCCGAGCATCCAGAGAATGAGGTGTATTGGGTTGATTTGCGTGCATTTGAACGGACGAGACAACCTCTGACGGATAATGGTACCTTATGAGAACACCCTTGTCAATGGGCAAGAAGAGCTTCATAATATTACATAAACTGTTTTGTTTTCGTGATCCTAAGTGGCAAGTTTGCTTCTACTTGCGCAACATTCAACTAACGACGAAGATTCAAGGTGACTCAATGGGGTACTCAGAAGAGCTAAACACATCGAGCAATGAAAAAGACGTCCAAGTTTCTCAGACCAGCTCATCGTTCCTTTCACCTGAAAGCCAACCACTATCAGGCCCGTCTTTCGGCAGGTACTCCTCTACCTGACGAGACTGGTTCGTAGACGTGCTGTCAGTCTTCAGCTCCAGTCTCTTCGTGAACTCTTCTACCCACACGACCTCTAGCTGCCTCCTCAGTACCTCTGCGATTCTCAAGTATAGCTCCTTCTCTTTCTCCGCCGCGCTCTTCTTGACAGTACTCCTCCAGTGCTCTCCGTACAGCTCATCCATCACGCTGGTGACGCCCTTGTCCTCGATGCCACACGCGACGATGCGGCCCCACGGGTTCGTGAGCTCGGGACCCGAGACGGGCATGCTGATATTGACGGCGACGCCCAGGCTGGTGACGTGCCGCCGAAGCTGCACGCCCAGCGCGGCAATCTTGCGCTCGTGCTCCGGGCCCTGTGCCGGGTGATTGTTCACCCATACGCCCGGGTTCTCCTTGGTCGTAAAACCCCTGATGACGGTTTTCTCGGCGTCCCGAAGCGCCGTCACGCCCTGCGGGGAGAAGACCTCGGTGGCCCGGGCCAGCGCCGCGATCGTCGTCTTCTCGAGCAGGCACGCGTAGTCCCGCACGGTGAAGTGCCGGTGCAGCGGTGAGTGCAGGTCGATCACCGGCCAGAATACCACCTGCCCCGGTCCGTGGTAGGTCGCCAGCCCGCCTCGCGGGGTATTCGTCACCTCGGGGGCGAAGGACCGGGACTGGGACCCTTCGCCCGCAGAGTACTTGTCATGGCCATCCCGGCTGTTGAGCACGGGATGCTGCACGTGCAGCGGGGCGCGTAACCGTCGTTCCTGCTCGGCGGACAACGGCTGGGTCTGCCGCCGGCCGAGGGTGTATGTTGGAGCCGGGGTGAAGGAGAGAATCGAAGGCGCCGGGGCGGGTTTGGGGTGCTCGGAGCTGAGGGAGGCCTTGTAATCGAGAAGGCGGGCCTGCAGCTTGCTCTGGATGGAATCGACGTGAGCGTAGGTCGGATAGCGAGGCGCGACACTCTTCCCGGTCGATGGAACGGGCGGGATGCGGATGTGGCGGAGGAGGGGCATCTGGGATCGTCTACGGCCGTGATGGCGGCGCGATGGGGGTTTGGGAACGACCGACCGACAGGCTTCACGAACCGTCAGCCTCGAAGCTCCCGGAAAGCTCCAAGGCCCCAGCTCCATCCCCAGGTCCCGCCGGAGATTGCGGGCTCTCGGTTCTGTCGGCGATTACGGGATACTGTAAGCGGCAGTCCACCATTGCGATGACAGGGATCCTGATTGCCTCTGGGCTTGCCGGCGACAGTGCCAACAACAAGGCACACATAAGCGGCAAGGGTATGTATGTACCAAGGGTGCAGCGTGCCCATTGGAACCCACCCCTGCTCTCGCGATAGCTTCAACCAAGCAGCCAAGTTGGCACGCCTACCTGCGCGTGAGAACCAAACTTTGGCCCTTGTTGCGGACTAAGATACGACGCTTGGTGGTCAGCCGTCAGCACGGAGACTGGTGGCACAACATGGTTCCGCTCGTCAATGCGCGCAGGTGGTCCTGGTCATGTGCGTCAGCAGCCAAAACACGCAATGGCGCAAGACTGATTCCGTGGATCGCCTGCAGTGTTCGTGTGTTCCGTTCGAATTCGGGTACGACAACCATGCCGGCGGCCGACTGGCGAAATGGCGCATCCTTCCCTCAACCGGCTAACCCAGGGACGGGCAATTTGGCTGATGTGACACTACGACCTGCCAGTGTCTTGGCAGAAGACACTGGCAGCTTGTACAGCCCCCGGTCTCGAGTATAACAGACGGCGGTTATGGGTGCAATCAAGTTATTTCAAGGATCAGCGCCTCGGTATGTTGGTAATACTGAACAGTTCTGTCAGACCGAACCCCCCTCTTTCCCGAGCGGGCCAATGGCATTGTGTCTTTACTTCCTCCCCGAGCTATGGACTAGACTATTCGCCCAGACATGAGTCGTGCCGACGCATGCGCCAGGCCGGTTAGCGAGAACCGTGCACTCTAATCAAGCACCTTCACGGCGCAGGTTTGGACTATGTAGGGGGTCCCTGTTCGCTGATCCGCAATTCCATCCAACTCGGCTGTTTGCGCGACGGACTGGTCAAAGCCGTGACGGTCAACATCACTTGGATGTCGTTGAAACAGGACGACAAGCAAGTCCGTCGAGAGCGATCTGTCGAGAGCGAGGGCTCAGGGGTTGAAGTCCTTGGTCAAGCTGGATCGCTGTCATCTTCGTCATCAGACTCTTCAGACTGATTATCTGAGCTGTCAAGGCCTTCCTCGTCGCCTGCGAGACTGATGGGGCCCTGTTCGGAGCTTGCTCTTTGCTCCCCGAGCTCTCTTCTCAGTCCGGTAAGCACTACGTCGAGTCCAGATTTCAGCTGAGGGGTTCTGGCTTGCTCGGCTCGCAGTTCCAGCTCTTGGATCTTGTCCTGAAGTTCCTTCATTCGCTGGGCTTCTAGATCGTCGTTTCCATGATCCTCTTCCAAGTCATCCTGGCTCTCTTGCCGTGTCAATCCCGAACCAAAAGCCCCTTCGAAGCCATCGGCTAAGCTAGCGTCCTTGATCGCGAACACGACTTCTTGGATGCCGTTCCAATTCTCCTTGTTTCCCTTGCCTTTGTTTCTGCCGCCAAGGAGAACCTTTCTCCAAGCAGCCGCGACTTCACCAACAGGGTTTCCGTACGCGCCGCATCCCCAGGCGCCGAGAACAACGCTCTTAGCTCCCTTGGCCTGGAAGATACGCATGACCGTTCTCATCTTTTGCAGAATGAGATCTCTGTCCTTGTCACTGGCATACCGTCCGCGGCCAGAGTCCTCGTCTACTTCTGTCTCCGGCATACGTAGCATCGCAGCACTGACGCAGTCGACGAACCAACGGTCCCTTTTCTCCAGGTCCGCGCCTTCCTCGTCCCTGAATACCAAGACATCTGGCGTATAGATAGCGCCGAGCTCAGGTAAACGATAGAACTCATCTTTCAGTGATGAAAGTAAAGTAGTCCTCATACATAGTGATTCCTCCTGACTGCTGGCCCCGTTGACAAAGCCGCCACCCGGGGACAGTGGCGATGCCATATTCAAGATTGCAACCTTGGCATTCTTATTGCTCAGATCGAGTTTCCCGGTTGTCTCTTTCTGAAGGAGAGATCGTGCCGCGGTCAAGGTATCCGCTACTCGAAGAGTTATGCGCGGCCCATGTTGCATTTGTGTTGCTGTAAAGGCCTCCTTGTCCGCAACAGTCTCCTTGTCCTTCTTGCGAGCCGGGGGCTCAAGCATCAGCTCGGACGCCTCTGCACCCCGCTTGGCTCGGGGATGAGCAGATAAGAGGCCAGGTATGACTTTATTGATGGTAGCCTTTGCCTTCTTTGCCCTAGCATCACGACGGAAACTAGGCGGCGCAAGGCCCTGTGAAGGTTCCGTTCGTCCCATGATGGTGATGTCAGCAGAGCCTCTGAAGGAGGGCAGTGAAATGTGGCCAAAACCAGGTGCAATCCAGGACAGAGATTTGAACTCGAACCAACAAGGTCCTTATGACACTTCCGTATCACTATGTGGCTCCGGTGTCCCGCGAGAAAGTGGCCGTCCAGGTCCTTGAGTTGGTTGGGTTGTGGGGTTTCTTGATTGGTTTAGTTGGTATTTCGGGACGAGAAATGCTGCAGCACAGTGTGTTAATTTCACCCCACAGGATTATTACTGTGTTCAACGTCATGCTATACCACCATGGAGCTGCCTATTCGTTATACTGAACGAAACATGCCAATGATGGTCTCTTGGAAGCTTACTGGTCAGCGATGTCAGCTTTTGAGCACTTGCACCCATCGCGCAAAGTCTGAGAAAACTTGTTGATGAAATACAACCGCCTGTTACACTGGCGTCTATCGCGTCGACTGAATGCCAGCAGAACAACAGAGATGTTGAAGTTAGCCATAAGCATGCGTTTCCTGCGCCTACCCGACTGCATTTTAAGAAGTCTTGTGTACCTCAGGAGCCATTCATTATAGGAATGCTAATCTCGAATTGGCCAGCATCGTAGCAGTCGTTTTGTTTAAGTTCGCAATGTCACAATAGATATCAGTTAAAGAAGCTCTGTTTGTGATACATAGACATAGGGCATGTGTCTCAGTGCCACTTTCTGCGAAATATTGATGCCATGGTCTTAAACCTGTAAATTGGCGAACTTTTGCTGCTTGTAGCTGACTACCTGTGAACCTTTATCCTTGCCCTGTGAACGATTGACATAATTTGGGGCAACATATCTTGTATTCATCGACTGTGCAACAACTGTAATCTAAGACATACTAACCATTGTTGTCAGATTGGAATATTTGCAAGCCGATCCCAGCCAATCTCGTTTGCTCGGCAGGACCCGTACTTCGAGTCCCTTAACAGTTGGTCGGTCGAGCTGGGATCGTGATGACCTGGCCAATCATGATGTTGGCAGATGCAATCCCAGTGTTTGCACTCGCAATAGATGCGGCCGGAACGCCGTTCTGAATTCCAAGGCCATAGAAACTGTCCCCGGAAACAGCCACGTGGGTTGTCGCAGCTGCGCTAGCTATGCAACAAAAAGTCGCAGAAGAGACGGCCCCACAGACGGAAAGAGGTACCGTCAAGGTTTGTCCTCCGTAAATTGTGTCAACTTCAGGGATGTTGTTCTCCGAGGCAATGTTGCACACGCCAGCACCCATGTTCGCGGCGATGGCGCTAAGAGTATCGCCGGGCTGGACGACATAGGTAGTCTTAACGCACTGTCTTCTGGCCTATCGGTAGCATCAAGGAATTAGCAGTGCAGCTCTACGGAAATGCTGGATGGCACCATACCAGTTCGTGCTGCGATAACTCAGCTGACAGCGCTGGGGCAGAGGTAATGGCAGGGGCAGCCGGAGGAGCCACAGCAGCCAACCCAGTGGCCACAAGTGTAGCAAGATGAAGGAGACGGGACATCATTTCGACTTGACCGTTTAATGTGAACTTTGAGTGCGAGATATTCAGATGCAATGTTTACGGTCTAGAAGCAGAGACTGTTGGTGACATGAGGAAATATTAGCAGCATGATTTGGTGCCCTTATATATATCTTGTTTTACCGAATTCTATTTCTCTACACTGAGACGATTATACAGCGGCCGGATCATGGACTCAAACATATGCCGAACTCGATACTCAACTGAGTTTGAACTGGTCTGACATACGATTTACACGCGTCGCAATTTCTTTTAGACTTTGCAAACCCAAGTTTAACGTGTCTTGATGTGGTTAGTGCTTCAACTTGTGTGAAATAGTCATGATCGTCGATGGGAATTTCCTGATACTCCATAGCCTGAAGTTTTGGGGGAAATAGTGATGATATATAATAACGAAGTGCTCAAATACCATCCTTAAGGGCATCTATCTTGTGTAGTCATGCGTATAGTAAACATCTGAACATCATACTCGCCACTGGACCCCTGCGTGTTGCCAAGTTGTTCCACTTGTACAACTGTGGACCCAGAGTTCGTGATTGCGGATCTAGTCGCACTCCGCGGACTATTGCTTGAACCCGAATTATGCCGGGAAATTTCGATGCAAATGCAGATGCAGTAAAGAAGCTGAGCTGGCAGTTCCGGCTCCATATTGCACCGTAGTTGTTCTTAAGTATTGGTAGAGTCATTGATGGACGGCCATTTTAATCCAACTCTCCTGTCACTGCTACTGCTCCACGCCCCAAGTCTCTTTCTACTTGCAATTGGGTTTTTAAAAGGCATGAAAAGATGAATTGCCGAGCTTGCTGTGGCTTTTTGGCCGTTGCTGGTACCACCACCACCCTAGGGATTGCCTACACATACATTGTCACCAATTACCCTTGGACTCTCCTCAAAGGATGGCCTGGTTATACTCTTTCGATAATTTGGGCTATCCTTTACATCGAGAGTGTTTGGTCGATTCTTGGATGGATTGCATACAGACCTGTCGAGGCAGTAGAGGATAGTGAGGCATTGCCCACTATCACTATAGTCGTGCCGGCATATAATGAGTCTCACTTCATCCGACACTCCTTACAGTCCATATTGCTTTCAGATTATCCCAAAAGCAAGCTCAGCGTCACTGTAGTTGATGACGGGTCAACTGACGATACCTGGGACCATATGGTTGCTATGATGACGGAATTCAGTGCTGCTAAAGTACAATACCTTACTCATCGACACAAAACCAACCTCGGCAAGCGGTCAGCAATCTGTTCCGGCTTTCAACTCACAAGGGGGGACATTATTGTATCTCTTGATTCTGACAGTGTTCTGGAGATATGTTCACTTCGGAATCTCGTTGCACCTTTTGCACAGGACCCTCTCATTGGAGGTGTAGCTGGGCACTTGACTGCCTTAAATGTTGAAAACAAGACGCTTCCACGTCTTTTAGACATCCTCTTCGACATGAGCGGAAACGTCCCCCGAGCAGCACAATCATTTGCCGGCAATTTCGTTACGATTCTCCCCGGAGCGCTATCTGCATTTCGATTGTCGGCAGTACAACCCCTACTGGAGGGTTTATGTAAATCGACGTTTCTGGGAGAGCCGCTACGGCATGGTGAGGATATTGAGTTGACTTTAGGTCTGCTACAGGCAGGGTGGTCGACAGTCTACCAGAGCAGCGCCGTTGTCCACACGACCGCACCAGAAACATGCAAGGGTGCATTTCTCATGTATACGCGGTGGGAGCGTAGTTCATACGTGTACTTGGCAATGGGGTTTTTCCAAATGGCAGTGAGCAGGGTGTTATTGAGGCTTCGTGGTTGGCACAATTGCCACATCTCTACGACAATCTGGAAGAGCCATGCGAATATGGATGAGCCCCAGAAGTCCGTCGGAAGCGGCGTGGCCTCTGCACCCCCAACAAAGGATGACTTGCTTGGAAGTCTCTACCTATTACTCAATCTGTGCTGCACAGCTATCAGCAACCCACTTCTTCCCGCAATCTGCATCTTGCAAGTGCGTGGCGCCATACTTCACCCAGAACTGATGCCAATTTCCTTGGCTGTCTCAATATTACTTCCTGCTTTCCGTAGTCTCTTGTTCCTCGAAGACGCACTTGAGGAAGTCGGGAGGCTTCGGCATGGGGTTGCGAGAGGGGTGGGTGATAGTACAGCGAGGAGAGTCAAAACGGTCATCGATGAAAGACTTATACCAAACGGCATCTTAGATGTCTCCGGTAAAGTGGTGGACAACAAGAGTTCTACTCGTCTATACGACCGTAGAGCAAGGCTTGTATGGAGACTTCAATATGGGGGGCTTGCAAGTGTTTTTCATATGATTTTCATCAGCTGGTCATCTGTCATGGCTCTTATGACTTTGAAGAGTCAAAGCTGGCTAACTAGATAATTTGTTACCCATGCCTTTTGTACAATACACCATGAACTCAAGTCTAAACCGTAGTAACTGCCTAACAACTTCCATCCTAATTAAATGATTTTACTGTGTTGAATATGGGTATCCTTCGCGATTTACGTTATGATGATTAGGGTAAAGAGTTGAGAATCAAGCATGGGAGTTTCGTTAGACGTGTCATGCCATCAAAACTCGCATCTTCTTACGACAAATCAGTCCAGGTATAAAAAACTATTGACGAGACAATGAATACAACTTACAGTAGCAAAAGATATATGAAAAACCATGTACAACGTGGCATGCAGAACCTCAGGCGTTATCCCTAGCTACGTACATCAGCTAGTCGTCCCTGCCTTGTAATGGAGCCGAAACATCGTCCGACATTGGAGGAGCCGACGGAAATCCCGACTGGATGGATACAAAAAGAAGCTCGCCAATATTCTTTACCACAGTTGAGTCAAAGGCAAATATACAGGAACTGGTGAGCTCCTGCAGATATAGCGTGGAAAATACAGGCTCAGCTGGTTAAAGACATAGTGAGTTTGAAAGGCACGAAAAGATTCAAAATGGCATAATGGAGTAGACATAGGTGGACAGAATAGCAATTGAGTGCGATCAAAGGGAAACCACATGATAGATGAACGACAAGTGAAATGCTGGCTGTATTGGGTTGCCAAGGGCCCGACAGAATGGGCGACCCATGCAAGATCAGGGGTCGGCGCTTAGAGTCACCCTGTGGATGGTCAATAGCAATGCACTGTAGCGTACTGTGCTGCTACTCAATTATGTACATCCTGCTCCGAATAAGGTTCACTGTTCACCTCGCAAATTTCTTTCTCGTTTCCAATCTACTCTCACCTCAAACCAACCATAATCATGGAGGAGGCAAGTGACTCAGCAAATGTTGCGGAGGGCACCGTCGGTCTGTCAGCGCCTAGATTCACAGGACCACCGTCACATTTATGCACCGAGGACGTACCAGCGGCTGATCCTTTGCATGTTACCAATAGCGGGGTATACACATGTGTTCAGTCCTCGACGGCTGATTGTTCCGACGCCGACTTCGCTATGGCTGCTAACCGGCTGATAAATGCCACACTTGGCCGCATACCAGATGGAAACTCAGTCGTCGAGCCTGATTCAGTGCTGGAATCGGGGCGATTGTACAATGGCTACAAGTATGGGAAGTATTTCCTCCCCAATGATGCCGTAAGAGTCAAAGTGTTCCAAGCCAAGTGATCAGGTATTGACTCAATCCAGGCAGAGCAAGATCGGTTGGACTTGCAGCATCATTTATGGTCACTGATGTTGAACGGATGGCTCCACATTGCCCCAATGTCCAAGGTACCGGAACACGTATTGGACATTGCGACTGGTACCGTAAGTCACACTAGCCTTGCCAGAAGCGAAGTAGATACGATAGCGCTTATTCACACCACTAGGGGATATGGGCATTGGAATTCGGTAAGCGCAAACAACATGTTTCTTGACGGGATCGGAATTGACATATTCAATGCAGCCGAGCGTTATCCTACCTCCACGGTCATCGGCACGGACCTAAGTGCCATACAACCAGATCGAGGCTTCCCAAATTGTTGGTTTCAGAAGGACGATGCTGAAGATGAATGGATTTTCCCAGCTCCCCACCCACCCGAAGCAATTTGCCAAGGGCCTTGTGTACATTGGATCAAGTTTGATTATATCCACCTTCGAATGGTGGCCACTTGTTTCAATGATATGCGAGGAATAATCCAGAAAGCCTTTGATAATCTCAAACCAGGAGGCTGGATTGAGTTCCAAGATGGGTCATTCGACCTGCGCCAGGAAAATGGCATATATGAAGGTATGGACAGTCTACCGAGGAGCAGGGAGCATTTCTGACCGTTTTCAGGAACGCCTCTACATCGATGGTCAGATGGGTGTATTCGAGGAGCTGCTATGCAAGGTAGAGACGTGCTGCTTCAGAAAAAGTATGAGGGGTGGCTCAAAGAGGCTGGCTGTAAGTCATGAAGATGTTTTCTCGTCGTGATAGGAGTGCTTTGCTTACGAGGCATTTCATGTTCAGTCCTCGAGACGCAAGAAAGACAATTTATTCTCCCTTGCAATCCTTGGCCAAAAAGCAAGAAAATGAAAGAATTGGGTCATTTTCAATTGAAGAATCTAGTAGATGGAATGAAAGGGGTTGGTTTCAAGATGATGAGCGCAGCAGGATTTTCTACGGATGATATCGACAACACTGTTGCAGAAGCGAAGGAATACGTGTCCAATTGCAGAAATCATGTATACGGAATAGGGTCAGTTCATCATCCCCGAGTGTCGTATCGATATTGACCAGATTGACAGCTACGTCGTCTATGGTCGCAAGCCTTTGGCAGGCGAGATTATCAGGTGATGGGTGCGGCTGAAGCATCGAGGATAGACTACTGTCGGTAGTGCAGACCGAATGTTAACACAGCATCTTGGTTGACTGAATATAAATTGACTGCAAAGATAATCTTTCCTTTCATGTATATCCGTGTGTTTACAGACCCAAGTTTAGCATTTTGAATTAGTCAATACCTACTACTATACCAGTCAATGCCATGACTCGTGAGACTGTGGTTCAAAAGATCTCTTTTACCCTCACGATCCTAACAACTGGCCGGTCTTCGTATGACATATGCAGGTGAAATATTGCTCAAACTCCATGACCCTGTGTTGGACCGTAATCTTCGACACGGTAGCTGTGTAGATTCCATAGAAGTAGGTGTCGGGATCCCTGACCTCAGAGCCGGTCTCGGTATCAACTTTCGGAGATTCCGCAACTCATCGTCATAGATGCGCGCCTCACAGCTAGAGCTCGAACTCAGGTACCCATTGTCAGCTGCATCGCCGTTGTCGAATTTTCTCAGGCGACCTTGCCGGCTCGAACGTTCATTGTGCCTTTCAAACTCAGCCACACGATGCATCGTGCCGTACGTCGGATATGGGTTTAGTAGGGCGTTCTCAACTTCCTCGCGCCAGACCTGTATTGCACGCTGGCGGTGCTGATCAATCCTCAAAAACTCGGAAATGACGACAGCAAATATGACACTGCCTAACGTAATTGCGATTACAAGAAGCGTTAGAATGATAGCTGCGACTTCTTATCGCTGAAACATGACCTGAAGCGGTTCTGGTGTCATGATATGTGGCTTATCTCGTATCGACATTTGATCAAGGGCGATCATATCGGTAGCAGCAGATGTTTTAATATATGTGGGCTATGGCTCATTTGTGCATCTCTGAAGTAGCTGTTCTTTTCAGATACATAGTCACTCGTTTACCCAGTTTAGTGATATATGATGTTGTCCCGCTGCAAAGTCTAAGCTCCTAATCATTACAGAGTTTAATGATTCAATCAATTTTTTCCTTCATAAATGTCCCAGAACAGACATGCGACTGCTGCAAATCGAATTTGCGCATCTTTTCTTGTCATCATTTCAACGAAAACTCCATTGATATCAAGATTGTTCGCAGACTGACCACACCATTGAGTTTGACACCCCCAAATACTTTTGATTTGTAGCCATAAAGGATTGTTTTTGAAATAGCATCTTTCAGGTGAAACAAAAACCAAGGCATCAACCCGTGAGTCAGCCATGAACGCAGATCGTTCAATGAAGTTTTGCAACGCCTAGCTGGCACTGATCGTTCTCGAACTGGTGACAGGAGGTACTACCCTGCCCAAGTAACACTTTCAGAGCTTCATCTACAAGGTGAGTTTCTGCCTGATATGAACTGATAGAGAGCATCACATCGCACCCGCAAGCACTGCCGGAAACCCAGTCAATGAGTACGAGAGCCTCAAGGAGGGAGTCTTCTCTTCGAGGCGAAGATAGCACCCCTAACGTCTCTTTTCTTCTCAACATCGATTGCACTGGACGATGCCGTCGTTCTTTGTCATTGATCAAAAGTCCCAGTAAGATCTGCGGCCATCCCATCTTATTCTTCATTGTTTGATGGTCCCGGCTGCAGGTCAACAAACACAACCCCACCTTCGACGATGATCAGCCAACCATCATCAACCCCAAAACCCTCGTTGGGTGTATCATCGACCTGGTAGAGATCTCGAAAGCGTCTCACAAGCGTCTCTCCCAGGAAGCTTTTCACATTTCCGGAGTCGCAACCACCATCATCCCCAACGAGTCATCTAATAGCAGCCACGTTGTGGCCAGACTTCTCTACTCCCTTCCCTACGGCTCCTGCGCCTGGATGCCACGATGTTGGGATCATACTCTCAGCACCGCCGCATGGAGCGGTTCATGTTTTTCCAGAAAATGCCACTTGAGCTGCGACTGGCAGTGTGGGCTTGTGTGCTGGAAGATGAAGCCAAAGATCGACTTGTCCTTTTCGATTCATCTTTGAAGCGAATCGTCCCCACGCGTTCGCTTGTGTCACCTCTCCAGCGAGTCAATGTGGAGATCAGAGGAGTTGCGCTATCGCGTTACTCGACACGTCTGGAAATTTTCACCGTACACCCCCAAAACCGAGTGCCGTTGGTACCCTTCAAGACGGTAGATGAGAGCTTTGAAAGTGGCGCGGGTTGGAACGACGAGCTGGAACATCTCAGCGATGAATGTCTACAGGACAGACGCGAAGAGTTCTCAGCCCTGCTCAACATCCGCGTTGGAGTCGTGTATATTGATCCGACTCGCGACACCTTCGGTTCCTACCTCTACACGATGAACCAAGTAGTCAAATCAGGCGCCGAGAACATCGTCGACGTACCTGTTACATCGGAAATTGGCATTGAAATCACTGATCTTGTCCGCAAACAACTCAGCGTGGAGGTCTTTGATCGATGGGACAGCTATCCCACCCGCTGTGAACACTGCTTTCACGACTGGATCAATGGCGGCTGTCAATCCTTTCACAACACAGCCGAATTCCCCCAAGTCTCGTCGAAGGCCGTCATCTAGTGTATTGACCGCCAACTGCACAATTTGGCTTGGGAGGTTGTGGAGCGCCCGCTGTCTTCATTCATACACATGTATCGCCACCGGTTGCAGATTATTGAGAATGGACAAGTAGAGCTATTGTATGCGAAGGATTACTGTTGTGACATGAAGAAGGACAACGAAAGCACGGAGGAGGGCGACGAGGAAATGATGGACTACGACGACGAGGAGCCGGACGATGATGTCGTGGAAAGCCTTCTCGACTGGTAGATTTGTGTTTGGCAGGTTCGATGTTTGGAGCGTGTTGATGAAAATCCTAGTTCACAGAAGAGCTCGACAGGATTACATGTCATGATTTGAAGCAGGCCATAAATTCTGGCTTCCCGCTATAACACTGTTTGCGATGGTACTTGTCGTCCAAGTTTCACCTGAGAGTTTCATAGCGCCCATTGCAGTAATCGAGTTCGTCATTTTCGCACTCCCCACTCCGTACTTCTGGTGAGTACACTGAGGTATGAGATGGACAGCCATCTCGAACAGAAAACGCCTACTTCTGGCGATGACGAACCGATCTGCTGCAAAACGGTTAGGATTGTTATTTTTGGACATAGAGATGTAATGACGTCGGTAGTGGGCAATGGAATATCCTCTGCAGTGGTAGGTGTTATTTGTTGCTCAACTCCATCGTCCTATGATTAATGTTCGATATTGGGAGACGTTTTCACCTGCCTGTGTTTTGCCTGGAGGGTAAGATGTCAGATCTAACATTCCGACTCCTGATCAATTTGGTCGCGTCGAGTAACAGTGGCTCAGCTAGTGCGGCTGGTGTTGTTGATCCACTGTCCCACTGCCGCTGTCGGATAGCGCCCCGGACTTCGAACTCGGTAGCTGGATGAAATCCAGATGCCAAATCGCATTCAATACCACATGGCTTCAAGATTATACTTTTCCCGTCGCTTCAAGTTATACCGCTGCCTACTATGGACATTAATAATGCAGCTTGGGTAGATGGGCCTGGTGAAAAAGTTCGGGTCGGGGTCCACAAGTTACGTCAGCCGGGCCCAGGAGAGGTTCTCATCAGGAACCATGCGGTTGCTGTGAATCCATTCGACTGCCTGCAGCATCTCACCGGTAGCTTTGTTGACTACTGGCCATTCATTTTTGGTTATGATCTAGCAGGCGAGGTCTTGTTAGTGGGTGATGGCGTCTCCGGCTTCGTATCAGGACAACGGGTCCTTGGACAGGCGCTGAAGCAGAGTCTTGAGAATACCGCATTTCAAGAGCACACGATAGTTCACGCTGATCTAGTGTGCCCAATACCGGAAAGCATGAAGTACGAAGAAGCGTGTGTGATACCACTGGCTCTGTCGACCGCCGCAGCCGGGCTCTACCAGGAGGGTTATCTTGCTCTGCCCCTTCCTCGTGTGGAAGTGGAGCGTCTTGATAAGACACTCCTTGTTTGGGGTGGAAGTTCGAGCGTGGGAAGCGCTGTAATTCAACTAGCAGTTGCCTCTGGTTTTGATGTTGTGACGACTGCGTCGACTCGGAACTTCGACCACTGTCGTAAGTTAGGGGCAAAGGTCGTCTTTGACTATAGCTCATCAAGTGTCATTAATGACCTGATACGGACCCTCAAATCCGAAAGGAAGGTGATAGGAGCGTTTTCTGGTAAGCTTCTTTTTTCGCATATCAATTAACAGCTGGACATTTCCCTGACAGCCATATAGCGGTCAGTTTGCCGAGTAACATCATCAGCACGGTCGCTCAAGTACTTTCCGAAGTTGGTGGAGGCTTTGTGGCAACCACCAAACCTCCCCCAGAAGACTTGCCAATCAACGTTTCAGCCAAAATGGGTAAGAATCCTGAGTTGAGGAACACCGCTTGGGATTTTCTGACCATTGAACAGTTTTCGCGGCGGACTACGCTGGCAGGGAAGGGAAGAAATTATTCCAGGACTTTCTTCCTACTGCTTTGCGGGCAGGCAGATATCAGGCCCTGCCGAGACCGCATGTTGTTGGACATGGATTGCGTAGTGTGCAAGTTGGGGTTGAGGTGTTGAGCAAAGGTGTGTCTGCGAAGAAGGTCGTGATAACCATCTAGCTTCCAAACCTGATTGTAGCAAAGTCACCGTCAAGCTCAACAGGGATAGCTATGAGCATTGCTACCGGTGATTGTCTTTTTCTGTTGTATACATATGAAGTTCGTAATTCGAACTTGTGTAGTCAGTGGAGCGGGTGCCAGACCTGTACCTGCTAAAGGACCTCAGCTATATGGGTAACCTTATTCACGATTTGTGCAGATTAATCACAAGTAAACCTGTCCTTTCGGAAGAACACTGCAATTGTTGTACTCCTGACGAGTGAATTTCCTCTAAGCGAGTATACATCACGTGGGGTAGGCACTGCAAGTCACCATTATCATCATCTACGTCAGACGTCCATTCAATAGTTCACAAGAGTTGGGGGACATGACATTGTATAGCGTTGGCATTCGTTTTGTTTTCGCTTTGTGGCGGTGTCTGAAGGCAGACTGATTCTATTAGAATAATCGGAAAGGCGCGGCCAACCTTCTCGAGGCACCCGAGGTCGTTGTTGAACTTGAGGCCGCCCCCGAGGAGCTAGCCGTACCAGTACTGACAGCAGTAGTGCTCGAGGTAGAAGATGTGCCGTCGCTGTTCGAAGGCGGACCGCCCGAACCGCCCGGACCTCCCATGCTTGATCCGGTATCCACACCTCCGCCCTCGTAATAGTGAGCTGCGGGCGTAGCCGAGTCGGAGTAGTTCGCACTCGAGTCAACGCCGACAGTGATCCAAGCTAAAACACCATCTGTAGGCTTATCGCCTAGAAGAGCATAGTCCACAAAGATATCATAGTCGCTGGTAGCCTCTGCGGCTGCAATGCCATCGGATAGGATATCAGTGATGCTCTGGGCATTGCTTGTGTAAGGGTCAAGCGCCTCGACTGAAGCCACCAAGTCCGGATCGAAGAACAGCTGACCAACATGCGTTGCCACACCACCCTCGTAGGTCTGATTAGACAGGACTTTAGCGTCTTTGGTGCTGAGAATGTGAATGTGCGTCACACGACCTGTGTAATGCCCGGGGAATACAGTATCAAACTGAACTACGCCGTCGTCGTCTGAAATTTGGGCGCCGCGACAAAACGTACTGTTCAGCCCTCCTTGGCCTGTGGCTGACACACCCGAGTAGACACCTGTGGCATTGCAATGCCAGATATCAACAACGATATCCGACACTGCAGAACAATCCGACACATCGACGAATTGCATGTCCAGATGGAGAGGGACACCTGCTTGGCCTTCTGTGACATTGGTTCGAACCAGCTCTCCGGCGACGAAATAAGGCCCAATAGTGGTCTCCTCTACCAGAGCACAGGTAGCATTGCCGGTGAACAGAGTGTCAGAAGGCGTGTCGAGGGTGTACCCATCAGTGTTAAGGTGATCAACGGCGACCCACTTCTCGAGGGCATCCTGATCTCTTTTACCGATATTTATGGGCTTGTGCGAGATGTTGCGCTTCTCACGAAGCTGCCTGGCTGTTTCGGCACGTCGAGCGAGGGCACGGGCGTTACGAGCTTGGAATGAAGGGGTGTCGGCACAGCTGTTCAAGGCCCGGGTCATCTTATGATGAGCCAACCCTCTTGCGCTGACTTCACGCTTGATCTGATCCGGTGTGTGGTGCTCGCCAGGATGGGCGACAGCCAAGGAGGCGAAGGCCAAAACGGCAGAGAAGGCGCTGGCCTTTACCATGATGATACCAAGAATGAAATTCGGATATGGGTTCGCGAGTTTTCAATTCGAGAATTTGAATACAGGGCGCGGTAGCATGGGAGAACCACCATCTTTTGGGGCCAGAGGTTTCTTACCTTTTATCCTTCCTCTGGTCGAAAGGACGTCCTTGGCGACACTCATCTTGCGAGGTGCCAAGCAAGCGGTTGCGGTTCAAAGCGCGTCCAGATCTACATGGATGACATCGAATGGCACTGGATAGGCTCACAGTGCCTATCCCCCGCACTCAATGCCGATCCACTTGTTGCGCGTCCCTTGCTCCCACGCAGCCGAAAATGTTGTCCAAGTCAACTAGGAAAGCTTGGCTCAGCCCGTCGTTATCTCTGTTGGGCGGTGATGCAACGGACTTGGGATGTCTGCGTCAACGAGACAGGAACCTGTCAGACCTCATTTCGACAATTATTTACGGCCCAGAACGCTCAATCGGGTCTCGCGCGTGCTTGGCATTTGACGAATTACGTGGCTCCTGGGGACGCTCAAACTACTTGAGGCTCAATTACTGTCGGTAATATTGTTTCATTCCAGCCCGCTAGTTTAGTGCCAACAGCGAGGCTTCCTGGGTGAAATGGCAACTGCCGTGGACTGTGTTCTCCAGCCTCCCACATCCCGACCTGCAGGACTGCCATCGACTACGACGACGCTGTCTTGGCAACCATTGATATTGTGTAACAACGTGACCCGTAGTCCTGGTCCCAAAGAGCAGTTGGAGTATTCCCGAACTTGGGGAACGTATCACGTGTGTGCGCTTCGAGAGAACAACGTCAGGGCGATAGTCCACTACCGTTTCGTCGCGAAAAGTCCTCGAACCGAGACACAGCAAGACTCCTTTCACAGAGCAGCCGGTCGGTCCAAGCTGTATGATGCGCACGCTATAATGGCCTAGAAAATCCTCTCGTTTCATTTATTTTCCCTTAGACTTCAAGGCAAGACCATGACAAACAGCCCGGTGGCGTCTGCGCTGGTTGCCAGGTACTCAGAGTTAAGGAGCCCCATATGACACAAGATACATTACAGATACTATCATTACTCATTAAGCTTAGAGGTCGATACTAGAGAATACCGACAGGCGGTTTGGACCACCACATGTTGCGGATGCGTCACCGGCTGGGCAACCTCCTTGACACGACGTCGAAACGACCTGCACCGTCTGGCTCCCAAGGGCATTGCCACAATAACAGTTCTGCCAGCTCACGCCAGCAATTGGGTAGCCGCGATCAGTGCACAGCTGAGAGCAATACGTACGAGAGTTTAGGTCTCCGACGTATGCCGATACTGCCAAGGACCCGACGCTCTGCGCTTTATCAACGTCCGAGAAACAGCCCCGGAATGTCTTGCCCCCGGCATAGACAGTACTGTCACTGCCAACGATGGCTTGTCCGGCCTGAGCTGGATCTGGGTAGGGATCATCGTATGTGGCATGGCGAGGATAGCCAAAGTCGTACGCACGGCCGCCCAGACCATTCCAATTGTCCTTGAACAGGCGTGCCAGGCCAGCGGGCGCTCGAAACATGGTTGGGGCATCATGCGTCGAGACCACGATGTCCACAGTGTGGCATGCACCCGCTGGGTCCTCGCACTTTGCCGGAAATCGCTTTATGAATTCGAAGAAACGCTCATTGCGGTCCTGTCCGGTTGGGTATGTGACGCAGTCGTTATCAGGGTTATAGTCCCCTTTATCTTTGGTTGCACGCGCATGTGCAATGGTCTTGCTGTTGTAATTCTGCAGGATAGCGTCGCGGCCCGCTGTTACCAAGGGCTCGTTATACGTCAACGACGGCGACCTCTCCGTTCCATAAGACTGGTAATTGGCAAAGCCTTCGCGATAGTTATCGTAGGCAGCACACTTGCCGGTAGACAGCGGGCGGTCAGTCGCCATCCACACGTAACTATTGGGATCGCCGACCCAATAACTGACGGGCGTATCTATGCCAAGCTGCGCAGGCGTCTTCCCTACGGCAGCGAATCGTTGGACCATTTGCGCGCCCATTGAGTGCCCCGAAACAACGATCTGCTTGATGTTGGGAAACATTTCCTTGTTACCGTACCACTGGATGATTTGGTCCAAAACATCAAATGCCGATACCGTTGGTGTATTCGGAGGGTATTGGTTGTTGGCTCCGCCAGCCCAACGATCATCATACCAAGCCAAGGCTGGGGACGGGTACTTCTCTGCTGGACTTACCCCGTTGGCGTTGTATGGATATCCAGTACCGGCATCCTCGTCGTTTGGAAAGTACGGTGCCGTGATGGCAACGTTGTCTGCAGTGATGCCATCACCCTCCACCTGTTCTAGGGCTTGTATCATCCCAGCATGGTAGTTCCACGGATCTGCTCTAGCGCCGTGGATGACGATCACTGCCCGCTGGAGGTCAGAGTTGACTGGCCGTTGCTGAGAGGTGTTGAGTGACTGGAATGTGAGCAGACTGAGGTCTGCGGCACCATCGGAAGTGCAAGTATGGGCACCCGAGGGGTCTCTGATCTTGAAGAAGGCAATCTCCGATAGAGCATGCGTGCTCGCAAGGCTGTTCTGGAAGACCGTTCCTGTGTACTGCCCAGGGACAACTTCCTCGCATTGGGCCTGAGCAGTCTTGCTGAGGGCCGAGGCACAGATAGCCACCAAGGCACCGGAGAGACGCATCGTACAGGTTATGAATTACACAACGCCTCCCAAGATGGATCTGAAAGAAAACGAAACAGTCGAAGGAACGCAGTAGATATACAGGGCGAGCTGAGACATGTTGGGCTGAGCGGCACAGCTGGAAAGCATTCCTTGCTAGTTGGATGCGAGTGAGATTATACGAGGTTAGGGAATGCTGATCACAACAACTCGTGCATGCTTATCGCTTACATCATGGTGGAGGATGCACCTTAGCACGAAATCCGTGCCAATGTAGTACGCCGGACCCTGGCCTGGCCCAATAAACTAACATTCGGAGCCGTCAGTGGATAACTGGTTTCGCTCTCGGCACACTCCGTTTAGCGACATACGCGCCGAAGCTGAGGGTTGAGACGGGTAACCTTAGCGGTGGCCGGCCCCCCGGTAACGGGTCCCTCACCCGTGCCACAGCGAAAGACCTGCCATCTTAGGGTAGGATCCTTATCTGCAAGGGTAAGTCGTCAAACCCCAACCACGTGGGGTTCGCTGCAATGCTACACTGATAGAACATAAATAGAAGATGCTTTTCCCAGTGAGAATTGGACGAGGCGTGGGATGTTTTTGTCGCGTGAGCCGTGGTCCCGTCGCCCCAACGAGGATGATATCGGCCGCCCGGCTGACGCAAATTGGCATTTCCAAGCCTCAATCCGAGCCTGGAGGTCTTGGCCGCTTGCATCACTTCTGTCATTTCCGAGAACAAACGCGGCGAGCCCTCGACGATGGAAGAAGAGCAGGCCAACCAGCCAGAAAAAATTGTCATTTAACCCACGCTTGGTGCATCTGCTCTTGAGATACCGAAGCACTTAGCTTAAGAGTAAATCTGGATTGAATGATGCGCTCGACCCTGGACCCTTATGTTACATTAGTTGTCGACCTGTTCGTGTTGCGTGGAGCTTTCACAATGACTTCGTTCGGTAGGGCTACATCGCAGCTCTTCGGCGGTCCTGGCTACGATCTCGGCGGTGAACTATGCGCACCTGGGGAATTTGACGTGCAGGCCAACCACTTGCCGGATTAAGTAGGAGGGAAAGCATAATTTCGACGAACCTTATATTCTGTGCATATTACGAACATTCCACCAATAACAGTCTCACTTACAGGCCGTATGCTAAGTTCCATCCAGATCATGAAAGTCTAAAGTGGCACATGGGTAGCACGCAGGTGAACGCCGGGCCATTGGTAAGGTGGAAAGCCTGCTCCAGGACGTGGCTAACTTTAGTATAATTAAAGTGCCCGAAGATCTATTAGCCTACCGACTGCTATTGTATGAATCATTCTCACTAAAGGACGTCCGACCGATGCTAATCAGCTGCGCTTAGCTCAATATATAACTTTCTTTGCACCCTCTACTTTCGAACTTTTCACTGTTGGGTTTTCAGACTGCACATCGGTGATCGAGCGAATCTTCCCGCTGTGGGCCCTGCCGCTCTTTTCCATAGACACCATGACGACGCAAGAGTACGTCATGACCAGAACACCGTGCAGATGCACGATGTAAATAGTCCAAACGCACAAGCAAGCCTCCAAATAGGTCGCTAAATACCGCCATAGGAGCATATGCAAGCATGACTGGATAATTGGCCGATATGCAGAGTCGGAATTTCCATGGCAAGAAATGCTGCTTATGATGTTGACAGAGTCCAGTTAAGATCGTCATCTCGTATCTCGATTGTGCTGTCCGCGCCATTGACCCTTGCAATGAAATGACCCCAACATTGTAAGCGGGTGGGGCTCCTGCAGTTTGGGTTGCGTTGCAGGTAATAGTGGATCACAGCTCGTTGGCTTTGACCGCCACGCAAAATTGCTATTGGGATTCTACAGTAGGTGGTTATCTCTGTGTATGTTCATTGACGAACATGAAATCCAATAATAGCCATGATCGAAAGTATCGGCGTGGTGCATTAAGGATTAGCCGATGGCAGCGACGCTGCTTCGCTGTAAGTACGCGCTATCGTCCTCTTCACATCCCAAACTTTTATCGATATGCAGGATCTGCTAGACACATATCCTTCTCAGTGACCTCCAGGGACTATATGCAGTCTTACTAATGAAACTACTACGTTAATATTTAGTCCATAATTCATACCCAAGATCTAGATACTCCAAACTGGGGTGGATAAGCCGCTAAGTGTACTGTTCGGCGGGATGGGAGCTTTTGGCTCTAACTGTACGTGCTCTGAAGAACAGATAAGACAACGGGGGAAAACCCAGCACAGATATTGAAGGGTCTAGAACATATGCAACCATCAGCTGACTAAGTGTATGCGCATGAGCTCAGTCGTGTTTTTAACTAAATCGGAGTCGGTCAATGGTCTCTCGGAGCTCTTTGCTATATAATGTATCATATTTTCTCACAGGAACCTGCAAATCGCACTGCTTATGGAGCTACTCGTTTGCGATGTTGATTAATAGCTATACAAGTTGAACAGATGTGTTCTCGGACGCGTTCAAATTTCACATATGTCTAAATTTTTGGCAGAACTTTCTTGCTACGACTAGTATTTCTTTTCTCGTATCCAGTAAGTGGGAAGTGTGAGGAAAGTTTTATTGGGTCTCATGATTCATTAATTGGTTTGTACCAGTGTCACAAGGAACATTTATGGACGTGACAGAGGTGTGAAAGAGAAAGGGCGTTGGGTTTATGGTAATATGGTATTATGAAGAGTTTGATACCCCTTCGTTTAATCCCCCCTCTATGTGACTTATTTGGATGTATTAATTGCTAGTGATCCAGTACAATGAACTCCACAATCGAACTGGGGGCAACTGTAAGCGAGAGCTTTATTCCTCGAGCCAGACTTTCTCTTGAACACATGCTATCAAGGTCCAAGTAGTTTCATAGATGAACATGCCAAAAATATTAGCCACTGTTGCTACACTCATCTGAACAGGTTTAGACCAGAGTGAGATGAACGCCTCTAGAGGTTTCGATTCATTCCGACTAATACTGGCATTGATCCCCGCACTTGTATAGAGCGTGTGTGCCCAGTAACCTGAACGGCGGATTTAAAACAAAAAATTGCTGTTGTTTGTGCTCATCTTGAAGGAGGGCAGCTGACGAAGTTGGAAAAGAACCTCAATCGGGTCACCGTATACGCACGCGTCATGGGCTGGCCTTTTCCGGGAGTTATGTGGTTGGCTATAGCCTTCCCCAGATGACATTGCAGTTCTCATAGCGAGAGGTGACATCAGGGAATCTGCACACCCTCACCAGTTCTTTAGATCCCTCACCCATGCTTCATTAGTAACTCCAACTTGACAAAGTATGATAAACTCCTGTTCATTGTTTTGTGCACAGACTTTGACTAATTTGATCTTTCAATGGTTACGCCAATCACTACCCAGTCCGGTGGACGTGCGTTATCAACCTACCGTATTTGGAAAGATGAAGACCCCATTACCCCCACCGTCCCCTGGCTAAGGTCGCATCGTGAAATCTGCAGCAAATCACAACACGGAAATGTCGGGCTCCGGGCTTTGGGATCGTGTAAATAGTCTTGGTACGCCCGCCAAGGAAAGCCAAGATTGCTATAAGCTTCATCGTGCTTTTCTACTGCCAGGGTGGCTTGCATATATTCAGTCTGATAGCTGTAGAAAATGAAGCCGGTCACGTCGTTGATGCTGCTCGCAGCTTCGGCTGCCAATGGTCTGCCTTCGAGTCCCTATGTGCTACATGAGTCGAGACACGCGTCAGGCATCGGAAGACGGAGCCTGAGCGCGAAGCATGCTCGAGCTGATGTTGATGCCATAATCCCACTCAGGATTGGACTTACACAGACCAATCTGGAGACGGGTTATGACCGGTTGATGGACGTTGCAGACCCGTCGTCGCCGAACTTTGGTAATCATCTGAGCCGAGATGAGGTCATTGAGCTCTTCGCGCCGAAAGAGGAGAGCGTTTCCTCGGTACGCAATTGGCTTATCCAATCTGGAGTCAACGCGAGTCGGATAACACACTACCAGAACAAGGGCTGGCTCGCAATTGACATGCCCGTCAGCGAGGCAGAGTCTCTATTTCAAACACAGTACCATGAGGTCGATCACAAGGGCACATTGCGGCTTGGGTGCGACGAGTACTACGTTCCGCAGCACGTTCAGGGACACATCGACTACATCAGCCCCGGTGTCAAATTGTCTTCACCAATGCGGAAGAGGTCCCTCTCAAGCGCTGGGAAGCGCAACCAGCCGTTCAAGGTTCTCCCGTCTCCCGACAACTGGGCGGACCCGGCGCTCAGCACATTGCACCTCGGGGATGACCTATCGGGATGTGCCAAGAACTTCACACCTCCATGCTACCGGGCTCTCTATGGGATACCAGCTCACAATCCGGCGCTTCCAGGGAACGCAGTCGGGCTATATGAGTCCGGAGACACGTACGCTCAAGGAGACCTCGACCTATTCTACGCAAAGTACGCCCCGTACATTCCTCAAGGAACAGCACCAACCCTGGCTTCCGTTGACGGCGGTGAGGCTCCAGTCCCACAAGACTCTGAGTACAATACTGGGGAGTCTGACATTGACATTGACATTGTCTCCTCTCTTGTATACCCGCAGACGATCACAGTGTACCAGGTCGATGACATTCCCAACATCGAGTCAGGGGTTCCTGGCTTCATGAACACGTTCCTAGACGCACTGGATGGATCGTACTGCAACTACAGTGCCTACGGGATCACAGGAGACAGCCCAGGAATCGACGCCTCATACCCAGACTCGGCGCCTGGTGGCTACGACCATCCCGAGATGTGCGGCGTCTATACCCCGACCAAGGTCATCTCAATATCGTATGGCGAGGCTGAGTATGACCTCCCCAAGAATTACATGCAACGTCAATGCGATGAGTTCATGAAGCTCGGCCTGCAGGGCGTAACGCTCCTGATTGCATCCGGAGACTACGGTGTGGCAAGCTTCCCTGGCGATGACACCGAGAGCGGCTGTCTGTCGGGCGGTAACTTGACCGAGACAATCTACAACCCCGACGCAGTGTCTTCATGCCCTTACGTGAGTCTCCCTCTTCCGCCCGTCTTGCTTATACAACAGTGCCTGACCAACTCCCAGATCACTTCCGTCGGCGCCACGCAGCTGCAGCCCAACCAGACCATCCATGACCCGGAGTCGGCAATGCAGACTGCATTGGCACCCGCGCCGGATCCGGCCTCGCGCTTCTCGTCCAGCGGTGGGTTCTCCAACTATTTCACGGCCCCAGAGTACCAGAAGGACGCGCTGGCGACCTACTTCGCGGACCACGACCCGGGCCTGCCCTCGTACGTGGCCAACGCGGACGCGACCAACATCGGCGAGGGCGGGGGCATCTACAACCGCGCGGGCCGGGGCTGGCCGGACATCGCGGCCAACGGGGCCAACTTCCGCGCCTTCAACAACGGCACCGACTTCCACTTCTTCGGCACGTCGCTGGCGGCGCCGCTGTGGGCCGCCGTCCTGACCCTCATCAACCAGGAGCGCCAGGCCGCCGGCAAGACCTCCGTGGGGTTCATTAACCCCGTGCTGTATGCTAACCCGGATACCTTGACCGATATCAAGAACGGGAGCAATGCGAACTGCGGAAGCGGCGGCTTCCCGGCGGTGGAGGGTTGGGATCCGGTCACGGGGCTCGGTACGCCGAGCTATCCCAAGTTGTTGGATCTGTGGTTGGGCTTGCCTTAAGATACGTTGTATGTGCCAGGCCAGCTACACGTAGTGCTTGAGGTACATCAGCATATCCCTCAAATTTCAATTGGCACCGATCGTTCTCATACATTGTCATATATATATTGTGTATGATCCAGTCTGAGCTTTGATCCCCTCACTCTATTAGTACTGCAGTGTTCCTTGCTATTCCTGTTAGTAGGCTCGGGGTCTTCAATTAGGGCAGCATAGCTTGGGTAATACGGGTTGACAGTGCAAGACCGCCCTTATTTGACGTAATCTCACAGACAGTAGTACGAGTAAGACCAGGTAAATCGATGACAATGCCAGGAAAGGCAAGGAGCATGTGTTTGGGCACCCCTCTCTCTGACAAGTGTAAGCAAGCATTCCAATTTCACGGTCAGTTGATAACGGCATCCTGGCCACATGGTTTCAAAAGACAATGCACCATAAATCACGATCGAATACTGCTTCCAACAAACTTGCTTATTGCTGTCGGGTCAGGATTTCTTGTCGGGCTCAACGGTGACTCAGTCGGAATATATTGCCACTTGAAATTTCTTCAAGACATGGTGAAATTCTCGAGGTAGACATTACATCGCTGGCTTGCCAAGGCTCTTTCTTATTCTTGCCAGGCTTGGAAGTTATCTTGCGAAATGATTTTGTTTTTTTTTACAGTCTGACCTCCCGTCTTATGCACGTGTATGTAACTCCCCGCTTGATGCTCCCGTCATAACCATCAGGCTTGGCCCCTGCGTATGCTTCGCCAGTCATCCCCACATGTACCATGCTCCTGGCACCTGTTTTCAACATGTGCTTCCTCCTTCACAAAGTCCTCTGACATGCAGGCGGGAAAAACTCAACCAAACCGCCTCTACGCCGTCCCATATCGTGTACAAGGGACGCCGTCTATAATGTAAATCCTCCGAAACCCTGCCGTGGGTCGATTGTGCTTTATTCGGTGTCGATCATAACAAAGGAGAGCTGCCCAGTGAGATCATTCGCGTTTGGGCAGGGCTGCAAAGAACACTGTACGCCGAGTGATGCTATATGTGTTTGCTGAGAAGTGAAGAAGCGATCTAGAAAACTGTGTCACACTGCGAAAGACCTGCTGTTCGCAGATTGTTTCTCCGCCACGAAGTCCCTCTTCATCCACGTACTTCGTCGACCAGTATCATGGAGTGACGTCATCATCAAGGTCGTGGCTCAGTGACGAGCTTCAGGGCTTGCCAGAGGGCTGACTGCATCAAGTGGTGCAGCGTGCAGAGCTGGCTTTGGAACCTGGATGCCGTATTGGCCAGTCGCCTTCTTCTCCAAGACGTCCTTGACCCAAGCGGCGACCTCTGCGTCTTCCGTGCCCGATCGACTGACATCCAGCTTGTCTGCTGCGTTTGCAAGAGCCTCTGCGCTGGCGTCATTCTCGGCTGACTCCTCATCCTCCTCGGTGATAGTCTCGGGCTTGGTAAGAGTTTTTAGCCATTCGGAATTCAGCAAGGCCTGGTAGTTCGGCCGCAGCTTGGGCACCTTGTTCAAGCATCCATGAACAAATTGGCGCGCGGTGTCAGAATAGCCCTCAGTGGGCAAGTCGGGAGGATCTCCTTCGACAATAGCCTAGAAAACGTCAGTAACATGCCCCGCAGAACTGCATGTACACGGGCAACTCACGCTCAGTTGACTGAAGATTGTGGACGAGACTTCCGGTGGGTAGGGATACTGGCCCATGGCACATTCGATAATGGTCAAACCCAAACTCCAGATATCGCTCTGCACACTATATGTACCGTCGGATGCCCCTGTGGACATGAACTGACCGCCGGAAATTCGCTCGGGAGCCATGTAGCTCTGGCAGCCGATATTCGTCCTGGCGATACTTGCTACCAAGTTCCCGCTAACACCAAAGTCGCAAATCTTGACTTGCCCGCGCGAGTTGGCCAGTATGTTTGTGGGTTTCACATCTCGATGAATGATGTTATGCTTCTCCTTCAGCTCCTTGAGGCCCATGACTGTGCAGTACGTGATTTTTCTCAAGACGCTCTCGGGTATGCCCCCGGAATAGAGCTTATCAATGGACCCGCCATCCATGTACTCGATACACATATAGACAGCGCTCTCCTGGAAAAAGGCGCCATAGAAGTCTATTATGTATGGAGATACACATTCGTGCAGGATGACGAGCTCCTTGATGATTGTGCCCAGTTTGGCCTCGTCCAGCTCAAGGCGCATCTCTTTCATAGCCATGACTTTGCCGCTGGTGCCGCCGGCCGTGGGGTCAGTTGGTAAATCCGAAACGTCCTTATCTGTGGGCAGCCCGGCAACGGAGGCCGATTTGAAGCCAGACAAGCCAGGACCGAACCTCGGGGCTTTGGGCTTGCTATGGCGAACCTTGTAGACGGTGCCGTAGTTTCCCTTGCCCAGCTCGTCCAGCTTCTCTACCTCATCGAGGGAGATCCTGAAGACATTGCCATCCGAGAACTCGACGCCCTTGTTGGTGATGATGGCCTTTCCCTTGAAGGTCAAGTATCCCTTCTCCGAGTCGATGTATTCTTCGAATTGCTTCATTTGCGAGGGGGCACCGGTCGTCACAGGCTGTGGGAGTGGGACCGAGCCAGGGGGGCCAGGCGCTGGAGAGCCTGCGGCAGGCGAAGGCCCTCCTCCTATGTCACCCAGTTTGAGCCCGAATTTCCGCTTGCCAGCGAGACCGCCGGCTGCGGGAATTGAAGGCGCAGACTTGGGGAAAGACGGCGCCCCCGGCCGCTGCAGGCCTCCCGGGCTCAGGCCAGGCATGCGCATGTTGCCCGGTAGCCCGCCCATGACGGGGCCGCCGCCGGGGGCGCCGGTCGAGGGAGACTGGGGCGCTGCGGTGTTGGGCTGCGAGTTCAGCGGCGAGCTGCCCTGGCGGGACAGGTGGAAGGCTCGCATCTTGGCGCTCAGGTCGTCGGGGAGATTGCGGCTACTAGACATTCCCGTGTTGATGGGCGGCCGTCGGGCGTTGGACAGGACGCCCAGGGGCGTGGACGAGGCCGACATTGGGTGGCCTGGGTTCTGGGGATCGGAGACGGATCGTAGCGAGGGCATCCTCTTGGGGACATCGCCGGGCAGCTCCTCGGGGGTTGGAGTATCGGGAGTGAGGGGAGGACTGCCCGGAGTGTCTGGCGTGTCGGCCATGTTAATAGCCTGGCAGCCTGGGGAAGGCTCGCGGGGGCAGATTGGGTCGTGGTGTTTGGTGTCTGGTGTCTGGTGTTGGGGATCGAGCAGATCGGAGAGCGGGTGCCGCGACAGACGGTGATCCAAGCCCCTCTCGACTGATCGATGGGACGGGCTGGCTGCGATGGAGGGCAGGCGGCGCCTAGGGGACGACGGACTGGACAAACGGTTGCGTGGGGGGGAGGGAGTCAGGTGTCAGTCAGTCAGTCAGTCCGTGAAGACAGCAGAGGGGATCGGCAGTGAAAAAGAAACGAGGCCGGGCGTTGGGTCTGGGACGGCACGAATTAATTCATGCCTTGGGACGAGCTCGAGGTCTTTCAGTCCCAGTGCGCCGATGTTGTCTGGACGTGGTTCCGTCCGTCTGTCTTGTGTCGTGTCCCACTGTCCACTCGGAGTCCACGACCACGATTTCGCTCTGGCCTGGACATGGCTTTGGCGGCTGCTGGTGCTGGTGCTGGTGCTGGTGCTGGTGCTGGTGCTGCTGCCCGCCGCCCGCTGCCCCTCAAAAATTCGAGCGAGAACCCCGACAGGCGCCTCCAGGCCCCGCCAAGCCAGTGGATAGGCCCCCCGACACCCCGACACACGCCGCACGCCTGGGTAGTGCTCTAGGGGGGTCAACCCTGAATGAGCCACAGCGCGCCAGGTGCAAGACGTCAGTGGCCGCCCAACGCTGCAATCAGCGTCCCCGTCAAGCCACATGCGGGCCCCCCAGCCAGGGCCCAACGTCCCCCCCAAGCTCCAGAACCATCCTGGCGCTCCGTGGCATCATGGCCACCCCTTGACCCCCCTTGACCCCCCCCTCCCCCCCTGCCCCGTCCACAGCAGTTAACTTAGCACCCTGGGCCTGTCATCCGGGCCCGTTTGCAGATCCGACCGCCACGACGTCATCGCCCGCTGGGTCACGACGCAATCATGTCTCTGCTCTTGCAACGTCCAGCGGCCACAGCTGCAAGCCCCAAGACCCCTGGTGCCAGTCATCCGTCCCCGTTGTGTCCCTGGTAGCCGCTGGTAGCCAATCGTCGAGCTCGCCAATTCTGAAACAGCCCTCGACCTGCCCTACCTGCCTACCCGAACGTTGGGGCGATCGGCGCTACCGCAGAACGCTGACGAAGTTGTGCAGAGAGAAAAGCAGGATTGCCCAGGAGTCCCATCTTTCCGCCCGCATACCACGGTACTCCCACGCCGGCTTACTGGGCTGCTGGGCCAGAGACGCACCAAATATAGCATTCGATTGGATTATTCCCACAGGACCCTGATTTTTGGCATCTCAATTTTGCCCCATCCCTGGTCTACCCTCGTATCGTATTTGCAATGTGCCATGTTACGCCTACCATGCAAGCCATCTTACAAGAGTGGCCGTCGCAGCCGAAAACTTGTCAACTTGCAGATAATCGACATTTATGGCCGAATTTGCAGGGCTAGCTCCTATGAGCAAAGTGTAGATTAGATGTGTTCTTCATGACGTGACTCGCTGCGTAATTCCAGATCAGATTCCGTATGCGGCATATCTACTCCCTCAGACGACCCGATCGCTGACTCGTGGGCGGTCCCTATCTCTATCGTCACGTGGGTGGCCATTGAGTGTCACACTCAATTCACCGCTATCATATCTCAAGTCGATACTCACAGTAATGCAAGACTTGGGGTCGCTTATTCTCTGCATCTATTGTAGAAGGCGATTCCCATGCAATCGCCGCAATAGTCCTATGGTTCTCTTCTCAAGCACCCAAAGATTGGTAGAGGGAAGGGGAGCTCGTTGCATCTGGTTGTCCGTCAAGTTATGATTAGGGTGGTAACTCATCCAGTCTCCCGCCGCGTCCGACTGGAGGTTGGACTTCTGCCTGCCTTCACTATAATCAATTTAGCTTACTAATCGGTCTACTATTCTCCACGACAACTCCCTTCAACAGCGGTACATTTATTGCAGGCTTCGGTGTGCGTCTACGAACTAAGACGCACTCTTAACATCCCTCCACTCAGTAGAGACTTCCAAGGAGACGATGCACCAGGTGCGCCTGTAATCACGACAGCTAGAGAAAAGCCTGTCACGCACAGGGTATGGGTAAACGCGTTGTGGGGCTTTTTGCCATTGTTTCTTTGTTCTGAATATACAAAGTGCATCCAACTACTGAGAATATGCATGTCTCGCAGTTCAACAGCAATTGGTTGGCGAGGATTGGCCTATTCCCCTGCCCTGCACTAAACTGAGCAACCTGTATCATAACGGGATGCAAAGCTATTGCCCACAGCCCGAGCCTGACCATTCGAACCTCGACGGTCAAATCCCGCCTTGCCGTCAACATCGTAAGAGATCCAGGACTTCGCCCTCAAGCCAGTCACCCGAACCCAGTCGGTATGCTTACTCTAGTGCCTCCACGCCAAATCCTCCAATACCGCCTCTTTAGGCGCCGTCTTGGACCTCCATGACCCAGTGGGCCGCTGGGTTCTTGCTGAAGTTAGGAACATCGTCCTTGAGGGCCTGCATCTGCTCGGGGGTGATAGCGGCCTGAGACTTGCCGAGGGCCTCGAGGCTCTCGAAAGTGACCTGCAGCACGGCATCGTAGGGGCTGCCCTGACCCACAGGGGTCTGCAGCTTGTAGCCGACAAAGCCGGCGGCCTTCGACCAGCCCGCGATGGCCGGCGGCAGGTGCTTGTTCTTGTAGTAGTCGACGTTGAACTCCGAGCCAGCCGGGTAGGCGATGTAAAGGGAAGCAGCAGGCATTGTGTCTGGGCTGTGATGGAACGAGACTTTCTAGGTTTATTTGACTCAAGGGTAGTGTGACGAGACTGCGCAGACCTGGATCCGCGGCGTCACCGGGCTTCCAGGCCCAGGCCTTTTATAAGCCTCCCCATCTTCTCCGCCCACGATGCAATCTCCGCTCATTGTCGGTGGTGGAGCGGATTGCTAAGCAGATGGGGACCAAGGGCGAAACGACCCAGCGCTCATGTGCCGAGGAACTGCCCATTTCGGCTGCGCCGGGCTCGGGAGATCCAATCAGCTGGCTGTCCCCACTATACTCTGTCGCCTCACGCCTCAGATCAGCTCCACAATTCAGGGTCCTGGAACTGACGAGCACAGCCCTGCGTTGACTGATGCCATGCGCTATCAGCCCCAACACTCAGCTGTAATCGTCAATGTACAAATTCTCTCCATACCGGTCTAGAGAGATAGCGGCGTGTGTTGCACCTCGGGGGATACATACATGTCTCATATGTCACTTCTGTAGTAGCCACCAAGCTTGCCAAAGTCATCGCAGGTAAAGTAAAGAAACGTCAGACTGCCAAGGAATAGCAAAAAGTTCTGGAGAAGCTTATCACTGGTCTGGTGATACCAGTAGACAACGATGTAGGACGTGGTATCCCGTGTTTTATCAACATCAAGATTCTCCTCAGAAAAGGTTTCACAGTACCTCTAGCTCTCTGGTCTCATTGAGACATCTCTATCATCTTCGGCAAGCCCAATTCATATTAAGCGGTACAAAACCTTCAGTCTGTGTTTTGGATGGCTTACACACTATGCCATGATGGGTTCCCCTCCTCCCCCTTCTCTCTCTTTCTCCCCTAATTTTTTTTTTCTTCTCTTGTATCCTTCATCCTGTTCATTCGTGGCAATCACACTGATTCCTCTGGAGTCAGAAACCTCTGGGTTCCAGTATGATTCCTGTGAATGCGTAATCTGTCGTGTGCTGGGCACAAACCCGCGTGGCCGTGATCAAAGTCTGTTGTGTCTGCAGCGGCGACAGGCCCTGATATGACACTGCCGGCATTCATAAATGAAGATTGGCATCTCGTCGCCGCACTCTTCACATTCATCTGGACCCCGTCTGCTCGACCATCGTTCGTGGATGCATTCGTGGTTCAATATCAGGTCCTGCACCAGGGCCTGAACTCGTCTTTGGCGTTGCTCCTGGTCGTTAACGACTGCGCCGCCGATGTTCTGTTGAGGGCGGTTTTCCCCATGGTTGCGCGCCTCAATCTGGGCAGCCCGCTCGAGGAGCCGGTGTTCTTCCCATTGCTCACAAGAGCAAGTCTTCCAGCGAGCACCGCAGGTGTAGCAGAACTGAAAGCCGCATCGACAGCTGCGAAATGGGTTAGATGGTCTCAGGCGAGGACTTGTATCATTCGCTATGAAGGAAAAAGCGATACTCACACCATGTGGTTGCATCCGATAACAAGCTCCACCATCCCCCAGCAGTTTTGACAACGTTGCCAGCCCTCCTCTCGAGCAAGCTGTAGAACCTGCTGAAGTTGTTCATCCTTGGGACAATCTCCGTCGTGCAAAGCACCTCTGCAGGTCATGCAAGTCTGTTGGCTACACTTCTCACACGTAGCTGTCGTACTGACATAATTTGCTGCCGGAATAAACGCACCACAGTCGCGGTCATGGCAATATGTGCGTTTCGGGGTCGAGAACTCAAGGGCCTTCTCTTGGAATTCCTGGACAATGTTTCCGTTGAGAAAGAGGCGATTCTTGTCCACGGGAATCGGCTGTCTGCAGCATCGAGGTGGAAAGAGCGATTCGTCAGTCATAGCATCTACAAACAGCCGCTGAAGACATTCTCGACAGTACTCATGTCCACACGGCGCCTTGGCCACCAAGGCAAAGTGTTTCCAGTCGCCACAGGCCTCGCAATGTCGCTTTGGTTGCGGTTTCGTCACCTGGCGTGAGGCAGCCCAGGCAGAACTTTCTGGTTGGTTGAACATATCCGTATCACCATCGCCATCAAGTTCATAGCCAAGATTACCGTCGTTGTCATCAGCATCCTCAACGCCTGTAATGTAGATGCAAAGAAGTTTCTGGAGAAACTCGGTCTCCTCGTCGTCGATCGGAGGCTCGGTGGCCTGGCGTGGCGGCGCGTTCTGCCCATTGCTGAGTGCGACCGAAAAGTTGTGATCCGCTTCGGCGACCCGCTCCTCATTTTGAGACTGTGCTATCGCATCGCCATCATGTCGAATAGCGTGTTGAATGCTCATCGCCATTCTTTGGTCGTCGGTGAACGCCTGCAAGCTCTGCACCTCTTCAAGGTAGAGCTTGCAAGCGATCTGATAGTCGGTGTCCTTGCCCTCTGGAAGTTTTCCTTTGCCCACGGCCGCCGATACAGCGTGTTCACTGTCTTCCGCGAGCAGCTGCATGATGAGGGTCATATTGTCCTCACTCATCTTGCCGAGATGTGCTGACGACATCGTAACGAAACCTGTGAGAGGCAATGGGTCACTTGCGAGGATCGAATGGTACGTGTCAAAAGAATTGGATAGAAATAAATTCAGATGGTTGCTTTGTTGTTGTGCTCGAAAATTTTACCCAAGGCAGCCATTTCAATGGGAGGGCGATTTCACAATGTTGCCACGGCGAGGAGTATTGTGAGAGACATTTTTTGCATCGGATTTATGGCATTTCTAGTACTCGTCTACTTCATTCTAAGTGGAAACTCCAGCTCATCGGCCACGAGCACTCCACATAAGGAGAGCGAGCCTATTCACTCTTTGCATGATCTTTGTATTTCCCGACGTGACCTGAAACCAAGCCGCCCATATGTATGTTGGGGAGGACTGCACATGCGCGGTATGTAGGCAGTGATCTCTTAGAAGCCGGCTGGACCTTATTATCCCGCTATTACGAGTGGTATTTCACAAGTGTGCAAAAAGCCTTTAGTTGAGAAGGGCCTCAATTCCAGGGGCTTTACGATGCCTTTGTAGACCTAGTGCGCCCGTTCACTTACATGCCTCTCCGGCATGCGAGCTTTATCAACCGCATGAGAGAGCTACCCTGGACTGAGCAGCAGCGTTCTCTTCGTATTCTGCCAGGACCTCAGAATCTTTGATGATGAAGCCATCCATATTCATACCGCTAAAAGATGCGATCGACTACATGCTGAGCTCAAACAGGCCCCTACGAGATCATTATCGTTTGTATACCCTTGGTCCACCGCACCATCACAGCCTAGGTGAACTGCTCTTGTTATTTTCGCCAACCATGAGTGATTTGTACGCGCCTATGATTTGTTCTTCATCCCTGCGATGGCTACCAATGCATACTCTTAGTAGGTGGCGCCTCATTTTGTAATTTAAACCACTTCCCCAAACTCACTCTCTTTGTGTTCCAACATCCATTTACTTCCAAAGCTCACTAAAGCACTCTCTTAAGTCATGGACCAGCTCTCCAGATGATTCCAGAGCCGCAAAGTGACCTCCATGATCATACTCTGCAGCACGATTAGTCACTCAATAGCGTGTGTTTGACTTCTACTGAAGCCGTACCTTTGAACCACTGGCAGTCTCCTGTTGTTGCAGCCGCCCTCCGTGTTACGGGTGTGATATCATATCTGAAGCTTGAGAACCTGAATGGACTTTGATCGTATTTTCGGGCTTGGTGTTGAAGTAGACGTAGTCTTCGTGTCTCACGTTGTTGGTGTAGCATAGACAGCTCGTCATGACAATGGGACTTGTGAAGAAGTACAGACAGAGCGTCGTGCAAAGGTCATCAACAAAATCCTTGTCATCCAAATTGCGGTACTTAGGATCGACTAACTCGTAGTACTTCTCGCCCACCCACATCATGATCCCGACGGGGCTGTCGGACAGGGTAATGCCAATAGTCTGCGGCCGTGTGCGCATCTCCACGGCGTAGCCCATGTGCCACTCGTACCGCGGCTTTCCGAGTCACCAGTTCGTCATGGCTTGCGCTGTGTTCTCACGTTCCGTCCACTGCTCCTTGGGAAGTGGTGGCATGGACGGGCACATGTTTGTGTGAACGGCCTAACAGGTCTTTTCATAGTTGGCCCAAGCTCTCGCACAACCCAATGGCCCCAGTCTCCTCCCTGTGCAACGTACGACGCATAGCCTAACCCTTGCATCAACTGGTCGAACACGCGCGCCGTGTCTTGGAGAGTCCAGTTCCGTGGCGGGCCGGACGACCAGGTGAAGCCGGGGATTGACGCCACGACAGCATGCATAGACTGGTCATGGCCCTCAGGGTTGCTCAGCGGATCGATTCATCGCGAAAACTCATACCAACTGCCTGGCCAGCCGTGGACAAGCAACAGGGTTATGGCCTTGTTTTTGTTCTTTCTGGCCGGCTGGTGAACGAAGTGGATGCGCAGCCCTTCTATCTCAGTCGTGTAGTGTTTCCACGCTGAGATCCGGCGTTGCGCGGCCTCCCAGTCGAAACTGTTGCTCCATTTGTCGTATAATTTGTGCACCCATACCAGCCGGGGGCCCGTAGTCATCGCCAGCATCAGGAACAACCGGTTGATCCGGCAAGCGTGTGTCTTTCAGCTTTCACCACAATCTCATGACCTCTTGCATTGGGATAGTTGGGTTAAAGGTCTGGATATCGAGTGAGTCAGGCATTGTGCAGCCCAACTATAAGCCTTAACTTTGCCCTGGCATACAATCACCAGAAAAGTCTCGTGAACAAAGCAGAGCCTGAGCAGCTGGAGATGGTAATTACATGACCTCATGATAGTGTCATACTATGATATTACTTCACATGAATTTAGGTTCAGCTATTTCTGTTATGCAGCATGCTGTCTCCACATCGTTGATCAGCAAAGCCTTCCACTGTATATAGCCAACATAAAGGAAGCGATTGCCAAAAGCATAGCATCGAGAAAACGATTGAAATATTAATCCGTATTCTGAGCTCTGAGAATTGTAAGTAGCGTTATCGAGGCCAAATCACCTCTGGAATTACGAACAGAGTCATCCATGAGGAAAAGGGGTATAGTAGTTTCCGAGCAGAGAGAGTCATATAACCAACCTCATCTCCAACTAGACAATCATATTGTTTGGAAGAATCAGGGCAAGTAGATCTCAAAACCCGAAGATAAAGTCTGGCCGGTCTCCGAAATACTCATCCCAAGAGACGTGCCCGCCGTCTTCTTTTCTTTCACAGGCAGCCCAGTAGCCTCTGAGCTCGTCGGCTGCAGAGATCGGACCTAGTGTCCCACAAGCCCGCCCGACCATCTGGAGCCCGTTGACCACAAAGTTCTGTAAATCTTCCTCGTCGGGTTTTGCCTCCATGCCGCAGACGAACATAGGAAAGTACACCAGCTTCCCAAGCTGATGCGCGTTGACTGGGTCGGAGAAGATAGGCGTCAAGCAATCAGCGAGCGCCTGCCGACTTTCACGCCGCATGGTTTCGAGGTCGGGTTTGGCGGCATCCCTGCTGGAAAGAAAGTCCTTGTCCTCGGGTAAATCGATGATCAAGGTTCGGGTTGCGTAGAGGGATATAGCGGAATGGTAGATAATTCCAATGTTGAGCCAGAGGTCTGATTCTTGGGCTTCAATTACAATTGGCGACGTCTCTTCTACCTTGACAAGAGACTCCGGAGAAGATTCGGCTGACTTGGGTGTTGTGTCTTTTTGCGATGGGACGTATGTCGGCGGCGAGGAAGAAGCTTCAACGTTGTCGAACTGGACCCCATCACCACTGGGCCGCCAACCCCTGAACCCTTTCATTTTCAGAGCCCATTTGGGAGCTGAGAATGAGTCAAGTTTTTCCAAAACCATGCGTGTTCCAGCGTGTCGTTTTGAGGCGAGCTCTGGTTTTGAAGAGATTGCCCGAAGATAATTGGTGAGTATGAGAACCTGGAATAGCTCTTCGGGACATGGTGCGCTAATGGCAAGATTGGACTGGAAGAAGCCAGGTTCAACTTCCCAATAGTGGAGCGCCATTTTGGTTGCTCGATACATGTACCTGTGGGTCGATGGTGTCGTAGTTGCTGCCATGACATCAATACTACAAGGAGAAACGTTAGGACTGGGGTGTACAACTGGATGCTGCATGGAAGCTTACACAACGAAAAAAGCCAATAATGGTTTGAAGAAGGCGTTCCTGCTCACGATCTCCTTCAGCCCACCCCTCATCTGAATGATGCGCCTCGTGCCTTCCAGATGAAGCCTCCAATCAGTATAAGCAGACTGCTGCATCTGGGTAGACTCGTTAGTTTCTCACGACATCCGGTTCTCACATGTCCACCCACTGTAGAGAGCAGCAGACAGATGACACACATCAGAGTGGAATCACTGGTCTGCGTGTCGGGTTTGCTTAGTCTATTGTTAACTTCCTGTAAAGCCCGCACTCTGAAGTTGAGTAGGTCATGTTCCCGGCTGACTAAGTCTGGACTTTGTTCGAATAGAGGCTCCTCTTGCATCGCGCGATGAAGAGTGGCTGTTGTAACGAGGAGGTTGATATAAATACGCTGCGAGCCAACAGATAAGCATTCATCAGGTATTTGCAGACACGTTTTAAGTAGAGACCCGGCCTGCAAAGTATGTGTTCATTCAGAAAGTTTTGGAAATGCCGTCGAACTCACGGGTATTTGTTCGATTCTAGTCAGCGGAACCCGGTAAGGGTTGAAGTGACCCTCGACCGAAATCAAGTCATTGCTTACACGATCATTGACTATTTGGCATCAGTAAAGGGTCAACAGCCACAATCCATGAACATACAATAGTGTATGCCATCAAATATTATCTGAGCCTCGTTGTACAGCGGCGGAACGGGGTCGTAGGGAATGCTTCCACCGAACGGGTCAGGAAGTGTATGTGGATGCAGTCGCATCAACACACCGCGTCTATCACCCCCACTCGGCGAATTGGTGTAGCCAGAGCAAGGAAACCCGATGGTGGTGCACTGCGAGCAACTTGGCCGGGCGCCATCGCAGCGCACGCGACGATATTGGCAAGTCCCGCAGCGAAGGGACAACATCTGTCTACGGCACTGCGTTGGTGCATTTTCGTCTGCGTCGAGGGGGGATTCCGTCGGAGAGGAGGTTAGGCATCCTGAATGCGCAGAGTATTGGAACATTAAAATGTCGGCCACATTCCCCCGATTCATAGCGAGCCACTCAGTAGAGCCTCACCACTTGGGCTGGATGCAGGGATTTGGAGACGGAACTCCAGCCCCGCTGCGAGGACACAGTAATTGGTCGGGATACGCTCCACCATGCTATCTTGGTTCCAGGCTGGCTACACACGGCGTCTGAAGCACTTTCAGCAAGATGCTGCATCGCCTGAGGGTGAGGAATCGCGTACGAGTAGGCCAGTCCATATTCGCACACCGATCACAGACCCGGCGTACCCGGTCAGCTTCTGCTAATGCTGAACCGGTTTCGGTGCTGTCACGAACGGTCGAGTGGATAGAGGTACGTTCGGCCTAAACTCAAAAAGTGATAACGTGTAGCATGTAACTGTCAATATTCCTATTCCAGCGCATATAACCAGCAGCAGGAGTGAACTCAGGCAGCACCGCAGCATTTCTTGTACTTGCGACTCGAGCCGCAGGGACAGGCTGCATTCCTCGATATCCGTGTAGATACTCTCGACGAATCGCCAGATTCCACGGGCCCACCTCGAGTAACTTGGCCCTCAGCCATGCCTGTCACCTCCGCCATCATAGCATTCATGTCTGCCTGCCCTTGGTCGTTACAGGACTGCTTCTCGCAGACAGGCATCACGAATACGTGCACCACCGGGTCGTTGGGAATGTGCAGGTAGGAGCAAGGCGTCATTAAGGCCTGCTTGGAATCGGCGGTTTCGCAGCAGGCGCACTTCTTCTGTGAGGCTGCAAGGCACTCGTCTTGGTGCTCTTTCATAATAGGTGCCATCGCGGATATGTAGGCCTCACGAAAACCGGGCCCTATGGCGTTCGCGCCGACGATACGGGCCGGTACGTCGTGGTGGAAGACGAGACCCGAGCCGCAGTGGAACTCGATACGCACCCTCTGGGTGGCCATCATGCTAAGAGCTGTGTGAGTGGTGCGATTACATTCTCACTGCGTTCTCACTGCGCTTTATAGCTTACTTGAAATTCAGTCTTGAGGACGCAGACGTATTTACTAACTTAGTAATTGAATGGAGCAATGCTTCGACGAACAGGTCTCAATTCCAAGCGCGGGGTTGAGCATGCACCCGTTTCGGGTTTTCTTCTTGTTTTTTCGAAAGTCGGCATGTCGGATTAAGCTTCTGAGTGCTCCATACCATGGTAGGCCTAACTGCCCTAACAAGCGGGTATCGCTCATGGTTGACACAGGCCATCGCCGCGAGCACTCCAGCAAGAAGGTAAGCACTGGAGGCTTCAGCGGCTACGAGCTATCTCAAGTTGTTTTAGGCTCCCAAAGCGCTGGCGAAGTTGTAAGTCAAGTGAACAGCTGGGGGTGGTATTGACAATCCCTTCCACCGTACAACGGACTCTTGAGCCTGACTACCGGTGTGGTGCAGGCGGCCTCAACCAACAGCATCACCACATGCACCGCGTTGAAGTAGACGACTAAGACAAACTTAGAGGAGTGAAATGTGTAACCATTCCGGCATGGTGATCTCGATGCTCCACTATTCGGGGACATTCGTGGAACTGCCAGTATACTATCGGTGGAGGACCACCAGATTGGCCAACCCAGTCACAGACCCGGTCGAAACCGCCAGTTGCGTGTTGTTGCTTACCGCTTGCATGAGCCAAAGATGACAGTCCACTGGGACGAACGATTATATCGGGGCCACATATGGTCCAGCATTCGTAAGCTTCCCAGATGACTATCACGGTATGCAGGTTTGCTGTTGTGTAATGCAACCGATAAACCGGACCTGAGATCTGATCCAGGGACCTCCAGGGCATTGACAAGGCTCATAACCCATCACCCGCATTTCAAGCAAGGTCGTTCCGGTGTCTCCCAACCAAACTTAACAGTCAGGCACCCGAATAGCTTGCGATGAATACTAATCATCTCGAATGATGAACAAAAAGGGTCATCTTGGCTCGGGCCATGCGGGAAATGCGGCAGTCACCGCAGCGACTATCGTTCACTAAGCCTCGTCAGTGACGACGTGGTGCCCCCATAGCGCACTCGCGCAAACGATGTAGCAGTGGCTTGGGGGACTGACCAGCACGAAAAACGTGTGGAAAGTGACGTAAAACATGCCACAGGCGCAGGGTCCAGTCGGCAGTGGGAGGGCCGGGGGGCTAGCTATCGAAACCCGACTGCTGGGCGAGAGCGGCGCTAGGCCTCAACGGGGATGAAGCTATGGAACAGCGTTCGTGCGTGTCGTCATGCGGCCCACCCCGACAGCAACCAGGCCGGCGGCGCTGGCGCCAGAAAAAGCTGGCAGATTGGGCTTGATGATCATGGGAGGTCAGCGGCATTGGATCGTACTGTAGCTGGCTATTCATATGTTCAGGATCTCCCCCCGGCTCCGACCTCTTCTTCGTCCCATCTCCCCAGTCAATGTGAAACAGCGATAACCAACCTTAATACCTAATATAGCAGCTGTAGTCATAGCTGTAGGCTGCCGACGACGAGCACCAGGATCACAGCTCTTACCAGTGTCACCTGAAGTCGGGTTTGAGACAAGCATTCCTCAAGCCAAGGCACTGCTTCTTGCGACATAGTTGCCCGCAGGTAGGTAACATTCACGAGCCCGAGCTGCGTTGCCCAGTAACTCCAAAGGCGCCGGTGGCTAGCAGTTTTCCTAACCATGGTTACTCTACAGTGGTGATTCAAATTGTGTCGCAACCTTCCCTCGTTGACCCAGACGCCCGATTCTGTACAGCAACAACCATAGTCGGATCGTGATACACACTGCCGCCAAGATGGCTATCTCGCGTAAGTTCAGCGCAGCACTGCAGCCCTCGGGTGGCTAGCCGCGACTAACTCTAGCCTACAGACGCGTCTCTCAGCCTCTTGTCGATGGTCTTCCTCGCTGGAAGCATAGTCATGATGTTCTTCGTCATCCTCGCCGGCGTGAGCAACACGACGCCGCTAAACAACACCTACTTCCTCAGCGCCGACACCCGGGGCATCTCGGGAGCCCGCGATCGCACGCAATGGACATACTTCTACATGTGCAGCCCCGGCAACGTGGACTGCGGTGGCGCCTGGCCTGCTCCCCCATTCGGCTGGGCATGGAATGCGAACCCGTCCAATGCACCTGCTGAACTCGTCGGCAGCCACGGTGGCGAAACCACCAGCCAGTACTACTTTTACATGTGGCGCTTCGGATGGGTCTTCTACCTGATCTCCCTCGTCTTCGCCGTGGTTGCCTTCTTTGGTGGATTTCTGGCTTGCTGCGGACGCCTTGGCTCCGCGCTGGCTGGGCTCACCACGGCCACTGCCATGTTCTTCTTCACTGTCGCTGCGTCTCTAATGACGGCCGAATTCGTCAAGGCTCGCAACGCCTTCAGAGCCGACAACCGTGACGCTGAGATTGGCACGTACGCTTTTGGTTTCACCTGGGGTGCCTGGGTTGCTCTGCTTATCTCGCTCGTCTTGTATTTCCTCGGAAGTTTTGTCGGTAAGAACAGCGGCAGCCGTGGCCTCGGCCGGAACAAGAGCGTGAGAAGCCGACGCAGCTACGACATGGGTAGCCGCCGGGTCAAGGACGACTACTCTTAAATGGACGCTCTCAGTCCTCAATCCAAGGCTCCCTGGATAGCCCAGGAGTCACGACGAACCCCGACCTGCTTTCTGGGCGACAAAAGACTACTCCTCACCCACATGGCGACCCGAATGTCAATAGTTTTCCCTTGGTGGAAAGAGAGCAAGTCGAAATGCATTAATGGCGTTGGCGGCAGCACTGGTCTGCAATTTACATACCATGTTTCACGATCTGATGGATATAATGATACCACAAGAGCCTCTCGTTAGAAAAGTTAATCAACACGAACAAAATAACACTGAATACAAGGCACGTCCATTGCCGAGAAGTCATCAAGGCAACATGTTACGCAAGTGATCATGCATGCCCATGAATGGTATGTCAGCAGCACGCGACGGCCAAAGCTCCTTGCAGTAGGTCAGCTATAGTAAGGTTGACATGCAGTGGTGGATAACCTAAAACCAATTGCACAGTTAACCAATCGTTCTTAGACATGGACACTGAAGTTATCCATTTCTGAAAAAAAGACTGTTGCAAGTGTGTCGTGGAATATTATTGAACAAATCTACCAACTCAGTTACGCCTTGGGATCACCAAGTACCGTCTATTGCGAGAACCACCAGCGATCGGGGAGGGACAGTGACGGCCAGTTTAACACCCTCATATTCCACCAAGCTTAGGCTCTCGGCAAGGTCATAGTCGTTGTTAACCAAGTATGCCGTTGCATTCTTGATCTGTGCGAGAGATTCAATCACGACCGGCGTGTTGACCGTCTCGTCGGCGTTGTTTATAACCTGCAGAGCCAGGTTGCCGCCGGATGGGAAACCTTCTGCCGAAGTGAACGCGGAAACGGTCACATTCTCTACGCTCGAGCTGGCGTATACTCTCTCGGAACCTGGGCGTGCGTAGCGTCCGAAGGCTGCGTAGGCGTAGTATCGCTTTGAGACGATGTTGGTATCGTTCACCGTTCGAATCAACGGGGTTGCCGCGCTGGTTCAGTTGTTAGCAGCTGTTTCGTCCTGACCCTCCGACAGTTTGGGCTTACTCAGATGGCTGTGCGCCCATCCAGTTGATGAACGCGGAGACATTTGCGACTGTGAAGCCTTGGAGAATGCGGTTTGCCCAAGTGAGCCCCTCGCCTCCCCCATATGTCCCGCGAGCTGTAACAGACAGAGGTTAGCGTTTTATCTATTCAACTCTTCCGCAAACCACGGAGGTGTATCGGAGGCGACTTACGGTCTCCTTGGACTGAGTACCACGGCTGATCAAAGAAGGAAGACAGCTCGGCCCACTCGGTCTGCCAGACCTCCTTGTCGGTGTCAAATGGAGCGCCTAGAGGCTGGCCATAGCCATGGGATGAGATCACACCCGTCAGCGCCTCGCCTCCCGCTTCTTTCATCTCAGCAAGAGTCTGACGACCATCCTCCCAACCTGCCCAGTCGCAGCATGTAATCTGTACATCGCCCAGGCCGGCTTCCTCCATTGTTGGCTTAAGCACGGCCAACATATCGGTAGTCTGGTAGCCGTCAGCCTGCATGGAGGCATACGGAACCGAGATATCGGGCTCGTTTAGTGGCCCGAGGTGCGTGATGCTAATTCCCTCCTCCGCGTAGTACTTCACCCACTGAATGAGCTTGTCTGCATACTGCTGCCTCCAGTCTCCAGTCTCACAGTCAGTTCCATTGACTCCGCAGAGGAGACCGCCATTGTCGGTGTTGTTGGTAGACTTCATGTAAGCGTCCGCGCCCCAAGAATTACCATAAAAGAGGTTAACTCCGCGCTTCTGCACCTCCTTCGCCCACCAGATTTGACTGCTGTCGTTGCGATCCCAAACATACGAAGCTGCAATCTCTGGTGTCCCTGGCGAGATCGGTTGGATCGAGTTCATGTGGTCCCCAGAGCTATCAGCCGATGAGCCGATGCCTATCCGCAGAATAGAGAACCCGGCACCAATCACCGGGTCGTGAAGCAGGTCAAACATTTCTTGCTGGCGCTCCGAAGACATGGTGTTGTAAACCCATTGCGCCCTTTGGAATGCCTCAGAGTATCCCAATCCTCTGATGGTCTGAAATGTTTGGTTCACGCTGACGGTAATGTTGGCCGATGTTCCCTGACCCAACAGGGCCAGAACCGGGGTTAAGACAGACGCAATCATCGTGACACTGGTACCTAGATCTACTGCACCGCACAGGAACGAAGTAATTCATTATCTTCTTGGGCTGCCGCCACCTTTTGTGTTCAAAGAGAGGGTTATCTCTGTCAGCCAAGGCCGCGACTAGTCGCGTTTCCCGATGGAGTGGAGAGCCTTGAGATTAGAACGCCGGAGGCATACCCCTTATCGTGACCGCGGATCAAGTATAGTTTTGTCCGATGCTGATACCCGGCGTGCCGTGATTTGGGTCTATCCACCGCGCTCCCAGTGGCACCCATGAATGTAGGCATATTCAATAGATATTTTCAAATTTTTGTCGTTGTTTTTATTATTACACCTAATGCTACACGTAGAGAACATTCCATGTCGAATTTCAAAGCCCCCGGAAACATTGCAGGCCTCGAAAATACTAGAAAGAATTAGCTTCACACTTGTACTCGAGCTAGATCGTGACCGGCAAGAACTGATTCGAGATCGGGAGCTGCGGTGGAGACCATATAGTGCGATCGGCCAGATAGCATTGCCTCAAACTCTATTCTATGTTAGCCTCAATGTATCCCGAACCTTCGGGGCATTCAACTATAGCCCCATCTCGTCCAATGCAGGGAAACCCTGCGCACGGCCAGATTGATTGAAAATCGATTGCGATTCCGTCGTTATGTACAGTGCCCACTCCTTTACCAGTCATGCATTCCATTAGTTGCTACTGCGGTTGATAGGGGGGCCGCATGTTTCGTTTGAACAAGCGTTGATGTAGTTTCGAGCTTCTGAATCGACCCGATGAACCATCGAACCAGCCAATAACACATTTTGGCACCTAGCGCTGTTGCAGGATCGATCCGGACGCGACCACCGACTCTTGAAATATTGCAAAAATTCCTCTTTTTGTCTGACCCTCGGAGCATATTAAGGGCGATGTAGCCTTCATGCGTTCATCGCTCGTATTCCTCGAAACCTGCATTTCTTCAAATTTCGTGTCGGTTGTGGCCAATGACAAATGAGAGATGTCGGCTTCGAGCTCGCACGGCAAAGTAGCTGGCATTTCAAGCCTTTCACAACCAAAATTTCGCAGCTCGTGTGGCAGCTGCGTATCATGCAACTCGTAGGGACCAGGTCGAGGTATACACTCAGAGTGCAATTGTGGCTTTTGTGGCGGCTCGTTGACGATATCCTTTGGGGGTTTGATTCTCTTGGCTCTATCACGTCGTATCTGGAGAATCATCCACAAAGATGCCAGTAGAATGGGAATACTAATTGCAGCAGCAACTGCTATGACGATTGCGCTCGAATCCACTCGTTCAGCGTTTTCAGACATGAACGTAAGTCTTTGTTCATTAGAATGGCTATAATGCACGAATGGCGGCTGGTTTGGTCCACCTACTTGACGTGCGACACACTATGTTGTTTCTGTATAGACTCACTGAGATGAAGGAAGCAGCTCAATTGCAAAGACGGAAAGTCTTCAGTTGAAATCTTGTTGCTCTGTTTGGTTGTTCTTATCAGCTGGTATTTGATTGGGGTACAGGTAGTACAACTGCAAACCAACAACGCACCGAGGCCTAATATAATTAATGTAGACCTGACCTACGAGCTAATCTAATTACAGAACGTGACTACAAAAATTTCCGGTGCATGCAGAGTTCCTCGTGTGTTCAATCTATCCCGCCCCCAGCTGCTGAATTGGGCAAATTCTGGGGGCTATGCTGATGCAGATTGCTGGTACATGGAACTCCAAGGCCAAATCCCAGCCACACAACTTTGGGCTACAGGCACGGAAGGAATGTTGACCGAATTTCGCGCCGCGAAATTACCGACTTGGGCTGCGAGATCCCGGACTGCCGCGCATCAATCTGCAGCCGCCTTACCAAATGAGACCTACGATGTAGCTCACGTACAAGGGGCGCAAATCCTTCTGGATATATCATGCACGGTTCCTAGATTGCTCGAAAGGCCTGAGCTAGGACTTTTCGTAGTGTTTGCCCAATGAAGTTGAAGTCTTGGAGAATCAGTCCCCTTACGATAGACGGCACTGGGTGCTCAACGTGATCATTTCTTGTATACTTTGCGATTGAGAAGATTCAGGTGCTCTTCATATGGGTTTAATGATTTAACACGGGTAAATTGATGTGAAAGAGCGGCATGCAGATCGCCCTATAAGCTTAAGACCAAGATGACATGCACTTGCCCATATAACTGGCTTAAGGCCACCTACTAGTCACTCAATGGCGGATCATCAATCACTGGTAAGGAAGAGCTAACAATTATCTGAGCTCGCGGAGAGCTCTTCACGTATGCAATCTTCTTCAGATTGGAGAAATATCTTAACCAATACATACCCTAAGTTTTTAACATATCCTAGCCATAGTTTTCGTCTTACATTAGACATCTCGTTGTTCTCAAACTCGTTGTCGGGCGTGGGGACATAACAGGAGGAATGTTATGACGCCATGATTGTGCCTTTTGTCTACACGGACCTTGCAAATTTCCATGTCATCTGTCACCTTTCAAGAACGATATGTAGTGGCTTTTGTTCTTGGTTATAGTAATGTGCCATTGATCTAGAAGTATAATACAGTTGTTCAATCTCATACAATGTCATACAATGTTACACTAGCATGGGGTTCCTTGACAGGCAGTCATTGTTGGTCCAGGTTGAGGTGTACAACTCCATCTACTAGAGACCTTTCTCTTCAGCATCAGTTTCTTTGTTCTGGAAATGACAAGGACTGTCAACCCATACACTTTTGGCGGAGCGGCTCCCTATAAGTACATGGGCATATGCGATGAATATACGAGCCAAGGGAAAGAACCCGGAGCTCCTTATCGCTGCGCGCTTTCCCCTAATCACAAGTGTCTACAGCAAAAGTAAACGCCGTAACCCAGGTTGGCGACTTCTATCTCCCGTTATCAGATATGACGGAGGAAATTCGGGAGTTAGCCGCCAGGTCGTGGCCACTGGAAGATGACGAGGCAATGCGCAGGCGCCTGGATAATTACCTTTCGATCATCAGAAGTGACTCAAAGAGGAACAGATGGGGGCAAGTCCTGCTGACAGAAGGAACTGAGGAGGCTATCAGGGATATGTACATTCACCTGGAGTTCAGAGCGGGGATAGCAGAGCGGGCTATGGACGCTGCTGCTCAAGAGGTACATCGGCTGAACAAAGAGCTACAAGGCCTAGTTGAGCAGGTAGCACTACACCAAGATCTCACCAAGCGCCTTGACAAGCTAGGAGAGTACGTCGAGAATAGTGAGCGACCGCGGGACCATCCAACTGCAGCGGTCGGCACGAACGCGCCGTCTGGTTTCACCAATATCTCTAAGTCTGATGATCCCCAGTCCATACTTGATCTACAATCGCGAATTCATGAAGTGAATGCACAACGCGATGAGTTCAAGAGGTGCCTGGAGGAAGAGCGCAAGGAAGCAAACCGATGGCGAGACGAATACGAAGCGGCACGTTCAAGAGCTCTAAAAAGCGATCAAGAAGCCCAAAATGCCAGGTTACAAGCAGATCAGGGAAGCACTTTGGACCAAGAGAAATTTGATAAGCTGAATGAGAGACTTGCAGCCTTGCAGCTAGAAGCCGACCAGGCGAGAAACGCTGCCATTTCCCAAGAGAATGAATGGCAGAGGGTGAAACACGAGCTAGAAGCACAGTTAAGCGCCCAGGAAGCGGAGACATCCACTGTACTACGGCGACACGAAGAGCTCGAAAGGGAAGCCCAAACAGCCCACGCGAAGTACACTAAGTCTCAAGATAACGCCAGGTCGCTGTTCGACCAGATACAGGATTTGAAGGGAAACCTGCGAGTCATGTGTCGCATTCGCCCGCAGTTAGACGCGAGTGACGACGAGTTGGAAAACCTTATCACCTCAGAAGGAACCAACAGTTGCCATCTTCAGGTCATCAACATGGCGAAGAGGAATGCTAGGAATGCGACAGAGGTGGACGAGTTTCAAATGGAACGCATTTTTGACAAGGACGAGACTAACAAGCAGATATTCGACGAAGTGGCCCAGCTAGTCGGATCTGCGATTAATGGTCGTAACGTCTGTATTTTTGCCTATGGACAAACCGGTTCAGGAAAGTCTCATACCATGACTTACCCTTGGAATGAGAAAGCCCTGCCGGATGGCGAAGTGGACCTTGGAATTATCCCGCGAGCTGTTGACATGATCTCTAATTCAATGAAAGAGCGCCAAGATATGTGGAAGTTCAGTGTCAGCGGGAAGTATATCGAGATCTACGCTGAGAAGGTATACGATCTACTTAGAGACAGCGCAAAGAATGCTCCTGATGTCCCCTTAAGGTACGGCAAGGAGACTAAGAACGGAAAGCCTATCGAATTCTATGAGTCTGATAGTATTTCCCTCGATTTGACCAAGAACGGCAACTTTGAAGGCGAGATAAAGTGGATGTTGGAACGTGCAAATGGGAATCGCCGCGTACGAGCGACCGCAGCCAACACCTCATCGTCTCGGAGCCACTCAGTACTCAGTTTGAGGATTATCGGAGATCGTATCGATGGCAAGCCTGGCCGGACGGACGGAACCCTCAACCTCATTGATCTGGCTGGCTCGGAGAAGCCAAGCACGACAGACCGCGAAAGTCAGAAGGAGGGTATCCAGATCAACCAGTCGTTGAGCACACTTCGGAAGGTTCTCGCGGAGATGGCTTCTCCCAGAGCAACCCGTTTCAGTTTCAAAGAATCTACTCTGACCAAGCTGCTTCAATCATCACTCGGGGATGGTTGCATCACACTCATGTTCGTCATGGTTAGCCCTCTTCGTAAGGATCGCGACGAGACTCGCAATACGCTTGAGTTCGCAATGCAGGCGCAGAAAGTCAAACTGCGGCAACCGGTGGAAGCAACAGCTGCTCCAAGGCGGAAAGTTATGTAGATTGAAGAGCTCGCGTCTTGTTCGAAAGTTGAGTATGTCTATATAATGGCATCGCTGTTCAACCATTCGTCTCAGCATACAGAGTGAGAGAAGCAACTGTATGCCATTGATACATCCTATAGAGAGTGCTGCAGTGAAAATGATTCAGTGGAGAGAGAGATTAGCCCAGCACCTCCATGAAAAGCTATGTTCAACACCTACCGTTGCCAGTATGCCAAGTAATCTCATTGCGATACTGCCCATGCCTATAGTCAAAATTTCCCCAGCCACGGGCTCTGCCGGGTAAAACTGTCAATCCAATCGTCTATACTCTGAGAGCGGTTTCTCTGCCGTTTCTTTTCGCTCCCCAGTCGAACATACCAATTGCGGTGGATATGTTGCTGTGAATGCAGCATGCGTGGTTTCAACACTATGCTATGTAATTGAGATGCGCCTGTAGGTGGCTCGACGCGAACTTGACGAGTGAACAGTTGACCTTCACGTCAAATTCTACCACCCTTTACGTTCTTAAGGAGTATCATGTCTAGAATTACTGAGACTAGCCTCTCAAACCACCTCCCAGAAACTCAAGCCAAGCGTCATCGCCCATAACTTCATCCGCAACCTCAAAAGCGTTTACATTAGGCCACATCATGGGAAACACGCTGCCTAGCTGTGTTTGGGGACTCTCGGCGATTGGTTCTACCTGTGTCCGTGCCGTGTCCTGGCCGGGTGATGGATAGATACCCACCTGTCTCTGGCCAGACGCTAGTGCTCCGTCTGTGCCCTGTTCTATTACATTGGCCTGCTGACGTCTCGGTTCCATCTGGTGCTGAGGCTCAAATCCGCTAAGATATTTGCCACAAAGATCCATAATAACTTGGTAGCACCTAGTCGCACTACTATTTGATGGGCTAAGGGCCTCGATGGTGTGCAAGGTAGTCTCGATTTGCTTCGTCCAACTCGTGGCATCAGGTTCGTATGGCCCATTTCGGAGACATATACAGGGGATCAAAGCTGCCTGAAAAAGAAAATACCTAAAACTAGTTCAGCAATTATACCATGCTTTACGGTAGCACAAGAAATCTTTAAGCAGGAACTCCTTTCATAAGTCGACGTTCAGGGTAAGTCCAATAGAAAGGTTACAAACTTACAATGCATACCAAGCCGTCAAGTTATTATGGTCATTCATGGACCAAAAATCGCTTATCATGTCAATGCTGGACTTGGCTTCTTCGAGACATCGCTTGTAAGCCGTCACATCAGCTTCCGACTCCTCGTTAAGTACACCTCTGACATTGAGCGCCCTGCGAATAACAAAAGGGCGATACATGATAATGCGAAAATTGCGTCGTCTCCATTTCATAACGGCATGGGCGAAGGCGTACTTTGGTGGCACGATACTGGTCTCGTTGAAATATGAAGGAAGGTTTGCTTGCCAGGGCTCGAAGAACTCCTGGTCTAGCCATAGTAACTCATCCGCAGTTGGAAGAGGTTTTGAAATTACTCTTGAGTAAATTTCGTTGGTTGATACGTGGAAGCGAGCTTGCACGCTCACAGCGGTGTAGGGTGTCACGCCAGGGTTCTCGGGGGGGTAGCTTTTAGAGTTGGCAGTAAGTTCCTATTACCTGCGTGTGAGTATTCGAGGTGACCGGTACACCTTTCTGTATGAATAGACTCACCCGATCTGTCACATTCATCGGAAAAGAAACCTCAACCCCTTCCAACGGCCAGAGTATCGGTCGGCTGAACGTGATTGTGGCACCCACGTCGAAGACACAAAGAGCCCACCAAATGCGGCGGCGCAGCTCCATTTTCAATGGTGATATGTTCCATCCTGGAAATTCCTTATGGAACCCTAGGCCCGTGGCCATTCGGACAGCTAAGCCAAGATAGTTGTATCCAGAGTTGGGCTTGTCTCGCTTTTGCTGGTAGTTAGAGATCAACGTCAATGCTTGAACAAGAGTGCTGTTGCCCATCTCGAGATAGTCAAATGATAGCATCGATCTTGCATGCGCGAAAAGTTGGAACTCCAGGTCGCTATACGTCGTCGATGAGCTATAGACACCAATCGCAGCAACAATATAAGCCAGTATAGACCAGCTTCGTCCATGTGGCTGGGCAATAACCTCTGAGTATTGAGCACGGAATGTAGGTTCGTGTATGATAGGGTAGCTCAGGTGATATGTCGCAAAATATGAATCGATCATCGTATCCGTAATGTGTCGATTCGGATCCGGTTGTACCGATAATGGCATATGAGGTCGTGGGTGGGAACTGCTTGAGAATGTTCTTGATCTGCTGCTTGGTTCCAGAATACGAAGAAGAGCTGCACCTGAAGCAACACCCAGGTAGCCGCCATCCTTCTCGTCAACAGCGAGTGAAGCCATTCCATCCTTGATTTGGACTTCTCCAGAAGAGTCGACTACAGAGGCCGATGATTGAGGTTGCGTAACATCCAGCTCATCCCACTCAAAATCGTCACGCGGGGGTGTTTCGACCATACCTTGCCCATTCCAGGACTGACCCAATGCAGGAGAGTGAGCAGAAGGGACATTGATGTTGTGATCTTGGGCTGTGGCCAATGGTCGTTGTCGGCTCGATTGGCCTTGCCTGATGGAATTCGCTGACCCGGGGGCCGCCACATATGACTCTCCAGGTGAGTGTTGCTCCGGCCGTAGATCGAATTCTGTGGCACTTTCATGATGCCGTCTTGTCTCACTAAGCTCTGAATCTGCTTCAGGCCCAGCCGTGTCTGCGAGGGATGGCGAGTCTACAGGTGGCCGAGGATCTGAGACAGCTCCGTTGTCCCGTCGCAGCTTCCTTATGAGTGCTTCGGCTTTTTCAAGCCGAGCTTCTACCTCCGTGAGATGCCTTCATTCAAGGTTAGCTGAGTACTATGATGGGTCCCATAGACCACGAGGTACTTCAAACCAAGCGACCAATACCGAATGGCTCAAGGGTGCTTACCTCCTGGTTAGAGGTGTTCGCGCGTGTTTTTCATATAGGCAATGTCGCCTATATTTAACACAGAGGGAACAGATGGGTATTACCCGGTCACACCGAGCCTTCCGTCTGCGACATTCTATACTCACGTTTTAGCCCGAAGTTCCGCTGTGAAGACGGCAAGGATTGCGAACATTTCTTACCTTTGCAACTCTGTTCTGCCACACCAAGGGTCGCGTCTGATGCTGCATCTGATGGCACCGGCAAGTAACTCATAACGCAGACCTGCATCCAAATTACTTCTTTGACTTCTGGCGCTCTATGGATCAGGCATTTGATCGGGGGCAGTTTCGTCGAAATCGAGCTTGATAGCAAACTAGGTAATGTCGTTCCGATCTGATAGGCGGATATATGCTTCGACCGTAACTTGATCAATTCGACTTGATACCCGAAGTTGACTTACGTCCGCGAATATCAGTCATTCCGTCGACCAGGATTGCATGCAACTCGTATCTGGGTTTGTGCAGTCCGTTGTGGTCAGACTGCGGCCTTTCGCGTTCCACTGACCAGCTTCCCCGCGTCTTTCTCCACGGACCCACGGCCTGGAAACTACCTAACTAAGTACCTGCGTATGTACATGTTAGCGCTTTTCTTAGGGCGGCTTAGGCATCCGGTCCAGCGAGGGCATAGCCCCCACTGAGACGCTGGCTCTTCTGGAAACCCTTCTGTCAAGTTCTGGCTGCTTAGGTCACTGCCAGGCCGAAAACGCCAAAATGCGGGGAAATGCATGTTGAAATGTTTTATTAAAACGATGACTATCCTTATCGGCTGTCTAAACTACCTCATGTTGAGTTGCAGCGACTTTTCCGCTGTGCTCAAGGATTGCCGATTCGGTCCCTTTAACTTCGGACATGTCCAACGCTTTCTGGCCGTCGAAGATAACAGCGATCTCCTCCAGCGATCTCCCTTTGGTTTCGGGGAAGAAGAAGATTACTATTGGCAAGAAAACGGCAAGGAGGCAGCAGAAAACGATGTAGTACCTCCACCCAATGTTCTCGATGCCGATTGGATTGCAAAATGCGGCAATGATCAAGGATCCATAAATTGAGAACAGCTCCACCGCGATTCCCTTCGATCGAATTGAATAGGGGAGGATCTCCGTCGGGTATCCAAAAAGTAAGGGGGTCCAGGCGATGTCGTAGTGAAAGTAGTAGACGAATAAACAGACAACCACCACAATGCCTGCCGGTTTCGAGCCAGTCTCCGCGTTCACAGCCGAGCAAGCCGTCCACACAATGTAAGAAGCCAGCATGCCAACGCTGCTCCAGATGAACAACGTACGCCTCCCTAGGCGATCAACGAGAAACGCCGCAGACAGTGCTGCCGCAAAATTGAAGATCTGGAGTAGCCCGTTGATCAAAGTTTGATCGTAGGTCGAGGTGATGCCGATTGTGTTCAAGACCAACGTCAAGTAGTAGCTCACAATGCCTATTCCGTTCCATTGAGCGAAGGCTCCGACGCAAATCGCGATTAGCGTTCTCTTTCGGTTTCCTGGTGTTGCAACCAGAGCACTCCATCCAGTCCTCTCAGCTTCCTTCTCGATTCTTATACTCTGGATGATTTCGGATACTTCTCGAGTGACGAGAGGTGTGCTTTCCGCGAGTCCAGTGGTTTGCCCTGAATGATACCGTGACAAAAGTTCTGTCGCCTCCTCCGCCCGATTCTGTGCCACAAGCCAGCGAGGGGATTCTGGGACCCACCAGATGAAGCACAACTGGACAAGAGGTAAGGCTGCTTGGATGATGGACGGTATTCTCCATGCCCATTCGCCCTGGTATACCTGAGTTCCGTACGTAGTCCACGAGGCAAGAATGGCGCCTGATAAAGTGTCAGCCAGTCTAGTCGCTCTCCAGCGCCCTCAATAGATATTGACGGAGAAAAGGTTTTAGCTTACCTAGGTAGTACATCGTCCAGAAGGCGCAAGTGTATTTCCCTCGGTGTGTAGGATAGGCCAGCTCAGCAATGAGCATAGGGCTCGGTTGTGTAACGAACATTCCTCCGAAGCCTACCACCAGACGTGAAATAACGAACATCGGTAGGTTGATCGAAGCTGCTTGAATTATAGTTGCCACTATGATCGTGAGAATACCGGTAAGAAGAATTGGCTTTCGTCCGAACCTAGGTAGACATAGCAAGTTAGTAAACTGCGTAATTTAATAGTGTAACTAACTTCAACTTGGAAAGAGTCTTTGGTAGGAAAGATCTACATACCTATCGGACAGATCACCGACGAAAGGTATCGCCAAGACGGATCCAATAGACTGTGCAGCATTTACAAGGCCAAGCGTCACGCCGACAGGGCTTCCAAAATAATCTCTCCATTGCTCAAGAGACTGTAACCCGTTCATGAGAGAGCCTACATCTGGTCAGCCCTATATAATCGCGACGTCCTCCCGAGGATGTTCATACCGTCGTAACCCGAGACAGAGGAGGAGAGAAGCGGTATCACAAGAAGGAGATTCAGCTTGAGGAGATGGGACTCTTGGAACCAGTAACGCCCCGTCTGAGGCAGGGTCTCTGCCAAGGCGGCTCCCACGATATCAGCGTCCTTCATTGTGAAAGATAATGGCGTAGAACACAGCCGAGACAGGTATTGTGTAACAGCAGAATTGATGCGTGTGAAAATGGTTCTTTGAGGTGACTGGTCTCATGCATGAACCCACGTGGAGACGAGTGAGGTCTGCAAGTATATATAAACAGCCTCTGGTTAACATTCCAATTGATGTATTCATCTCCATGCCTGCAGCTGCTGGGTGGATTGGCACGGTTCCCCGGATTTGGTCCAGACCTCCCTTGGGGAAGTGGAGCCCATCATGGTTCGAGCTGTGGAGGTTAGTGCCGGACATCTGTCACCCTAGTGTATGTGCGCGCGGAGAAGCTACCTAGGTACTTCGGGATTCCTCGTGGTGTGGTAAAGAGCTGTACGTCATCCTGGATTCAGGCCGTGCCTGCTCTCCTCACTCGTACGGAGCGCGTGTTTGTGGTTGAGATAGTATGTTGCCATGTCAATAGAGCAGACAACCATGGTGTAGCTTCTGCTTTCCAAGCATATCACCCACCCGGTGACTAATGATCTGTAGTCACATAACCTACGTCACAGAAAATGGCACTATCATGTGAAACAGGTTCTTGAGTTTGGATCGAATCACTTTCACATATTCATGTGTTTAAGCTAAACTGATGGTACGAGATCAGCAGCATGGGCTTTGTTCTACCTGGCTGTATATCCTCCATCAACGACGAAATCAGCCCCGGTCGTGTAAGAGCTGGCATCGCTTGCAAGGTATAGATAGACACCCTTCAGCTCTCGAGGGTCGGCATCCCTCTTCATTGGTGTCAAACTGAACCATTCTTCTTTCATCTCAAACGGACAATCTCCCGAGATCTCGGTGTCGATATATCCCGGTGACACGGAGTTGATGCGGCCTCCCCATTTCGCCCATTCAACGGATAGGGACTTTGCAAGGTGAATCTGGATAGGAAACCTGTTAGTGCATGTGGGATGCTTCAAAGATTCATTCATCAACATACCACCCCCGCTTTACATGCATTGTAACAGCTCTGCTCCTGGGGAACATTGGCAGCATGTCCGCTCATGGACGCAGTAAGGATAGCGACGCCATGGCCCTGCTTGCGAAACAGGAGGCCGGCTGCGCGCACACTATAGTATACCCCATCGAAATCAATAGCTCGCACTCGATCCCAGTCTTCAACTTTATCGTCGAGCCCGCCAGCCTTGGACGGAACTCCGGCATTAGCGATGAGGACATCAAGACGGCCGAAATCCTCTGCAGCTTTGGCCACTGCAGCTTCCACGGTGCTGTAATCACGGACGTCGACCTTGTAGGTCCGCACCTTGACATTGAAGTCTTGAGCAATTGTTGCCGCCAGCTTCTCAGCTTTGGTTGACGTATTATACCAAATGGCAAGCTACCGAGGTTAGACGTGGGCCTCAAGATGTGACACCCTCGAATCATCACTTACATTAGCACCTGCCTCCGCAAGGCCTCTAGCAACTTCGTATCCTATACCACCGGCACCGCCGGTGATAATGACTGTTCTCCCATCAAGGCGGAAGGACTTGAAAACACTGTCCTCAATGGGAGGGTTGGGGGCCCGGATTGATTGCCTTGCAGCTGGCATCTTGGTCTATCTCTGATGAAAGTATGCTGTCAAGTGTTGCTTTTCTGCGGGTTCTGCGCCACGTAGTCGGCACTTGTTCTTGTGGAAGGTATTGAACCCTTCCATATTTTTTCTATTCCGTGCTCTTAAACCAAAGGATACCTGGATGATTCCCAGGACCCCTGAAACGTTAGTCGCGGGCGTCTAGGCGCCGGTGGCCCTGATGGCTCAAGTGGTACAGGGTGAGGTTCTCCGAAATATAACATCTCTAGCGCCGGATCCACGACACCCTACAGACAGCAATCCGGGCACACGGAGGTCTCAGGGGTGGAACGAGTGTCCACGTAGCTGGTTGTTTGGACTGGCAGACTGGGAGTGGTCACGAATGTGGAGCTGGCCAATCAACGGCGTGGTTGACAGACATCCGCGCAACTTCGGGCTGGTCCATCCTCCCCCGTTAATGTGGAAACTCTAGTGTGGCAATAACCTGGCTAGATTTAGTTATACATATCATCCAAAGTCTAATGAAATTCCTTAATAAAGTTGTTTCTATTATAACGGGAAATAGAGTCGCGTTTGATCAGAAACCCAGCAAGACGTACAGAAAATGACAGAGAGAGTAAGAATAGGCCATGAATACCAAATGACTGGGAATAATGCTGACTGTTGTAGAACCCCGCTTTCGTACTGCAGTCTATCAGGAACGTCACGTTCGAAGACCGTGAAGTGCCGAAACTCAGGGATGAACATGATGTCCGAGTCCACATTGAGCAGACTGGCATCTGCGGCAGTGACGTTCACTACTGGCAGCGTGGCCGGATTGGTGACTTCATCCTGAACAGCCCCATTGTGCTGGGGCATGAGAGCGCCGGAACGGTGGTTGAGATAGGCAGCAAGGTCAAAAACGTCAAAGTTGGAGATCGAGTCGCTATCGAGCCTGGGGTTCCGTGCCGACAGTAAGCTCGTTGTCCCCACCACAAGATTGTGTATGGCAGTCGAAAGTGCTAACAGGACCCAAGCTGCGACTACTGTCGATCTGGTGCTTACAATCTGTGCGCCGATACCATCTTCGCGGCCACTCCGCCGTGGGATGGTACTCTCCAGAAGTACTACATCGTTGCCGGTGATTACTGTTACCCAATCCCGGATCATATGACAGCGGAAGACGGAGCTCTTGTCGAGCCCGTAGCCGTGGCAGTCCAGATCTGCAAGGTCGCCGACCTCCGAGCTGGACAAACCGTTCTTGTCTTTGGCTGTGGCCCCATCGGGGCGCTCTGTCAGGCCGTTGCAAAGGGATATGGCGCTTCCAAGGTGATCGGAGTTGATATTTCCAAGTCGCGGGCAGCTTTTGCGGAGAAGTACGGAGCCGATGGCATCTTCATCCCAGAAAAGCCGTCAGACCCAAACCTCGATCCAGTCGATGCGTCCAGGGCAACTGCTGAGAAGATAGTTGAACAATTCGGTCTCGGTGAAGGCGCGGATGTGGTTCTTGAATGCACCGGCGCAGCGCCTTGCATACAAGCCGGTATTTTTGCGGCTAGAAAGGGAGGCACATATGTCCAAGCTGGTATGGGCCAGGAGGTAAGTGGTTGTCCTACTCGGAACTATCCAACTTGGTCGCTGATTTTGTACTCAGAACGTTGTATTCCCCATCACAACGGCATGCATCAGGGCGCTGAACATTAAGGGATCTATCCGTTACACCACTGGGTGTTACCCCAAGGCAGTGGAACTGGTAGCATCGGGCAAGGTCAACCCTAGGGCCCTGATTACGCACAGGTTTAAGTTTGAGCAATCACTGGAAGCATTTGAGGTGGTCAAGAAAGCGTCAGAGGATACGTTGAAAGTTATGATCGAGGGTGTTCAGTAGACCACGACATGTGAACACCATGTGGTATCCTTGATAACTAACAAATAGAAAGGCAAATGGAAAGTCCGCAACTCTCCGTGGGATCTATGGTTTCACGATTCACTGCAGCATGCATTTATGGTTTACTGTCTAATTGAAATGGTGCATTGTCACACAAATATTATCGCATTGAGGGTTAGAAGACTCAGCAAGTTCTGTCGGGTGTGTGTGTGTTGTCTCCCATAGCTGAAGGACCGGCAGTTGTTAAGATCCAATAGTGGATCATCGCTAATCGGTGGCCTGGCAATGTAGTCCACACACGGAGGTATCCGTACTTGCAAGCTCCGCCATGACGTATATACTTAGACATAACACAGTCAAAGTATTGGTAAGATTACAGCATGGCTCGCTGTCGTGTGGGGGTACCTGGTACAGGGCGACTGTCACCCTGACGCCGAACCAAAGCGGAGGCGGGGATCGGCTACGGAGGTCAGGGGCCGTAGACCGAGAGGAACAAATCGTGCGGACACGCAACACTACTCCCTAATAGGTCCCGCTTTCGGGATTAGTGGTTGGAATAGTCGTGCTAAGAGTCAGCCGAGAAGCGCGTGAATAAGGATCAGGTGTGATATTTACACTTAGAACTTGACACATTCTGTGCTGCATATACTCAGACTCTACGATTTGACTCAAGCCCAACCTTTATTTTTTTTCCCTCTATCACCGAACTGCCCAAGCTCCAATATGGTTCTCGCTCCTCATCCCAACCCGGAGAGCCCCGTGCTCTCTCACTTCGATCTTTCAGGCAAGACCGCCCTTGTGACAGGAGGATCTCGAGGAATTGGCCTCGAAGTGGTGCGCGGGCTCGTTGAGGCTGGCGCAAAAGTGGCCTTCACGTACTCGAGCACACCCTCAGCGGAAGCCGACAAGCTCGCTGCCGACATTTCGGCAGCTAGCAATGACCGCGCGGTGAGAGCTTACAAAGTCAACGTTCGGTCAAGGACTGAGATCGAGGCTATCGTTGAGAAGACTGCAGCGGAGCTGGGTGAGGGTCGGCTGGACATCGTGGTGGCCAATGCAGGGATTGCCACGCATATACCTGCGATCGAGTATCCCGAAGACAAGTTCCGGGAGATGTTTGACGTGAACGTGAATGGCGCCTTCTGGACGGCCCAAGCGGCGGCCAAGGTGTTCGAGAGGCAGTGGAAGAAGGGAGGGGAGAACACGCCACACCGGGGGTCTATCATCTTCACGGCGTCGGTGTCAGCAACGCTGGTGAACGTGCCCCAGAAGCAAGCCGCCTATAATGCTAGTAAAGCTGCACTTGTGCACCTCTCAAAATCTCTAGCTGTCGAGTGGGTCGATTTTGCCCGAGTCAACAGCGTATCTCCGGTATGTTATTCCCTGAATAAATTAGATTCTGAATGGATGCTAATATCTAACCGGCTCAGGGTTTTATTGACACTGATAGTAAGTATTACTGACTGGTACTCTATTTTATTTGCCTTCAGTTCACTGACTATCATGAAAGTGCTCTCGGTTCATCCCGAGGAATGGAGGAAGCAGTGGTTCAGCATGATCCCAGGCAGGAGACTCTGCAAGGCAGCCGAACTCAAGGGAACGTATGTTTATCTTGCGAGTGACGCGAGCAGCTACATGACCGGTAAGTGATTCGAATCAATACTGCAAGCTGTGGGCTGACATCTATCTGTAGGGGCGGACTTGATTATTGATGGTGGTTACACGCTCCCATAAGTGAGAGCAAGATTTCCACCGGTATAGACTGGTATAGAACTATGGTTCGTTGCAACTTCTGCGGATTATCCCACGTCATCTTATATATTCAAGTGGAATAAGCTTGCCTGCGTCGGTTTCTTCGCCAAGCTCGTGTTGATCTTTATTAACTTTGAACTGCGCCATGGGCTTCGCCAACCTGTCAATGTCATACTTTCTCCTTTTCGGGTATTTGGCCACGGTAATATACCGGCGACCCTTGCAGCTCAGCCCGTGGCTGGCCGTCCAGCTCCATCTGCGGCTCGCTGCTCAGTTCGGCACGTGGGTCGCCTCCAGATTCTGCCCTCCAAGCATGGCCCAGCCACAACTTCCAAGTGGTCGTGTTATTGGAGTCCAACTCCTCGGCCCTTTGGTGCGGCAGCCGCCAGCGTTGACGTCTCTTCCAAAGGCAGGCAGATACATAAGCCAGCACTGCAATACCTGAAATTGCTGCGCCGACTCCTATACCGATCTTGGCTGCCGGGCTTAAACTTTGTTCCGAAGCAGCGCCTCGTACATCTCCCGATGTCGACGGCGGAGCTGGATCCGTGATCGAGTTGCTTGTCTGTCTGGCGCCTGTGAATGTTGCTGTAGGTGTGCTCGTAGCCGTAGAGCCTGCAATGAATGCTCGACGTTGCGCTTGTACATCGCTCGGAAACAATCCCAAGTCTGTGGTGTGCCATGCCGCCAGCATAGGAGTATGAGAGGCCAGCCCGCCTACAATTTGTGACCAAGTATCGGCCGTGGTGATTTCTGGGGCTAGAAGGATGCTGCGCGCCTCGATGAAAATCGAAAGGCAGCCGGTGCGATCCCATGAAAAGCCACTGTGTTGAAAATGTACGATCAGTCGCCCATGTTCTACAACGGATCTCCGCCCTGTCCCAGACGCGGCTTCCAGACTCACCTTTCACAGCAAATATCGACATACTCGTCGCCGTTCACACTGACCGTCACTGATGTCATGTGGCCGGGACACATGCCCGGTGAATATGAAGTCGCACCGGCGACCTCACATCGGGCATTGGACGGGTCTAGGGAGCCGCTCTGCACCATGGTCTGCATACCTGGTCGCCCATACGGGTGAGACCAGGACGAGCCCCTCATCCATGGTGGACCGCCCCACGAGCCACGATATAAGTAGTAGCGGCCAGTACATGAGCTAGACGGGAAGATCGGCGTCGTGAGCGGTACGTGGCTTGTTACAGGTTGTGTTCTAGGGTCCGCATTAGGCAAATCGTGTAGGGTGTTGCTGTCATGACATACATACTGGGTTGATGTAGCGGTAGGGGTTGTGTTTATAGTTTCTGAGGACGCAGGAGCTGCTGGCTCTGACCCTATAGAGCTTGGTGCTGCTGATTCTAAGCTTGAAGTAGCGTCGGCGCGTTTCGCACCAGCTTTGATGCTTGCCCGAAAGCCATCATAAGCTTGTATCATTGGCCAATCGGAGCCGATGGAATTCCTATCACTGCTCATGGCGTATGCAGCTCGTATTAAGATAGAACTGATAAGTATACGCTGCGAGAGAATGCCACAGCAAATAACGATAGAGCACAGCGCATGCTCAATCCAGGGAACCAGCATCACTAAACCTTAACTCATTTCACAAGAAAGCAAATGGAAACAATGAGGAAACAGTAAGTTTCATTCCGGGTCGCAAAGCATAGTCCTACGTTATTTACCACTGGCATGTATGCGGCACATCTTCCCCAGACCATCCCACCGGTCTAGGTGACGGCGCGTAGCGATTGGGGCTATAACGATGCGGCGTGGGCGGGAACGTAGCATCTCAAGTCGAAAGAGCACCCAGGTATAGTAGCATTGGGGGCAGTAGCCATCTCGCCACGGAGCAGCGAAGACGCGAGAGTCGTCGCACCGGCGAATAAGATGAAGCAATCTCAGGTACCCCGGCAGTGGCGCGCCCTTCGGTCCCGAAGCTCGATGATAGTATGGCATTATGCAGGGCTGTAAGTGGCTGGATATGCATGTAAGACTACCCGTGGAAGAGCCGTTGGGGGCGATGACGGGAAGGAACCGCATAAAGTATGGGAGCGTGCCGGGGCCGCTGCTGAGCCTGCATCTAGCCTGCATCTAGGTATTATTAGGAAACCCCCCAGAATGGAATACCAGTTTCCCAGGGGTGTGATTGTGTTACACCGTCAACTACCGGGTCTTATGAGCAGTACCCAATGGACTCAGTTTCTTGGGCAAAGTCAGCACAGGCATCTGTTCCTTCGATATCCAGGCACGTAGTATTGGCAGCTATTGGTGTTGAGGAAATACTCTCGTCTACTCCTGCGGATCAACCGTAGACTAATTAAAAATCTGCTTCCGCAAACCGTTCACGAACTCCTGGTCGCCATACTTTCCGGCGCGTTCTCTCGCCTTGTTATCCGCCTCGCGTGCAAGACGATCACGTTCCTCCAGAGCAGCCAGTCGTTCTTCCCTGGTCTTGTCCAGGTCAGATGCGCTTGCTTGCATGGCTGCCAGCTTCCGGGCCCGTTCCTCCGCAGCTGCCGCACCGTTCGCGTTTGACCCTGCACTGTTACTTGAGCCATTCCTGCCGTAGTCTCTCCCCATAGACCGACCGGTACTGCGTGCGTAATCGCGGGGCCGGCGATCATATCCATCGGGGCCATCTCGTCCGCCGTCTCGTCTCTCGTGTCGGTCGTATCCGTCTTGTCTGCGTGTGTCTTCAGGACGTCCACGATAACTGCGAGAATCTCTGCGTTCCTCATCGTCCGACTCGTCTTTCCTTCTGCCATTGGAAGGAGGCTCGTCCGAGTAATCTCGCCTCACTCTGTATCGGTCCTCGTCGGATCTTGACGGACGGGGGGTCCGAGAGCGCGGAGGTCGATCGCGTGAGTCCGATCTGTGACGGCTATGTCTTGGCTCGCGATCCCTCGGGTCTGCCCTTTCCCTGGAGTCTGGGCGATGATGGCGTCGGTGTCTGTGCTCCCGGTCTCGCGAATGTGACCGATGCCTGTGACGATGCCGCCTGGAGGATTGTCTGTCCTCCTTGCTGCGTGATGACTTGTCGTCCGTCTTGCCGAGTAAGGCCATGAGCTGCCGTTGTTTGATGGGGTCCTTCATCATGGCCTCGTAGTGTTCCTGCTCCTTCCTCTTCATGGCGAGCAAGGGGTCCTCCCTGATCTTCATCGCGGTGTCGCGGTCGGTGTTGGCGTTTTGCAGGGCCATGAAACTGTCCTGCCCGGCCCTCTTCTCCAGCTTCTGGTGGTCGGTGCCCTTGATGAGGTTGTCTATCCTCCGCTTGCCCAGCAGGAAGCCTTCCAGCTCTTCACTGGTGCCGCCGTGGCCGTCGGAAGGCCCCTGGTACATCCACTCGACGCGGTCGATGCGCTTCTTGCCGCCGGTGGCCTCAAGCTGCTTCTGTAGCTCCTCCTTCTGGCGTTCTTCCTGAATCTCCTTGATGCGCTGATCGGTGCGCTTCTTCTCAGCAAGGGCTTTGGCTTCTTCCTCTGCCACCCGCACCTGATTGCGCATCAGGGCGGGGTGGAAGGACTTCTTCAGATTCAGATCGCCACCACCCATCTTGATGGATTTCCGGCTATGTCGATCGAGCGAGAAGTGCTAAGGCGCAGGAAGTCCTGGCGGTCGTTCTGCGAGATGGGGCGAGAAGGCTTGGGCGGGATCGAAAGGATACCTGGTAGTCAGACGGGAATGAAGATTGAACAGGAACATCCAGCCTTCCGAGATTGTTTGCCACCAGCCGTTGGTCACCCAAAAGTTAGCGCCCGACTTGAGCCACCCAAATTCTTAGCGGGGCAGGGGCCTAGGGACCTGGCCTGGGTGCCTGGGGCCGGCGCCCGGGTTGGCTGTCCGGGTGAACCGGGCCTCCTGGAACTGGAAGTGCTAGAAAGAAGGTCGTCTTACACTGATGCCGGGTGGAACTGTCGGTTTCCGTACTATTGACGACTGGAAGGTACATAAAAGGCTCAGAAACATATATTGAATGTTCGTCATTCAAGCCGGAAGTTATTGGCCGCTTTCCAAGATATAACGGCATCTTGGGCCTCTCCAAGCTCTTGAGGTGCTACGTAAGTACACAAGGTAGCTGTTCAGCTGCAACATCAACTGTGTTGGGCCCACTGGGCCACTGGAATTACCCCGCGAACAGGCAGACAAGCTCCGATAAGATAGCGAGGTCCTGCGCCTTTCAGTGCAGTACACTCCCAGCGCTACGGTACCTCGAGAAGCTCTCAGCCTTACTTACTAGTTATTGACTCCAGTTGGATCTCCATTCGTGACCGCATATTGACTGCCCACCGATACGGCACAGACAATCGTTCACCATCCCTTAGCGATCAACCTCAGCTTGCGCAAACGTGCGGCACGACGCAACATACGAGACGCCTCTCCATACTACCCAGGTATCGACCAAACTACGGACCCTAGAGCCGAGGATTGCCTCGCGACTAGTCCCCCTCCTCGTCCATTCCCTCCCTCTCCCCGGCTCGCCAACGCTGCTTCACGAACCCCTCCACCGCCACCATGTCTGACGACGATTTCATGCAAGAGTCGGACGAGGAGCAGTATGTCGCCGTCCCTCCCGTTGCTTCCCTTCCTCCAAAGCACACAAATTGATCATCTCTCGCCAGGTATGACTTCGAGTACGAAGACGACGACGAGGAGGAGTCGGGCGATGTCGACATCGAGAATAAATATTATAATGCGAAGCAGATGAAAGGCTCCGATCCCGAGGATGCCGTCGCCGAGTTCCTAGCCATACCCGCCTTGGAAGACGAGAAGGGTGAATGGGGGTTCAAGGGCCTAAAGCAAGCCATAAAGCTCGAGTTCAGACTGGAGAAGCACGATGACGCCGTCGAGCACTACACCGAGCTCTTGACCTACGTCAAGTCGGCCGTCACCAGGAACTACTCGGAAAAGTCCATTACGAACATGCTGGACTTCGTCGAGAAGGAGTCGGAGAACGAAGGCGCCCAAAGGTGCCTCGAGAAGTTCTACTCCCTCACTCTCGACTGTTTTCAGAGCACAAACAACGAGCGGCTGTGGCTCAAGACCAACATCAAGCTAGCCAAGCTTCTACTGGATCGCAAGGACTACCTGGCTGTCACCAAGAAGCTGCGGGAGCTGCAAAAGGCCTGTCAACGCGACGACGGCTCCGACGACCCTAGCAAGGGCACCTACTCGCTCGAGATCTACGCCCTGGAGATCCAGATGTACTCCGAGACGCGCAACAACAAGCAGCTCAAGATCCTGTACCAGAAGGCACTCAAGGTGCGGTCCGCAGTACCCCATCCCAAGATCATGGGCATCATTCGGGAATGCGGCGGCAAGATGCATATGAGTGAGGAGAATTGGGAGGACGCTCAGAGCGACTTCTTTGAGTCGTTCCGTAACTACGACGAAGCTGGTTCACTGCAGAGGATCCAGGTCCTCAAGTATCTCCTACTGACTACCATGCTGATGAAGTCCGATATCAACCCCTTCGACTCCCAGGAGACCAAACCCTACAGGAGCGACCCCCGGATCGCCGCCATGACCGAGCTTGTCGATGCCTACCAACGAGATGACATGCACCAGTACTCCAAGGTTCTCCAACTGAACCAGGACCTCCTGGCTGACCCCTTCATTGCCGAGAATATCGACGAAGTTACTCGCAATATGCGCACCAAGGCCGTGGTCAAGCTCATCGCACCCTACACGCGGATGAAGCTTGCCTGGATAGCGAGGCAGCTCAAGATATCCGAGGCCGAGGTGCAGGATATTCTGGGCTTCCTGATTGTCGACGGTAAGGTCAAGGGCGAGATTGACCAGCAATCTGGCACCATCGAGATAGAGTCCGATGGAGATGCCGAGCGAGTAGACGCCATCGAGAAATGGTCTTCGGTGCTGACCGATATGTATAACACCATCTTCTCCGAGGATGGCTTCAAATCAGCAGACACACAAGCGCCCGACGAACAGACTCAATTCGTGGCCTCACTGGGCCCACGCATGGGCATGGGAGGAGGTAGACCCAGGAAGGGCAAGGGCTACCACCCTCTCATGGCATAATTCATGATTCACTAGAGCGTTTGAGCATTAAGGAGCCGGACGGCGAGCATCAATACCTGCCTGCAAGGGCGATATGGATTTCGTTTGGTCAGTGGACGCGCTTCCTGGGTGCTGTTGGAATAGGTCAGTCAGACAGAAGTACCTAGTGGTATATGCACGATAGTATTACGAATAGCAAATGAGGCACGCCCATCTTGATACAATCAATGACGACGAGCCATCCCGTAAGACGCCGAAATGAACTTGTGCACGTTCGTTCGTTGTAGTACTGCAAGCGTAGACGGAGTATTTATTGCACTGCTACATACCCGTTGCCAGGTCTTGGAATACCGTCGGCATGGAGATGCAGCAATTGAAAGGCACGAGGGGAAGTGAGAGGAAGAAAGAATGAAGTGGGAAAAGGGCAAAAATAATGGAAGCGTGCTTTCTTTCCATCCGCGAGATGCAGCGCTGAAGAAGACAAAAAGAGAGGAGGTTGTGTTGGCTTTCATCTTTTGCAGATGACACAATGCTTGCGGTGAAGGTGGATCGAACACCTGACCTCCAGATATCGAGACGGAAGTATGACTTCAGTCTGGCGCTCTCCCAACTGAGCTATCCCCGCTGAGGTTGACGGAGTGAAGCTAATCACTGCCCTTGTCAGCTAGTCCTTCCGAGCCCCACCCGTCAGCATACTGATGCGGGCCTGATCCTCGCATCTGCATACGCAAGCAACATTCTCAGACACCGAACAGAGCTGAACCAAAGAATAAACGTGCCAGTATTTTTGTGTCGCAACTGTCTGTGTTAATTAGTCATTGTATTATTTTCTATTCTCCATCAATGGGCGGCACACTTGAGTTCATTACGATCAGCTGTGCTAGTGATGTTTGAATTTGACATGGCCAACACTTTTTTGAAGTCTCATTCGAGAAATCGTTGAGGATCATCACAAGCCAGACACACTATACACTACTGGTTTCAGGTGGCTCAATTCGGTTGATTCGATGAAGAACGAACAAATCTAGCCAAAAGCATGCCGCGCATGATGTCACTACATACATACAACCTTGAGTTCGAACTGTTATACACGTCATTTAAGGCTTTATGATAGGTATTATAGCCAACGACTACCAAGTCTTTGAGAATGTTTCTGAAATTACCGAAAAATGTATGTTGACGAAATGCTCAGGAAAGTGGTTCCGTTCGCCGTAATTGGCTTTCTGGCTATGTAATTGAATTTCAAGGGGTGGTCGTGTATAGGAGCCGTGAGTCAAACCAACTTGCAGCCAAGAGACGCTCCTTTGATAGAGCTGAGTGAGATCATATTATATTGCGTCTATGATAAGCGTTAAACGTCGTTGAGAGACTCTCTCCTCCCGCAGCAAAGGAGGCTTCATATCAGGGGGTCATGCAGCTCGAGGGCCACAGTCGCCACCCAATCTGCACTACACCCGAGCGAGTATTCAATTTGAAGAAGATACAAAGCGTCCAACCCTCCTCATCAATTTGAAGTCTCTATAAGCTTGCTGATACTCACAAAGTAAGAACTAATCCCGCCGGAGGACGGTTAGTATACGCTTGGGCTTCACGCAACCGAACGAGTCAGCTCTAGCACTCCCAACACTTTGAAGATCAGCACCAATTGCTCGATTTGGATCTCGAGCTAGGGTGGATTTCCGCACGTTGAGGAAACATTCCGTCTGTCGAACTATCATGCACGACTCTTTGAATGTCCTCCCCCGGGCTGCTTCTAGATCATGGCGCTACTGGGTATAGCTGTTCAGATCCCTACTTGCCTGCTACAAGACTGAAAATGAACAAGGCCATAGCCAGCTCAATGGCTCACTACATGAAGCTTCATGCAGGCTTGATACATGAAAATCAATAACAGACGCGAGAGCTCCTGGCCTTCACATTCTGCATGGCCTCGCATAATCACCTCAGAAGTACAGGTTACGGTACGACGCAATTGGTTCCGCTCGTACGGAATTGTGTGCAATCCTGACTCGGGACAGCCAATGGCCCTACAGGGCCGGTGATCTCAATCTGCTAGTCCAGCAAAACTATGCCGAAAACCGTACACTCTAGGAGGGCTAGTGATAAGCTTAGCGCGGTCGAGGCCGTGCTCCGTAGGCCCGAGACGACGATTTGTGGCATCATTCCGCTGTGCCGCTATTCTGGTCTGACCTAGTGCCGCGTGGGGAGGGGGTTTCGCGGGGATAAGCTTCTGGTCCTTGGTGATGGGCCAGTCTCCTCGATGCATTCTCGGCGCTAAGACCCCTGGCGTCTAGGGTCTTGCATCTCACCACGCGATACAATCCAAAGAACGCCGGGCTCGCGGCACTTCAGACGGTGCGAAGATGATATCCAGCTAGGTCGTCTGCACAGTCTCCACCACTGCATCGCGGAGTCATGGAGAAGGATGACGGGGTTATGGGGAAGAAATCATGGGGGATGGGGTTGGAAAGATGGGGTTACGGGGAACAGCGTATAAGAATGTAGATATAAGAAAGGGCCTGTCTTCTGTTCCATGGACCCAATTGCCAACCTTGCTCTTAACAAGACTCAGAGCATTAATAATACCACAATTTTGGAGCGAAAGCCACTCTTTATACTAATCGTTATTATCGGTGACTCTTTGCAACCATGGCGGAATATCCAACTCACAATGGCAGCAACCACTCTCAGCTCGACAAGCACATGAGCCCTGACGAGGCTCTCCGAAAAATCCAGACGTCTGGAAGTATCGCTATAAGCCCGGAACTCTTCGAAAAGCTCTATCTATCACCTCAAAACAAAGTGAAGGGCGAACTACGCAAGACCTTTGCCAATCCCACGCCAATGTTAGTTGATCAGTCGCACCTAGCCCCCTAGTGTGAGCATGTTAAGTAACACCCCAATCTTAGCGGCCTGATCGGTTTCATTACCTGCCTCGGTCCGCTTGCCTGTGATCTGATGGGATGGCGAGGGGCTGGCGAACTCGGAGCTGCCAGCATGTGAGTAGAATTATGAATACACGGGTCTGGTCTGGACTACACGCTAATACCTAAGCCAGTCCTTGCTTCTTCTTCTTCGGCGGTGTGTTGATGATCACTGGTGGTCTTCTTGAGTTCTTCCTGGGCAACACCTTTTCTGCAGTGGTCTTCTTCACCTTTGGCGGATTCTGGTTGTCGCTCGGTGGCACACTCCTCCCGCAGTTCGGCGCGTACGCAGCATATGCTCCTGCTGATGCCGTCTCGCCTGCTGCCGGACTCAAGACTCAGGGATTCAATGCTAGTTTTGGTAAGCATTTGAGTGGCATCAATGTCTGTCTTCGACTAACAGTTATCCAAGGGTTCTTCATTTTATCAATGACCATGCTCTGTTTCGTATTCCTCATCTGCGCTCTGAGGACCAACATTGTCTACGTCATCATCTTCACTACCCTCACTCTCACTGCCGGATTCATCACTGGTGCATACTGGGCGATGGCTGCCGATTATGCTGCAAATGCTGCGTTCGCCGAGAGGTTGCTCGTTGTAAGTTCTGGTAAAAAATGCATACGATGGAGAATGTTGTCATCTAATGTGTCATACAGGCTGCTGGCGCTTGTTCGTTCGTTACTACAGCCTGCGGTTGGTGGCTTCTGTTAGGCATTATGTTGGCATCGGTCGACTTCCCTTTGGCCTTGCCCGTGGGAGATCTTAGCACTGTCATCCGCGGGGCGAGTGAGCGAAGAAAATCTGCGGTTTAGATGCACTTTGGCATACCCGCTACAAGAGCACAAACTTGATAAGTGGTTGGATTCAGACTTGAAGTTGAACTACAATGATTGCTGTGGGGTTTGGTGATGGCAAGTCGGACTATAATACTAAAATGTTTGTAATAATATAGTGAAGTGCGTATTAACTATTTCTTGAATCAGACTCGTTTCAATACACAGTAGCTTGTTCATGGTATGCATGCTCATTGGGTCTCAAGTGTAAATGACAGTGCGTGATAATAGAAAGCTGCCGGAAGCGTCTAGTTGAGGCCCACCGGAGCCGGCAGTTGTGAGCCCCATAATTTGGGTTTCGGGCTAACAGCTCAGACTACCGGAGACCACAGCCAAAGTTTTTGCGAGACAGCCAACGACTGCAAGAGGAACGACTGAATTCCAAGGTGCTATGAATGCAATTGTACTGGCAATTAGAATGTGTTGATCGTTGCGGCTTTGAGCAACTCGCTTTTCTGTACCTGCATGAATGTGAGTCCTGATTAGGAAGCCGGGGCAGAAATGAACGGAAGTCTTGGCTTTCCAATGAAGCTTCGCAGAGGCACTCGTCAAGTATATTGCCAGACAATGCAAACGCGGGGAACCACCTTTTCTCATATGCCCTTATCCAATCGAATCGTAGATTTGCGTATTTCATAGATTGATAATAACCTGTATCTGAGTTGGGAGCGGATAGCCTCCTGAAGTTGAAGGTTCATAATCGTCGCACTGTCATGTTTCGAATAAAAGTTTGGTCGGGTTTCGATGCTAAAATAGTTTATCCTGAGCGGAATACGTCAGTTCCCAATGCGCTCATATCATCAATGAACCCGCAGTGATTTGGTGTTGCTCGAACTTGTGCCACCCCTTCTGGTCCCCCAACTGCCAAAAACGGCAACCTCCCGATGACAACATTAATGCGGGATCGGTGATTGGCTTCACAACGGGAATGCCCGTTGATCCCGAATGTCAGAACCACATCAGCGGACACTTCGAGACCCAAGTTACTTGTAGCTGCATGGAAACATGTGTGTGTCACGGGCCGCCTCAATTCTGTCATATAAGCTGTTGCATCCCGGATGCTACGCGGCGTCTTGATGACATGACGCACACCAACGGGTTGCGACGCCGTTTGCAGCTAGCCAGGCATCGTCTGAGCAACATGATGGGCCGGCCGACGTCTATGGTCATGGGAGAAGATCTCGCTGATATCGTGGCGCGGCACCGCGCAGAAACAGCAGCCAAGCTAGAAGGAAAGATTGATCCCATCGTCCCTATCAGTCGACAGCATGGCGCGCCCTCCAAAAAGCGGGAAGGCCGTGCGCCACGAGACAGCCATGGTGTCAAAGGGTCAACTAGGAACTCAAAGAGAGATTCGCGTCTGTCCATGATAAGCCAGCACCTTGCAATCTCGGCGGCAACAACAGGTGCTGGCCACGGCCCGGGTGCATTATTCGCGGACCTGCAAGCTAGCCAACATGAGGAGAGTTGCGTTTCACATCGACAGAGTATCTTCCATGAGGATATACAAGAACAAAGACCTGGCAATCCAGTTCCTCCGCAACAAGTCAAAAGGTGGAGCCGGTGGCAATATAGCATGATCAACCCTGGTTTAGGTCTTGGCCATGGAGTGCATAACGACGACGAGGCTGTATTCTCGGAACAAGCCAACTACATTCGAGCTATGATTGAATCCGGAAATTTCGACATGCGGCACCTTCGACTAACCAAAGAGGCTGCTTCGGACCCAGCATTCCAGACGGCACTCCATGCTGCCTTAGAGAGTTTCCCACCAGGTGTGGCAGCTCAGATCATCGAGGAGGCCCATTTGCACGAGGATATACGTGATGAAGATGTGCCGAAACCCGTTTCGCCTTTGCGAAGGGCAAGGCACAGCATACAAATTGCTAGCAGGACGGCTTGGCAAGATATTCGCACTGCAAGTAACAGATGGTCTCGGATAGGCCCCCAGAGACTCGCGGATATCAGAGGATACGAAAAGCCACGGTTGGCTCGGAGAGTATGGTCGAGAGTCTCCTGGAATCGGAAACCCACGCAAGCTATGGCCTTTTAGGCGGCAAATTGAGACGAAACAACCATTATGTTGCGGAGAAGCACATGTACAGCATCTTTGGGTCGTTTAAGGGCCCTGCTCTGCTAATTTATGTAGACAATGTACGACTTGAATGGTGCATGTTATAGAGGGCATCAAGTAGAGAAGAGATGAAAATTGAGTTCAAAGACAAATGATCATAACGACTAGTCATAGCTTATATTTTTGCGAAAATGAGCAAGCCACCAGCAGAGAGCGACGTTGTGAACATGCTTTAGGCCATATTTGGATATCAATGTGCCTAACACACTATGGCAATTAGAAAGGTCGCAAGAGCTCAAGTACCAGGTCTAAAAATACAAGACCATCATATAAGTTTCCTTCTATAAAAGTCGGAAAGTAGTTTATGAACGACTTTACAACTATCGCACATCATTTATTAAGGTGTATGAAAAAACTTACAATATACACTTTCTGGTTGGTCGTTCGGGTTGAGCCTATATTTCTTAATACAGCTGGCCTGGGAACTCTAAAACAAGAGTTATGACTGCGCACAAGTGAGCCGCAGTATATGGGTGGGCTGCACGAAAGAATGACACATGTGAAGCGTCCATAACCCTAGCCAACCACCTCTAGTGTCACGAGGCACGGGCTGGGTATTCTTTATTCTTGAAATCAGTAGGTAATAAGGCAGGCGATCGTGAGACAGCAGCGGCTAGGGTATGGTGGCCATGCAACCATACTCTAAACCCGACGTGATGTAGGTATTCGTTTCTCATGTCTTGAAGTTTCAGTGACTTCCTTGGTCCGTGCACCGCGTCATCTCCCCAGTCCACCTATTCCAACTTACCCTTGCCGTTTGACCACTAGTCCTTTTATTTCGACCTGTATCCTTGTTCCCTAACCTTGCGTGTTCCTTATCCCGGTTAGCGCAGTGTGAAAAGGGGTAAATGGATCTATCACAGGTCATTCCACTCTCCTAGAGGTCACAAATCAGTGCTCAGGGTGACTACAATTGTGGGCTCTGAATACGCTGGTAAAATACGCTGGGAGAACGGTCTGAGACCAATTCATATCAGCAACAACCCCTTCCTAAACGCCTAGCATGCGGCTTTTAAAGCTGCCAAGTCTTTCGATTATAGACAGCCTTATCACCTTGCTTTGACCAGTATAAAGACCGCCCTGGCAGAACGTCTACAACTTTGTCTTGGTTGGACGCTGGGAAAGGTCAAGCCCGGTTTCGCTGCTGATGTTGTTATCTGGGATAGCGATCCGCTGAGCATCGGTGCCATCCCTGTTCAAGTCTGGATCGATGCCACTACTTGGTTTGATAACCCTGTTGAATGGAGTCTCAGTGACCGAATGCTTTTCCAGTATCTAGGATGACACCCCACCAGCTGTCCTCAATTAATATTCAACAATGCGCATTGACTAAAGGCAACGAGTTATTGACCAACAGAAGGGAAGGGAAAAATGAAGAAAAGCACGGCATCAAGAGCTCTGAAGACAGGATGGAGTTTCTCCAGCATTCCACTTACACGGAGCGTCGCCAATGGCTAAACGCAACAGAATCACCGAACATGGGCGACTCGGGAGTAAAGCAAGCCAGGCCACGACAACAACACAAGGCTCGAGCGGCACGGTAACGCAACGCGACCAGTGCCAGCGCGAGCTGATAGCCGCCAGTGCGCGAGGAAACGAGGAACGCGTCCGCTGCTTGCTGACGGAAAACAAGCCATGGACCACTGGGAAAGACAAGGTAGCATTGCGCAAAGCGTTGCAGAAGGCGTCGGCGCGACACCACATCGACATCATTCGACTGTTACTCTATCACGGTGCCGAGGTCAATGCTGGTGCCCATGATGAGTTTCCACCACTCTACCGGGCCGCGCAGGCGGGCCAATGCGCCGTTGTTGAGGAGCTTCTTACGCATCGTCCGGACCTGGAGGCGCGTGAGATGCGCACCTGGCAGACGCCTCTGTTTGCCGCCAGCGTGAAAGGCTACCATGACATCGCTTCGTTGCTCTTGGCCAACGGCGCGCGCGTCGATGCCCAGGACCGAGACGGCCGCACACCACTGTTGGCCATGGCCATCAACCCCAACTTCAAGTCTATGGAGATGGCGTCGCTACTTGTGGACCATGGTGCGAACCTCGAGGCGAAAGACCGGATCGGTCGAACGCCACTCCTTTGGGCTGCCACCAACCGGAACTACGACCTCGCCCAGACACTCCTGGAGAAGGGCGCCAACGTATCGGCTGTCAACAACCGCGGCCGTACGGCGTTGCACCTGACTGTCGATGGCAGTAACGGGGGCAGAACCGCCGACCAGGCGTCGATGCCTAAGAGGCCGCGCGAGGAGATGCTACAGCTTCTGCTCCAGCACGGTGCTGACGCAAACGTAGCCAGTGATGGAGGCTGGAGACCCCTTCATAACGCTGCCCAGAAGGGTTTGACCTCTATCGTGCAAGTACTGCTCAATGCCGGTGCCGATATTAACGCCACCCTTTCCAACGGCATGACTGCCCTGCATTGGGCTGCCTTCAACGGCTTTGAGGAGGTGTCACAGCTAATATGGTCCTATGCTGAGGCCGATCTGGGCATCACGGACACCTTCGGCCGCGCTGCGTGGCTTTGTGCTGCAGAGCGCGGCCACGACGACTTGGTCGAGCTTTTATCTCCCGGTCACAATAGCCACCGCCTGCCAAAGTCGATGCGGGAAGCTACCCAGGCCTTCAACGCCACTGTCGTCGAATTCAAGGAATACGGTGAAAAGCAGCGCATCTCTAAACCCCCGGTGTTCGACTTGCTGTATAGATGGGACGAGAAGAACGGTCGGCCTACGATTCCGCTGTGGACAGATGGACCCCCGGGACACGCCAAGAGCGAGTTCAAATGGATACATCTTCCTGCCAATAATGTAAGTTCAATTCCATGTCTGCTCAGTCCTATGAATCCCCCTCTGACTAGTTGCTTAGCTGGCCTGGGTAGAGACGCTCATGGTAAATTGGTTCATTGAATCAGGATGCCGCGACCTCGAGGGTTTCAAGGCACTCATGAAATGTCTTGAACAGGAGCACCGCGGTCCATTCCCGCACGCCAATTATATGAGACCCTTCTGCCAGCGCATCTCGTCTCAGCATCCCGGCGATGAAGACGGAGAAGCCCTCCTAGGAGGGGACGACACGATCGGCCCTGGCTGCGCAAGTCCACTCCCCATTAGATTGAAGGGCATCCGTCGCAGCACTAGCAATTTGTCGCAATTGACTCTCAGTCAGGGAATACCGGGCGGTGATGGCAAAATCGTCATGTTCATGCCGTACCTCCACTATGAGACGGACGAGAGCCGCCAGAAGATGATGGACGCCATCAAGATCGTGTCGTCGGCCAGCCATGCGAGCTCGCGCGACAAGACACCTGACATGCTGCTTTTGGAGGCATATCTGAACCATAAGCCTTCGCTCCACCCGAGAAGGACGCTGGACCAGTTCTTCTACCGCGGTATCGACACATCGGCCCGCGACCGCGATCAGGTCGTGTACCGCTACTGCGAGGCACATGGCCATCAGCGCAAAGTTTTCATGGTGGACCAGCTGTGGGTTCTCGTACTGAACAAAGACCTCATTATTACCTGTTTCCCTGAACGATGGGACTTGCGGAGTCATAAAGACCCGTTAGGAGTACTGGACGGCATCGTGGGCGAAATGAATGCCAAGACTCGGCCACCCGTTCGGAGTGTCTACCACTTGGCCATCCTAGTTTCTGGCCGGTGCTCCGGCACATTCTCGCGACACCGAGCCGATGACCAGGACTACCAGTTCCTCGACATGTTTGAAAGTTCCGTCGGCCGCGTTACCGAAGACCTGACCCACCTGTTCCACCAGTTCGAGCGGGCGTCGTCGCAAAGCCGACAGTGGGCCCGCCCATCCCGCCGGTCCAAGTTGCGCAGCAGCAAGAACAAGAACAAGAAGACGCCGACGGAGGAGTCCAATTCTTTCGACCGGCTTCTCGACATTGGAACCGAGACATCGCTGCTGACCGAGGTACGCGACATTCGTGACGAGCTCAATATTCTGACCATGATCCTGAACTCGCAGCTGTGGACGCTGGGCGACCTGAAAAACTGCCTGATCGAGGAGCTGAGCCTCAGCGCCGCCTCAAGCCGGTTGATGCGCAATCACGTCAACAACATTCACGTCGCTGATATCCGCAAGCGCACTCTCGAGCAGGAACGCCACCTCAAAGTGCACAAGCGTGACATCCAGACCATGGACGAGCAGGCTGAGCGCCTGTATCAGTCACTGACGGACCTGTTAGACCTGAAGCAGAAGCACAGCAACGCACTGGAGGCCCGGTTTGCCAGTGAGCAAGCCCTGGCTGCTGCGAGGGAGGGCCAGACCGTCATGGTCTTCACTATCGTTACCATTATTTTCTTGCCGATGTCTTTCATCGCTGCTTATTTCGGCATCAGCATGGATGCCTTTAATGACCTCCACAGTGATTATGTGGCGACGTGGACCTTCGGCGGTGGCCTGGGCATCTCGGCTGTCTTCATCTTCATGGCCTTCACGGTTGTCGACATAACGAAGGCCTTTTCCGGGTTCGCCGCCCTGGCCAAGAGACTATTTGCCCGAAACGACCCCGGGCACGAAAAGAGCGGCGATAATGACGATGATCATCAGGAGGCGGGGATGGTACCGGAACCCCCAGGGATGCGAACTAGACTACTGGAGCCTACCGCGACGAGTCCACTCCAATCCGTTTTCCACCGTTATCAGTCCACTCCTCTATCCAAGACCAGGACGAACAACACGATAGGGTCGGACATGACGGAAATGGGAATTCTTCAATCCACCGACCTGGAGCTGGTAAAATTGAAGACCGCCACCAGTATTTTGTCCAAGACACGCTATGCAGTGTCGGCCAAAAGCCCAAGGAGCCGTCGTGGGTATGGGAAGGAGGACTTGGAGTGGGGAACGCACGACCGGGAGATGAGTGCTGATACTTGTTAATTTATCTATAAATACGTGCATGATGAATATAATGTTATGTTTAATATATTTCGGTTTATTGCGATAGTATCGTGGTTCCAAATTTGGACTTTCAATCCTTTAATATTTAGTGACTTCAATAGAGTAACAGATGCCTAGCTGAAAAATGGAGATAGTACTGCCGCGTTTATACGGAGGCGGGCAATGATCGCAGGAACTTCAAACGGCTTGGGTGAGTAAGCACGCAAGCGCGATCGGTGTTGAAGATACCATTATAGTATTCCCCGTCGTTCCGGACAATATGAGGCGCCAGGACCGAAGCCCCGTCGTTCTGAATAACGACCTTCACAACTCCGACTGATCGTATGTTGAAATCCCGTTTGAATTGAGATATCTCTTTGACAGGCGCTCTTTCTGTACGTGGCGATAGAAGAGAAAAGCTAGGACACGGACGGTTGATGCGGAGGTCCCGGAGGAAGAGATCGAGTTTCGAGCCAAATGGGGTTTGAATACCAATACTTCCACAACTATCATCCGTTCAAAGAATCAATTAGAGTTTTGACTCAAAGCCGGGAAGTTGACGTGAGAAAATGACACCTTGAACCCCAGAGTTAAAAGATTTTGAAGCAAGTCCGCAATGATCAAGGGGCCGCAAGAGCTTTCGAGCAAAAGCAAAGTTGTCTCATTCTATGTTCATCTATCTTGCGTTTATCATATCATTCATTCTAATTCGTATAACATCATCCGTTTTCGTTCAGTCATCAATAGCTCGACTATACCATCGTGCCATAGTTCGTAATCTTTTGCTTGCCCAGTCTCCTTGAGGGGCCATGCAAACGTTTGGGTCGTCGCACAGGTATCCGGGCCTGAGTTTTGGAGCCAATTAGGGCAGCCTCTTCGTCCACATCGCCACGGCTAGTTGCTTTGCCTTTGGCCAGATGGCCGGGTTTCGAGACGCACCCATAGAGCACATAAGCGATGACCGTCACGGAGAGAGTAGCCATGCCGATGTACGATACGGGAAACCCGCCAATTCCAACGACAGTATCAAGTGCTGCCCCAATGGAAATTACTCCAAACAAAGCGCTTAGAACCCAGTAAGCCACATCTTTCCCTTGTGTGCTTCGTCCTTTCTCCTCGACAATCATTGCGGCAAGGTTGAACAGCAAGATTTGCACAGGGGCGAAAGCCAAACACCACGGCAGTAAGAGTGTTATCACTTCAACGGGTGGCTTGCTTCCAATGGCTGTTAAGGCAAGCATGATGACTAGCTGACTCAGAACTGATCCTCCGTATATCGGCAGAGCTCTCGCATACCATGGTGTATCAAGGTAAAACTTGAATCGTAACGGTGTCGTAGAGGCTTTTCTGCGTTTACTTGGTATGTCGCCCTGAGTCGTGACTGTTCCAGCTGATGCACTGAGTATGTCAGGCTTGTAGCTTGTATGGCCATCTTCGTCACCTTCGTCCGCCGCCGGGGTCGGCAGACTGGCCCGCTTGGGAGCTCGGAACCTGGCCCATCTCCACGGGCTCACAACGCCGCGGTAGCCGTCGCAATTCCTCCACAGGTGTTCTACACACGGCTTCAAGGGGGCCAGAAGTGTAACAAATGCGAGAAAATGTGCAAAGCCAAAACCGGTTCCAGTCACTTCGAAGGACTGCAAGTTCAGGAGTTCATACATCCGGACCAGGATCCAGAGGAGCAACGATGCAATGCAAGTGACCTGGAGGTTGCATTAGTTGGATGACGTTGGTAAATGAAATCAAAACAAGCTTACCTCGAAACAAACGGAACTCAATAAGTCAGAGTAGGCCCGGAGCATCAACCAGAATGCAACAAATGGGCGTATGACCAGTAAAATAAAACGTTGCTCGCAACGAGGACATGTCTGTTGAGTACCAGAGAAGTACTCGAGCATCTCTCCTCGGTAGTGCTCGCAACATCTTTTCAAGATGCCAGTCGGCCGCTCCAATAGCATCGTGGCGGCTGCCAGCGCGGCTACGCCAATGGTGGCACCAACGATGATACCCCAGCTGAGAATGAGCTGGCTCCTTCCTTCGGGTGAGAATGTCATTCCACGTGCTGGGAAGAAGCACAGCACATTAACAGCCAGGATTTCCTGTCTGCTTGCTCCACTGTAGGACATAGCTTGTCGTGTGCGGTTGATTGGTACCATGCAAAATGCTAACACAACCAACGTCGCGATGAGTAAACATGTTCTCCAGGACCTCTTCGCCGGATTGCATCGAAAGTGATCGCGCAGGCAGGAAAGCACTGATAAGTTCGTGATGGTGGCACACCATGCCAATCCGGCCATGAGCCACCAATCGTATGCAGTAACACCTTGTGATAAGGAAGTAAATCCATACCCGAGAATGGCTACACCGAAACCCGCGCTGATGTCGCCCAGGCTTAGCATGAACTATCAAGAGGTCAGAAACTATGCAAAATTCAGTATTTGAAGAGACATGCCTGGTCAAATACTGAATCCCGTCCCCCCGATGTCCGATCATAGTCGAGATGCCCGAAGCCGATGCCTAGATGCCCAAGAGCATTCCGCACCCACTGCAATAGAACAACGTCAACCGGGTTGACAGTCCGTTTGTTCCATCGGCTGAGCGGTGTATGCAGAAACAAATACTGAAGCAGCAATGCCCCAACCGCTAGACAACTCGGACAACAAAATAACACCACAGTCTGCGGCCTCCAGTTAGTCTAACCGATACAGCCAAGATACAAGAATACTAACCCAAAGATTCTCAACATCGGGTCTTATTCCCACCACCGGTCGCACTTCGCTGCACTCCCACATCTCGCCCGTCTTCATTTCCTCCCACTTTAGGCCTGGGAACAAAAGGGAAACATGACGCCGCACTCCTCCAAGCCCGACAACAACGGAAAGAGGAAAGAGGAAGACCTTTTTGTGCAGGACCTTGGTGAAATTTCTATCAGATCGAAGTTCGGTTCGCCCGAAGAGCGTAATCAGCGGTGAAGTGCTTTGTGGAGTCCTCTGGGTGTTCGCTATTCGATAGTGTTGGCGCATAGGCCGCGACACGACCATGCCATTTGCTGCCCAACCCATATCTGGGCACAACGCACCCACCTGAGAGTCTTCCCTTCTGCACCCCTGAATTCTCGCCTCACTGTCGCTTGCAAGCCCCGCGATGAAGGCGTTGGCGCTCGACCCCGCCACGCTTTTGGTTTATGAGGTACGTCAACTTCCATGTGCAAGCTGATGCTGTCACGCAACAGCACGCTGGATGCAGGCTTGACATCTGTAACTGGCGGGGGCATGACAGCGGGATGGCCCGCGACCCACTCTATCCGGATCGCATGAATGACTTGGTGGAGTCCCGACAAGTGAAGAGTAACTTATCTATCCATCTACCTGAGGACGCCCGACTACCTACCCTCTATTTGGTTAGTGAAATAGTTAGGTCGCTCAGTCTGGTCTGCCTGATGCCGGCCAGCCTCAAAGAGGGCGTGTTCCATTATGCAATATAGCGATTAAATTGTCGCGTCATCGCTTCTCACCCTCGTTCCCTTGTGCCCCATTGTCTGTACAATTCTCCCGCGCTTAAAGTGCTTTACCCAGCAGACGTTACAACGTGGCACTTGTCCCCCCGACATCCGCATATTGGCCCAACCTTGTATTTCAGTCCAGCGATTGCGTGACATACCAGGACAGTGTGGCCATCAACTCGACCAGATATTCTGACGTATGTAGCGCAATTGGAGTGTTCTCATTTTCGCTGCAGGCGGACGGGGCCACGGATCTCAACGCCGCTCTTTGGTCTAGCGCACCAACCAGACACAAGCTGCCCTCTGGCTTAATTAACCTGTCGCGCCAATCAGCGACTCTGCGCAACTATATACACAAGCCAGGACTGCTGCCGTCTTTCTCTGTTGCTACCCACCGCGTTGGGATAGAGCATGTCAATCGACATGATCTCCAAAGAAGAGAAGCCTATAAGTCCGCGCTGCTGCTTTACTTGACAGTTTTCGCTACCCCACTGTTGCAAGTGGATGGTTGTGAAATGACTGCTATCCAGTTCATGGTGCTTGAATTCGTAAGGGATTTGGTCTTGGCCGTAGGGCAAGCCATTCGTTCAGATGGCGTTTATGACCATGAGATCTCTTAATTAGACGATACTCAAATAGAGTTTGCAGCCAATTTTGCTATGCATCCCTGACACTCCACCTGCAGAGAACTGGGACTGATACCCGCTGCCAAGTCGTGATTCCTGTAGAGCTTGGTTTCATCACATAGACCCAGCAATTCTATGCGATGAGCGAGGATGATTTGTACTCATATATAAAGATATGTCTAGCAGTAGCTCCCGAATACACGGCACACAGTCCAAAACCCTCGTGAGTGCATTTTTCTATACCAAGAACAGACGGACGACGGAAAAGTCACAAACTTGAACGTCATCGCATCAATGTAGACAGGCGCAGAGCAGCCGCTTTCTTGAAACAGGGAAGCGACAGGCCTGAGACAGGCTTCATTACCAGAAGTTCGTTCCTCCCCAAAATGAAACAATAGCCTACGATGCACATGCTTGTAAATGATGCCTCGCGTTGCGGCTTCAGTCATTCTTGACGACATGGTGGTGGCCACAGAATGCTACAAGTAATCCAGCATGCAGTGATCTCCAGACTTTTTGGGGAAGGCGGCCAGTGGATTTGGACATCGACTCGCTCTGTTATGTATTCGTGGTGTGATATCTCTTGTTGGCATGCCTTTCAGCTTCCGTATTCAGGATACTATTGTCCTTTGACCACGACCCTTCCTTAATGCCAGTAAATGTATGGAAAGAGGAGGCTTGTTTTATTTTTCTGAACAATCGGATACTTGGGTGTGGTAAATGGTAAATATGAATGATGCGTTGACAGGTAAACCCAATCGAATGCAAGAGTCACCAGACAACAATCGTTCAGACAGCAAACGCAAGCATTGTCTTTACCCTACAATTGATAACTTCTTGGTACTTTCCCTGAGAGCATGAAAACTCCCAGGTCCTTGTGCCAGCCTTCTAAATTCCGATTTCTTGATCATCGACCGCATCCCACTCATCACCTGTGACAATATTCATCGGTCAAACACATCCGTAGGGTAAGTCGGTATCAGCCATCGATCCTTGGCAGTACCTTGGAACATGCTACCGTAATATTCTTGTGCCCTGAGGCATGGTATTTTCTACCAATTATCGAAACACAATTATCACTCGCACCTTCAACAAGTCCCCCCTACTGACTACCTCTTCCAGCACGGACAAAACGTACAATGCCTCCGAAGAAACAAGACAACGCGGATGGTGGCGAGGGTTCCGAGCTGGCCTTCACCGAATCGGAGACCAAGTTGATCTATCACATCTTCAAGCACTCTCCCCCCAGCTCCAAGGTTGCGCCCAACTGGGAGGCCGTCCGCCAGGACCTTGGCAGCGCCAGCATCGAGGCCACCAAGAAACGCTTTCAGCAGATCAGTACGTTGGCCTACATATTTTTCAGCTTCTGAGCGCGGATCCAGATCAAGATTGTCCTTTGTGAATGGTCTTTAACTCAGATCTCAATGCTTGAAAACTAATCATGACCCCCAAGGCCAGAAGCGCGGCTGGTTCCAGGCGGAGGAGACAGGTGAAGCCACTTCTAACGCCAAGAAGACTCCTGCGCGCTCCAGCAGCAAGAAGAAAAGGGCAGCCAACGGTGGTGATTCCGACGCGGCCGATGAACAGACCCCAACCAAGAAACCAAAGACTGCCCCCCGCAAGACGGCTCAGAAGGTAAGCAACTCTTCCAACCTTGGAATATGCAGAAGAATAGCTCGCTAATGGGAACTGTAGGACCGCGGCGATGAACCTCAGGAAGACCAGCAGGATGGCGGACTTGGCGTCAGCCTGGCAGCCGATGCAGAAATGACTGGTGACACTTAGGGGGGTTCGGAACCCTCGCCCGATGTCACTCGTTGGGGCTCGCATTGGATTGTTGAAGGTGTCCAGAACATTATGTGCTTTACACAGCCTTTGGTGGGTAACCTTCTTGTTGACGGTCCTGACTGTCTCGCATGCAAGTCAGGGCTGGGATAGCCGTATTCATTGCTTACTGCATAACACTTCAGAGAAGAAACACCATTTTCTGGCCCCAGTTGAGTCCCATCCTGCAATATCCAGGACTTTCTGCCATTCACGCAACTGCATTTTCCAGGGACTCGGATCCTTTAATTGTGTTTGGTGAAGTGATATTTCGAACTATCAAATTGAACCACATGCGGTGTTGGGTCGGACCGCTCGGCCCGCTCGGGCCGGAGTGCATTGCATCTCGTTAACGTTGTTCTTGCCTAGAGAACAAACCTCCCATGTTCGGCTGTATCGCATGCAAAAGGCAAGGCTGACCTTTGATGACAGCTTCACAGAATAAGGTCGGGATGACCGGGAGACTGTGTGAGTAGATAATGGTCGTAACGCGGGCTGCTGCTACCCAATGACGAGGGCAGTACAGCTGCCGCTGACCCATGGTCGTGAACCAGAGCTATGCGATTCTCGGTACTTCACGGAGCTTCTAGGGTGGGGGTATCAGTCTTGTCTGTCATAGAAGCTTGTATTTTATGGTCCACAACGGAACAGTTGACTTGTTTGGGAATTAGCTTGTAAACTCGCAGTCTTCCCACAATGTCATTGGCCGATGCCAAGAACGATACGTCTTACCGAGGTCATCCTGCAGTGGCCAGATCGCCATTCTCAGACGCAGAGGATCACATTATTCATTGTTACATCTTTCCGTCATTCAGTCAGTACTTTACCATATGTAATGGGGCAAATAAGGCAGTTTCTTATGCCACGTGGCCAAGAACCACCGAACTCAAAGGTCACCCACGTTCCATTATGGCACCACGAATGCTGCCTTTCGTGCCCACTGATATGAATGGAAGTGTTCTCCTGGTTGCAGTTGACGTCTTGGAATTCAATACGGCACTGCGCTCTTGTGGGTCCACCCGGGACCATAGGAACAACCTCCCCGGGCGCTAATTGCTGCTCAGTCTGCCTCAGTTTGACAGGGTCTGAATCCTCGATGCAGCTATATTTCCAACCTTTCGACCATCATGCCAGCTGTGCCGACCCCTACTAGAGTTTCGATAGTCATCCTGTATTATCCTTGCCTACATGGTATTTTTTCACTTATCCATGTCCACCCTCGACCGTCTTTGCCTATCCTTGCCCCTCCTTGCCCCTCCGTGCCCCTCTTTGCCCTGGGTGGGATCTTTAATTCTTGAGGATGTTACCCGCCCGGATATGTAGACTTGCCGGTGCTCGGCCCGCTGCTCTGAAGTCTGAAGACGGAGTACGCCGTTGAAGACTCAGCTTCATGGTACGGGGAAATCTCGGGAACGCTGTGCATTCGGGACAGTGCATCCGGCATAGCACCCAGCATTCCCCGGTACCTTAAAGTACCGAATACAAAAGATAGAACGCGTGGTATAAATTTCCTTCCCGTGCCGCTGCTGCATCGCCACGCGATCGCTTAGAGTAAGCACGCTATGCTACTTTGGAATGCTTGGATAGTCATGTTCGAAAATGCGGTTTTCATCCCTGTTGCACCGTTTTTTGCGTATGCAACTTGTCGTTGGTCACGTCGTCCTGGAATCACTGATTTTGTCTGTTTGATAGGCTCGTCAGAGTCATCATCTAGTGTAATCGTAAAGTGCGGGATTTTTGACACATACCGGAGACAGAGACTCTCTATGGTCAGGCATTCACGAAGCCGCTCATGTTGAAAGTTGCTGTGTGAACAGCATTCGTGGAGAAGTGGATCAGTGGACCCAAGGATGTGGTGCATACATTAGTAGATACCAGATCATACCCACACCCCCGGGTAAGTCTGTTTACAATCCCGAGTTGCCTAGTATCTGTCAGGGCTCAGGACCCCTCAGATCCCAATTCTCAAGATCCACTTCTTATGCAAACGGCATGCGGCCAAATTATGTGGCTAGGAGGACCAGCGAATACATAAGTATGTATGGACTCCTGTTGCTATCACGGCGCTCTTCATGTCTTGATAACCCCACCAGAGTGATTGCGGAATACGATGGATACTCTTTCTCTACTAGAAGGACTTGGACCAGAGTCCTTCAGCAATGATGCTGATCGATATGCAGCTAAGGACGCTGCTCGTAAGCTCCTTTACAAACTGGAAAGTCCATTTGAGCGCTCATGGTCTCTGTGCATCGAGACATCAGTACTGGTAGCTGGAATTCAGGTGTGCCAGGATCTTGGTATCTGGTCCAAATGGGCAGATAAATGTAAAGAGAGTGAAACGGCAACGCAGACCCTCGACGATATTCTGGCAATGTGCAACTCAAAAGCTGATCCGAATCTTCTTCGTAGGTTACCCTTTGCTGTATAATTGAGTATGTGAGGGGTAAGAAGAGAAAAAGCTTACAGCCGTCTTAGGTCGTTTACTAAGACATATTTCTGCTCTCTACGTCATCGAGGAAACCGACGTGGACACATGGAAACCCACTCCGTTCTCACTTGCCCTTGGAGACAAGACCTCATATGTCGACCAGACAATTCAGTGTGGGTTAGTAGAGTTCTCCTTCCTTCTGAAAAGCATGCAGCTGATGGCTTTGCCGTTCTAGATTAGATCATAATATTCCGTGCGGCGTGAACTTGGTGAAGTTTCTTGCCAAAAATCAGTATCAGGAACCAGTCGACCGTTTCAAATTTGACAATTACCGCGATCTATTCGGAGACGACTTCTTTGATTATTGTCAAAAGAACCCAGGGGCCGGTGGAAGCTTCATTGGGTTGATGAAAGCACTCAACTTGAATAAGATGGATTGGACAGAAGTCTATGACACTAAAAAGTTGCTATCGGAGGTAGAAATAAGCAACGGACAGCCAGTCTTCGTCGACATGGGTGGGGCGCATGGCCGCGATACCAATCGACTACTCGCAAAGCATCCGGAACTGGGGCAGGATGCCCTTATCGTCCAAGACCTTCCGGATGTGCTAGCACTTCACACCCAGGAAAAACTTGATGGCCGCATTAAGAGGATGCCGCATGATTTCTTCAGCACACAACCAGTCCTAGGCGCTAGAGCATACTTCTTCCATGTCGTGTTACATGATTGGTCAGATGTCGACTGTGGCAGGATCCTCGGAAAGGTCAAGGACGCGATGACAAAGGGCTATTCTAAACTCCTTATCTGTGAAGTGGTTCTTCCTCCAAAAGGCGCAACCAGTTTCATGACGACGTTGGATCTTCAAATGATGAACTCCACCTCTGGTTTCGAGAGAACAGAAGAACATTGGAGAAAGCTGCTGCAGAATATTGGATTCCGTGTCGTCGGAATCTCAACACACATTGGAGCCATGGAGAGTGTCATTGAAGCGGAGATCGCGTAAGCTATCGCTCGAATAACTCTCACAAGCTTTAGAATCACTTTGCCAGGTTGTGCACCTCATCTGCAATGACTTGAAATTGAACAAGATGTGGAAATCAAGTTTTATCTACACATCTCCGTGAACAATTGATCTCTCTAGATAATGCAAGCCAACTCAATACTGATTTACAAATTGTTTGGTTGGGATTATCTTAGGTTAACTCTGACATTTCACATGCCCACGCAAAAGTTGTTTGATGTGTACTAGCCAGGTTTATTTGGTACGGTGACCACAGCATCAACAGGCTTTCTCCCACACGCCTGGCCCTCATTACGCAAAGAGAAAATTATATCATCGGTGCAGGGGTTCCTAACACAGCAGACCAAGGCTCGCTGGATCGGGCCGTCCTGCTGGTGAACACCCTTGAGTATTGCCGATTGGGCTCCGAAGGCTTCCTTCTATGGTCTTATCTTGACATACGGCAAGCGTCTCCCGGATCCGAGAAGCATCTTCTCGGTTTTGAACTATGGCAATATCCTTGACAATACCAAGGCTATTAGTGGCTATGCTCGCATAGGGTTTCGCTATGCTGGCACCTATGGCTGACTCTGTTCTAATCACGGATCCACCAGCGCCCACTGCTCCTCCTGGCGGATCCACCATTCTTGCCCCAGTTTTTTCCCTTTGCTACCTAGGGAATGCTCTAATTATGCATGCGTTGTCATTGAGTGCATAGCAATCTGCAAAGACAATAGCGGAGGTTCACGCTTACCATGTCGATGATGCTGGTAATAACTTCAATCGCATTTCGACAAAGTACTCCATAGGTGGTAAACGCAATGCGAACGCATATATAGTGGGGCATTGCACGTGTATATACGGTAGGTGTGGCCAATGCCACAAGCACATGTATTGGCATCAGCGTGGCGGGGTACCTTGCTTCCATAGACCCCTGGGCCGAATATGTATCAGTACGGCAAACCCATTGGTGGAACGCTTGATAACCCCCGAGGTTACTGCTGTCGGGGTCTGGATGCCAGCCTTTGTATTATGTGCCTAGGGTGGTTACCACTCGGCGGAAGCATCCGGTCGATACAGGAGCGAGACGAACCCACTACACAAAGACCAATAATGCAGCGTTTGAGGCATGATGTCAGACGGTACACAGGATACACAGCCTGGAAGATGTCACCATACTTGTGAAAGCGACGTAATGGGGTGGATGTATCACTATCTAGTCACCCCTCTCTTCCGACTCTGCTTCTCCTTTTGCAGGGAATAAATCCTCAAGTACTTACACAGATGAGTACTTGGATCATATTTGCGGCACCCTGGCATGACATGGAAAGCCGCACAGCGGCCCGTAGCCTGCCCTGGGCCATTCTGTCCTGAGGTATATTACCAAGTTGTTGAATAAGTAAGCTGGCCACTGGCGTTATCAACATTGTTATTTTACTCCAATACACATTATTTGAGACTAGAGACCGATAAACTTCACTTCACAAAGCAGGCGTGATCTTCAAAGGCAGATATGTCCGAAAATCCTCTCCACCAGCCGCTCGCCATCATAGGCTTGGCCTGTAGGTACGGAGGTAGCATTACCAACAGCTCAGAGCTTCTCCAACATGTGATGCAAGCAAAATCAGTGCATGGCCCTATGCCAGAGGGTCGACTGGATTCAAAGTTCTTGTTCCATCCAGACAAAATGCACGCTGGCTCAATCTATACGGATGGCGGCTATTTCCTCAGCGACGATATTCACGGATTCGACTCGGCTTTCTTCCAATTACCTGAGAACGATGCCATGGCGATGGATCCACAGCAGAAGCTGCTACTAGAGAATGTTTACCACGCACTAGAAAACGGTAAACAGACATGATTCAAGAAAACTTCGTCAATTTTGCTAACAGTGAATAATTGAGTAAAGCCGGTATTTCGTTGAAGGATATTGCTTCCTCGAAGACATCAGTATATGTCGGATGCTCGAACGTTGATGCTCTAGCGCTATCCAATTCGGATCCTCTACTGTTCTCGCAAAATCAAGCGGCCGGCACAAGTCCAGCCATCCTTGCCAACCGAATTAGTTGGTTCTTTGATCTGCAGGGCACCAGCCAGACCATTGACACGGCCTGTTCAAGCAGTCTAGTGGCATTTCATCAAGCTTGCCAGAATATAAAAAGCGGAGACTCAGACATGGTAAGCTCCAAGCTTGATCAAGCACAGACATTGCTTTGTTTCTGACTCGTGTCACTACGACTTAAAGGCTATCATCAGTGGTGTGAATCTAGTGCAGCACCCTAGCTCGACACAGAATTTGTGTAGCTTGGGAGTTCTGTCACCTGAAGGGCAATGTCTCACGTTCGATGAGCGCGCTAACGGCTATGGTCGGGGAGAAGGCGTCGGAACTGTGATTATCAAGCCGTTACATGCTGCTATCAGAGACTCGAATCCTATAAGAGCTGTCGTGCGTGGTACAGGATCGAACCAAGATGGAAAGACGGCTGGCATCACCCTTCCCAGCGCACGGGCCCAAGAATCCCTGATCCGTCAAGTCTATGCATCATACAACCTTGATATGGCTGACACTAGTTATGTCGAAGCGCACGGAACTGCCACGCTAGTGGGTGATCCGCTAGAGTTGACTGCAATTACTAGCGCTTTCGACTGTGAAAGAGACTCAGACATCTATGTTGGCTCGGTAAAATCGGTCATTGGCCACCTGGAAGGTGGTGCAGGTATAGCAGGGTTGATAACTGCCACTCTCGCGATCGAATCTAAGATGATCCCTCCAGTGGCCAATCTACAAAACCTCAACCCTGCTATACCAGCAGCCAACCATGTCAAGATATCGAAAGAATGCCTCCCGTGGCCAAGCAATGGCGTAAGACGTGCATCAGTGAACTCTTTCGGATTCGGCGGCACAAATGCTCATGTCGTTCTCGAAGACTTGGACGGGTTTATGCAACAAAAGCTCAGTCAACAAAACATTCAAGACATGACGGGGCGCGAAAACTCTCCCGGTCTGACAAGTACTGCTTGTTTGACAAATGGTTCAGCTAGAGGCCACACCAATGGACGGACACCATCCGTCTCAAAGAGGGTTCTTGCCTTGACTGCGTTCGACGAGGAAGGAATTAACCGGAACAGGATGCAATTGAGCAAGTATCTTGCTTCGTTATCGGACTTAAATGACGAAAGTCAACAAAAGTTTTTGGATGATCTACTCTACACCATGAACGAAAAGAGAACATCCTTCAGCTGGCGAACGTATTGCCTCGTAGGCGACAATCTCGGAAGTGTCATCACTTCTTTATCCCAGGGTCTCCGCCCAACCAGAGCTTCAGTTCTTCCGAAAATAACACGCTTCGTATTTACTGGGCAAGGCGCCAACTGGCCTGGAATGGCACAAGACTTGAGAGAGTTTCCGCTTTTCAAGCAGAGAATTGCCGAGGCAACCATGTTTTTCAAAAGCCTAGGGGCCCCCTGGGATCTTCAAGGTAAGCCAACTATGCCGCAGGTCGTGCGCTGTGTCTTTTATTGCGAGTAGTGTTCTGATCAAATCATAGAGAGCCTAGCAAGCCTGGATTTCGACATAGCAGAGCCATCTTTTGCACAGTCATCATGTGTCGCCGTACAAGTCGCTCTTGTCGATCTTCTCACGAGCTGGAAGATTCTTCCAGCAACAGTAGTAGGCCACTCGTCGGGAGAAATTGCTGCCGCATACTGTGCTGGGAAGATATCGCGCCAAGCTGCCTGGAAAGTCGCATTTCACAGAGGTCAAGTCTGTTCTCAGAAGGCTGATGGCAGCGGAACCATGCTTGCCGCAGCCATAGCGGTACAGACTGCGGAGGAGTTGCTGGCTCGCCTCAAAGAGCTCGAACCACTGGATGTTACCATTGGATGCTTCAACAGCCCTAAAAATGTCACTTTCACAGGCAAGAGGGCGGGGATCGCTAGACTACAGCAAGAACTCGACCGCATGCAGGTTTTCAACCGTGCTCTTCCTGTAAAAGTTGCCTACCATTCACCAGATCTCCAGGACGTCGCAGATGAATACCTAGCCAGTCTTGGTGACCTAGATTTCGGTGACAAAATTAACGAGGATGCTACGATTCAGATGTATTCGTCCGTGACAGGTAAACCTTTCGGGCCGGCAGACAAGATCTCGCCGTCGTATTGGGTGGAAAATCTTGTGTCTCCCGTAAGGTTTTCTACTGCTCTGCTGCGTTCGTTCGGCCTTCAGCAGGACAGAGGAAAGCACAACCAAATGACGGAGACCATCATCGAAATTGGACCCCATTCTGCTCTTCGGAGTGCAATCAAAGATACGTTGGATACGTCAGAAAACTTGCGCCAGGTCGGTTATTCAAGTCTAATGAAACGGAACGAAACTACTGGAGATACCTTGATGCACACTATGGGCTCTTTGTATAGTTCAGGTTATGATATTGATCTTCCCACGATCAATAATGACCGAAAATCAGCTGGGAGCGCAGCCGAGGCAACCCAGATATTACGAGATCTTCCTCCATACGCCTTTGGCCATACGAGCAAGCGGATGACATCAAGACAGATCGAGTTTGTCAAGTTTCCGGAATTTCAGAGACATGAGCTTCTTGGCATGCCAACAGTCGACTCAAACCCATTTGAACAGCGCTGGCGCAATTCAATCCGACTTCAGGACGTCCCATGGCTCTCTTCTAACAAGGTACACCACTCCTCCCACCGATGCCCTAGTACTCCAACCCAACTCGTGCTAATCATTGTACAGCTCAACGACAAGGTCATCTTTCCCGGGGTGGCATATATTTCAATGGCAGTAGAGGCGGCTTTACTCGCCTCCCGAAGTGAGGGGGCTTTGGCCGGAGTAGAACTTCGAGATGTTTCCATCCGAGAGTCTCTGCTCATCCCTGACAATCCCCAAGGCATCGAGACCATATTCTCTCTTAGCAGATCCACCAGTGGGTCTGATGCCTCCTCCCCATGGTCTACTTTTCGCTTCATATCCCACAACGATATTGAGAATACGTGGGTCGAACACTGCTCCGGCTCAATCCGGGTTGAAAAAGACAAAAGTTACACTCCACAACCAACGCTGTCCAAAGAATTGGACAATGCCACACGCTCACCAAGCGCCCAACAAGAATACTTCACTCGCACAATCGAAGGCACACTACTGTACGAAGAATTTGCATCTGCTGGGATGACGTTTGGTAGTGATCTCCAGAACATGCAGGAGATTCAACTTTCAACCGACGCTAAGGCTTTTGCTTCACTCGTTAGATCTCCAGATATACCCAAGAAAGCTCACGACCACTACGTCATTCACCCATGCGCTCTTGAGAGTATCCTCCATGGTTTACTATGCATCTGTAGTGAGGAGGGCAGTCTTGTTGGCGGTACAATGGTGGCTAATCGAGTGGAGAGGATCTGGATTGCAGACCCTCTCACTGACATCGACTGCAAAGTTTACAGTTCATTCGCCGAAGCAAGAAGGGAGACTTCGACTCTTTACAGGTCAAACATTGAGATCTATGAGAAAGGGGCATCAGAGACTCCCAGGATGGCCATCAGTGGATTTGACCTAGTTTCACTGCCACCTCCAGAAGACGAGCAAGCTAGCGACGAAGCTCTCTACGTCGAAGAATGGAAACCGGACGTAAAGATGTTAAGCTCCATTGAGAAATTTGACGTTAAAGCTAAACCAGTGGTCGACTTGATCAAAGCAGTCGCCAAGAGTGACCACGAGCTTTTCCAACTCGCATCTGCTGTTTTCATCTTGGACACAGTTGAAAAGTTGGACAGCATCAACATCGAGGGTCTGCCATCGCATCTCATATCATACGTCAAATGGATTCGAGAACAGTTTGAATTGATCTCCCAAGGGAATGCTCTGATCCTTGACGTCCCTCTCTTGACGCAGATACGTGCGAACACTGATATGAGGCAGAACCTGCTGGATAAAACGTCTAAGAGCGCTGCACGTGGAGAGCTCCTAGTTCGCATTGGAACCCGAATAGAATCGATTCTAAGGCAGGAAAGCGACGGCTTGGAGCTCATGTTCGGAGCCGATGATATTATGACTCGTACTTACGACGAGTGCTTGCCAGGTGATATGGGCATCCGCCTTTGGCAGTATTTCCACTGTCTAGCCCACAACCAGTCTGGGCTGAAGGTTCTCGAAGTCGGTGGTGGAACTGGAAGTGCAACAAATATCGTCTTGGATGCTCTCAAAAGTGCCAGAGCCCGCGACAATGAAAATGGTGTTCATCCTGTGGCTATATACGACTTCACGGACATCTCAGCTGCCTTCTTTGAGAATGCCAGAGAGCGATTTTCGGATTGGAATGATGTCATGCGCTACAAGACACTTGATGTCGAGAAGGACCCAGCCCTACAAGACTACGAAATTGGGTCTTATGACTTGATTATCGCAACACATGTGAGTATTTAGCCAACGACATACAATAGTCCTCTCATCTTAACACTACATGGTTAGGTTTTGCACGCCACAGCAGATCTGTCAGTGAGCTTGAAAAACTTGCGAAGCCTCCTCAAAACGTAAATAAATTCCAATCGGCTTGAGCACGACGTTAAAGCTAATCAAAACAGTGGAGGGGACCTTATCCTGATCGAAAACGTCAATCCTGAACTGATGAGTGCATCGCTGATATTCGGTATACTTTCCGGGTGGTGGAGGAGTACTGAATCCTTCCGTCAATCCAATCCGCTCATTACGGAGCACCAATGGAACTCTGCGTTGTCAAATGCTGGTTTCACTCCAAGGCTTCATTTACCTACAACAGTGGAAGCAGGCGGTAATGAGATATCTGCTATTATCGCGCGAGCAAAGGACGACACCGCCTCCCCTGAAAGTCGACCACGTTGTACCATTCTGTATGACTCAACACATGAAACCCAGAACACACTGGCTGAGCACCTGCTCAAGACATTGGAATACCAGACATCGTTGGTCAACTTTAGCGATATCAGTCCGGAGACGCTTACGGCAGACTTCTACATACCACTCTTTTTCCTAGGTGGGCTAAAGCTCTCGAATGTGACCGAGGTAGACTTCTACAAGCTCAAGCTTGTGCTGGATACCTGCACCAAGGTTCTTTGGGTTATGGACGATCCAGTGGATGACCCCGAAACAGCGATGTGCATTGGTCTTATTCGGACTATCAAATGGGAACGGGATCCAGACGGAGTCAATTTCACAACCCTGACAGTACGCCAACCGTTACCAGAGGTAGATGCTCTTGCGTCGGAAATCACTTATCTCGCTAAGGAGGCATACAATTCCCCGCATATAGTACCTAGGAATGTGGAGTACTCACTCAAGGATGGTGTGTTCCTGACAAGCAGACTTTTGCCTGCACCCAGTGCAAGCAAGGCTGTTATCAAGAAGAAAGAGCCAAACTTCGAGCATGCCCGACTAAGTGACATCGCTCACCCGGTTGCACTCACTTTGATGGACCCTCACAAACCACAGTCACTGCAATTCGTTGATGACGCGTCTATGGACGGCGCCCTAGGCGACAATGAGGTGGTCATCAAGGTCAATGTTACCGCGCTGACACCGGAAGATGTCGAGGAAGTTGTACGCTTAATACCTGGACAAGGACTTGGAAGGTCCTGCGCTGGCACAGTCCAGAAAATAGGCCAGACGGTCACGAACGTCACAGTTGGCGATCGTGTCGTGGCCATTCGGCCTACAAGCTCTACTGGATCCATTCGGACTCACTTCCGGACTCATCATAACGCAGTCCAGCGGATTCCGGACAGTGTAAGCCTCTCCGATGCAGCTACGCTTCCATGGGCCTTTCTCACTGCCTATTATTGTCTGCTGAGGGTGGCTCACTTGCAACCGGAAGAAACTGTCATGATTCAAGACGCCGACAAGCCAGTCGGCCAAGTAGCGATACAACTCGCACTGTCCACTCAGGCCAAACTGCTTGTCACTGTTTCAACCAACGCCGCCAAGAACTCGCTCGCTTCTTCGTTCAAGGTCGACCCATCATGCATTTTTTCAAGCGAGGACATGTCATCGATCCCCAAAGCGGTTGGCTCAGACTTTGGTAGCCGTGGGGTTGACGTATACCTAAACTGTGGAGCATCTGGAGTTTCCGGCCTGTATCAGCAATACATCTCCTATGGTACTCGGCTTGTTGATCTTTTCGGTGACGAGACAACCAGCGGATCCTCACTCAACGCTTTTTGTACGAGGAATGTGTCTTACACATGCGTCGACATGGATGTAGTGGCCACTATGCGTGCTGAGATCGTTCAGGAAGCACTCACGACAGTCTCATCGCTGCTAGCCACAGGCAAACTACAACCAATCCAGGATGTGCAGAACATGGGATTCTCAGAAATCCAGAAAGCTCTGGTTCAATGTCGGGATAGATCCTCCAAACCTCCCTCGATGTTCGTCTTCTCTCCTGAAGACAATGAAACTGTGCCAGTAAGAAATTTAATATTCTTGAAAATCATCTATGTGTAGCGCTAACGCCTTCCAACAGATAGGTATCCGGCCGATCGGGAACTATCGCTTCCCGGAGAACGCCTCCTATCTTCTTATTGGAGGTTTTGGAGGTATTGGGAGACGGGTTTCATCCTGGATGCAATCTCGCGGAGCAAGAAACTTCATCTTCCTGTCAAGGTCAGGATATAGTGGGCCGTCTGCAAGGAAACTACGTGACGAAGTGACTGCTTTGGGCTGTACGGTGGAAAGCGTGCAGTGCGACGCAAGTGATGCCGAGGCGGTTCGATTGGGGCTGGAGAAAGTTCAAAGAACGATGCCACCCATCAAAGGATGCATACAATGTTCCATGGTGCTTCAGGTACGTCTAACCTATGACTCTAGACCATTTCACAGCCGACTAAATCCATCCTCTCACTACAGGATTCCATGTTTGACAACATGTCTTGGAACCAATTCCAAGATGCTACAACGCCCAAGGTCGCTGGCTCAATCAATGTCGCCGACAATATTCCTCGCGATTTGGACTTTTTCGTCCTTCTTTCCTCTTCGGCATCAACGATTGGTAACCGTGGCCAAGCTAATTACGCGGCTGGCAATGCTTTCCTGGATGCATACGCTCGAAAGCTCACCAGGCTCGGTCGCCCTACTACTTCAATCAGTCTTGGAACTGTCCTTTCAGTGGGTTGGGTTGCAGAAAATCAAGGAGCTCTCCCCATAGCGCTTTCTTACTCGGACATATCAGAAGATCGCCTCTTGTCCCTCCTGGAATACCACATAGACCCTCGTTGGGGCGCAGCCAAGAATCCAGATACGTGCCATACCATTACGGGCTTGAGATCGGCCGCAGAATTCGAAGAATGCGGCATCACATTGCCTGAATTCATGGCATATCCGCTTTTCACGCATCTCCGTAACAAGAGAGAGGCGAGATCTAAGAAGACGGAAGACAGCATCACGACAGCACAATCTCTCGAGTTGGCCACGTCGGACGAAGAACGGGCCGATTTGGTCGTCGACGCTATCATCTCCAAGATTTCCAGAGTCATGGCGATGTCTCCTGAAAATTTGGAGCCTCAAAGAGCTCTTGTGTCGTATGGTGTCGACTCTCTTGTCACCGTTGATGTAAAGGCATGGTTCAAGAAGGAGCTTGGTGCAACAGTTTCAACGCAGGACCTAATAGGCGAGCTCACGATCTATGACCTAGCGCAAAAGGTTGTGGCAAGCACACATGTACCTATGACGAATGGCACAACATAGATCATGTAGCAGCTAGGCTATGCCGGGGCGTAGAATAGGACAGGCTTCTGTGCGTATCTAAGTAACTACATATGTACGGAGTAGTCACGCAAGATCTTTTTACGAATGTGCCCAATAGACCAAGTTCGGAGACTGCTGTAACTGCATTCTACTATGATAGTCAAATTTGGTGTGACGATCGTTGCGGGAATGATGTATAAAGCGTACCTGTCTTAATGGCCTCAAAACGTGTTGTGGCAGGGTGACGCCAAGACTGAAACCGCTCCCCGTCAACGTTGCCAAGAATGAGACAGAGACGATTCATCCGAACCTCAGCCAGGCATTGAAGCGTCTGCTGTCAGTGGATAAGTTATCTAGGTTTTGTATCCTGAAGCCCCTGTAACGCATCCGAAACCCAACCCAGCAGCACTAGATACACGTTCCCCACAAGCCCCGGATTGCTTGCCAAGCCGGCAAAGCGCAAACGGACGCATCCAGATCAGACCAGATCTTTTCAATGCCAGGCAAACTCGAATTATTAGAGAAAAAGATGAGAGTCTCGTTGTGGAGGAGTGTACCCATCAAAATCATTACCATTACCCATATGTTGAATGGCTGGCTTCCAATATTTCTAAGTACATTGAGGGCTACCCTGTCGCATCGATTAAGCGGCTGGGCACCCTTGCAGACCCTGCATCCATGTAAGTTGGGCGTGTGTCAGCCCAGGGCCACCTCGAACTTGCGTGCATCATGAAACCAAACATGAGCACCAAGCGCTACGACTTGCCCATGCAATAGCTTACTTATCGTCGTAGGCTACATATAGGGTACCGCGTTACATAGCTCTTACCCCTAGCAGAGGACAGCCCACTTTCGTGATGTCTGCGTCGCAAAGAGGATGGCGCCAAACTCCTGCGTCGGCAGGGAAGGCCGCAGGCATTGAGGCGAGCCTCCCTGTTGACGACGGGCTGGTGCTGGAATGGCCGGATAAGACAGCAGCGCTCCCTGCGACTTCCCAGTTCCTATAGAGTGTGTAGCTGGCTCTCACCATCGGAGGTTAAACTTGACGACTAATAGGAAGGCCGAACAAGAGAAGAAAAACATGATGGATACAACAGCAGCGTCAACAAAACCGTACACATCCATCTCAACGATGGACGGGCGAGAAGAACTGCGCTCTAGCACCGAGGTAGAGTCGCTCATGGGCGACGAGGAGAAGCAGCAGTGGCGCCGTCACCCGTCCTCATTATCACCGCATTTCAGAAAGTTTTCAGAGCGTGGCACCCCGACATCATCGCACCGCTGGATTATCAGTACGGTACTACAGGTCGTCATCATCGGTCTCGTCGGGCTGTTGCTGTTGCGTGAACAGCCCCAGACACCGACGGGAGAGGCACCGCAGGTCGGCGGAGACTTCAACGGCAAAGGGCCAACGAGTGAGTAACTGTCTCGGGAATGCCTTGGAACGCTGCGTGCGCAGAAACGGTGTGATGCTGATATTTCGCACAACAGTCGACACCACGATCCTCAAGTTCAATGCGGACTATTCATTTGTGCCTTTGAATGCTACTAGGTTCTTCGACAACGATGTCCTCGAGCAATGGAAGACAATGATGCCGGGTAGGTATTGATATATAGAGCCAAAGGATTTGCCGTCCTAAGTTATTCACTAACCAACTCGACAACAGCGGGCACAGGCTGGGGAACGGACCTATCGAAATTTTCGACAACGTCGATGACGCACCAGCTGCACTGTATCTTCATGATGGCGCGCATCTATGCCGGCTTCTCATCCGGCTCGGTTTCTTCGTTGCCAACCGACTATAACTCGCACTATCTCCACTGCGTCGACTACCTTCGCCAGGGCGTCATGTGCAGCGCCGACCTGGCGACGGAGCCGCACAAGGACACGGATCCCGACGACAATGGCCCGCTTGATGGGAGCTGGGCCGGGCTACATGGTAAGTTGGCAGTTGCCGACTTCAGAAGCGTTTCCAGCCTGCTGACCGGCGCTGTAGTGTGTAAGGACTATGGGCAAGTGACGAAGTATCTTGGGCGTAAGTGCACTACTGTCAAGTTTGGAGATAGTTGCTGACATACCATACCAGAACAAATATCCGACGGCGTGCGCGTGGTGCTGCCTATTGACGACTAGAAAGAGTCCAATTCGTGTTTAAGATGTGGACCATACAGTAGACGGCCCATAATAAATATACCACACTATCAATGCCTCCAACACTGCATTTCTGCATTGCGAGATCGTAGGCAAATGATGCCGTCAAGGGGAGATCATTTGATTGTCGCATCAGCCCACAGCCAAACGGCAGGCATAAATGTGCATGGGGCAGCTTTCTGCGAAACGATAGAAAAGCACGGTTGAGACAAAAAAGAAAAATTCAAACATGAGTTGAATGTTCAAGGACCTGTGACATACAAGCAATGATGACATTACACTAGCCTGGGGTCACTTCTACACTAGATATGACTGTTTAGGAAGTACAACACTGCTGGATGCTCCCCTTACCAGGTAGGCAGGGCGAAAGGTCAACAGAACTGGAGTTGGGCTGATGAGGGCTTACTAACTGCGTTGAATTTCTGGGTTGAGCTGGTTTGGTTGTGAGTCGGACAGTCGCCGCGTTCGGTGTCTTTCTTGTCTTGTGACTTGCACGCTCCTGGATATGCAGATGGGTATGTGCAACGTGCGGCCTCTTGGATGCGGGTGTCAAAACAATCAATGCAGGTGGCTTTCTAAAAATGATATTTTCATTCTCCTGCTCTTGATACACCTAACTCTCAGTGCTCTCCAGGCCAGCGGTCAAAGCCTCTTGGTATACAACAAAACGAAAGACGGCGCGCTCCACGGCGGATGACTCCAGAAAAGTGCGGGCACCTCCACTGCTCCTATGAAGTCTGCGTTGCGTTGCCGAAGCAGGGGAGCGAAGCAAGGCATCCCCTCCATATCATCAATAACCACCATCCCCAGGCGCTTCTATTAAAACAAAAAGATAACAAGCCCCAGCGGGTATGTGCAAGAAAGAAGCAGGTTAAAATATATACAGGGCAAAGTCTTTAAGGCCGAAAGTGAAAGTGTTGTTGTAAAAGTGCTGAGAAAAGAGGGGGATATGAAGTTGACGATGACCGCGGAACGCCAAAAGATTCCTGAGATTAGTTGCACGTTCAAAAAATGGTATTCCCGACGGAAAAAAAAAAAAAAACGAACTCCTGCGCTCGTCCGCTGCCGTTGCGCTCCATAACAAGAAGAGATCCGACGGTGGTTGCCGACACGGTGATTCGAGGTGGCGGATTGGCACTCTCACATCACGGAGCACTTTCCGTCCTTTTCGCCGCTCGGCTTGACGCTCAAGGCGACTCGGGCGGCCTCGGTGAAGGCCTCGTTGACACCACGATTCCTCATGGCGGAGCATTCCAGGTACCGCAGGGCCTTGATGCGACGAGCCACCTCGAGGCCTTGGTCGTAGGCGATCATGGGCTTCTTCTCACGTTGCGCGGCCTCGTTGGCCGCCGCATCCTCGTCTCCTTCCTCGCCGTTCTCGCGTAGGTCACACTTGAGTGCTACCAGTACGAGCTTGACCCCGGGGCAATTCTCCTGGATCTCGCCAACCCATTTACTCTCGACGTTTTCTAACGAGTCCTTGCTGTCGACACTGAAGCAGAGAACCACGACGTCTGTGTTGTCGTAAGATAGACTTCGTAATCGGTCGAATTCTTCTTGACCAGCAGTGTCCCAAAGGGAAAGCTCGATATGTACGTTGTCAATGAAGATATCTGTGATGCGTTAGCCCGACCTAGAAACGACTAGCAAACAGGCTTGAGGAGTGAGGTGCGAATCCAAGGACGCGCTGGCTTGGAAAGGCTTGGAAAGGCCGCACTCGATCGTCGCCAGGGAGGGACGGTCTTACCGTGCACGTAGTTCTCGAAGACGGTAGGCTCGTAGACGGTTGGGAAGTAGCCTCTCGTAAAGACATTCAACAGCGAGGTCTTGCCGCATGCACCATCGCCTCTGTTGCAGCAAGTGCCTGTCAGCACCATGATTTGGACGCATGCATCGTAAACGCAAACGCGCCGTGGGCAGCAAGAATGCGGCAGCACAGGGATGGCCACTTACAGCAGCACCAGCTTGCGCTGAACGGTCTTCGATCCTCCACAGAGCGACGGCATTTCGGGCATCGTGCGTTGGTATAGGGAGTGTTCCGGTCGGGGTCGGTTGGGAGGAGGAAATGAGAGTCGGTCAAGGCCAGAGACGAGGACTCTGGAGGGTGTATGAGGTTTGGGGCTGCGAGTTCGCCGAGTGTTCTGGACCTCGGACGTGCCAGCGCTAAAGGGGGTTGTTTTGGTGGCGAGCCTTGGAGCAGCAGGTCCAGATCGTCAGGTGAAGTCGGTGCTGCGGTGCCGAAGCAGACGAGTTCCGGTGGCGTGGCGGTGCTGATTCTGCGGTGCAGGAGAATGGCGAAGAAGAGGGCACTGGGCGAGGTACTACGTGGGCGGCAAGACGGTGATGGGGCCGGCAGTCAAAGGTTGGCAGAGATGAAGTCACGGAAGCCATTTGGATGGCAGCCAGGCGCAATTTGCCAAAATCCCCAGCTCATCAATCCAGCGTCCTATGCCAAGCGCCCGCCCACCCTCTCACTGAATCACCTCTTGCTACTTCCAAGGTTGCCCTTCCGTGCAAATGGGGGGGGGGCCTGGGGGGCAAGAATGTGGCGCACCGTGCTGTACCAGTGCTGCACCCTGAGCGCCGAGCGCCGGGCGCCATGCACCACGCACCACCACCTGGGCTGCTGGGGATGGGCTTGCTGGGCTGTCCCAAAACGGGGAGGGGGAACCACCACCAGGAAGTTGAATGCCCCACGTCACCCAAGCGTTCATCCAATGGACAGCCAGAGCCGTCGCGTCACGAGCCAGCCTGCGCCAAGTGCCCGCAAGCGCCTCCATGCCAGACCTGGACCAGTGGACTCTGACCCAGAGCCGGGATCAGGCCCCGTCGTCTTCGGGGTTAAAATCATTTAAGCACCAGATGGCAGAAATAGAGAGAGGCATGCGACAGGCATGAACGAAAGCGTAGCTAATCTGGCGGATCCATCCCTTGATCCCGTCCTGTCACTCCCGTCGTACGGAGCTCGGGACCTACAGGACCTCTTATTAATCTGACGGACACTGCCGCTCCATTGGCCCCAGGACCATCGTATCCGTCTGTCATGTTTACGAGAACGTCGTCCACTTGAGACATTGGCCTTGGTAACTTAACTTCCGGCCCCGACGTATTTGGATCGGCTGGAGCCCTGAAATGACAATTGACCCTCCACTTCTTGCGGCCACTGTGTCCACTCAACTCAACCGTTTGCTTGTGACTTTATCGCTCTCACTTTCGGTAGCCCAAGTTACCCTAGGTGGGTACTTTAAGTAGTAGTGCCTGCCTGCAGAAGGTTTGCGTACCTGCAGAACCTTCCAACATCCAACTACATTAGGGCCTCAGCGATTCACCAACAGAGAGCCATGATACTTTACAGATTGTTTGTGCCATGCATTCAGGGCTCATGTACCCGAAGTGCTCGAATGACTTGTGAAGAACCCGGGGCATCAGCTTAGGATGGGACTCTGAGCTTGCATGCGTGAAGTGTTCACATCTAACAGCTCTCCTACCATCGTGACGGGCGGCTTAGCTGCCACAACTGAGCACAGCTTCGCGTCCCATGACAAATGAGGTTGCCTGTGACACCTCACGGGCTACTTGAGCGTCCGATCCCCACTCCACGAAGCAGCGTCTGGGGTCAGTAATTCAGGCGAAGGAAGGTTGGAAGGCGGAATGTTCAAGCCGCTCGCTAGACGCACAACAGTCCTGTACAATGTCGATCCCCGAGTATGACTCCACCAGATAATTATAGCCATGGATGGTCTCTGATCCACTAACGGTCATGATTGTGAATACTATGGAACTTACAGTACTGTGGCAGATATGTAAATCGCCTTTTCAGCTCATGGCCAGTAGCCTGGACACGCACAACTGCAGTCTCGCTGGCCTGCTTTCAAACATGTAAGATAGCTGGAAGCGCATCCATGTGAGCCGGTACCTAAGTAGCCAATGGGGCCGGCGCTGCATCTGGTTCAGCCGCATCCGAGTCGATCGGGCTCCGTAACACGACACCACGTTGTGACAAGTTCCATAATGAACAAGATCTGAGCCATTGATTAGACATGTATCTCATCGACGTTCAAGACTTGGAACACTTGACTATTCGGCATTTCGAGGGCGACCCACCACCCTACGCCATCCTCTCGCACAAATGGGGCAAGGAGGAAGTTACTTATCATGAGTCCCACAAGTTGGTCGGCTCGCAGAACGCCGCGGCGCTCAAGAAGAGCTTTGAGAAGATCAAGAAGTGTTGCAAACAAACAGCGGCTGACGGCCTCCGCTACGTTGTAAGTCCAGCCCCACGCCGTAGTGGGTTGTCTGGTTATCACTACACCAGTGCTGCGTACTGTACTGATCATCATCACCGGATCAGTGGGTCGACACGTGCTGCATTGACAAGCGGAGCTCAGCTGAATTGTCTGAAGCCATCAACTCCATGTTCAATTATTACCGCGATGCGGTAATCTGCTACGCTTTTCTTGAAGATGTGATATCGTCCGAAAAGCCTACCTCACCAGAGTCGCAGTTTGGAAAGAGTACCTGGTTCGCTCGAGGATGGACGCTCCAAGAACTTTTGGCACCATCTATTGTCGTCTTCTTCAACTCGACCTGGGAGAATATTGGGACCCGCGAGGAGCTGAGACCTGTGATATCGGCCGTGACACACATCTCTCCCAGCTTCTTCACCGACGGTGACATGGAGAAATTCAGTGTTGCACAGAAGATGTCATGGGCGTCTCGTAGGCAGTGCACCAGAGTTGAAGACGAGGCTTATTGCTTACTCGGTATCTTTGGCGTCAACATGCCACTATTGTACGGCGAGGGCATCCGCGCCTTCATACGGCTTCAAGAGGAGGTCATGAAGGTTTCAGACGATCAGTCGCTCTTTGCTTGGGCACCCCCGAAGCCTCAAAGCTTATCTGAGTACGACTTTTCCAACACTGACTCAACCAAGCTGAACGGGGGGCTGTTGGCGCCGTCTGCTGCGCATTTCCAGGCATCAGGTAACATAATACGAGCATCATCGTCGAGATCAAGCTTGGAGCCTCCATGGGCGATGACCAACAAGGGTCTGAGAATATCGTTACCCCTTGTCGACGCCAACTCAGTCCCCTCTGTACAGACACTCAACACCTACCCACACCGAACTCTTGCCATACTTGACTGCCGCTACGAAGATGATGAGACTTCGAAACTTGCTGTCTTCCTGGGCGGTCCGGAGAGGCTACAAGACATTGAACCTAGGAGCCATCTACCCATCGGCCCCTTCGTCCGGACAGACTATAGACGCGGCCTGATAAAAGTGAACGAAAATTCCGTAGGTACACCAGCGAAACAACGAGAGCTCCTCATAAGACCCAAAGAGTCCTCCAGCAGCAACCGTCCGTGGCCAAACTATAGGGACGGCAGACTCGTCCTCATCGAAGCTCTCCCCCCCGCCGTCAGGGGCTTCAAACTTACCGAGACGATCCCCCAGATCCAATGGAAGTCGCAAAAAGACACCGGGGTCACATCATTTCGCCTGTCAAAGAGTAACTTCAGCTACGGCCGCGTAGCACTGATGTTCAAACATCTCGAAGGCTATGCTTTCCTATTAATCATTAAGCCGCAGAGCCACTACGACTCCTTCCCGCGGTTCGATGTCCAATGCGCGATGAACGTCAACCGTGCCGAGCAGAGGAAGGACTGGAAGGACCGCTTCTACAACAAGATGACGCTGGGCAGCGGCGTGTTCCAGGACACGCCCCTGACGCCCGAGACCCCTGACGGACGCTACCGTCTGAGGCTGAAGGTACGACAGCTACAGCATGCCCTCATGATTAATCTGAACAATGTGGGCGACGGTACCAGGGGTTCACCAAACGACCGCAGGCTTCTGAGTCCCGGCTCTCCTAGGGCACTGATGATGCCCCCTCCCATTCTCAGGGACGGCTAGGCTGGCCATGTTGACAGGCTCAGGGCCAATTTACAGGATAGAGCATTCAAAAACCGTATTCATTTAAAGACTGGTTTTCTAGCTTTGCAAGTGGTACTAAGCGAAATTAATTTGCCGGGCAGTGGTGGTCATACGGAGTTCCGCGATGGTTGAAGTATTTGGTCAACAGAATGGACAGAAGGTACTACACAGCATGTATATCTAACATCTACTCCTTCCCGCAAATCGCGTGGCCTCTCTTCGAGGCCATATATTTTCCCTACACTAGATCGAGTCCTCGCCTATCCACGAGAGGGAAGCTGGGTTGGTTGCTGGGCGCTCCGCCTGCTCGAGATTCGGTCAAAGTTTTGCAGAAGAAAACGATGACTCACTTGATCGACCAACAAGATGTTGCAGATGCTTCTTCATGAGCAAGCGGCACTAACAAGCCTAGTAGTTCCGAGGAAAGAATCAAAATGCATGCATGCAGAATGGTGGCGCTTTGGGGCTGAAGTGACGTGCAAGGGGTTCCTGGGCCAACAAGACAAGCCTCGCATCTTGCATCGCGCATCTTGCAGCACGCTTGCGCTCCAGCTCGCTGCAGCCATCTTGTAAAAGCATGCACAGGCATGTAAACATGTAAACGTACGCGTCGCGTCGGGTTCTGCGGGTTCTAATGTCTACGCAAAGTTGGCATAGGCGCCCAGGCACGGCGATTCGCGTCAGCGATCACTAGAACCTTTGGTAGCGGTTCACCAACCCCTATACGTGCGGAGTGAATGAGGCAAATAGGTTGAATCTCTCTAGTTCTTGATATTGGGATATAGTACCAAATGCAATACAATGCTAAACAATACAATCGCAACCGCCGGTTCGAATCCAAAGCGACCCAAACAGAAAGATATTGGTATTACGCCAAACGCTCGCTCCGCATTAGAAACTCCGCGTGCTTCCTTACTGTTATTTCCTTGGGAGCCACACCGGGACTCTTCCCATAGTCAAAATTTCCATTCGGAAACCTCCAGAGGTGTATATATATATGTTTAATAAGATATGGTCGTTTAGATGCGCGTGTCAATAGAACGGGATTATTGTCTCCGTGCTCGCCTCGACTACAGGCCGCTGTCGATCTGGTTTGGCGCCTCGGAGCCCGTGTAGGAGCCCCAGTCGTTGCAGGTCTCCTGGATCGAGTCGGGAAAGTCGAGGTCGGCGATGCCGTCGGGGTTGAACATGAATTGGCTGAAGAAACCGGACGAGGCGTGCCAGGCAATGTGGCAGTGGAAGGGCCATACGCCCGTGTTGTTGGATTCGAGCTGGACAACGATGTGGCCCTCAGGACGGACGTTCTGCACGTCGCGGCGCATGGGGTTCGATGTGCGCACAAAATCCGTGTTGTCGCTGTAGTTCCCGGGGCCGTCGGCGAGAATGAACATGTTCAAGCCGTGGGCGTGGATGGGGTGCGGCCTGTTGCATCGATGTTTGTTAGTTGAATCACCAGCGGACAAAGAGAGACGGAGACTCACGCCTTGGTAGGGTTGTTGATGATCAGTCGAATGGATGAGTTTGTGCCAAAGTTGATCACATTCATCTCCTCGGCAAATGTGAAGTTGCCCTGCGCGGCTTGAAGCAAGGTCGGGTTGTTATAGTCCACGCGCGCAGCAACTCCGCCAAATGTCCAGAGGAAGTGGCCAGTCTTGTTGATGAAGGTGCCGATGTCCATGTGCTGGGTCCAGGTGGGTTCAGGAAGCTCGATGGAAAAGAGCGGAACAGTATCTTCGAGGGCGTCATTAGCACAGTTACCTGGGTCTGCCACATCCCAGGGCGTCGAGGTTGGCTCTGCGTTGATGTCTGCATCCTCGTAGAAAATGGCGGCAACGGCGTCGGGGGCAAGGGCACCAGAGCAGGACGTCAGATTGGCCCGCAGCCAGTACGACGAGTCGCTCGCACTGGCGTCGGCGGTTACGATGACATCCGTTCGTTGGCCAACACCAAGAGTGACTACTGTGGTGTTGTAGGGTTGAATTGGTACGAAGTCGTTGGCAATGACAGTCATGGTGTGTCCGTCGATGGAGATGCGTTCAATACCCTGGGATCCAGAGTTTATGAATCGAAGACGGTGAGTCTTTCCTGACTGAAAGTTGAATTTGGCCACGCCAGCATTATCGGTGCAAGGTGTAGTGTCATTCTCAGGTTTCGACGAGCAGTTGAAGTTGTTCTTGCCGTTAATTAGGTTGCTATCGGAGAACGAGCGACCAGCGAAGTTGGGTGCCATGATATTTGAGACGACATCGAAGTAGTCATGGTGCCACCAGTCTATAAACTGTGAGTCTTGTAGACATCACCCAGAGGTTCGATGAGTACTTACCACCAACAAGAATTGGGCCAACGTCAATATCGTAATCGACAGAATTAGGGCCGTGAATGACCATAGGACCGAAGAGACCACCAGAGTATTGGGCAGAGTAGTGAGAGTGATACCATGATGTTCCGTAGAGGCCGGCCTGGAATCTGTAGGTGAAGTTGCTGCCAGGGGCGATCGGGCATTGGGAAACACCTGGCACACCGTCCATGAATGGTCTGCCCTCTTGCATAAGACCGTGCCAGTGGATGGCCGTTCCTTCACCCACGTCCTCAATCTGGTTGGTGACCTTGACTTCGATCCAGTCACCCCAGTTGGCCTCTATCAAAGGGCCTGGAAATTGCTCGTTGACTAAAATAACGGATTTTTCATATCCATCCGGTGCGATTGTTTCCCGCGTGATATTCCACTCATATGTACGCGTAACGCCAGTCTCGGGCGTCGTGGTGTATGGATTATCGTTCGCAACGTTCAGGTTGCCCCATGGACGGTTACCCGGTCCTTCACTGTTGATGCCATTGTCCATGATCCAAAACGGAAGTGTTGGTGCTACTATTGTTCCAAATAGAGATTTACTGTTGCGTGTCAGTTGGTAGGTATGATGTTAAGGGGCAAGAACCTATCCTACCCATTTTGCTGAGCTGATGTCAACGCGCCGACAAGGCCGTTGCAGGAACTAAATAGGCCCATGATGGGTAATGACTGGACGGGATATACTCTTTCCCAATCTTAGACGACTAATGATTAAACACTACCCGGTAGTCAGGCCAGGGATCATGAATGAGCATGCTCGAGCATGAACGGAAGGGGACGAGAGTATCTTATACCCATCCGGCGGCGAACTGTTGGCTGCAGCCCTGTGATTATTTTGAACATGGTCCCTCGTCCGAGCAGCCACTGGGTTCAGCTCCAGTCGATGGACCCATGCTCTGGCTCCAAGACCAGACCTAGCTCAGATCCTCTTCTTGGCGGTCATGGTATATGGACCCCTAGCTTCTAGAGTCCCGCGGCGATGGGATTGGACACCACCCAAAGCCTTGGCCACCAGATCCTGGCATACATCATGCTGTGAAATCGTTTAGACTTGTTACCAAAGGGAGCCACATGAGACTAGCTAGGCTAGGACAGGTGAAAGTGGGCTCGTATACGGTTGAGCAAACCCCCTGGGTCGATCCATAGTTGAACCCCTTCAACGGTGGAACCAAAAGACATCAGGATGGATTATCACCACCCTCCATAGGAAATAGATTGCTCGTAATAAGCTTCTTGTGCCCAAGGAAAGCAGACAGTCCTTTCACCGAGCGAGAGGCGATCCCAGCTCAAAGTGAAGCCAAAGATGGCGATTGTTGTTGAGCCTGGGATGGGATGGGTCTTGACCACCCCCTTGCTAGCGGTACTAAAGAGCGAAGTGAAAAGAAACTTCAGGGCATCATTTACTCTGAACAAAACAAAACTCTGCCGATGGTGGGGAAAGAGTCTCAGGTCACTCCAGTTATGGCTATGTTCGTCGACAAGTCCCTGCGTCGATCCGAACTCGCAGAAGTTGTTGAATACCCGGCAGGGGAGGACCTGGTAATTCCAGGCACATGCTGCATCGAGATGAAGATGCGCAGAAGTGTTATTCAGCAAAAACCAGTCTCATGCACTGATGTCTTCTGCAGGATGCTACCCATGCGGTGGAAATACGACACTGCAGGCGCCCGCGCTACAGAGTAACTGAATAGTCGAAGCGGGTCGGCTCAGGCCACTAGTGATGCAGTAACGATCTTTATGAGCAGTAGATCTTACATTTGCAAACACTGGTGGTTTGGATAACGAGGCACGGCTTGGCACGGCCAGCTCTCGATGGTTATGTGAGGGCTAGATGTCATCCGTCTCACCCATTGACCTGGTGCTAAATGGGCTATGCGGCCGATTTTCGAGGCGAAGGAAGAACTCTCACGATGTTGGAAGGTCAAAGAGACGAGCCCCAACAAGGGATAGCGACGGCCGCATCCTTCCGTCGTCGTTCAGCGGTTTGGCCAGAGTCTATCTTGCACGGTCGAGCCTCCGAGGCCCGCTGTACTAGGCCCGGGAGTTGTGTTCAAGGTAGCGCGTAGATGAAGAGATGCCCCGCCATCGACGGTAGTGCGGAAATAGTCCCCGAGTCTCGTTCCCCCGTTTTTCTTCTGTCTACACTGGTGGCGCAAATGGGGCGGGCGCCGGAGATTTGATGGGGAACTTGACAGCAGGTTGACACCAAGACATTGCCTCCGAGTGACTGCAGATTTTCTCTGCAACTCGCAATGGCACGCTTCTGTAAGGCCCCGTAAAGCAAGCAGACCTGAATTGCCATTCATGGGACGCTGTCGCCGCTGCGGCGTCTGATTGGCAGAAACTCCCGGATGGCTAAGATGAACCTGTGCGCCGCCGGAAGCATATCCACAGGCTGTGCCCACATGATAAAGGGCAGACGTGTGCATTCGCTGTAAGGATCTCGCCTGATATTGGTCCGTACGTGATCCAATTTCTCGCAACGAGACGAGGCAAATTCGGAGTCAATAGTAGGCCAAGACCATATTTCTTCTTGGTGAAGAAGCGGCTGCTTGAGCTTGACGTTGAGTTGGCGCTTCCACGATGTGTAAGTTACAGAGCGCGCGAGGCGCGGTTTCACGAATAAGACGCTAGATCATAGGATGACCTCGCCACATCTATGCAACGCAAGGGCTACAGACTGTCGGTTTGAACATGTCCAGGCCTTACTAATCTAGCACTCCACAGGTGGACAGAAACCAGCGGGTATGGCGCGTGTCGCTCGCATCGATGCGCCATATTTGACGCAGACATGACCTGTAAGAGTGGTTATGTTTCCTATGCCGGCGTTGTACCTGATGGCAGCTGGCACGAACTGCAGAATAGCTCGGTGCTTCGATGATCAAAACTTGAAGTTCCTACTTCGGACGCTCCTCGGAAGTCCATAATCTGGTGGTATATTTTGCCTCTCCTGAAACGCCTGAATATGTACAGTACAGGAATGTGTATAGTACAAGGTTTGTCAACCTGAGTGTCCTCCCTCCAACATTACATCAGCCGTGGACGAAAATCCGGGCCCGGCTTATTGGTCGCGTGGTCGGTAAGGACGTTGGGCGGCCATGATGAAGGGCCGTCTCTGTGCTCGCAAGAATGCCTCGTTGGCCATGGGCGATGCATCAGTTCTGATGACACTTCCGATGCCCATGAAGAAACTGTATCCAAAAGACAAGTCAGCCAATGCTCCGTGTACGTCCGGGCTGATATGTAGCATTTCATCACTGACCCGAACGTTGCTCCTGACCCAGCCATGTATTGGCCCAGTGTTCGCATGATACCGTTTGGCCCCGCACCGTATCTGAAGATGTTGACGGTTCCTGCAAGTTGTAGTGTTAGCCAAGACCATGATCGTTGTGTGAATGAGTGACTGATGGCGCATACCGAATACGAAGCCCATAATGCAGCCGACAGCTGTGACAACAAGGTTAGCGCGGAGAGCAGGTCCATGTTCATATCGTGGGTTCGAAACGTACTGCCACCCATCATGGCGCCCATCTTCACTGTTTTCCCAAGCGTCAGCTGCAGTCCCTCATTGCGGCACTGTCCATGTGAGAGGAGACGAACGTTTGTCGATGTTGGACGGGCCATGGGCGCCGGCGCCAACACTAGGAGGAGGAGGCATGATGAATGCTTCGGCCGTGAAACTCGGTGCTGGGCGATGACTATGCTGATCACGCTCTGGGGCGGATGGTGTCTGTCTGTCTGGTTCGATGCGCCTTGCGGTGCGGTCGTTCGATGTCGGCTTGGAGAGAAAGCTCCAGCTTCTTTGAGCTCTTCTCTCCACTTCCAAGGTCCCGCGACGGACAGTGCATATCAGTTTTCGCAGCACGGGCGGTGGCATCTGCCTGCCCGCTGTGTGAGAGCTTTGCCGAGCCCGGCCAGGTGTCTGTCACTGTTCGGCCCCGCAGAGACAGCGACACATGTGGGCCCAGGTTCAGAGGAGTCCCTGGGGGAAGAACGGGCCCCCGAGAATGGCCCATAGGCCCACCTGTGGCCTCTGCGCTGGGCGGCCAGCTCAACGGTACCGGGAAAGGGAAACGAAACGATGCCGGAGCCAGCCAGCACCAAGACCACGAGCAATGGCCTGGTTGAGGGCGACCAGGGCCCCAGGGCCGCAGGGAAACTTGGTGTCGATCCTTGCTGCGCATCACGTGAGCGTCCAGTCTCTACTCTGGTTAGGTACGGTGTCCTGGGTGTCATGGCCCACGGCTTTTGACTTTTGTCATCCGAGCAATGCGCATCAAGTCAGGAAACCTAATGGCAAGCATCAAAGAAATGCGAGAGCCCTAGCAACGTAAATACAGTAGACTTCATATCTCACACCCGCGTGAACAAGGAGAGAATATCCTCACCAACGTCCCGGGGAAACACGCCGATGACCGCTCTGTGTTTGTTTGGGCGGCCGGCGTGTGATGCGGCTCTGTCTCGATATGCCCCCCATGCACACATCCAATGTTCCGCCGGGGGCCCGCTAAGCGCTTAGGGGTACTAGCGAGACGGGGGCGACCTTCTTTCGAGTGTGTCTCCAAATCTTGAAGCAACGTCCAGAGTGTCATCTCATCATATATCCCTTCCGCCCGCGACCTCGCCTCGCCAGACCATCAGGACACCCCGTGTCAATTGAGCGGTACGTCGCCTGTGCCTTTCCTTGCCTGTCTGCGTGACGCTCGCTGCCGCCCTTTGTCTCCCGTCGCCTTCGCATGACTCGCTCCCGACCAGCGGCCGACCCGCCTCGATGCCACTGGCCTCACCCACCGAACTAACTTTCTTGCCTCATCACAGACGACACGCACCGCATCACCACCGCGACCCGCCCGAATCCCCTCGCACCAGGGCTCTTCCTCTCACTGTCAGCCGCGCTTCGCTGGCGTCGTTTGCTGGGGCTCCCTACGCGGTCGCGTGAGCGGTGGATGGAGAGGACGACCGAGCATCATTTCGCTACCCGGCCTGCTGCTTCTTCGCATCGCCGTCATCGAACCCCCATCTCGTCTCGCTCCGTACACGCCGCATAATCGCTCCCCATGACAGCCGTCGCGAGTCCTCCTACCTTGTCGCAGCATAACAGGCCGGCATGGGGCATGAACGGTCACCGTGGAGTGCAGAGCATTGAAATGAACCCGGAAGAGCTGAACCGCATGTTTATGCCGCGGAAAAGTCTGCAGCGGAACAACTCGTCCTCGTCTATATCGTCGACGTCGTCCGCCTCGTCGACCACGACCGTCGTCGGCCCAAACGCCCAGCAGCCACCACAGCCCAACGGAACCGCCAATGGGGCCCCCATGTCAGCAGCGGGCGATCTAAGTTCGTGGGCGAACGCTGGCCCGCGAAAGCGCCCTCAAGGTAAAGGCGCCCCGTGGCCCGCGCCCAAGTCCGACGGCCCTTCTGATTTCACGAGGATGGTGTCTCGTGGGCCGCAGCTGATGGCCCTGAACGGGTCCGCCCCGATGCACGCCCCTGCGCCCATCCTGCAGTCACAGCCGCAAATGTCCACGCAGCAGGGAATGCCGCGACCTGCCGCCGAAGCCCTCTCTCAGGGCGCCCAGCCCGTCCTATATCTGCTCTCCCTCAACGGCACCTTTGAGCGCAAGACGATATCTGTTCCTTTCTCCCCTGACACCCTTAGGATAGGTCGTCAGACGAACGCAAAGACAGTCCCTACCCCGACCAACGGGTTCTTTGACTCCAAAGTCCTCTCCCGCCAACATGCCGAAATATGGGCCGACCGACAGGGCAAGATTTGGATACGCGACGTCAAGTCGTCCAATGGAACCTTCGTCAATGCGACCCGACTGTCTCAGGAGAACCGCGAGTCCGAACCCCACGAATTACAGACAGGTGATCACCTCGAGCTGGGAATCGACATTGTCAGCGAAGACCAGAAGACGGTCGTTCACCACAAGGTAGCAGCAAAAGTTGAGCATGCCGGCTTTTTGAATACTTCCAGCAACCTACTAGATATGAACTTCGGGGACCTCGATCCCGCAAACGGAGGTGCAATGATGATGCAGCATCCCGGAGGCATGCCCTTCAACAGAGGACGTACGGGTAGCCAAGCATCCATGGCCGGCAACGGACGGGTGATGCCAGGCAACGCCATGATGGGCCCACAAGCGAATGGGATGGCCCAACAACGCGCAGGGTTCTTCTTTTCGCCCATCAGCACAGAGCAGATTGTGAAAAGGCTTCAGGTAAGTTCGCTACCCACTTACGCTCGACCAAGAAACCCCTTTTCGGACGACTAACGGGGACACCAGACCGAGATGCGCACTGCGCGCCTTCAGGCACAGGATCTTAACCGGACCGGTCACTTCATCGGTACCTTGCTATCGAAGGATGATATCAAGGATATGGGCAAGCCAGAGGCCCCGGAACTCCTGAAGCCGCAAATGGTCAACGGAAATGGCGTGTCGTTCATGAGGGCAGACAGCAAGACGCGCTTCTCGGACCCTCCTGCGCCACCACCTCAACAGCCTCTCCCCGAGAAGCCCGACGTCCCGTCGCTGAAGCGTGGCATCACTGAGCGGCCCAAGACCAACGTTTCGAGTGCCAATGTCTCGCCGATACGCCAAGACGGCAATGTCAGTCAAATACTACAGTTGACAGAGGCCCTGAACAATGCCAAGAAGGAGCTGGAGGCACAAAACTCTCGCATGCGGCATTTGGAGGAAAAACTGGACAAGGAGCGTGAAGCACGTGAAATTGCCGAGGAACTCGCCAGGAGACTGGAAGAAGCTGCTGCCCTTAGGGTGAACGGTGCTGCTGTCAAACCGGAACCTGTTGAGGAGCCGACCTTGGCCTTAGAGGAAGCATTCGAGCCACCGGCAGATAGCCCAACAGAGGCCGATGCTGAGACGCCGACTAATGCTGTTGCAGACGCACAGCCAGCAGCCCCACAGGTCGAAAGCATAGAGGCATCGGCCAGTCAGTTGCACAGTCAGCTGGAGTCCATGGTTCTCGAGATGAAAGACCTCAGACAACAGCTCGATGTGTATAAGGCACGAGCCGAAATCGCAGAAGCTGAGAGAGATAACGACCGGAAGAGTTTGGCTGAGATGGCCTTACAGATCAGAAAAGACGCCGACGCGCGTGAGACTGCTGCCCGTGAGTTGTCACAGCTAAGGTCTCGCGCCAGGGCAATCGAGACTCCCGAAACCGCCAGTGAGACCTCGGAGGAATCGGCTTCCATGGTAAGAACACCGTCAACAGATTCCAGTGGAGGCCAAATAACGCCAGGGGTTCCTAACGATGCCCCAACTTTATCGCGGGCGAACACTATCACTCCGTACACGGCAAAATCTGGACAGCTCGCACATGAACAGGCACTAGCAAACGGCTTGCCGTACGCGTCTATGCTTGGCGTGGTGCTTCTTGGGATGGGGCTCATGGCTTACATCAATGGCTGGCAGCCACAGCCAACACGACTTGATCGGTAGTTTTACCGATTGCCACACAGATGACGACTGACTTTTCTTTGTACCTATTTCTATACGAACCACCACAACCTCCCCGGTCACGAATTATTACCCGCATGCTCCCTTACGGGTGGATACCGAGCGGACAGGCTTATGTAACATGATCGATAAAGACAGGCGTTTCAGGCATCAGCAGGCGATGAGGGTCACTATTTTTCTGGGCATTTTCTTATTTCACTGACGACCATGTTGTGTGTACCAGGCGCGCGGTTTAAGCCTGACTGTCACTTGCGGTACCGGGGCAAGAAAATGGACTTGAGGACGAGTTAATAGCATTGCGTCCAGTCTCGTTTGCAGAATATCCGATGGACAAAATAAAACATGATTCTTGTGCCCCAGTTGCATCCCCGTGCACATTGACAATCTCGGTGCTAGACTATGTTCTTGAGGCTTCCGATACTCCAGATCTTGACTACCTAGCCATACTCGCGCTTGGGAGCCTTCTTGCCTCCAGCGCTGGGTTTCAAGATGGCAAAAAGATTCGTTGTAAATCAAGACGAATTGGTGTACGGTGACCCTACGTCTGCAACATTTGCGCCTAAAGATATCAGATAGGTCATGCTTATGGGTGACTATATTAGCGCTAACGGTTGAATACCAAAGATAATTCATTAATAAACTGGTAGCTGATATCGAGGTGCCAAATCGCGCCATCGTCATTACCTCTTCTTGTTAGCTGCATGATTCGCACTAGGGATCGAACTCTCTTATGCAGATTCCCTAGCCAAGCTTTCGATAATGTCATGAACGCCCGCAAAGGAGAGTTGATCCACGGTTTCCCTCCACAACCGCTGAGTGATCCCTTGTGCCTCTTTGGAGTAGACGAAGGGTGCCATTCTAGTGGAGTCGCACACTCACAGGTTAGTCTTATAGTCAGGTATGGATGCAATGGCATAGAGCATGGGTTCATCGCGAGTTGATATCCCTTACGCTTCTATGGCTCGCAATAAATGGGGTCATCAATACCTGAGATAAGAGAGAAAGCACGTACGGTCTCAATTTGCAATCCTCAACGTACTGCCCGTGATAGCTGTCGTCCAGCTGGGTAGCGGCATGCACGAGAGTACGCGCACCAACAGACGACGAACGGCCAAAGACCCGGATGAAGACAGCAGCACCCAAGCCAAGCTCCCGGCCCAGGTCGGAGCCGTAGCAGAGGCCTGGATTTGCGCAATTGACGACGGCCAGCGCCGGCGGCACGCGCCTCGCCAGTTCGGTTATGAACAGCTGACCTAGAAGTTTGGTGGTAGCGTAGCGGTTGAAACCATCCCACTTGGCCCCCTTGTCATCAAAGGCTGGGAGCAGCGGCTCCTTAGTTTTCTCATGGAATTTGGCCCACGCGGCGGTGTCGGAGGACACGACGACAATCCGTCCCGGAGATAGTTGAGACGGGTTGGTGGTATGTGTAGCTCGCTCAAAGACCCGGAGTAGGAGAAGCACCAGCAGCATAGTCGAGAGGTAGTTGGTCTGTAGGTCTTCCTCGTGGCCCGTCTTCGGGTTTAGGTTAAAGGAGCTGCGATTGATGCCGGCGTTGAGGATGGCAACGTCGACTCGTGGGCTAAGGCCCTCGACCCGCTGCACAAAGGCCATGATGGACTCGTAAGACGCATAATCCAGCTTCCACACCTCGATCGACTGGCTGGGCTCGAGGTCTGTCGCGTTGGTCAGAGCCTTGCGGGCAATCTCGCCTTTAGTCTCATTACGGACGGCGAGAATGAGTCGGCTTAGTCCAAGGCTGAGAAGCTGTCGCGAATACTCAAGGCCGATGCCACCGCTAGCTCCCGTAACGATGGCTATTTTGCCCTTCAAGTCGACATCACGTCGGGACACCGCAGGTGGGGCTCCAAAGAACTGCCGGCGTAAGAACTGGAGCTTGCTTGCTTCCTTTTCGGGCGTGATGTCAAATGAAGCTTGCCTGGGCATCCTTTCGTGGCTATTTGTCTGTGTGGATTTCTCAGCACTGAACTACAACTACAAACAGTACGGTTTCAAGGATGCTGTCAATAAAGATTACTGTAGGATGCTTGGGCCAAGGTGGGAAAATGAAAGGGCGGCAGATAAATGGTCATAATGACTGCGGGACAGCGGACATGCAAGCGGCCGTCTTGGCCGAGCCTGACATTGAACATTCAGGATTGGCCTGTTACTCGGTTGGCAACGATTGGTCGTGCCCAATCTTCGTTTTCGCATACCACCTGCATGCTTGTGCAAACAGCGACGGTGCCGCAGCGGGAGAGGCTTGCTTTCTCCAATCCTTGAGAACTTATGCTAGATCATAAGCAATGAGCTGCCAGGGTCGGCAAGCGAGGTCTTCTTTATCAATAGATGTGGGAGTTCCATTATCGCAGTTTCAGGTTGGCTGTATGACTTGATGGGATGCACAAGCAAGGGAAGAACGAGCATGTGTACACGATATCTTAGATGCGCAATACCGGATTCAAGCTTTCTGCATTCACCTGATTGCTTGTATCACGGCTATCTTCATATCCCAAGCTGCCAAGTCTGATCGAAGTTTAATAATCTTAGCAATTGGTACTCACAGAGAGCCTTCTCTACAGCACTCTAGATTTCTTCGATACTCGGTGAATTTCAAATGGCATGCTCTCCGACGAATACAACGAAGCTATTAGAGATGGACTGCACCGGTCTGAGCAATATCTGTTAGATGTTTATGCCCATGCACAAGATGGTTCCAAACATGGTGCAGTACTGACTTGAGTTCTACATAAATTGCAGCACGGGGGTCCTCTTCCAATCGCATATGGATAAACAATAGCTACGGCCGGTGGGCGTACATAGATACCAGTGGCCTGGTATCCCAGGCACTATATTCACACACTCTGCTTGACACCGATGACCTGACTACAGACTTGGTATGAGGGGGGATTGGCGCAGGCGTTTTGCAGCTTGTTGTCCCTTGGGACCCTCGTCTGCTTACTGGCAACCCTTGGTGACAGTGAGCCGAAGATTGAACAAGTGAAAACTGGCGCAAGCTGGAGTGGTGGCAGAAGGTCCCACTTTTAATAGTGTACGCGAATATCGCGCCCGTTTGCATTGAATCGTGTTCGTACGGAGTGATTTTCACCATACTACATTGCATTCATCGTCTTCATTTTCTTCATCCCAGGGAGACAATCCATTCACAATGGGTGGCCCTCCGTCCCAGAATGGATAAATACTACACCCGAACCGATCCAGCGATGGACAAGTACCGCCCAGCGTGGGACGCCCTCAAGGCAAACAGTTTCGTGAATAATCCTGAACTCTCCGAATACGATCGAATTCTATCTGCGTGGCATTCAGGATACCTGGAGGGTGAAGCAGGACTTCTTGGCCAACCAGCGCTACTCCTTCCCCATCATGTTGATTTGGGACGCGGATCGTATATGGAGAAGCTTCGATCTCGGCTACTACAAGGACATCTTGATGGTATACCATGGCCCCGAGCGCGAGCCTCCTTAGTTCTCTGTAGAGCAGGAGGAGGGCGAGGTAGCAGACCCAATCTACCTTGACTTCACTTGGCGGGGAACATGCAGCCGGATACCTAGTACTGCCATCAACAACCCGCTAATCACCAAGGGAAAGACTGAGTTCGGTACCACCTGGATCTGTGGCTATTTCGAGGGAATGGGTGGCATTGGTCTTCCAAACAGCCGCTGTTACTTTGATGGCGAATCCTTGCACGGTCCACGACGAGTTCCGCACAACCTCCAATCTTTCATCGACGGCTGGAATGGCTTGGAATCTTTTGGTGAGGACGAGGCGGTGCGCCTGGCGCCATCACTATGAGGTGCAGTTACTTCGACTTCGCCCGGACAAGCCTGTGGAGCATGGATTATTGCAGCCAAGGCACGGGGTGTTACACGATGGGAGTCCATGGCAGCAACTAAGTCGATCTAAGAGTTTGGTACTTGAGTGGAGTAAATGGACGATATTTATTATAAATGCTTTCATTGCTGTGCATACAGCTTTTCCGTCTTGCTCTCGACAAAGTCTGAAAATGTGGTTTGATAGTGGAGCCTGTCTGAGGCCTACTTAAGCTGAACGAGTCGAGACTCGCCACTAGTTAGTGAAGTTTGTGCGAACCAAAGCCGGGACCAAATCAGAAGGTTGCTCAGGGAAGTCCATCACAATGGTGCCGTAGCCCCCTTTTTGTCGAATTGGATCGTTAAAATAGTCCAACAACATGGCGTTAATTCCATACGGGTCGACGATGGGGAACCAATTGTTGAACCAGAAACCGGTGGCGATGCTGTGCGCCTGACCCTTGATAATACTTACTACACTACCAATGACATTGGATATTGATGCACCTTTCTTTGGAGCCTGCACACCACTCGCGAAATTGAGGAACCAGGTATCCTCTGTACTGCCACTGTTCTGCACCTGTCCTTGACCCACGGATTGCCCAGCTTGCCATGCTGCATTTAACATTGGCCGAATTACGTTCCACTTCTCTCTCGTCGGATTCAGGCCTGTTTCTTTCCACGAAAGGTCAAAATAATCCTGCAGCCGAACGTTGACGCCATTTGTTGGACGAAGGGCCGTGTCTTTGGCATTGTCCTGCCACTGTAGCAAGACTGGTACCCCGTAGCTCTTCTTGCGCTGCTCTGGACGTTGATCGGGCACAACCATACCTTCAACAAATCTGCGTACTAGTTGTATTTTGCCGCGGAGTTCTTTCAGGGTAGGAATTTTACCACTTTCGACGATCCAACAGCCGCCAGCCTCTTCCTTCTGTGTTAGAGCCCAGATATCATTTGCGAACTGGATAAGGATCTCGTCATCGTGTAATTTGTTCTCTATGTCGAGCTCATCGCGTTTGATCTGAACTATCAGGCCCTCTCCTGGGTTGTCCTTGAGGAATTGATAGAATGTGTTGAAAACATCTTCAACCTTTAGCCCGTCAAACCAGCTTGGTATATCGTAGAGGTTGGATCCTAGCGTCTTGACAAGTATGGGTACTACATTGTGATGAACAACGGGGTATGTATACTCCCCACGCAAGCCGTAGCCTCCTCGCAAGTCGAAGTACCGGATTCCACTCTCAAGTTGCTGTCTGATTGTCGTCATTTGACACCCTACAAATGGAATTCTGCTCATAGCGCCGCTGTCATGAGTCCCGGGGATCGTGAGCCGCGAAATACGCGTGTCGCTGGGCAAATAAGTCATCCACCGGTCCATGGTTCCTGCTATGACCAGCGAAGGCTTCACTGAAAAGAGCAGGGTCTTCTTCTTTCGGTCCGTCCACACACAATAGAATTTGTTCTTGGCCACTTCGATTGCTGGAACAGTGTCGGATATTGCGGGCTCAGGACCCGGATACTCTCTCGGCTTGCTCTTGTCACTAAACTCGAAGAGCTTAAACTTCCCTGTAGAGGGATCAAGCAGAGCGTAGAATCCTATCTCCTGGAAACTGCAAGCTGAAATTTCACTGGTCGAAAAGCCGCTTGGAATCCCATCTTGTCGAACTTCGGGTGCGGCAGGCGCCTTCCCAGACCCAATGGCCGCAATGAAGTCAATGAGTTTCGGCTGTGTCTCCGAACTGAATGCCAACACATGACTGACACATCGTTCAGATAATGTAGCCATGGCTGATACGGGCTTGACAATGCCTTCGTTGTTCGACAATGTGACATCTTTCCAAGCGTAATCTTGGTAGACCGAGGCTCGTCGAGTCCCATCTGCATCCAGCCATGCGACTTGAAGTTCATTTCCGAGATGCAAAAGATTCAATCCGTCGGTAATTCCGAGGGCAAGGGGACCAGAATGTGGCAGCAGAGTTGGGTCGACATCCATAAGAACCCCGCGCCCGTCAGCTGGCCTGGCGGGACGGCCCCACGTCTTGAGTTCAGCATTATATACTAAATGGTAGAGATATGATTGATCTTCTTCATCTTTGCTCTTTGTTGTTGATGTGAACATCAAGTGCAAAATGGCCCCTGCCGATGCGGCTGCAAGCAGTGGCTTGCCTGAACCCGATCTGGTAGCATGTACCTGATAAGGCGTGATGGCACCCGATGCGATCTCCCTGGTATCTGGGTCGCGAATGCTATTGTCTACAATAGTTGGCTCTGTCCACCCAGTTCTGGTGGTCGCAGTGTACGAAATGTTGTTAAGCTTTCCATGTACCCAGAAGCACCACACCTCACCCGCGAAGGTCACTAAGGCAGGGGTACCCGTGGTGGCAGTTTTGTCTGGCAGCAAATAGGTCGGTGTGGTCCAATCGGACATTATGACGGGCGTATATCAGTTATTGATGCGTATTTGATTTTGATAGACGGAAGTATCTGAATTAGGCAGCGACCTCTTATTTCGTTAACGTGATAATATGGTCAAGACCTCCAACTCAGTTGGACCTGGGCTGGGTATGTATTGTTATAGGCGTGACTGTTATCTGCTTGATTGAGTATCTGAAACCTATTTCAAGACATGCTTTGGAATTCATGACTCATCCTAATCTAGTAGAAATATGCGTAACTGATTGTTGCTAGGACAAGCTGAACAATGTGTCTCAAGCTCATTTCGCCAACTTCCCAGCCCTTGAGCGCCAGGACGAATTTTGGAAACTAGTTTTATCAAGGCAGAATCGTCAGTGGTAGTTCTTCGTCGTACCACAAAGCGATATTACGTACATGTACACGACACTCACTTACCGTATAGGTAATATGACAAATTACCTACTATGTCACGGCGTTAGAGCTTTGGGGCATGATGCATAGTTGACTAGAAATGATAATCTTTAACTGCTACATTTTTCAAGGTCGCGTTACGAATGTTCCGGTAACTTCAAATACCATACTGATGCATTCAACGGTATCAAGTTAAACTATTGTCTTGCGTCGGAAGCATAGAACGTCTCGACGTGTTTTTAGAGGCTAGAAGTGGGGAATAGATTGGCTAGTTAACCACGCAGGCTCGGCAGCGTTGCGAAAGTTCCAATCTTCTCATCAATCCCAGCCAATGCTTGTTCTACATCTTCTGGAATCTTCTCGCCATATTCGTTCGCAATTTCATCTCTTACCATTCGTACCTCGTCCCCAAGCGCCTGATGCAAGAGAGCATCCTGGGAGATTTCGAGCAACCCCAAAGCAAAGTCCTTCTTAGAATACGCCAATGCTTTTGTAACGATGGCGCCTTCCTGGATCTCACGTACCCGCACAAGGAACCGTGAAGCTGAGTCCTTCAGTGGCGCAAATCGACGCTGCAGTGTAATACACTCATTTTCCGTCGTTTCTGCCAACAGACTTAGAGTGGGAACGAGGGCTTCTGTCTGCTGTACGAATCGTAGACGCATATCCTGCGCATTGCGCTCATTCTGCAAGCCATATAGCTTCATTCGTGCTTCATTGAGCTGGTTTTGTGCCTCGTCCCTGGCTCGACGAGCGTCATTGAGCTGGCCCTGCAGATTCGCAGGATCCAGGGGCCCGCCATTGATAGCATTACCGATACCCTAGGTCAAAATTGTAAACTAAGCAATTGTAAACTAAGCAATTGTAAACTAAGCAAACAGAAAGGAGAGATCAGCGAAATTATCAGGAATAATCGGCTGCAGAAATAGCCCGAAGGAAACTCACACCAACGTCGCTGAAACCTTTGGCAATCTCAGTATCCGAAATCTTATCTTGAAGCCGACTGACAGCTTCCGCTTGGGATTGTGCACTTCGCGAAATCGTATCGACGCTGGCTTGCGAAGTTCTGATCTGACCCTGTGTATTCTGCAGTTCTAACTCAGTCTTCTGGAGGAGCATATGGACGTCAGCTTGGGCCGGGAGGATCTTCGTGTTTTGCACCTCCATAACGATGGCGTGCCGGTAGCTAATGACCTTCAGGCCAGCCTCGGCGCAGTCTTCCATATCCTGGAAGGCGTTGACCATCTGGTTTAAAAGGTCATCGCGCTGCAACGTATCAGGGTTGCGGTCGTCGTAAGCTCCGCGAATGAAAACGGCTAACTTGTAGACTTTAGCCATTGCCAACTCAAGCTTGTCGAGTGTTGCTTTGCCGCATTGGACAACCGATTGGTCAAGGTCTCTGGAAATATTCCTAAGCTGGTCGCCGGCAGTATTCAAAGTCATTTGGAGTTTATTGACCTCGGCCTGTTCTTGAGCCCCCTGGGCTGGCATTACTCCACCAACAAATCCGGTCTGTGCTGCAGCAATAGCCGCAGCGAGTGATGCAAATTGCGGCTGCAGCCAAAGGCCAGAGATAGACAAGATATCCATGGCGCTAGTATTTGAAGGATTGCGTGAAACAACAAAGAAGAGCGTCAAATTCTCATAAAGTAATGAACTATGGGAGCAGACTTAATACATCGAGCCCGCGAGAGTGAACTATACATATACTAGTAGATTGGATGTAGCCTCCTTGCCGACATTCATTAGTTTCACTTTTTGATAACAGGCCATGTTATCTAAGTAACCTTGAGTGAGGAATTCTCAGGGCTAGATCGCACCGTTCCAGAAAACCATATTCGGAGCCATGATGGCGGGCTCCGTAGGGAAGCGACTCGACGTGATTGGTGGTTTGGCGTTTGTGGCTTGCTTAGCATTTCTGCCTCTCCCTAGTTAGATAATAGAGCAAACCTCAAGTTCAGGAACAAGTCCCTCCTAGGTGAGACCCTTTCAGCTGCTTCGTAACGCTCCGCCTAGTCCGCTCTTGGAGCAAGGATTCATCCACCTTGCTCTAGAGCATGTCAGACATGTCTGGAAGTTATCCTACGTCGTATTCTGTCCAGTTGTAAGAGATTTCTGATAACTGCGGTAGACCTTCATCGAAGCCGAGATTAGACACTTACAAGACTTAATTATTAGCCTCAAGAATGCGAAGGTCGAGATATGTAGTTTCGAACCCGATATGTTCCATAGAGCACCAAAAAGAAGTGACTAAAAGACATAATAAAACAGTTGATCGGCACTGGGAGATCGACTGTACTAGTTTATGGTCGATATATAAATAGAGAGGGAATGCGAGGTTCAATATCTCATCTGTTAATTCTGCGTGCACTAATAGGTAATAGGGATTTTACTTATTCCACAACTAAGTTTTTTTTAACCTTCGCCCATCTCGGTGCTTCTTTTCTCAAGCCATTATCTCAATAGCTCGGATTTTCAGTACCCCCGAAAATGTCGTCTGATAGTAGAGACCTTCAGACCATTCTGGTAGCGCAAGAGAAGCGTGATCTGGCACCCAATGTCTCTTCTCAGGTAATCAACGAGATTAAGAGTAGTCTCATCTTTCAAATCAGCTGGGAACAACTTCTACAGGCGGCTCCGACGGCCATCAGCTGCATGGGAGCTTGCTTCATTGCCAGTTCCAGCCCGAGAGCAGTTGTTGAGCTTACTTCACCTCCTGGCAAAGGTTTTCAGTACCTGAAGTTAGTTGCAACCTTCTAACTGATTTATGCCTGATTAGCAACATACTGATGAATTTCTTACTTGCAGGTACACCTCAGTGCAAGCTAATCTCGTTGAATGTGGCAACATGGGACGCATGGCATTTCTCGAGGCAGAGAACGGGATGGGTGTCATTCAGTTGACTTCTCAGGTCATCAATGGGAAGGTCAGAATTTATTTGGGCCATCATTTCATATGAAGACCTCTGTATCAATTGCACACTAACGTAAAACCCGCAAAGATCAACGAGATCGTTCCCACTATTGCCGATCCTGTATCAGCTAAGAAGATGCTCCGACCGCAACTGGAAACACTCAAGTCTGGCGCCAACACTTGTCTGAACAGCGCCATAGCCATGGACAAAAAGTTTGAGGATTGGCTGTTGTATGTCTGTGAGATGCATGCTGCTTGTGTTCAACAAGAAAATAACACACGCGAGGCTTTGCAAAGCAATGAGATCAACCTCGTGGCAGAGGGCTCGCGCCTTGATTACCAAAAGTCGACGGTAGAAGAGGCCAAGAAGGCCCACGAAGAGTTGGGCAAACAGGTTGGTGTTGCATCAGAAGCATTCAAAAAAGCGTCGGACGAGTTTCCTACCGGGTAAGCAAGCTTAGGGCTAGTTTATCGCCCTCATGTTTTAGGCCATCTATCCTCTACCTTTGTATCGATCATTGCTAACCCAGGACTTCACAGCTGGGATCTCCTTGGCCAACAGATCGTTGGAGACCTAGCTGGCGCTGTGACCACTGCTCTAAACGCTGCCCTTCCGGCACTGCTGGACAACCTCAATCCTATGGCCAAATTGAAAACCGGGGCGAGTATCGTTGGCGGCTTTGTGAATCCCCCCAAGGGTAGTAATGCAAGCGCTGAGGGCTCTTTCGGGACATCAAATGGCGCCAGCAATACATCGCAAAGTGCCACTCCGCCCCGCCCACTGCCGAGGCAGGTTACAGACCCGGCTTTCCCAGAGATTCAAAAGATCTCCGCCTACCTTTCTTCTCTTCAAGTTATTGTGAATGGCAAGCAGGATGGTGATATCGACTGGGAAATGGCTAGAACTGGAAGCGCTGGCAAAAGTGGCCCGAAGTCAGCAATCAAGTTCATATTGACGATGCTGGGCGACTCGAAAGACCGCTTCACTCCACTGGCCACAAGTGAAGAGCCCAGCCGCACCTTGTCTGAGATTCTGAAAGTCTGTTTGCGGGTGAGCGATGCCCTTGCGCTTCAAAACGAAGAAAAAAGAACGCTAATAAAATTTCTTGTGCGTTTAGGTTGCCGCTGAATTACAAGAAGAGGTTGAAAAGTCCAAGACGGTAATGTCTCAATGGCCAGCAAAAGACTCTGAGCAGGTCAATAAGTGGCAATCCGACTTTACTGATGCATACGACAAAGCCAACACTCTTCTTGCTACAGCAAAAACAGTTCCGGGCACTGCAGCCAACGGCGTGAGTTTTGACCCTGACCAATGTAACTACTTCAAGAGCACAGGTGTTGTTCGTGTTTCTATCGCGTGAAAATGGTAAACTGACTCAAGCCATTCATTTAGATCCCATTAATGCCTGCCCAAGATCCGGCAGTCCAAGCAGCACAGATCAATGCCAAAACAGCTCAAGCACAAGCGGTCCTGGAATCAGCTAAGAACCGGTTAGCAACTACGTCGCAAATGCTCACGACAGCACAAGATAATTACATCAAGACAACGGATATGCTTCTGCAGCAGCAGAATAAACTAGCTGATATTCAAGCGACTTTAGCCAAGTTAACCGCCTCTAACGTCGAGCTAGTATGTTTGATTGCCCTACACCCAACTATCGAGCAAACTCACGTGAGGTGTTAACATGAGCATCTCCACTAGGCCGAAATCAAGAGGATCCTTATCGAGTGCATCAAGCTTATCCTCAACCTCAAAGACCAAATTACCAACCTCGTGCGCTTCTTCAGGGGCATTGCATCCATTGTCGAGGTCTGCGTCAAGTATCACGTTGAACCTTTTATCGCCACGGTCAAAGCAATCACGTCTGACGGCGACGACCCCAACGAAGCCTACAAAGTTGGCGACTACACATTTACTGACTTCCAACGATCGGTGCGTTGTAACTCTATCGATCCCAACTATTCCAACAAGCTTCAACAAGCCACCCTGTATTTTTGAGCCTCTATTCGCTAATGCCCTTACTATACAGCAAGTATATTCAGCTGCGGTCACATTGCGCTCCTATTTCGGTGTCTTTGGTGACATCGCGAAGATGTGGGTGACATTGTCTAAGGACAATGTCTTACCGGGACTGCGTATGTGTGATGAGTTGTCCGTAACGAGTGATGAGAAGGACCCCGGAATTATGCAGAAGAAGATCCACGTACTCACTCAGTGGTCATCCGATGCGACCAACCGAGTCCAGGTAGGCCATCCCTTTCAATACACTTCCACCTACCCAGAAAAGCCTCTGTTTTCTTTTGGAGTGAAATCTCATCATGCTGAACGTTATTCCCCATTAGCAAATTGCAGTTGAGAAGCAGCGCGAAATCATGGAAGGCATGGAAACCCGCATCGTCGAAGTCAAAGAGACAACGGCAGCCATCGCTGCGCTGCCGGCGACCATCCTCAAGGCCATCACAGCTGGCACAGAGGTGACCAAAGAGGCAGCTCAGAAGAGTATCGAGCAGAGAGCTAAACAAAGCTCTCTGAGCCGCTTCGGTAAGTTATTTCTGGTTCTTGTATTTGTGTCAATTGCTGCTGACTGACAGTCAATACAGCTATCTCTGATGACTGATCTCATTGGATTGAAGTTTTGGACAGAATGTGAGGTATTCTTGATGCAATAATGGAGTCGATCATCACGGCATCGTTTAGGTCTACTTCTCACACAGACGTACTTGCTTTATTCCTATGTCTGAACATCGTTATCTCTTGTGGGTCAAAATTCTACTTATAACGCATGAAATATAGGTAAATCCACCTATCTGTGTATGTGTAACTTCATAAATCATTATGGGTAGCGGAATGAGTGCATTTGGTTGATTGCTTCATCTCAGAAGCCAGCGGGCATGGTGACGTGAATTCCTCAGCTCTGGTCACCCCTTGTGACCAAGATCCATTGATTTTGCTCGACCTCAGTATAGGATAGCGGATCGTTGGCATCCAGTATCAGGTCCCGAACTAATTGTTTAATTGTACTGTCCGCCTCTTGATCACCTCCAAGATCTTCATAGTATGCCTCTTCCCGCTCATGACAGGCCCTCTGCACGGTATCTAGTAACGTCTCTAGGTTTGGTCGGTCTTGTCTTTCGACCGCGAGGCATCTCGCCACCAGTAGGAGTAGTTCTCGGTCAAGAAACGGGTAGATTGTTGCGGTATTCTCGGACTTCGTCGGCTGTATCAACTGGACAGCGTATGTTTCTATCACATGTTCAGGCCTGTCCGGAAAGGGACTACATCCACAGTGAGGCGCAAATCGAAGGTTATAGCCAATATCATCCCCAGTCATTAGCGTATACATGAGCTAATTCCAACCTGTCAGTCTCACCCTTACGGTATAACTATTCCGTCGGAGTTCTCGTACCTTTGAAATGTCCAACAAGTTCCTCTCGACACCCCAGAGTGGATTCTCGCTGTAAGTCATCAGCGTATTGTCCCCAGGTAATGTAAACATGTACTCACTTTTGAGAATTGCGATGAGAACCGAATTTAGCTTTCCCGAAATCTATCAATATGAGGCTGGGCACGATCGGGTGTTCCTCAGGAAAGTGCAGGAAATCCTGGATCATGACTTTACATAAGTTGGTTGTCTGCACAGCAGCCATCGAGATTCAAAAGTTGTACGTACCATTACCTGGGTGCAGGTCGTTATGTACGAGCATGCTTGGGGTACTGCCTGTTGCTGGCATATTTTCAATACTTTGCTTGGCTGTAACTCTCTCCTGAGGCGGGTAGCCGAGAGCGATGGTAGCTCTAATTACTTTGCAACAGATCGACTTCTCAGCGTATTTTTTGTATAATTCAAGCAGGGTGAACTTACAGCATAGAAAGAAGCTCCAGAGAATGCGATTAGGTAAATGAACCCCGTGCTCTAAAACTCTTTGCATTAACGTTGTCAAATTGCCGTTCTCGACGTACTCCATCACGATTGTTGGTCCTGACAGCCCAGGTCCTATCAAATGCCAAGGGCTCTGTAACAGCAACCGCCTACGAGCATAACTTATCATCGCTCTCAGAATTGACCAGAAAGTGGCTTGTGGTGCACTTGTAGATCCGCCTGAGGACGAGAGGAGCTGGACAATGTGGGCAGCACCACGCAGAGCCTAGATAGTGCCCAAAGGAGTCAGCAGGGAGTGCTACTCGACAAGTCTTAGTAGTAGAAATTTATATGTAACAAATGACAAGATAAGATTATGGAACCACCTTCAACACTTGGATCTCATGAATCAATTCGCCGTCAATACCTGGAGCTATGGGGCGCTTCACGATACAACGCCGCATTGTGTAAGACCCTGCCCGATCTTTCTGTTTACACAGTGCTGCCACTCCATCAGCCCCAGAGCCTATAATCTGTTCAAGCTCGAATGATTTGTGCTGCCCGAAATAATTCCTCAGGGCCGTCGAGGCTTGGCTTATGGCCATTGTTGTGGAGAGGGGTGGTTGGTTTTTGCGGCTCGCTGTAAGAATTCTTCAATTGTTTGCTCGCTCACCTCTAGGACAGAATGGATTGGCTTCGTTTGAATAAAGTGAATCGAGCCACTGACTACTAGCACAGAGTTGGCCTTTGTTGCCGAAAACGGTGGAAAGAAACAAAGACATGTTTTGAAGCACAGTCCAAATTCTCTCCAGCGCAGCATATACACTCTTTGGGTGTCAAGGAGAAATTTGATTTGATTTAAAGCCACACTATGGGATCTCGCGCAAGAAATGCCAAGTTGCTCTGCTTTGGATTAATCTCAAAGTCTGAAGAACTTACCTACCGACCATGCTGAGGCTATCACTCAAGGTGTATATCAAATGCGCTTTCTGCTTTGTGCACAGATTTCTTAGAACCCCCTCGAACTTTCTCACCCTGTCCTGTGTTCTCTCGCTTTCAGCTGTGTCTAGGCCATCCACGATGATCACCAGTTCTCGCCTTCCGCTTATATCAAGTGGTGGAAGCGATGCTAGAATCTCAAGACCTGCCTCGAAGCTCTCAGCATCGCCGCTCTCGAACCTTCTGAAATTGGCCTCAGAAAGCGCCTTGCTAGCTGTAGATAAGGCAGATATCGATTCCGGCATTATGAGCAATGCATTGTGGATCAAGGAGGCCATTAGCTTGATCAGAATCGATGTGTGCCAACATCCCACATCTGGCAGAATGGTAGAAAGTTGGGGAAGCACGTGTAGGACAGCAAAATCACGCGATCGTAGGTATTTGGCGAGCTCATACCCCGCGCGAGTGGCGGTTATGTCAATATTCTGTTCATCGCCGGTTGTGGGCAACTCTTGTTGGTACAAGGGGACCACTAGTTCTTCAAGCGTACCTGTATTAGTACCATGCCGAGTGAGACTGCCGGCAGGTGTGCACTTGGGCACTGGTGATCCCGTGTCATGGATCGAGTTAGTGCGCGCAAGTAGTGGCGAAGGTGCGCTATTTGTCAAAGTGACGGATGTCTCGATATCGTTGAGGATTTCTGCAAGCTTTGGGCACCAGAAGGGTGTATCTTCCAAACTAACTCCATCTTCATAATACTTACCCTCATCTTCCAGCGACTGTTTCCAGGGTGTTGCTCCAAGCTTCTCCTCCAGACCCGAGGCTCGATCAAGAAGTTGACTTCGTGTCAGCGTAAGGCCAAGAGCTTGCAGCATGAGCAATAAATCTGGCGTTAATGGGGAATATTTTCGATCTCTGGAAGGCAGCTGGGGGTACAGCAGATGACACAATAACTTTGTAAGTAAACCAGGAGACTAGGTCAACAGCATCGATCTTCGCCTCAAGAATTCTACAGTACTAAACAGCGCACATGGATACATGTAGTTTATATATAGCAACATGTATAACAACTCCATTATGGGCTACAGTGAATTGCGGTCATTGTCTGTGTCCTCATTCTATAAGCCCATATGGCTTTCAAACGCTTTCTCGGTTTCTTCTTTGCGAAATTAAACACGTTTTGTTCTTGGACAGTTAAGTGCTATGACAAAGGAATAAAGGATGACAACAGTAGCAAGTAGTACTCTTTACAGTCACTATATGGAGCTGGTTTCTACTTAGTACCAAATCATCTGCTTCAGCTCAACGGGGAAAGAACTATTCAGATGAGAGCGATTCGGCACTTTTCATCATACAATAGATTTTGCTCGCATTTTTTTATTACTGGAATGTTCTCATTACATGTCTCTTCAATCTTTGACCAATGATATCTGTGTTAAACCACAACGTTGGACTGCAGCGGCCTACTCATTGGTTTGGCTTATCAGCTGTAACCTCCAACTGCGACGCGGTCATGGTCTTTGGATCCACCTTCTCAACAATTGCAGCTGTGCCATAGGCGCAACACTGGGCGAAGCCACCCATATCTCCCGCATCAAACCTTAAACATATGACTGCATTGCCGCCGCGGGACTGGGTCTCAGCCACTATACGGCTGATGGCATCATTTCTGGCCGAATATAGCTAGGATAAGTTAATACATTTTGTAAGGTACGAAGCGGTTTGCATACCATGTTTGTGAACCATCTCAGCTCGCCTCCGATTACACTCTTGGCTACCATGCCAAGGCTAGCAGCCCAATTCCTCGATCTCACAGTAATTCCATATACTGCACCTAGAACTCGTACGACCTTGTAACCAGGAATGTCAAACATTGTTGTTGTGATCACACCGTTCGTCTCTGTAAAGCAATGCAAGTCCGAAATCTCAAGTGGGATATCTGCTGCTTCTGTCTGCTTCCCCTTCTGACGTGTCGACGACATATTAGGCATACTGTGATTCGAATCTAATATTTCATATGCTGAGAAGGTTAGATGGAGAAAGTTTTGGACTCGAGTGATGTCCCGGAAACCCAGCTCTTTAAAAGGCGGTGCTGCGGAGGCTTGATACCAGCTGAACTGCGACGAGGTCTTGAACGATGTCAGCTTAACGTTAGGCGCCCACGAGGTTGGACTAGTGCATTACTTATGGCACGTATGATTGGCCCTAAACGAATGGCTAGCCTAGTTCCGGTTAAACGCCGTATTTCGTATTCTTTGAAATCCTGGGTGTGACGTAGATTAGCACCGCCAGGTGAGGAGGTAACACAAATGCCATAGCCGGAAGGTCGGAATGCAGGGATCAAGTGACCTGTTCTGCAAGGGTCCTCCGCTTATTGCATATTTGAAGTTGTCAACTAAAGCAAGTTATCGTCCAACACTTGAGGCTTTTGGAGCTGAAATGGGGGGGCACACATTCCGAAGTGAGGCACAGAAATATTTCTAGCAATCTGGCCGTCGTCGTTTTTACCATAAAAAAGCATAGGCCATCAATTTTCTTGATTCGGAGTTCATCGACTCCCCTAGTCCAGAAAGCCTGATTGAGGAGATAAGTAGCTTAAGGGCTAATAAAACGTTTCCGCTCTTAGGGCTCAGGAGGTAGGCACTAGCTAAAGCATTATAGAGGCCTCTCCTCGAAGAACCATTAAGGGACATCATTGACTATAGCACCGATATAGCAATGTTGCCTTTTAAGCTGAAGTGACGGCGAGTTCCAAAGGCCGCCGAGTCTCTTACGGGCCTAATGACATATGCGGCATCGTAGCCATCGTATACTTCCATGATATAACATGGACTTGCCCTATGGTCTGCAGTGATGCTACAGAAAGAATCACCAGGTACAGATACATTGAAGATGCACGCTTTAACGGAATCTGTCTTGGACATGCAGCCGCATAAACTTGGGTCTAACAAACCCCTATCGAAACACCATGATTCTAGTGACTCGCTCAAAAGGGATACCTGTTACTACACGAAGGGCTGTTGGCAGACTCAATTACCTATTTTGTCGCACAAGATTGCTTCCTCACTCCGACAGCGCAGCCTTTACGTAAGGCAACCGTAGGGCGTGTGATCAGAAGCATGATCACCCCCATTCCAATGTTAAGTAGGTAGTACAGTTCGAGCCAATCAGAAAGGAAGAGCTGCAGGAGTGGCAAAGTTAATTTTAGGCCAAGACCTGTACATGGTAGTGGAGAGCAGGTTCACGGCGTCCGCTGGCAATTGCGATTATCTACTCATACAGCTGGACTCATTCGACCTATAGTAACAATAACAACCACATGTTGGAGAAATTACCGTTCCAATGGCACCGGAGACATTGACGTAAGAAACTTTGAACTGTCTTACATGGTTGACCAATGCTGGAAGTTCTCAGCTTTACGAGATCACGTAATCTTGAGAAGAGGATCAAGCCAGTCAGCGCCTAAACTTTAACCCTGCCAAGAAAGACCTATAACGCCTCCTGCAGTACGCCAAAGTCATATTCATTACTGCAATGGTATGGATTGATTGTGCGGTGATCCGGCGCTACGTCGGTCTTGTGAGTAAAAGATTACAGTTGATCCCAGTGGATCTTCTCAGAGCCAGGGCATGGCATTTCTCAGCTGATCCTAGGTGCTTTTTGAGAGTCCTTCTAAGTTGCACAAGACTGTAATCAGGAGAAAAATATATCCCCAAGGGGCATCAAATAAGGCACAGTCTGAGGCTTGGTCTGCCGAATGTCATGTCGATCGTTTCGTTTGCCCTCAACAATTGGACTAGGAGCCAACAAAGAGACACCCTGTCTTTTTCTCTCATGGCCATTCGTAATGACGAGAGATGTTAACGCCACAGAGTGATTATGAAGTCTATAAAAGCCGCCAAGAAATCCGAATTGTCAATGTTACCTTCCTGCAGCAGCCAAGAAATCTCCCACACCAACCAACAACTTATTGCAAGTATATTCCATTGCAGTTTCTCAATATGAAGTTCTCTGCCATCGCCACCAGTTATCTTATTAGCCTCGCGGCAGCTGCACCCCAGGGAATTGAAAAGGATGCCACGTGGACTCTTTCAGACGTGTCTGCCAACAGTACTCCTGGATTCAATGGAGCACTCACCACTAGGTGCGCGACTTTTCCTCTTCATGAATTTCATACCCACTTTGATATTCCATACTTCCCGTCTTCGTGAATATACATGACAGGTTTTAAGGATTAGCATCGGGCCCAACTCTCTAACCCCTCGCATTTTTGCTTCTTCCCCTTGATCTTACCTGCTAACTCATATGTAGCTACTCTCTGACTATTACCACCGACGTCTCCCACCAGACCGCTCACTGTCAGGCTGAGTCTCAAGAGACTGGCGCTCCACTCGGTGCATTGCCCAAAACGAAGTGCGACCCAGATGTGTTTGCCTTCTCTTGGACTCCGAAGGGACAGGGCGCATCAGATGGTTACACCCTTGAGGTCTACGATGCTACTACCAAACAACACGCCACTCACGACATCCCGGCAGACCAAATCAAGGATCGTCCTTTCGTGATCAATGATGTTCACCCTCACTACTATGCGGGCCCAAGTCAGTTCAAAGTGAAGACGCAGCTAGACTAAGCGGCTGGAGTGTAGTGGACCACATATTGTATGGTTCTTTCCAGTTGGCTCCTTCGTGGAAGCACTCTTGAGTATGGAGGATTATTTTAGCTGGTATTAGTTTGACTAGGAAGAGAATTCACACCATCTTCACATCGTATTTCAGCTCCTCCCTGACTAGCAGGCACTGTGCGATTAATTATCCCTGGGGTCTCCAAGGCTGCAACTTGCAGCCTAGCATCTAACAACTCCTTAATGCTCGAAATTGCTCTAGTTTTCTGGTAATTATAGCATTTGCATGTTTTGAGATGTAAATTCCAGTGGATCATACGTAAATAAAAGAGAAAAACGACAAAGCGCGCGTAGCTTAGACTATAGGAAGTGGTGATCAATCCTGGTTCTAGGCGGCAGCCCATCTCAAGTGAGCAGCACCCTGGGCGACAATTTTCGATGTGGCGCGTCAGCGCATCATTGCATCTCCATCCTAGTTTGCATAGCGTCAGCTGACGCTTCTTCCAATCGAAATGGGCTCCACCGGCGGCAGCTAGAACAGCCCCGTTGCATCCGGCTGATATCTGCAGCCTAGGCAATGCAGAGTATCTATATCATGCGAAGGCCTGCCACTTCATGGGAGGCTCCATGTGAAGCAGAGTGGCGATCGAAAGTTTGTTCTCAGCAACATATATAGTTTTTCTTTGGATTTGACCACTTGGCCTGATATCTACTTTTATTCAGTGAAACTCATAATGAGGCCATCAGACTTGTTATCAATAGCATTTGCGACCACGGTTACCGCACATATCACTATCGTGGCGGATGTAGAGTGGGTAATCAGTGATGCCTCCGCTTCTGCCGAGCCTCATGGCACTGTCACGAGATTAGTTGCCAATTCATACTACTATATAACTGCTCAATCTTCCGATGAGTTCGAATCAAGCAACATTTCACTCATGGGTGAGATCTTTATGCTCGGTCGAGCGGTTCTAACGCGATGTCCTCAGATTTGCTCTCAATGTAGCTACCTCAAGTTCCAATGGAACCTGCAGCGGTGCGGGAAACTCATTTCAAGTCTTGGGCTCTCTGCCCAAGACTGAGTGCAGCCCTTCCGACTTTGCCTTTTCGTGGACTGCCATCGGGTCGGGAGAAGGGAATGGCGCTACTCTGGAGATCTTTAACTCTATTACTCATCAGCATGCCATTCATACGATCACGGCGGATCAAATTGTATGGGAAAACGAAATGCCAAATCCAAATGGTAGAATTCAGGTGTATGAAGGACCTGGTAGCTTCGTAGTGGAAGCTGAAGCTGATTAAGCCGTTTCATTCAAGTTAGCAAAATACGCCGTAGAAAACAAAGAAGAGCATCAATGGTGTTAGCCTTCGTATTTTATTTGGCAGTATAGGTTTGGGAAAGAACGAGTAGCTTTCTTCTTTTGTGATCGTTTGCCTTGGTGAGATTCACGTGCCGAGTCAATTAGGAAGGAATCTATGCATGAATGAAATACGTAGTTCATCTGAGCGGTCCAGGTTTTGCTCCTTTGGCCTATTCAGGTTTCTGGAATGTCTCTTTGCAGGATCAACTCATGGGCATAACTGACAGCGGGACGCACGCCTTCTTCGCATGACTTACTCTCGAAGGAGGTGGATTGGTGCTTCGGGATCTTGGTGCCTTGCTCGCTGGGCGCCCTTGAAGCACCTCTAGACTTCGAAGTGGCAGTTTTGAAGATCACCAAGGCCTTCCTAGTCTGTGAACTGCATCGGATGAGTAGCAATGAGGCCTGCTGTCCAAAGCTGTGGCCTATTCCCTTAAAGCCGCCTGCGCTACTTGCCGAGACTGTCTCTGAGCATATGACTTGTTGCCAGCACCCGGCTTTTTGCGGCCTCCACCATCGTCACTACAAGTGTACAAGTCCGTTGCTTAATCAAACTAGAGGCCGTTGGCATTGAATATCAGTTGCAGCTTAAAGAAGAAAAGAAAAGAAAAAAAAAGAAAAAAGGCCATGCCGTTGGAATCACAAGAGGCCTCATCAACACGACCCGGGGTTCCGAGTTGAGCGGGTCCACTGGCTACAGCCCCTTTCCGAGCCAGCGGGAAGAGTGCATCAAACTGATAGCGAAATGGGTAGAGGATACCCGAGGTCAAGAGGTGAGGTGAAATGCCCAACAAGACCACAGATGAGGGCGAGATGCAGTGAAAGCCGAAGCTGACCATAGCCAAAACTCCAGTGGCACCCTTCATTACACAAGTCGAGCGTACGTTTTGATACTTTTTTTGCCTTTTATTGATCTTTTCGCCTAACCCCTGTCCTAAATTCTATACATGTGCTTGTGTGAACCGATGTATGCCAGTTAAGTCACTCCGTCCCTGTCTAAACGTTTGCTCCGTAGGGAGGCGCGCCAGCACCGCCGAACCCGCTCTTTGATAGCGGCGTTGGTACTCAATCAAGATGCAAGAATTTCGCGCCATCAACGCTCGCCTGAGTAGCTTCACTTACGCCTAGAAATATGCCGTGCCGCATCCTCTATCCTCGCGACTTTTGGTGGGCCACCGCCTCTACCCTTGTTGGCCTTTTCTGTTGAACCATTTCGAAGGCTAGTTTGGTGGTGTAAAGAAACCAGAACCCTTGTGATATAAATGCCAGATAGACTCCAGACTGCGCGCCAATGCATGCGTTCTTAGCTGATGTACCGAGGAAACAAATACTTCACCCCCCAAAGAAATTGGTGAACGCGGCTGAAGACATGTTTAAGTAGCCGGGATCCAAAGAAAGCTCACCATCCACAGCTGAGCACAACAAATCGCTGGACCAAAAACCCTCTAGACATCATGCGCGTACTCCGTCGTGAAAATGAAGGCCCGCAACGTACATCTTCGCACTCCCCAAGACGTGTCTCGACGTCCAAAATCCTATCCTCATGATAACCTGGACCACATGGATTGTCCAATATAGCACCAACACATCTCAAGTTTGAGATTCGATCGCGTTGCACGCTTGAGCAGCTGCTAAAGCTCCGGGCACGTATCCAAGAAGTGGAACTCCATCAGAAATCAACAACTTCTCGGCACATCATTCAACCTCCTTTCCTCTCAGATTCGTTCTTGGGCAGTTGCTCGCTCTGAGGGAAATAGTTGTCTTTGCTTTTCCCGTCCACGGCCTTTTTCCTGCTTTTGCCAATCTTCTGCCAGCCGCTCGAAATGTTGTTGTCGCTCTCACTCTTGGCGCCCCTGGTGTGTCCATTTTCTCGAGCAGGCCCATTGGATTTCGAGTTTGCCGCGTGGGCTGTTTCCGTTTTGGCTGGCTCTGCATCAGCAGGCAATCTCTGCTTCGGCTTCAACTCTGGCTTTGTGCCCTTGCTGAGCCCTGATGTGACGACCGAATTGCTGGGACGGTTTCGCGGAACGGTAGTAGGAAGGTCAAATTTACGATTTGCGGTTGGAGACGGCGTGGCCTCTGTGATTGGTGAGAGATGTTGCGGGTCTGTTGAGTGCATGCGCTCAGTTGCCAGGTCGAGTTGGGCTATCAGCGGGCTATGAGGTGAGCTCGGTACAAACCCTCTCTGAAATGCCGGAGGGAAATTGCGTGAAGCTGGTACTGTTGTAATCGGAGAAAAACAGAGCCCTCCGGCAGTTCCATTTGCTGGCAAGACACCACCATCACTTCCATACCGAGGGACAGATTGATTGGTCGGGCTGCTCCCATTATTCGATCCGTTTACGACGAGGGGGCGGTCGGAAATAGTGTTATCGGACTTTGCAGGCAAATACATTTGGGATATTGGCGCATCGCCCTCAACACCGTTTCCGTTGACCAGATGATTGATATAAAGCGGGTTATCGTAAGCAGGCATTGGAAAGCTTGCAGGCTCGTTCACTGACGACTGCCGCATCGAGGTAGAGCTTCCCGGCTTAGTAACCGACCCGTTCACAACCAAGGGCTTGCTGTCTTGCGTGGTACGATTATTCCCCTGAGGCAAAGTGGCCGATGCTGCTGAAGGGGCCGAACCAGTGCCTACCGAGTAAGTCCTGTTATGACCTAGCGGAGATGGCGACCGTGATGTTCGCTTAATTCGGTCCAGAATTGACTGCTGGAGATCGGATGATAATCGACGCCGACTTGGATTGCTCTGGCTCGAGGCTTGCAGTCCAATATCCCCAAAGGCTGGCACGCCGGCGGCAATGCTACTGGCGCTACGTGCCGGGCTGTTCGAAGGTTCAAGGTGGGTGCCGTAGGCCTTGTCGTCACCCGGTGGTGTATGACTCGGGCTCGGCTCTTGATCGGGTTCGTTTACCTCGTCCGGCATGAAGCTGGGGATGGCCCTTCCATTAAGCTGTCTTGTGGGTACGGTGGCAATGCCGTTGGCCATAGAATTCTGCCCAGAGTACCCTGGTATACTCTGTGCGACAGGGACGGGCCGAGAAGCAGGCTGCGACTGAGATCGCAAGGAACTACCCGACGCTGCTGCGCCAGCTTCGTTCGGCGCTGTTGATCTATGAGAGCTGCGACGTTGGTCATTCGCCTGGTTGGTCGACGGCGACGACGGATAGGAAGTGAAGCTCTGAGGTGTTGCGAAGTAGGGCTGGCCCTGGAATTGTGGCCAGTACCACATCTCCGGGCGAATCGGGGCAGTCAGAGGGGGGTTGTCGATCGAGTTTGTCCTAGATCTCTCTGTCGACGTTCCTGGCTGGGAGAGGTTGCCTTGCATCCGTTGAGCGTGGGCAAGGGCCTGCTGCTGCACCAGAGCCTGATTCTGGGTGTACTGCAACAATCGAAGGTTATTCTCATGCTGCAGCTGCAGGGCCGACAGCTGTTGGTTCATGTCCACAAACATTGTCCCGTCTGGAGTGACCCAGGGATAGCCTTGGTAAAACGCTATGTTCCCGTTGTTGTCGTATGGTGTGCTGGATGAAGCTCTGCGATTATTTCCATGGTTGCTGTTGTTATTCCGGAACTGTCCTTGTTGCCTTCCTCCCCTGGCACCTCCACGGCCTCCACGATTGTTGTGCTGCTGCGAGGCACTTCTCATCAGGACCGCAGGTCGAGGAGTGGGCTTCTGGAAGATGGTGGCCTTCTCTTCTTCCTTCGGAAACACATACTGCTCGCAACACTCTTCCAGCTTGCCCTGTGAAATCAAATCGAATGCGCGGCGTAGCTCTTGGTGAATCCCCCTGAACGAAGTATCGTCCGCCGTATTGCCGAGGTTCCGTATCGTGTTAAAAGGCTCTTCGACGCAGAGGCGGTTATTGGTGGCAAGTATCCAGTTCTTTCTATCTCTCTTGGACATGACCTTGCCAAGTCTGACTGATATCGCATCATCGCTGTAGTTAAACTCATGCGCATAATAGCGGAAGAATTGGAAGAGAAGCTCCCCCCAGGTAGCCTTGTTCTTCGATCCAAAGCCACTCAGCTTGTCCAGGTCGTCAGCGAACGGTGCAATGTCTCCATCTTTTCGTGTTGACTTTTGGTGGGCCTTTTGGTGCAGTGCAGGAACGACGGGCGGCTGCCGTAGTTGAAGAAATGCAATAATCATACATATCCAGGTGTAGGAGCTCAAAGTACCTCCGAATGCTATATGCACGATTTGGTTAGACTGACACTAGATTCAAGACGCGAGAAGGGGTGGACTAGCGTACCAGCATCGTTGATAATCCTTCGGCGAGTCCAGTATTTGATGATCATGGCCAGCGGCCTTACGCGCTCATCAATGTCAACGTAAGTCCGTATCATCCGTGTATTCTCCAAGGCCAACGTGTTGTTGACGTTCATATCACAGGCGAGCTGTAATTCAGGATCCCAGATCTTGACGATAGGGACCTTGGCAGAACTGACACACACAACCTTTTGCATACCACCTGCAAATTATATTAGCACACATACGCGCCGCGGTGACAAGGGGTGGAGAGAAAGGGGGGGAGCTAGACATACTATTAGCAAGAAGCTCTGCAAGTTTGCAGACCTTCTCGAGCTCGGTCCACGGGGTTGTGATGCATATGTCCACTGGCACAGCAGTTAGCCAAAATGGGTATCTAGATGATCCACGGTCAGAAAGACAAACCGTCAGAGTCATCTGTGCACAGCTTGTTGCCAGATGACCCAAAGAGATGGACACGAATATCGCAGCCGGGCCAGGCATCGTTCAAGATTTTTTCCAGCTTCTGCACCAGTTTGTGTCGCTTCTCCTCCACGGCGCTTGTAGGCTTTAACCGGTCGTAGAGCTCGCGCATGTCTGTGGTCAGCTTCCTCTCGTCATCCTCGGTCATCTTATTCGATATCTTTGTGAGATCCGACTTTTCAAGCATGGCGTCCCCTATACTATATGCCATTCTCCGCCTATAGCTCGCCGTAGCCGTCTCGTATTTGCAGCCACCCATCCTCGGTGGTAATGGTCTGAGGGATGGAACGTTGCCGTTGGTCTCCGAGTAAGCAGAGCGAGGGGAATGCCCCTGGTTCGCATTCGGGGATGGCTCTCTCGACTCGAACGAGAACGTCCTAGGATGCTGATGCGGAGTTGAGGGGACCGAGTTTGAGTGGGCCTGCTGCGTGGCGGCGGCCGAGAGACTTGCCGGTGAGGTCGAAACTGGCGCCGGGCGAGACGGAAGGGGATGGGCTGGATCCGGTCCTGTGCCCTTCTTGGACGGAGGCATCTTATCCTTCGCTGTTATAACAGCTCTGTCACCTTTACTCGTTGTATTGGTCTGCGAGCCTCTATTCCCATGGCAATTTTGCGTGCCGGGTTTGGCGCGGGGCACGTCCTTGTTAGACACTTTGGATGAAGATCGTGATCGAGGGCCAGTATGAACGTTCGGGGTCGACAGAAGCGGCGGTAAGGGGGGCGTCTGCAGTCCCCCGCCGCGTCCACGTGCCGGCGCGATGAGCTTATTGTACTGGAGGAGTTGAGCGTGGTACAGCGAAGACTGCTGCGGGAAGAGGATGGGGAGGAGGTCGATGTGCGTAGGAAAGGGGGAGGACGGCTGCGGTTGCGTCTGCGTTGACTGCGTCGGCTGCTGTTCTGGTCGCACTGTAGTCGTTGTGTCTGTGACGGACACCGAGACGGCGCTCGTGTGCAGGTTCAAGGTACTGAGCTTTGGAACAGCCGGACTAGAGATGGAACGGTTCCAAAGTTGCAGGTGCGGAGGGTAATGATGTTTCGAGTCTGCCGTGGTCGGCCGGGCGTCCATGAAAAAGGATCGCCGTGGTCAAGGCCGGCGACGCGGGTCAAGTCGATATACCGTCAAACCTGCGCTGTCTGACCTGGGGTGTCACGAGGAGAGCCCGCACAGCCAAATGCTTATGATCGTCGGCCGGAGGCGGTGCGTGGTAACAGACCGCGAGGCGTAGCAAGTGACGAACACAGAGAGGAGCGAAGTCCGGATGGGCGGGGGGAGGATGGCCGCGCTCGTGATTGCAACTGTGGATGTGTTGGAAGTTTCTGGAGGCGATTGACCGGTTCCAACTGACCAGCTCGAGCAGATGACCGGTGCGAGAGCACAACCGGGAACAACGGGGATCGTTCGGGCGAGGTACCGAGGATAGAAGCGTTCAACGAGCAGGCTAGATCCAGAGGCTGCGATTCGGATTTTGCAGGGCGGAAGATGCGGCCGGTACTGGGTCGCGGGTATCGATATAATAACGAGTACGGGACTATATATAAAAAGTCGCGTCGCTGACGGCAAGGGAGGTTATCGACGCTCGTCTGTCGAAAGACTCTCGCAACATTCAAAAGGGGGGCCACGGGCTTTTGGCGTTACCGCATCTCTGGCGGCGGAAGAAGAAGAAGAAGAGAACGACTGGAACAAGCATGCACACACCACGAGTCGACGTGATGGGCGAGAGTGTCTGCGAGGACACGATCCGGCAAAAGAAGAGGGGGTATCGGCGCGAGTAAACGGAAATCCCAGTCCCAGTCCCAGTCCCAGCAGCAGCGGCAGAAGGAGGCGGCGGCGGAGGAGGTGGAGGAGCAGCAGCAGTCGGTCGCAAATGCAGCCAGCCTGGCGATGTAAGAGGCGAGACGGGGAAGAGGCCGGAGTGAGGTAAGAAGGAGCGAGTCTGGCAGTCCAAGATCTGACGGCAGGGTGCAGTTGAGAGGGCAGTGGAGCAGATCAGGATGCAGCGCCAAGTCGCAGACCGACCGACTTGGGGGGCAGAGAGACGGACTGACTAACAAGACTACCTGGATGGGCCTCGAGCCGTGGTGTGCAGCAGAGAGACGGGGGGGGCAGACAGAGGCAAAGAGGACCAGTGGACCAAGGACCAAGAACCCAGCAGAGGCACCACGGAGGAGGAGGTATGGAGTAGCGAGGTAGATGGTGGTTAGCCGTGGTGCGTGGTTGCGTAGTGCGTGCTGTGTGCTAGGCGGTAGGCGGTAGGCGGTGGGCGGTGGGCGGTAACTACTAGGAGGAGAAGGGGACCGGTAGCGTCGCGTATGTAATCAATCAATCAATCCACAAAATACAACGCCATCTAATTGAAGGGGCTCAATTGATGGACAGGAGCGTGTCGTGTCCGTGCCTGAGGTCAGTCCCCCCCGGGTACCCAGGGCACGACTTGCCGACGGCGAACTGCCATGTGCTGCTAAAAGTTATCCACCGTCCACCACCGCCCCAGCCAACGTGCTGCCTCGTGCCTCGTGCTGCCTCGTCTTGTTTTCTCGTGTTTCCAGTCCCCGCTCTGTTCAGCTTCTCCGTTTAGATGAGCCTGCGTGCTTACTCTGCAAAATGAAATTGCTAACAGGTACCTAATATTCTATTCATGGTCCAACGTTCCCCGGGGAGGTAGCGCAGTAGGCAAATGGCAATAGTGTGGACGCATCAATCTGGTATGCGCTTGGCGCCCGCAGTAATCATCATAGCCGTCCAGTACCCGTTGCCTGCTGTCCTGCCGTTTCCCGTCCCCCAGGTCCAGGGGTTCAAGTTAAAACCTTGGTCAAATGAGGGCAAGTGTACCGGCGCTCAGGTCGGGGTCACGTCCCATGTTGCGGTTGGATGACTGGATGACTGGATGACTGGCTGACTGGCTGGCTGGCTGGCTGGCTTCGCTAAGCCTAGGAACAGGCACCGTAGGTACATTGCGTACAGGAAGGCAAGTTAGAGAGAGACTATCTGCAAGAACAGAAGGGGGTGGACGAGATCTGTTGCCCTCATCCCGCAGCCGCACCGTCATTCAGACTCTCTACACGGGCACCCACCCGTGGCCCAGAGCACGTCAGAGTGCCAATGCAATGGAAGCCGCGTGGTGCAGATCGAGAGCTGGAACCATACACAACACCCGCGCCCATTGGAAGGGACAAACAACTTCCGGCCGGCGTTCAAACACGAGGAAGCCAAATATCGACTGGCAATACCCTGGCACAGCATGTTGCACACATACTACGTGAAATACAGGGCTTAGGCTAGCCCTCGCCCCCGGCGCGCGACATCTGAAAGGATACCTGGGTAGCTACTTTACGGGGTTCATCGCCCTCAGTGGGGCACAATGCGCCAGGGCAGATTAGCATGAGGGCCAGAGAACGTCGCAGACCGTCATCATGCCTCTCACCAGACCGGCCACTAGTTAACCACTGTGGTGAGCTGTACTCCGTTTACCGTTTACAAGTTCTGTCACGCATAGCTCCGGTGTGCTCAGGTTCGCAGAGAGGGCTGGCTGATAGATGATGGTGATCCCACCGCAGCGTATTATACTTCAGCCACTGTTCCTTTGTTCAGCAGATCACCTTGATCGACAGAGCCTGACAGCATGACAGGGCGCGACGCCTTCACCATTGAACAAATGCCACCTGACAAAATTGGCTAGAATTCGTCGTCAGCCCACTTCCTGACTACCCTTTCACCACCGACAAAAGGGGCAGCAAGTTACTGCATCTATTGCATCATAAGAGACCACCTGGGCACACTGTGCGCTAGGCGTCCCATTCCGTCGGGAATCGGGACTGTTACATGCACGCGCGAGGCGAAGGAAAGAGCGCATGTGCCTGTCTCCGCCATGGCGCATTGCAGGGCCGCTGGTAAAGGCAGCTCAATACCAAAGCTGGGATCTCCTCCACGGGTTGTGTCCGATGGCATCGATATATTTCCAAGGACTATAGTGACTATAGTATTGAGGACTTTATGCTTCGATCTCACCATTGCCTTGGTTTTGCAACTTTGTTCTTAATTTGATCTTCGCGGTTCTCTTCATTTGACCTGTACTGGCGCCTGTACTGTGGCGGGTTGTATTCATGTGTAGCTCGTTAGGGCACTCCAAAAAACCAATCTCACGCCAGCATTCATTCATTCATCATCGCAGCCAGCCACCCGGGAGTCAGGAATTAATGCCTTCGACAAGTCGTCCAGTGTTAGATCAGGGCCCTGTAGCGGCTCCTATCTGTTTCAATCGTTTCTCAATGTTGAGATTAAGCTTGGAGTACTTTGACAGCTCACCAGCGTCTCCATAAGGTATCTCGAGTTAGCCCGTTCAGGGGCTGGTATAGAAACAGCTAACTACTTCTTTACTCAGCTCACTTCAGCCGGTTCTGCATCTGCTGCCAAGCCCTAGGCCGTCGCATGCGCGTATACGTCCATACGTACAGAGGTTTGTTGTCCGTAGGCATAACGTCACGGTCCGGCCCGAAATTACTGTAAGAAGCATCTTGATCTTCCAAGGGGGGCCTCAAGTTGAGTACATACCACGAAACTCGTGTTCCCCTCTTCTCAGACGTGCAGGTTGGGCTGGTAACAGGTCAGAGCTGAGAGCTTCACAGTATCAGCACGGCTCTCCTCAACGCCTAGATTGCCGCCCTTGGCTCCAACCTGGCTGAGTGGCCGGAAGCATTGGCTCCTCCAGCTTATTGCGAGGGCTGACGACAGTGGCCCCATTATCCAAAAGCGACATCCTAGGATTTTCCCGGGCCACTCATAGACTGTGATATACTGGCCAGTAGCCTACGCCGAGCTTTGTTGCGACTGGACAGACTCATACCGTGCACGGAATTCCTGTGTTTTCGGCCCTGATCCCGCACTTGCTCATGAACTGTCACCGCCGCGGCTTATACGAGCCGGCGCACTTGTATTGAGCCACACGATATTGCCGACATGTTTCTATTTTAAGGCATGTCATCCTTTTACCCCACGAACACTTCTCAAAACCCGGTCTTACTGAGCCGCACCCTCCGCCTCGATGCCAGAGCTGCTTGGGGATAGTCATGCGTTCCCAATCGAGCCCGTCAGCTGAGGGAATCGCAAATCTTCGCCCTTTAGGGATCTCACAGGTTTGAAAAAGAGATGTGACGATTGCTTCAATCTGATTCCTGGCGTATAGTCGAGACATTGCAATGGGCAAGCTTTCAGATCACAAGTTGTCGATGGGGTTCCTGATTACATGAGGTGCCAACATCGCAATCAACATATTCAAGGCTACCATAGGTCCGTTGGAATATGCTACTAACAAGACATATTTATAAGAAGGACTTCGATTCCACCCTATGACCAAGAACCATCTTAGACTCTCATGGTTGGCACGACCATACTCAGCTTGAGTAACCGTTCTCGTTCTCTTCTCAATCCTCAGCTTCTCACATATCGTCGCCACATTCCACAACATATGACCCAAACACCAGGCTGTACAGAACCTAAAAGCTTCTAGTTCGGGTTGACATAGGTCTCACATCAGCCCATGCGGTTCCATACAATGCTGGTACAGATTTGAGTTTTGCGCCCATCGAATCTGAAGCCGGCATCGGTTTGGTATATCGGAATGAATCCGGCGTGACTTGATACTTGTGACTTTCCCCCGCAGATCCAAATCACTCTTAGTAAGTCAGCCATGCCCGAAAACCCTCAGATCAGTACAGCGTCGCTCCTCCAGGATGCTGCTAGGTCCAAGACATTACGTTAGTGCATGTGGTCCCGCTGCGGATGGCAGGATCACTTTGACCGCAGCAGCCTTTCAGGTACCGCAAGACCAAGGATGATTCTATGCAAGCCTCGCGGCATCTTGTAAGTAATTGGCGAAACGTTGTAGCCCTCTGGAGTAAAACGGGAAACGGAGCCGGATGGCTAGGTAAAGTATACCGACCAGATAACTCAAAGATGCATTATGTATAGGCGGAAGCGTGCAAGCAAGTACCATCTGACTTTGCCGGGCACCCGGTGAGTATGCTATTCATCTGGCAGCGATATGACGATAGCTTGATCTAGTGGCTGGCCCTGTACAACTTGTGAAATTGTCCACCAATAGCTCTTCCTTCTTCAAATATTACTGATTGACCTCCCATCAAATCGTTGGCAGAGCCAGGTAAGTCAACCTCAGACATGAACGGTGACGCAAGCTGCCGGGGTCTGGCAACCTGTGATAACTCCGTCCCGCCATGTGGTAATGACAGAACTACTTGACAGGTCGACAACGCACGTCGTAGCATTGGTGTAGCGTCCTGCATCAATCCGTATTTAGCGCCATACACTTACAGTATAGTCGGGCGACATCGCGCGCCAGTGCAAGTCAATCTAAACACGCGAGCGATCCCCAGCTAAATATGCTGTAGGCGCGTTTCTGGTTGGGGCCAATCGCTCCGTTGACGAAATTGGGCGTTCTCGGGGGGTTCATGGTCGCGCTTTGATGTCAGAAGTTGCATGGACCGCGAGGGCGTCATTGTTGTTGTCATTTGAGGAACTGTCTCAGCCATTTCCCGGGTGTCTCTTACGTTAATGTTCACCCCCACCGAAAATCCATAACTGGGCAGATGTGTAGTCTGTCGTAACTAGGTATACAGCGGCTTTGGTGACTTCCAGGAAATGCGATGCTATGCAATGATTCTTTCTCTGTGATTGGCTAGCTTGAGTTTCTGGGCCATCAGGAGATTCATGCCTCTGCCTCCTCCTGGCCGGCAGCGCGACTTTGCCAAGCAGTGCACTCAGTTTGCTACAGGCCAACCACACGCACTCATCATCCGATAAGATGGGAAGACGCAAGGCTAACGTACGGTTAGCTTGCGAACCAGGATGCTCCAAGTTAGCGATAGTCTATTCCGCATTGAAACGGGAGCTCCCCTGCTGGCGGTGAGGTGGTGCTGGTGCTCGCCAATTTCGCCGTAGGTAGTTCATTTCCTCATCTAAGCCAAATTTCGTCTACTGGAGAGCAGAGACAACCATGGCACATACCGCAGTCAATCCCCGCACCGCCGGGCATATTGAATGGACATACATCCGCCATTGGACTTCGGACGTGGTCTGATCAGTCAATGTCGGTATGTTCAGCGTTGTGCACAGATCGCCAGGCTGAGATCTCCCTTCCATCACCCATCACCCCCGCTAAATACCCCGCGAAAGACCCCTTTGACCCCTGACCCGGCGAAGCGTCGCAACCGGCCAATCGGGCCCAGGCGAATCCAGGAACGCTCCAACGGGCGATCACCCATCGAGGCGTCGCTTGGCAGTCCAGCCTCGCCCAGGGGTCTCCCCAATTTCAGGGATCAGGCAGCCTGGGGATCCGAGCTTTGCCCTTTGCGCAGCTTCTGCGACGGCTTCTGTGTGTCAAGGGGCCTATCAACAGCAGTTGTTTCAAGTGTTTTCGAACCCTCTCTTCTTGTCCTCGGCTTCAATTGTTGGTCTCTTTCCTTTCTTTTGTTCCCTTGTCTAAACTGTCGTTGATTATCTTCCTTGCTGCACAGAAGAGGTGTTGATGCCTCGAAATCGTTACCACGGACAGAGCAGCCAACAATACGTACCACAGCTCGATTGTATCACCGACTGATACTGGTTGTCCCTCACAACTCCTCTCTACCTCTATAGAAACTGCATTAATATCAAAGCGGGCCTTTCCGAATTTTCAACAACCATGTTCTCGAGTCTGACCACCAAGCTTGCCCTACGGAAGGTCGGCATCAAGAGCGACACCTTCGACATCAACTCCTATACAACCAACTCGTCCACAAAACCCTCAAAATCCAGTGGCACGCAACCGGGTCTGGATGATGAGGAGTCCTCAGGCGGGTGGCCGCCAGCATGGATGAGCACACGCAAGCTGCCTCTGACAGCGCAGGCGTGGCTCTCCCCAGTACCGCCTCCGGTCCCAATTGCTGAGATGCCCAAGGTCGGCGATCTGGCGCCACTGGATCGGGATCGAAAGATTCAGTTCGGAGGAGGCAAGAAGGTCGTCGTGTTGTTTATGCGATGTGTGGGATGCGCTTGTGAGTATCTGGCCTTCGCTTGCCCTCCTATCATCTGGCTTGCTCACGGTTTTTCCTGCAGTTGCACAAAAATCATTCCTTGCCCTCCGCGCACTCGCAAACCGCCACCAGGGCTCGCTGCACTGTATCGCCGTGTCACATTCATCGCCGGAGGCAACCCGGAAGTGGATCGATCTCCTCGGCGGTTCGTGGAACATCGAGATCATCGTCGATGAAGACCGAGCTCTCTATGCAGCATGGGGCCTAGGTCTGGGAACTGTCTGGTCTATGTTCAACCCGACAACACAAAGAGAGGCCTGGAAGGAAAAGGGATGGCTTGGTGAGAAGGTCGCCACCTCCATCGCACGGACGGAGACGTGGGATAAGCAGTTGAAAGGAGGTGCTCCTGCTCCGCCCAAAGGTGCGGCTCCCAACGGCACCATGCCGGCAAGAAGAGGCACAGGCCAAGACATGGCAGATGACATGGAGATAGGGCCAAGTACTGCTATGGGAAACAAGTGGCAGCAAGCCGGTCTGTTTGCCGTGGACGGCCGGGGAACCGTTGTCAGCGCTGAAAAGGCGGTTCGGGCGGATAACTGCTTGGACATGGATGCTGCTGTCAGGGCTTTAGGGTTGTAAAATACAACAGTTGGGCCATATTGGTGTGTGAGAGTGGACGTACGCGATTAGTCGTCTTCCAAAGAAGGATGGTGTATATTATGTCATATCCGGCTCGGCTTGGCGTTCTGGAGCGGGATACCTAGCGATATCTGTTTTCTTTTTGCATACCGAGTATGAGAATGGCAATAGCTACATATTTCTCCCCCACTCACTTGCTACATACAGTAGGCTTCATACATCCTGTAGGTCATTCCTCACGCTATTCACAAGCATCACAAGCACATACACTCACTGAAATACAAAACGCCACAACCTTGGCTGAGAATTGACACGTATAGCCCCTTTCTGTAGCAAGACACGAGAGATTCTCATCGCTTTGGTTATTCGACATCTGGACAGGTTCCACTGATATCGAGGTGCTATCATTCCGGTAGATCCTGGTATATTGTCCACATTCTTTACTTCCATGGTGCCATTGTGGACACCATTCATGACCGAGAGCAGATGAAATGAAGTCCGTTAATGTGGTCTAAGACTTGTCAGTTTATCTAATAACATTTAGATTTGAATGACTACCAGCTATGAAAAATTGCTTTGAAAGTAAGAGCGGCGATTTCTTGTCGTTGAAGTAGAACACATCTCAAGCCTAGTGAAAGATCTTTGGGGACTCGCAATGGCCCTCCTGATGGCCCTCATATTTAGCAAATCCTTCTTGAGGGCTCCTGACGAATCCATAGATAGCCCGCCGAAGCGAAATCTATTCCTACATTCACACGACACTAGCCTGGGCTGGCAGACACTCCAAAAGGCGCTCCTTGTCTCTTTTCAAGGCCATCTCAAGTGAAGTAAACGGAATGCCGAACTTGGCCTGCACTTCCTTAGCAGTGGCCACACCACCGCTAAAGTCCTTGAAGTTGGCCCACAACTGGAATTTCTGACCCGGGACGGTGGTTTTGGCCTCCTCGATTTCCTGTGGACTCCTCCTTCCTGCTTGAACCTGTCTGCCGCTGACCCTAACAAGAATGTCACGAACCTCTTGAATGGTGAAATTTTCGTTTCCAAGATCGATTTCGTGGCCACCAAACTTGGCAGGGTTCTGCAACGCAGCCGCAGCGTACTTGCCAACGTCGTTTGCATCCGTCTGGGACATTCGGACGCCATCATTGTATGCGTGATCTAACTCCCCGTGTGTCGGGAGTCTTGGGAAGTTTCCATAAGCATGGGGAGTCATGTAGTCAACATGCAGAAATGCTGGTCGGAGAATGGTGTAGGCGTCAAAGCCGGCCCGGCGTACAATATCCTCGACTTCGGCCTTGGAGGAATAATACCCACGCAAGTCACATTCTTCTGTCACTGTATCGTCCCACATGGCCTTGTTCCCCGTACAGAAGGTGGTGCAGACAACAATAGTCTTCAGCCCTGCCTTTTTGCAGGCGTCGACGACGGTCTTGGCCTGCTGCGTTTCCAAGCCCGGGATAGGAAAAGTGTTCAAATAGACACCTGCGCAGCCTTGAGCTGCTTGAAACACTTCCTCGAACTCGTGACTATTCCCTTTGAAAACTGTCACTCCAGGACTCTGGAGGATTGGCGGGATTCGCTGAAGGTCGCGCACAAGCGCGTGGACTTTGGCGCCAGCCGCCAAAAGGTGCGTGATTGTCAATCGGCCTTGGTAGCCGGTTGCCTGCGTGACAAGGTATTTAGCCATGTTGGAGAGTGTCTTGGAAGGGATGTCTATATGATTCAGAAATGAGGAAGTAGTCTGTGAGGGAAGCCTGTAGAAATTGTCAATCAATCACGTTGGAAGGAACGCGACGGACTCTTATATAGCTCTGTCCAGGGTTCAGGCGACTCCTGACAGCTGACCGCGGTCAAGCGAATTGCTCAAGGATTTCTAAGCTCTCCCTAATTTCGATCAATTTCTCTCACGGGAGGAATACTAACAACTTTGATCGCGGAGCTTGACGTTATCTCCATCGTAGCAGGGGTGTTGATCTGATGGATGAACAGAGGAAAAGTGGGGACAACTTTATATAGTTGACCCACCAAGTGCAACTTTCTCCGAGCTGACATTTGTCATCTGCCATCAAGAGAGTGGCACAGTCTCACAATCTGACCAGCGAACCCTGCCTGCTTAGTACAATTACCTACCTACTTAAGTATGTTTTAAAGGAAACTGCCCCACCCAAGACAACTTTTCCCGACTTCTATGACACAGCACGACCTGAGGCTCCATCCTGACCTCTGATACTGCCTCGTATACCATCCAGGCGGGGCTTTTCCTCTCCTCGCAACGCTTAGACTTGCCGGCGATAGTGCAGTATGTCCGGCCCTATTACCAGGGCTGGGAAAGGCTGTTGGACTTGTAAAGGTTAGCCACCGTGCCTGGCCAATGTTGTGTATACTCTATTAACGGTCCTTTTCAGACCGCAAGGTTCAATGCGATCAAGGCACGCCCACTTGTCTGAACTGTGCCCGAGCTTGGCGAGACTGCCAAGGGTATGGAATGCGCCTGTCATGGCCGAGGGACAACGACAAGCGGCGCGCAATTACAGGAACATTAGTAGCACTAGCTGGAGGCGGTGTATCTAAGAGGCCTCGTCACCTATTCATCAACACAAATTGGCGGGACATTGACATATACCGTGGCCTATCCCAGCAGGGTACTGTAGGTCCCCCTAATACAGGTGCAGTCCAACCTAATGTAAAAGTCTGGAGGCAGCCGCAATCCAAAGTGAAGCACATGGACTTAATATGCTATTGTGAGCATGAACCCAGTCTTTTCTTGATAGTACTGATATCACCAGCTAATGTCATACGTTATCTAGTCCATAATGCCGCATATCTCTCATTGGTTACGTTTAGCCCAACCACGTCGCAAATGCGAGACGTGCTTTTGCACATGGCACTCAATCATGACACGGTTCCGGGGCACGCTCTCTTATATGCTTTAGTTGCTTTCTCCTCCGTCCGACGCAGCGGACTGCATCAGCAGGCTATGCAGTTCAAGGTGGCTGCCCTACAAGCCCTTTCCGCTTCTGCCAAGGTGGCGACCCAGGGACCCCTTGAAGCTGCTCAACATGTCGCCACGTGCATGCTTCTCTGTTCATTTGAGGTAGGTCATAGAGGGTGGTTTTGGCACGGTACTGACAGTCATGCTTACGAACCTCCGCGTAGATCTTGCTACCATCGGAAAGCTCAGGCGAATGGCTCTGGTATATTCGAGGAGCAATGGAAATCGTACAAAGCGCTCTCCTGGTGCAACACGTAAACGAGAGCGACATCGGCAGCTTGCTCGACTGGGTCTATTATCACCATGCAGTCTCTCAGTTTGCCACATTTCATTGGCGTCACAAGTCCGTGGTCTTGAGTGCCACAGATGCAGCGACTGCTGACCTTGGAGGCAACCGGCTTCTGCCTTTCGCAAAAGAATCACCCGTCTGTTCACCAGCAAAAACCACCATCACTGCTTGCTAATACCCAATCACAGGTATCGCCATCTCCGAGGCCTACCTATGCGATATTGAATTTGCTTTCGGAAGTATGCGATACGTTGCTTGATCCATCGGATCCCGCAAGCCACGACGAACGTTACAAGGACCGCCTTAAAGCCCTGGAATGGAGAATCAGGAACCTCCCTCCGGCCTCCCCTCCCCAAGACGCAACTTCGCTCGAGACGAGCGCCGACGTCCAACTTCCTGTGGAGCTTTACCAAACGGCCACGCTCGTCTACCTGTTGCGGGCCTCGCAGAGCCCCTGGGAGCCGCCGGCGGACCTGGACTCGGTGATAGACCGGGCGTTTGCCGGGCCGATCCAGGCCCCGGCGTGCGAGCACTTCTTCCCGATGTTCATCCTGGCCTGCGAGGCGCGGACGGACGAGCAGAGGGTCGCAATCCTCGACCTGCTCGATAGGACGGAAAGGAACGACCATATGCGCAGCATGAAGGGATTTCGAGCCGAGATCCAGTCGTTCTGGGTGCAGCAGGATCTGAACGCGGACAGCGACCTCGTGCTGAACTATGTTGGCGTGATGAAAGCTGTAGTCAGCTCTAATAAGGCGCTTCCTTCCTATGCATAGTGTTGTCTAGACAAGAGAAGATGAACGGAAGCCAAAGATTGAAGGCAAAATTTAATCGAATGTACCTCTTTGGACAAGTACTCCAAGTCATCACCAATATGCCGACCTTTGAATGACTGCGCCTTACCGCAGCAAGACGGACTGGACTGTTGATGTTGCTGTCCGTTGCCATTACATTAAGTCTTACAGGTTTCACGGGCCTAACAATTGCCTCGTCCAACACACATTCTTCAGATAACGGCGTGACACCTCGCATCACGAGAAAACAGGCCGCCGCTGCTGACACTAGAGTCTGATCTTTCCATTTTCAATTGCCAAATGCCAGGATGCCAAACTCCCCATGCTTGCGAGTGGTGAATCTTTCCGCCTTTGAATGCGAACAGAAAAACATACGTGTCTGACTCCTCCCCATCTCCCTCGTAGTTCATTACCGCCAGATCTGTGCTACAAAAAGGACAAGAAAAATAAAACTCCTCTGCCGGCAGTGCCCTTATGCGGAACTCCATTCTGGGTACCCAACAACACAAGGCGACAACGCATAAACCACCTTTCCGAGATGCCTTTACCCCCTTGCCATTTCCGTGTTGCAAAAATTTGAAAAAACCCGACACCAAATCAATACGAACTGGCAATCGTAAACCTGCCAACCTTCCTTTTGTGCAAACTCCTCCCCCTTTTGTCCGAAAACGAAGTCGTATATACTGGCATGCCAGCTGAGTTGGGAAAAGCGTCAAGAAAGAAAGGGTCAAAAAATAAAACTCCAGAAAACAAAACATGTCGAGATTTTCCGCCCCTGAGATGTGCCCTGAATCCGTCTTTCCGCGTCCGTGATGGCCGAAACACCTCATGCTGATGCTGAATACTCTTGCCCTTCGTCGAAAATCAACAGGCCCCTGAACACCAATTTTTTTTTGCTTTTTGCTGACAAGATCATTGATCTTCGTCCTCGACATCATCCACCTCGACTTTCGGCGTAGGGTTGCTTGCGCGTCGATGCGGATCCTAACCCCAGACACTGGCTTGAACTCCCAATCCGGAAGACTGCTTTCCCCAAACTCCGGAGCGTCCGCCCCAGCCATTGTAGCCATCAGGTGCAGCACTGGAAGGGTTGGACGAGCCACCGGCGACGGCCTGGATACTGTCGCTGTTGCCGGAAGCACTGAAGCCGTGGCTCAGAGGGGATGGCAGAGGAGTAGTGGACCGTTTGTTCAGCACCGGGTTGGATGCTTGGCTCGGACCAGAGATGGAAGGTCGTGTGCCGATAGGAGCTACGGTGCTACCCGGCTGGCCAGGCGCGCCCTGGCGCGGAGGTGAGCCTCCAGGGGACGAGTTGCTGGTCCGGCTGGCGTGGACGGCAGCGTCAAAGGGACCTCTGCTATTGGGAGGGTTTGACTGGGGGCTAGCGTTGCGAGAGCCCTGGTCGATACCTGCAGCAGCGCCCTCAGGAGCGCCTCGTGGGTATTCGTAGGCCAGAGGAGAGGGGCCGCGGTGGCTTGAAGGGCCAGTAGACAGGCCAGAGGCACCAGGCCGAGCAGAGCCTGTCTCGTCGGCGAGCCCTCCGTTCTCGCCGTAGAGAGCACTTCGCTGACGCGCGATCAAGTCGCGACGGTCGTCCTCCGACATGCTTCCAGGGCTAAGGGCGCGCTCAGGCTTGCTAGGGTAGTTCATATCAGCAAGCACAGCTGTAGGAACAACTCAGAGTTAGCTGAATAGTCCAAAGTCCAGAAGTAAACAGGGGTAGAGGGTTCGTGTTAGGGCTGCTGTGCTGTGTGCAAAGGGGGAGAACGGGGGAAAGGGTTGTATCTCTAAGGGAGAGAGGTTGAGCTTTTTCTTTTTTTTCTTTCTTTTGGCACAATATTCAACGGATGCATCGCCGAATGCGAAATCTAGCCCGGGACGGGCTGGACTTGGGCGATTCTTCTTGGGCAGAGTGCTTATTCTTGCGACTTGCGACTTGCGACTTGTGACTTGTGACTTGTGTGGCATAGGTAGGTAGGTGGGTATGTATGGGTACGCCTGCTTGCTATACAACAGAGGGTGGCCTACTTCTATTGTATTGCTGCTCCTGATGGTAGTTGCGAAGCTCTCGCTCACGCTGGGCTGCCATTCTTCGCTTTGCCTGCATCATCTGCTCCGCCTCGTTGGATCCGCGCGACGACTGGTGTCGTTGAGAGGCGTAGAAGTTCTGCAGGCCGGGGCCGCCGGACGGACCGCCGCTGCGCGCATCACCGCCAAACTGTGGCCCAGGTCCCGAAGCTCCTCTGCCGTCTGTATTCCCGTTAGCCAAGCCGTGCTCATCCCGCAAGCTCCTAATACAGACGCGCCCGCCCTCCTCGCCGTCCCATCGAAGGAGTCGATCGTCGGTGTTGGTGTTGGTGTTGAGACTGGTGCTGATGCTGGTGCTGCAGCGCAGGGGCGAACTCACGACGCGGTCCATTGGCACCTCCAAACATCTTGCCGCTCTTGACCAGGTTGTCTATGGCGCGGTCGACCTCTGCAGGAGAACAATGTCAGTCTCGTCCGATCTGTTCCAGTCCCGCCATCTCTGGCCGCACGGGGCGCAAACGCTTGCGCGCGGCACATGGCCCCCAGGGGAAATTGTAACATACCCTCGATCTGCTGCGAGAAGGCGGTTGGCTCTTCACGTGGGATGGCAGAGCTGGCGCCTGTTGCTGCGGTATCAGTACTCATGCTTTTATTATCCCCAGCGTTTGACGGCTCGGTCATGGCTGAGAAACTCACCTGAACGCGCAGGCGGAGGCGGAGGAGTCTGGTGATCCCAACCAGGCTGACCGCCAGCGCCGCCAGCGCCTAGCCATTGCGAATCGCCGTAATATTGAGACATGGTGCAAGCCTGTTTGATCGACCGATCGAACTCCCAAGTGCGGCTCTGCTTTGATTTCCCTTGCCGTTCGAAGCCTTCAACGAAGGGCGGCGGCAGTTGGCTGTCGGTGCGAGACGACGGCGCGGCAGGGTTGCGGCGGTGCTGAGGGACGCCAGAAATGGTGGACGGCCGTTTGCTTTGCTACCCGGTCGTTGCAATGGGATTCTGGACAGGTTCAAGGTTAGCGTTGCCGTCTCAAGAATTCCGCAGCATCAAATTTGGCACGGCACGGCGGCGTGGTGGGCGACGAGACGAGACGAGGCGAGGCGAGGCGGGACGGGACGAAGGGCAGGATGACGATGACGATGCCGATGCACAAGTCGCCAGGGGATTCCCGGTTGGGTCGAATGTTGTATGCAGCGCGGCCAACGGAGCAGAGCGACGCCTTCCAAGGTCGGGTCCGGGTGCGGGTGCTGGTGTGCTGGTGGTGGATTGTAGCTGGGGCGGCAGAGCCTCCAGCAGGGCGACAAAAAAACGCGACCCTCAGCGAGCAAACGACGTCGAGATGTCCAGATGACACACGAGGCGCTCTCTTGTTCCCGGGTGGAACGTTGGTAGAAGCAAGTTCCTGCGGAGAACAAAGGGGTGCGCGCACGTTGCGCAGTCCGAGTCTGACTTTGACATGGCAGTGCTGTCGCCCCCAAAAACATGGCATCGCATCGCATCGCATGGCATCGCATCTGCTGGCGGGCTGGCCGACTGGCATCCATGGATCTCGCACGCGAGCCACCGGCCCGCATCTGCCCCCCTCGCCCGCCGTTTGGTGCCAAAGAAATGTCTCGCTCGTTCGTTTGCGGTTGCAACTTACCAAAACAGAATCCAAGGCCAACTCTCTTTCTCTCCTAGTGCCCAAGCTGGAGGGATGTTTCAGACACGGAACTCTGATCCCGTTTGATGCGACTGCGCGAGACTAGAGAAAAAGAAAGGAAGGGAACGGCAATTCTCTCGTTCTCCTTTTTTTTCCCACTCTTTTCTTTTTTTTGTTGGTCTGTTCCGAATGACTTGTCGGCGGCGACGGGTCGTGGGCGGGCCGTTGAGTCGCGGGCTTGTGTTGGTCACTGACAAGTGAATTAATAAAAAAGGGGAGGCGACAACGGGCGGGCGGAAAAGGAGGGAGAGGCACCTTCAAAAAAAAAGCTGGCAAGGCAAAGAGGGAAATATTCCGACGAGTGGGCTGGCAGGCCGACGACGTGTAGATCTACGGTACTCCCAAATTCGAAATGGGCCACGCGCCAAATTGGTATGGGTACGGTACGGGCACAGTAGGTCGTCATGGGATGGGGTCACCGTGGGATGGGGATGGGCTGCAAGCGTCTACCGTCCACCGTCTACCGTCTACCGTCTACCGTCTACCTCCTGGTTCACGGAGGGGGGAGATGGCCGTGGGTGATGGTAGTGGTGGTGGTGGTGGACGAGGAGGACCGATTGCCTGTTACTACATACTACTATGTAAGATGCGCTGCACCACCAGGTAGCTTCGTCGGCTCATGACACTCTCTCACCCTCTTGCTCGTCGTTTCATTCCATCATCTCTATCCCCTCTTCCACTGTCCTGCTCAGGGGAATTTAGAGGGTGGAGTCGAGGGATGGGGGGGTTATGGGTGCTTGTGATTGATTGCTGGTTCTCCAGGTTGCCTGTGGGGATGGCACCGAAGTAGAAGGTACTTCGTTCCTCTTGGGGGAAAGACGGCACTTTGGACCGTGGAATTGATCTGTGATGGCCCTGGAGGGGATAGGGGACCGAATTAAAATGAGGACGAGCCACCCCTCGAGGCTCGGGTCAAGAAGAACCGCGCGCAGGTCCTTGGGCCCTTGGCTTGGGTAACATGACAAGTTCGCTTGCCTCGAAGCAGTCAGTTCCCTGCCAGTCCTTCTCTCTTGGGTGAGACTGGCAAATTGTAGGAGGTTGCTTCCGCGCGACTCAGATCCGGTCATGAATCGATTCGATATCCACGCCTGCCAGGGTTGATCCCTCGCAGGCTGCCCTCGCCCGTCCGTCTACTTGTTCAGCGACGCCGCTCAAAGCAGAAGGTCGCGGACGGGCATCAATTGTGACTTGAGCAATAGTTAATCTGTAGGGCGAGCCACGCGGCTGGCAGCAATCTTACCTGGGGCTGGGCTTGACCAAAGTTTAAAAGTGCAGCAGACGCACCCGAGGAGCGGGCAGAACCGCAATCGGTCACTGCCGGCCATGGTTCCGATCCCCTCCAGCTGCTCCAGCCGTGTTCTGCAACACATCAACCTAAGTTCCCAGTCACGCTGGGCTGGGGGAGCGGTGGTACGGCCCGCTCTGTTGCTCTGTTGGCCCGTCCTGCCACTGCAACTTGGGTCTTAGGAAGACACCAGATACCTGCTGTATAGGGTGCGGATTATGAGACTCGCCGACACTCCGCCCGGCACAGCTAATTGCATCTCGCTTGCTGGGTTGTGACCTTGATGCCAGTGATTACCACATGCGCGCCCACGGTTGTAATCTGCCCGCGCGGGATCTGCCATTGATCGTTCCAATCGACGATGGACAACGCCAGTGGACCGAGGCGTCAAGGTAACGCCGCCGCAGGCAACGTTTTAGGACCCTCGCGGCGCAAATCTCGGGTGCTCACGAGCGAACCAGTCTACCCTCGCTGCGACAGTGGTACCCGAGCCAGGTGTTGATTTGTTGCCGACACTCGCCAACCATTCGACTTGTCCGAAAGCCCGCACCACACAGCAAGCAAGTAAACGACCACAGCCCCCTGCCTAGATAGCGAAGACGTAGGGCAAAGGCTATCCGAGACAATCAGAAACAGATACATGAGTACCCAACTACCGTGTACAGATCACAAACCACCTCCTCTACCCTTGGTCAATCGATGGCTTCCTTCGAACCGTTTTCGAGAACCCCAGACCTGGCAGGCCTGGCTCTGGGTACAAGGTGCCCCGAGCTTCCTTGCCGTTGGATCGCCCGGGGTCTGTGTCGTTAGCGTCACTAGCGTCGATAGCACGCACGTTCGAATTTCCTTTGATTGCAACCTCCACCATTCTCCACGAACCCCTTTCTGAGGACGAGCGCTTTTCGGAATCTGCAATCGCCTGACTGACACGGGCACCGGGACATGCTGCTACTTCGGTGTCTAGTCAGACGTTCACTGCCCCCAGCATTCACGGCTGTCAGGCACGCGCTGACCTATATGCCTATATATCTCCTTGCATGGGAGCATTTGCATACCTCTCCACTAAGAAGGCTTCGATACCTAGTTAAAAGTCTGTAGAGCCAAACCTCCCAGTGCTCCAAAGTGGAAGCCCTTGAAGCTTACTTGAGCGGCTCGGACCATATCGCGCGCCCTCGACATGCCCTTGCCAGCCTGCCCCATCTTTAGCGGAAATCCGGGTATCGTAGGACCGCGAGATGGCCATTGCGAGGTAACTTGGCGAGGTCGTTGCTTGTTCCGAGCTTCTCCTTCGGCCCCACTCTATGGCCTCTTCGTTCCGTCACGTCCCCACCATTTCGACGCGTCGTTTGACAAGAGGTGACTTTTTGATATCAGCGTCGACGTGTTTGCCTCGCGCGCGGCGATTTTGCTATCTGAATGTCTCTAAACAGAAACTCCTGCCTCTGCCAGCTTCTACCTCATCAAGTTTCGTTTGATTGGATGGCACATTCACTGGCAGATCTTGCCACCGGCTTCTGAACCGCGAGACTCATTGATCATTGCCGGGGTCTCTTCGGGTTGAACTGCCAGAACTGCCTGGCCTGCTAGGAATCGTCAAGAATCCAGCTTTCCAATACTCGGAGAGGGCTGCATGGTGCTAACAGCCTTCCTCCAATGAGCCGTCAGCCTTGTGGCGTTTCTTACTGCAGCGACGTCAGAAATGTGACAAGTTTCGGTTGAATTCGTACAATGATGTGGATTCGACAATTGGACCTTGTGGGCTACGAAAATATCAGCTAGGTATCCTATGAATAACTCAATGCCCCTTATTGGCTGGCTGAAGTAGCTCTGAGAGAGCCCAAACAAAGTACGTACTGTGTACTTCTATTCATCCGAAGGGACTAGCTATCGGGGAGCTCGGACTTGGAAATGCAGATGCATCATCATTTCAACATCTTGAAACTTCACTTGCAACAGGGTTGGAATTCCTTTTCATCCAAGAATCAGACCCTCAGAGTGCCTGCCGGGTGGGCACTGGTTCGAATGTGGAGTTCCGATGCCAGACCCCACCGGAATGAGACGACCCAAGCAACTTAATTGCAGGACGAGATTCTCAACCACCAGCAAAACTGCACGCTGGTCTTGGAACGTCCTTACGGCAGATACTGAATACATTTAGAGTTTAGTTTAACCTCGGCCGACGTTAACAACTCCCAGCAATTTGAGTCTACGTCCCCTTTGGGGAGTGACCAGAGGTACTGTCTAAACGGACCTTGGCGCAAGGGACTTCTCCACAGGTTGATAGTGCCAGACTGAACTGCTACCCGACAGTCTGGGTATAGATGTATCAGACATCGAGTTCCTTTTTGGCCACTTCTAGAAGGGTGATCGACTTGCGATGACTCCTCCAGCCCCCGTCGACATAACGACAACCTTCATATCCTCAAAGATCAAAGAGCTGGGACCACGTAAATATATAGAGGATTCCACCAAATTCTATCGACTGTAGCGCAGTTTTCAGCCAACCTGTAAGCAATGTGGCAGGCCCATTTTGGGTGAGCTGTACTGCATAGTATTCGTCATTATCACGTTGAAGACGACCAAGAGTACCGGAAACCACAGAACATCGACTTGGTGTCACTTCTAGCACCCTCAACCGTAGGCAAGCTTGCCAGCTCATCAACCGGCAGCGCATTCTTTTAGTGGCATTGTAGAAGAGCCATGTCCATCAAGGTACCCTCCATGAAGTCTACCATAGTACCGTGAAGTTGACACTCGAACTTCCTGAAGCAGCTATGTCCTCCTCATGACGATCATTTGGGTGTTACACACGGTTCGACTCTTCCAACTGGACTCCCGCGCGGTCTCCGCCGGGTTAATGGACTCCGCCCAGATCATGCCCAATGGTAGGCTCAGGTACTGAAGCAGACCACAACCCACTAGTTCTCAGTGAGCACCTGGGTGGGCATTTAAGCGAGGTTTCCTCTCCTCAACTCTCAAGCTAGCGACGACGGTTTTTGAACAGATGTACAGGGCCCCTGCTGCAACGTATACTTGGGCACGCTTTTGGGCACGCCCAGCGAACAATGCGTACCACATAGTATGCACAGTTGGTGAAGCTCTTCTAGCTCCAAGGTCTCATTCACATTCCCTTGTTTCGGAGTAGTTGCTCGAAAACGCATGCACTAGGCGCTTGCAGTAGTTCGACCACACTAATTATATCCACAGCCTGCAGATAGTTGCGTTGGCTTGCATGCAACTGCAGCGCTACCCACATATACACCATCATCCAGCAGCGCCGAGCACCTCACCACCCATTCACAGGCCTCGATGCAGCCCCAAGATGCAGCTCTTTTTGATTTATCATCGCTGATTATGGAATTTGCCCCCCACTCTCCCCATTCCTGTCGGTCACTCTTTGAGCCCCGCGCTGACGATTCTGGTAGCGTGGCGCTGGATTCCTGGTGTCCGGGGGTTGACACAGGACCGACGACTCAGTTCCCTAGCTTGTGATCCGCTTACGAATAGTTCATTCGCAGGCGATGTATATCCCGTAAGATCCTGGGGTATCACGTACAGGATGTGACATGGGGCGTTTTCGTCGGCTTCGTTGCATCGGACAGCCGCTAGTTCTTCGGTCACGACGTGAAGCAGGTCCGAGAGCCGGGCAGGAACATCAGACGAGAAGAAGACGCACTGCGTTGTGTTCCGGCAGGGGAACGAATTTTCAAGTCCCACAAGCCCCGCTGCCATCGAGCACGTGCGTCACAAACCGCTTGCTGCATGCGTGATCGATGTAGACAGCTCGTAAGCTTTCCGGCTCCTTCAGGCGGTTGGCCGCATCTGGTCTTGATTACGTAGCAGATCGAGTTTTAGACCTTGATTGCTGACGCTGAGATATGCGGGTTAGAAGATGGGGCTTGCCCCATGTTGGTGATCTAGATTTGTAGATGTTTCTGAGCATAGATGGCGTACGTGGTAATTGGTGGAGGAGAAACAGCATAAACTCGCGATCCAGCCAACCAGTGACCCAAGGTGCCCAAAGCTTGACCCATCCATGAATCGTATACTAGCTTTAATTCTTGCATAGGAAGAGTCAGCGATATCGATTGGCTAGTCTTGACGTTCAGTGTCCCTTATCTACTTACATGATGGGGCAAGCAATCTCTATGAAGTACTACCGGAGGAGTGAATGGAACCAGGTCTATACCAATCGTTTGTCTAAATTCACATCAATACAGATTTGAAAACACGTAAGACGTAGCTCATCACATTAATCCAAACCTCTATCTATCAACGTGGATACCTTGTGGCTACTAGCCGGAATCGTCGTTTGTCAACTGCAGTCGCTAAGTCCTGTGAATACTTCACGCTGCAAGTGCCCATGCCATCGCGAAACTTCATCGTTCTTATAGGAAGGTAAACGGAATGTATCTGCGTGCACACTTTGAAGAGAGACTTCTTACTCAGCAGTGGTCAAAGACGAGAGGAAAGATTCCTGCTTCAAAGTGTTCCGGCTGGGGAGTGTGATCCTAACGCACAGTTCGAGTTGCAGCGAAAGAACAGCCGCAGGGACAAGAGACGGAAAGATGTAAGGATATGTGCATGCGTCGTTAAACTCATGCACCAAAGCAGTTTCACGGTGTCGATATCAGGTGGCACCCGAGGGCATACGCTCATCGCAAGCTCGAGAGAACCAGACAAATACAGCTGCACATCAAGATTTAAAGACCAATAAATTGCACTTCTTATGACAATCGACGCATGTATATTACGCTATCAATAGTACCGCTTCATTTGGACAATGGCTTTTGTTTGACTGGCTGGGGATTGCCACAATGCCAATATCGTTTACCGCTCTGTCAGCGCGTAAAATGATATGCTTATTGTTCTTGCTGTCAAGTCTAGATAGGAGAAATATCGGGTAGAACTCTGCTCGAAGTACCAATTAGCATGGGGTTTGGTAGAGAAGCCAGATGCGATAAATCTTCACCTTGTATCGCCCATACACTGAAGGTCTGTCGTCATCTCTGTAGCTGAACTCAATATCGGCCAGTACTATGCATCTGCTCCTGTCATACCATAATCTTGATGCCATTGTTGGCATGCTCAAGTCATGATCCTGAAGTCGTCTGTCGGTTGATTAAATATCTCATTTTTTTTTTTCGAGCAAGCGTGTTGGACACGACCCTGCTGGGATCTACTAACATGGCACGAGGTTCAACAACATACTAATCTCTTACACACATCCGCGAAGAATGGCTGATATGAGCTTGTTAGATAGACTGCCTAGGTTGGAACGATCACATAATCTTGAAATGGAAGGATTCAGATATCTGTTTGATACTTGACGGTCGGAATCGCGTCGCTTATGTCCCATTCACTGATGGCGGAGAAAATTGATAGACAAGAGGAAGTTCAAGTCTTGAACGGGCATCTTAAACAGTGCCAACGGCCCTTGTATAGCAGCAGCTTAGACTGTAGTATGACTATGTAAGTCACAGAGACGGTGATCAACAGCTCGTGAATATGAACTCAGTACTTCTCAGCTAGACCTGAAAGGTCTGTATACGTCAACAAGCCACCAAACAGAAATTACTGCCCATGAAAAGCAGTAGGCGAGCACAATTAGAGCTATGTATGTCTACTATAATTGAATTTGTGTGGTGCCACCGCTCCATTGTCCATGGTGATAACTTGAAGCGTCGGGTTACTCCTCGGGCATCCACCTTTCAGCTGTTATGTTCCACTGCATGCTGGCCATGGGCCTAGACAGCTGTTTGAGCACCCTAAGCTTAGGGCAGAGAACGCTCTGCGTGAGACTTGTTATTTATCTTCGGATAACTTTCGGCATGTGTTCGATTTTGAGCTTGAGTCAAGGCTGTGAGCGTTCTGATACTAGAAGATGTAGGTCCCGAAGACGCATATGGATACTGAATGGGACGACCAAATATGGGTTCCGATACAGTCGGCACCAAGCCTTCATTCTTGACCTCTTGGTTCTTATCTGATGAGTTCCCATATGGAGCTATCTACAGCAATTGCAGAATGCCAATAGTGGTTGCGGTATTACCTACTATGGTATGCCGGCGTCGATCTTGCGGTGGTGGTTGGAATGCGTCAGCATTCAAAGTCAAAGTCAAACTCATCAAGTGGTGACAAATAATCAAAGGTTCTAATCAGATCTCTGACAGGTCTGGACCGCCGCCACCACAGCCGAAACCTATGGGCGTCAACTGACATGTGCCATACTATTCCCGTATCGTCCTAGACAACTAGAGACAGGGAACAACTTGACCGGACTGTCTGTGCGTATAAGTTCTCTACCACCGGTCAAGCGGTTCCTTGGTGATTTCTGCCAAGATCGTGAGGCACGACGGAGAATAAAACCTAATAGCGTAGCAGATCGCCCATGAGCGTGGGCATGGTATCACATCTAGCTTCCCCCTGGTGGGCAGGCCCGATAGGGTGGGCAATGGGGAAAACGGTGTTTATCCAGAAGACAATGGCGAAGGCGTCCTGGGTCAGCGACTTGCATGTCGGTGCTGCACGCGGCTTCCATGGCCAGTTTGTATCTATCCCAAGAGAAGAATTGTTATTCCCACTGTCTTGACTGTGGCGGCTTGTCTACTTGACCTAGTATGTCTCTCCGAGTTCATTAGCCTCCTTTCCCTCTTTCAGGAGGATTCGCAACGATTGCGGAGCCGACCCCTTAGACCCATTAAAATGGTGCCCGCAATGGAGTCACGGCCTCTAACACCACGGCAACTTCCACTGCGAACCCCAGATTACCAGAGCCCACCGTACCAGAGCATGCTAAGATATTAAGTGTGTTCGTCCATTGCCTGGGCCTGGGCGGGTCAAGCCCGAGAGAACCAAGATTCAATGTGACATTTTTGCTTCTGTTCCGCCGATTCGTCCAGTGTGTACCAGAATGTGGGCGGCAGCATGATTACAGGCGTCCTCAAACGTCAGCCCTCTCCGATGAACGGCGCTAGACCCAAGCTGAGTTACCAGGCCGGGGATATTGACAAGGGGATGCGAAAATCCTGCGGATAGCCCTCCTCATGATAACTTTGGGCTCCAGATTGCCGTTCAACAAGCCCGAAACATTGGTCCCTGACGCATGGTGCCAGGCGAAGACATTCCGATGTTGGAGAGGCTATGGAACCGTTATATGTCAACTATTGAATTGACATACGCAAGAATAGAGCTGAGCGACCCTCCTAGAGCCACGAGTTCAACAAGGGTGCTGGTGCAGGGAGGGCTGGCGATCTAAACTTTGAAAGTGGAGGTCGCTTAAGCAGACCCTTGCTGAATGACATGGTATAGGCACGAGAACAATGCAATGGCGAACTGGCTCCTGATTGCTTGGTCTTAAAATGCTTCGGCACCACCGAGCGCGTCGGCATCGTCTATCTCCAGTCTTCAGGTCTTCTTGGTCTGTATTCAACTTCGGTATTCAAACCGAACCCTTCCTTGTGTTGTCTCCTAGTCTGGAATACGGGCTCTTGCGATACGTTCTCCTGCTCGGAGGCATATTGCAATGACACGGAGGCCGTGGGTATCGTACTGGGACTAGGATCGCTCGCGCTGGAATGAGAACAATAGGCATCATGAAACGGCAAGACTCGACAACCGGGCCGTGGGTGCTCCTTCCGCCCAACTACGCCAGCATCAACGCAGTCGTGGCATGTTCCATCGTGTTTACTCTACTCGCGACAATTGTTGTCGGGCTACGAATATCGATTAGACGCTCCCGAACCCACCTATGTGCGGAGGACTGGCTGATCGTTGCGGCTTTGGTACGGAATTCACCCAACACAAGTTGACCGTAGGAGCAGCGTCGTGGCTAATACGGCGGCAGCCTTTCATGTATGCCGAGGCAGTAACAGCATTGATGGGTAAGCAATCAGAAACCCTAGACCTGACAAGAAGGAATGCTCACACGAAGTAGCTGTCTATCGAGGAGGAGTAGGGTATTCCACTATCGAGGTGTTTAACGCGGACCCGAATATCCTCACGATATCGCTGCAGGTAAGATTCAAGATTAGCCAATTGTCCATTCACATCTGTCTTACGACCATCTCAGTGCCTCTTTGCCATGGAGCTCATCTACGCGATCCTTATCACTTTGATCAAGCTGTCCGTCCTCGCGATGTATCGCAGTCTATTCCCGACCCCGCTCCTTAGGAAAGGTACGGATATACTCGGCGTAGCCGTTATCCTGTGGTGGCTGGCCGTGGTGTTGGTGACGTTTCTACAAAGCCGGCCCTTGAACGCCTTGTGGGATTTGAGGTTCTTCAGCACTGCAGTGTTCCTAGACAAGGTTGGACTGTTCCTTGGAAATGCCATCCCGAACATAATCATCGATGTCTTCATCCTGGCTCTCCCGCTGTATGAAGTGGCGACCTTGCAAATGGTATTGGTGAAGAAGACGGGTGTCTTCATGATATTCCTGTTTGGTGGCGTGTAGGTTCTACAGACTCGGTCCCACCCCGTCAAAAGTCTAACTGAGAAATAGTACCGTCGTAATCAGTGGTCTCCGGCTGCAAAGCGGTATGTCACTTCTCACCGACCCGACTGCTGATGTTACCCGTAAGTTCTGGACTCTATGAAGCACTAACCACGCGGTGTGTGCTGATGAGAATAAGATTCCGCTGGTTCTCTTTGGGCTTGGACAGTTGTCGAAACGTCAATGGGAATAATATGCGCCTGTCTCCCTACGGTAGGAGGCGCTATTGTGGGTATCATCGTGAGGTTGATCACGACACCGAAGGCGACAGTGCGAAACGAGTCTACAAGCAAGAGGAGTGGCTTCAAGCCCATCGGCACCATCGGTGGCGGCTCCGGAAGGGCCATCCATCGACCAGCGTTTGCCAAAGTGAAAGGCGATGACAGCACTGGATCTTTCGAGCGGCTGAAGGACGAGTCTGGAGAGACATCAGTGACAAACCTATGGCCGAAAGGATATCAAGGGGAAAGAGAAACGACTGTCAGTGGGAGGCGAATATCGAGCGAACAGAGCGATGATATACCCCTGAGTAGCATAACTGTCAAGCAGGAGATGTGCTGGAGTGAAAGTAAAGCAGCATCGTCACCCTAGGACGCGTGAAGCAGGACATTAGACAGCAGTGATCGCTCTGAAAAAGAGACGAGCGAAGCGAGATATTACATTAATCCAATGTTACGCTACAGAAGTCGTAGAGCTACCTTGATCTATTGAGATGATCCCTACAGCTCACATAACTTGGACAGATCGAGGGCATTCGGGCCATACCGGTAGAAAATATCTGGGGGATTGCAACTTGGTCCATATGTCAACCTGGTATTCTTCATTCTCTCTTCAGCACGGTCAATTGATTGCCAGATAAGACGGCTGGTGACCAGCAGCACATTATAATTCGATACCCGACTTGCATCACGGATTGTTAATCCGTAGTTATATGAAAGGTGAAGGTCAGTCAGCCATTGATACCGCCACTCCAGACCCCGCTGACTGCCCCGCTTGCCTGCCGCATCGGTCCCTGCCGGGCTCAGCGCGGCTCTCCCACCGACTGACCACTTGGCTTGTCGATCTTCGGCGCAGCAGGCAGAAGTTTACTGAACCCGTGCATGTCTCATGATCAAAGTGAGTGTCGAGTATTTCGATCTCGTATCACTGTGTCCGAGACGCAGGCTGTTGCTGCAATCGATACGTGCCAACTAGGCAGCAGCCACTGTGCCTCGTATCCCGCAACACTCGGTTCCAGTCGCGGCACATGCTATATATTGACCACGGAGGGCTAAGAAACGCCCTCGTGAACCATTACCATGGCAGCGCAACAAGGTGATAGACCCTCAAGCTACAGTACAAGTACGAGCGTGAACCTGTCGGCCAGAACATACAAGCAAGACGGCGAGGGTTCTGGTACTGCGCGAAAGCGGACATGGGGTGGCGGTTTGTTCAAGGGACCCTCAAAGTACGGCGGGAATACAGCTTCTGTTAGTATTTTGTGCCTCACGGCGAGATAATTACACCTCATTGACTGACATGTGTGTGGGATTATCGCAGAACTCAACTGCTAGATCAAGTCTCTCCCTTACCCCGTCATCCCCTGGCGGCATGGCATTCTCGCCACACGAGATAACTTGCCAGCGGCTTCGCGACTGTATTCACAAGTTGAGATCTGCGCCTTCTGATGTCAAGCATGTCGATGTCACATTCAACGAGTATGGCAAGATTGCAGGCGAGGCGGGTGCGCTTTGTGAAAATCTTCTCCTGCCGCAGTCATCTCGCCAATCCCAATCGATATTGAGCCCGCTGGATGATAGCAATGAGGACCAAATCGTCTCTTCCGATATATCCAGCGTATCTACCAATGGAACTAGGTCACCCATAAATTCGAGAGCCTCGCTAGAGCAAGGCTATCAATCATCCGTGGCCTTCCAGCCGCACCTCGACCTGATCCATGATTGGATTGATTGCTTAGTCAAGCTACTCGATACTCTGCACATTTCACTTATCGGAACATATCGCGAATGCGAACCCGAGGCCAGTCCGGCTATGGTCGACCAATTGTTTGTCGATCAGAGGTTCAGAGAGACCGCAATCTCACGAATGCGTAGCGTAAGCAAAGCACGCGCAGGCTCCAAGGAACCAGTATTTTTTCAAAAATACGAGCAAAGATTCCGACATTATGATCAGTTGAAAGTTGATCTCATCGAAATGCGGCGGCTGCTCCAGAATAGTGAGTCTGGTATACTGCCAAACCGAGTTATTCGGGAGGTCACCATCTCTCAACGTGGCGATGCCATACTAGAATTTGCAAACATATCGCCTGAAGGGTCTTTGGAAGACCATCCGGTGTTGCGCTTTAGGGTCTCATCTCACATGCTCGTCGAAACTTCGCCAATATTTGCTCGCATGTTTGATAGCCCTTCACTGCTCGCAGCCTTCAGCGCATCCAACTCTGTTTTCCCTGCCCCTCCATCTCAGTACACGTGTAAAGATGGAGCTGAGGTGAAACTCTTTCGAATGCCTCAACTCGAGCTCAACATCAAGAGCTCATTTGAGGTGCTGTTACATGCCGCCCACTTGCATAACGATTTGGTACCCAGGGATATCGAATTTGACCAGTTCGTCGCCATCGCCGAAGTGTGTATGCGGTACCAATGCACTTCTCCCCTCGAGCTTTCTGTTGAGTATCGCTGGCTGCCACAATGGATGCACAAGGCCATAGAGGACATGCCTGATGGCTTGCTTCTGATAAGCTATGCTTTTGGCCTGAGAAGGCTCTTTACCAGGATGACCAAAACTGCAATTCTCAACATCGTGAATGACAAGGATCTTGAGTCAAAGCCTTGGCCCCAGAATGTCAAGGACAGAATATGGGCTGTTCGGAGAGCGAAGATTGAGCAAGTATATGCATGCTGCAACAATATTCTTGGGGAATATCTCAAATGTCCACCCCCTGCCCTCCCTATATATGAAAGAGAAGGGACGACTACCACGGGACTGACACCGACTATGGCGCCTCGATGCTTGAAAGGCAGCCATTCTTGTGACGCTGCTTGTCTAGGTTGGCTCATGATGCTCTTCAATGAGCTACATATTCTTCCGCAGCTCATGCAGTCCTCCTCTTTCTCACGTCGACCTCCCCCACCACAACGAAGTTTGAATCAACTTGTCGACTGTCTTCGATTTGTGGCAAGCCCACCGAATACACATCAAGGCCCTTGTGACTTCACTCCAGCTTTCAGAGCCGCCATGAATGATATATATAATAGTGTTTCCGGGTTTACGCTGTTTTCCATAAGTGGCAAGCATGGCTGGGGTTTGAGCAAGCATAAATCACTCCTACCACAGCATGTCTTGAGTATTGGTGCCCTGTTACCTGACCACAATGCTGCAAGGCGGACGATGGAGGACGTGGCCTTGCGAATCATGTTGCATGTGGACAGCCTTGACCAGGTTTATAACGTGGCGTTGGTCAGTAAAGCGTTCTTTGAAGCTTTCAAGAGTAACGAGACGATCATATACCGATCTCTCCTCCAGAAAACGAAGAACATCATACCCGAAAGATGGACACTCAGCGGTGCGTCGAGCAAAGAAGAAGCACGGTCGGAGCTGAAGCTACTCAAAGAGGATAACCCAGAGCACAAGGCTTCGAGGACCGTCGAGGACCTGAATCTCATGACTAGCGATAATCAGAGGGCTCATCTTGAAGGTTTTCGAGGTCAAAAGGTTCCGAGGACGAGAGCACTTTAGCATTCAACAATGAAATATCTGATACCGAAAGCCTGGTCGAAATCGACAATCTGGGCAACGAAATGAACGAACGAGATGGAAAGATGACGCGCGAAGAAGCGGAACGAATAATGTGGCCCGACCATGATCACGATAAAGTCGTTTTGCGACAGGCGCCTGCGCCCGAGTCCATGCATGACGGCCTTGCGGCAGCGCCCACAGAGAAATTTCGTGCAGGAGATCCAGCTTTCCACCAACCTGAAGAGAAGAACCTTTTGACTTTCGAAAACAAGAACTTGAGTGATGATCACTACCAGAGAATTGGACTTTCTCGACCGATGGGGGTTGAGACCGTGGATAATGTGTCGAGGTGGATATGAGGCAAGGATATGAGGCAAGGATATGAGGCAAGGATATGAGGCAACTTGTCGGCTCTTCACCCACCATACTGTAGCTAACTATGGAGGTGGCCACTTGCATCTGGCTGGACCAAACACAACACCTAATGCTTTCTGGATTTGACTGGAGTTTATGCGGCCCTGGAGTGGTCTGATTATCGGTGTGTTTGCTTTGATACCCGGTCATTTATGCGACGGACTTAGTAGTAGCTTATTACAACATTCTTGATGATTCCTGAGAAGAACGAGATAGGCTATGCCATGTCATTGATATCTCGTCAGGTAATCTTCTTAACATCCAATCTGCTTGGCTTTGTACATGCTTGCAATCCATCGCTGCGGCCACTAACGACCAAGTTGGAGCTAATGCAGGCCCACTCCTAGGCAATGCTTGTCTTCGTTGTCTACCAATCGCGGGGCATTGATTCACCACGTTTCCCATATACAAGGGGAAAACGGCAGCACCCGTATTCAGCTCGTCGATAGCTTCGCACGTGCCTCCTTACACAGTACAGCAGATCGTCAAAGTTATGAGAGATAAGTCAGTCAAGTAAGACGAATAATGTATGTTTTTGCAAGCCTTTGCCATCCAAACAAGCTTAATGGACCTTGGTCAGTCGTCAGCCGTCCTCCCGCCGTGCCCTACATTGCTTCAAGAGCCTACCCCTCCTCAAACACTGCATGTACTGCTAAGTGTGCAGAAACGGGTAACGCTTGCTGAATTGGCTCAAGGCAGCTTACAACAACATGCAGGTGTGTGATAAGAGTAACTTAGATCCGCCCTTCGGTCAAAACCGCAAACTGCTTGTATCGCATTACATCCAAGAACAAGTTTCGACGGGTCGGCATCCAGACATGGCTACTTTACTTGTTTTCTGTATGCTAACAAATCAGGTTTTTCTGGGAGCCCTAGCCACTTCGATTCCTGGATCAGCTTCATTCACAGTTCCTGCAGCCTTCCCAACTTCGGTGTTCTCAAGCTACTATGGTGCGCGGCCAGACCCCTCTTCTTGGGTAGACAAGCTGACGACTGTCTCAAAGTGAAACCTGGGCCAACCATAGAGCCGCAGCCTGCTCTGTATGATCCTATACTGAACAAAACCTTCGCCTTTAATGTCACCGACCCACTGTCAATACAAAGCCATAGCGCGGATCCGGTGTATTTCCCTGCTGCTCTGGCAAACTTATCCGAAGCGAGCGCCGAGGCAGTCATCACAGCAGCTTCAGGTGAAATATTGACAATCTTAACGGCGAATCACACTGCGTTGGCCTCAAACTGCTCAAGATGTGTCGCTGCGCTCACTATTGCACAGATGGCGGCCAAACTGGCGCCAAGCTACTTGCCCGATGCCATGGTTTCGCTGTGCAAGGCCACCAGGTTTGCATCAAACTCTAGCTGCCAGTCAACATATGAGGCAGGAAGCTTCGGGGCAACTTGGACACAGATCCTGTCCATCGCCGAGGTGGCAGGTCTAGATGGACAGTATATCTGTGCTTATTTGGGAGCATACTGCCCATCCCCCAACGTCACATCGACATTCAAGGCCGTCTTCCCGAAGCCAAAACCCTTGAATGCAACGAGACCCAGTCAAAGTGGGCAGAAGGTAAAGGTGCTTCACATGTCCGACTTACACCTGGATCCTAGGTATGAAGCAGGGTCAGAGGGAAACTGTACGTCAAGCATGTGTTGCCGCCACGCCGCAGCCCCAGCCAACAGTACCACTGCCCAGGTTCAGATGCCTGCACCTCTCTATGGCTACTATAAGTGTGATTCGCCCTATTATCTAGCATTGGCTGCTCTTCAGTCAATAGGCCCTCTAACGGGGACTTCGAAAGAAAACCCGGCGGCATTTGCCCTATACACTGGTGATCTAGTTGCGCACGACTCCCAAAACCAACGCTCGAGAGACTATGTTGAGGACATTGAGCTATCCATATGGCACATGTTCAAGTCTTACATAGGAGGGCCTGTTTATGCTGCGCTGGGGGTAAGCTCCTCTTGCTGATCTGGATGGCAAACCAGTGATCTGAGCTGATCCTGAACACAGAACCACGACACAAACCCTGACAATCTTGACGTGCCACACGGCATTGATGACAACGGACCGCTGGGACAGCAGCTCTCATGGAACTATGAGCACGTTTCCTCGCTTTGGGAGCACTATGGATGGATAGACAACGCAACAGCTGCCGAAGCCGCGACACACTACGCTGCATACTCGGTCGTGCACCCGTTAGGTTTGCGCGTCATCACCCTCAACACAGATCTCTACTATCGGAACAACCACTTCGCATTACTGCACGCATCAAACCCGGACTTCAGCGGCATGTTCAGCTTCCTGATTAGCGAGCTTCAGAAAGCTGAGGACCTCGGCCAGCGAGTCTGGATTGTTGGGCATGTGCTGTCAGGTTGGGATGGATCCAACCCGCTTCCCAATGGCTCAGAATTGTTCTATCAGATCATAGAGCGCTATTCCCCCCACGTCGTTGCCGCAGTCTTTTTCGGCCACACGCACGAGGACCAAGCATTCGTGTACTATGCTAACAATGGAACGAATGCATCGGCCGAGACGGCCATAGCGAATGCCTGGGTTGGGCCAAGTCTCACACCTCTTACGAACTTGAACTCCGGGTACCGCCTTTACGAAGTTGACACTGGGTCTTGGGACATATACGACGCCTATACGTTCTATGCCGATGTATCCTCGTTTTCGGAAATCGACACCACTCAGACTGGACCTGTGTTCCAACTCGAGTACAGCACGCGAGCTGCGTACGGCGCTGGTGCTAAATGGCCAGACGACGCGCCCCTAAACGCTACCTTCTGGCATCAAGTCACAGAGGCCATGGAGCGCAATCGGACACTAGTGAGTGTGTTCAACGGTTTCAGGGGAAGAGCAGTATCAGAAGCCCAAATTGCACTAGCGAAGCGTGCGCCGCAGCCAAGGTGTGTTATATGCGAAGCGGATCTGTTGCCTTAGGTAGACAGTGTCCCCAGGGCTTTGGCAGTGTGCAGAGCCCTTTCACAGGAGTAAATTTCTAGAGAAGAAATGATTGGAAGTCCGCGGAATAGCTGGAGCTAGATATATAAGTGAATTATCCTAAGACTGATACACTTGCGTGAATTCTTTTATCAGACTATCGACTACTCAGACCACAAGGCAGAGATGAGATGATAGATAATCTACAGCTCAGAAGTCATATTCATTCAAACGTCCCATCCACCGTCAGCCGAAGGATCAAGCTTCTGCAGCGAGACCTTAGAGAACTTAGATCCTATCGCCATCAGAAGCTGCAAGACCCTGCTTCCTCGCCATGTTCAGTGCCTTGAGCTTAGCAGTACCAAATCCAGCCACACCATCTTCCTGGTTGTCGCCCAACCACGGCTTCTTGGAGTCGCCAAGCATGCTGCCAGCCAGGAAGTAAACGACCAGTCCGATGATGATAAGCACGAAAGCGATCGGGTACAGATAGTAAATCGTGTACCCAAAGACGTGAATACCGATGATGGTTCCCCAGAAGTTGGCGGTCAGCAGGGAGATGTCAAAGAACGCAGCGGAACCCATGCGAAGAATGAGAGGAGCCAACGAGTAGAAGATGGACAAGGCCAAGGTGTATCCAACAAGGTAACCGGCAATATTGCCATCCCAGGTCGAAGCCTCAAAGCTCGCCCGGTCAAAGACGCCGGCGATCACACCGTTAATGATAACACCGAAGAAGCCTAGGAAGGAGAGGACCTCGTACATGGGCCGCTTGCTCACGAACCACTCCTCAAAGACGTTCGAGATACCATATAGGGTCGCGCCGAGAAGGGCGAAGAGATCACCCTTCAAAAGGTCCACGCCGGGACCTCCATTGGTGCCCTGAATGTGGTCGCTCCCAAGCAGGAGGCCCATGCCTCCACAGGCAATCAAGATACCTGCGATCTGGAAGATCTTGTATCGCACTTTGAGCAATACGAAGGAGATGATGACGACACAAACAATGGACCAGAAGTTGAGGAGCTGTGCTGACAGTTGGTTGGTATAGTTGTACGCAAGCACCGTGAAGTAGTTTCCGAGCACGTCCAAGAAACTCAGGATGAAGTATTTCCAGCCATCGCGCAGGACCACCTTGCCGTACTTCTTTGGGCCATGCTTGAAGAAAGTGATTGGCACATAGATGAGAGCCAGCAAGGTATAGTTGAAGATGCTCTGCAGCGAGGGGATGGCCCAGTTTTCCATACGCAGCAGCGACGTGAACGTGTTGGTGGCTGTGATGCAGAGCGCAAGGACCTGGCCGATGATAACGACGACCCAGAAATCGACCGTGGTCAAGTAGGAGTACCAGTGCACCTTCTTGGCCTCAATCTCATGAATGGCGGTGGCAATCACGGCCTGGTCAGCAGCGCTGTGAGTGTGCTGGTCATGGTTGCCGCCAGACACATGGACTGTCGTCTGGGGGACAGCATGCTTGTTGGCCTCCATTTCGGGTGGCTCTTGATTCACCGGGCTATAGCCTTCGTTTCCAGAGTCCACTGTGTGTAAAAAGCTATATAGCGGGTCAAAATCTGCAGCAAGAAGCCACTATCTTTAAGACATTGCCCACCTATGAATCTTGTGGCGGATCGCTCTAGCCGCTGTTGACGCAGTGTCAATGTATCTCATTCAAAGCAGGCCAATGTGCTGAGAAAGTGACTCCTGATGGCGTTAGGAGTAAAACTAAGATGATTTCTCAGTTGATAAAGTGATTAAGTCTTTCTGTCGTCCCCAGAAAGCAAGCGCAAAGACTTGGAAGTCGCTTGCTTATGAAACTACCGCAGGTAGCGACGGCACATCGACGGCCGAAGTGCCAGCTCGTGGTTTGAATAAGAGGGTATCGGGATGGAGCGAAAGGGCATGAGCACAGCGTCCTGAGAGGGTGAGGGGCGCAGGATCCAAGGTCGCGACCAGAAATGCCTTCTTGTATTAGACCACCACGACGAGCGTTCGGCGCGGCCACGGGCAGAAAAAAAAAAAGAAAACCCTTCCCCCCTTACCCACCCGCAGGTCTGGGTCGGTCGTTGTCGAGCTCTAGCGGGGCGCACCCTCTACCTTGGCGCCTTCGGGACCCGCCAATCGCCACGGACTAGGACCGAAAGCTGAAGGTTGTCTCCGTGGCTGGCAGGGATGCTGACCAAACAGCAGCCGCTCCTATTGGCGTACCAACACCTAGCGCGGGGGTGCCGCACCCTGGAGCTGGCCTACCCTGTCACACCGGACCACTGCCGCCCATTTCTTCGGTCGGCACCGGGTACGCCAATTCAGCACTCCAACGTCTCTATCGTGGCACAGGTGATCGTGTTTAGGACCCAACTGTTTGTCGTGCTCTTGTGGCCATCGTCACTACGCGAAGTTGACCTCATCGAATAGCCGCAGTGTCTGTGGCTGTTTATCAGATTGGTGCGACTTATTCTCCCCCCTAACTCTATCATAGGAGAACGGTGTGTTATTGAGTAACGTGGCTCACCGTGTCAGAATTCCCCGCTCCTCTACAATTTCTTAAGCTCTTAAGTGACCGAATGGAGCCTCTTAAGCATATGAAAAGATTGTGCGTGTTGCTCTCTTAGGGTGAATTGCATGTGACCTAGGGTCCAACATGAGTGTCCGAGGTATAACCTATGTAACTTCGCCGTTATTCGGCGACATTGCTTCCTCCGACACATGAAACGGCAAGTGTCGATGGCTTGAATTTAGTCTCATGATTTTAAGGCATTAGAAAAGAAAAGAGAAAATGGAATAAAAGGAACCGCGTTACATCTCAACTGCCAGTAAGCGAAGCCTAGTAGGGCTATGGCTATCTTCGCAGCGCTGCCGGAGACCTGTCGGAGGTAGATATTGATGTCGCCGAGGGTTAAAGTTACTTGGGGCTATGAGAAATGATATAGCCGTGACAACATAGCAATGTCTTTGCTCTACGTATTGCCGGTTGCATCATTGCTAAAGAATTCGGATGCGGGTCCGACCTTGACCGAGAACCCAGCAACCTTAGCGTACGGACAGTCGCTTTCCCTATGCTATGGGCGACACACCTCCCTCCCTCATGGCAAGACTATGAAAGCAAACCAGGGAAAGGGTAAGACCATAACTCTTGGAAGTCTCCTGGCTGGGCACCAAAAAGCTCCTCCTTTACTTCAAGAACGTCCGTCAGGAAGAGCTCCAGGAACCTTGGGCATGCTGACAAAGGGTTTCAAGATTGCATCTCGCCACGGTGCAGCTAGTGCCGATGAGCATGGTCATGATGGACCAGCCCAAGTATCCGATGGTTCATTTCACAACTTGCTCTGGAACGTGATTTCATGCGTGCTATGAACCAATTAGCTTGCCCAACATCTACACCTTTCAGCACCAACGCCATTTCGCATGCTCGCCGCACCGTCGCTGATGCAGGTTTGAGGGTGATACGGCCACAGGATGTTTACGCCCAAGACTGCAGGGCGGCAAGAACCCAGATTGGCACGTCCTCACTGAACCAAATGTGATTCGCGTGGTGATAGACGATCACAAACGATACCATAATTGAGTCCAGACCTGTCAACCCCTCTTGCCTGGTAAAGCTGCGGATATTTGTATCCGAGAGTTAAGGCTTTTTCAGGGGATGTCTTTTCGGGAGGACACTCCATACTCTGTGCAACTTGAACTACCTCGCCGCTCTAATTCGAAGTCTATAGGTATCGATGCTCCTCACCACGTCTTGTTTCATGGGTTGGGGCAGTACCGCTGAGAGGATGAAGGCCCAGCAACTTCATCAACGAAAGTTCCTAGTATCACATCACAGCGACAGGATAAACTTTCATCACAACATGACTAGAAGATTATATGGTTGACGGGATCGTAAAAATTTCATGTTACAGTACATATCGCATACGGCGAGGCAGGATTCTCGTTGAACTCGATTTGATATAGTCTAATTCCTTGACACGAGTAGGGCTCAAGCAGGCGGGTGAGAGCCGAAGATTCTGATTTGAAGTCGATGGCATGAATACACGGACGACTTACTATAACCGACAGCATGGTATACTTGGCCAATTAGGGGAAGCAGTTGTAATTATTCAGTTATTCTCCTCTTCGTTCTGCGTTTTGATCAATCCAAGCACTCCATTAGCCGAGGTTGACTAGAGACTCTCATTATCATGCGTTGTTCGGTCCAATATACGCGACGAACAACGCGAGTATTGTGCATTTCGCTACCAAATGCACTACGAAACGGTGGTTTCCCTAGATACCGACTATCATGCACCGTCTCGCTTGCGATCGCCTGTTTTCACTCCCTCGGCCCAGGTTGGTAGATTGCGCGTGAATATGTGCGCAACTGGGTCGTTGTGCAAAGCACCCTTTAGCACCGGTGCCTTCACAAAGCACGTTCCATCGGCAGCCAATGTGTAGATGGCGTTGCCGCAGGTATCACAGAAGTGACGAAACACATCTCTACCGGAATCAGCCTTTTCTATAGTAGTGCGTCAGCACGGTGAACTTCTTGCAGAGTAGTATGCTGCTTTCATTCAATATACCTTTGAACACTTTGACGTGTTCTTTTCCCTTTGTGATATCCACAGTGTCCTTGGGGAATACCAAGTTGATGGTGAAAGCGCTCGCACTGCAGGCCTGGCAGCTGGTACAACTGCACGCCACTGTCGCCTGAGGGTCGACCTTGGTGTCGATCTCAACGCCCTTGCACAGACAAGATCCTTTCGCCATTTTGAGAAATTTGGAAAGAATATAGCCTAGAAGTTCTGTGTATCTTTTCTTTCGTCGGAGGGGTAATTACCAAATATAAATATAGCCCCGGCAGAGCTTCGCCTAGCGATGACGTATGTAGTGCGATGTTGGAACTTTGTTAAAAATGGATCGCTGCAGCTGAAGAGGGGAACCTCGGGAACGTTTGGAACTATATTATCGTACCTTTATTTCAGTGGGTGGACCTGCGGAGAGAAAACCACCGCATTTACTAACCACCACTTGATACAGGGCTATTGCCACTAATTAGTAGAATTGCTCACGGAGATATTAGTTCGTGCGTGGCTTTTTCTAGACTATTTGTGCATCATAATTTATCGATCTAGAATGATGTTGAAAGAACGACCAGTCACAAAATCAACGCTCATACCCTCAAAAAGGCCCGCGTGCGACGAATAGCCCTATTCTAACTTGATCATAGACTAGTGGGCTTATCCTGTCAAAAATGATTTAGCACTTGACGGTAAAAATTCCCCCCATATAGTTCCTACAATAGCTCAAAAGATCTCAAGTACGGGATCAGAAGGAGACAAAGGTCGTGAGAGCTTTGACGAGTACATTGCCCATGCCTTGTAACCGTGTGTTCTCAAATGTCTCGTTTATGTGATGAATGGTCGAATTAAAAAAAAAAAATAAAAAATTGGAGGGCTTATTGCTGCCCCCAAGCGGAAGTGGAGTTCTTTGCTATAGGTGAAGAATCTCAGGATATCATGGAGACGATCCTCTGGCCCTCCTAGAGAGCTGGTACTAACCATCCTTCCATCCAAAGTCTCGAGATTTGGCGATTTCATCTTGCAAGAATCAGCGAAGTTGCGGCTTGAACTCGCAAACCCATCTAGCACATGGTTGCCACGCAGTCAGTAGTCATTATGTTGCTGCCCTTAGGAGAACGCGAGGTTTATACTTGGAAAAGAGTAAATAGGAGTTAAATTGCCTTCGTAGTATCCGACTAGAACCTTCCAAACATAGTAGGTTCCTGACCCTGGGTATCAAAAGACTGAGAGAAGGCGGTCTCTCGAGTATGCCATCAAACGCCGTCGTTATTATGAATGCTTTTCCTTTTGCCCTGTACTCAAACCCCCTGGGTATTATGCATGGTCTCAACATATGAAATCTAACGATGGTGTCTCTCAAATAAAGCTAGCGCCAGACCGCTCTGGGATAGCATTTGGGTTGCCTACAGCGTACTTTGGTGTTGTTCTCGGTGGAGCTCCTCTTGGACTTGGACTTGGCCCTCGAATCCCTGGTACGACGAGCTGCTCGGCCATCTTCACAGGCGTGCCTGGCCTGGCGTTCGTTGGCGTCCAGGGACGACTGAAAGAAGGTATGGCAAAAGGAGACTGTGATCGAGTTGTTGACAAGGTCGTAAGTTCAACACCAGTCATCAGAGCTGTCGAAGGCAGAGGCCAACTCGGAGACTCGATAGGAGGTTTGAAGCCCTCGTCTGACTTCGTGTTGTCCACAAATCGCGGTAGATCTCCTGTGGTTCTTGATCGGTCTGGGAAACTGAACCCCAGGTTGAGTTCCCCTCGCGGTACCTGAACCGGCGGCTCCTCAAATGGAGGCACAGGGCTGGCTAACGGGCCTGTGCGTGGAAGAAGAGGGCTGTCCGGGGGATCCAGACTTTCCGAACCAGAGCTGCGAATGGATTCATCATCCAGCATCTGTACAGGTGTCTGCACACGGTGAATGTCGTCGAATACCTGTACAGGGGTTGGTGGACGGCGAATATCTTCGACCTGTACAGGAGTTGGTATATGGCGAACATCGTCGATCTGCACCGGCGTTGGTCGACGGCGAATGTCATCGAACATCTGTACAGGAGTTGGCACACGGCGAACGTCTCCCACTTGCACGGGGGTTGGTTTAGGGCGGACATCTTCTACCTGCACAGGAGTCTGCACGCGGCGAATATCACCAAACATCTGCACAGGGGTCTCCGCACGGTGAATGTCGTACTCATTTGCCGCCGGGCGGCGCACGCCGTTTGCATTCGGTCGTTTTGGACGCCCACGCGCACCAACAGCAGCAGCCGGCACGCCAGTACGCGCGGCGCTGCGGGAACGTCCGCCGTAAGGACTTTCTGAACGCTGTCGCGCGGGAAAGGGGGCACTGCTTGGGCCACCTAAGTCTGGAGTGTCGGGTCTGAGGTCCATATTCAGCGGGCTTGGTCGATCCGCTCGAGGGTTCCCGGCGGTCTTGGGACGCTGCTCTTCAGCCAATCTGGTAGACCTGTCGAGGCTCTCAACCATCTTCTCCGAGCTCCGCCTGCGGGCTGGGCTGATGGTCATAGTTTCTCGCTTGGCCCGAACAGTTTGAATAACTGGTTCGCCCCACTCATTCATAGAGCCGCGATTGATAGTCTCGTTGCTTGCTCGAGGCAGGGAGGGTGGTGGCGTTGGTACGGACACGGATCCAGGGCTCATGTAGTCATCCGTGTCCATCAGCTCCTTGATGCTGGTGGGAATGGTCCGATTACTACCTCTACTTGACGGTCGAGCATCGAGAGCTGCAGCGGGTAAAATCGGCCTCTCTAAGATCGATAGTCGGTCTATCTCACTTGATGCTTTTACCGACGGCGGCGGCGTAGGCACATTGCGCCGAGCACTCCTGGGCGGGATAGCCGGAGGCTGTGCCTTATGAATCTGTAGTGGACGTGGCAACGGATGGGAAGTGTCCATGTTGGGAGCCAATGTTTTCTCGTCATCTGCTGGGAACCTTGGATGTTCTTGACTCAAGGGCGAAGTCGTAGTCGGTGTCGATGAGACATTGGTGGACTGGACGTCAAGCGGCTTGATCCTAGCTGTATTCGGTTGAGAAACGGTTGAACCCGATCCACCTGATGCTGCAGTCCCTAAAGTTTGGGACGAGCCGTTATTCCATCGCGTCCCAAGATTCGGATTCGATAGCGCCGGCCGCAACGTGGGAAGGGCTGCGTCACCGTTGCTCTCCTGGCGAGAGAGGTCGAGCATGCTGGAAGATGCCAAATTTTGGGTTCCTGGATTATAGAAAGCCTGTATGGAATGGCTCACTGGTGGTCCATGGCTGGCTTTCGCCGTCGAAGGCCGAGGACCTGTAACATAAGGCAGTCCGGGAGAGACCTCGCCATTCTTGCGCTGGCCTGTATGCCGACTAGCCCACTGTTCGATCTGCCTCTGCTGGAAAGTGGTCGTCGACAATTCTTGTTCGGGTTTTCTACGTCGATCAGTAACGGTTTGGACTGTCCGGCATCCGGCATCGTGCGGGTTCTTACCGCTTTTTCTCGGCTCCAATTTTCAGCCCGAATAACGAAACCATCTCATCGACGAGGTAGCGCCGGGTTCGCGCCACGGGTAGCTCGACCGCAGTGTAATGGAGCAGGTTATCATGAGGCTCAACACTCAAGAGTAGTGCCAAAGAAACTGAAGTCACCAAAGACCCAAATAGCAGCTAGCCTAGGAGTGAAAGACGATTTCCACGAAGAGAGCGGTTGACAGTGGGGCTGAAGTGTCAGATTACAGGCGCATGTCGATCCCAATAGAAGGAAGGACACGACGGAGGGACAGTGTTAGAGGAACCGTCCTGCGAGGCTCGAAACCCTTTCCCCCAAAGGCGAACAAGACTCCAGACCTAAGGAGAAGTTGAGGAAAGACTCCATCCAGGGGCGGTTGGGACGTTTTGTGGTACGCATCCGACGAATACGAGAGGCCCCTTCACGATGGCTGGCTTGAGTCTTGGAGACGACGGAAATATCCCGACCCAACAGGGCTCCGCACTCGGTACCATCCAACGCCGCTGCCCAGTCGCTGGCGGTCTCGGGATGCCAGGGGCTCCGCACGGTCCGTGGTGATCTCAGGTAAATGGGCGTGATTCCGGAAGACGGCGCAGTAATCCCAGCACCTGCAGAGGAGAAGATCAAGAGACCAGCGACTTCATCCTCGGGAGAGGTGTGACGAGCTTAAAAACAAACCCAATGTGCCGTCACTGCAGGGAAATTGGCAGCGCCCAATACGGCATCGTCTGCCCACCGTCAAACGGGGTCGTGGGAGCTCCAGCTAATCGGATACAGCCGAGGGAGGACGCGCTACGGGTCCAGGACCCCTAGCGAAATCTCCCCGAACATTGGACGCCCCACAGACGGAGCCCAGAGAAGGCTGAAAGAAGCTTCCAAAGGGGGCGCTGGCATAGTTGTGGGCTGGCTGGGTTTTCGCAGCTCTGGAGCCGTTGGGTGCCATCAGGTGCCATGGCTAGGTATCGTCAGAATGTGTACTCGCAGCAAAGATCCCAGCGGAGCGGACACAAGGCAGCGTGTACGTACGATTTAAGTTCAACGTGTGTACGACGTACCGATAGTTTGAAGCTGCATTACGGGGGCTCCTGCAGAAGACGCCGGTAGTTCATAGGGCTTAATTATCATGCACGCAAGCCGCCAGTCTACCCCAGAGCCTTGTCTGGACTCCGTTGAGTGGATGCTGCTGACCAGGCTGTGGATGACGACTTTGTACGGCCAACGGAACAAGATCTACGGCAATTCGACAACTGCACGCGTCGAATTGCCCTGTCTCTTCGGCTTTTCGACCCAAGTCAATCAGATCTTTGCCGGGAAAGCTGAGGTTTGGGCTATCATGCGATGATCTACAGCTAGCTAGGTATCCGCGCTTCGATAGTGCGGCGAGCTAATCCGTCCTGCCGGGACGAGGCTTGCGAGGATCACCTGGGCAGTCAAAATCCCAGCATCCGCCACGTTTATCTGCTCTTGTGAAACTAGCCATCATGGCTTGAGGCACATCGGCGCTGCCCTGGACCATAAAGGAATGTCATGCGTCGGGTCTCTAAGCTTTGATTTGACGTTAGTGGCGTTGTAAGTAAAAATGGTCCCTTTGATAGCTGAGCCTCTCATCTCTCAAGATCAAGACGCTAGTATCCTAAAATAGATCTTGCCGTACGCAACTTGCTTGCAGCTTCATGCTTGAATTTCGCAGTCTCGTAAAGAAAAAGAAAAAAAAAAAAAAAACAGATTCGGTATGTCATTCAAACGGTTTTATCAGCAGCTCACCCTTAAGGTTGGTGCTTAACTAGAAAGGACCAATACGGGGGTTACTGAACACTCTCCTCGCCATGTGCCCGACTGTGATAGATATGCATGGCTGGGGTAACAGGCGTAAACACTATTTCTTTCTGTGACGTTGTACGGCATCTTCCTACCTAGCTACCCCCGTTACTTATGTATGCTCTTGAGCCTTCTGCATATCTCCAGTACCCCTTTCCCCGACACCATTTGCCTTGGCTTCCGTCTCATTAGCCTTCACATTTCTCCACTCCATGCCTGCTGCGCCGATGATAGTAAGACACGCAAGAACCAGGCCCACGCGGAAGGCATCGCGGAGAGCTTCGTTGTATGCCTCCAAGATTGGCTTTCTGAGTTCGGCTGGAAGCGAACTACTCAGGGTTGTAAGACCACTTCGCGCAACGCTGGATGAGTCAAATTCTGGGAATGCAGACAATCTTGTGATCAGTCCGTTGTTGAAGACCGTTTGGCCGACCGAAACAAACATGGCACCTCCTAGGAGCTGACCAAACAGCATTAAAGAAGTGCCAACAGGTACATCATGCATTGGTAGCACCGTCTGGGCAGCGAGGTTTGGAACTTGGATACTCATTCCAAGCCCAAAACCGTACAGGAATTGGTACCCGACCCACTTTGCGATACCGGTATCGAGCTGTAGTGTATTAAGAAGCCCTCCGCCGATCGCCATCAGGCATGTTCCAATGAGAAGAAAAGGCGTGTATAAGCCAACAGACGCGCTGGCTCCCCCGGCAGTTATCGACGCTACAATGGTTGACAGGGTCATTGGCAGAAGGCGAATGCCTGACTGCACAGCCGAGACTTCTTGAATCGCTTGGAACCAGATGGGGAGGAAGTATACTATATGCTTGATCAGCGCACGTCATTCCACTGCATTTTAACTAGTACTTACGGAACAAGTTCATGTGCGCTCCAACGCAGAAGATTGCCGCGAATCCGGTGTACATTGACCTCTGTTTAAAGATCCGGGGCGGTATGGTTGACGTTTCCGGCAGAAGGCCCTGGATGAGGATGAAGGCAACCAGTAGAACACCAAAAAGTGTCAACAGGGCTATAATTCGGCCCTCGTTCCACTGTTGTTGTATGAGTACGAGGTATGCAGCCATCAACTATGCAGGACATCGCGAGGACTAAAACTTACGGCGTATAGCACTCCTCCCCACTCAAGAGCTAACAGCAGACAAACGACACCAGGGACAAGACAAGTAGTGCCGGCAGCATCTAGCCGTGATATCCTTGATTTCCAAGAAAGCTTCTCAGTGTTTCCTCGCGGCACGCGCAGCAGCGTTGCGATCAACACCAGCGAGACAGCGCCGAAGGGAAGATTGATGTAGAAACACCATCGCCAGGACACATTTGACGTAAAAGCTCCACCAACAAGGGGCCCCATAATGGAGGCGATCCCAGACATGGCTCCAAAGAGTCCCATGTATAGAGGCCGCTGACTCAAAGGAACCGTATGGACTATACCAATGACCTATTGCCGTAGCGTGAGCATCACATCCGCATAGAGGCATCCACCCCGGTCAGATGACTTACCGAGCCAGAGAACATGCCCGCCGCCCCGACGCCCTGAACTGCCCGGCCTCCGATGAGAACACTGGAGCTCGGCGCGGCACCACAGATCGCAGAACCTATTTCAAAAAGCAGGATTGCGCTCAGGTAGACAACTCGAACGGAATAGAAAGTGTAAATTTTGCCAAAAAAGAGCTGAAAGGAGCAGCTTGTCAGCAGGTAGGCTGAGCCGTACCACCCTATGTCTTCGATAGAATGGAAGTCATTGGTGATCTGAGGTATCGCAGTCGAAATAATCAGTTGGTCCAAGGCGATTAGAAATATTGATAGATAGATAGATAAGAGAAGGAAGCCGAATCCAAAACGATTGCTGGTCATAGACTCGGCAGGGCGGCAGTCTTGAGCTTGGCCTTCGACGTCTGTAGACTTTACCGGATTGTGCAGCTTATCCGGGGCGCGTTCTGCGCGGACTCCAGAGGAGTTGCCCGGTGGCCTCGCCCATGCTGCCCTGTCGTGGAGCTGGTCGCTGTCCGACATGACCCGCAACTGTACTCTACTGTCGTGGGTGCCCGAGGGGAAAGTGCTAAGATAGCAGAATTGTATGTAGAGCGTGAGCTATGGGTGCGAAAAATTATCGGCGTCTGGCGCAGTTTTTCAGATGAATACTGGACGGAGACAAGCCAACCAGGACGATGAGCAGCACGCGTGGGTGCATACAACGAGACTTTGACCCTCAAACGCCCTGCCTACGCTGACGGGGTATCAACGTATATATGCGATCAGCAGAAAGGCAGGAAATCCCTCTGTCGCTTTACAAGTAAGGGCGAACATGCATGCTGTAGGTCTTGGCTGCTCGTCTGCTGCGCCGTTGCAATTTGGCTCATCCAACCCTCCCTTCCATTGTGTAACAGACAGTGAAATTTGCCCCTGGGTGCCCTTTTCGGATGAAAGTCTCCCCAATCGAGAGCACTTTCGAAACAAAGAAGAAGAAGAAAAGTGAGGAAAAGGAGAGAGAGGGAGGAGGGTACGAATGTTATATACTAGTTAGTGCAGGGGTTTATTCTTATAGGGTACGAGAAGTAAGGGGAGCATCATGTTGATCTCCCGCGACGGCGACAGCGGCAATCTGTTTGGTAAGGATGATGGCGAAGTAGCATCTTCGGAGCCGAATCCCGCAGACCCCAGCTCACTTACACCGCTGGATCCCCAAAAGTGGTGCTACGTCGAAAGCGCGGGCTTCAACCAGATGGCGATGACCAATCATGATCTGTCCATTATCTGTCACAATAGGTAAAGCCTCGTGTTCTTCGTGGATCAGGAAGCTCTGGACACCGTTGTCATATTGTTCTGCAATATTGGGAATACAAGACAAGTAATATGTCAAGCCCAGATCTGGCTGTTGCTCATGAAGTTCGCCTATGCGAAGATGACAGCGTTGGGCAAACATGTTAAAGGGACTGGGCTTAGACATAATCAGAAGTGCTGTGGAATTCAGATGAATTTTTTTTTTCTCGCACTTAATTCGCTGTTTCCCGAATCAAATTATAATTTTGAATATGGAGGCACCAATTTTCGATATCCGCGAATCGAAGGCATCGTATGTCAACAACAAGCCCATGTTGACCTTTGGATAGAATCTATTGAGAGTTGTTCGCCTGGGTACTTGAAAGTGGAAGAAATTGTCACGGAATATTTCTGACTATAACCACACTGATTTCAGGTCAGATGAAGAGTTACAAGTATCCTATGGAGCGATGAATGAGCATACCTCATTCTTGATATATATCCCAAAGCTCTCTAGTTCTGCAATATAGGGAGAATACAATTAAATGCGGAGAAATCTGTGCGGAACGGCTTGTCTCACAAACCACTGACTTTATCAACATCAATGAAATGAATGAATGAATAGGCAGAGTCTGAAGATAAAATCCACGAGATTGTCGAATCTCACGCTACATCGCTCGCCTGGGACATTAACGCTAGATTCACGCCTCAATCATACACGAAACATTTTTCTAAGCAAACGGCTACGACTCTGTTTGGCTCCTACGCGATCGTGATTCATTAAATCAAATGGCAATTCCCATAGGATCATTCCATCGGTCCATTGCCTGTTCCTCCGCGGCCGCCAGTTTAGCAACGGGATCAAATCCGACCCTTGGCGCCTGGGGCTCTTGTAATGAATGCCAAGGCAACGAGGCAGATGCCCGGCAGAAGAGTACAATGCTTTCACTGTGAATAACTTTGGACTGAGAAACAATCAACGGGAAAATAACACATGTCCTTTGCATATCTTGCATCGTTTCATTGGATGACTATTCCATCAACTCATTGAGCTTTTTTGTCTATATATGATAGTACATTTGAGAAAGGATTATATGAAAGGGAATGCGAGCAGTGTGTGTAAAGCGAAGAATATAATACATTGAAAGCCTTTAAGCCGTGTTTAGAGCGATATCATAGCTCTGTATTACATTACTGGTCGCTATGAAGCGTAAAGATAGTAATAGAGCATGGGGTCCGACTTTATTCGAGTAAATTAACCATCAAGGTAATACCTAACCTGCGCTCTTTGGAAACCTTTGTAACATTTTGCTCTTCTTTCGATGGCGATAATTTGGCTGGAAAAGTCGACCTTGCAACAGGGCCATAGCTAGGATACCAAAAATCATTACTGTTATACGCTTACTCTGACTTGAGTCAGGAGTTTCAGAATTACGGCCCCTCTGTTTATTAGTTCTGTCGGCATAATGCTCCTGATAGAACTTGTTTAATTACATATATATCAATGAAATGGAAACCCAGACTAAGATCAAGACAACGACACTCATGAACACAAGCCCGAAAACCTTCTCGCTGTCGGATACTTGGCGCGTCGCGTCCCTGTCACCTTCCGTTTGCCACATAGCCCAACTTGCTTGTTGCATTTGCAGTTGCAAAGTCAAAGCCGTTTGCTGGTCTGCTGCCTGTAAAGCGGACTGAATAGCCAGATCATTGGCAGGCCCCAAAATGACGGTCTATGGGCATTAGCGCTCATACAGAGAAGATAAAGATCGAAGCGTACAGATTCGTCCATGCCGTATCAATGCAACCCTAAGGAGAAGAAGCCTTCAAATATGAAGGCGGTTGGGCTCTTGCTAGTCGCAACACGGTTGGCCGCGGTCGTCTTGCCTCTCGAGAATCAGTTTTGAGAGAAAATATGTTTGCAGTTGAACATGTCGAATACTAATGGTGGCTTGATCATGTTATGAACTCGATTCTTTCAGGAAGCATGACCGCTTCGGCCCCAGCGAACTGATGTTGGCTGTGCACGGCGGCCTGATGATCCGGCTTACGTGTTACCAGGGTGAAGGCAGTGTCCAGGTTCGTTGTTAGATCCTTCGCCCCGGACCCGGCTTCTCAGGCTCAGGTCTGTTCATGATATTTCAGTCACGTGTCAGACGCGGCGCACAATATACAAATTCATGGCGGACGTGACTATACTCGGTAGCATCGAGGAGACAGTGCTCTCGCTTATGCTGCTAGGTGCGCTAGTGACCCACTAGATTAAGTATACATACCTCTGTAGACACGAACGCATTGAAACGGAGGGGATCTAAACGCGTCGTTTGGATGCAAGTTCCGCAAGCACCATCACTTTTACTAATGAACATAGTATGGGTTTCCCACCTGAGTGGCCCATGGAACCAGCCAGTGATTCAGAATAAACAGTGACGGGTTAGGTCACCATCCGCAAAGCATTCCTTCCATTCTTCAACGTTGTGCGGCATGGTTAAAGTTGTAATGATTGGCAGTCCCGACAGGCTAAATGCCTAGAGAATTTATCAGAGCGTTGTAAGAGTAGAGTATACCCCGGCTGCTCATCGTTGCGCACGAATGCAAGTTGCCCGATTTCCGGAAGGGGTGCATACGAGCGCCAAGTTTCCGGGACGAGAAGCTCCTATCCTATCGGGATCGACCGCACAGGGCGCATGAGCTAGTTAACCTGTAGCGGGGCCGGGCAAGTGTTTTGCTTCCCCGGTAGCAAATACCTAATAACTACGTCAGTTTTCCGAGACTCTATCTGATCTCGATCCCCTGCCGTTGCAACGGCGAAGAGCTGTCCAGAAAGGCACGGCCATGCAGGACCATCGCAGAGTTCCATGGGGGGGCTGTGGCAGCTGGAAGGCAAGAATGAGGTTGAGGTAACCAACGGCATGACGGGCGCATGCGACAGGGCCACGCCAATTGAGGAGGGCGAATGCGGACATTAATTAGTATCGATCCAGGCGTGTGTTGTCCCGACTTGGCTGATGGAATCGGGCATTGCCATCCCATCATCGACAGCGCACTCGGGGCCTACTGGGGGCTAGACTTTGGCCGCCGGCCAATAGCGGGAGTTGCGGAGGCGCTTGCCAGTGAATCGGGTCGCGACTGGAGCTGATAACGTCAGTCCGTCGCGCAGGCTTGTGGTACAGCCAGCCTTGGCCCCGGGTGCTGGGTGCTGGGTTTCTGTCCCACCTGAGCGACTACGTAGGTGCCCGCCGGTAGTGCGAGGTCAGGTCCAGTTGCGTAGCCTTGGTCTAGTGAGTAAGAGTACGGGGAGCATGATACAACTTGGTGACTTGGTGGCGGAATTTGAACCGGTACCAAGGTTTGACTGGCTACGTCTATACTCGACCTGCGTGGGAGCTGTGACGAGCTTTTCCCTCAGCTCATCCATGGCTGTGCCGTGCCGTCAGAGGGTGGCAGCGGTGGGGAGCCCGGCCGCCCAACCCCGGCGCCTCCTTGCTGCACGTTGTGCGCCAGGCCCCAGTGGCCCCCGACGCAGACTGCAGCAGTGCAGCTCAGCCTGCGCTAGAACAACGCCAGAGGCCCGCGCTAGGCCCGAAACGCCGCAATTCCTGTTTCTTATCAATCGCGAAGATCTCCAGGCACAGGGCGCCACCTTGAAACGCTGGTTGTCGTTGCGACCCTTGCCTTTTGCCGTGGCCCTCCACCAAATCCTTGGCCCTTCCAGTTCCAGGAAACATTCTAATTCTTGGTCGCAGTCGGAGGGCTCCTTCAGCTTGATCTCAACTTCATCTTCCACCAAGGTCCGAGCCGCAGTCTGCGACTTCCCTCATTGCATACACACAGCCAGCGCGTCCCCGCGCCCTTGGAATCCTTCGTACATCTCCACCTTCTACACCAACGAACAGCCTCCGGTTGCTGTCAGACGACTCGACGTCTCTTCTCTCGTCATCGAATATACGCTTACGGATCTGGAGCCACCGAGCAGCCCAGTCGAAGCTCACCGAGACACGTCGTTCGTCTCGTTCCGCCTTTCCATCGCTATTCCAACAGCACAGTCTCATTACAGCAGTCTTATCAATACGGTAGCGTGAAACCCGTCCACGATCCGACCTCGGGACGCCTGACGGCGCAATTGCGACGCCTGACACCGCGCATATATATCCTTGACCACCACCTTATCGATTCAGCAGCACCTCGCCAAAGGAGAACGTCCTATATCTGACCACTGAGGTGCTTCAGGCCCTCCGCCGTGCCAACGCCACTGCAGTGGCATAACACCGTCATCCTCCTTCAAGATCCTCACCACAGACACCGGACACCGCAGAGATGGACTGGGCCGTGACGAATCCCGCCTCCTTCCGCGTCAACAACGCGGTGGTAGGCGAATGGGCGCCCGATATGCCCTCCTTCGTGCCTTTCATGAAGAAGCCCCATGATTCGCATCCGTCTATCGACCACCTCATATTACTCGTCTTCGAGGCTGTTATGGAAGTCGTCTGTGTTGCACTGCCGGGCTACATCATAGCAAGGATGGGTCACTTTGATGCCGAGAAGCAAAAATTTCTGGCCAACCTGAACGTCCAGATCTTCACGCCGTGCCTGATCTTTACGAAGCTCGCATCGCAGCTGAATGCCAGCAAGCTGGTTGAGCTGGCTGTCATCCCCATCATCTTCTTGGTCCAGACTTTCGTCTCGTACATTGTCTCCGTCTGCGTTGCCAGGGCTTGCCGGCTCAACAAGAGGCCGGCCAATTTTGTCACGGCCATGGCTGTGTTTGGCAATTCGAATTCGCTCCCCATCTCGCTTGTCATCTCGCTTTCACAGACCCTTAAAGGCCTCCACTGGGACCGTATCCCTGGCGACAACGACGACGAGGTTGCCGCCAGAGGTATCCTCTACCTGATGATCTTCCAGCAGTTGGGTCAGCTTGTCAGGTGGACCTGGGGATACAACGTCTTACTGGCGCCGAAGCAACACGACGACGACGGTGACGACACCAGGACGTTGGAGGAAGGCAACCGCACTGATGAAGCACCCCCAGGGGCTGGAGGAGCTCTCATACCGGGACTCGATGGCGGCCTTGTGCACGATCACGGCGATGATGGCCAAAGCTCGGACGGGTCGGATGTCTATGAGCCAGCCGGCCGCACGCCTGTTGTTGGCACGTCGAGGGCCTCACCCAACGAGTCCGAAGATGAAGAAGACTCCATGCTTATAAAGAAGCATCGCAACGGCAGTCCAAAATACACCACTGGGAGCAATGGTACTTTCGTTCTACCTGAGCCTGCATCCGGGGATGAAATTATGTCCTTCCCTCGCATGCATGATCTAGATGAGCCTGACACACCTGGCGGATTCAAGGGCTTGGCTGTACGAGCGAAGCTAGCCCTGAGGAGAGTCACCGCGACCTTGAAACATAGGACTGTCCGGGCATCCCAACGAGCTTTCCATGGCCTTCCTCTGCCAGTGCAGACATGCCTTGCAGCAACTGGCCACGGGCTTCTGCGTTTCTATAATGGACTCCGGGACTTTATGAACCCGCCGCTATGGGCCATGTTGGCTGCCATTATCGTCGCCTCGATCCCCGATCTCCAGCGTCTGTTCTTCCAGGACGGGTCTTTCATCAAGAACAGCGTAACAAGTGCAGTGTCATCCAGCGCCGGGGTTGCCGTGCCCCTGATTCTGGTCGTGCTTGGGGCGAACCTTGCCAGAAACACGCAGAACCAGGAGGTCAAGGATCTCGAAGAGGAACAGATTGGCACTCGGCTGCTTGTAGCGTCATTGGTTAGTCGTATGCTCTTGCCTACCATCATCATGGCCCCGATTCTCGCCGTCTTTGCGAAGTATGTGCCGGTCAGCATTCTCGATGATCCTATCTTCGTCATCGTATGCTTCCTTCTGAGTGGTGCTCCGAGCGCGCTTCAGCTGGCCCAAATCTGCCAGATCAACGAGGTTTACGAGACAGTCATGTCCAAGATTCTGTTCCAGAGCTACGTCGTTTGGTAAGTTCCTCCGATTGCAAAAAACGTGATTTCGTGCTGACTTTGATTCAGGATCCTCCCTTCGACGCTAATACTCGTCATGCTTGCTCTGGAAACTGTCGAATGGGCGACATAAGTTTCATTGTGTACAAAATAGGGTCAATTTTTCAGGAAAGGCGGCGTCTGTCAATACCGGATCAGGGATCATAAAACTGCGGAGCTTGTACAGTACTCGGGGAAGAGAGCTTCCTCACGGATCATAAATACCAGAGCGATAATACAGGGTCATTCATAACGATGCGAGAAAAGGCCATGGCATACCTAGGCTTCTTGTGCAGCCCGCGTCCGCTTCTAGGGCCCATGGTCTTGACTCAACTGTCCTAGTTCGGAAGTATATGTCCATGAATAGGAGCAGAGGCCAGCACGAGCACATTCAGTCCGCATACCCCTCCAACAAAGCACCTAGCTTCTGTTCCTGGGAAGCTGGACTTGCAATGTTCGATGAGAGATAGAGAAAAGTAGACTGTTCCGAGCCACAGGAAAGCATTTTTGACGTGGCCCATTTGGAAGGATGCACGCGAGCATTCGTCTGGGCAATCGTTATGGTCAGACATCAAAGTCATGTGTAGACAGTTAAGACGCACGACAAAAACGGTTAACAATGATCTTAAATGCCTCGGCTCAGACAAAAGAGAACAACATCTGCAAATGCAGGTCACGCAGACAGATGCCATGGAAACCCCATGGCTTACTCCAAATTGGTAATTCTTGGTGTGAACTCCCTAACGCGATTGGATTGGGATGCGAGGTGCGCAGGACTAGCACAGCTCGTCTGCGGGGTTGGAACCAATTGCCGTCTGTCTCCAAAACGATGTAGGTTGGCTAGTTTGGTTCGGTTCAAATTGCACAGTCCATACCCTGCCTAGGTATTGAGATTTGTTACGGCTCTGGAAGAAGATTGAATTTAGATCGTCGATGTAGTGATGCCCGTTGGGTATACATAGGTAGATGATAGGCTCTTTATATTTGGTAAGCTTGTAACTTCACCACCCCTTCAGATCTTCGTACGCATGCTGCGTGACACTTATCAATGACAGGAAACTCTGCATAATCCATACGTAGAAAACTAACAGGATACAGCTATGATCAGATTCAGACTGACATAATGTTGACGCAAATATCCCTTAGTGCCCCAAATCTGGCTCTCGGCACTGCAGTCTTCTTGGTGCTGAGCGTGGTCTATTATCTCATTCAATACACGCGGCATGAGCTTCGCATCCGCAAAACAGGGGGCGTGAGAGCGCCCGTGCTTGCTGGAAATCCCATCACCGGTATGCCCATCACTATCTTTTGTCAAACCAGGTTGAGAATGTCTCCAATGACACCCGACGCGTAGGCACATTATGGCTCTTATACTGCGCACGCGCGCAGATGAAGCACACATTGACCGAGTACTTTGAGAGCATGTTCAGCCGCGCCAAACCATCCCATTTCGGTGACATCGTGGAGCTCCAGGTCAGGCCCGGTCAGCGGTATCTGATTACGCGGGACCCGGACCATATCAAGACCATCCTGACCTCGAAATTTACCTCGTTCGGAAAGGGTCAGCAGTTCCACGAGCTGTGGCGCCCCTTTCTTGGCGACAGCATCTTCACGACTGATGGGAGCCTTTGGCACGATTCAAGGAGCCTGATCAGGCCTATGTTCATCAAGGACCGCGTCAGCGACCTGCATACCTTCGAACGTTGGGTAGGCCAGGATGGTCTGCTGGGCAAGATTGCCGAGGGCGGTGCCGGTCCGGTAAAGGAGGTCGAGCTGATGGACCTCTTGTACCGTATGACCCTCGACGTCACCACCGACTTCCTCCTTGGAGCCGCCGTCGGCTCGCTCGATAACCCACGGGCCGAGTTTGCAGAAGCCTTCAACGAAGTCCAGAGCATTCAGACCTATTTGACCATGTTGGGGCCTCTCGAGTCCCTAATTCCCCGGCGCCGCTACCACCGTGGCATCCGCGCCATCGACCGCTTTGTCATGCCATACATCGATGCCGCGCTGGCGCTCCCGCACGACGAATTGGAAAAGCTCGAGAACTCGGACCGCGGCTTCACGTTCCTACACAGCATAGCGCGCTACACGCGCGACCCGCGGGTGCTGCGCGACCAGATCGTCGCCGTGCTGCTGGCCGGCCGCGACACCACGGCCGCGACGCTGAGCTGGGCCTTCCTCGAGCTGAGCCGGCACCCGGACGCGTTCCAGCGGCTGCGCCGTGAGGTCATCGACGCCGTCGGCCGCTCGCGCGCCCCCACGTACGACGACCTCAAGGGCATGGTGTACCTCCGCCACGTGCTCAACGAGACCCTGCGCCTCTACCCGGCTGTGCCGTACAACCTGCGCACGGCGCTCGAGGACGCGACGCTGCCGAACCCTGCGGGCGGGCCGGACGTCGGCGTCGTCGAGGGCGACACCGTCGTCTACTCGACCTTCAGCATGCAGCGGTGTCCCAGCTTGTATCCGCAGATCGACGACAGGGGCGAGCCGCTGCCCGACCCGGCCGTCTTTGCGCCTGAGCGCTGGGAGGTCTGGACACCGAGGGCCTGGAATTATGTCCCGTTCAATGGGGGGCCGAGGATCTGCGTCGGGCAAAATTTCGCTCTGACGGAGATGGCGTATTGTGGTGAGTCTCTTGTCTCCAGTTTCCTTTCCCATCTTTTTCTCTTTGTTGAGGGCGATGCAACCTTCCCTGAGTGGTGGAAAGCTGCGTTTATATGCGTTTGACAAAGAATGCTTGCTAATAAGAGGCCATGTAGTGGTGCGGATATTGCAGAAGTATGATCGTCTGGAGTATTGCGGGGACTGGGATGCGCAATACCACGAAGCGGAGATCGTTGGACGTCCTGGGAAAGGGGTGCGGGTTAGGCTATGGGAGGAGCATGTTCAGATTGCTGGCGAGGAGAAATAGTGAACTTCTCAGGCTACGGATGGCCATTATGATATTTAATCTATTCCATAATGCATGATTCAATGCCTCGGTTGGTACCCGGCTATACGTGGTGATGACAAGGAAGAAAGCTGATTGCGATATCAAAGCGAGAGAAGACCAGAGCTTCTGTATCACAAGCGGACTGCTGCCGAAGCGAGGAGTTGAAAACTGGGACCAGGACTGATGCTTGCCTCAGTGCGTCTCCGCACGCAAATGCCTGCTGAAACGGCACCGTCACTTCACCTATACTACTTGACATTCTCCTGAGATAGCTTGCCTTCATGGTGATATGCTCATTGAGAAACTATGCAATTCGTTGTATCCATTTTGAGTCCGACGCATAAGCGATACATACCAGTGAAAAGTAAAGAAATGTAGAGCCCTACTGGGTGAGTCTGAGGTGAGATATTGGAATACTAGTCCATAATGTGCAACTAGAAATGTTCAGAAAGACATTTAGCACCTAATAATTCATCCCCCATTACCAGCGAATTTGGACCTTCACTCGTACATAGGCCGTATAGTGAAGTATCCGGTTACTTGTTTGGACCGTCCTTTGCCAGAAGTCATACTACAGAACGCATCTAGAAGCGCAATTACATGTTTGAGTCAGAACTCAAAGTTCCAATAGGCATCAAGGTTGGCCTTGGTGATGCTCGGGAGCGTGGAGAGTGATACTACGCTTTGCCATTTAAGGCGTGTCTTCGAGGGCCTACCAATTGGAGCACCGAAATACCCCACACCACTAATCTATATGGGTAACGCATAGTAGATGTTCATTGGCCAATGGCTCCTACCCCCGGATTTGCGCGCTATCGGTGGTGTGCGTCGTCGGATGGCGGGTCGCGGTATGCGGCGGCGGAACTGTTCTGCCATTCGTTGCTGCTCATGATCTTCCTCTGCCGAAACCCTCGTCTGCCTTCAGCCTCAGAGCAATTATCATCAGACGTAACGATGTCCGCCATCATGACGGCGGCCATAGCCGTGACATCACTCTTGACCGGCACCCTGGCCACATGCGCAACATCACCATCCATTAATACCACAAGCGGTCTCATTATTGGACACTCGGCCGCGAACAGATCTGAGGTCACGGAGTTCTTGGGCATCCGTTACGCGAAGGCGCCGGTTGGTGACTTGCGTTTTGCTCCGCCCGAACGGTACCTCGCACCAGAGGGAACTGTGTATGAGGCGTCAAATTGGGCACCGTAAGTAACTTGTTGGTTGCTGTAGTCTAGGTATTGATGGTACTAACAGATGCATGATCCAGGGACTGCCTATCTATCAAGCCTCCTGTTAGCTCCTTTCCGAACTTCTCGGAACCGTCGGGCCTCCACGTTTGGAAAAACTTTGCTGCGCAGAACGGGAATCCATCAAGCGAGGACTGTCTCATGTTGAACATCTGGACGAAATCTCCGACTCCATCAGCCAATAAGCCGGTGCTCATTTGGTTTCATGGTGGCCGTGAGTACCCTGCCATCTTTATCCGGACTTCCCTGACTGTTGTAGGATTTACTATACCTGGCCCGCACAGCCCCTTCTATAATGGGCAGTATCTCTCGGCTGCCGAGGATGTCGTTGTGGTGACGCCGAAGTAAGTATCCTGTCACCTTGGAATAGTACTCAAAACTAGAAATCCCAGCTGACCCTAGCATTACAGCTACCGCCTTGGAATATTCGGTTTCTCAGGGGCGCCGGGCTTGCCACAAAACGCCGCCCTGCGTGACCATCGATCTGTTGTAGAGTGGACGCGAGATAATATCGCAGGCTTTGGCGGCGATCCGTCTCGCATCACCATATTCGGACAGAGTGCAGGCGGTGCATCGGTGGACTATTACTCGTTCGCATGGAAGGATGAACCTATTGTGGCAGGACTGATCTCCCACTCAGGAACCTCTCTCAGCTTCAACCCAAACTCCCAGGAGTATGCGCAGAGAATTTTCTTCAATGTTTCGCAGGCTGTTGGTTGTGGTGGACCCGATGACGACTCCGACACGGTGGTGAATTGTGTTCGTCAGGCCAACTCATCGGCAATACTGGCAGCAGCGGCAAAGGTGCCAGCACTGCCGACCATCGCCCTTGCCCAGGCTACATTTCATCCAACGGTAGATGACGAGCTAGTGTTTGGCAACTATCAGACCCTAGCAGAGAATGGATCTTTCTTTGAAACACCGTATCTACTTGGGAATGCAGACTTTGAAGCCGGATGGTACAAGCTCTCAGCCTGGGCCGCCAGGGTAAATTTGACAGAGTCGCAATGGGACCTTTACAACCAGCGTGCGTTCACCTGCCCGACAGGATCTTCGGCACAGTATCGAGTTGCACGCGGTGTACCGACTTGGAGGTACAGGTATCATGGGGATTGGGACAACCTGCGCCTCTACAACAGTACCGCGGGTCTCGGGGCCAGGGGTAGCGGTGCTTATCACGGCTCTGATGTCGAGATGGTCTTCGGCACAGGGCAAGACGTTTCGGGGGTCCCAAACTCTGCTGACGAGGATGCCGTCTCGGCATACATGATGGGTGCTTGGGCTGCTTTTGCACGAGACCCTGTGCAGGGGCTAGCTGAGTACGGTTGGCCATCATATGAGACCTCACGGGAAACTTTGGTTGAGTTGGCGCTAGAAAACAACCTACAGCCGGTGTTCGTGGATCCTCAGGTGTATGATGCTGCATGCCCTATTGTGAATGATCCATCACCCGGGCAAGGCGCGTTCTGAGGCTATCAGCGTCTCTCCTCTTCCACTAACATAGTAAAAGCTCAAGTTGATCCATTTTATACCGAGTTGACCGAAGAATATGTGTCTCCTAGTCTCATAGACAACCGTGGACTAGGAATTTCAACGTTCAAGTCCGTAGGTAGTCGCCGGTCATCGGGTGTGAGATGTCGCCTACAACCATCCCAGATCCTGTCTGGTGTGATTATTTCCGTCGTATTCCGCTCTTGACGGTACATCGCTGGGCGTAGCCATCCTTCTCTCCTTCCATCAGCAGAACTGATAGGGCGTATTGCATATCTCTTTTGGTCTAATACCCGTTTGTCTGTAATTGTTGAATTCCTTGTCAATATGGCCGTTTCAGTGCTGTAGCTGCTAATTGGAAGTGATGTAAGTTGACTTGTAATCAAAGTGTCAACCAGCGTTTTGCTCTCAGTGTCTCTTGCTTGCCGCTTTCGCCTCCAAGTCGCCCAACCTGCAGTGCGTGGAACGTTGGGGTTTGCGGAACTATATGACTCCTCTTTGAATATTCCAGGGGCCAGGCGGCGCAGTACATACATCAATGCGGGTCGCATAATCGGAAAGCATGCTGCTCGACAGTAAGTAATCTATAACCTTGTCTTGATCAGTGGAGTGTTATCTTTAACGTACCCGAAACAGTGACCATGTTCACTTCCACAATGGCCCATATGACGATGTCTGCGATATTCCATGTGAAATCTAACGATGATGGATCATATGTCGCAGCGGTTGCAATGATGGCAATTGCAGCTGTACAAGTACTTTTGAGGTCAATTTTTTGGATATCTTAGGTAATGGAATTGTGCTTACAAAATGCCAGCCATGAACAAAAGCATTACGCCGATCATTTCCAATCTGCGAAGCCTTAACTTCCGTATTTCTACAATGGGCAAGGTCAGAAGCAATATATCCATGACTAAATGGACTGAGAGAGTTCCCAAAAAGAAGCTTCTATCAGGAATAGCACAGAATGCCCCAGGTAGTTCCACTTCCCAGAAAGCCTGTACAGGGACACAGTGGAATATGTTCATGAAAATCTGCGGACGATTTAGTGCTGTATCACTCAATATACGTAACAAAGAACTTGCTCTTATCGCCAGCCAGATAACAGTTACGGCCATCAGGATTTGGACAGGAACACGGATATTAGTAATGCTAAAGAGTCTCCCTAACGATATCGATCAGCTACTATCAGGCGGTTCCATGGATGGTTCAACATACAGTAAAGGCAAAGTATGGACATGGTTGCAAAGAATATCGCAAATGTATAGACGAACTCTCCAGCAAAAAGGAAGATTAGGGACGTCTTGATCGTTTGCTCTAATGAAAGCCATTTGATGTCTTCAATATGTATACCAAGGCCCCTTTCGATCCCTGTTGCGTGACAAGTCAGTAGAAGATACCAAGCTGTATTACCAAGATATCAGTGGCCATACAAAATGGACACGCAATGAGCCACATGAATGAGACGGCCTGAGATAGGTCAGAGAGATGTCTTGCGTTGTAAAGGTACAAAGAAACATACATAACTACTTATGGCAAAGTAGTCATCCCACCAAAGGCGTGTGCTTTTCAAGTATCGACTAAAAAGTCGTAGCCCAAGGCACATAGTTGCTAAAGCGAACGTGATGAACAATACGGCCCAGACGGCACCTTGCTTTGACTGTCCCATGGCAACGAGGAATTCGTCGGTTCAATTGATTTGGGCTCTTGGCAACGTTATGGGGACAAGTCTTGACTTCAGTCAGCTAGAATTTGGTTGCGAAGTCAGATGAGCCGCGGTGAAGGCGGCAGCATATGCCTTCCCAACGACAATTTGGAATTATAATGCAAGCGCGAGGATTTGACCACAAAATCCAAAAGGTTCGTCTTGCAGTCGACTGCCTTTCGCAGATTCACGAGAGAAGCCTGCTCGCGGCGGATGTCTGTCCGAGTCCAGGAACCCGACGAGTGACCAATCGAGCTGAAGTACAGAGTGCGGAGGGCCCCCCGACGCTTGAAGCCGGCGGATGTGGGCAAGGTTCAACGAACAACTTCTTGATCATGGATTGAGTTTCGGAAATTGTGAAGCTATACTGAATATGATTTGGTGTAAAGGGAAGGTTTTCTGGTGTACTTGCAACCGCCACGGCTCGAACCGCGAGCCAATTGGGCAGCACAATTGCCCTTTAGAGCCATAACTAGAGGCGCTGGCTGCTTAGGAAATCACATGCCATTGGCTAAATAAATGCGATCCGCTAGCATCTGAAGCATCTAATCGAGAATGCGCAGAAGCGGCTTGTCGGCAATGTTCATGGGAGAACTCCTGTTTGAAGGTTTTGGCCGCGACGCACGGCCGGCCGTAGCCTCATCATAGAGTACCTGAAAAAAAGAGTATCGTGACTAGTTCTGACGTACACGCGATTCTAGAACGTCTCACATGTCATCTCATATTCCGTGCTATATTGCATTGTGTCCCTGTTGTGGTTAATTCGTCTGGCTCGAACTATTGCATGATTCTTATCAGTCTGCTCTTCACGGACCAGTTCGTTGCTTGACGTCTGGGTAAGTCCGTGGCATTGTCACCTTCCACTCCAGCTTGTTGCCAAGTAAACCCATAGACTTGGGAGGCTTATGGCCGAAAGAACTACACTGAGTCGGCGTCGGTCCTCTACACCCCACTCCACATGATAGTGCTTACACTGCACAACCTTAATGGCTTAGATCAAAGATGACAGTTAGCTTATGAGCGTAGTCGTAACCCATCACAAGATTTCTTAAACCAGGTTGCACTTCAGGAAGTGATTTCAGCTTCATAATTAGCTAATAGATCCAGGGCTGTCGTTCTCGCTTTCCAGCCTTCGGGCACAGGATTAATATTTTTCACTAATGAGCTGAGAGCAGCACCTTTAGTATCATATTAGCCAACTTCGAGGACCTATTATCCTGGATTACCATTTCCAACGTCTCAACGCCCTAGTTTCCCACCACAACACCTCTTTCTTAGCAAGTGCGCACTTTGTTCTGAGGATCGGATCTATTTTGACCTACGATAGTGGAACCCGCGCTTACTAACAACCTCCCGACTTTAGAGCCCTCACCAGGCGAGTTACTCTCGAAGTAGTCCATTATTGTAGAAAAGGTGATCAATTGAAACTGGATTGCATTCGAGAGTTAGCTGCAAAAGCTGAGATCTTTACCGGAGCACCAAACCTTCAGCACAATTCCTCTACACAATGATACAAACCTGTTTATCAGTAGTGTTTATTTTTTCAATGTCCTTTTCGCTAAGCTCTGGTACCCCAGATCTTTCTTCAAAGCCGCAGGCAAAGTTAAGAACCGATTTCCTAGCAGCATCTTACGAAAACCAACTATTTATCTCTAATTGAACTGTATAGGTTGCCGGACTCGAAGGTATATCATTCTTATCATGTAAATGTCCGTAGATGAACAGGGTCCAACTTCGGTCGAATATGGTTCCGGGATAGATGTGTGTTATAATGATTCCTGGCAGTATCAAATGCGGCATAGCGATCTACTTCATTGATTCATGAAGTGAGCCACCAGGAAGGGGAAGAAGTAGAAGAAGAAGAAACCCCCTCCAACCCATTCCAGGGCCCGCTGGGGAGGGGACGATGGGGATGGAGGTTGACAGAAAACAAAAACCTGATAAGCAATGTGCTCTCTTAGTTCAACATCCTACATGTATGCGTCTCTGCAAGCAATCTCGGCACCGAAAAGTGCAAAAGGCACAACTTGCGAGGGAATTAATGTTACGGGCACACTTACATGTGCGCAGTGCCGAGCCAACCGCACATCACACTATAATCTGCTTAGAGCATATGCCGGCGAGCTTGACTATGATTGGTAAGATAGGATAATAAGTAGGTTGGGGTTGGACGGGCGCTTGCGGCTACATTCGCTTCGCGAATAGGTCCGTATGTCCATACCCGGCTAAATGTTTCAATATGCAAGCAATTTGAGATCGGACAACTGAAGATCAGCGGCTATCGGTATATAAGCACGGCTATGGCCTAAATGATAGCAGCTCCATGTATTCACATATTCGAAATCGGTTATACTGCGACTGATCAGTCTTTCCTCTGAAACTTAGCACTGGCAGAGATATTGCGTGCAAGATGTATTGGAAGGCTCTGATCGTGTCATTCCTCGCCGGCCATGGCTCTAGCCAGATGATGCCAATGTTGCGATTCAGTTGCTCGCAGCTTGTGGTCGAGCGTCTAGATCCTTTGGTAAACCCAGGCCTTATACCTTCGCCACATGTTCACCAAATCGTCGGCGGTAATTCGTTCAATGCGTCCATGGATCCAGCAACTCACGACTTACCCAAAGGCTCTTCTTGCACCAGTTGCACTTTCTCGGAAGACTTTTCCAACTACTGGACCGCGGTCTTATATTTCAGAGCACGCAATGGCACCTATAAACGCGTGCCTCAATATGCCAGCGAAGGTCTCACTGCTGACGGCGGCATTACGGTGTATTACATCCCGGCGCCCAATGCGCAGACAAACGTCACCGCCTTCAGGCCCGGCTTCCGTATGCTTGTTGGAGATGCCTTACTCCGCTCGCCAGGCACCGCACGCAAGGTATGCCACCGTTGTATGCCGGCATCAGGAGATAACAAGAACATAAACTGCGGGGCTCCAGACAGCCAAGTCTTGCCCAAAGGCTTCTGCGCCGGTGGTATTCGTTCGGTCATCACCTTTCCCACCTGTTGGGACGGTAAGAATTTGGATAGCGCCGACCACAGAAGTCATGTGGCCTATCCAAGCTCAGGATCTTCCGAGACGGCGGTAGGGGCATCGGGTAACTGCCCAGCAAGCCACCCTGTAAAGATACCTCAGGTGATGTTTGAAGTCATGTGGGACGTAAGTATGATCAATTTCTCCTCCGAGTTCCGCTGGGTATCGAAACGGCTGAGCAGAGACTGTTATGGTCTTGGATCATTTTCAATGGGATGTTCAAATGAACCTTGGGGCTGAATATATGTAATGCTCTAGACTCGACCATTCAACAAGAAGGAATTGTGGCCCGAGGATGGTTCACAGCCGTTCGTCTGGAGCACCAATGATAAGTAAGTCTCTTACCAGCACCTTGAGTCGATCCCGAAACTGATGGAAATACTCAGAGATGGATATTCTCAGCATGGTGACTACGTGTTTGGGTGGGAAGGCGATTCCCTCCAACGTGCGATGGATGCCCGTTGCAACGGCTCCGAATGCAGTACGCTGAAGTCTCAGTCTTCCGAGGAGGCTATGAAGTGTACCAAGTCACCAGTCGTCAAAGAAGATATTGATGGATGTAAGTCCTGGTTTCTGAATATGATGATTGAACCACCGGGCTGACCATCTTGTAGGGCTGGCTGACATTCCGGGCATGGCCATGGCTACTTAGCTAATGCCTTGTGACTCGGGCATATCAGTCGATCAATAGCCAAAGAGTTTGAGAACCAAGCATTCGGGTCACTGCGCTGTGTAATTAGTTGTTTGGAAAGGCGAGGGTTGCAAGCCTTCGTCTCTTCGGCCCTTCAATTAGAATAGTGATATAGACTGATCAAAAGCACCGTTGGCGCGCCGTGCGCTGTTAATGATAGTCTGTGAGCTCAGATGCGTAGCCCATTGAGTGAGTGGACTGAGGTAGAGACGAGGGAGGAAACAGTTTAAATACACCCACCCATGGATGACTTGGGCCCCAACAGTACCCTCAATAGACAGTCGACCTTTCCTGATACAGATTTGGTTAGGGCGGAGTTGGCTACAGCAACAGCATGATCCAACCATTGTTGGAAAAGACGGAAGCACCCAATTCGATCTCGTAACGACAAGACTCCCTTGGAGACAGAGTGTCTGGGCTTGGGCTTGGGCTTGGGCTTGAGCCGCATCAAGACCTATGTCGTTATTGAAGATCGCGGCACTTGGTGCCTGAGTTATAGCCAAGTGCAAAGGCAAAGGGGCCAAGAACGAATTGATCGCTACGGACCCCCCTGTCAGACCGCCAGACCTTTAGTGGGGGAGCTTGGGCCAGCGGCGCCATCGCCCCTAGATCAGATTATCTTATCGTTGACGTGGATAAGAAATATTCAACCATCGAGACTTCACTTGACCAGCGTCGACGACGTCGAAACCCAAATCAAACATGCAGCCCTCCGCACGAATAGCCCTCCGCCTGGCGTCGAGGAGGCCGCTCCTGTCGTCCTCGACCGCCGTCCTGCCTCGCCAGATCCACTCCACGCCCACCACCCCGGCCACCGTCTCCCCGATCCACGGCTCCGGTCCGCCGCCGGAGCCTCCCGTCCCAGCAGCCGACAGCGTGTCGCAGCGCCTCGCGCGACGCAAGAAGCAGGCCGCGCTCCTGAGCGCCGCCCAAGAGATCCGCGCCTCCACCAGGAACAAGTCCGGCCAGTCGCAGCCCCTGCGCAAGCGCTTCTGGAAGGATGTCTGCGTCCGCGAGGTCGACGGCGCATGGGAGGTCCACCTCGACGCCCGCCCGCTGCGCCACCCGACCACCAAGGAGATCGTCCGCCTGCCGCTGAGCAAGCCGATGCTCGCCAGCGCAATCGCGCTGGAATGGGATATGCTCATCTCGGCTCAGCAGGCGACCAAGTCGCACCTGATCCCGTTAACGAGCTTGGTATGCAGGGCAATTGACATTGCCGAGGAAGATGCGGCGCCGCCCAAGAACGACTCTTCGGTGGGCGAGACGATCAGAGCTGGCATAACGAGGACGGTGATGAGGTATCTCGAGACGGACTCGCTGCTCTGCTGGGCTCCGCCGCCGGGGAAGCATGACTTTGTGGAGGGCCAGGAGACTTTGAGAGAGAAGCAAATGAGAGCCGCAGAAGACATCGTTGGGTTCCTAAGAAGTCGAGTCTGGCCTGGCGTCGAGATCGAACCCGTCTTGGACGGTGAAAGCATCATGCCCAAGAAACAAAGCGAGGTGACGAGACAGATTGTGCAGGGCTGGGTCATGGGGCTGAGCTCTTGGGAGCTTGCCGGGCTGGAACGAGGTGTTCTGGCCGGAAAGGGCCTCCTGGGCGCGGTGCGCCTTGTCGTTGAATGGAGCGAAGGGCCTGTTGGCGCTGGAGTTGGCGATGGCGCGAGCGGAGCCGAGAGGAAGTTCGGCGTCGAAGAGGCGGCTAAGGCTGCTAGCTTGGAGGTCGACTGGCAGATAGGAAACTGGGGTGAGGTTGAGGATACCCACGATGTCGAGAAAGAAGACCTTAGACGGCAGTTAGGAAGTGTGGTACTTCTTGTTACTGGCACAGGCAAGGCATGAACTGTATCAAGAGTATAAAGTGTAGATTTATGTAAGACCAGGTATAATTGAAATTGTACAATAGAAGTACAAGGAGGTGCTCTGCCGACCCTGCAAGTGTGTGTCATCGGTCAATGACATAAATAAATCGCGAATGCCTAGCGAAACAGGCTTGCTTATTTCCTGCGATGTAATGCGTGTAGCACAAGATGTAAAGAGTTTGGTACACGTTCATTTACTTGTTCGCGCCTGGCAAGTGAATTATAGCATCAAACTACTTGATCCTGCTGCTGCAGCGGAGCTCGTGTATACCTGACGCAACTAGATGTTCAAAAAACCTCAAACACTGCACAGGTCGCATTGTGTAAACCCTTCCGGAAGTTCGTTTCAACATGATAATGAAGGAGGCTGTTCTGAATGGTTGTAGTGTAGTGGCAGGCTCTGCAAGCACCATCGTCTTGGGCAGTGTGACAGGCATAGGGAAACATCAGTAGTTGGCTTTTTAAACGAATGAGTACGAATTATAACAACCAAGCACATTCCTAAAGCTAGGATATTCCTCGACCTGCTATTGGGCCTATAATAGCCAAAAGGGTTATACGTACCTGACGACACCGTGGAGCAAAAGTGGCTGTATTTGGTCGCCTCTCCGTTTGCTATTTCAGCCCCACATGATCAGCAAATAGGGCATCCATTGGGGTTGTGTCACCAACTCTGACTTCTCAACCAGAGTTCGAGCTACGCAGATTGCACTGCATCAGTCTCTGATCCTTATGAATGCAGACCTCTAGATTCGGCGTCTAGCTTCAGCTGCGGATATGTCTTCATATGTCCCACCCCATCGACGCTCTCAGGCCGCCGGCAGCCCAGCAGGTGGTCTAGCTGGCGACGATGGCCCTCTGGGTGGCCCTTCTCCTAACCAGTCCCACTACAGCCACAGAGGCGGACGTGGGCAACGGCCTGATCGCAGAGGATATCGACGAGGACGAGGGACTGGCAGACTGTTCACCAGGGAACCACCTGTTGACGATGCAGACGTCTTTCACGCACGGGACATCACTCAACACTTTTGGTCGAAGCCAGGCTCAGAGGGGGACGAAGGCGAGAGTTTTGACCGCATCAAATCATCCACCTTTCATAGTTCAGTCGCGCAGCCTGATAAGCTGTCGTATATGCTGCTGTTCACTGGCGCGAACCCCCGATGGGCCAGCGATGGCATTGTATTCGCCAAGACTGCGTTGGGCCTTTTACCAGAATACGCAACTCAAAAAGAGAAGAGAGGCCCCTGGGATACGCCAGTGCGACGAAAGAACTCCAATACTGAGGTATCTCCCGATGCCCAAAAGGGGCTCGATGTGGAGGGATACACAGATGCGAGCACGGCTCGTAGGGTTCCAAATGAGTCTCAGGATACCTCCCCTGGAGACAAGGAGTTTTCCGTTGTCGACCATAACACCGGGGAAGCGCAAGCCTCAAGTGCAAACGACGCACCCACCGATATCCGCCAAACTGAGGGGCCCTCCTCGGAGTCAAGATCAGAAATCCCAACCAGACCGTCAGATACCAAGACCATCCCAGTGTCGGATATCGACGCGGATAAGATGCCCACGTTCCCAGGCATAGCACCGATCGACTACAACCCTGGTCCACACGCGCCGATTGCTGTCTTTGCGGAGCGCAAGCACATCACCAAGAACGTCTTCGCGTTCGCCGGTTGGTACTCGGTGACGCGCATCAGCATTCTGGCGCCGCACTCGGCCGAGCTCGTCCGCATGCAGCAGCAGAAGTGGGAGCGCCGGGACCGCTTCGGCAACATCATCCCGAGTCGGTCGCGCGAGATGGGAGCCTGGAAGACCGCCTTGAGTCAGGAGTGGGCCGTGGTAAAGTTCGAGAAGCTGGTAGATGAAGCCGCGCCGCCGGCGCCCACGATCGACAAGTGCGTGGCAGAAGGGAAGCCCGATGGGAGCGGCGAGACTCGGAGTGTTAACGAGATGTTGCAGGGGATGAGAATGACGGATGGTAATCTAAGTGGATCTGGAGAAGTGTCTCAAGCCGTGGAGCGCGACTAAACAGGGTAATAACGTATTCACAGATGTTGAGATCCACTGGAAATCGCGTTCCATTCCTTGTGAACAATGTTGCCTACAATATTGGCATTGAACATCGTTCTCCTGGCAAGATGGCTTACGCATCACCTGCTTGGATATGGATTGTGCTATAAAAATAGACCTTTCAACATACGGGCAACATATGTTCATTCAATACATTTGCGGACAAAACCGAGCAGAGGATTATCGTGCATTTCACCTGAGCAACATAAAGTATTTGATATTCCTTCTAGCTTTCCGCTCTACTTTTCCTAGAGCTCGCTCTCGGCCTTTTACCACAAGTCTCCTCTTTATAGGTGCTTGGACAGGAATTTGAGTGCCGTCTCGTAGCCACGGATATACTCCTCCTTCACCCGCGGGTCCTCCAGATCAGAGCGAGCAGCCATCCATCCGTGGATTTGATCCCCGAAGATCTCGACATGCTTGGGTCCCGTCAAGTTATCTTCGAACTTCTTGACGTCGTCAGCCGGCTCATCCTTCGAGGCCAGCAGGGCAAGTGGGATCTTGATGTTCTTGGCATCCTCGGGCGCCACCATCGCAGGGTGAGCCTCGATGCCGGCCTTGAATATGGTGTCCGAGGACGAAGTCACGAGCGAGACTACCTTGCCGCCCCAGCAAAAGCCAACGATGGCCCACTCCTTGATCTCGGGGTACTTGGAAGTGACATCCTTGATGTACCCGGGGACCTTCTCTGCCACGCTGGGAGGAGAATTCTTCTGGAAGAAGGCGCCAAGCTTCTTCTGCTTCTCCTCGGTGTCAGGGGGAAAGCTGCGAGCAGGGTTAGGGAGATGTTGCACGCATATATGTAAGCCAATGCGGCAGACTTACATCTCCATGGGGCATGGCTCGCCATTGAACCAGTCCGGTATGAACACCCTGTACTTCTGCTTCGAATCTGAGGTGCTAAGGATGTCCGCGCCCTGCAGGGTTTGAGGATAGTAGCCGAAAATATCGAAGATGGTGAGAATGCCCTTGGTAGCTTCCTTGGGCCCTGTGACGTCTGTACTGGGTAAGTATCGCAAAGGCCAACAGTCCGCAGCGTTGAACTCACAGGTCTTGAATCCGCCGAGCTCCTCATAGGTGCCTTTCGCGTCGTAGCCCTTGGAAACAACGGGCGGGATGTTACAGCAGGCCTCGGAATGGCCGTGGGAAGCAGGCATAGTAGACATCTTGGCGGCTTGTGCAAATCTTGGGTTGGTCAAGCTACGGTTCAATTGGGATGTGGATTGGTTGCAACACGTTCTCGGGCTCTGGGATTGACTTGAAGTTGCTGTCGCAGTGGAGTGTGGTTGGGCTGTGATGGAGGAAGAAGTCGGGATCGCGGACGGAGTTAAGAGTTGGCGGCGGCCTGACGCAAATGCTCTGGTCGGGACTTGCAGGTGCTTGGAGAACGACATGACGACGCTAGACAGGGCAACTAAAGTCTAATTACAGGTAGATTTACAACACAAATCGACAGAACGGCCCTCATTGCCCCAGAGAGGATTAGTTGTCATTTGTTTGTCGCCCTGATATCGGCTAGATAGCGCGGGTTCAGCTTGCAGTTCCCCGGCTCTGAGGAGGGGTAGCTTCACGTCAATGATGTGAATAGTAACTATGGCGGGGTTGCTGATGATGTCATGCATCAACTATCTTGTCTTGCGCTCTCCTATTCTAACCTGGCCCTAACAAGCAGCCACCGGGAAAGTTCATGTCCGTCAGTTAGGCCCCAAGACCTGCATCCCTCAAATAAGGACGTGTCCGCGCGTGTATTCGTCTAGGAACGTGTGCGGAGTAAGTCCCTACACCCTTTCGGATCCCGCGGGCCGGCTCGACTACAACACGTACCTACCTCCCTCTTGAATTAAGCACCTACTTGGGTCAACCACGACGAAAACTTACCTAAGAAGGCGAGTGAGCCTTTGAGGGCAATGAGATAGGGTTCCACTTTACTTGACCGAGCTAGCGAAGTTACCCGTCGACAATATTAATGAACCAAACACTCACTATCGCTTCCCTTCCGTTCGAATCCCGAACCTACTTAGATACATCCGGGACATAGTGTTCGAAAGCACTATGCTACCTTGCAGAAAATGCTGGTTACTCACCACTGCTCTGTAGAGATTGTACCGTCTTAGTAAACCATCTATCTTTGAGGCACCCAAGCAATCACTGGCCTGACCTCATATACCGCATCATGATCCAACAAAGACTGAGCGTTGTCAACGGATCCGGAGACTCTTCAGTTCAGATCTTGGAGCCGCAAGGGCTTGGGATACTACTAATTCTGTTGAATTTCATCGATGGTCGTACTTTTCTGTCTGTTCTATTCCAAATCGAATGAGTATCTCCACTCTTCATCAGTCATCTGCTCCGCATAGTGAACCGCCAACGCGACGGCGTCCCGTTCCACAGACATCTTCAGCCTGTCCACTGCTTCACCCGCTGGGAACCACTGTGCCCTCATCACCTGAGCATCTTCCTTGCCCATCAGTGTAACGTCCGACACCGTGCCCCTCTCTGGCCTTGCGGCGTACCAATAGATATGCCGCATCGCCCCCGTCGCCGGGTCAGGATACTGGCTGAAGTAGAACGTATCCTTGTTTAGCAAATTTGCAATCCCACTCTCGTTCAATCTTCTATCGTTGAGAGAGTCTCCCAGTCTTTGTCGCAGCTTCTTCGCGACGCCCTCCTGTCCGTCGTCCGGCAGCGTAAACCTAGTCCTAAACCTCAGGTAGAGAGGCCGCACGGCCACGCCGGTCTCCTCGGTGGTTTCGCGGAATGCCGCAGCGGCGAGATCTTCGTGGACATTCTTGCGGCCTTTAGGTAATTGCCACTGGAAGATGACCAGGTTAGTGCATAGAAAAGAGTAAGAGGATGATGTCTGCGACGTGTTTCGTCTCACAACTATCAGAAGGGGAACCGACTGCCTTCGTGTTTTTGTTCCAGATCAGCAGAACTCTTCGATCACCAAACGCCGCTCTATCAATCGTGACGGTGCCGCAACTGATCATCAGGGCGTGGGTGTTATACCCCTTGGACTGGCCCTCTAACACATCCCAATCATTCTGTACCCATCGTACTTGACGCTTGTGCCAAGTCCCATCGAGCAGGGTTATGGCGCGGGCCTTGATTTGCGCCAGCAGCTTTCCCGTGCCGTCGGGCCCCGAACACGGCCCGTAGTTGATGCTGTTTGCCAAGGTAATTCTCTCCGTTTCTGCGCGTGGCGATTTGGACTCCATGGGATAGCCCGTGCTTATCACCGCAGCATATTCGGTGAGGATTGCTGATTCGATTGCCATCTCGTAAGGCTGCTCTATTGGATTGTGAGGAAGTTTGAATGGCAATAGGATATGCTGCTAGCCTGGCTCGGCGACTCTGGGCGATTGCAAATGAATATATAGTCACAATCTTATGAGGTCGTGCCACGGTCTTTCGCTGACAATGTCCATCATAGCCAGTCGCTCAGCTACTGCGACCACTTGATCCAAGTCTACATTTATACTGGCCCATCATGGGTCCGCTCCTTCACCGGAGTCTGGCATGACTGCATATCGACGGGGGCTTCATACGAGATGGTCCAGTAGGCGGACTAGAAGTTCTCCTTCAAATTGGTCGTAATTCAATACTCATTCCCATGTAATAATTTTGCCTCGACGAACCCTAAGTGGTGTGTTCTCTGACCGGCCGAATTAGGTTATCCGTTGGGCCTTTGATCGGTCATATTTTGACGGTCGGGGGTTGCTTTGGCCCAATCAACAACCCTGTCCATGTGCCTTTTACACAAGGTTCACAACTGAACCGCGAAATGAGGCTTCGGGGCTGCTCGCTAGCTGGCCCATCATTCCTTCCGACCCGACGTGTTGGGTGCACATATGACCAGCCGTACTCAATCATTGCGAGGCTCTTGGGTCTAATTAGCTACTAGTACGTTATATTTGGGCGACCGGTCAACCAAACGGGTGCTGACTGCATGAATCGCACCTCTCTATGGGCGACGTGTTTAAATCTAAGACAATTACCACGGTATCGGTGAGCAATAGCTCACCGTGTTGGCTGTGTCCCCAGTAACAGGGATCCATTTGCTTCACTGCATTTGACCTGACATGACAGGAAAAGAAACAGAAGCCATGAAGAACCGAAATCACCTCCATCGTGGATCCGATCGCAATTGGTGGGATTGCATAGGCTGCATGTAAGAGTCCTACAGTATGATCAGCATGAATAAAGCGCCAAGGCGTTCAATACTGCTTAAGCCAAGAGCCAAGACAGCAAGGAACACAGGTCGCTTGTCAGGGGTTTGACGATCATTGATCCAAATCTCTGGAAACCCAGGGATAGACATCTGCCGATAAACCACGTCGCGATATCCCATCATGTTTTGTCCGATGGCTGCTACGGGAGTACAAGGTACAGCACCGCAGAAAGAAATCCTACACACGCTAATTCCTATTCAAACAAACTAGTCACAGGAGGGTTTCTTCCGAGGACACCACAGCTTATACCCAACACGAGGCTACTGTCGAAGTGATTCGGTTCGCGCAGCAATCAGTAGTCTCAAATTGCATGAGATAAGAGCGGAGCCCCGAGCGCGCTCGAGCGCATCTCAACTTAACTACCTGTCGGTTGGCTTGCCGACTTGCAGCTGGGGTACCTTAGCTTGCTAGAGTACTTAGAGGCCAAGGGTTCGCGCTATGTCCTTACACCCTCAGGTTAGCTTCGGCTACTGCACACGAGGCACACGACAAATCACGATTGCTGCCGCTTTTAAGCACACCCTTATAGGTATGTGACCAGATCCATGCTGTGAACAAGCACGTGTTGCCGGTGGAATGCGGCGTGGAGAGACACGCACAAGGATCAAGCAACCTCCTTCTGTCTCTAGCTGGACATATCCTGCATCGAGAGCATCCCTGGTCTCACGCTCGAAAGCGGACGTAATGGTCAGCAAAATCTTGGCCCGCTGAATGAACCACAACTTCAAGAAGCTCGGATCTCACCGCGACTAGGTGGGCTCACTCGGTATGTACTGATAGGTGAGCTGAAGGCCTTGGATATATCCAAACATGTTCTTCTACCGTAGTATGAAGCATCAATTCATCCAGCTTGCGCCGCATGATAGGTCGTGTTTCTGATGCAGCGTACTTTGGGTATCGTCCAATCGACAGCCATGGTATCTTGAAGCAGCTGTTCCTGGAGGAAACCCCTGATTGCCCTGCATTCGACCCCAGCAAACACGTATTACAGGCTGCAGTTGGCAAGGATCCCGACTGTTGGATCCTTCCATGCGAAAGTTCTCATGTCACCCATGATATTTCATTGGCTAGTAGTAACTATTGTCCCTGACGAACGCCTATCTTACTCTGGAGTTGTGCCACCTCTACGTTCTGCCGCTTATCATCAGTGGTCATATCGCACATCGGTTATTATATGTACCAACACGAAGAACATGGTTCGACATACCTGAACTGCCTTTCATGGTATGAAGTGCTGACGGATCCGCCCCAGGTTGGCACCGTCGGGAATAGCGGCAGAAGTACTCAAGGCCATCCTGGTGGGGCATGAGCGAGATGTGATAGTACTGTCTGCGGCTTCTGGGCAGTCATTCCAAACTGTTGTCCCGACTCCATATGACGAAGGCGGTGGTGATTCTAGCCGATCTGCACCGGCCAGTGTAAGACGTGGCCTGTTGTCGTACTTCATCCAATGAGCCCGACCAAGAGTAATGCCGAAGACCGAAACTTACACAAGAACTTACGACGGAGTGTTACGACATGGACTATGGCTGAGGATCTACAGGTAGCATAAAACGGGGTTTCCTGGTCGTATTGATCACTCTAGGCTATTTTGGGGGTGTCAATAGTTCGCTCAAAACATGATATGATTCCCTTTGATAATGAAACCAGGGATTCGTGTAAGGGGGGTCGTCTGCCCAGTCCAGCTCCGTTGGCAATACGGGAAGGAAGTCGGAGAGCCTGACGAGCGGCGGCCGCCAAATGCGATGCCCGTTCCATCCAGATAACCAAATCTGTTCACAATCCCGACCCTTGAAGGCTTCCCATTGTCTCCGCATGTTCCAATATGATGCTGATATCAATCGTCTCAAACGGCCCAAAGTCCCAGCGGAGCGCGTCATCCTTTGCTTTGGGCGTTCTGACTGCTGTGCATGTCATATAGTCCTTTCCAAGGGATCTAAGGCATATATTTGCGTCGTCGACTTTCTTCCCCTTAAACAACACCTCGTGTTCCCTGATGATTGTGTCCTGTGCGTCTCCAGCCGTTTGGACCTCGTTAAGCGCCGGCACTGGTGCTCTCAAGGATTTGAACTCGAGATCGTTCAGCCATTCGGCCAGCAAGGCCTCGCCAGTCATCTTGACGTACGCCTCGCGCAGACACCATAACGCGTAGAACTTCCTCAAATTGGCATCGATGATATGACGCGGCTGTCCTGCTAGTGAGACATCCTTCAGATCCGCAGCCTCGGAACGCCCAAAGACGTCGGCATGCATATCGACGAATGTTCCCCAGCCCTGCGTCTGGATCATTTTATGGTCCCGATCTGCGCGCTCGTTCACGCAGACGACGTCCACGCCGACGTCGACCGGGCCGAAGCCAGCGGGGTAGTCCGTCACGGCAGTCAGCGCCACGATACCCGCCTGGTGCGATACGTTGAAATAGACCGGCTGCTCCCCGGACGGGCTCAGGTAGATCGGCTTCTTGTGCGAGTCGCGCGTTAGCTTGGTCGATGCCCAGGGAATTCCCTGGGTTTTGCTAACGACGTAGTGCTTCAGTAGCTGGGACGCAAGGGACATCTTGGCGTCGCGGACAAAGTAGTACTTTAGTACGCCTGTCCGTTCTTCTGGTGTCAGGAGCGCGAGATATTGCGGCGCCTTGGAAAATGAGTTACTATCGGCATGACCAAGCCGGTGTGGGAGATAAGCCTGCTCACCACGTCCTCAAGCTGCGCAGTCTTTGTGGCCTCGGGCCACAGACTGCGCGTGTCAACGATCCATTGGATAAGTACCGGTCCTTCCGAAGCCATTTTGAGATTACGATGCTGTAATGTAAAGACGCAAAAGTGAAGCTGGGAAGATATCACTGCTACAGCGTGGATAACGCACCCAGTGCGTTGTCAGCACACGTGATAAAAGCCTCAAGACCCCGCCGAGTCCGGTGCGCCTCCGTCGAACGCTCGCGGGCGTTTGCAGTTTTGTTTGATCGTAGGGTACAGGCCAGCGGCTCTCAAGTCACAGGACTGTGTATAGCGTCAACAGTATATTGCTCAGTCACCACTTTCGGGACCCATCGTCTCTGATGGAGAGTCTGCTCTTCGGCATTTTAAGGGTCTTGCGGGGAAGTTCCGGCGAAGCTAGGCAGCCCTACGTGCGGCGCGTCCCGCCGGCGGTAGGGAGAGACAGGGGGTTTCTAGCGTCCTCAGTGAGCGCCCCCACGGCGGACTGAAATGACTGGCGCCGTACCTATCTACTACTGCGACTTTACCACTATAGATTTATTCCAACAAATGTAAGAAGATTCTATTAGTTAATCACAAGTTTCAACAAGGCTGCCAATTTTTATGTTACAAGTTCGCAATTTTTCTATAAGCTTTACGTACAAGACTTCCGCTGCTGGACCAGTTTCATACCTCCTATTTCCGTGTTGGCCCAACCATTTAGCACAGAGCCCAACCATTGACGGTTACGAATAGGCCTCTCACTAATGTCTCTGTCAAGTATTTCTGAACTCTACCAGTTCTCAAGTCAGTCTCTGTCTTTCTTTTCCTCACAGTGGACACGACGTGCTGGCGTAACACGAGACGCCGCGCCGTATCCACGAGGCTTATCATTGCTTTTGAGGGCGCAGTCCTCGTGGGCGTCCCCGGTTGTTTTACCCTTCTTCAAGGCATTATGAATTGCCTCATCAGAATGGTCGGTGCTGATTTCTTGATAGCGGCGTTTGGGGGCCTTGACGGTGGATTTGAGTGCCTTTGTGGTAGACTGGGACTTCGTCGAAGTGAGGCGGCGCTTGAGGGCACGGAGATAACGGAGCCTGTCAGAGGTCTCTGTGGGTTGTTCACCCCAACGTGCAATACGCTCTTGGCGTAGCCGAGCGACTAGGATTTCGGCATCTTCGCACATCTGAAGTGCAAGGGGTTTCTTGGGACGCCCGCCGCTGGTAAGTCCGTTTCTTATATTTTCTGCAGCGCGAGCTCGGGCGCGCTGGCACTCGGCCTTGTATAACGGACGCTCCTTGCGAGCGCGATGCAAGGCGTTTCTGCCTGATTGCACGTCGAAGAAAGGCCCGAAAGTTGCTCTGGCGTATGCCATGTCTGATTCCTCGGGGTCGTCCCAATATGGGTCCGAGTTCACGTCGTAGTTGTCGTAGTTGTACACATACTTCGTCTTTCTCGCTATATCATACATTTCCCTGATATCATCTTTCTCCTCAGCATCGATGTCATTATTTTGGTCTGGGCCGCATTCCTCCTGGATATTGCTTTTGTTAGGGTCCCCTGCTGCTTCAAATTTAGATTCTTTCTTGTTGACATCTGGAGATTGGAAGGCCCAAGGAGCAGCTAGCAGGGATTCATCGATAGTGTTCAGGTGGTTGTTGCCTTTGAGGTTGTGTTCGGTGGCGTCGGTGCAAGTAGGAGTTATCCTAGCGTGGGTTGAAGTTGCCATGTTGCGGGCCGTCGTAGCTTTAGTATAGTCCATTAGGAATAGATTAACGTAGCTAGATTTAGGCTAGCTATGGCGTGCAAGTTTGCTGCAAAGATATATCTTAATGGTTTTGGAGTTTCAATGATGATCGATAGGAAGAGATCGGAGGCCCAGGTAGTCGTTAGAGTGCTGGGGTGTTGCGATATATTGAGTTCTTGGGTGGCGGTTAGTTTCAGGATCTGTCCTGAGAATGTGATAGAGGGGATCTTCAACAGCGACGACGCTGCAGGCTTTATATATTTTTCTCGAGCCAGCAAACTCACACACATCATGCGCACATGACCCCATCAGATTAAGTAGCCACGGGACTGCAGCGTATTCCAACGTAACTCATAAAATCTAGCTTTCTGATAATTATTTTACTTTTCCTTTCTGTGTACTACGTCTATTTACGCACTTTAGTGTCCAATAAAAAAATTGAGATCCGGTGTTCGGGGCAATTTTAACGTTAGAGTTCCAAAGTCTCTCATGAACCAGAAACCCGAGCCCGATTTCGAACTCCTTCGTAGACGTCCTTCAGAGATAGGATTGCAACAACATTCGTTGAGTGCTTTCTCCCAGGCCGTAGCTCTTGTATCTTGGGCTTTACGGTCCCTGACCTGAACATTGGACTTGATGCTCAAGACTTCGAACACTATTTGAGTGATCGAATTGTTGGTGAAGAGGGAAATTTGGCAGGTCACATGGAAATTGACCCCCACGTTGGGAGCTCTGGAAGTGAAAATCTCTGACAAAACATTAGCTTATCTGGTAGAGCAGCAATATGACGATGGTATTTGCTTTAATTTGAAGGTAGATTCAACAGCTGAAAAGGTTCAACATGATATTGAAGGTACGCAACGGGACTAGGTTTCTCTGTTCTTACCATGAACCAATCCTTTTGTAGAGTGGAGGCCTCCTCTGCTAGGACTTGATAATACTCTTATATCATTCAACTGTCCAAAGACTTACTGAGTGAGCGCTCTGCCTGGAATAAGCCTGGATAATTGTCAAGGGGATTGTGAGGTCAGGTATAATCAGAAGTCCAAACGTATGGTTCAATTCAAGAAGAGACTGAATCTTGCCCCATTTCAAGGAGAAGGGACAAGATGGGGATTATATAGCGGACCCTCTTCGGTGTCTCACCGGACCTTCTGTAAACCTAATACACTGCCGTGACAATCCAATCCTAGTGGATGGCACAAAAGGATGATATACACATCCAGATGACCAGTACTTGCTGGATGAGAAATCAGGTTTGACCTAGCATTGTGTGAAACGCGTGGTACATATGGTGCCGCCTTTTTACGGGCCTCATCACGGAACTCAGGCTCAGGCTCAAATATCACTAGTCACGCATTCTGTCACAGCTATTATTACGCCATATATTCCATAATGTCGCCTCTCATGCACACTTGCCAAGATTTGGTGCGCATAAGCTCTTGAACCGGACGACATATGCGGCTGCCAAGGTGTATTGATTTTAGTTCGTGCCATGAAGTACTTGAGCTGGGGAGAGGTCTCGCCTATATCTTAATCATAGGCGAGATATATATGCAAACATATATTCTTTGCGTACTGAAGTGCGTATATTGGTACAGCAGTATCTCTATATCCAGCAGTGCAAAATTATGATCACGACCTCAGGCTTGTAGCATGATCACAATTATCAATGTTCCGTTCTTTGCTTCGGTCTGGGTCGGTACTCCTCCGTCGGAATTGTCCCTCCCCCTAGAGCACATCTCGCATGTAGTCCTCTACACTAAATGCCCCTCCAGGCCGCTCGAGTGAAGACTGCTGACCATGCTGCATCATGATCCCAAGATCAGAAAGGGATGGTTTTCATTATCGTGTGCAGCAGAAACTCTATACTTCCCTTCTTCAGCCTGCTGTGTTGACCACTTGAGTACGTAAGCATATCGGTGCATCCAGCCGATTTGTACTAGGTTGAAAGGGGGTGGGGGGGAAGCAATGCTGCGTAACTTGAGATTGTACGCAAGGGCAACAATCTCTGCAATGTAACACACTCTTTCATCACCAACACCTTGCATTCAATTCCCATTCTCTTGTGGTACTCCGTGGCAGGACCGGGTGGACGGGGCAGGCTCCAAAGCCTTGCGGAGAACAAACATAAAGCAGGCGCACTTCGTCTACCCATAGCCAGAACGCCTCATTCTTTCAAGTTCGCGAAGGTTTTCTAGCTATTTTATACATTTCTGCATTGAAAAGGCCATGGCAAGTTACACAAACGAGGAGGGAGCGATGGACTGGAATGCTCCAAGCGCTGACAAGCCATGCAAAACTTGGCACAGGGTCGTAGGCAACCTTGACAACTATGCAACACCCGTCATAGCAATCCACGGCGGCCCAGGATCGGGCCACAGCTACATGGTCGCCCTGATTGATCTTCATGAATCACGGGGAATTCCCATAGTCTTCTATGACCGGATTGGGCGCGGCCATTCTACACATCTGCCAGTGAAATTGGGCGATAAGAATTTTTGGAGGGTTGATCTTTTTGTTAAAGGCTTGACTGTCTGATTGACCACCTTCGGCTCTGAGTCAAAGGTTTCCATTTTCTTGGACAAAGTTGGGGTGGCATGTTGGCTGGGTCATATGCCGCGTTGCGTCCTCATGACCTGCAAAAGTTAGTGAAGTCTGGCTCACCTGCAAGCATGCCACTTTACAGAGAGGCGTACCAGCAGCGCCTCTCTCAACTGCCCCCAGATATACAACGGGCACTCGAAAACTGCGGTAAATAAGGAGACCACGAAAGTTTGAATACAAGGAAGCATCAAACGGTTTCATGAAACGCTTCGTCTGTCGACTGGACCCTGTGCCAGATCCGATACGGCAGGCTTGGAAAGAACCTAAAGGAGAATCCTGCTGCTTATGCGACCATGTAAGTCTAGCCCGATTCTCGTTAATGCTTAGGCATGTTTTCATCCCTGACCTCCTTGTTCTTTGCCTTGCTCCAAGAGAACTTCCAGTGCGGGACGGCGCGGAGGTAGAAAATATGACTGATATCAGTCTTACCAGGCAAGGTCATTCTGAATTCGATACAGTTGGAACCCTGAAGGATCGGGAGGGTTGGAAAACTGCAACCAAGATTGAGGCAACAGCCCTCTTGCTAAACGGAAGATATGATGAGGTGATGGACTTTGTCATAGAGCCATGGTTCAGGACCATCCCAAAGGTCAAGTGGGTGACACTAGAGAAATCGAGCCACACGTCGATGTGGGAGGAGCGAGAGCGATACATGCAGATTTGCGCCGATTTTCTATGCTATTGATAACGAATCGAGGAGACACTCCTCAGAGTAATAGTAACACTTGTCGCAAAAATCGAGACTGAATTTTCCCGCCGCAACAGTTGGTGTGATATTGCTGTTTAATGCTGTCGTGGCCTGGACTGGGTTAATGATTCAGCGGTACTACTCTGCTTTGCCGGACTACCTAGGTAGACGCCGGCCCCACATACCCCGGGCGAAGATTCATCCCCGGTCCCCGGCGAGGTCGCATGGCAATTAAAGTCTAACCCGGCCGGGGATCAACACCACCAAGGCACGATCAGTGCTCCACAGATCAACCTAGATTTCCCCAAGTACCCCAACCTCGGGAGCACCGTGCCACCCCAAAGTATCTCCGCACCAATCTCATCTGGTAAACGTTCAACCGAGTCTCTGTAGTCACTGTTGTAGACGTTACCCCATTTCCTACTCCAGAAGAATCCGTAGTTATAAATATTTGATGCGACGGCCGCGTACCTTCATATCCACCTAAGCACTTCTCGTTTTGCTCCTTTGCAACATCATTTTCTGCGACCGATACTGTCAATATGCAGGGGCTTAGGCACATGATAGGAGTTGCTCTCGCGCTCCTAGCTCCATCTGTAAAAGCATCATCCTGCAATAATAAAGGAAAATCACTCACCGTGGCGACCACAAGCGGCGAGGTATCAGGTTTCATCAACTCGACTGCTCCCCAAGTGCGCCAGTTCTTGGGCATCCCGTATGCTGAGGCACCCCTAAATTCCCTTCGGTTCCAGCCGCCGCAGCCCAAGAAGGATGCCGGCCCTATAAATGCAACATCCTATCCTCCGGCCTGCATGCAACAAATCAGTACTGCTCCGACTGTGTACTCGACTTATATGCAGCAATTTCTCATCAATGGCGGGCAATCTGAAGATTGCTTATATGTTAATGTCTACGCCCCACTCCACCCTACTGGGGCCAACTTGCCAGTATTCATCTACGTTCCAGGAGGGGGGTTCACCACTGGCGGCTCAAATTCTCTGTACAAGATCCCAGACCAGTGGATTCAACGCACACAATCTCACATTGTCGTTATTATGAACTACCGTCTCAACCTCTTTGGCTTCCCCAATGCGGAGGGCGCGCATCAGAACGTGGGCCTCTTGGATCAGAGAGCGGTGGTTGAATGGACTCGTGATAACATTGCTGCTTTTGGAGGCAACCCCGAACAGATGGTACTTTGGGGCCAATCCGCTGGTGCTGCTTCTGTTGGTCACTACGGATATACCTATCCGAACGACCTCATTGTCAAGGGTTTGATCTCTGATTCCGGTGCACCGTCGATCTTGAGCAAGACATTCGGAAACTTCACAAGCTTCAGCACCTTAGCCGGATTGGTGGGTTGTGGAGACCTTGATGCCACTGGAGAGCTTGAGTGCATGCAGAAGGTGGATGCCCAGACGCTGGAAAGCGTGTCTTCTAATCATACCAGCATCATCTCGTTCTCTCCAGTAGCAGACAACGTAACCGCCTTCTCCAACACGACAGATCGCTTGGCGAACGGTTTGGTTGCCAAAGTGGTAAGACGCATAGTCCATCACAAGATAAGACGAAACAACTAATCGCACATAGCCCTGGATCATGGGCAGTAATGCCAACGAAGGGGCAGGATTTGGCACCTTTAATGCCAGCGGCATGTCCGAGGCCCAATTTCAGATTGGTCTTTCAGCCATCACCTGTCCCGTCGTCAAAGAGATAAAGTGAGTAATGGCACTTGGCCCTAGAATCAATTTCTCAAGCTAACCTGAATGAAGAGCGCGGGAGCAATTTGGATACAGCACGTATCAGTACTTCTATTCTGGCAACTTCTCCAACATCTCTCCATTACCCTGGATAGGTGCTACACACAGCTGTATGACCTTGACACCTGGCAACTCGCCACCAAAGATCTGCTTCCATACTGATTTGACGTCTAGCTGAACTTCCGCTGCTTTTCGGAACCCACTACTTATACCGTGGAAACTCGACTGAATTTGAGTGGGAAACTAGTTATGGAATGGAAGGTGAGTAAAACTTGAGTATGAGAGATCTGCATTCATTGACCGAGTCTTGATTTAGCTTTATGGCTCTCATTTGCCTCCAATCCAGAGACTGATCCCATCGATGGCCAAGGAGTAACATGGCCGAAGTATAGGTCGAATACTAGCAGCATGGCTCAATTCGCTGCTGATGATCGATGGATTCAGTTCGTTGATGGTTCGGTCGTTAGCGACCTTTGTGACTAGTCCAGCTATTAGTACTCAGAATAATATGTCAATTGAGGAGATGGACATCCAAGTGATTGGTTCCCTCAATGTGACCTGGGAAGCAATGTGTTCATTATCTCATCACCTGGCGTGACGATTCGTCGTTTGGACGAGTGTTGCTCGACACCATAGAGGGAGGGTATTTTCAATCCTGGAAATGAGCCAGCATACCATTGGCCTCTCTCAAAATCGCGTGCTCGCAGTCTATCGGCCATCTAGTGTCTCAATGGCTCATTCTGAAAGTTATGCCATTGCATCATGGGGTCAAGGTATGAGCAATGCGGGGGTCCCATCACTACAACGCTGAGCCCCCGAGTTCATATAACTTGACAGTGAAGATGATAATTAATAAGAGATGATTGCATCTCATTTATACAGCATCATCAAACGTGAATCAGATGGCCCCTTCCATTGCGGAATTTGCCCCTGGCCTGGACGTGTTGAATGCGCGAGCCGACGCTAAGCTCTCACAAGCATTCGATTCTGCTCAGCACGCCTCGGTAAGCTTGGATCGTGTAGGACAACTTGCCTGTACTGATTTACTCAGTACAAATATCGTGACTACTTGCCGGTATACGATGAGACCACTACTTTTCCCGCAACTGAGCCGTTCGAGTTCAGTGACCGGGGTCACCTAGCAGACGCTGCCAAGCCTAATCTCCTGGACTTGAAAGACCCAAATGTTCAAGTCACAAAACTCACACCAAGAGTTGGAACGGAGTTCAGGGGAGTTCAGCTCTCTCAGTTGACTGATACCCAGAAGAACGAGCTAGCTCTCCTTATTGCAGAAAGGGGTGTCGTGGTATTTCGTGACCAAGACTTCAAAGACATCGGGGTTCAGAAACAGAAAGAATTCGGGGAATACTTCGGACGCCTCCATGTTCATGTTAGAATGGTCCTCTCTCAGTTTATTTAAGCCATACTGACATCTGCTCAGCCTGTAGGAGCCCACGTCGAAGGCGCTCTCGAGTTTCATAATATCTACTTAGGGCCTGACAACCTTTATCGGGCGCAACTGCGCTCTAGCAAGTTGAGCACAACGGGTTACCATTCTGATGTGTCCTACGAGCACCAGCCTCCAGGCATTACAATTTTGACACTTCTTGCTGTGCCTTCGACGGGAGGTGACACGGGGTGGACATCCCAAGTCGCTGCCTATGAGCGCCTATCGAAACCGATCAAGCTGCTTCTCGAGGGGCTTCGGGCAGAACACAGTGGCTTTCCTCAAGCTGACAACGCACGCAGGGATGGGAAGCATGTTCGGAGAGAGCCAGTCAAGTCTGACCACCCAATCGTGCGGGTTCATCCCGTGAGTTCAGCAATAACCCGGGTTCTTTGGTCACACTGAATCGCTAATATCTCCTAGGTTACGGGCCAGAAAGCGCTGTTCGTGAACCCGGGTTTCACCAAGAAAATCATTGGCCTTAAGGATGAAGAGTCTGACGCCATTTTGCAACTGCTCTTCAAGGTGCGTATACAGGTAGACTCAGCATGGACGCAGCTAATAGTGAGCAGCACATCTCGCAGAGCCAAGACGTTCAAGTCCGTGTCAAGTGGGAGGAGGGGACAGTGGCGCTGTGGGATAACCGGGTCACGGCTCACACTGCTATCTCGGATTACGACGTCTACAACGAGGAAGAAGGGTTGCGTCACGGCTTTCGAATCACAACCCTAGGTGAAAAGCCGGCGGGTGTGGATGGTCTGGAGACGACGTGGTGAACGGTGCGTGTTTGCACTCTGAAGCTGGTTTCTGTTCTGGGGTTTCAGTGCACGAAGGCGTTCGTGAAGTTTGGAAACGAGGTACGCGGAGTCATGTTCACGGGAAGAGGAATGGAGATTGAGCACTATCGAGACTATTAACACCGTAACATTCAGCAAAACGATTGGCTTTGTGAGAATTGCTTTCATAGGTATCTAGAGGAACTATGTTGAACCTGGTCAGTCGTAGGGTCTGGCAACCTTCAAGCGGCTCGGATCTGTGGCGGGTATGAACGACATCCTCCCGACATCCCCGCCGGGGTTGGCATCGCCTACCATAACCTTCACCATACCGAGCCGTCTTGCGCGTCTCGTACCACTGTCCGTTGAATTCGTTTCGGCACCCCAGTCTCTGAAATATGGCGAATCTCTTGTCAGACTGCTGACGAAGCCCAATATCTCCGGAGCACGACATAGAGCACGGAAAGCTATGGTAATGACAGCCGCACTCAACATGATCGTGCTAGATACGAAGTATACAACCATCCAAGGAACATTGATAACGTACACGGAGGCTATCGGAAACTGAGTGGCCGACGTAACGTTTTTTATCTTGGCCTCACTAACGTCGAAGATGTCACCGCCGATGGTTGCGGTTAGGTGTCTCGAAGCGTCGTATATCGTATTGAACATAAGAGTCCAACGGTCCGAGAACACGTCCGCTGATAGGTTGCTGATGTTGGACGCAATCCCTATAAAATTTCCCCCATTCACGAAGAATCTTGGCGGATCTTGCATGAAAAGCTCTGTGAGCGATGCCTGACCAGGGTGTCCTGATGGGTCCAACATCTCTAGTTTGTTGTACAACATAATACTGCTGAATGCGTCGGCGCGTAAATCTGGCTGCAGTGCAGCGGGCATCTGTCTGATGCCGAAGACATTACACTGCGCCCGGCTGCTAGGGCCATTCGATGCACAGGTTACGTTGACATCAACGTAGACGAGATGCTCTTTACAGTTTGTGACGAAGTAATTGCCGTCATCGGATGCTCGAGAGCCAAACATTAATGTCCGTGGTGGTTGTGGCCATTGTGTCGAAGAGTTTTCCCGTAAGAGATCGATGAAAAAAGTTGATATTCCGCCTGAGCCGCTAGGCAACAGGGTTAAGAACGCGTTAGGCTGAGATATATCCAGAGACTTATTATAGTGGAACATCATATTCTTATAGTTTGCTTCCATCCAATCAGGCATGGTTTGCTGCGTGAGTAGGTCACCGGATGTGCACTGTCGTAGTGTGAGATGATACACGGATGATACGCGAAGTGGGTTGCTTACCGAAAACTCATGGTAGTTTGTTCCCATGGTGAATGCTGTAGATCCAGTAAAGTCGAGGGGAATGCCCCGAACAACGGAACCTATGAGACTAGCCGCACCAATGGTAGTCTGTTCAGGGGGGACATCCAGCCAACGCTCAGGATCATCTGGGTCATAGCCTGGGACTCGACGGAGACTAGGCGTTCGAACATTCCCCCATGGATCCATTGATCCACGCGCTATCGCTGCGTCCATTCCTCCAAGCCGGGCAAGTATGAGCTCATAGTCATCGCTTGTACTTTTTGAGAACTGCAGTCCCGAACTCAGGTCGAACAGCGCCGAGTTGTAGATGGCGCGTATCTGGGACCTCATCGAGTTCCAACTGGACGATCCCTCTAGACCGGAACTTCCCTGCTCAGTAAAGTTGTGACTGTAGTAGTTGATTGTTCCCGTACCCGTGTCTGATCTTTGCTCGAGGTACACACTTCGAAATGAAGCCTGAGATCCTAGTGGATTGAAGGACCAAAGGGCGATAAGCAGAATTGTCGGTAACCCGAAAACTCTCATATTGAAACTGGTGACGAACGTGTTTGCCAGTGTCCGGGAGCCCATGATTTGCTCTAAAGTCTAGGTCATTCTTTAGAATCACGAAACCTGCCACTTGTGTATGGGAAACTTACACCTAAACTCAACCCTCTTTCAACTTTCCAATCAGCAAACGCTTTCAAAGTACCGCCCACAATTGCGGAGAAGATCAAAGGCCAGATCGATGGTGCTATGGTCGAAGCAAGAACGACCTTGCTTGCCCACGGAGACTCTGGCCGTTCTTGTAGTCTAATGAGACATATCCCAAGTGCTATTTCGGCAAACAGGTCAGCTACGATCAAACGAAATCCTTGATTTTTAACTCGCCGAAGAACATGATAGGAAGAAGCAGCCATAGGAGGTCTGGGATCAGATTCCACCGCGAGTTTCCCATCCATACCGTAGATCGGTCGGTTACAACGTCAGGTTGATGGGTTTTGTTCAGCATGGTTTCATCTAGCGTACTGTTAGCCGCACGACGTGTCGCTAGATGGATGGGCCAGCTACGAACCGAGAGAATCTACGTCGGGGTCGCGAACTGTCACACGATATAGACTCGACTGGGAGTTGACTGTTTTCATCTCGATCACCGATTCGTGCGAGACGCCTCGTCCAGGGCGGTCGCTCAACGATGGCACGCTCTGGTAGGTGGTAGGGGCCATACGGGGCTCGCTATCGAACGGATCGATGCTGCTTTGAAGTGGGCCATAACTCATCCCTAGCGACCTTTTCGGGCAAACCTGGATAATTCGAAGTACAATGATGCCAAATATTCAGCTAGTTACGGGCGACAACGAACTTCTTCGGCTGGGAAAAAGGAGATCCTTGTTGCGTGGAAGGCTGTGGGCTAAGTACGGCACAGTAAAGTGGGGATGCTTCTAATGCACCAGAATTAACTTGACATGGATCGCAATCTATTAACAGTCACTCTGAAACCCGTGCAGCTAGTCCCTCAGGACATAATCGGCGTTCGGTCAAAACGAGGTCTCTCTTGCTGATTGGTGCATTCCTTGCATCGAGAGATCTTTGTACATTCCCAATCCTTGGAGGTCCAGAACCGATCCTTGGTGTAAACCACGGTCAGCCCCATGCCTATGGGCTAGGACTGATGATTGACAACGTCCTTGAGATGGACACCTTGAGTCTTCTGCGCGGTTCGGACATCAGATCAGTTCTTCGTAGACTACACTGGAGAAGTTCGAGACTTTGATCAAGGATGAATATAATCCCATTTTTGTACGTTCGGTGTTACCACAGATGGTTTGGATGGTTATCAAGGGTATGCAGGGAGCGGCTACGGAAGACCTGATAATGCATAGCAGGAATGGGCTGAAGGATCGTTTGACTAATCCGCCTGCAGGTGGTGTTGCATTTTCCGAAGCACTGCTGGCCATCATCGGTCCCGTTTGCAAGACTGTTTCGGTATTCAAGGCATGCCTATACTACGCCAGGTGTACTTGTAGGGCTCCATCCATTTCCATGGTTCGTGCGACTTCCAATGCTCATCTCAACTCCCTCCTAAGCCAGCTTGGCAGCCTGGTGCCATGGAGATGGTGCTGACGCCATGGAAAGCTTTGCGGTCTGGGTACAAAGCGCCTACCAGCAACTGCCGCTGGCTCCATTGGCGGTCGTTCGATTGGGGGCCGTCTAAAAATATGCCTGCAGAAGGGGTGGAGATGTCTCTTGACCAGCCCCAACGGAGAACAAGCAGCATGGCTAGCGGCTGCCCAAAGCAAAGCTCTGTTTCTGAGTCTAATCGACAGATACCTAGCAGCCCCGCCGCTATCCAGTGGCATCTGGTGTATCGCCAGGTAGCTAGCGGAAGGATCTTACGTGAGCGGCAGTAGGCTAGCCAGGGGGTTAGATTAGTTTTGGCCCGTACCGAGCCTTATGGGCGCAGCTAGACCGGATAGGCGACACTATCGCAACTGGGGGGTTCGGCGTCGCTCAGCTCGGAGAGGTTAGGATTGACCAGAAAGTGGCCACTGGCTGGATCGCACAAAAAGATGCGATGATCCTCGCTCGTCCGTGCCCAGGTTGTTGACTATTCACCTTGCTTCTACCCTGAGTGCCTCCGGGTTTGATTTTTTTCGCCGTTTGGAAAAGCTGCTTAGACGACCAGAGCTTGATCTATCCCTTGGTAGTTAACATTTGTAGAGCGATGGAGCATCAACACGGAATACAACAAGGCGGGCAGCACTACTACCCACAGCAGGAGAAGGGCCCAGGATATGTGGACCAACACCAAGGCGCCTACTCGGGCTATCCCGATGCGCAGTATCAAAATCAACAATACCACGACCCCAACGGCACGGCGGCGGCACAGCACTACCCATCTCACGCCGGCGGCGCTGGAGCTCCGGCTCAACCGTCGGGTAGTGGCGCGAAGCGTGGTCTCCTCATCGGCCTGCTTGTAGCCGTAGTCGTGCTTTTAGCTCTCGTCATCGGGCTCGGCGCCGGACTTGGCGTCGGTTTGCGCAACGCGAAGTCGGATCTGGCGGCTGCCCAGGCGTCTCTGTACGTGAGCACTCTCTCTTGTATTGAGGTCATTCACTGACTAGACCATCAGGTCATCGACTGCTTCCGCAGCAACTTCAACGCCCGCCTCTACGGCATCATCCACACCCACCAAGACTTCTTCCTCCGCAACAGCCAGCGCAACAGCTGACAAGTTTTCATCGTGTCCTGGTGCTAACAACACGGTCTACACTTCGGACACCGACAGTAAGAAGTTCACTGTTTACTGTGGTCGTGACTACAGTGGTAAGGGCGAGGCCGATGACCTGAACAGCACCAAAGCCGAGACCATGACAACATGTATGGACACATGTGCCGGAACGGACGGGTGCGAGGGTGCTGGCTGGGGTTATATTGGTATGTGATCCCCCTGCCTCTGCTTCTATATCATTTTATTTTGCGTTACGCGGCCTTTTATTAACCCTTGATTGTCGAGCAGATGGCAGCGGGCACATGTGCTACATGAAGACCAACCTCACGAAGTTCCACAGTGCCGACTCTGGATGGGAGTTTGCGGTTCTGGACACCAGCTCATAAGTTACGCAGTTCTGGTCTCGGTGTACGTCTATTGGTTATAATACAAGCTCATATACCATATCTTAACTTCAGGTTTAAATAAAATAATTATTCAGAATCGGACTGCATATTTCCTAACTGTGATCACTATGTGTATACCCCCAATTCCCGGTGCGGTGATGCCTACCAATCTGCATTTTAGAGTGCAATGTGACTCTGCTTTCATTGCTGGGATATGATCGCGACTTCTACTACTTCCTCTTTTGCTGCCCCTTCGACTTTCACTTTCTTTGTTCAATCAACACGGCGAAAGTATATACTGACAATTGGGACTGCGGCACGGTGCGTAAAGCAGCGTAGCTTGGACAGTACGCACTGTATTATTTCTACTCGGCACCCAGGCACCCGACACCATTTCCTTCATTGCTTCAACAGCACACGTCAACCGAGGAACGTCACAAGGAAGGCACACTGGAGAACATTCACGGTGACAACCCTGTCACGAGGCCACGTCTTCGTGGCCAATTTCACCAGTTTATTAACAGCTCGCTGCGAGGTTGTAGGGCAACCCACGACCAATACGGGAGCCTTACAAAGGGAACAAGCAGCAGCCCCTTGCCGCAGATTCTGGATTGACCTGCCGCTCGTTCTCTCTCTTGTTTGTCATAACGAGTTTTCCAACGCTCCATCCATTTTCCGGAACGTTCATCAACACGGGCTTACGTTCGCCCCACTCAGTCGCCCACAGCCAGCACGATGAGTGTGCCTGCAGCAGCGCGTCTGCCCTCGCGGCCGGCCTTGCGCAGACTGATCGAGTTCTACGAAACCAAGGGACCCGACAACCGGGGTCGGCTACTGGAGGAGATCCTGAAGTGGAGCGATGAGCGCCTGGAGTTCTCGCACGACTACATCCAGACCCTGTTCCCGCTGCCCGAGGGCTCCATGTTCGCCAACGCGCCCGTCGTCGACGAGGAGACCTTCCTGTACTGGCGGCAGAGCGGCGGAGAGCTAAATGCCAACATGCGCCGCGCCCTTGAGCGTATGCTGTCATTTTACGGGTTTGCGATCGAGTGGCAGGACCACGAGAAGGGCGGGTCGACGGCGGAGGTCACAGTCAAGGCTGGTGGTGAGGCCAATCTCGCCCGCTGGGTCGTCCGTATGGATCATAACCACCTGCGTATCACACGTATCATCAGAAGCCTCCGCGTGCTGGGTCTGACCGAGGAGGCCAGAGCTTTCTATGCCGCGCTCGTCTGGACTTGCGACACGTACGGACGGATTGGCTCCTCGAGCCGTGAATTCTGGAAGCGGGCGATCGAGCTGCCCTTGCATATTGCTCCCGATGGAACGGAGGTGGAGTGGCTAGAGAAGTACAATGGGGGGGAAGACACCGCTGAGAATGATATCAAGTCAGATGGCAGCGAGTCTAGCGTGGACCAAGAGGGCAATACGGCGGCGGAATAGGAGACGAACTAGACGTGGCTAAGGACCCTCATGATCACCCTTCATCCGCCAGAAGAGCCGTGCTGCGGGCAAGGCGGACAAGGACGACGAGGTGCGGTTATCCCTTGATGCATTTCGGGATTGATACTGTCATTGTGGTATCTAGTAGCCATGGTCCAGTTATCAATATGAATGCATGAGAATGAAACAAGAAACATTGAGACCAGTTCGGACACATGTCTCCGCATAGAGCGGTGTATCCTCTCTACACGACGCTGTCTGGGTCTAATTACCGAAATCATTCTTGCCAGCACTCAAGCAGCGAAACCGGCCCGAATCAGACCACCCTCTCTATTGTGCTATACAGTAGAGGTGGAGTCTACTCTTCACATCACAAAAAAAATATTGCAGTCGACATAATGTAGGGGAATCCTATTCTAATGATTAATTCATCATATCCGGTCCTGGATGCGCAATGGTTTAACCCGACGCCAATCCTCGAGTCTGCGTCCGTGGATTTTGCCTGGAGCCAACATAGATTGAGAACAGGGCAAACCCCGTTCCAAGCCTAATGGGCGGCCATCCCTTTCCATTCAGTCAGGAGCCTCCTTGTTTTGCGTCGGCCTACATGCACATACTGCACTAAGTGAAACCCTGTCCCCTGCCCAATCATTGTAGGGCTATAGATGGATTCATCAGGCATTATTCCTTCCCCGCATCAACGAGTCAATGATCCACGGATGGTCCATCAGTATTTATTCTCCTTCCAAGGTATCATAGGCAATTGAAGTAGAAGATGCATCTCGAAGTTCAAATCTATTCCGCCCACCCGGCTTCAACCTTTACCTGAACCGAGCTCTGCAGCGTCCCATAACCTCGCCCTGGCACACAAGTTCAGCACTGAACTCGGAGCCGTCGAGAGTCAAGTAGATGTCAAAGTAAACTCTGTAGAAAGTTCCTTGAGGGGTATCCATGCGTTCAAAATCCTTCTCCAGATTCTTGCGCGAGAGATCGGAGGTCAAAGTGACAACTTCCTTTATGCCTGTATACTGTTAGTCGATACCCTCATTATAGGGGGATGGGGCACTTACGAGGATCTTTGGTGTACTCTGGGCAGACATCATCATCGCAAGCATATAGGATATCCTCGTACATGAGGGTCGCGCCGGGGGCCACCTGTCGGAAGAAGCTGACCTTGACCGGCTCTCCAATCTTGACTTTCTGGCCTTTTTGCACGAAAATTTGCCTCGTGAACTTGCATCGGTCCTTTCCGTCCAGGGAGGGTACTCGGTAAGCCTCAGGGTGGTAACCCTCCTTGAATGGTTGCAGGGTAGCCATAAGGTAGTGGCGACGAGCAACACGATGGGTAATAACACGCTCGGTGATACCAGCCGTGACAGCTCCTTTGACAATGGCGGCGACAGAGTCCATGGGCCGGACGACCTTGGACTGGAATTGCGGCGGCACGTGCAACTTGATCTGCTGGAACAGGTACTCGGAGGCACCAAAACCACCAACAACCAGAATGTTTTGCAGAGCGCGGTTCTGGGCCTGAATCGCTATAATCTGGTTCCGTACGAGCTCAAGAATTCGGTTGACAACTGGCTCAAAGCACTGGAGGATCTCCTCGTTGGTGAAGGTCATGTAGCCTTCCTCGATGCCAGCTTCTGGGAACTCGGCCTCGATACCGACATCTACCGCCCACTTTTGGCCGTTGTTACGGAAGTCAGCCTTGATGCGGTTTTCGAAATCCATGATGCACTTGGCGTAGACACGGCCTGCCGTCTTGGATCCGTCAGGAAGCTTCATTTTCCTGATCTTTGTCCTGAGGATGTTGCTGAAGTTTCTGTTCAGCGCTGTCGAACCACAAGAGTCACCAGAACCTGCAGTACATTCTGCCACGGTGAAGGGGTTTTCGTCCTCGACTTCGTATGCAATCAAATCAACGGTACCACCACCGCAATCGACAATGAGCAGGGCGTCGTGGATCTTGAGATTGAGCAGTCCAGTCTTGGCACAAAACAAAGCCGCGGCCTCAGGTTCGGAAACGAGAGTCAGTCTGTTGTCATTCTCATCCCGCAGGAAACCAGCTTGGATGGCCGCAGCTCTCGTCGCCGCCTTGCCAGCATCGTTCCAGATGGCGGGCACTGTCAGATAATACCGAATGTTGCGCTCTTCTCTGTTAAAGACTTCGCCCAAGGTCTTCTGCAGTGCCGCGCGCATTGCCTGTCTCAGCTTAAACAGGTAATCAGCAGCGACATCGATCTCGGACTTGCCCGGGGGCAAAGGCGGCAGGTTGATGGGGTCGATGTAGGTGTTCCCCGACAACATAAGTTGGAGTTTGAACCACTCGACCTTCTGGACACCGGGCTTGGGATATCCCGTGGGTGCCAGCGCATCTGCGATATCCGGGCCCCATCCTACAACCTTCTGGTATTGGTCGTAGTAGAGAACGGTGGGAATCTACAGCAATGGCAGTCAGAAATCATGATTGGAACTTGTCCAGACCGACCGCCTCCGTCCCTTACCTTTTGTTTCGTATATGAACCCGCACCAGGCCACTCCGTGATGATGTCTTCCTTCGCTTCGTTGTTGGTCGCAAAGGCGAATGCGACACCTGAGAATGTGGTACCCTACAGTAAGCGTTAGACGACCGCAAGCCCCCTCATTCAGCGGTGGTACTCACGAAGTCAATGCCCACAATCAGCTGTGCCTTACTACGGCTGTTGCCCTCAACCTCGGCGGCTGGGCGGCCGAACTGCTGTAGGGCGTTGCCTGGATTCTGAGGGGGAGCAGGCGGGGGATAGCCGGTAGCACCAGCGTACCCAGGGGGGCCGGGTTGCATGCCCGGGGGAGGAGGGCCGCCTGGCTGCATCTGCATCTGAGGAGGGTAGCCGGCGACAGGAGCACCGGTGTTGATCGGAGGAGGGCCACCGATCATCTGTGACGGCGGGGTGCGGGCGGGGCCTTGGGCAGCCTGAGGGCTCATGCGCTGACCGACGGGAGGAGCAGGACCTTGGGGATAGTTCGCAGTGTAACTCGGCGGGCGAGGTCCAGCTCCCGGGTGGTTCATCGTCGGGAGGGACTGCTGCGACGATGAGGAAGCGATGGAGGGGGCGGGCCCAGGTCGGGGGAACTGTTGCGATATTTGAGGGGGTCCTTGGCCTGGCGGCGGTGGTCCCTGTGGTGGTGGGGTTGCACTCGATTGAGGGACGTCTGGCGATGGGATACTGGCGGTGGATTTCCGTTTACCAAATCCGAGGCCTTTAAATCTCGAGTTCATAGAACTCATGTGGGATGGGGTTCTGGGGGGGAAGGGAGGGAAAAGGAAAGAAGAAGGACTTTAACAGTCAGACAGCGTGCGGGATTGGGCTTGGGCTGGGACCTTGGGCCTGCGGATTACCAGCTCGCCTGATTGTGTGTAGAACAGGCGGCGGGCTGACAAAAGCGAGGGACAAGAGGGACGAGGACGAGGGGTGGTGCGCAGACGCCAGACGGGTACGGTACGGTAAGGTTCCTTGTCAGACGGACGGCACACCAGACCCGTTTGGGCTGAGAGTGAGCAGCGAGTCCTAGCGAAAGAGAGAGTGGCAGCAGGCCCGTCGACAGGCAAGCAGGCAGTCGAAGGATGTGTGGATGTAGGCAGAGGTAGGTAGGGTAGGTACTAATTCCGACACCCCTCCCAAGACGGACGTGCAGCGGTATGATGCACAGCAAAAGCGCAGTGCAGTTGCAGCGCAGCAGTGCCAGCAGGAAATGGACGGGCGGGCGGGCGGGCAGGCGATGCTTTGTTCCTGGGCGACGGCGCGCTGCTGCTATTGCTGCTGCTACTGCTGCGAGGTAGACGAGGAATGAGACGGACGGGCCTGTAAGAAAATAGACGAAGGCGGGTGGGCCAGGACTCGATCAATCACCGGTCGTTCCCCGTCTTTGACACCCCTCTTTGATGCTTGGGGCTGATGGCGCCAAAGAGGTTCTCTGGCAGGCAGTGTAAATAAGGCTGAGATGATCCAGTGCTTGCGGAGCCCAAAAGTCCTAGACTAAGGCACGCGTTGTGGGACCGGCCAGGGCGTGGGCGATGCTTCGTGATTGGCGTCTCGAAGCGATCCGAAGAGCTCTGCTCCTTATTTTGTGGTCCTGCGTATGCGGTGAAATTCAGCTGTCCGGTATATGCCGCTGGGTTGACGGGTCGTCTGTGTCGCGACCAAGGGGATATTCAAAGACGAATGGCATCGACGCCGTGGTGAAAGAGACGGGTCTTATTGTTTGAACAATCTGGAATACCGTCGCCTATGTACGTGGCACGCATGGAAAAGTACTGTTGAGGCAGTGGCTATCAACTGCGATCTGATGTGATGAGACAAGGATCCTTGGGCTCAGGAGGCTGACAGACGCCAACCAGAAACCCCTGCGGGCCAAAATATTGTCACCCTGGGGGGGTTAAGGTTGCCGGTTTCCAACCGTTTACAGCAACTTATCCAGCGGGAAGGAAATGGGTAGGCAGGGCTCTGTCGCTGGACGCCGCCTGGAGTGTATCAACGGAGGACAGGCAATAAAGGACTTGCATTAATTGTTTGCACGAGTCCGAGTTGCTCAAGATGACACAAAGCCGAAGAGCTACGCCAGGAAGGGACGGGCTGCAATCATCGATGAAACTACTTGACAGCCACCGCACGAGGGTTGGACCAGGAATGGGATTGCAAGAATCCTCTCTTGATGGTGAATTGATGTTGCTTCAGGAGCAAGGCTCCGGAACTGGTCTTCCAATACGAGTACCACAACTAACAGATGAACTCGGCTCTCGCACAGGCACATGGATAGCATAGCGCGCTCTGGAGTAAATGAGGCAGTGGCCTGAAACCCAACCCAGGACTCCGATTGTGAATGACAGTCCTACGGGCGCCAGAGGCGTCATTGTTCTTTGTTAGCTCAGGAGCGGAGCAAGAAGGATTCTGCGCCACCTGGGCTGCCGTGATTGATGGATCCTACAGCGCATCTGCCGACGGCCTCTGGCACCCGACCATCAGCCATTGCGGCATTCGTGTGGTTTCATACGTCTTCGCTCCGAGGATAACACTCAGGATGAATTGGCCCTTTCTCGTCGGAGACATTAATCTAGTTGGGATCGGACGTATAAGTCTACGATGGCCCTTATTTTAAGTTGCGGAGGAGTTCATATAGAAATCGGGCCGCTGCACCCCGAATAGCGGGGTGACAAGCTTAACATGCCTGGGTCAAGGCCATTGAACATCCCGTAGGAACCCAGCCATCAACGCTTCACCTGTGGAAATCGGCGTCGCGAGAGACCAGGGACACTCGATGCGTTCATGAGACTATACACCATTGTTGTTGACAGAGTCTGTTTCATCCCTTCGTTTGTGCACCAAGGAAGCTTGTCGTCCCTCGACTCCACGTTGTCCTCCACAGGTCCAGAGGCTGAGCTCGCTGAGCCTCCTACAGAGGCACTTGGCGCTCACAACCAGCCACAACCGAGTTTGCAGGGGAAGCGTGGGTCGCCAGGGACGATCCCTGTCGGGTGACCTGATTTTAGGACCGCTTCAGATGGAGAAGCCCAGCTCAGCCGCACTTTGGTCCCTTAGGCCCATTTTTGAAGCTTTCCGTCGAGTATGGATTGGGATGGTTGGTCATCGGTGGTTGACGACTTAGGTTTGAGGTACGGGTTATAACCAGATGAATCGTAAGATCCTCAGGCGCACACATGAGAACATCTCCCTACAGACAGAATGCTGGGAGCGTAGTAGATGAACACTGGAGCCTCAACATGTGAGCGATCAAATTTCTTCGAGCAAGCTTCTCACGTCAGCAAGCGACATACCCACACATGCCTTCAGGTGCACTCGGGGCGTTGGCCCTTCAATCCGTACTCCACCGCGACAAGCGCCTGCGCTTAGTGGTGATGGTAGGCTGTCAAGAGGGTCTGTCTGCCCCCTTCATTTCTAGCGGAGAGAAACCGTTTATTTTTGGGATCTGATGGCAAGAATCAGCTAACAGCGCTCGAACTGCTGGCGATCGTGTCTTCATAGACCAATCTAGAATTGAGTGGAGTGGGTTGGATTGGGGGCTGGCGGCGGCAAACACGTGGGTAAGTCTTGCTTCCAGAGTCGTAGTGCATACCATGCCTTGCAACCTTGATTCTGGGCGTTGTGAGATATCTACCACTCCTACCCGCCCCGCCCTTGATTTATCGCCCAAAGGATACTGGTCTGGAAGCAGAGTGGCAAGAATCCTTCAACAGGGTTGAGATCATCCAGGCTGTTGGGGAGACGAAGGGTAACCCTCGCAGATCAAGGGAGTGCTCTGTTCCAAGTTCCGTGCATCTCAAATCATGGGTACACTCTACGTTGGCCGATTGTGGTCGATCTATGGGTGATAGTCGTCGTCCTTGACCTCGAGACAAATGTCCCTTGCTGCCTGCAGCTCAAAAATGCCATGCAGTGGGAAGCGATTCCCGGGATGTTAGGAACCTTCGGCCCGGGGGCAGGGTTCCAACGGGATAACCCGACATCCCCCTGATCGGGTCTGAAACAATTGAGTTCTCGAGTCCAAGTTCCAACATGTTATAATGCAATCTGGTGTGCTTGGCAACCTAGGTCAAGCCAAGTACGAGGCTCTCCAGTGTTAGACAGTATTCGCGCCAAGTCAACCGGCATACTCGGATGAAAGCATTCGCATTTCTCTATTTAGGACATACATTATCTGTATTACTGTTTGAAACTATGTTTGTTACCAAAAAGGCCAAACCCACCCCCCAACCCGGGAGGGCGTAAGAGCTTCAAGTACCCAGTTCAAACCCGATATTGGTATAGGTCATATCTATCTCACCGCTTCCCTTGTCAGATCACTGACATGTCCTTCTTGACAAAGACGCAGATTTGCCTCTGGCACTCGATGCCTCTCATATGCATGCCAATAGTGTGCTTGGCCCCGTCTGCTTGAAACATGTCGTCCATCAACTCGTAGATGTACTTGGCCATGGTCTTGATCTTGGAGTCTTTGCCCCCTGATTGGTCGCCGCCCAACCGGTCGACGTACGAAGTCTCCAGATCTTCGACGAAGTACATGCCACCGGGCTTGATAATCTTCCACAGCATCTCAAGTAAGGTCATCTGCTGGGACATCCTGTGTCCGCCGCCGTCGATAACAAGGTCAAACTCCCCGCCGGTCTCGTCGATGAACGTATGTAGAAAGCTCTTATCTGCCAAGCCCCCTACGTAGATTTTTGCACCAGTTGTTTTGGCCGCCCACTTTCTGGCACACTCAGCATCAGATTCCTGTATTCGAAAATGTTAGCGATTCGTAGTCGAGCAGATATAAGTATGTCCGGTTGAATATAGCGGGGTTTCGTTAGATGTCCACTAAATGTATAACGGTATAGATTCCACACCGGAAAAGCCAGCCTCTCGAGTACTTACGATATAGTACAGCTCAACGTGAGAAAAGTATTCGAGCCAGGTATAATACGATGCTCCAGGGCCGTCGGCCTTCACAAGTGTGTATATGTGAGTGACTAGTCCGACAGGCACAAAACCACAACAGCTCACAATACTCACCATGTCACAGCCCAACCCAATCTCAAGCATCTTGACTCTTTGATTCCTGATTGGGGGTAGGTACTTGTCATACAAGAACCAGTAATTGCGCTCTTTCACTTTGTCGGTGCCGTATTTGTCGCCAATATCATGGAAACTGGCGGGACCGTCAGAACTGCTACCTCCATTAGTCAAATTTCCTCTTTAAAATGGAAGGTCCGAACTTGTTACCCAGTCGATGGTGGTGTCAAAGCAGTAGGTGGTCCCTTGAGTGAAGAGGATAAAGGGGGTGTCGCTAGTGCCTCTTTTCCGTTCCATGCATTCTGAATCGTGTCTCTTACTCGGTCATGTTGGTGGGCAAGGCCGAGCAAAAGTAGGATTGTTGCTACGGCAAGAACGATGTAGTGGGCGCGTTGAACTGCCATCATGCCTGATTGCGAGAAGATTCCTGAGCAAGCATTTGAAAATGATGTCCTGGCGTACATGCAGGATGGGACATCCAAACTACCCCTCTCTGTTGGTGTTCATTGCACTAGTATGTTCATGTGAGACAACCAACCTCTTTGGCTTGACGTTTTTTCTTATCAGTGATTACGGTGCCATATTGCTTATTATTCTTCAGGCACATGGCCTGGGTTCACCCGAACCTTAGATCTTGTTTCAAACAAGGACACCAGCTTTTGAGACATTTCGTCATCGTAGCCTGCCCACTCGGAAGGTACTTAAGTTTCTGGTTAATTTGAATCGGCATATACTTGAGTATAGATTGGGCAATACTTCCGCGCTGCAAAAAAAGACTTCACTAGTCGCGTTAGAAACGTGTCCTTGGCTAGAGCCGGCAAAACATGGTTCTGATAATCCAAAGTAGCAACGGTTATAGCCGCGTTGTTTGCAACCTATGTCGCTAGTAGCAGAATGAAAATCAATGAGCGGCCAACTACTCGGTCCATCCAGTTGACGTAAGGCACAGATAGGAGTAACGACCTTGAGCACCGCGCAGAAATTATTATTCAACCTTGATCTTTCATACTCTAATCGTGGATGTCAATTAGCTCCGGGTACCGCTGCTCTCCGATCTTATATATTACGCAATAAGCCCATAAGGACTCCTTAAGCCCTTAACAGGTAGCGGCGAAGGACGTCACTGTGCGCTACGTTGTTATACTCGTGCCCGTAGGCAGCAGTGCTTCATTTTCCGAACGGGGATGGCCTGTACATCGTTCCCTTGGGATGCTTCTGCTTGGCTGGTTCGTCCGACCACGCTACGGCAGTGCCAGCAGAATATTTATCATCAGTATTCTAGAGACCTGGCAGGTTACTAATTATTACAAAATAGGGCGGATGGACTAGAGCTGAAAATGGTGTTCAGTCATCATTTATGTGGCTGTATTGATAGCTGATTCTTGCTGTCTCTGGTTTCATTGGCGATATATGGAATCAGATAGTTGGATATGATGATTGCTCTTCTATATCGGTTGGCTTTCCTTGTGTTGGAGTATTATGACACATCTTGCACTAATAGATCTTCAACCATTGGATAGCAGAACGACAATATTATGAGCATAGATGGGATAGATATATCAGGACCAGATGGTAAAAAGTGAAGAGCAGGGATCATGGGGACCCTCTCCAGCCTGGATATAATCAGGCTCAGTTTCAAATAGGAATTAAGGCAGGGCTCCCCCATGACAGACGAAATATGTCTTCATCTTGTCTTGTTTGTTAATCCTGGCGATTGGTCATGCGCACTCGGCATGGAATTTCTGGACGGGTCTGCTCTACTTCCATGAGCGAAATGAGGGTTGGTTCGGCAATCGTCGAGTTACATACGCCATAAACCACATCGAGCGCGATGCTGAAGAGTGAGTTTGAACTCCTGTGCTTTTTGTCTGCCTCGGTGATGCGTTGAGGCCTACTGTTTTATCATGGTTTCGATGTAAAGCGATGGTTCTGGTGATGTGTTCTAGCTTCCTAGGACTCTCTTTACCTGGCTGGTGTTTCTGTAGTTGAACTTGGCCTAAATATAAGAAGGATGTGCACATCGGAGAACACCTCTCGGTGATGCCATATCGGCTGGCGTTGGGTAAAGGCGATATCTACAGGCATCACGTCATTCGAGGGAGTGTCACGCTACAGCTGGGAGCGCCATCAAAAGGGTGCGCGGAAAACGGACGTGAACGACACTTTACTACTCCATGCTTGGTTTCGAGGACTGACCCTAGGCCCATCATTGGCAGTACTTATACGGTTGTGTGGCTGGCTAGGCTCAATGAATGCTGCTTGATGTCCTAGTGGATCCTCTTTTAGGGTTCACCTGTGCTAATGTCTTCTGGTGTAGCAAGGGTAGGGGGCCGGCGTGAGTAGAGAAAGTGATATGGAATTCCTTTAGCTGAAGTTGCCATCTCGCAGACTGTGATCCCAAATACTGAAAGTATCCAACTTTGCACCGTCGTCGTTGTCGCGTGACCCTGCAAAAAGGCTTGATTGGACAGACCGAGCAGAACTGCTGGCATAAGTGCCTTAGACGGTTGCGGGGAGGCTGGATATGCTGCCATTGGTCGCCTGGAGGACAGCGTCCCCCGTGGGAGAAGGACTGCTTCTGATACTGTGACACATTGCAGACCGCGATTGCTAGCTCCCCACCCCCTGAACCTTCCCTGTCGATTAGCAGCTCCGGATATCCATTGACGGGCCAGAATTTTCGGTTGGTCACTGGCCAATTTCTCGGGCTGGTTTCTGCATCCATCCAAATCCTGGGTTGCACGATGGGGCTCTCCTATCTTGCATGAAGACAATCTGTTGACCATGCCCAAATCTTGCAAGCTCCTGCGCGAGTTCGACGAGCGTACACCGATGTTTCATCCTACTCGGGCGTATATGTTGCAACCAACACCCCAAACCCTGAGTGCCCGTGGTTTCGTTTCTGACCGTCCTGAACCGGTCCACACCCGTCCCCATCCCCATCGCGCGCCCAAGACGCAGCGGCCAGCCACCCCCAAAGCGGATGCACCTTCCCTCCATTCGACGAGCCCCTCACCCGACGCTGGTCCGGTGGCCAGAACACCGAGCCAATTGCAACGACATCGTGTCCTTCCCAATCCTGTTTCCCCTGCAAAATCCTTCACTCATTCTGAACATATCACCAAGGCCACTCTCTGGTGCCCGCGGTCTGCCCTCGGCTACTTGCATCACACCATCTTGTGCTTAATATACTCACTAATAATCCTCTTGGTGCCGTTTGCCGTTGCTCGCAATCCTACGGCCGAGTCCTCATCACGCGCGTGCCTGCATGATACCGCATCCTCACCCTCGACTCCTCGCTACCGTCACTGTCGCTTTTCCATTGTCCAGAGACTGCGTTCCACTGTCCACTGGGGAGCCAGTCAGGGCCACCAATTGATGCTCTCTAGCCCATAAGCCCGCGTGATCCAATCTGTCGGGTCCCCGCGTGGGAGTATAAACCTGCCTGACAGTTGCCGATCTCATCAAGAGATTGTCGGACTGTCAGATCTCACGGCAGGCTGCTAGCTTTTAGTAAGAGTCGTTGCGAGCCTCTCGTTCATGTATGGCTCCTGCGTGAACCGCTGCGCTGTGCAGGATCTCAGGAAACCGACGAGCTGTTCGATTGGACTTTTTCTATCCTGGCCCCTCTGGTGCATCTCTCTCATTCGACAGACCCGGGTAGGCCGCTTTCCGCCAGGATCTTTCGTCATTCAAGCTGTCAAACGCCCCGAACCACGAGTTGCATGTTTTCTGCATACGGCCTAGAACGACCTGCTCATCGACTTTCCACCTGCATAGGTGGGCCGATGACCTCATTGTAACTCCATAGGGGCATCTAGTCTGGAAACCCGGCCTAATTATCTCACGCACATACGGGCCGTTTCCAGCGACATCGTCGACTCTGGACCCATCCGTCACTGCCGCGAAACGTCGGCGCTCGCTGCACAAGCACACGGGGCAGTAGGTGCCCAGGAGAGACAGAGTTGTCAATCTCCCGCCTCGCAACGGCAGCCAACGCACCGCAGCAGGTGGTATCTCTGCCCAGCCGTCAAGCTGTTGTCACAATACTTCAGAGGCGCCGCTTGGCGCAAGGAGGCTCGCCCTCAGGCTTCCCTCGAAAAGGATGACCCCAACCCTAGCCCGTCCGACTTCAACATTGCTGGAGTCGAGGAAAAGGCCCGACAAGGCGACCAGGCGGTAGCACAAGGCTCCTTAAGTTTCCTCCACGTTGTATCCTTGGCCTTCCTGGCCCTGGTCTTGGTAAGTTCTGCCATGCAGGTGCACGAGTTATTTTCTGGCCTGGCCTGTCCACACTCACCATTCCCATCCACATCCTACCCCCTTGGCCCCCGTGTTTGTTCCCCGCATCCACCCGCCGTCGTCACAGGCCTTGACTAACCCCTCCATAAAGATCGCCCAACTTTTCCTCACAGACGCAAAGTTCCAGTACTCGCGTATCTTCACCACACACTCCTTTTCGCGGACTTCTCTCTCTTCCCCAGCTGCCATCATTCACGAATCCGTCTGTGAAAGCCCTCAACCATTCCCTACGGCACCACCTGTCTCGCGAGCCCGAACCATGTCTTTAGTGGAGGAGACGAAGCGCATCACGGCGCAATTCGACTACTCCGACGACAATGTCAACAAAGGTGTTGAGGAGTTCCTCCGCCAAATGAGTAAGTGGCTTGAGATTGGTGCAGGGCCTGATTTGCGACTTACGCGTTCTTCTAGACGAGGGTTTGGAGAAGGATGGCACAAGCATTTCGCAAATCCCTACCTATGTCACGGGTGTACCCAATGGCACTGAGAAGGTATACTTTATCTCGCCCACTACCCTACGGTCCGAGCTAACACCTGTTTGAGGGGTTGTACTTGGCCGTAGATCTTGGTGGCACCAACTTCCGAGTCTGCTCCATCCACCTCAACGGCGACACGACCTTCAGCCTCACCTACAGCAAGGTTGCCATTCCCAAGGAGCTTATGCTCGCCAAGACGGCACAGGAGCTCTTTGGCTTCTTGGCCAAGCAGATCGAAGAGTTTCTGAAGACTCACCACGAGGAACACTTCGAAACCCACATCCGCCGGCGGCAGACCATAAGCAGCCCAGAAGGCTACAAGGACGAGCACATTTTCCGCTTGGGCTTCACGTTCAGCTTTCCTGTCCAACAGAACGGTATCAACAAGGGTACTCTGATCAGGTGGACCAAGGGATTCGATATTCCTGACGCAATTGGCAAGGACGTCTGTGCTCTCCTCCAGGACGAGATCGACAAGCTCCACCTTCCTGTAAAGGTGGCAGCTCTGGTGAACGACACAGTCGGTACCCTTATGGCACGCTCCTACACATCGCCGGGCAAGACCAGCACCCTGCTTGGTGCTATCTTTGGTACTGGTACCAACGGAGCCTACGTCGAGAAGACCAAGAACATCAAGAAGAACGTCAGTGGAGACTACGACAAGTCCACCGGTGATATGGTGATCAACACTGAATGGGGTTCCTTTGACAACCAGCTCAACATTCTGCCAAATACATCGTATGACATTGAGTTGGACCAGAAGAGTGTCAACCCCGGCATCCAAATGTTCGAGAAACGGGTTTCTGGCATGTTCCTTGGTGAAATTGTTCGCCTCGTGATTGTGGACATGTTGAAGAACCCCGCTGTTTCTTTGTTCCGCGACGACAACTCTAGTTCCAACGACTGGAAGTCGACAACTACCATCGGCGGCGGATCGAGCGTGCTTACACAATGGGGTCTGGACAGCTCGATCATGTCCATTGCGGCAGCTGACAGCACGCCGGAGCTCTCGACACTTCGACAGGAGCTGGAGAAGCAGCTGCACATCTACTCTGCTTCTCTCGAAGACGCCAAGGCTTTCAAGGACGTTGCCTACGCCGTCGGTCGCCGCGCTGCCCGGCTCTCAGCAGTCGCGATTGGCGCTATCGTCTTGCAGAGTGGTCAACTCAAGAATGGTACAGACGATCCCATCGATATTGGTGTCGACGGGTCACTTGTTGAGCACTACCCCTACTTCAGAGACATGATCTACGAGGCTCTGCGTGCTACCAAGGGTATCGGACCAGAGGGCGCCAAGAGAATCCGTATCGGCATTGCCAAGGACGGTAGCGGCGTTGGTGCTGCACTGATTGCCTTGGTTGCTGCAGGCATGGAGAACAAGGGCGTTGCGGGGACCTTCAGTCACATCGCAAACGATGTGAAAGACAAGGTCTTGTCCGCGATCCCCGAGAAGGGAAGCTCGACGACGGTGTCCTAGAGAAACCCGTTCCGTGCTCCTCATGAGGATCCGGGTCATGGCATGGACGGTGCTATTAATGATTCATTGCATATCGATGTGGAGGCATGACATTGTTTCACGAGATGACGAGTCACTGACCCCAACGGCATCGGACGGCGTTTATGGACTTGTTTTTAACGACGGGATATCGGAATTGGTATGGAGAGGGCACATTGCATCTGATGAGAGGCGATTGCATGGAGTACATACAGTCTATACTTGTAGAATTGACAGAAAAGTTATCTCACATGATCACCTAAGAAGTTGTGTGGGCCATGTCGTGGCCCGTCCCGTGGACAACCTGCAATTGATGACAAACTATAGGTCCCATGTGCAGTTCGGGACAGTATCTGATGACCAACGTACTCTATTCTCTAGACATGCTACTTTTTTTTATTCTAGTTATCATACCTGCTCTAGCTCATGGCTGACCCTTAAGCTTGGGCTCCTTCTATGGAAGCCTTTCTCGTTACGGTATTTTGCCCTCCGAAACTCCCAAAGCTCCCAGAAAACCAGGAAGCAGAAACACAAGTGTCTTCCTCTCGTTAATATCTCTTTTGGACTTCCATATACTCCCCAGGTGGCAGCCCGTTCACACCGTCCTGTCATAACCCTCGTACTCGCATGCAACTCTGTGATGTGCCTACATTCATTATACCCGTGCTGTCGCATTCATACACTGTCCGCACGAGAATCTCGCTCTTCTTCCTTTCATTGTTGCCCTTTATTTGCCGAAAGCCGCGGCCGGGTACGAGCGATCACGCTTCTTCCGGGGGGCGGCCGAGCTACTCCGCGAGCTCGCGCCCGAGTTGGTGCCGCTGCCGGGCACGGAGAGCGTGTTGCGCGGGACGTGCATCTCGGCCGGGAGGTCGTTCCACTCGGTCTCCGGCCGCGCGTTCTGGAAGGACTGGCCGGAGCCGGAGCTCGCAGCGCGCAGAGGCGGTCTCGTAGGGCCGGGAGGCGGGGCGCCCAGAGCTGGTGACTTGGGTGGCCCTCTCACTGCTGCTGGGGGCGACGCCGCGGTGTTGGTGAACGAGACCACGGGCGGTGTGTCGATCCTGGGGTTTGCCTCGGCGCCTTCGGTTCTCGGGGCCCCGTTCATGCCCGCTGCCTCCTTCAATGCGCCGATGATACCGCCGCTGGCGATCTCCTTCCTCATGATCCAGGCGCCGGAGGGCCGCAGCTGGCGGTAGAAACCGTCGACCACGGGCTCGACCATCTTGAAGCCCCGGGCCTTGTACCACTCCATTCCCTCCTCGTTCTCGGTCCACACATGCGCGCAAACCGTCCGAGCCGCTGCCTCGCCGTCCTCCGCTGCTGCTGCCAAGCTGCACACCTCGTCCAGCATGGCGCCGGCCAAGCCTAGGCGGCGGTAGGGCTCCTGCAGGACCAGGCTCTGCAGGTAGAGGGCGTTGGGGACGACATCGCGGGCGGAGCCCGGGCGGGCCTGAAAGGAGGACTGGCGGCGGCAAACCAGGCCGCCGATGACCTGGGGCTTGGGCGGAACGGGGTCGGAGGGCGAAGGGTTGTCGGTCCACAGCAGCACGCGCGAGAAGGCGCCCGAGGCGGCCGGGTCCGTGACGGAGCTGTAGAAGCTGTCCGGGTAGCGGACCTGCAGCAGGCGCGAGGTCAGGCTGCGGAGGGCCGGGACGTGCGAGGCGTGGATGGGCGACAGGGTCACGTTGGGGTGGTGGGTGGGCTTCGGTGTTGGCAGTGGACCGGGCGACGGCGGGGTCGCCTGCGCGGGCAGCGGAGGGGCGGCCGGAGGAGGGCGAAGAGGCGAGGGCGCAGCCTCGGCGGCTCCATCCTGCTGCAGAGACTGCGGCCGCGGCTGCTGTGGCTTTCCGGGGCCGAGACCCGGGAGCTCTCGGGGCGGTGGTTGGGCGCGAGGAGGTGGTTGTCGGGAGGCCGAGGGAGGGGCGGCATACTTGGGCTGGGCGGGCTGGAAGAAGGATCGGATGGAGGACTGCTGGCCAGCGCCGGGCCCGTGGGAGGGGAGCGACATGGCGACGATGCTCTGAGCGGCCCCGAGCCAGACGGACTGGGCACCAGGTAGCTAGTTGTAGAGAAGTGTAGCCAGCAGGCGAGTGAAGGACTCGGGGAGAAATAGTCTGGAGATAGGTCCCGTCCCGTCGCGTACCCACCAAATATGCACGTCAACTATGTATAGATGTGCGGCAGGTCGGGTTACGTGCTAGGTGGCATCACCCCTGGAGCCGTGGGCCGTAGCGAGTCTAGTCCACGTTCTGGCCCAGGGTAACTTGGCCCCAAGGGCGGCATTGGCTGGGTTTCGCGTGGGGATCCCTGGACCGTCTCATTCAATGCCGCGGGCGGGAAAAGAAACGCCCCACGGGGGAGTTCCAGCTCGAGTTGAACAACAGCACTGGACCTGGCCAGTCTCGGAGGCCATTGAAGTGGAGTGTGGGTGTTCCTGTGTCAAGTGCATATGTATGGCGTTTTCCTGATCTACTCTGAATAGTTGCCATTACAGCAATTGGCTTGTTATTTCGTCCATCCGAAAGTCTTCGCCTCTAACGTCAACAACATGTTCCCTCGACCAGAGCTCCAAAGTACAGCTTCTTACCAATCTTACCGAGACGCAACCTCAAATCGTACTTTACCAAACGCTTGAATCGAGGTTGGCTTGTACTTCCTGAATGTGGTCACGGACACAACTTACAAAGCCCTTTCTTTCCTTCCCCCCCTGAGGCTGACCATTACTGCTTTCACCTGTAGAATGAGCGTTCCAGTCACGTCAGACATGTCGCATTCCCTCCTTAGCAAGTATATCTTTGCTTTGGCATGCTGTTGCCCAGACATTCACGCGGAAGTTGCTGCCATTTGGCCGCACCGCCGGCCCATTTTAGCAAGTCCTCAGTCTTGTATAACCTAAAGTCTCCGGGACATTCCTGTTCATGTAAGCTAAGATGCGGAACCCAAGTGTACGCTGAAACGGGCAGCAATATCGCCGGTGTATAAACATGTCCTTCCCGGCTCCCGAGTGTCAGCCCTCGACAGCCGTATGCTCTGCTCCTTAGCACGCAACTCCTTGACCGTCTTCGGGTATCATCATCTCGTCGTTGCCCATTTCTAACAATCACTAGGTCTGTTGAGCTGCATGCTGCCTCGTTCCTTCTGAGAACATACAAAGGCTTAGCGGTATCATCATGCTGGCTCTTGCCAAGTTGTCTGATATGGTTTGCCGTATAGAGAGGCTGTTCCTTGTCGTTCAGCTGGGATTTTGCTGCTGCTTCTGAGGTTGTACTATGGGATCCAGACTAGGAGTAGCTATAGACCATAGTCGCATTATTCATAGAGGATGTGTCACATGGCAGAGGCACAAGGGATATGAGACTTGGTACCATTTATACGATTGCAAAACTTGCTCTAGGTATCTGCTGGCTGTTATCAGCGACAGAGCGAACATCGACTCACCGGTGCTGGTAAAACGCTGCGCAGATTTCAACGAATGCCCAAGCACAACTATCGTAGCGAGGTTACCATTCAAGCCGTTATCAGCAGGCCAAATTGGCCAAATTCCCATGGAGAAGCAAACTAGAAAAGAAAAACCAGCAAGACCGACGCGTAACCAGAGCACTTGGGCCGGGTAGATCATGGGGTCCAATTGGAACAATGAAGTCGTCCGGGCCGGGATGAAGTTGAAAGTAGGTGCCGCGGGCCCACTAACTATATGGCCAGGATGTCAGCCTGCACAGGGGATACAGCCGCTAGGCCGCCCTAAGGTCAGGTACCTGTCTCTTAGGGGCGTTCCATCTTCAGTGCGGAGTGCCCCGTGAGGTACTTGTTGTATGTAGCTATGCATGCAAGCATGATTGCGGCAGCTTGATGGATGTCCCCTTCAGGAAACCCAGCAGAGTGATCATCAAAAAGCCTTACTGCATAAGTCAAAAGAACAGGCAATCCGTCAGCCTGAAAATTCTGCTGTTTCGGACGAACCCTGGATGTGCGCACCTGCCCATCCGGTATATCCTCTGAGGTGTGCAAAGAAAGAAATGATTATGGGCTTGACTGCATGCGCAAACGGTCTCACAATCGTAAGCTAGGCCATCTTGTAAGTCTAATCTCAATATCGGCTTCAATAGCCCACCGCGCCTAAGACCCGGAGGAACCATTGGCAGTAGTAGCGGAACACCAGAACAAACATCGAAAGCTTGGGGGCTGTCGGTCACAAGGCCCAAGCAGAACAATGCCCCCTTCTGGCCGCCTTACCGGCCGTCTTCCAGTGAGAGTGTACAGAGCCTTACTCTTCTGTGTTATGGGCAAGTAGGCACTTCTATAGGTTGCTCTAGTGTAGTAGGGGATCCCAAACCAACCCGCACCCGCGGACGTGCAGCACTGGCTATCAAGAGTGGAGCCGTGCCCAAAGCTCTGGGAGTTGTCACTCCCTGAAATCCGTCCTTTGTCGCCCATCTCTCTGACAGGCCGAACAAGAAGAAAAAGATTTGTACCGAGAAAAAAGTTTCTGTCACAGCCGTCGACACGATTGACGAGGCCTGCAGTCGTCGCTTTGGACATGGTCCCCGTCGACTCTCGACCTCTTGTCGCTCTCGTTTCCCCCGTCCGATCTGAAGCCGACCGTCCGCCCGGCACCAGCACCAACACGTCTCCAGGCATTACCTCCGGTTACTAACTGACTAGATCGCCCCCCAGGCGAATCCAGAAAACCTTCCCACCACTCGGCCGGCTGGCGCAGGCTCCCGGGATCCCAATTGCAAACCGCACCGCTAGACCCCCAAATCGCCCGACTTGCCATCCTTCAACGACAAGACAGACGGACGGCACTTGGCCATCACACCCACCATGTCGTCTTCGTCCTCGTCCTCGTTGGCGACCGGCAAGGCGGGCCTCATCAAGGCCGCCGATGACGCCGGCAGCATGGACAAGCTTGTAAGTGCCTCGATGGCTTCCAAACCGCCTGCATCCTTCGTCTTGGACTTGGTCCCCCGGCTGTCGCACCGTGCCTGTGATTTTGCCTTCACGTGCTTTGGGCACACGAGAAAGATCACGCGCACTCCAGTCCACGATCGCAACACCTCCATTCGATGATTGCATCATTCTGTTATTACTAGACGCCTGCCCATCACAAGCATGGGGCCGAGTTACAGAACAAGGCTGCTAACCAAACAACTCTTGCGTAGGCACATGCTGTCCTGGACGACTTATTATACAACATCGTGCATGACCTGCTGATCAAGGTACACCGGGAGGAGAAGATCGCCCGCGCCTCGACGGCTGCCATCCGCGTCGAAAAGCTGGCTGCCGACGCCTCGGATGCCTCCCTGACCGATGCGAGACCCGACGTCAAGGTCGAGACGGACGCTGCGACCTATGACGATGGCAAGGTTCTGCTCAAGGGAAACCCTCTAGTCACCACAAAAGACATTCTCTGCCCGAGATGTCACCTCCCGCGACTACTCTACCCGACCGATGGCAAAGGGGCCAGGAAGCCCGACCCGAGCATTATATACTGCAAGAAGTATCCCTACATCGATAAGCCCGGCTACGATATCTACGGCCAGACATGGGTGCCCCAGGGCCCGGGCAGAGGCAAGAAGAAGAAGGACATGGAGAAGAAGACGGACACGCCACAGGACACGCCCGGAGGTACCCCCGGCCCCGACGACGCTGGAGGCAAAGGCGGTGCGGCGTCGCGGCCGCCGAACGTGCTATCATTCCCCTCGGCAACCTGCAGCAAATGCAAGCGGTGCATTCTTGTTACGCGGCTGAATAATCACATGGGCTCCTGCATTGGCAACAGCGGACGCAATGCCAGCCGCGCCGCTGCGCAGAAGATCAGTAATGGTGCCAACGGCCATAGCGGAAGCCAGGGCGACAATACGCCGCCGAACAGTCAGAAGGGAACTCCGTTGTCGGGATCGCGAGCAAGCAGCCCCAAGAAGCGGGACAGCGAAGAGGCAAATTCCGACGACGATACCGAGAATGATACGGCCCATAAGAAGAAGAAACTGAAGCCATCGGCTGTCAACCCGCCCAAGAAGGTCATTCTCAAGACCAAGAACAGCAGTTCTGGTCTCAAGAAGGAGAAGGTCAAAGGCAACTCCCTACTGAGCGTCGAGCAGAAGATAGACGACGATGACGCCGAGGGCTCGACTGTCGAGGTAGCGCCCAAGAAGAACACGGCAAAGCAGCCCAGCCCAGCCAAGAAGCTCAAACTCGGTGTTTCCAAACCATCACTATCGTCGCCGGCGACCAAGAATGGCAAGACAAATAGCGCGAATGGTGGAGGCGGCGGCGGTGACGATGCGGCTAGCGAGAGCTCAGGCACACTGTCTTCTCCACCTGGCGCTTGATGAGAGTGACTACAGAGGGTGAAGATTACTAAATAGGCCTTTCAGCTATGGCTGCCGGCCTGTCTCGCCCATTCTGATCAGACTACAATCTCCTGGGATTGTTTCACTCTTAGCGGACGGCCTTCCACGCACGCCACACGCAGACCGGAGTGCCATTACCCATAAACGCATCGAAATACTGTACACTTGCATGGACATGGGGTTACGGTTCCTTTCCTGCCATTTCTCACTTTTGCCTTTTATTGCCTGCACATGCTTAGACGGGCAATGGTTCAGGGTATCGGGCATAGCTGTGTTTCTTCTTTTCTTGCATCTGTGGGGGAAACCGAAAAGCGGCGTTTGGTTCTGAGGGCACTTTGACACCGTCACATTCTGTATTGTATCTAGGGCCATTGCAGGGTCATGAGGAGGTGTTGTACATAGGTATAATCCGACATCCCTGGCTCTGCCACGTGTGGCGGATCGTGACATTCGAGCTTCTCCGTACCGATGCATAATTCATGCCTTTGGTGAACACATGGAACTCCGGCGTCCAGCTCACCCACTGTCGACAGCCGGCAGAACAATAATGGCTTCTGACGATCTCCTGTTCATATTATTCCTCCCACGTCCCTATGGGTATCTCCGGAAAATCTCCAACCAAATTCATTTTTTTTTCTGCCTTCAACGCCTAAACGCCTATGCTCGTCTCTTCCGGCAACATCCCAGGTTACTAGAGCCGCTGTCTATCGCCCCCCTGGCTTTCCTGTATAGCTGGTTCGGTGGGCCGTTCCTCACTCGCCGAGCCCGTCATCGGCATCGTCGCTGACCCTCGCGCGCACGACCTTGACCTCCTCGACGGGGCGGTCCTCGGCGCCCGTCCGCACCATGCCCATACGGCGCACGACGCCGAGCCCGCTGCGCACGCGCCCGAAGATGGTGTGCTTCCCGTCCAGCCACGGCGTCGGCGCCAGCGTGATGAAGAACTGCGACCCGTTGGTGTTGGGGCCGGCGTTGGCCATGGAGAGGACGCCCGCGCCCGTGTGTCTGTTCCCCCGCCAGCGTGCACCGTCAGTCTATCTATGGCGTCACACATGAAGTAAAGAACGCAAGAGTAGAGGAAAATTAGGAGGGGGGAAAGATGACGTGTTCGCGGGCATTTACTTACCGGAGGCCAGGGTGTATCTCGTCCTCGAACTTCTCGCCGTAGATGCTGCTCCCGCCGCGGCCGGTGCCCGTCGGGTCGCCCGTCTGGATCATGAAGTCGGCGATGATGCGGTGCACAGGGCAGTCGTCGTAGTAGGACCGCCGCGTCAGCTCGACAAAGTTGCGGCACGTCTTGGGCGCGTGCTCCGTGTACAGCTCCACGGTGATGGCGCCCATCGTGGTCTCCAGCGTCACGGTGGTCGACATCCTGTTGCGTATACTGTCGTTTGCGCTGGGCTGAAGTTGAAGTCTTTCCAAAGTGACGAGGAATGCAGCAATGCGGGTATCGGAGGTGAGAGGCGTCTGCGAGTACGTATATCCAGGTATATAGCGAGCTAACCCAAGAGTTCCAGCTTCAAAGTCGTATAGCGAACCCCAGCTCCAGCTGTCAGTGGGCAGCCCACGGAGGGGCTGGCGATAATTTCGGCGAGGCTCCAGGGCCGCCGTCACCGGCGATTGGCGACGGCAGGGGTCCTTGCGGGTAGCTTCAGCCACTAGCGCGGGGAGCTCGAGCTGTCTCGCTGCAAGGCTACCACCTGTGTCATCGCCGGCAATTCGCTGGGAGGACACATCACATATCAAGAAGGTCACAATGCATTGAACTCGACGGCATTTCTGCGAGACTCAATCCTTGTGTAATGAAAGTAGTGGCATTCAGTGATAGCTTAGTTCCCTGAGTTGTTTGCCGTCATAGGATACGCCTTGAACTTACGGTCTTGCTCTTCTCCCATTGCACACTTCGAGCGGGTTACTAGAACACAGCTCTGATTTTAGCGGCTGCAGGTTGAGTGAGACACCTGGATGACGGCACTCTACTCCAAGCTTGAAATTCGCGACCTTGTCAACGCATAAGAGACATCGACGCATACACCGCAACTTCTACTGGCAGCTCAACCATCATTTGCATGGCTGAGCACACCGGGACTTCAGACTGCCCGTAACCACCTTGAATCTTTGGCGGCGGACTTGCCACGCCTTCGCTTGGCCACGTTGTCATTCAACTGCTGTCAAACCCAGGTCTCAGCAACCGCGATTTCGAGCAGGATACGTGCTTGTTCTCCCAACAGAGCCCAGAGAGTGCCAATCGAGATAGAAGCGGCTTCCTGCACCCTCAGAACTGTTTTCTAGAGAAGCAACGTCGGAAAGTGGTCACCTCGGTCACTGGCGCCGTGAATTCTCTTCTACGAATACCTCATCAGTACGCACTTCACCACAACCATGGCCAACTCTACTGCAGATGCCATCCCGGCGGAAGGCCTCGCCGTCACTGGTAACCTCACCCTGATGGACTCATTCTCTCGCCTGCCTGCTACCTTGTGGGAGCAGCGGGACCTTCTCGCCCTGCAGGCAAGAATCGTCGTGGCGGCCCTGGGTTGCATCTATGTGGGCTCATTTGCCTCGCTGCGGCGACCTCCCAGTGCCAGCCCGCCTAAGAAGAAGAAGAGGGGAAAATATGGCGAGAAGGACGAAGATGACGACGACCAGTTCGTCCAGGGCCTTGTCGCCTCAGACGCCATCATGTTTCCAATCCTGGCCGGGACTGTTCTGGTGGGTCTGTACTACCTGATCAAGTGGCTGGAGGACCCGGCAATCATCAGCAAGATCATGGGCGTCTACTTCTCCGTCATGTCACTGGCAAGCATGGGCAAGCTTCTTGCCGACTTTCTCCATTTCGTCACCGGCCTGGTGTTTCCTGAGGTCTGGAAATGCAGCGATGGCATCCTTTGGCGGTTTGACGGCGCCAAGAAGTGCCAGTATCGGCTGGACGATGGAGGAGAGCGGGTATACGACAACGCCAAGATGTCTCCATTCCCCGGCACCCTATTCTCGAAATGGAGGTTCTCCGAGTCAAAGCACAACCTATTCTGGGAGTTGCGTCACCTTTACCAAGAGCAGTGGACTGTCCGGTTCGCCATGCACGGGCTTGGCAAGCACCGTATCCAGCTCAGGCTCAACGATGTTCTGGGGGCATTCATGGCCATTGGCGCCAGTATTCTCTACCAGACGACCAAGTCAAACATGCTGTCCAACATCATGGGATACGCGTTCTCTTACGTTGGCATTGTCACGCTGTCACCCACCTCTTTCGCCATCGGAAGCTCGGTGCTGTTTGGCCTGTTCTTCTACGATATCTACATGGTCTTTTACACGTAAGCCTCTTCATTCTATATTTGGGAAACAAGGAACTGACATGAAACCAGTCCATACATGGTCACTGTTGCCACCAAGCTAGACGTTCCGATCAAGCTGGTATTCGAAAGCGGGAAAAGGTCCAGCATGCTAGGCCTCGGAGACATCGTGGTCCCCGGCATGTTCATTGGATTGTGTCTTCGCTTTGACCACTTTCTTCACTACTATCGTCAGCGCCAACTTGTCCCTGTCGAGCTCCGATCTGAGGAAAAGGGAGTAGATGGAGTAGTAGATGAGGTACAAGAGACGCAGCGTATGGTCCAGAAGCCCAAGTATGTCAATCCCATGGGCCAGTGGGGAAACCGCTTCTGGGGCTCGGGTAGTGCCACTCCTGCCGTAAAAGCTGCTGCGTTCAAGAAGACATACTTCAAGGCTGCCCTGGTAGGATACTTCTTGGCCATGTTGGCCACGCTGACCATGCTCCTGGTATTCAAACACGCTCAGCCCGCCCTTCTTTACCTGGTGCCCGGCGTCGTGTCCGCTGTCTGGATTACAGGTGCAGTAAGGGGCGAGTTGCATGAGATGTGGATCTACACCGAAGATGGTACTCTGGACAAAGAGGATGTCATCGTCGAGGTGGACGGAAGCGGCAACGTTCTCAAGGTGGTTGAGGACAAGAAGGAGGAGGACGAGAGCAAGGAGGATAGCAAGACCAGTGACGCGAAGGCGGACACTGAAGCCTCAGGTGCTGTCGATCTGGCGCAAAAGGAGAAACCGCATACCTCTGAGACAAAGAAGAGCAAGAAGGCATCCTCGCGGACCGTTTTTGCGTTTACGATTGAGGCACCGCCTTCGCCTACCGAGGTTGTGGATCAGTAGTTGGCTGCAGCCACCAGATAATGCGGCTCGAGAGCAATAGACCATAGAATGAATAGAAAACGAAGCGAGTTTCTACACACCGAGTAAACAGTTTGAGCAGTACAGTGGTTCACGTTTGAATTCTTCCAAGGGATCCTCGCGGCGTCATGGTCCTGCACTCGGATGGCCTAAGTGGTCGGTACATACACCGACAGGAAGTAGGAATGACTGCTGGATGGATACGAGAAACCACTCTTCGCGAGAAGGCAATCGGCGGACTCGGTAGAACGGAACTCACCCACACTCTATATTGTGGTGTTAAACTTCTGCGAAATTACGTTTTCAGATGGGGTGCTTCAAGCTGAATCATAAACTTCATGATTATCATATTATCATATCTGTCTCGTTTTTCCTCTCATTACTGACTTCGTCAGCTTCAAGGCCAGTGATATGTGGCTTGAAGTACTCTAAAATAGGCACGGCTACACGGCCGATAAGAAAGAAATGGGAAACGAGGCGGTCAGTTCACATCGCTTGCAGCAGCTGCACGAACCCCTTCATCTCTTGCCACAGAACTAAACCCCTGGGTGCGTGAAGCCGGGCAGGTCTGGCCAGTTGCCAATGCCAGCCGGATCTCCACCCACGCGGACCCAGACGGCATGGCTCGGGGTCGGCCCGTCGAGAACGAACATTTGGAACCAGCCAGGAGGGCTGACCCTAGCATTCGGCGGTGCGGTCACCGTGCAGGACGTCCCGGTGCAGCTGACGGCAGGGAACAGTGTTCGCTGGCCCATGCTATTGCCGTGCGTCGACCCAACAGCACCAATGAGCGAGACTCTGATGTTGCCGGAAACAGCCGACGTCAACGTGAATGACACTGTCTGACCGTAGGCCCAGTCCTTGTTGTTAATGGTGAACGTCGGCTTGGATGCTCCCGAGAGGATGTAATCCGGAGAGAAGTACTCCAGACGGTGCTCCTGAGGGTTGACGTTGTCCTCTGGATCCGATCCTGAAACAAGGACCCGGCCATCGTTCATGAGAACAGCTTCCGAGTGGTATAGTCGTGATATAGTGCTGTTCGCCAGCTGGGTCATGCGCGCACCCACGGGCTTGGTAGGATCATACAACACGGCGCCGCGGTTGCCGTTTGGTGCCAAGCCGAAGCCAGCGCGGCCGTTGTATGCGCCATTCATGATGAGGTACCGGCCGTCCGGCAGACCCACCATACATGAGACTACACGTGTCGATGGCTGTGATGATTAGCTGGGTTCTGTATCATAGAGAAGCGGACCAGGGCTTACCATGCGCTCAATTACCCAATCGGCACCAGCTACATCAGGTTGAGTAGAAATGCAGTTATCGAGAGCAAAGTTGGCTCCGTCGGTGGTGCCACCGCAGATGAGAACTCCTAGAGGATCGGTATACGGTGCATGCTGGGGCAACAAGCTCAGTGTTCCTTGAAGGGGGTAGTTTCTCCCCGAGTCAGGATTGTTGACGGCACCGGGCATCCGAGGGAGAACTTTGACTGTGCTGAAGTCAACCTGCGAGATGACTCTTGCCTCATTGTACTGCGCAAAGAACATGTTCCCGGAAGGAAGCACAGCAGCGAAGGGGTAAGAGTTGACCTTGATGGTCGTCTGGTTGAGATAGCTTAGGTATGTCGATTGGGTGACACCGGCAGGTTTAGGCAACACTTCAGCAGTAGGAACCATGGGGCCATCCGACCCATCTTCGCCACCGATGATGAAGATACTTCCGTTGGAAAGAGTGCAGGCCGTGGGGTACCAGCGCGGGTCCATCAGTCTGAGAGCATTGACATCTTCCTCCCACTGTGTTGAGCCTTGAGTGCCAAGGGGAGCGTCCGGGGTGTACAGACGGACACCATGGAGATCTTCTCCTGCCCAGCCTCCAATGTTGATTTGTCTTCCTGCCTTATCAGGCATGACGAGAGAGGCAGAACAGAAGACGTCCGTTTTGAGTTGGAGCTCCCTGAAAGCCGTGCCATAATCGGGCGCGAGACTTGGGTCAAACTCGAAGGAGCCAGTGCTGTTGTTCTCCTTTGAGGTGCCATGCTTTTCTACAAAGACAACTTTCTCGTTGATGCCGACAGTACTAATCAAGGGGATGATTGGGGCTGACATGATGAAGTCGTAGCTACCCGCAGCTGCGCCTTGAGCGTATGACCAGGTTGTCAATGTCTCTCCTTTCCAATTATAGTAGGTCAACCTGTTTCCACCGCCTAGAGATGTGTTAACGACTGCCTCGGACTCAGCTCATACAAACTTACCACAGAGATGGGTTGGATCGCCAGGGCAGGCGACATTGCACTCCGTCTCAGGCCGTAAGACGTCTCGTCCCTTGTTGACGACATCGGCAATGTCACCGCAGACTAGTGTACGGGTTAGCTTAGGTGAAGATACTTCTCATAGATTCTGACCTACAGCATTGATACCCGTATTCTATACCGCCAGCTTCGTATCCGAACTCTGAGCAGCCGGCTATGCAGCTTGCCGCAGTCATATTCTCAATATCGATTGACATCCAAGGCAGTGAACGTGACTCGATGTCGTCTCTGTTATTGTGTCAGAAAAGTAATCTGGGATGTATGGCTACCAGATCCAAAAGACTTACAAGATACACCCAACGTATTCCCAGGACCCGGGAAGACCAGTCGTCTGTGGTGTGGGAGGCTGGTAAATCACCAGAGTGTCGTTAGAGTACACAGACAACCGGTTACCAGCACCGCACTTCTGCGACGCATCGCCGGTGCAGGCCATGCTACAGTCTGAATCTCCAACCAGAGCGGCCCCATTGCGTAAGAAGTTGTCACAAAAGCATTGCTGAGCATACTCCATTCCAGCCACACCGTATCCAAGGCCGATGCATGCGTTAACACAAGACTCAATGGTCAATGTTTGACTGTCTGGCTGCTGGTTCAAGAAGGCACGCCCACTGGTTCCTTCGCTGTAGCAGCCTTTGTAAGACCACGGCGCGGGAATCGCTGCAGGACTGCCGCTGCCTGTAGGTGATGGCACCGCCGTTGTGGAGATTGTCGAGGTCGGATTTGATCCAGACCCGATCCGAGACCAGACACTCAATCGGTTCGATCCGCCACATATCTGGGTGGAATTGCCATTACAGACCATGTTGCAACCCTTCTGCACTTGGGCGCCTCCGTTGGAGTATACTTGCCCACAGTAACACTCGCCTGAGTATTCGGTTCCAGCCAGGGGGTACCCGGCAGACGCGCAGGCCGCAGTGCATAGATCGTTTGTCACTAACAGTAATTAGTCAGTCGCTGTCACAGCTCAGATTTGTTGCCGATAGTTTGGAGATTCTTGAGAATTATACATACTAGCAGCAGCGCCACCAGGAACTTGAGCTCCGAATGTAAGTGTTCTACCAGGCTCGTCACTGCATGTTGTCAGTTGGAATGAAACCTACTCCATGTTATTGGGATGGTTTACCTGTAGCAACCCTCATATGCCCACCCAGCTATTGGTGCAGGAGGTACTGGCTCCGACACTTGGCCAGTGAAGACACTGAGCCTATTGCCAGCGCCGCATGGTTGCGTGGCATCGCCAGAGCATGCCATGGAACATTCCGTGTCAGCTGCTTTGGTCGCAGCTTCATCTACTTTGTCTCCACAGTCTATTTCTCGGTTAGCGGTTGCTTCACATGCGACTTGCATACATACAGCATTCAGATGAGTATTCTGTCCCAGCGAACGGGTATCCTCGGTCCATGCAATACAGAATACAGCTTTCGGCTGTCATAGAAGTTGCATTGTTGTACCCGTCGAGCGCGAGCGCTCGACCATCGAGGTTGTCGCTGGCAGACAGTTAATCTCACAAACCCGGCGGTTTTGAATTGGATGGACTTACACATAGCATCCTACATATGTCCAGTTATTTGGTAGACTGGTGGGAATGACCAAGTCCCGGGGTATTAGTCTAGACGTTGCCCGCTTCCTCCTAGTCAGCCAGTATCAAGAGTGTATGTTTTCTAGGGTCATTACCTGGGCGAGGAGAAAAGCGATCGTAATTTGGCGGAGCGCCATTATGCTGAGCAGACTGTGGAGGCTCAGGACTGGGGTGGGCGAAGCGAAAGACGGAACAGCAGGGAGGGGTTCACGAGGGTAATAAACCCTTAAGCTGAAAAGAAAACATCGTGAGGCTTGCAGGAGCTGATGATGGATCGAATGTTCGGCAAGGGCTTCTGAACGTCGTAAGGTATGCAGAAAAAAAGCAAGCTGCAACTCAAATGCATGCAGGCGTCGCAGAACATGAGCCTCCGGCTAGCCGTTTGTGGCAATCTATACCACCGGGAGGAACGCCTGTGTCTCACAGTATCGACATTCCTATGTAGCTAGGCTTGTCAGCGCGTTGGCTGCAGGCGCATTTGACCGACATGGCTGGCAGGCAAGCATGCAGCCATTTCCTTGGCTGCGTTGCTGCAGGCTGGTGGTTGATGTCAGAGAGCATACCAGCGAAGGAGCGCATACCGCCAGCGATGGTCCCAAAGGACCAGTCAGAAATCCGCCTATCCCCCTGCACTATAAGCTGCATCAAGGGAACAACTCGCAACTATCGAATACCTGCAGAAGTAGTCAGATGCAAGCGATAGCCGCCGCACCGATCTCGTGTAGAAAGGCACTAAGGGCCGAGCGCAAATGCTCTAAACTCGCAACTTCGGCCCCAACACAGAGCCTAGCCATGGATCCAGGAGGATTATTCGGCTGTTCCTGGCACCTTAAGATGACTGCAGTGGTGTTCTCGTATTCCAAGAAGCCATGGACCCTCGCTTCATGCAGAGTTCCAACGTGTGGCGCCGTAGTCGCCCATCAGTGGCCCATAGCGTGTGTCCCACAGTGATAAGCAGGCGGCCCAAGCCGAGATCTCGGATTAGAAGGTGCAATCTGGGAAAAGCCAAGGCTAAAATTGGGATTTGAACTTGGGGTTGTATCGCATACTAGGCAGCTCGTAAACGGTGTTGTCTCTGATGGGTCGGTTGCTAGACTCTGCCAATCTAGAGTTTGCCTAGATAGCCGTCATTGGCTCTCACGGTTTGTGGGGTTGTCGCTACCACTGAGACGGTGAAGCGGAAGTTCCTACTTCAGCAATTACCTCCAGGTATGTAGCCGAACATCCTCGCCCTCCGTATGTCGGTGATCCTGCCATGGGGAATGGAAGCAGTATGCTCGATTGATCGGACGCCACCTCGCTTGTAATTTTCGTTGCAACACACCATACTTGTCTGCTCCCTGGTTATCGGTATGCCAGGTATAGCGGTTACGCCCCGAACCGGTTGGCCCAACTGGGACATTCACGATATGATGCTTAGAGTTCACCTGCAGACGCTAGGTGCTGGCTTTCACTAGTGGTTGGAATGAATCGTTGCTGCCACACTCGACATCCGACGGGTCATGTGGAGCGAGCCGCGGGCGCTCAGAGCACAAGAATCTCGGATGCGAGCTTGAGGCGCAGGCATGCCGACAAGTTGCCCATCTCACCCTACGAGAGATGAGGAGTAAGATATCCGTAATCAATCTGCGAGGACTGGGCTTATGGCTCCAGTATCGTACCGCCGAGGCTTCAGACAAGGCGCGCTGGTGTCAGCCGGGGTACCACAAATTCTTATAGTTCCAGTCACGAGACCAGGTCAGGTTCAATAATTCCAGTGAATCGCGCTTATTGTTACAATCTCCATCCGAGGCCTACAAGGTACCTGCCAACTCGGTAAGAATTTAATCTTCCGCATTTCAGTCTGTACAGTTGACGTCAATAGTGACCTGGTTTTTGATGTTACACCTACATGAATACTGAAGCCTTCGGCTGCGGGGGAGAATCCAAGATAAAAAGCACTCGCATCTCTATGCCGGTACTCGGAGAAAAGCGCAGGCGCGTGGAATGCATTGTTACCCTGCAACATGTCGAGAATGAATCCTCCGTAAGGCTGTGCCACCCCCTGGAAATCCCAGCAATCTCAACCGAGATTGGGTTTACGATGAGATTTATATTTGGCTCTTCATTTAACAATTTCGTTGTCAGAATAGAGCATACATGAAAATATCTAGTAAAAGCAATGCCGCCATTTAGAAAGGAGAACTCAGATGCGGCCGCCGTCGAAGTTGTCAATTTTCAATCTACTTACGTTCCTGGAGACACGATCCTTGGGCACGTAGTGATAAAGCACGCGTTCGCTGAAGGCCCAAAGTGTGATCAGACATGGGTGCGGCTCAGTCTTATCGGCCGCAGGAAGTCAAAGCTTGTCAAGCAATCACGTAAAAGCAGGTTGACCTGCCAAGGAAGGGCCGTTCTATTCGAGGAGCAGGAATGCATTTTTCGAGGTAGAGTCGACGCTGGTGCTAGATTCCCGTCCGCAACTACTATCCCCTATACATCGCAACGAGGGTTCGAAGAACGGCGTGACAGTTGGGACAAAGACTGGTATGAGAATCAGGAGCATCCCTCGGCCACTAGGATATGTCCCCCCAGAAAGGTATTTGAGCACAACTCAAGAATGTGTAACGAACCACCCGCTGCCCTCCGTATTTTACTTGAAGCATACCTCCGTAGGGGATCCGGCAAGATTCGAGGGCCACGTTGAATATGTTCTGGAGGCATTGTTGATATACCCTGGTGTGAAAAGCGTAACAGCAACCTTCCCTCTGTTGATACGTGCGCCATCAACGAAAAGGTCAATCAACGGCAAAGAGTATGACTCTCACATCCATGAAGAGTCTGTAAATATGCGAACCGAGAGGGTTCTTCCATGCAAATATGCACGCCAATGGCGTTCTTAGAAAGGTCAAGACGGCTTTTATACCCATACATTGTAAAACTCCTTTATCCCCAGTTGGTTCAGGTTGACCACCCCGAGCCTTCCTTGAAGATATACCTTGGACCTACACTTGAGGATAGCATGACCACGATATGCCAAGATGGCGACCTGCGACGCTTGCCCGTAGTTGAGGTCACGTCAATTGAACACAAATTCCTCTCCCGCACTCAACTTCGATGTCCTGGCATGCGCGGGACTGTTAGCTCAGACATGGAAAGCGCCTATCTGATTCCCTTTGAGGAACTGCTAGGGCGATAGAGCTTCCGAGTTCCAGTTGTCGTCCGGGGAACTGTGGGGGCCCAGCTTCCGAGCTTTGCCTACTCTGATGAAAAAGGCACAATGGCGACGCCCCTTTCAAGCCCGACAGCGTCGCCTTTCATAGAACCCGAGGCTCTAAGATCGTTGAATGGAGAGATGGCCGCACCTAAAGGCCCCATCATGTACTCCAGTTCCAAGCCTAGTGATGACGGAGACTATTTATTCGGCAAACCCTTCGACCTGGGCTCGCATCTTGATATTCGGCTCTCGCAGCTCGGATCCTCGGTCCTGAGAGATCTCGAAATTCCTTTCGAGAGACCTCTCTACCCATCATCCGCAACTTATAACATCATTCAGGCCTACCAAGTAGCCTTGAAAATCAAGCTTGAGAGCGGGGAGGGGGGGGGGGGGGGGGGAACCACACTGTCTCGAGCAAGATTGACGTGACTGTTCTCGCAGCAAGCGAGAAGCAGGAAGCGAGGAAACGGAGGACGCTAGACGAGAAAGGTATGGAAAGAAACTATAATGCATTATTGGAAGTATTTGGTATCACTTCAGCAGAGAATATGTCGCACTTGACGTAATGAAGGCTGTGGCTTCATGGCAAGATCTGCGTAGTAGATGAGCTAGATTGTTGTAAGATGGGCACAGTGGGAGAACAGTAGATGGCATGGAAGGCTAACAAGCTATGAGAGTAAGGAGACATATGTAGTTCTCATTGAATCCAAGAGCCCACCAATGTGCCAGGAGAGTACTGTGAAAGCCCCGGCTTAGATTTACAGCAGCAGCGCAGGCCAAGTATATATCTGCCAACACTAGGTGAGTTAAATTCCTCTTTTCATTCTTGAGCAGATGAGGTAGCAATTCGCCGCTCTTGATGAACCGTAATGAGTACCTATGTTGTCTCACTGAATCGACAACAATCGGAACCCAATTCCACCTATCTTCTTTCATTTCCGGTCGACAATTGAATGCGATGCTATTCTGCACTGACATTTTCGACTGCTAACGATCGTATTCCCTCACTTTATCGTACTCTATAGCAATATTCCTCACTGAAGTTCGCCTACCAACGCTAATCGACTGTTTGTACAAAGATTCGGCCAGGCTGGAGTTCGGGCATATTGCCTGCTTTTGCAATAAGGTCACGGACAGAGACACACATATATGGTGAAGCAGCGGGCCAGAAATACTATAGAGCAGTCTAAAGACTCATATTAAAACTGTCAAAACTGGCCATGTTCCCAAGCTCACATGAGAGTCTAACGATACGGAGGTAGAACAAGATGTCTCGTGCCGCGCTTTCCCGACGTTCCTATATCTTGCCCAGCCCACTTTTACCAACTCGTTCCATTCACTCGTCGTTTCTCTAGAGCATTGGAAAGTATGAGCTTTGCTGCCAAAGATTACAGGCAGCCTCAGTCCGCTTTAAGCAGACATAGTCACTCCAGCAGATTTGAAGAGGACAATGAGGTTAGTTGATAGGGCAAATATGGCCATATCCTGGTTGTATTACTGCTCTCAGTGCAGTGGTTGAGGAGCCTTGCAGGTCTGATATCTTTCCAGAGCAAGAGTTCATCGGGGCAATTGTAGGCATCGCGCCTTGTGTGGTGAGCAAGCCAAACAATCGTATCGCTTCCACGTCTGCTGGTGAATCTAGGCTAGTTGATTGGCTCGTTGTGAGCAAGGAAAACAATCGTACTGCTTCTATAACCGCTCGTGAATTTAAGGTACTTGACAAGAAGCCGTGCTCCTAAGACGCACAAGAACTAAAAACTGTTGCTGAAGCTCGTAGTCCGAAGGTGCTGAAACCGAAGGCTATTACGCTATTTCACCACGAAGACACCGAGACACTCACCTCCGTCTGCCAACTGATCAACTCAACCCATCAACGAAAATAGATACCTGCCCCTTCCATATCTCAACCAAATCACTTCTCTTCTTGCGCACGTGATCGCTGCGTATCCTCCCACTTCCACATTTCACTTTCCCACCGTTGATCTGGACTGGCTCTCCTGCCAAGGTCACGGAGTCCGCGATTGCCCTACTGGTATTCTCCCTCGAGAAACATTCACACCTTTCATGTACGTTTCAATTCACGCGGAACTTCCCTTACCCATGCTCATACTTCTGCCATCATATCACTCGTTGCGCCGTTTGGTCAGGCTAGTCACCTGGCCTTGTGAGCTGGCAGCAAAATCTCACCTGTCGTGATTCGGATTCTTCTTCCAACACTCGTTTTGGAGACCAAGGTACGTGCTTTTTGACATCTAGAACAAGTCTGCAAGGCTTTGGGGATTCCAGAGGATGCTATGATCTCATTCTGGGCTCCTGCGCAAAATGACATTTGCCTCGAACTTGCCGACGATCTATAAGGTCCGCGCGCTTCCATACATCGTCTACATTGCTTGTACCGACCCTGATACATTCATTCCAATCAGCGACATCATATGCACTTCTATAGTTGGCATCTTCCCCTAAATCACCGATACCCACCTCTGTCCACTGTTCGTCCCTTCCCCAAACCACAAGCGGTCACGTTCCAGTCGGCACCTTCTCAAATCACCAAACCCAACTGCACGTCCGGTGCCTTCCCTTGGTAATCCGATGGTATAAGTCCAAAGCAGTCGACTTGACCATAAACAACCTTTCTCACTTCATCACAACTTGTCGTGCCTTCATCGGTCTTCGACAAAGTCTTCGCTTTCACCATTTACTCTCCGCATCTATTCACTGCCACGAGTGCTCCGACATAGTTGTAACCCAGCTCGCAGTGGTGTTCTCGAACCCTTTCCCACCGTCTCTGTTTCAGTACGGTATCGTTTGAAAGTTACTGACGCGTGAACTCATCTTCAATCATCAGCAGCACCCACGGCACACGCAGACTCCACCGCCAATATGGCTAGTGATCGTTCCAAGCGCAAGGCCAGCGATAGCCTCGAGGAGGAGTACTTTCCAACTAACAGCAAGACTGCACGTAGGCGCAAGCAAACAATGCCCTCTGCGACTCGATCTTCCGCGCGAATTGCTGCCAGAGCCACCAGGCCCGACAATCCCAGTCATTCAGCGCCAATTATCTATAACGACGACTTTCTAGGTATCGGTAGTGGCAATGGCGCAGCAGCCAACGTAACTGACTTCAACGCCCACTTACATCCAGATACCTCGAGATACGCTGAGGTTTTCGGTGGCATGAATCAGGGCCTATCTTCGCAAGCCCAAGGAGGCATCTACGGAGCCAACCACAGCTTCGATATCGCGACTACGACCAACGTCATCGGAAATGGCAATGGCCAGACTGCCTATTACAATGCGCCGTTGCCGCATATGGGTGAAGTTACAAGCAACGGCATGACTGGCGGACGAGTCGGCGGCGCGTGGATGATGAACGACGGCTCGGAACATGCGACGCACACCGGTAGTGGTGATGCGTCATTTGCGGCTCCCCAGCACCCACAAGGCACAGCTAAGACCAACTATGTTCACTCATACAACCGCGCAGCTTTGTGTGACTCTGTGGACTATTTCAAGAGTCATGAAGGGGGCAACTACCATTTCAACAAGACCACCTTAGGTCTATTGATTGATAGCCACGGATCAATCCGAGACTACATTGATGGCACAGTTGTTATCACAAATCTGTAAGTTTCCAAAGAACTGGATGGGTCACAGTCGGCCAATTGACATTTCAATAAGTGGCGGCGAGAAGAAGAGGGATTCAACGACTGCGAAAATGACTCATGGGGAGAGCCAAACCAAGGAGTCAAAATACTTCCAATTCCTCACGAATACTGTTTCACTGGGCCATGCCGTAGTTATCATACTTGGTGGGCATCATTTAATTCTCAATAACGAGATAGCGTGAGAGCTGACAGAAAAGTAGGTGATAGGAACCCCAGGAGTCCCATCAAGCCTGCGTTCCCGTACTCCGTCATGGGCCACTTCATGGTCACCGATATCTGGAGCGAGGCTTCGCTGGACCATCAAAACAACAAGGTCGCATTCTGGATGGTTCGTCTCGAGAAGATCCCTACCGCGCAGATGTCATGGTGGGTCAGTGGGACCGGAGACGACAGTCATCTATACGCTGTTGGGCAGAATGTTTGCCCCAGCTTTATCTGCTCTGAATGCGGAAATACCAGCAAGATGATTTACAACGAGGGGTGGACTTGCTTGAAACCTGAATGCCCAAATCATTTTCAATTCACGGTCGACATCGGTTATGGCCAGCAACAGTCCATGGTACTTGGCAAAGTGCATTACAGTACAACGTTCCTCCGCGAGAGAAAAGATCCCAGTCTTTTGATTCGTCACCCACTTGCGCCGCTTGTTCCTGCTCTGCCTACCAGAGCAGATGCAGCTTTTGGCACAGAGAAAGATTTCAAGAAGGGAATTGTCTGCCCTCAATGTCTCTGTGCGAGCCGCCGAGTTCGTTGGTGCCGGTGGGAGTGCGAGGAGCCTACCTGTGATTTCACTTATAGTGTTGATTTTAACATCTACTCTATCGATGAAGTGAGGAGAGAGACTAAGATGGCCAAGAAAGCCAAGCCTATGAACAAGGCCATCGAGATCAGCAACATCGTCCAAGAGTGGACGACTACTATTGCTGGCTACGAAGTCGACACATACGCGCTGCCTGGTGAAGATGGCACAGTTGTTGGCACAGTCTCTGTCCTTCATGCCACGGAAGGCATCTGTGCAAAACTGCATGGCCCCGATGATATGTACATCAATTTGCAACAAAGAGATCTGAAGTTGCAGCGCAAGACAGCAAGACTTCATGGTAAGGTTCTGATTATAATTGCAGCGGTCTTGGTTAACGATTGTTAGGTAACCGTGGTGAAGAGCTTACATCCCACTTCGCTAGCAATTGGGTATGTGAAAAGTCCTTAGAGACAGACCCTGTAGCTAACAAAATGCAGGGTGCTCCGTACAAATTTGGCGTGATGGTTGATACTACCGGCTTTGATGAAGCTCCCGAGGAGATACTTCGCGGTGTCTCTCAATTGACCTGGGCTCAGGGGCAGATCATCAATGCGATTGATCAGAAAATCCAGGATGACAGCATCCAATACGCAGCGACTTCGATGTCCCTGAGATCAGAGCCCTTCAATGAACTCTTGTCATTGGGATACTTTGAAGACTGCGTCATCAATGTAAGTTTTCGATGCCTCGGTTCCTCGTGGACTAACGCTGAGCTGTGAAGTATCACGACGACGGAGAGAGAGAACTCGGGCCTACAGTTGCCAGTCTTTCTCTTGGTTCGCCTTCAGTGATGCGTTTCCGACCCAAGAAGAGGAACTCAATTGGTCATACACCAAAGACGCTAGATGACAAGTCGAAGAACAAGCCCGCCGTGTTGAGTTTTCCATTGTACCATGGTGACATATGCATCATGCACGGCACAGATGTTCACAGGCTCTATGAAGTAGGTCAACCCGCATCAACCCCAGAACTGTACCCTAGTTAACCCTGAGCCAAAGCATGAGGTAAAGCCTAATGGCATGCTGCGGTATGCCATGACTAGCCGATATATTCGACCTGAAACCATCAACGACGAGGCAGTTCGCGCAGATGCCCTGATCAAAGGCAAACTGCCTGCGGGTATAGAGGCTCTGGCCTACAAGGGCCAAGACGAAACCGGCGACTTGAACGACATGAACGCAGAAGTAAGCTCTGTTGAAGCTCCTGGCACGTTGGTAATGGACAGCAGTACAGTTCAAAGAGGTCAAGCGGACGAGCGTGCAGACAACGATGTCTCCAATGACTCGGGGGACATACCAAACGCGGACGACCGCACGCAAGCTGACGCCGATGCCAGTGTGCCTACTCAACTCTCTCAAGGCAGTAGCATTTCACAAGCTACCGCACTTCTGGACGACCTCTGTCTCGACGCAGAGTATCTTTCGCGGCTCTCACCGCAGCAGAAGCGAACCCTCGGCAACCGGCTGATTAGAATGGGTCTCACTTGCCACGAAGCAATTGAGGAGAATTGAGCGACGATCTATCGGTGGTCGCCATCAAACTATGGCAAAGTCCATGAACACTTTCGTTTACGCTGATTCTGCGGTACCTTGATGTTGCACTATTTGGGAATGGGAAATTCGGCCTTCTACGGAGGACTTCAGCAAGGGAGTCTTTACGATATTTCGGACGGCGATAACTGTGGTCTTCTACTACTGCGGACTTCATCAATCAGATTTGGGGGTCACTTTCGGGGTAAAGTTACTCTATATACTTACTAGCTAATAAGCACATGTCATGATCTAACGACTTTTCGCCCGTTCGGTACTGGCCAAGAAAGTCTACCGCACCGAATCATGTGTGACTCAATTGTCAGCATCGCCCTCTCGGATCAGATTAGATCAGATAACTCGCACTCGGTAGCCAGCTATGCAACCTGCCATGAGCGCAAGCACCACGACCCTAAGTAGTAGCGTGATTTGCAGATCTTCATAGTCAGTAAGTGTGACTAGTACCTTAGTTAGCGGCGGGAAAATTACGCCTTGTGATATGATTGACACAGCGTTACCTTATAGTCGGTGAAGTAAAGTAACAAACCCTTGTGGCAGCTTGGTAATCTTCAAACGGGGGTTTTTGTTCCGCTTTTGTCCGTCATCTTCCCAGTATCTAGTGCTCGCCCGAATGAAAGTTTTCAGTCAGCAGACTATAGTGTACCTGACTTATAGGGCCATAACTATCCTCCAAGTCCCGTTTAACGATCATGCCAGTGACCTAACGCAGGACAACTCGATTGACCAATAGGCGGAACTACCACAATTCTAGCATTGACAACAATTTCCTTCCCGCTCAATGATACCCTATAGCCAGGTTACTCCACGTATGGAGGAGGCCAACCAGGATCTCCGCATCGGCTCTCTTGTCACACACTGCTATGATTGGCGGGGTGTTACATCGTGGGCAGGCGACCTGACCAGTTCAGCATAGAGGCGTCTTGGCGGTGCCTTGCACAAGTGATCTTCAACAAGACTGCTGTTGAATCCATTACTCAACCGACCGGTAGTCCTCACCACCTTACTAACGTCGTCACAAGCGAGCCCGTATGTTTCGCTGAAAGATCGTCTACCCCTGTCCTCTCATCCGAAAAGGGGGTTGCTCGCCCAAAAGGCGCAACGAATGCAACCTTTGAGATGCGCCGTCCAGGCACGAGGTCGCACAGAGTGTCGTCACATGCAAACAACTCACAGGTGAGGACAGCAGCACCCGCGCTCTTGCCCTCAGAAAGAGCGCCTGAGGACCGCGGCTGCTACCATGTTACGGTGAGCAAATCTGGTGACGATGACGATGCTTCGTCAGGGGTGTGCAAGCGCGCGTGGCCTGGGGGCCTTTGTGGTATACTTCGCACCAACTTTATTTAGGATCGCCTTCCCCCTCTCCTCTCGCAGCGAGCTTTGTCGTAGTCTCTTCACGCTCCTCACGTATTAAGGGTACACGGAGCTCAACCCACGATGTCGTCTGTCCGCCGGTACCTGCTCCTGGCAAGCGCCACTCTCGGCGTAGTGGCTGAGCCTTACAACACCTTCGATGGCCCTGGGTTTCCGGCGTGCCGTGATGTTGCGGCTGTGTATAATGTCACCAGTGTCGACGAGATGGTCAGTATAGTCAAAGATGCCGCGGCCAACGGCTATCCGGTTCGACCTTCGGGCAAAGGGCACATGTGGTACGATACCATGTGTCAAGATGACCCTCGCACCGTTATCATCAGGACCGAGAACACCAACGGGATCTCGGATTTCAGTCTCGAACCCGGCGCAGAGTCCGGGTCTGTCGTGATCGAGGCTGGCGTCACGTTCCTGCAGCTTGCCGAGTATTTACATGAGAATGGGGCCTCCATGGGTTATACTCTCGTGAACTGGAATATCTCTATGGCTGGCGCCGTCGCTATGGGTGCGCATCGATCCTCTATCCGTGAAGAGTCAATGGTTGCTGCCGGTGTTCTGTCACTGGACATCATCAACGGGAATGGCGACATCGTGACGGTAGAGAGGGACGAGACGAACGATGACTGGTTAGCTGCATCTACTTCTCTCGGTCTGCTTGGTGTCATTGCGAGGATGAAATTCAAGATCTACCCCGACTTTAAGGTTTTTGCCAAACAAGACATTTACGACGAAGATGAAGTCTTGAATGGGGATATCTACGGCATGATTGCGCCATATGCCACTGCAAACTTCTGGGTAGGTCCTCAAAATATTGTCATCTCAGAAACGAGGGCTGATTATCGTTTCTAGTGGTGGCCATATCTCAAGAAATTCCACCACCGCTACTACGACGAGATCCCTGAGACGCTCAGCGACCAGGAGGGATTCCAGAGCACCTTCTCCGTCACGGACCTCGAGGCTGCTGCCGCTATCACCATCCTGAACAGCGGCAAGTACCTGGAGACGTCCAACGAGCTCATCGAGACCATCTTCTTCGGGCTCTGGAGCGCGCCGAACTTCCACGAGAAGACGACGGATCAGACCATCTACACGTGGCCGGTCTACGGGTGGAACTACGACGTGCTCATCGGCGGGCTGTACCCGGGCCAGAAGCCCGAGTGGGAGTACGGGCTGCGCGGCGAGACGCTCGAGCTGGCCTTCCCCATGACGCGGGCCAACGACATGCTGAAACGGGTGCGCAAGTTCTTCGACGACGAGAAGAAGGAAAAGGGCATCACCATGACCAGCACGTACCGCTCCGGCATCAACATCAAGTTCGGCAAGCCCTACTTCGACCTCCTCGGCCAGGTCACCTACGACACGAGCGACGGCGCCGACTGGAGCAAGGGCGCCATCATGTTCGACTTCCCGCACTTCAAGCCCAGCATCGGCGACGGAAAGCCATATAACGCTGATTTCTGTAAGTACTGGCATTTCCTCCCTAGAGATATGTCCGTCAGGGCAAGCGACGACAGAACTGACTGGTCTCCAGATCCCCGTCTTGCAAAGGTCTTGATTGACGAGTTCCCGTGTCGCCCACACTGGACAAAGAACACACGCGAGGTCTTTGGCAATGCCACCAAGAACATCGACCCAGATGTAAGTGACGTCCGCATTCCCGGGGGAAGCTGAGGCTTCGGTTTTATGTTTTGGCTAACATGGAGTAGCATCTTGCAAGGTTCAAGGCCGTCAGAGAGAAGTTCGACCCAAGCGGGACGTTTAAGAGCGTCGTGGGAGAGATCCTCGGACTATACGACTGAGCACCGGGACTTTGTAGGCCAATAGCGTAGAAGACCTTGTAATCCGGGTTGAGAGCTGAACCCTTAATATTCAACCACACCGTATCTACTGCTTCCAACTATGTCCCACTGACGTTAGATTGTGTGTCAATTCTTTTCAAATACCAAGCCTTGGCTATAGTCCGCACTTCGGCGCTGACCCACGCCGGTTCCATGCCCATCTCCTTGATTTCCAGGGCCTCCTCGACCTGCACATCCTTCGCGAGCCAGTTGATAAAGTCTCCGAGGCCCCTTTTCGTCGAGGCGTCGATTCCCATCTCGTGCAGATATTCCAGCCCCTGCTGCAACCGGCGCTCCGTCACCTTCTCCGTTGCAAACTCCTTAGCCGTCTCCTTGGTGACGCCGAGCTTCCACCTCGGCCGAACGGACGGCTTTTGTGTGTGCCAAAACTCTTCGGCCTTGGTCTTCAGCCAGAACTCGGGCGGCAAGTACGTCTTGGCTCTTCTCTGGGGCGTGTTTGCATGGTTGTCGTCTTCATCATCTGCATCGTCGCCGCCATCGTCGTAGGGCTTCCATACCACGCCCTCCCCAATGCCCTCCACTCCGATCGACGCCGCAAACGGACACCGTGCCGCCACGGCGTTCATGTGTTCCATCAAGTTCCGGATGCCGCCATCCGGTTGCGTCAATTGCAGCCTCTCGTGGAAGAAGCCGCCGCGGGAGATGTGGTAGATTCGGTCGTCCTCGCCGCCAAAGCCGTCGCAGATCGACGTGTAGTCCTCATCACACTGCCAGCGGGCGTTGATGTTGAGGCCCAGGACGACGAAGGCCTGGTACGGCAGCGTGTTGACCGCCGTGCCGGTCAGCTGGCGCATGCCGGAGCCGATGAACTCGCCGGCTATGATCAGGGGTTGTGATGTTGCTCCAGGGGAGGACGCGTTGAGCTCACAATAGCGGTCCAGGATTCGCGTCCTGAGCTCGAGGATCCGCGGCTTGCGTGCAAGCGCGAATGCCGCAAAGCCCTGGTTGTCGCGATCCGGCGTGAGGTCCACTCGGTTCCGTGACTGAAGTGTGAAGTCGTCCGAAGTCCACGGGTCTGGGAAGACTATATCTGCGTGCGTTCCATGCAGCTTCACTGTTCCCACCACTGGAAGTATGCCTGGCCTAAGCGGCAATGGGCGCTTCCTAATCTCTGTGTGTATCATGTGTATTTTGGAGGTGATCTTTGGGAAGAGGGTCGACTGCGCATCACCTAAGGGTTGCATTGCTTCCGCCATTTCAATTGAGTTGCTGTATAGTTAGTTCATACACGAGCCGAAACAAATACTTACTCTTAGTTGTCCTTATATGAATGCGAGGTCCGTATGTATGCTGAGCATGACTCACCGGTGCACCCGCAAGGTGGCTGAGTCTTGGGTGGACTGCGACCGTGGCTTTGACGATCTTACACCGTGAGAAAACTGTTGCAGCGCCCACTTACGGCAAATAACTCCCATTGAAAAAATCTCACTATACATTTGTCATCGCTCAGGTCACAGTGTCGGTCGTGTAGAAATCGTAATGCCATGACTCCTGCCTGGAAGGAATCGTGATGTCAACGGATAGAGTGCTATATTTTCCAGCCCACTGCCTGGCTTTCAGACAACAGAAATACTCAGCGGTAATTGCTGTTAAACCAATTCCCACTTGGCTATCCATCCTATGTTCTGTCCTGCATTCCGTACAACACATATTCTCGACGCACGATCGCCTTTGTCTTTGTACCTCTTGAGCTCTTCCAGCGCTTTCTGACCCTCAAGACTGCCGATGGCTTCAGGGCGCCCGCTTCTCAGATTGAAACTACCTGACGTGACGAATCCAATTAGGTCGTCTGGGTTAGGACAAAGTAGGTGTCCATTGATACCTTCACCATTCCTTAGAGGTTGAGTAGGCGTTATGAGCTCCTGTGCTAACAGCCTCTTCCTGGTTTCGAGGTTGACATCAGTTGAGGTGTTGTGCTTTAGGCCCGGCTTTCCTTGCGCTTGTTTGCCTTTCCTTGGGAGTGTCTCGAGCCATTGCTCTCGCAGGTCTGACGGGAGACCGCTGCTCTTAGAAGGCGGTGGGTCAGATGCTGGCACTTCTGCCTGGGTCGAAATAGCAGTGGTTCTGGTTGGCAGTCTGTAAATTCGAGCACAAGCGCCCGGGACACCTCGACCGAGGTAAGTTATCTTGACTGTAACCAGACTGGTAGGTGGCGGTGTTCCCGCCGCGGATCTGAGATGTGTGTTCATTGCAGACTTTGATAGGTGAGACAGGCGGGATAGTAGCTCTGTCTGGGACGCTGCCTGGTTCGGTTCACCTCCAGACGCCGGAGGATGATCTTCTTGGTCTTTCATTTCGACATCTTGCTGCTCAGTAGCAGGCAGTGAATCAAGACTCATGAGTCTTTCGTAATCGCAACTCCAGCCCTCTCCGATCTCGCCTTGGCGGCCAGCGCCGAGATCAAGGGTCTTGTAGTTCACTCGTTTTCCCTTTGGCATCCGCTCCCAGGCTTTCCTCCGGACATCCCTCTCTTGCAACTCCCATGCAGATCCGGCCTTGGTTGCTGGGAAATCGCCAGGGAACCACGGGGCGCTCTGCTCGAATGCCAACTGGCGGATTTCGTTAAGCCCGCCAAAGCTGGGGTTCCCTCCCGATGTTAAGGGATAGTGCATCAAGGTGTACCAAATAGGTAGTACGCACTTCCATGGCATCAAAACCGTCCAGGTACCTGTAGTGTTTGATTGGCGGGAAGCGAGCAGGATAATTGGTATGTGAGGATCCGCTTTGGTCGGCTCAAGCGAAGCGCCGGGTGCTTTCTTGCCCTTACGTCTGTTGATAGATTTCTGAGATGGAAGTTGGCATGCTTTGAACCGAGCATCCCGATCGAAGAGGTCAATAGGCTTCAGAGTTGTATCCTTGTGCAAAGCCAGTAATGCCTGGTGGAAGGATGCATGGTCTGCCTGCTGAGTCTCAGCGGGCTTCTGGGTGCGTCTCGCCTGGTGAAGGAGTCGGGGATCCATCACTGAGAAAGCAAGGAGTGACCCTGCCGGCAACACAGCAGGGCCACTAGAACCGGCCAAATACCCGAATCTGCTAGCATGAGGTTCTTGAGCGTCTGGAGCGAAGGGGTAAGGCTTGAGAACACCCAGTAGAGCCTCTGTCGCATCGGGGCCTGTTATGTCGATGCTTCCGACTTCATAGCGCAGGTCCTCAACATAGGGGCGGGGGGAAAGCCCCTTTGCCAGTCGGACCAAGTTGTTGAAGGTGTCCAGGAACATAGATGGATGGAGTCTGATGAAAAGCTTTCTCCAGACGGTCTTCTCCGAGTTTGGGGTTTCATCTGAAGATGCTGGCTCCGGGTTCCAAATAACAGCGCCCGGCCCAGTGGTTTTACTGACTCCATCCATCTGCATGCTCAGCATTCCTGTCCAGTGGACGGCCCCAGACCTCCATCTCTTGCCTTTCTCGTTCCAGAGGCTCTCCGCCTTCAGGCCGACGGCTTTGAGCACGTGGCTCACGCTACCTTCGGTTCCGCATAGGCTGATGGTGCTCATATAGCTCATGTCCCACGCGATTGCCCCCTTCTCCCACTGGGCGCGATGCGTGGGTCGATAACACTTCTGGTTAGGGGTCAGAGGTATGGCGAATCTCCACATTGGCTCCTTGGGTGGCGTCATCCTTGCTCGTTTCGTGTGCCAGAGATGTGTAGGTAGCCAGGTCTTGTCTTTCTGCCTCTTTCTGAACTTCTTGGCGGTCACTATCGGGTCATTGAGAGCGTTGCGCCTGATCTTGGGCCTCGCAAGTCGCGTGGTTACGGTGATTTCGTCAAGCTTGCCGTCCTTGCCCTGCTTCAGAAGTTTCTGTTTCCTCTTCCTCTCGGCCAGCTTACCCAGCCTGCGGGCAGTTTCGGCACGCAACCGACTGCGGGTGGTCTTGGGCTTCCTGGTCTTGGAATTTACCGTGGGGGTGTTGTCGACCTCCATCTCCCTCTTGGCCCTCCGCTGAAGCCTTTTGGGCACCCTCTTGTGGTTATGGGCCGCAGCCCGGCGCCTCATGGTGAAAGGCACCTTCTGAAAAGCACGGCTCATGTTGGAGCCCCTGGTGCGCCGCATACTCTCGTCGAGGGCCTTGATCTCGAAGCCGCGGGCGTTGAGAAAGCTCTGCACGTCGAGCTCGCCATCCTTGAGAGCCGCGTCTGAGGACTGGGCAGCAATGGCTCGGATGTCCCTCATCTTCATGAACGGCCTTGATGGTTCTCTACGACTCGACTGGCCATCCTTGGCCGTGCCGGGGGCCTTGTCGGACTTGTTGGACTGAGATCGGCCATCTTTTGAATTCTGAGGAAACTTGGCCTTCCCTGCTGCAGCACCCTGAGCCGAAGCAGCGGGTTTGTTGTTGCCAGCGTCCGCACTGGTGTGTGGTTTCGGCTTGCCTCCCTGCGTCTTCGGTTTCTTGTACTGAGACGAGGCCAACGGACCATCAGCCGGCCGCTTTCTCGACTTGTCCACAGACTGCCCTTGATCCTGCTTTGGTGGCATGACGGCTGGTTGGCGGGCTCTCAAGCAAGTGGAAAATTTGGACGACCGGGGTCGGTCATCCGGCCGAGGGCGGCTCCTGTTGTGTGAATCCGGTAAGGTTGAAGCTTTACTCGACCCAAATTTGGCACACACAACTTATGGCAGCATGTCGCCTAGACCAACCAACAACAAGACTCAAGGCGGGGAATACTGGCGATGCAATGGCCGCTGCAATGTATTCCAGATTGAGATATGTCTGAAAATGCACCACGAGTTTTCATTGGTTGGTTGCGTCAACGCTGAGTCAACATCGGTGCAGCAGCCCTAGGCAGTTTGAACGTCGTCGCGGTGCCGTCTTCACGGTCTGCTAATTGCATACTTACTGACCTACAGGGCCTAGACTGTGATCGCGTCGCTGGAAAATTTCCGCGTCGGCACGGCCACAGCAGCAGCCACAGGCAGATAACTAACTCGTGGTAAATGACTATGCACCGCCTGCTGGTGGGAGCTCGCTACTTGGCTAACTACCTCTACCTGGAGCTGAATCTATTCCAAGTTGGGACCCCTAAAGCTTGGGGGGGGCCAGCGGATTCCAGACGGACACCTGCCAGCCTGCATCCTTTCGGGTCTCGCGCGCCCAGGGAATGAATGACGTTAGGGGGGCTCCACGGGCGAAGATCTCAATCCCTGGCTCCTCTGCTGTCACCTTGTCGCCCATCATCCCCCATGCAGCGTGGCCTGCATGTCATCGCCGTTCGTGTTCGTCGACTCAGTTCCAGGCTCCCTTTAATAAGTCGTCGACCTGCTCCATACAGCCAGCCTTCCGCACTCTATCTCTCCCTGTCGTATCTCGCCCTCTCGGCTTCGTCTCTTATCGCGTGCGACGCACCACCATCACCACTTGCATTCGGGCCTGCGTGCCACTTCGGATCAGCCGGGACACTGTCTTCTTCCTCCCCCCCGTCGAGCCATGCCTGCATGCGCTGCTGGTGCTTACCCGCCTCGGTAGCCCGTCCTCCGAGCGAATGTTCCGCCGCCCTTCTGTCGTGATCTGTTGGCGTAAGCCCTCCGCTGGAGAGCGGGCGAAGCGTTTCGCGCCCATAGTCTCGTCCTCATAGTGTGACAATGGCGTCCCTGAGTAAGCCTTATCTCCCGCCGCCCACCTGTGGTCTCTCCCCGTTCTGCAACCGTCTTGGACTGTCTCAGCCCGGCCTGGGATCTGTTTCCGCCCGGCCGTTTCCATCATGCTCTATTAGTGCCTCGAGCCTTCTTCGTCCCAACTCGTGCGTCAGCCGCATTTCAGCAAGAGTCCGAAGCCGAACTCTGACGCGGCCGGACCCATTGGCGAAAACGCGGCCCTCAAACCGTTGCGTTATACGGTTACAAGATCACGACTCCAGCCTGCGCGATCATGGGCCGCTGCTACACGCCTTTTACTACTGCTTCCGGGATAACGTGGACCTCGCTTCATCCGCAGAACTATGCAATAGCACGGAACCGCCAGCCCAAGTCCAGTCCATGACCCAGCCGCTGACATGCCGTCTCTCTTTCCTGTAGTTAACAAGGCCCGGAAGCCCAAGTTCGAGCTCCACCTGACCATCTACGACCTCAACAACGTTCCGCTCGTCAACGGCGTTTCGCAGATAAAATGGCACCTCCCCCACTCCATGCACGGCGAACACCGCGGGCGGACCGAGAAGCTTCCCATCGACAGCACCAATCACCGCGTCACCTACAACTATAGCAAGGTCGTGCCCATGCGCATATCCATCGACCGGAACAACAACCTGACCGAGTGCCCCATCGAGTTCGAGGTCGCCCAAGAGTTCCCCGTCGGGGCCGGCGGCCGGGACGAGAAGATCACGCTTGGTGTCGTCAAGTTGAATCTCAGCGAGTATGTCGAGGAGAGCGAGAGCTACCCCCGGAGGAGTACCGGAAGCAGGACTGGTGGCAGCTTGGATCACGCCCGCGAGAAGATACTTGGGCCAGCCTTGCAAGGCCACCGGCGGATGGGCAGCACGAACAATCACGGTACCGCCAGCCCGGGGAGCTCCGGACTATCCGACCACAGGATCGCCGAAGAGGATACGGCTGAGGAGGGAATTGTGCGGCGCTATCTCATGCAGGAGAGCAAAATCAACAGCACTCTCAAGCTGGGCATCCTGATGGTCCAGATCGACGGAGACAGGAACTATGTCGCACCGCCCTTGAAGACGGCCCCCATGTTTGGCGGCATAGCCGGCATCATGGCCGGAGAGACCGTTGAGCCCGTCGACGAATCAGCCGGTGCCGGGACGACACCTAACCTTACCAGCCAGAACAAGTCCCGGGACGCCAGCGAGCTGCAGGATATGTACCGCCGCGCGCTGGCGGCGAGTTGGTCTTGTCAGCCCGGCGAAATGCCCGCCGACGAGTGTATCGAGGACATTTTTGCTGGCGGCGACGGGTGGAAGGACTCGAATCCCAAGACCGCCACCATGGAGCGACGGCGCGAGAGCCGCCGCGGCCGTCGCACCGAAGACACGACGAGCCCCTCGGGCAGCGACGAGGGCCGGGGAGGAGACACGCTGCGGCCCTCGGACGCCCGCAAGGTGCGCTCGCTCCTCAACCACGCCCGCCAGCTCAGCGGCTCGTCGGACAAGTCCCTCGTCACCGTCAAGGGCCGCCCGGGGTCCAGCGACCACTCCACCCACCCTTCCAACAGCCAGCGCCGATCGCACAACCGCCAGCCTAGCCGGGACAACCCCTTTGCCGAAGGCGGCCGCAGCCGGAGCGGAAGTCTGGCGAGCCTCGTCCCTACCCTGGGCAGTCTGGGAAGCGGCAGTGCCAGCGGGCACGACGGCCTGTACAGCGCGCGGCGACACCACAAGGAGGTCCACGAATCGGAGGTTAGAGACGACCTGATCAGCTGGTCTCTGCCGGGAACTGCTGTGTCCTGATCGTCTGCTGGGTTTTCAACGTGGAGCCGCCACTGAGGGAACGAAATATATTACCGGTACGGGTTTCACGCACCCAACCTGATGCAAAACGCAGGTACACGGCGAGGGTCGCAAGCGTACAGAGATACCACGACAAAGTGTAGGATAAAGGGTCGGCGAAAGAGCGGCATTGTGTGTGTTTACTTAGACTCGGGAGCGCATAGCGATGATGGATATGAAAGGGGCGCAGGGCGCCACGGATTAGACCTGTATTGTACTTTTGATTATTGGGAGCAAATCTCGATTACGACATTCCTACCATTGACGTTCCCTTTCATGTATGCTGATTGACTCGACGGTGCTTCTTCATACATAGTCGAAAAGCGTACAATGGCACTGAGCGGCAAGCACGCCGTGAGTCACCATGTGTAGGGCAATATTAGTAGAAGGGAGGAAAAAGAGAGGCCGGTGGGAAAGGGAATGCTTTTTATTCTATTGCCATATCTCATCCACGCGATCTACCCCAGCGGGACCGCTCCAGGGGGGTCAGTCTATCTATCTAAAGACGCCGCGCCTCTGTTTGTATGCCTGACCACAAAAAGGCAACCGAGCACTCCATGACCGTCGCGGATCATCATCAATACAAAGGTAAGGAACATGGTGGTGGGTTTGGGTGGGATGGAAAATCATGATGCCTCGTTTTATATCTCGTTTACGGCGCCTTCAGGTTTCCTCTGACACCACCCTTGCCGCCGACTTCCCTGGTGGTGATGGTGACGGCCAGGTCGGCGGCGACCTGGACCGTGACCTCGACCTTGCTGCCCTTCTTCGTTCCGCGCACAGAGGCCTCGGCGAGGGCGGTGCCGATCTTCCAGATCTTCTCCCTGTGCTCCTCCTCCTCGTCCTCCTCGCTGTCAAAGTCGCTGTCGTCCTCATCCTCGTCCTTGGCGCCGTTCTCCTTGGGCTTGGGCTCCGGCTTGGTGACCTTGATGTGTGTGTTGCCCTCGACGACCTTGATCAGGACATCGCCGCCCTCCTTGGGCGCCTCGACGTGTACTGTCCGGCGGGCGGGCAGGGCAGTCTCGGGTGCGATGATGGGGGTGAAAGCCTCCTCTCCGGCTTCGCTCAGGGTGATGACGCCGATGGCGTTGGTGACGTGGGGCACGGTGGTGACGGCAGCGTGGGTGGACTGGTCAATGTCTTCGGTCTCGTACTCCTGGATGAGCGAGGCCTGGAGGGCGGCACCTCTGGACAGGAGCTCCGAGGGGTTGATGGAGGTGGAGCTGGTGGAAGGCGCCTGGACGACGGTGGTCTCGGGGAAGATGGAGCGGAAGTTGGCAGCGATCCTGGGGGTGTGCGAGGTACCGCCGGTCATGATAACCTCGTCGATGTCCAGTACGTCCAAGCCGGCCTGCTTGACAACGCCCTCGACCAGTCGGTTGATGCCCTCAAACACCTTGCGGGCGATCATCTCGTATCTTAACCGGTTGACGGTGGACTGGAAGTCGATGCCCTCAGCCAAGCTCTCGACGCTGAAGGAGGCGTTGGTGCCAATGCTCAGGGCCTTCTTGGCAGCCTCGGACTCGGCCTTGAGCTTGGCCAAGCTTCGGGCGTTCTCGCGGGGGTCGACGTCCTTGTTCTTCTTCATGAACTCCTTGGCAAAGTGGTCCATCAGGACCTTGTCGAGGTGGGCACCGGCGAACTCGTAGTCGTGGGCGGTGGCGAGGATGGTGTAGAGACCTCCCCTCGAGGCGACGACGGCGACGTCTGAGCGGGTGCCGCCGAGGTCAGCGACGACGATGGTCTTGTCCTCGACCTTGGCTTCCGGGCGGGCATCATAGGCCAGGACGGCGGCAACGGGCTCGTTGACCAGCTGGAGGACCTCGAGGTCGGCATCGCGGGCGGCCTTGACGAGGGCGTCCTTCTGCTTGTCGTTGAAGTTGGTGGGCACGGTCAAGACGGCCGAGGTGACCTTCTTTCCGATGTAGTCGGAAGCCGACTGCACAAGACGGCGGATGTACCGGGTCGAGATTTCGGATACCGAGACGGTCGAGGGCTCGCCCTCAGCCTTGTCCTGGATGGTGAAGGAGACACCGCCATCGACGTCCTGGGCGTGGGCAGCAGCGTGGCAGTGCGTGGGGTCAATGGACTTGAAGCTGCGGGCAGCGCGTTAGTAACCTTGTGTGCTTGCTATTCCTACTGCAGATGCATCGAAGGGGCTCGCGTACTCTTGGCCGAGGAAATCTCTGAAGGAGACGACGGTGTTCTTGGGGTTCCGGATCAGGAAGGCCTTGGCCTGGCCACCGGTGTACTCCTCGCCGTCGACGTAGGACAGGATGGTGGGGATCTGGCGGTCGCCGTCCTCGTTGGCAATGACGACGGCGGCATCGTCGACGGTGCAGGCGATGGAACTGTACGAGTTGCCAAACGACAGGCCGATGACGGTGCGCTCATCGGGGGCGACTCCCTTGTTTTCAGCCATCTTGTCTGGTGCAAACTGGCGAAGTCGAGCTGGCGGGTGTCTGGGGGCTTCAGCAGGGCTTTTCCGTTGCGAATGAGGGCCGTCGACGTGTGGCAGCGGGGTGGTTATCAGCAGCAGGACGAGACGGGGCGAATGAAGGCGTATCCAAAAATTTCATCCAAGAAAAAAAGTTCCCGCCCGCCGGCTAGCCCAAGTCAGTCGGCCAGCCAGCGGGTCAGTCAGTCAGTCAGTCAGATGGATCCTGGTCGATGAAATCCTTGGGCGGGCGGGCGGGCCCCTGGACTGGGACTGGGACTGGGACTGGGACTGAGACTGGGACACTGAGACTAGGACTGGGAATGGGACAGCCCGCACCGCCACAGACCAGCACCGGTGGTGCCTTGGTGCCCTGGTGCCCTGGTGCCCCTCCAACACCCGCCAGCTCTGAGCTCTGCCCAAAACCCCCGCTAAACCCAACTGAAAAGCAGATTCGTCCCCATCGACGCCACAGATACTTGCGTTTTTCATAGCGACCGTCACGTACTCGCTCACTCAACGCCCAGCAGTCAGAACGTGCCCAGAGACCCGTGATCGGATCGGGGGATTGTGAACGTTCCAGCATGGCGACTGATTCAGAGATGGTCTTTGTCCTGCCGGGAGACGGCATAGACGCTTCTCTCATACCGACCCATCCCAAACGCCCGCTCCGCCTGGGCCCAGGCCTCAGACACATCCCCCCCAGCACTATAGTCCCAACCATTGCCGGCCAGCTTGTCACAGATCACAAGAAGAACTCATTATGGGTCGAGTACAATGGCGGACGGGTAAGTCGTACCTCACTTCCGCTATTCTATGATTGCCCAGACTCAACAGTTTTTTTTGCAGTACATCCCTGCCGTCGGTGATCTGGTCATTGGCCAGGTGGACAGGAGCGCGGCAGATTTCTACTACGTCGCTCTCTCAGATTACTCCTCCAACGCGTCACTGCCGCAGCTGGCCTTTGAGATGGCAACCAAGAAGACCCAGCCCAACTTGGCCACAGGGGCTCTGGTCTATGCCCGCGTGAGTTTGGCAAACAGGCACATGGACCCTGAGCTGGAGTGTGTCAATTCCAGCACTGGCAAGGCCGACGGTCTCGGCCCCTTGGTCGGAGGAATGCTATACTCGATATCGTTGGGCATGGCGCGGCGGTTACTGATGCGGAAGTCCGTCGAGGAGGGCAGAGTGGTGGTGCTGGAGGAGCTCGGGGCGCTTGGGCTTGCGTTCGAGACTGCAGTTGGCAGAAATGGGAAGATGTGGGTGAACAGCGAGGACACCAAGACTGTGCTCATCGTCGGGAGAGCCGTCAAGGAGACGGACGAGGGGAATCTCACCGTGGACCAGCAGAAGAAGCTGGTGCGGAAGCTGGTGAAGGAAATGTCGTAAAACAGAGATACGAGTCAGGCATGGGATATGGGGCATTCTTCCAGGCGTTTGATACCCGAATAAATATTTGATTGAAAAAAGGTCCGTCCCCTGCTCTATTATACCCTTGAGAGACAGCGGCTGACGGGTTCGGCTGCAGTCGTCTCCTGAGGGTGCGAGGATATAAACCGATCTATTTGATGACAATGTGACAGATATAACCAGCGCCTTTGTGTGAGAGAATGAAAATTGGAAGATAAACTAGCGATACTCAGGACATGCCCCTATACATGAAACCCATACTGAACGGTAACAAGTTCACGCACAATATCTTCATTAAGACGAAAAATTGGTGTGCCTTCTTCAATCTCGGCATATTGGCCACAACAAACTTTGCACAATCCCGCCAACTTTACCTACATGGATACGCAAATCATGAGAGATAACTCACAGCCCGTTTGAAGCGGTATTCTCCTGTTTTTTTCACCTTGCGTGCAAGTTGGCTCTACCAAGCAAACTGAAATCCGTGGCGTTGTCCAGGAGCGTTATCAGGGCCTGCCAGCAGACAACCCAGCGACCGGCTTAGGTGCGAGTTGCACCTGTTATGAGCCGCTAGCTGGGCCATACGGTTGGATGTCTAGTCAGAGCCGGCCGCCACGACATGCTGTTTGCCGTCGGAATAGAAGCTGGTGCTAGGGAAACAGAAGTACATCAGGCCCTCGAAAGGTGTGACACTGAAGTGCTGAGGCCGATAGTAGGCACCCCAGAAGTACTTTGTAACTACCGGGTTACCGATGCCCCGAACTCTATACTGAGCGCTGTGATTGGGCGGGTATCATCATTGCATGTGATTAAAAGACTCTTCACAGGCGGTTCAGAGCCACAATTTAACCATATAACCTGAAGAGTTTACCTGTATGGGGCGTTATAGCACTAGCAATGTGAATACTTGCACGGGTGGGCACGTTCTGTCGAAAGAACCCGCATGAGTGGCAGGTGTCATCACGGGATGCCTCAATCTCGACATCTCCTAGTTGAGCCCCGTGGCAACCCAGTTGTCTTGACTAAAACCTTCAATACTCTTTCTCTTCGGAATTGCAGCATCGTTGAGACGGCGAAAGAGGTCAAAATAAGCTTCAGGTGCACAACAACTGACTTACTCTGAGCGGGTAACAGAGCATACACGATAGACTTTGTATAAAATAAAAACTCGCTCTTACGATATTGACTTTGCCTTCATATCCATAACCACAAACCCAAAGCTTTCTCCGTTACAGAACCCAGGCCGAGAAAAAAGCTGATTCTTATTTAAATAATGTTGTCCACGCCGTCTGGTTCGGGTGTCATCATCATCTTCCTCAAGTGTCTTTTCACAAAATACACCTTCAAGATGACCAGTCCTATAACGTCAGCACAAGCAGTGGTCACCATGACTACCACAACAGAGACCTTCCATCACTTCTACTACCTACCAGCAGAGCTAAAAGACATGATATGGGATGCGGCTATCCGGCAAGATCAGCCCTCGGCTCACTTCTTGCGCTTGTCAGTCGGCGTGTCCGGCCGAACCAAATTCTCTATCCCGCGAAACACTCCCTCCGTCCGCGGTCGTCTGGGTCACAAAGTACCCAACCCGTCCATATACTTTCTGGATCACGGTCTTTGGACCGCGTGCAGGGGCTCACATGCGCGCGCGAGACGCCATTTTCAGGAAGCCAAGCTCAGCATCCCATCCAATTCCACTGCCCAAGTACACGATGTCCCTGAACCGATGACAACGACTCCCATCTACAAATCAAGCAGTATGATATCAGTGCACCCGCAAAACGACCTGGTCATACTACAGCTGAGAACTGGCATCCGTCCCCTGATCTCTCTGCCCCCTAGCATGCCCTTCGCCAACCCTGTATCGCGATCAGAAGGCACATTCCCAACCTGCTCCTTCAGCATGGGCAACGTGGGTCTAGAATACAATCCATGCTGGAACTGGGGTCGACTTGCCTTCGAAGTAGGGTATGATTTCAGGAAAGACACAACAGCACGTGGCCACCTCTGGCGGTCCATCGACTACATGTGGCGGGTGATGCGCATCCGCAAGCTGTGGTTCGTCGACACCCGGCTGCGGCCCAAGCTCAACACGCGCATCGAGTCCCTCACGACGGCTGCGTCGTATCGAAAGCAGCTCTCCGACGATCCGCGGAACGTCTTCGCCGCCCAGGACCGCCTATACGTGGAGGTCACGCGGAACGAGGCAAACGACGAGGAGAGCCTCACTCACTTAAGCGCTGGGGACCCCTTCGACCTCACTCAAGAACTCTTCCAAATCATGTCGCTCTACCACCGCGATTCATACGACCTAGTTGGTGGGGAATACTATAAACCAGATGGCCATGGAGACTGTTGCGAGCCTGATACTCGCAAATGCCCATATCCGGTGATGGAGCTAGGCGTACTAATGTGCGTTCCACTTGCTGGAGGTCAAGAACAAAGCCAATCAGGGATAAAAAGGCAAGCCTCGATGTAAAGTGGGAAAGGCGTCTAGAAATCTGTTTGGCATGTCAGCGTGTTTTAGAAGTCTCGGTTTTCATGGGTGGTACACCGACCGGAAGGGGAAGCAGGTGTCGTATAATTATTAGATGGGTTCATGGAAGACATAGCACAGTTTGTCATAGCGAAATGGGTTACACGCAACATAACTCTCTCTCATTATGGGTGCCAATAGCAGAATTACAAGTCCTGTCAAGACCCCTCAAAATATCCGGATTGGCCTATAAATACATGACCCAACGCTCTCTGGACGTGGTATCTCGTGCAACATGATTCCGCGCGTACAAAAGGCCAAGGAAAAAAAAATCTTGCCATAAAACCAACGCTGGTCAACCCACTCCCCTTTAGGAGGCTGTGGCTGCTTCATCTCTCGTGCTAAGTCGAGAAGACTCATAGTATGATGATCGAGTGTACCGCAAATGGTTGCTCGGTATGCGTCCATTCGTACCAAAGAACTCGAAGGGGAAGGGCGGCAACGGGCGCCGGAGGTTGCACTCGTAACGGGCATCCACAAATCCTGATCGGAGCTTCCGGAAATGGTGTCGTGACAGCTGAGGCACGACTGCGAGGGACGGCGTCGCTCGAGGCTGTTGCAACGACGCCTGGATATCCACATCTGTGAGAAGCTGATCCCAGTGCTTGAAAACAGATTTCGCTGAAGAATGCATGGTGGCACTTTGCCCCGCCGGAGTCTGGAACAGCGTCTCATTGCCGACATACCCAACTTCAGACTGGAACCAAATATTCCTGCATGTGTCTTCTCCAGGGAGCACACCAAATCGCGGGTTGAGCGTTCCCCAACAATTAAGCCAGCCTGGTGCAAGGGGTGTCTGACAGGTCCCCAGGTTTTGCCAGACGTCGAGGATGATTTCCACGCTATTGTCGTAGTGAATGTGGAACGAGATGCTGTATTCTGTGGGGCAGTCCTCGCAACGCTTGATTATTCGCGGTAGGGGGAAGTAGCCGTCATCAACACTGTTGAAAACGGACTGAGCAGCCAAAACGCAGCCGAGGCCTTCACGCAGCGGCAGGATGAAATTCCATATCATCTCGCCAGACTGGGGGCCATGGTGCGCACAGATCTTGAAATCACCAGCTGAATCACCAGCCCCATACCGAATCAAGACATCGGTGCCCTGGATGTGGATTGGAACCCAGAGCCGCTGAATCCTGTGGACTAAGAGGTGGCCGTTGTTGATCACGGCCTCGGCGTCCAGTTTCGTGTAGCTGACGAAACGCTTGAAAGGGGAACGGGACGCGTTGTGAAGATTCCTGTATGCGTGACTAAAGGTCCAGTCGGTCGATACACAGAGCTCTGCAAGGGGAACTCCATGGTCGGCCGTGAAGGAGTGTCGAGACATGACAGCATAGACATCCCGAAAACCGAATCCCCAATGTATTCCCCAGCGTTGGAATTGCACCTCCTTCGAGTCGCAATCACTGTCAGAAGCCGTGTCGGGAAACACTCTCCAAAGGGACAGCGACGGAGCATCCACACGAGGATGGAATATGCGGCAGTAGTGGCAGAGCTCATGGCTGGGCAGCTTTGGCTCCAGCTCCTTGAGAAACTCCCACCTCTCATCGTCGCAGGTCTGCGCGATGTAGCTCTTGATGGCTCCGCCAGTCTCCGCGGCGCGAGCTTTGGTCCAGACGTTGACGTCCGTGTTCTGCCTCAGGTGGTGGTTGCAGATCCCCAGCCTGACAGCGTCGTAAAGGGGCAAGAAGTCATTCTGGATTTTCCAAAGAAGCTCGTTGGGGAGTCTCTGTATCTGCGGCGGCCCATCCCAGTCGGCGGGATTCGTGACAACGTCAAATCCCTCGATGGTCCTATCCATCTTGGAGCAAGTCTGGATGGCGGCAGAGCGGCTGCCTGGGAAGCAAATAAGCCAGAAGAGGTTGTTTGATGTCGGTTGCGATCAACGCAGCGGAGATGCGCTGCAACTATTCCAGCGCGTTTCCCAGAGCTGATGTAGTTGGTTGGCTGGGGGAGTTCCAAGCAGACATGGCGGGCTCATTGGGGCAACAAAAGATTGTTTGACATCACAGATGCAGTGAAGTGAATGGGAAATTATCGCCTAGGCTGAGCAAGACTAAGAAGTGAATGTCTACAGGAATCGGTCACTAGCTGCGGGGGTCTCTAGAGCGACAGCAGCACAAGCCTGGTCCGGCTGGCAGAGGACGGTGAGCTGAATACCTCGAGTGCCAGGATGCAGCGTGACCAAAAGAGAAAAGTACGAACGTGTGCGCTATCGTGAGGCTGGATATGTTTCTTTTTGACGTGGATGGTCGCTGCAGCAAACCTGGAGCCTGCAGTTGAGTCAAGGGTCTGCGGGGATGCCGGCAGAGCCACCAGCGGCTAAGCCGCAGCTGAGCCGCAGCTGCCTGCAGCCGACCGCCCAGGATGGCACCTCTCCCCCTATTATGCAAGCATCGCATGAACAATCTGGGTTCAGGTACTTGCAATTGGGACACCTGATTCATTGAAGATTTATATACTGTCTTTTATATTTGCTGCCTAAACCAATTGTCGAATATCTTTGGTGTCACTGTGTAATACATACATACTATACTCTTGGACCCTACCAAGAGACTGAACAACTCATTTCAGGTCAATGTCAGCTAATCATAATGACAAACGTGCACGTATGGGTTTCATATATAGAAATATCTCTATTGTAAGGGGCATACACACCGGCTATCTACTACAAGTCCATAAAATGATACAATCGCACAACGTTTTCCTGGCAGCGCTTCGGCTTTACTGGTTTCCCAATCTCTCCGCCTCTAAGGAAGCGAGCACATATGCAGCAGAGCCAAGAACACTGTTGTAGTTGATTGGTTGCCCAACGTAGTACTGTGGTCATCAAGTGAGCTTTTGATTGAGGTATACCACAAGGCGATCGACTTACCTCATACGTTGCACTTGAGTTCAAGCTACAAACCGAGACCGTGCCGTTGTACCCAAGCGTGCCGTTGCCGTTGTCAACAACAAAAGACTCCGTCAGGTAGGTTCTCGCTTTTGTACCCACGACAGGCGCAGTCGCAGCGATGCTGAGGCCGCCCAGATATCCAAGCCGCGTTCCCTTCATGAGTGCGTAGGCGAACATGGCGCTTCCGCTGGACTCGATATAGTTGCGCTGTCGGCCAGGCTGGTCCAGGACCTGCCACCAGGCACCTGTCGCCGGGTCCGCCGAGGAGATCAAGGCCGAGGCGAGGGATTGATACATCTCGCGCAGCCGAGTCGTGTACTTGTCGTACAGCCGGGCGTTCTCTGTCCCGGATAGGATTTCCAGCGTATCCACCAGCGCCATCGCGAACCAGCCGAGACTGCGGCCCCACACGTGCGGGCTTGCGCCGGTCTCCGAGTTCGCCCACACTGCCCTCCGGGACTCGTCATACCCGTGCACCAGAAGCCCGGAGGTCTCATTGTGCGTGTGCCGCCAGAGAAGCTCAAGTTGGAGGAGCATGTCATCCAGGGCCGTCGTGTTCACCTCAGCCATCTTTGTCTCGGCCACGGCGAGTGTGTAGAGGGTGTAGTAGGGAGCGAGCGAATACATTCCGTCCAGGTAGCTCCATTCAGGGTAAACGAAGTACCATAGGCCACTCTCATTGTTGCGTCGGTTCAGGTCGATGCTCCTCCTCAGCGATTCAGCTGCAGCCCGAAGGGTTGACGAGTTTCCCAGTCCATACCCCGCATTAATACTGGACAGAGACAGGAGTGCGTTACCGTTGCTCAGGCGGTCCATCGGGTAAGAGAGCGCATCATACGTCGCGTTTTGCACGAATGGCGCCACCGAGGCAGCGCTGGCGCTGATATAGCCCCGAACCTTTTGCGCGAACTCTGCGTCATCCGGGTACTGGGCGACCAGAGCCGTGAAGGCCTTCTGGGTGATGCCAGCTTGGAGCAGCTCAGATGAACCACCAGAGCCGGTCATAATACCCTGGCCTCGAGAGATAATGCTCGAAGCCATCCATCGCGAATAAGTGCGAATCTCTGTCGTTGCTGCAAGTGCCCACCCAACAAGCGCCGTAACTGTCACTGCAGTGGTCGTCTTCCAGCGCATCGCAGCTGTTTCTAAGCCGATGGCTTGTTTGGATATTTTAAGAAAGAGAAGAGGATAGTTTGTGGTGAGTCAGCGAGGAGATGGAAGGAAAGCAGCTTGTGGGGTGGGTTTAATTCATTTGCTGGTGATTATGCAGATCATATCTTTAAGTTGTCTGTCCAACCACAGCGCATGGCTGTGCCAGTTATAGAATCAAGATTTACGTCACTTAAACAGTTGAGCCTGAGGCCTCGATTTCCAAAGTAGCTGAGTAGCTGAGTAGCTCCGTTACAGAATTGCAGGATAATGTAGCAATTATGAGCATGGAACAGTCGACAGTTGACAACCGTTCAATTCTGGATTCTGCATAAAAGCAATGACCAGTTTTTATTTGTATGGGCACGTCGGTAATAGTGAGCGAAATAGGTACCATTTCAAAAAGTTGTAGGCAGTCTCCATTCAATTGGCCATGCTGTATTACTTGATCCGCCTAGGTCCGTTCCAAGTATCTGGATTTGACGTGTAGTCAGATGTTCCACTCTGTATGCTGTAGGGAGTTTTCCTTAAGCACCAGTGGAATTACAAATCAATACGAGTGCTTTCAATTATATCACCATAATTGCAAAAACAGGTGCCAGTACTTGTAAATACAGAGCTGCGTGAGTTTTCAAAATGAGTGGTGAAGGGCTGCCTACGTCTAATCGCTGTCATGGGACTTTGCCCGCATCCCATTTTACCCTGAGGAGATTGTCTTCCGTCCATCCAATTTCATTCTTCATGAGACATAAGAAGGAGGTGTACAAGTCTTACTCCTGGAAATGATGTGCGCTTCACAACTCACCCCAGAGAGACTGTTCCTTCTTGTTCTCCACATATGGCTCCAATCGCTCGATCAAATCCTCGACCTCGATCTCATCTCCATCAATGTACTCCCCGTGGTGTTCGTGTGGTGGAATCAGCACGCTGTCAACAACCTGGATCACACCGTCCTTTGCAATGCCGTCTTGGATAGAAACACGTGTGAAGCCGTTGATCTTGATGCTGATGAAGCCGCCCCATCTGGCCACGTCGATACTGAGGCTCTTCTCGTCCAGTAGCGTTGGGAGGTCCACATGGAATTGTGCTGCGCTCGTATCAACCTCCGTGCGCCCATCCTTGCCATAGTAAGCGTCAGAGTAGAGGGTCTCATTGGCGACAATGTGGTATTTCAACAACGCCTTCAGGTAACCTAAACCCTTTTCCGTATTGAAAAGGAAAGCGTTGGCATGCGGGCCAAGCTTCTGGAAAGCCCAATTCGTCGGTGCAAAGACAGTAGATCCTGTTGTCTTATGTCCGTGAACCTCCTTCGACAAGCCCGATTTCTCAGCCGCAAGAATAAGAGTTGAGAATTTCTGGGGAAACAATGAGATGATTCGGCCTGCAGGAGGGGGAGGAACAAGAATGCTCTCGACTCCGTGAATAACACCATTGGCGGCGAACTGCACACCGTTAGCTTGGATAGATTACTATAGAGGGCTGATATGAACATACTATATTGGCAACGACGACCTTGCTGTAGAAGTTGACGCGTAGACCGAAAAGACCAACGCTTACTCGGAGCCGCTGGGCCTTGCCACCCAATGAGTCCTCCTTGACGAATGTAGGTAAGGTATGGCTGATCAAGACTCTGCCGGCCGGGTAGAGACCCGGGACGATGTGGTATTCCAAGACCTTCTCGATAAACTCCTTGGAGGGTTTCTTGTGGTGATCGGGGATCTTCTCGAACGCTTTGTCCGTAGGCACGAACGCAGTTACGTTGTGCTTGGTCGTGTTCAACGCCTTGACGATGTCTGGGTACTCGTCCACCAGCTTGGCGAACTTGGTCGAGTACTTGGACTCATGGATGGCTTGGTAGATAGTGAGATTCGTGGCGCCATGGTGACCATGCCTGCCGTGATGACCCTTTCGCCCTCTTCCCGGGCGTTCCACTTCCCAGGACTCAGGGAGGAAATCTGGAATCTCAAAGTCAATCTCGGGAAGCGAATCTAGAAACGACTGAGCGCCGCTCTCGAAGGCGTCGACGGCATCCGAGAAGGTGTCTTCGACCGAAGAGCGGACATCGTCGAGTGATGGGATGCTATCCCACCATGATTTCTCATCATGATGCGGCTCGGGATTGAGAGCCAACTTCTGGGCAGTAACCTCATCTGGGATCACGAAGGCTGTTGTTGCCGCTGCCACAAAGGGCAGGATAGCTGTGTACTTCATCGTTACTCGGCAACTGAGGATTGCTGGTTTCGTGAGATCTGGAAGAAAGAAAGACGGTCAAACCCAAATCCCGTGGTTCCCGTGGTTTCCGTAAGCAAGCTTCCTTATGTTGGGCTTGTAAGAAGACCCCGCGGTGCGTAATGCGTGACGTCAACTGATGCTTTATTGCGTTTTTGTCGAATTGGGGGAAACTCGCCGGCCTGACCTGAGAGCTGAATTGAATACAAAGTCGAGCTGAAGAGAAGCTGGGAATGCCAGGCCCCTCATATGTCCTTCGTGTTACGCAATGGGCAAACTGCATTGATCAGCAAGCAGGCAGCTCCCAACTAATATCTCCGCGTCATGATTGCCTCTCCAGGTAGCGAGATGCGTCGTACGTTTCAGAGGTGGTGTGACGATTCCATTGGTGCACCGGAGCTCTTGGGGCTGTAGGGACAGCTCCTAGCCACCCTCCATCGGGGTTCTAGCGGTCCCGCGCCCGTGGGAGCGAATCTGGGGAACCAGAATCCAATTCCGATTGATCCGTACTTACCATGCATATGCAACTCTGTTGATTGGTGTACATCCCCGGACAGTGACTAGGATTGCTGCTACGGACTTCACACTTTCAAGCTCAGAGCAGATGTGCCCACACTCCAGGCTACAGCAATACTGAGCCTATCGCGATGTGAAGTACGCGCAACACCAGTTCAGCTATGCAATACAAGATCTTAACCAACAAATGACAATGGACTCAACCAGTCTGCACCGTGATATCCTATATGATGCCAAGGGCACCTGGGTAATCATGGTTGGGAAGTATTCGTAGAAGTGAAAGGCCTACCTGCATACGTCCCGCTGGGTTCTGTCGATCGACACGACAGACCTGCAACTGTTTCGGTATAGTTCGTATCTCGTCATTCGATAGTAGAGTGAGAATATATTACCGGCTAGCAATGCGATAGACGTCAAGCCGGCCAGTAATACACATCATATGGCACAGCCTGGAGGTCGGTTTACATTAGACCATTAGACCATTAGACCCTACGACCACCAAACCCAGCAGCGAGCCTGATGGGTTCTGTCAAGTAGTGCTTCTCTTCTTTCTGGAAGGCATCGACAATCTTGACACCATTATTGATGTCCACAGCCCCCCACCTCTGTTCCCGGTCCACTCGCATACCACCGCCATCCCAGACTCTGCTCTCGTCCAGCAGCACCTCAACAGCCCAAGCGTACTTGACCCTGCTTGTGCCATTCACGTGAGAGACGGTGGGCGCGAACGCGGCCTCGGCATCCGCACGTGCTCTCGGCAGACGCGTGCACAAGAGGTGCAAATCCAGGAATTGCGAGAACGTGAGCCCAAAGGCCGGCTTGTTCCTACGACTTAGCGTCAGGCTTGAAGAACCGTAGCCACCGTGTGTTGGAGGCGGCGGGTTGAAAATAGAACGGAGCGTTGGGTCGATAGGCCGCTCCGGCGGCCGCTTGCCCGCTTGGCCCGGTGTGGTTGGACCGGTGCCAACCTGACTGGCGACAGGACCAGTGGAGGTGTTGGTTGTGCCGTTGAGGAGGAATATAAGAGGCCCTGCCGAGTGGGCTAGATATCGTAGGTGAGATGCGAGAACTTGAAGAGTGGAGTGTGCTGATGACTTATCCCGTTGGGTGAAGAGAGAGCTGAGAAGGTCTGAGAAGTGGGTGATTAGGATTATTTCCGGTATGGTGCTATACATTCCTTCAGGTTCCTGGTTGGATGGTGACGGTGCTGGCACTTGCGCCGACTGTACATCGGCGTTCGTTCCAGCGGTCGGAACTGGGGAAGCGGAAGGTGACGACGACAGCCCACCCTCGTCTTCGCTATCAAGTACCTCAGTTCTCTCAGTAGCCCGGCAAGCAGCGCCTTCTTCTATGGGGGAGGATGGAGGAGACGAAAGTGGTGACGATAGCGGCGAAGACTCGGGCACCTCGGCGACGACAGGGATGACGTCCTCCTTGGCTGTCTCTGGGCTTGGAGCAGGAGATTCTGTCTCAAGCTCATCCAGCACCTCCCATAAACCCTCAATGTCGAATACCCGTGAGACTGAAATGCGTCGTAAACACTCGCGCACGTGAGCGTTGACGCTGGCATGGTCGCGCCCTAGCTTGGCTTGGACCTGTGATTTGACGACATCACGTAGCAGCGGTAGGATCACCGGTGCCGCCAGCGTGGTGATTATAGCAGCTTTATGCAGACCAGGGCCTCCATCCAGACCAAGAACTAGGTTACGGGCGGTAGTTTGAAGAGCAAGCTGAAAAAATACAGTCAGCGGGTGATTAGTAAGGACTTGCTGTGGTCTCCCCTTCCAGACCATGCACTTGGAAAAGAGGAGGTATATTTGGCTGTAAACACCACCCCCTTGAAGCAATTAGTCCACTCACCAAAAGCGCAAAGTCCACCTCCTCAGCACTGACTCCAACCACCTGGCCACGCTCAAACCCGCCGACGAGGACTTGCTCATCAATCTCCTTACTTCCAGTCTTGAACAAGCCTCGGCGAGTGAGTCCCTGGCGCCGAGCAGTCTCGAGATCGAAGAGTGTGGATCCCGAAATAGGGTCAAGAGGAAAATGAGAGCTGGCCTGCGAGGCTCGCGGCTGGGCATCCATTGCTATCCTCTCGATCCTCCGGTATTTTATTTGACTTGGTAGCTACCTGTGAGGATACCATGCCCCATGCGGCGTGCTGTTCAGGCCTGGGAAGTCGGGGGGAGCGTTCATATTCAAGTACGATGCCTCAAGTGTGCAGCGTATTGTTTGTTTTTGGCGGTCTTCTCCTCATAGCCCTTCATTCGTCATGAGGAGCATACCGAGACCGAGATCCGATTGCGGCGACCAAAAATGCATTCACTCCCAGGCTTCGACGTGGTGAAGCGATGGGCTGGCTAAATTCGATCTTGCGGTTGTATGTGAAGAGTGCGTTTTTCAGAGATAGTTCTAGGTAGGTAAGTAAGGTTGAAAATGCTACCCTAGATGCAGTAGGTAAGTCGGGCAGGTAGCTTTCAGGCTTGTTGACCCAGGTGGGGAACGGTCCAGGCTACTTGACTGATCTTGCTGCCAGCACTCACCTCACCCTAACATACTAGGGTACAGTCTCTTGCGAGCCCATGTCATCCCGCGAGTCTCCTGAGCTGCCTGTCTGCTACAAAGAAATCACAGGTTCGTCAAATTCAAGAAGCTTTGGCACATGTTACAATCGAATTCAATTTAGAGAATTTCTGTTACCGCAACCAACGTAGTTGCCGCTGACCTTTCCCAATGTCCATCTTGAGCTTCTCAGTGCTCATTTCCGAGATCACCTGAAAAAATTAAGCATGCTTGTGTTTGCTGCTTGCGCAAAAGGTATCCTGACAAAAAAATTGCATCGAGTGAGTGTCGAGGACCATCCGTCTTCCCTGTCACTGTTTCTTTTTTCTTTCTTCTTGACGAGCCGGAATTCCTACACACTCCCTCCGTCGTCTTGCTGTGAGTTGAACTTATCCTCGACCAGTTGGCAGGTTCGTGCCTGGTAGAAAGACCAGGTCGTTAGGACAGTCGAGCCACGTGCATCGCATCTAGTCCTTCTCCGGTTTCTCCGAAACCTAGACCGTAGCAGAGCCTGTCGGCCAAGCTGTGAATGCCGAAAGTTGCACGCATGTTGGATCGCCTATAAGAGGTCTTGATATGTAAAATCATCAGACAGCAGTGCCGGGAGTGGGAGGAGCAGGTGGCAAGGCGGCCTGAGGCGGTTCTGGTCGCTGCTTCCGCCCGCCCTTCAAACTCTTGACACGGGTGAGAAAGCCACCGCCGCCGCTCTGGGCCTTCGGAGGCTCAGGAGGAGCCATGGCGGCCGTGGCATCAGTCGTGGCACGACGCTCCAGACCGTGAGGAGGGCTATTGGGGGACATTGGAGACATGGGATTGGCGTCTTGTCGCTTCACCGTGATTTGCTCCTCGTTCTTGTCAAATTCATTGAAGAATGGGTTGCGCTCCCCCGTGCTGCTGCCCGTGGGAAGGTCGCCGGATCGCGGTCCGTAGACACCGTCGGGGTTGGTCATTCTGCCGCGGTTGTTCATGTCGCGAGGACCACGGTTGATGCCACGAATCCGCTGAGCTAAGGACTTTTTGCGCTGCAGTCCGCCCTCGAGAGTTTCCTGTGCCGTCTCGGCTTGACGTCGCTGGATTGCCGTTTGCGCGGCCGGGGTACCTTCCAAAAAGGTCGAGGTTCCCAGTCCCAAGCTCTCATCGCCATGAAGAATAGAGCCTCGTGAATGGGGATCCCATACGGCGGCGTCGCCCGCCTTCTTGATCTGAGGCTCTTCCATGTAGCCCGGCTTATCCTTGCCCGCTACATTGTAGTCCAGGAAAGCCTCTTCGTCGTATCGCCCCATCAAAGCTTTGTGGTCGGGCTTCGCATTCAAGGGTCCAGCTCCACCAAGGGACATGTTGACAGAATCCTTGGGAAATGCCTGCATCGGTGCGTGCCGAGTGCCCTTTCGGTTGCGGTGCGGGTTGAGTGCATCAAAAGGACCGTCGTGATGGAACACTGGACATGAGCGAGTCAGATCAAAGGAAAGCCAGAGGCATGCGATGTCACGGGAGATAGTGAGAAAACTTACATCCAGTACCGTAGATGCTGGTGGCGTCGAGCTGGTCGATGAGATCAAGTCGTTTGCCTTTGGGTTTGCTAGAGCCAGACTTGTCCTTCTCCTTGGCTTCACGGTAGCGCCGCTCCCTCTCGCGCCGTCTGCGCTCCTTCTCTTTCTTCTCCTCTTCCGTCAGTGGCCTCTCCTTGTCCATGATAGAGGACTCCGAGTTGCGACGAGGGCGTCTCTCCATGCGCCTCTGGGGGTTCTCGCCGGGTGGGCCGTTCCTTTGTTGCATGCGACGTGCCTTCAAAGCCTCCTCCTGCGATCTTGTCGGTCGGTGGTTCGGAGGAGGGCCGCGAGTTCCTCGCGGGGGCATGTTCTCGCCACGGGGTGGCCCACCTGGCGGACCGCGTGGAGGGCCTCGGGCGCCGTCGGGTCGTGGGCCAGGGGAGGGTGCAGGGGCGGGCTTGACAGCTGGCCGATCATCGAGAATCATGTTGTCCTACGAATTGACAGTGAGCTTATTGTTTTGCTGGCTTGAACAGACATGCAGCATTGCAAAATGGGTGTTGGGTGCGAGACCAGCGAGGGTGAGCCGGTCTAGCGACGTAAAACAGACGCGGGTCACGGATTGGGGTGTGAATCAATAGCGGGTGAACTTACGAACAACTCCTCGGCGGTTGGCGACTTCCTATTTTCATTGGCGGACGCCATACTTGCTGGCGACTGAACTCTTTGTGCTCTGGTGCCGTCGGATGGATCAAAGAATGGGTTTCTCGAGACGGGTCTCGCAGGCAGAGGGTCGTCGAAGGGAGAATGGGGAGGAGGAGGGGAAAAGGAGCTGGGCGTAAGGGCGCTATTTGGCGAGGCAGCGCGATTGCGAAAGGGGTTGTTTGACGAGAGATTAAGCGTCAATCCAGAGGATCGGCCTGCAGATTGGCCTGGGCAGACAACGGGTGGTTAGCATCTATCTATATCTGTGTGGCAGGGCAGCGGGAGCCGGCTCGGGTACAGATAGCAAAGCAAGGCACCATAGGACAGGACAGCAGGAATGACGACCGTGATGGGCGCACATGAAACAAGAGTCCCTTTAAATTGACACGGACAACTGGTCCGGTTAAGTGGAGCGTCGCCAATGCTCCAGGGAGCACAAAGCTTGGAACCTTCCCAAGAAAGGCCTGGCAGGGCCATAAGTGCCGTGGTATTATCCACTGCCAATGAATATCGGGCAGGATAATTCGCCCACGAGGGCCATTTCGACCCTTTGTCGCTGCTGGGATGGTGGCCAAAAAGGGGTGACACTGCAGACTGGGGTCGGTGGGGGAGAAGACTAGGAAACGAAACTGTCGATTATCTTACCTGACGACAGATCGGCCGACATGGCTGCCTGTGAGCCCGGTTGCCAATTCAATTCGGTTTGGGGCTGAGCGCAATTGAAGCCGACGAAGCCGGGATTCGCTTCCACTTGCCCGTCGCAGCTTTGCGTTGCGTTGCGTTGCGTGGGTGCGCCGCTCGTTCGTTGCTGCGCGCGGCGAAGGTGCGTGCTGGGAGAGTAGACAGAGTAGACAGGAGGAATTCCCTGCCCAGGCCAGCCGCGCGGGTTGAAATTGGCCGGACCCGGGGGTGGTCAAGTTATCAAATCGGTCGCAAAAGGCAACCTGCGCGCGGAGCTCTCGAACCGGCGCAAAAGAGATGCGACACGCAGCTGATAGCAAGCAGCTGTGGCGTGGCAGGTACGTCAATCACGAAAAGGGCGGCGATCGTCAGGGAAACGAGTGGCCTGGCAGATAGAAAGCTGGGAGGATGTCTCAGTGCTGCCAACTGTTGTAACCCTGCTCGAGGATGACGTGGGTTGCCGTGAATCCGCCTTGCGGGAGCAACTGCTGCAGCGGGCGTAGTAACAAATTTGGGTGAGGACGTGATGCGATCGAGGCAAGAAAAAATAGGGGCTTGCTCCCGTTCAGGTGTCGACGATGATATCTGCTGGAGGGCAATTGAGTTTTCACTGCCAGGCCGTGTCTGCGGGCTTGTCTATTATTTGTCGCTGTCGAGCTGCGTGTCCGTAGGGTCGCGGGGGGTTTGGGTTCTGCGGTTTTCTGGCGCCAACGGGCCCGTTCGACTGCAAGGGACGACGGTCCAGGACCGGATGAACTAGCCGCCAACTCAATTGCTGGTGGTTTGACAGGACACAGAGGCGACCGAGAGCAGCCTGGCCACCTGACGCAGGATTGGGATTATAAGTAGCCTGGCGAGACCGATGGGCAAGTCGGGTCGCCTGACGAGGGCAGGGGGGAGAGAGCGAGAAAAAAACGTGACTGGTGACCGTCGGCGCGGATGTTGTGATCTTCACAAGACCCCTTCTAAAAGCTGTAGTCTGGATTTGGGTCTTTTTAGGTTAGGGCGGGACGCATTCGGGAGCAGCGGTCCTTGTGTGTGGGCATGTGGCGACGTCGGCGGCGGATGTCGTACTGTATGTACGTCCACGGGTAGTACTATGCTGGGGGAGCGGGGGGAGCACAGCGGGCGTGCCAGTGGCGGGATACTAGAGATCGTCGGGTCGCCGAGGGTGCTGTAGAGTAGCAAAAATTGTTGCAAGTAAAGAGAAGCGAAGACGAACGAACGAACGGGTGGACGACGAGGGACAGAGGGCGGGCGAGTCTACTAGCCTCGGAGCACGAGGAAAGAGACAGACATGCGCAAGAGTTGACTGACTAGTACAGTCGGCAGGATGGATCGGGGACGCACGTCAACAGTAGCTGGAGCGGTAACTCTTATTTGGTTCGTAATAAGTCGAGGAAACAAGCAGGGCTGATAATAAATACCTGCACCTAGGCCACTCTGGCTACCAGGAGCAGCCTTCCATTCGGTAATTTGTCACACAGGCCCGAAATCAGGTCAATACTCACCCGAAGGTAGGGATTTGGTTAAGGTCTCTAGCCCAGACTTGAACAAGTGACACCGCTTGCATATGTGTCTGTACTTTACCTACCTACTTGGTTAAGAGGTAGACAGCCTAGACCTCGTGTACGGTCCGTCCGTCTATGTCCTATTTTCTTCTGCCTGCTTCCCCCACGAGCCATAACCTGCAACTGTGTACCATACCTAGTACACCGTCAGCACGCCCACGCCACCCTATTCACCCCTACAAGCCCGTCCCCGTCCGATCCAGACACCGTTGCCGCTTGTAAGCTTGTTCGCTCAAGCGGCTGTCGTAGGCAAGGCGGAGGCGTCGGCGGCGGTTGATCCACGATCGTGAATTGGTGGCCCGGTGGTTTTGGCTACAAATTTCCCGCCCAATGGCCTTGTGCCCCTGCTCGTCACTTGAGCTACGCAGCCAAACTAGCTGGTCTTGGCTGCTGAGTTACTATGGTACATGTTACCTAGGAAGCTACCTGTATGCATGGCTCGCGCCATGGCACCCGGTGAATATACTCTGCATATGTCTGCATGCTCTCAGACATTCAGCTCCCGACTAGGAGAAAGTCCTTCTCAGCTCTGCCAAGCAACCTTGACGGGCGACAGCATAACAATAGCCCTGCTGCTTCTCACGTTGCAGGAACATGGCCATCTGGTGGTAAACTACCTGAAGTACTTTGCCCGGGTCCCATACCGTGTGTGCTGTGCAGTTGCATTTGCTCGATATTCCCCAGGTTATTGCAAACCCCTGGCAGGCCTGGGAATACCACACTGCAGCCACAGAACCAGCCAGTAGGCTGTTACCCTGGCCATCTCTGCATCAAGTCGGTCAGCCTGCGTCATTGTCAGCTCTCGATTCCTGCGAGAGGCGTCCCCAACGACCTGCGAGCTGCGACTCTGCCAGTATGACCACCCAGGTCTACTCTCAGCTGCGCTGTAGCCCTTCATGCCTCCTGGACGGGATCTCGCAGCTTGGCCGCTTCTTAGATCTCGACGTCCCCAAAGCAAGGCGCCACAATGTTAATTATTGCAAGGCCCACCCTGCACATCGAGAATCGACGGTGGGCCTCTCAATCTAGCGCGTCGCCCCGCACGCCCCTGCAGACCCTAGATGCTGGGAAGTTGCCGGGCTAGACCCTGACTGTAGAATGCTGGGCCGTGGACTCACCGCTAATGAACGGCCGAGCGTTGAATATCCTCGTGGGTGAGGCAGAGGAGTGGCCCTGTGAGTTGGTTCTCAAGCTCACACGTCCATGTCGCGATGGCTTGTCCTGAGGTTTGTTCCAGCTTGACGATTCGCCGTCGGTGGGCTCAACCTCGCGACCTAGGCAGGGGGGCAGGATGATGGCAGAGACCCCTTTTCACAAGCGACCCCACATTTGAGGCTCCAGTCTACTTGAGTGTTGTGGGGAAATCTTACCAAACTGATCGACTGATGCTGGACACAGTCACTTGACAACCAGGGATCTTCCGGGCACCGAGGCTCGTCCTTCAGGGGTTGTGAAGCCTCGCTGACGAGACCGGGGGGAGGTGGGCGGTTGACTCGGAGCGACCCTTCCAAGCTGTCCTCAGCGCAATGGGGCGGCATCATCCCAAAAACATCAGCCAAAGGGGTCTTTTCAATGGCCTTAGAGGATGAGAACTCTTTATCTACTTCTAGTCCGTACGTCTTCCGCTGAGCAGGGGTACACCTGAGAAAGCGCAAACTCTAGACTCGGTATTCCGGGCGTCTCGCAGCACTCAGCTCTCTAAACCACATCTCTAGTCTACCGAACTAGGTAGGTACCTACAGTATCACTATCACTATCACCAAGGCAATTGCAAGGGCGTCGACAAGCCTTGTCCAAGAACTGGCTCCGCAGTTCCGATATCTCTTGGTCCACGCGGAGCCCAGTATTCTCCCGATTTGCTGATATCAAGCTTCTCCGTCCAGTCAATGAGACTCGTTGCCGCTTCATCTGGTGTTACCGCTGAGCAAGAGCGAGTTAGTATCTGAACCAAGCTGTTTGGGGAGTAACATGGGACAGCTTACCTCCCCCATCATCCCAGTACTTATCGAACCCTACCCCCTTGGTCATTTCAGTGCGCATGAACCCAGGGTGTATGATGCTGATGATGACGCCCTTGTCCTTCAGATCAAGGCTCAAGAGCTTGCCAACCATGTTGAGAGCAGCCTTGGAGGCGTGATGCGCATAGTTTCCTCCGCCCTCAGACTCGTGACGGAGCGTGATGCTGCCAGACTCGCTCGACACCAGCACGACCTTGGAACCCGACTTGAGTAGACCAGAATGCGCGAGCTGGTGGACAATGAAAACGGGCGCGATGGAGCTTGTGGTATACATGGTGACCTCCTCACCCCAGTTGGGTCCCTTCTCGGCCGAGAAGTCTTCTGTCACGAAGCGCCCAGCAGTGATTACCTATCCTGATTTAGCAACCGAACGCTGTCTCGGGGCTGATCAGAGGGTGCGTACGACAGTATCAAGCGGGTCCTCTCCTTTCAACTGCTTGGCCAACACATTTCCAACATCGGGGTTCGTCAGGTCAACCTTCGAGAGCCAGGTGATGCCCTCGGGAAAGCCGTCCGGCTTCGATTCGGAACGTGTTGTGGCATAGACTGACTGTGGATTCTCAGAAGTGTATTGCTTCACCACCGAGGCACCGAGACCTCTCGTTGCACCCACAACCAAGACTCTAGGCATTGCCGCAATACTAGCTCGGAGCTTTTGGGCGTCGGTAATGGCTGAAGAATAATCGAGCTTTTACTGTGTTCTGGAAATGAGTTTCCTGAGTGCTGTAAGCTTAAGCTTCTCCTTCAGTGGAAAGTCCCAACGCCTGGGATTTGGTGACGTCGGTAGTGGGGGAGGGGTCGTCGAGCTGGAAGCCAATCACGCAATCAAGACTGAGACGTGGCGGTAAGACATGTTTCCTTGAGTCTCAAACATGCCGCAGTAGTGATATTTTGTCAGCCCAAATTGGAGACGGAGTCTTATAGGACAGCCGCGTTGTAATCTGTATTACTGTAGACTGAGGAGCGGCATTGCACTGCGGGCTTTATACCGACATGCGTTGACTCTCGCGGCCTCGGGAGCGTTTGGACATCACCGCCAGCTTGAGTGAGTCCTGTAATCAGGCGGCCTTTGTGCCATACACCCATCTTGAACGTATAAAAATTCCCAAAACGTCTCGGGAACGATACACAACCTTCTGAGTATCCACAGGCCGGCAGCATTCTATACTCTGCTAAATGAATTTCGAGCTAACCGGTTCCGTTTCTTACCAACTCAACTCATAAGCTGAGATCACTAAGACATCAGTTGACTTTATCTGTATTAGATAACGCCTTACCAATTCGATAATCCGGACGACCATAGCCGACAATGTTCCATCGTGAGAGGATAACATCATGGTCAATGATAACCCATGCATAATCAACCGTATTCGTATCTGTCCCCACACGAGATATCGTACCAGGGAAAGCTGCGTGTTTCGTGATACATGTGGGAGCACAAGTCCCGCCTCCAACTGAGAACAAGCCTACTCGTTGAATGCGAACAATTCCCACCAACACAAGATCAAGATGCCGTTCTCGCTCGCAACAGCAACCCTCGCCGTAGCGGCGGTGTTTGCCCTCAAGGTACGGCGTCCCAAGACTATACGTAGCCTATACACTTGCGACCGCGAGGAGGGGGCGCTAAGCGTATACACATGAACCGCAGTTCCTCGGGACCTGCGTCTACAACGTCTTCTTCCACCCGCTGCGCCGGTACCCGGGCCCGCTGCTCTGGCGGGCGACGCGGATCCCCAAGCAGCTGGCCTGGCTGACGGGCGACTTCGGGCGCCGCAGCGACGAGCTGCACGCGCGCTACGGCGCCGTCGTGCGCATCGCCCCCGGCGAGCTGTCCTACATCAATGCCCAGTGCTGGCGCGACGTCTTCGGGCGCCAGCCCGCCGGCCGCCGCGAGATGGGCAAGGACACGACTTTCTTCGGCGATCCCCAGGCGGCCGCCCAGAACCTCGTGAGCGCACCGTACGAGGACCACGCGCGCAGTGAGTAGCGCCGGTAATCGTTATACTCTAGCCTTCCCTTTCCCCCCCTCCACCCCTCTTCGGGGCGAATATAGAGGCTTATGAGTGCTGTGTCACAAGAAGACACGCATACTTGGATAGATGGATCGGATTCATAAGGACAATATTGACTTGAGCTGTTATTGTAGTGCGCCGGCTGTTCTCGCATGCCTTCAGTAACTCGGCATTGGTGGCGCAGGAGCCGCTACTTGCGCAGTACGCGAACCAGATGGCGCTCAAGATGGGCGAGGTGAATCGGCGGGATGGGCGGATCGACATCGTGGACTTCTTCAACTTCACCACGTTCGACATCATGGCGGAGCTGGCATTTGGCGAGCCGCTAGGCATGCTGGAGAAGGCCGACTACGTGCCGTGGGTGCGCATCATCTTCGATGGGCTCAAGTACGTCGTCTTCCGGGCCGTGCTGCTCGACGTGCCGGTGCTGGGCCCGCTGCTCAACTGGCTGACGGCGTCGACGCTGCGGGCAAAGGCCCAGGAGCACTTCCGCTTCGCGTCCAACCTGGTCGACAAGCGCCTGAGCTACACGGACCACAACAAGCCCGATCTGTGGAGCTTCGTCCTCCGGCACAACGAGGACGGCAAGGGGCTGACGCCCAGCGAGATGCACGCCAATGCCTCCATGTTCATGGTGGCCGGCACCGAGACGACGGCAACGAACCTCTCCGGCGTGATATACTATCTCGGCAGGAACCCGCCAGTCTACCGGAAGCTCGTGGACGAGATCCGTGCCACCTTCAAAACGAGCGACGAGATAACCCTAGGGCCCCTGGCCGAGATGGAGTACCTCAATGCCGTCGTCAAGGAGGGCCTCCGCATCTACGTCCCGGGCGGGGGAGGGCTGATACGCATCGTTCCCCCTGGGGGGGCCGAGATCTGTGGCGAGTACGTGCCGGGCGGCACATCGGTGACGATGAATCACTACGTAGCATACCGGCACCCATCCAACTTCTCACGCCCGAAAGAATTCATACCCGAGCGGTGGCTCTACCCGGACGACCCTCGATTTGCATCCGACAAGAGGGAGGTGTACGAGCCATTCTCGTACGGGCCTAGAAACTGCATCGGGAAAAAGTAAGTTGAAGTCGGTTGAAGATCATATAGTAAGACGCTAATTTGCGGGTTAGCCTGGCTCAGCTCGAGCTGCGACTACTTCTGGCAAAGACATTGTGGCACTACGACATTGAGGTATTACCAGAGAGTAAAGGATGGATGTCCCAGAAGACCTACTTGACTTGGGAAAAGGGGCCTTTGTTCGTGAAACTTCAACCAGTCGAGCGATAGGTACAGGGCCACGTTTACATAGTCATTACTTTCGGGCATTATCAACTTCTTTTCGTAGTTTAATATAGCTGTGTGAGTTCTCTCAAGAACCAGTAGCGTCTGTCAGCAAAGCTCATTGCTCTGACGCGACACCCCCGATCAATGATTATTTTCCGGCCGTCAGATTCCGGAAATTACCTGACAACGCTTACCCTGTGCGATGCTATAATTACATTACAAACCAACATTATCCAGACAAATTTCTCCTACGCTCGGTCTCCTTCTCGTCACCGTCCCGACGCAGTCCCGCCACATCCGCGAGACTGCCCTATCGTCTCCCGAGTGCAGAAGATACGCTGCCGGACTTCTTCCTGAGGCTGGCTGAGCTGCCCCAATGTCCGGCTGATTTCTTCAGTCGGTTGCCAAGGCTGATTCTCGCAGCGCTCAAAGGTTGTTGGCCCTCACCAATGTTGATTGGCTTGCCTTGTTCGTCAGCGAGTGGAAGTTGTGATCCGCTCGCAATACTTTCCCATTCACCCTTTTCACCGATGCCGCTTACCTCGCGGTTTGGTGTAAGAAGGCCATTACTCTCATCGGAGGGCTGCTGCTGGTGATGGACCTTGCCTTGACGCAACGCGCCTTGCAACACAGCCCAGGTCTCGACCTGTCCGTTGCAGGCTTCCTCCACGCAATCGCACTCATCGCCTGCTGGGCATTCCGTCTCGCCATGAGAGTGCCACTCTGCCAGACACGCTTCGTGAATTGCACAGCCGCACCCAAGGCAAGGCACATACATCGCGTCGATCGGTTCTCGACAGTAGACGCATGAGAGCTGCAATTGCGTGCGTTTGCAGCGATTGCAAATACCGGAAGCCCCACCTATGGATGCGTTGGGATATGTGGCTTGGATGGGATCGAGATGTGTCTCGTGCACACGGCACAGTCCTACGACATCAAGCCCCCGGTTTGAGTTGATGATAGATTGAAGATGCTCCTTCTTTCCTAGCACAATCGGAGACTTGGTGCCAGGGTGAGTTAAAGTGAGGGTAGTGTGACTAAGATTGTCGTTGCTATGATGGGAATCATGAAAGCTTTCTTGGTCCAGACTTCCAACTCGTGCTGCTGGATGCACCGCGTGCTCGCCTCGTAGCACGTTGAATTTCAAGACTTCAAGGCGGGAAAGAGGCAGGCTCCACATTAACAGCATCTCTGCATATGCAAGTCTGTAGTGCTCATACGTAGCATCGCGGGATGGTTCAAGCAACGGTTCCGTCAGCCAGCCGTCGTCGTCGAATTGAGATTGGTCCTCGATGTGCACCGAGATGGAAGTGCAAACCAGTGTCTGCTCGTCATCCAGCCTCAGCTCATCATCAGAAATGGAATTACGGGTCGTCGTAGGTTCAGAAGTAGGTGCAATAAATGTAGAATTGCCCCAGGTTACATTCGCCGTCAGATTTCCAAGGAAGTTCTCCCCTGGGCTTGGCCGCTTACGGGTCGGTGGCGACGTGGATGCGGTGCTTGCAAACGGTCTGGAAAAGCTGGAAGCAAAACTCTGGGTCAATGTGGCATTGATACGGCGTGACAGGCGAGGTTCGGGAGATGTAGAGAGACTTTGTGTCGCATCATATTCGGAGAGGGTGTCTCGAGGTGTTCTCGAGGGAGGCGTCTCTCCACACGAATAAGAGTTGGAACCAGGGTCTCCGAGCCAATACCCATCGGTCGAATCCCATGAGCCTGGCATACGGAGTGGAGTATAACTAGCTCCAGGCGTTGAGACGGCTGAAGCGGCCTGGCTCCTGACATTGGCATTCGTGTGCCATAATGAGGCGTCGGTCGGGAAATAGTCGAGAGAGAATGATGGCGTCTTCATTGGAAGTGGCGTCTCGGGTTGTGAGAGATGAGACTCCGCATATGCCACGCCATCTTCCGCTGTAGATTCATTGAAAATGCAGGAGAGCATTGCCAACATCTGAATGTCAGCATTCTTCTCAAAGTAGTCGAATAGATCTTGTATGAAGTCCTTGGCCAACGGGTGCATGCCCCACTTCACTCTGCCTTTAAGGGTGTGGTCTAGGTGGTTGGATCGTAGTCCCTTGAATCGTGACACAATGTCCTTGGCGACGAACAAGACTGCGTTACCGCGCTGACCTTGCTGCAAGAGTTCCAAAGGGATATCTTTACGCAGAAGCAGAGCCGCATACCTCCAGACCTGCTCTAAATCGGAGCGTCCGTATTTTCGAGCGACCTCAGCGTTATGCTCACATACCTCTGGACCATCGCCAAAGATTCGATATTCGTCGGCTAGCTCCCTTCTGGATGGCAACAACTCTGTGAAGTTGTGCAGCGCTACGATGTTCTTGGGTTTCGCAGCACGACGTCTGCTTGTCCCGGTTCCGGTGCCGGTATCAACACCTGTGCCCGCGCCGCTGGAACGCATAGAGTAACTCCCACTAAACGTCTTCTTGAAGCGCTTGTTTGGAAGATACCACATACTGATCTTATGCATATATGTATTCTCTGAATCGCTTGAACTCGAGGAGTCGTCATCATCTTCCGTGTCAGAATGGTCTTCGGCCATTGACGAGCCGTCGAGCCTCTGTCGCGGAGGTGGTGAATCCTGCTGTAATCTGCCGAATCCTGCAAATGTTGGCCCACCCTTGGGCTTCTCTTTGTAGGTATCTGTAGGTGCGAATAACAGAGCCTTGGCCCTCTCATCCTTGGAAGGAAAGAAACAAACTAGCGTCCCGTCATTGGACCAACGTGCACCACAAGTCCGGGGAATGGGTGGCACAGTGCCACGATTCAGGGGCGCGAGAGTAGCATCTCGATCTAGTTCGACACTGGCGGTGAGCTCTTGAGACATGCTTGCCGAACCGCCAGCAGGGATATCGTTATCTTCATCCTCGCTCGAACTATCATCGGCGAGTGCATCGAGTTCATCGTCCAGGTCTCGAACATTCTTAAAGAACGACGTGCTACTCGAAAGATCGGTCTCGCCAAGCAGATAGCTGAAAGCTACTTCAAGGCAGTTCTGCTGCTTCTTGGCAAACTGGCTGGCGACTTGGTTCACCTCTGATTCAATCCTCTTGTGCGTTTGATCAGACATCAAAGCTGTTTTCTCAATGAAGAATTTCGGTGCCTTGGACTTGGGGTAGTGATGTGGAACATCCACTTTCACCTTGATGTATATGGGATCGCCATTGGCGCCCCAGGGGCCTTTCAAAGAGGCGTCAACGATGAGTGTGTTCATGTCAACGTTGTCCCATTGCACGTTAGGCAGTCTGTTGTCGAGGCGGAGGATCTCGTCATTCAAAGGTTCTGGCTCTTCCCAATGATCGTGAAATGTCGACCCGAACATGCTTGAGTCTTTTGATTCTTTCCTCTGCGGGGGAGCCACGGGCGGCCTCTTCTTCTTGCTCATGGTGATTCCTTTCATCCAGCCAAGCTGATCCGGTTTCCGGTCTGTCGACCTGCTAGACGCCGTTTTTGCCTTCATAGAAGTGCTCCTCCAGGATGCAGCACCCGTCTTGGAGTATTGACCCGACATGGTCTGCATCCCAATGGTGAGCGCACTACGCCTGTACCGGTCATCACCGCTTCCTGGACGAGGCCCACTACTCATGGTGGTCGTTCTCCTCTCACGGAAGGCTGTATCTCCAAAAGATCGATAAGTCTTGTATGTGGCGCCTATCCTGGTGATGTTGAGTCTCTGCTGCGCCGTTCCCCCTCTTACATGGCCGACCTTCTCCAGTGTCTGCGGTTCGATTCTGTGTAAGCGCAGTTCGTTATCTTCGCCCCAGGACACCAGCTGAAATTCACGTAAGTCTGTGTCATCGACCACGCTGCCTCGTGCTCTCCAAAGAAACTCCTTAGCCTTGTGGCTGCCATGGCCGGGAAATACGGATACAGGCTCCACGGCAGCATCGGCAGGCTCATCGTCGCGCTTATTCCAATCGTAGAGATATAGGTTTCCGGGATCGCTCTGCGGCATGGCCAAGAGGCCGGATCCGAACGGACAGTGCCGCGCACGCCATACTGGAAAATCAGTCTGGATGACCCGCTCGGGTTCGTCAGAAACCTCATAGTCCCACAGCTTGATGGTCCGGTCCAGAGAACAAGTGGCAACGCTGGAGGCTTTCATACGGTTCCAGTCGAGGCCGTAGATTTTGGAGGTGTGGGCGTTGATGGATTTGAGGGGTTTCGACGTCTTCCTCCTGTCCCAGATATGAAGCCAGCGGTCGTGGGACGAGGCAAGGATGTTTGCGTCCTGGCGGCAGTACTTGACCTGCGTGGCGCCGGCGTACCAGTCACAGAAGGTCAGAACGGGCTTCCTGGGTTTTCGCAGGTCCCAGCTGTGGACGTAGCCGTCGACGGAGCAAGTGGCCAGGAAGTCAGGATGGTGTGCGGAGAAATTGATGTCGGTGATGGCTCTGCTGTGGCCGTGCAGAGAATGTTCGATGGCACCATTCGCGGCATCTTCCCTTAGGTTGAGATTCCAAATGAGACAGCGGTGATTAGCCGTTGATGCCACCCAATAGTCACGCGCGGCGAACGGGGACCACTGAACATCGACCACCAGCCAGGGAGAGCCATGGCTGCTAAGTCTTCGAGGCGGGCTGTAGGGCGAGTCCAGATCGATGATGGCCAAACCCTCGGGGCTGTCACTCCAGTCAGCAAAGAACAATGCTATCTTGCAGCAGGAGGACTCACGATGCAAGAGCAACATCACGACCGCTGGGTGAGATGGTGGCAGAGCCCACCAGACCATCCACGTGGATGGATACATCGGCATCGAATGTCTCGCTGTCGTAGGCGTTCCGGATCACCTTGGCCTTCTTCTTCGGTTGATCCATGATGGAAGGCATCTTGGCTGTGGTCACGACACAGCCAGGGCGCTCATGGCATCCAGCACTCTGACAGCTCCCGGTTGGAAGTTATATAACAGCCCACAGCTCATTACTGTCGTCCTCCATGCGCCGTCACCTCGTTGGCCACGTGAGCAGCTGGTCTCATGGAGCAGCCTCGGACGCCCATGAACTCCCTATTAATGCTTAATAAACACAAGTCGACAGGCAGGATGGTCCCGTCGAGCAGCACATGCTGCTGGCCCGGATGGAAGAGTGATAAGAAACCGCACACCAGACAGCGACTCGCAGTCGCAGCTAAGGAACCCAAGGTAACTGTTACACCAGAGCAGCACGAGGTGAGTGAGAGCTGGTGAGGGCCCAAGCGCCTGGGTTGGGTTGTCGGAAGGCGTCCGTGCACGGGAGCTCTCGCTTTAGTTAGGGGCAGATTATACTGGAAGGCGTTAGCGCAAGCGAGGCGCCTCCAGGTACTCTCCAGTAGATCCTAGCGGGAAAGATACCTGGCAAGCCTGCCAGGCCTGGGTCTGCCCAGCGGCTTTGGGGGCTGATTGAGGGGCAGCCTTGGAGTTGTTCGGGTTCCAACTTTTTGTACTCCGTACCTAGGTAGTGACTGTCGTCAAGCCTTCAGTGAGAGAGACCCCGCGCCAGGCGGGCGGCCTTATCGCCCGGGGCTGGGCATGATGTGGTGCAGTGAATCTCGTTCAACGTCACTTGATCACAGATATAGATAGATCTTGAGGCTGTGTCGTCGAAACCGCCTACCTCTTCACCTTGTTGCTTTGTGCTATCTTGTCTCGAGACTCACAGAGACCGCATCTGCCACGCGCTTGAGGTTTTCAGTCATCCTAGTTCACTTACGTACCAAGGTCTCTTGCCAAAGACTGCCGCCGCCGACTCACGAAGCCGCACACCAAGCCGCACACCCCGGCTGCGAACCCCACCGAAGCCGCAGCCCCGAAGACTGGCAGCCGTCATTCGATCGAACAGTGCTTTTGCTACCCTTTACGAATTTATTTTGCTTTATACCATTGTTGCCGCACCTGTCTGGAGTCCACAGGACCCAAGATAACCATATCCGAGTCGCTCAACACGGAAAAGCAATCGGTGACACTGCCTCGCAAGATCGAACGAGTCGAACAGAATCGCATCAAACGACGACATGGCGCTGCCCAAACGGATTGTCAAGGAGACCGAGCGTCTGATGACGGAGCCGTGGGTAGAACCAACCGTGTATTACACGGGCTTGATCTCAGGGCCCCGATGCTGACCGTCCGTTGCAGCGTCCCCGGCATCAGTGCTGTACCCCACGACGACAACCTGCGATATTTCGACGTCGAGATCCATGGCCCGTCGGGCTCCCCGTATGAGGGTACGTAGAAACACCAACGGGACCTACAACCGAGGATGTCGCATACATGGCTGTGCGGATCGCTGACGGTCATATATTTCTTCTTACAGGTGGCAAATTCAAGCTGGAGCTCTTCCTGACAGACGACTACCCCATGGTGCCGCCCAAAATCCGCTTCCTCACCAAGATCTACCACCCGAACGTCGACAAGCTCGGCCGCATCTGTCTCGACGTGCTAAAGAGTAAAACCGCCCACCCCTTGCCGGAGAGCTGCCTTGGTACACAGACCGCTGACATTTGGCCGCAGACAACTGGTCCCCTGCCCTGCAGATCCGGACTATCCTGCTCTCGATCCAGGCCCTGCTCGGCGCTCCCAACCCGGACGACCCGCTGGCGGCGGATGTGGCCAAGAGCTGGAAGGAGGACGAGAACAAGGCCATCGAGACGGCCAAGGAGTGGACCAAGACGTACGCCATGTCTGGCTAGGGAAAAGAGAATGGTCGGGTGGAAGGACCGGTAGAGGCGCCACAGCCACAGGCGCCCGGATACGGTGGCAAGGGCACCAAGGAGGATCCTATCAGAATATGACTTCACGATTGAAGGGAAGAAGAGGAAGTGTTAGACGCCAATAGGCTCTTCTGGAGAGCTTGCCAGTGCTTTTGGTCTGGCTCATGAATATCTTAGAGATCTCAGTCTACTCTGTTTGGGAGACACAGAAAGCGTAAGGCCCACGGACCTCGAGTGTGCTTAAACACCCGACGTCCAATCTTCCTGCATCACTGGCTCGATGCTTTTGTAATATCACCCACTTGCCATATCCCGGGGGTGCGTAGGTCGCAGAATACCCAATAGTTGGCCCCCTTGCACTATTGTACACCTAGACGGTTCCTGCCATCTATCCTCGCTCTCAAGTTTCGCCAAACACGAAGACACCCTTGCCCTTCCTGAAGCCCTCCAGCGTGCCCTGAACCGCCTCCCGCAGCACGCTCTCCTCCGTGTCCCAGCCCCAGGGGACGTCGACGACGGGGGTGTCCTTGAACTTGCCGTCGCGCACGAGGCCCAGGATCTCGTTGACGGTCTGCGCCTTGGCGGCCGAGTCGCCGTCGGCCCAGCGGCTCAGCCAGAACCCGACGAACTTGATGTTCTTGAAGATGAGCAGGCCGGTCGGCAGCGCCACGGGCTGCCGCGACATGCCGCCGTACGTGACCAGGCTGGCGTCGGCGCCCAGCAGCTTGGCCATGGTCTGGGCCGAGCGCCCGCCGACGCAGTTGAGCCCGAGCCGGATGCCCTCGCGCCCGCCGCGCGTCCACTCCTTGACCTGGTCGCGGAACTCGCGGCTCTGGAACTCGTCCTCGGTGACGACATGGTCGGCGCCGAGCCCGCGCAGCTCCTGCTTCAGGGCCTCGGTGGCGGCCTCGCTGTCGCGCGCCCGCACCACGTTGATGCTGCGGTACCCCCACAGGCGGGCCAGCTGGATGGCGGCGCGGCCGACGCCGGAGTTGGCGCCGTTCTGCACGAACCAGTCGCCCTCGCGCAGCGGCGGGTCGGCGTAGTCGCGCAGCATGCGGTAGGCCGAGCACGGGTTGACGGCGACGGTCCCCGCCTGGACCGGGGTGAGGCCGTCGCGCTCGACGCGCAGCACGGCGTCGGCGGGGGCCACGGCGTGCGTGCGCCAGGTGCCGAAGCCCGTCTTGGCCGGGATGACCCAGTCGCCCTTGGACGCGGTCGCCGAGCTGCCCGAGACCACCTCGAAGACGCCCTCGTTGCCGGGGATGACTGACGGCTCCGTGGTGCCGATCAGCGGGCTGAAGGACGGCTTGACGCCATAGGTCCCCTGGATCGTGTTGACATCGGCCGGGTTGATTGGGGCGGCGAGGGCGCGGAGGAGCAGAGACGAGGAGGGCAGTGAGGGCGAGATGGAGTGGGTGTGCAATCTGGCCCGGTGCATGTGTCAGTAAGAGGACATTCCACAGGCTCGTTGAATGGCAGGGAGACGGAAACAAGCTCACCTCAGGACGTCGCTCGGCTCGCCGAACTTGCTGAAGACGAGCGACTTGGCTTGTGTGTAGCCGTAGGGACCGGACTTATGTCGACGCTGTGTTAGTGGGAATGACGCAAGCCTCGTCCGCAGGCATTGCGCCGGCCGGACGGTGCATCTGGATAATGAGTCGGCGGCCCTCCCGGGCCTGAGGGAGGTCATGATCGCCAGCGGTGCTCGGTATGTCGAACGCCCGTTTTGAAATCCAGTGAGAGGAGCCCAATTGGCGTTGTTCTGGTGAGGCTGTCGCGGAAGACCGGCGCTGGAGCTCTGCGGGAGCTGTCAGGTCGGCACGAGCTCGGCAATGACGTTGATCGGTGATTGACCGAAAGACGTCCAGTCCAACGGATGGCCGTTCGAGCTAGCCACTACGTGAGTTAGTGGTACCTAGCTCCGCCCGCCCACATGGCATATGATGGCCGATCTGTGCTGCCATTGGCCCAGGCCGACATGCAAGACAGCAGGTCATGCAGCCCCTTGAACTTCGATTTTGCGTTCTGCGTTCATGGCGTTTCTAGTTCCCCCGGCTGCCTTTAGGCTGATGGGCGTCATCGGATCATAGAGTTGACGTCGTCTCGTCTCGTCTCGTCTCGTCCTTCCAAGGGGCCAGGGTGGTGGACTTACTCATCCTCTCAGGCTCCATGCTTCTTGAGCACATGCAAATCCACCGGGGAGAGAAACGGTGAGGCTGCAATAACTGAGAAAACAATACCTGCGTACAAGCTAGCTATTTTCATGTGCGGGCTATCATGTGCGTTGTCGATTCGACTGCTGTAAATGTGAGGCATCTGGTAAGGTCAAGTTAGGGTTCGGTCTAATCCAAGACAATGCAGGCCACGCCGTACGGCCATAATAGGTTTTGGTGTTGTTGCGTGAAAGCTGTGGCTACCATTATTTCGTAACATCTTAGAATAGCTCGCGGTGGTATGGAAAACACAAAGCCTTTCTGCCCGCCATATCGGTCCTCCAAACCCGCAATGGCCGGTATTCGCAAGTACATAATCAACCAAACCCGGCCGTTGCTCTTGTATCCCAAGAGCCTGTAACAATAGATATCAATAGATGGATTCCATCCCGCTTCCCCGGTCCTTTCGGGCCTTTCTCAGGCTGTACAAAGTCCCAGGCAGGTTGCACCACTTCCCAGGGAAACCAGCCGAGAAGCGAGACGTCCGAGAATAGCCCAACCCTCTTCCTTCCCTTTTCTCGATACGTTGTACACGGGCGCAACTGGTACATGAAACAAACGTACATGGCCGGGCCTTGCTCAAGAGAGCATTCGGTGTGAAGGCATATAACATGAAGGACGTTGTGTAAGTAATCGCAAATCAGTAAATCAAAACATGAGAAAATGACGTCGTGTGTCAATGAATGAGCTCGCTCGGGAGCTGGGTATCTAAATCTTCAACTTCAGAAAAATCGCGATAAAGGCGTTGATCGGTCCGCCGGCTCCGGATTATGGGCAGGCAAACTGGTTCCCTCGGATGCTTCGAAACTCCAAAATCTCCCAAGCCAGGGCGCATGGATTTGAGGAGGAAGCGAAGTGTGTGGAACGAGGACGTGGCTGATAGAGATGATGAATGATTGCTTCCGGTCCAATCGGGAGATGTTTATCTGATCTCCTTGAGAAAGTCGTCGCTGAGGTTAGTGTCGACCTTGCTCTCCCAAGCGCTCAGCTCCGGGATCATGGGCGGCGGCGGCTCCTTCTTGACTTCTTCAAACTGCACCACACTGTCTCGTTTCGAATCATTTGATCGCAGACGTCGAAACCAGCCACTGCCTCTCTTGGACTTTCGCTCGGAAGCAATGGTGCTCGCCGTGCGGCTCGGCGGCCGCGAGACTTCCTGTCCAGGAACTGCCCCATGTTCTTCGTACGTGGTGTTCAGGAGGTTCTTGCTCAGATACTTCCTCAGACTTCCGCGGCTGGAGTAGGTCGGCGACACTGGGCCCTCTTCGATGGGGCGTTTGAGGCCCCCCACTGTCGTGCTAGTGATGTCGGACTGCGGCGACGTTCCTGCCCCATTGGCGTGCCCATTGACGGTGCCATTGCTTTCTTTCTTCGGCCCATTTTCCTCTACCGGCGTTTTGGGCGGAGTTGGGACCTCCAGCACAGGCGACGGCTGGGGCGGAGGTATATCCGTGCCGTCCGTCAGCGAGCCGAAGTTGAAGTTCAATGACGGCAGCTCGAAGCGTTTGGCGGGTTTGGCGGCGGCAGCGCCGTCCACGGGCGTCGTCTTTGGCATCATGGCTCACAGTGGTTGGTTTGGAAAGATCGAAGAATCCAGGTCGACGGCGATGACGAAGAAATATCGTGCAAGCTCGTGCTGCGAAAGCATTCAGGGAACAGCCTGGCGCACGCAGCTGTCACGCTATTTGAGTGGGCCGCTGGGGATCGGACGGGGAGTTGGAGAAGGATTGCCCTGGCACGCAAACAGAGCAGTCCTCTGTGGGTTGCGTGAGCGTACAGGCCTTGGGAATGAATACAGAGTCGCAAAACAATTGAATGCTGCGTCTGGTAAGAACGAAGCCTACGCCAGGGAACGCAAAACGCTGGTCAATGGTCAATGGTTCGGCGGGTGAGAGTAACGAGGAGAGAAGGGGTGGCGCGTGGATTGCTCTTTCAGGTGGAGGGAAGTGGAAGTGGAAACCAGGGACAGGGTCCCCGTATGTCAATAGTGGTAGCGGTTAGTGGCTGGAGATCCGGGATGTTTACAACGTTCGAGACAAATCAGAAGACGGCAGCAGCCAAAGTCGAGCGACGGGAATGCATTCGCCTGCTCCCAGGCGAAAGCTTCGCCCGAAACCGTCAAACGTAGTTTTCCCCCTTTCGAGAGGCGTGATGAACAACTACACGTGCGCCTGCTGTTTCACGTTTCCGCAATGCCTTCCTGCCTGTGATGATGGCTTCTGGTTCCTGATTTGAGTGACAGATCGAGAATGGAGATGGCGCAGCTCGGCCGCTGCGATACCCTGGCTAGGTGCAGCTGGGTGGGGTCTGGAGAAGGGGGCCATGGCTCAATTTGGAAAACTCCCCCAAATGCCCTTTGCCCATTGCCCATGGGAATTTTGGCTTCCAACGTTGGCGGGCAGTTTGACTCGCTCCCGCCCTCACCCTCGTCCGGTGTTCATGTTGGCATAACATCATCTGACTGCCCGCCAGTTAGGTTCAGGCGCACGCCAAAAGTCAATCAATGGGTCGTGGCACCGGGACAGCAGAGTTCAGATTGGATGAGACCCGTAGCCGACACCTTCGCCAGCCAGGCTTGCCAGGCCCGTCGCTCGCTGAAGTCCTGCCCGAGCTAACAAGCTTAGTTGCGCGACGGGCTAGAGCAGACAGAGATTGCCCGGAACAGGCAGGGCCACTGGCTGGCAAACGCTCCAGCGGCCCCCCTTACATAGTACGGGCTCCCACGCGGATCTGGTCAGATGCGGAATAGCTGCCAGGCGTGGCCTGTGAATCTATCAAGGCCGGTCTAGTTCATCGTTACCGAAAAGGGTCTACATAATATGGCGAGCCATCCCATCGTCTACTGGTAGCCCCTCTTCAAGCGTTACCTTCATCGTCAAATTGCTACCACTGCAGTCCGAATGCAAGGTCTGAAAGGGTTGCATAATACCGGTACCCAAAATCTGGTTCAATACGTATGCCATTGATGATCATTCCATGCGGTCGATCGACTTCCCGCCCCGACCCTGCTTGCGCCGGCCTCGAACGGTTGGACCTGCTGGGGGTCTGGGGCTGGGGTTGTGCCGTTGTCCTGATGGCGCAATGCAGGGAACGGTGGGGGAGTGCAACCAATGGCCAACAACTGGCACCACACAAGGTCTAGTTACCGTCCTACTTGCTTTCTCGCCGGTCTCACGGTGCCCCGAGCCGACCTGCACCGCATCTTAGCTACTTTCGCTGCGCTACTGTAAGGGACGTACAGCTGACGGGAGGCTCATGAAGATGAAGAGGTGCTGCAAGTCTCGATTTGAGTCACTAACTTGCGGCTTGATTTGAAATGTAGTCAGACTACCTGACTGTTTACGGCTGGCATTCTTGTCCTCACCCGACCAACAGCGTTGCGTTTCGCTAAAAGCATCCAGGGTAGGCCGCAGGGGGGCTGTCCATGTATGCTGCAACGTGCGTTGCTATGCTTCCCTAGGTATATTAGAGAACACTGGTCGCTGAAGGGGTGCGCTCGAGCTGGCTGTGCACCTGCTTTTGCTTCACGGATGTTCAAGCCAGTTTGTATACATCACTGAATGGCTGCTCAGCTGTCGCTGCTCAGCTGTCATTGGCAGGTGACCAGCTTTAACCAGGAAAACATACATATACATTTATGTACAATACAAAAATAAAAAGAGGGTATATCAACGCCCCAGTGACACTTGTGCATTAGCTATCAAATTTGCAGTCTTCGAGTCACCTCCTCTTGAATCTCGCGCTTATATATATATATATTTACCTCCTATATACCTCCTGTACCAATTTGCATTTCCAGGTAGCTTGCATTGACACTGTCAGCAGTCCTCTTCTCACCGGGCGGGCAGAACAATGGCTAATACTACTATGAAATCGGCCAATTGTACTTATACCTACTGGAGAGCTCATGGGACCTTTTCGCTTTCCAACCGAGAACCTGATTACCAACGCTTCTCAATGGGAGAGTGGACGGGCCGTCGTTTGGCCCCGTTACAAAGCGCCAAACGGTTCTTGTGGGACCTGTCCTGTTATAACACCGGTGGGAACCATGGGGGGCATGACCGTGGAGAGTTACTGACTTCAGCTGCCTAGCCCGCGTAGACTTGAGACACTCAAAAGCTCACAGGTCCTCTATAGGTCCTCCGTTTCCCAGGCGTCTACCTCGCTGCACGTTTGCCGGCACGCACAACCTTTGCTTACAGCCGTATCATCAGTGAAGCAGACAAAGCGCTGAATGCGAGTGTCGTTGAGCAAGAGATTCTTCGTCCAGGCATCAATATACTGACATTGGCTCCGTCTATTATCATTTTACACAAGAGTCATAAGCGCGAACATGAGCATTGGCAGCGAGAACTCTTGCCGCAGGGTTCATCAATATGGCTACATTTCATCCATTTTCTCGCCTCCCATATGAGCTTCGTGCTCAGATATGGAGTTTGACAGTCGAGCCTCGCACCGTCGAGGTCCGCGTCATCCACAGAAACTTGCTCCAGCTGTACGACGCTCCGTCTGCGAAAACGCCTTCGGTGCCGTATCTTGTTTCATTAAGACCGGTGCCAGCAACACTACAGGTCTGTCGAGAATTTCGTAACCAGAGGCTATACCAGCAAGCCTTCTCTGAGCTTGAATAATATTGGGTAGGCGGGCCTCAAGCACGATACTTCCTCATCCGAGTCGAATCGTCTCTATGAACGCCGAATATATAACTCTAGCAGAACAGCGATGCAGGTTCTGAAGAGTACTCCTCAGACAGTATGATGTCGCTGCGTTGGTGGCACCAGAACGGTGTACTATGTTGTTTTACTTGCCGTGACTGGCTTCGATGCATGTCTTCGCCACTCATCAAATTCTCCCCTCTATACTATGTCCTGTGATTGGCAATTATAATCGCAGCTTGTTCGGCTAGCGCGTATGTCTCAATTTGTAGATGTACGGTAGTGATAGTCGGAAGGACTGAGGCATCGACCACCCTAAGCTGGGCCACACCGTGAACCCTTGAGTGAGCATCAACGACTCTGCCCATTGACGCACTTCCCATCGAACGATAACTCGACCTACATGCCCCAATTTTGTTAGATAATGTTTACTGATTCAATCAAAACGTACCTAACAGCAGCTCGAGCTCGCATGTCCAGATAAGCTTCAGTTGTGTCAGCTGTCAGGGGTTCTGCAAAGCCAGTTGCTGGTAGCTCGCCGTTCAGGATTCCCTGCTGATGATTGTTTTGTTGCTGCCAGCAAATCCAATTTGCAGACGCAAACCTTTGCGGAAACCATAGCGGTCGACTTCTGTGCCTAAATAATTCGGGTCTATGACAGGTTGATCACTGATGTTCTTTGACGCAAGTGTGATGGAGCCGCGCGCTGTTGGCAATAGACCAGTTGCAGCAAATTCCACCACAGAACCGTCGCTTGAGGCAAAATATTGGTAGACATGTTCAATGAAAGTCCGGTTCTGCTTCAGCAAGGGATGTTGCTCTGGATCCGGGGCTACGCCTTCGTCGATTTCAATGGCTGTCGCAAGGCCATCCTTCGGCACAGTGGTAGATACAAGGAAATCAGCAGGAGTGCCCCAGCCATACTGTTCTTGAGTAAGAAGGGAATTCGAAGAGCCAACGGCCCACTATCCGTCTGGATTCTTGACTTTCCAGACAAATGCTGCGAGCGTGTGGTCTGCGAAGTTCTTGCCAACCTCGGGTGACTCAATGAGAACGTCAATATCACGTTTGGCAAGTTCGTCAACCGGACCAATACCAGAGAGCATTGAAAGATGCGGCGTACGAATGGCGCCAGCCGATAGAATGAATTCTCGACCGCGTATCTCCGTCCCATTGGTCAGCCGAACGCCATGTGCAGCCGGGATGCTGCATGAGCTCTGCTTCAGGAGCACCTTTTCAACCAAGGTATCTGTCAGTACAGTAATTCCGTCTAACGAGTATACTGCGGCTGCAATCTCCCTTCGTCTATTGTGCTTATTCTCAGTAAGTTTGCCTATACCCAAGGGATTGCCGGCGTTCGTATCGAGAAGAGGCGCTTATGAGACACCAAGTTCAGACCAAGACTGGAGGGCATAGTTCCTAAGCGGGAATGGCCAGTTCGTGGAAGTCACAGACTGAACATAGATATCTCCATCCAGGCCATGTTAATCCGAATTGACGCTGCTATTCCAGAAATGCTCGGTTTTCTTCATAAATGGCAGCAATCCCTCATAAGACCATCGCGTGTCGTTGACAGCTTCCCCTCAGAGGTCATAGTCTAACCTATTTCCACGTATCCAAGCGCCTTCACACTCGTCAGTCTCTTTCAAGAATAGGATTGACGTCTAAGCTTACCTGAATTGATAACAGTCCCACCACCCAACGCCTTGCCTTGTGGCATGGTAGTAGAACGACCGTCCAAGTTGGCTTGGCTTACGCAGGCATAGTTCCAGTCGAAGTCACCCCCAATCGTGTTTGTCGAGTTGGGCCAGAGCTATCTTCTCTGTCGTTGACATTTGGCCCTGCCTCTATTACAAGAATTTTCAGGGCATTATTGAATTCCAATAAACTGTTGAATACCACTGAGCCAGCCAAGCCGCCACCAACGACAATGTAGTCCCAGAGCATCTTGACTACATAGGCGGGTTATATAAGCGGGCTAGATTCAACGTTTCAGGCAAGAAAGATGAGTTGGTTCGAAACATCTCGCCGCAGTGCTTATATGTGCAACATTAAAAGGTCCCATATGGGTACCTTCAAACCCGTATATGATTGAAGAGTCGTACAGAACCTTTAGAGGGGATAAATTTCTCAATGACCAGAGCTTATTCAATTCAATGCGGCTGGGTGGCACGGGGTGTTGGAGTTGCCAATTTAATATGCAGCATCCCTGGTTACCCACAGAACAATCCCAGCCATTTCAAGCAAGGTCCATGATGGATATATGTAGATGATGCATAGTCCTACAGCTGCATTCATTTGCATCGATAATACTCGATTTTCCATCTGGGTACGCCTGAGTGACTATCATGAAGAGGAAGCATTGAGGCTTCAATTGCCTATGATGTAGCCTAACTTTCATGCCATTAAGTAAGCGCGGAGTGTTTCACTTTCTTGGAGAACCAAGTTGCCAGGGCTCACCAACATTGGATCCTCCGACTTAAAGGTTCTGGTTTTTAGATTCTGCTGGTGTTTCAAGAGGAGCAAGCGCTTTAAGCAAGCGAGCGAGGCCGAAGAAATCCTGCGGTGGGAGTTCACTAATATAGGTTCGCATAGAGTTGTACACGTCAAGACACAGATACCAGGATGATACCAACATGACATCCCCACGAGGTATCATGGTGACAAGGAGCACGATGATCAAGGATTGTTTGTATGTGAAAGGAGGCCGGCCATTTCCACACGAGGTTAATACAACATAAACCTTTGGTGGTGTGCTACTCACTATACGAAGAGGAATAACAAGGAATATAATCCAGGAGGCCCCCAAAAGCGGCGACAGCAATGGAACAGAGCCAGAAGAATGAAAATCTAGAGGAATTGGATTTCCCATACAGCGTTATTAACGTGTGGATGCATGAAAGATTTCCTCCGGGGAAGCACTTCATAGTCGCAGGATTGCCGCATTAAGTATACCTCAGTTCACACCAAGACCCAAAGCGATACTGCGAGGCTTCATTCTTCGTCGGAAGGAGGTCATTATATTAATTGGCTAATCTTCTTGGAAGATGCTGGCATTCCCCCCGTTTATCTACCTAGGTCTCTCATACTTCAGTCCAGCACGATAGCTCTGCCGAGTCCCCCGATGCTGTGACTATTCGGAAAGTACTTGTCTGTCCACGCGCCGTGTGGTCAATCATTGAGAGCAGCTGCACTCAGCCTGGCAGTGAAAACCCTCACTGCTGCACATCAGGGCGCCGTCAGCCGAGCAAACACACCACTGGCGGCAGCGATCGCTGCAATGAACGTGCCAGCCTGGTGCCGACGGAGAGGGTGAAGCAGTGCTGTCAGAGGTGTATGACACGATTGCTGAATCTGTCTTCGTGGGGTCCTGCTTGGACGCATCAGAGGAGGTCGTGATGATGGTCTTGGCTGATGTGGTCGACGTTGAGAAGGTAGAGCTCGTGAAAGGTGGGTCAAATGAAATCGTGGGTGAGATGCCGAACGGGAGAGAGACCATACCTCCACTAGATGTCGAGCTGGAGCTAGAAACCGTGGTATAGGGCAAGGTCGTGGAGTCTGTTTCAGAAGATACAGTCCCAGTTAATGTAGAACAGTCCTCCAACTTTGAATTGCAAGCTGACGCAGTCCAAGTTACTTGTCGGGTGTGGCTATGAGCTTTACCGGTTTGGTTGGGACACCGACAAGATCGCAAAGACGGTATAATAGCAAATCCTGCGTTGCACATGACGTGCTTGCCATCAGGTGAGCAGTGGCATATACCCTCGCAATAGCTGTCAATACATTGAGGTGACGGCGCATCTGTAGGTTTAGGGATAGTCGTTGTGTGCGGTGGCTGGGGGTCGGAAGTGTGCCCACCCGGGCGAGTGATGATTGTGCTCCCAATGGTTCCAGTGGGCTTAGGGTGCAGTGAATCATGGTGCGGGCCTACGAAAGTCACCGTGGTCTCAGGAGGTCCAGTAGGTCTATGATGGTGAGAACTATGCTCGGGATCCGCTGGAGTACTCTTCAAGGTACCAGGTGGCTTGGGGTGCTGTGAACTGCGCTCTGGATCAACTGGAGTACTCTTGGGAACAGCTGTGGGCTCAGGTTGCTGAGTTGTATGCTGGTGGTGCACAGGAATACTCTTGCCGGTGCCAGTGGGCTTGGGGTGGTGAGGCGGAGTCTTGTGCGTGAAAGGCTTGCGAGTGTTGTTCCCGTGAGAGTGCGAGGCAGTAATTGAAACCGAGCTAGTGGAAGCTTGAAAAGTTTCGGTATGGATAGGAGACATAGTAACGGAAGGGACTGCGACAGAAATACTGGTAGCAGGCGTTGTGGGAATGTGACCACCAGAGTGGCTGGAGTGAGTATGACCAGCAGGAGCAGTGCTCGCAGCAGGCACCTCGGTCCCGTTGCCATAGACATACGACAGTGAATCTGCACGAACTGCTGCTGCCAAGGCGCCAATCAAGAGAATGAAGAGCTAAGCATTATATTAGCAGATATATTCCCCCCTTCCATTCGTTATGCTGTGCTTGAGGAACTAACCTTCATCTTGACGGGAGGGTGCAATAGGCGTTGGCAAGTCTTGTCAAAGGACGTGAGGTTACTGTCGATGGACTGGTGGCGGCTGGTGGCACGATGACAGGCGATCTGAAGCAACTGAAGAGTTGAGACCGGTGAGGAAAGGGAAGAGAAGTCAGTCGTTCCATCGAAATGGGAGCTGTTTAAATATTTCAAAGCATCCGGTGTGAATATAAGTGCCTCACTTAACGACAGGTCTAGAACCCTTCTCTCAAGTAGGTGAAATGTTCTTGGATTGACCTTCACCTGCACATCGGTCTTCTCGACTGGCGAAAACCATCAGACGAACAGTTATGATGTTTAAATTGACATTTACACCTCACCTTGATGGCAACATGTAATCGAACTCTAACAGCAAAGGGTGGATTCACTTAGGCTAGCTTTCTGCTTCACATTCTGTAATAATATTGAAAGAGTCACTCCTCAAGGATCCCTTGGCAAGAGCAAACTTCCTTGATTATAAGCCGCAACGGAGTTTATGATCTGTAAATAATGCCTTTGTAATTGCTGTGCCTTGCCAAAATGATTGCTTAACGTGACTGCAGGAGACAGAGTAGCTTGGATGATCGATGAATATCATCAATAGAGCTTCCCAAGTACCTTCAGGAGACCACGCTGGGGTATATTACTGAACAAAATCATTATTTTGCCAGACACAAAATCATGAAAAGCTACAATTGTTGGTGGGAGACGTTGAAACACCCAATTGCGGGGGATGCAGTTCTATAACTCGTAGATCAGTTAGCTGACAATTCTCTTAGAACTCTCTGCCATCTGGAAAGAATGTTAGAGAGAGAGAGAGAGAGAATGCACATATCTGTTTGACTGCCCTCTTGGATTTGGTGAGGTATGGCGAGCCAAACAAAGACGCATTAAGACGAGGTTGCAACACAGGCCACTTCTAATAGACGGTAACATCGAGGTTTGTCCAAGAGAACTTGGCGGAAACCGCGTGAGCAGTCTACGCATGCAACACTTCAACGCTTATTATATTGGAGCTCAAGTACGAAAGCGCTTTAGGACAGGTTATTCTAGTGTTTGCTGTCGACTTTATTTATTGCCTGGGATTATTTGCTAGCATACAGTGCGGTGAATTCCATCTTCCATTCTCTTCTCCTTTTGCTTCAAGGCGTTCGTTACTTGATCTTTCGCACTAGACGCCTTCGCTGTGGATGAACCGGCGGGCTTTTGCTTCTTCAGGATGGACAGGTCGATCTCATCGTTGTCGATGAGAGTTTCAGTCACAGAGACCAGATCCGAGATTAACTTGTCCAAGATATCAAAGCTCATGCTCTCACGAACGACAACCCGTAGGATCTCGGTCTTGTCTTCTTTCGGGGGAAGTGCGTAGTTCGGAATGATCCACTGGCGAGCTCGCATGAGGAGCGACACCGATTCCTGCTTGATGTGTGGAAAGTCTTTCTTGAACTCATCACTGAAGCGGAAAGACACCACAGGCAGCCCGGCGACGTAATCCGCAGACGTCTCGTTCTGCTCGCCAGTAACTGCCAGCTTTGCACCCTCAACAACACCCCGCCTCTGGCTTCTGCGGTGGATGTCCGAGACACAGGTGTACCACTTCGTGGCTTCTAGACTTTTAGATAGCAGCCGGGCGTTTGCGAGGCAATTCTCCATAATCTCTTGGTAGCCCTTGAATCCAAGATGGATCAAGTTATAGTACTGCACGATAATTTGGGCTCCAGGGCGCGAGAAGTTCAAAGTGAAACTTTTCTCAGTGCCTCCAAGATAATGCAACTCGAAAACGAGGTGTTCTGGGAGGTAAGATTGGTCTCTCCAGACAATCCACCCTACGCCAGCGTAGACGAGACCATACTTGTGCCCGGATACATTGATCGATTTGACGCGAGGAAGTTCGAAATTCCTAACCCCATGTATTAGCGTAGGTTCGCACACCAAAGATGCCAAAATGCCTGACTTACCACTTCGGGCCACCAACCCCGGCGTGAGTGAAAGGGGCGACGAAGCCACCTGATGCAGCATCCACATGGATCGGAATATCAATACCCGTCTCCTCCTGGAAACTGTCCAGAATCTTGGATATCTCCTCGACTGGCTCATAATGACCCGTGTAGGTGCTGCCGAGGATTATGAAGACACCAATGGTGTTCTCGTCTAGATTCTCTTTTACCAGCTCTGGGTCCAGTCGGAAATGCGACTTTTCCGACACCGGCAAGATTCGAGCCTCCACGTCGAAGTAGCGCGCGAACTTTTCGAGAGCAACCTGTGCGTTGGCGCCCATGATGATGTTCGGCTTGTAAGCATCTTTGCCTTGAGCTTGGCGTTTTTCCTGCCAGCGGCGCTTCATGGCGAGTCCCCCAAGGTGGATGGCTTCAGAGGATCCGGTGGTGGCAGAACCGACAGCCTTCTCTCCCTTCTGTGCTCCCCAGAGGTGGGCGAGGATGCTGATGCAACGTTCGTGAATAGCCATCATCGCAGGGTATTCGTCATTATCCGCCAAGTTCTTTGCAAGGTTCTCTGTCATCAGCTGGGTGGCATTCGGTTCCATATAGGTTCCAACAAAGCTGGTCACTGTGAGCATACAGCTTGAAAACCTGGACACATGCCTTACCTGGCAAGATTTAGGTTTGGCTTGCCATCGAGGTCAAGCTCATCTCTGAGCATCTGGTAGACGGTATCAGAGGGCGCACCATTCGGTGGAAGCCGATACTTCGGCACGTCTACCTGACTTGCATACTGTGTGCCGTAAGGGGTGAGGTGAGACGTTGCCATCTTCTTGCGGAGGTGATGGTGGCCGCCTTCAGTGATGTGGGCATCGTGAAGCTGCCCAACAAGCTCCTCCGGATCGATCTGCTACTGTTAGATAAAATGAATGCAGGAAGATAGGCACAACCGTCGTCACGTACATGCTGTGCCAAAGACATTGTTGCTGTGTTTGGAAGAAACTGTGCAGTCTCGAATGTTTGGTGTTGCGTCAAAGTGGACGTCCCGTACAAGTGTGGCCTTGAGCGGTCGGGTCCTTAAGTATTCAACTACAACTGGCTTGGGTTAGAATCCGTGAATGAAGTCGCCATTGTTCATCAGTTCTCGTAGATGACGACATAGTTGCGCGGCAGTGGTTGCTCCACTCCCAGACGCCAAATTCCAGCTGAGAGCACAGGCTTCAGACGTTGCAGCCCTGCTGCATAACTAGTGACCCCAGTGAGGAGCTTTCCAGAGAAGTCCGGCCACGCAAGTCAAGAATTGATTGGGCTGTCAAGTTTTCATGCTGAACAGCGAAGACCAAAATGGCAGACTTATCACGTCGCCATCGGCGATTACTTGGCTTGCACATCTGAAGCCCAAAGCTGCAAGGCACAAAACAAGCTTTTGCGGTGCAGATCATATCCCTGCCCGCATCGCGCCAACGGACTCTGGTGGGGGCCACTATAGCGGGATCCGCTGCCTGGGCAGTACCTTGGCCGACTGAAGACGATTATTACAGAAGCATCTTGACAACTCGGATCCGAAATAAGAACCGACGCAAGGCTTACTGCGACCGAGATTTGTTCGCAAGCAATGAAGAGCTGACGACCGTCTCCTCTGAGTAGAATGCATTGCGCATTTGTGATCACTTAGTAGTATGCTCACTTACCGCTTCCACATGATGCCGAAAGATGAGGATGGGCGCATATCATTATGAATCAAACTCTCGAGACACTGCGACTAGAACCCGCTTTAATCATTTTTGAAATGGCTACTGGTTCACTGCACAGGTGCTCTTGTCCCACGGTTGTTTAGGACACCTTCACGGTTTTCTGGGCGCGTTCGAGAACTGATTTCGAAATGCATGGGCAGATCGCTATCGAGTTGCGATTCAAGATTCACCAAGCTATGATTGATACATTCTCGACTAAATTGCTATACGCTAACAAGCCCGAACGTGATTCCGTATTAATACGATTCATAGTCTACAGGCACCTTCAAGCTTTGACTACTTACTGTATGGGTTCGGGGATCCATCTTGGTTCTCTTGGCAAAAGCATCTACTTCATAATTATCATCCCAGAACCGAGAGACATGATGACCAAAGAGGGCCTGGGCACCAGCATGCGGAATATGTTCCGCATGGTTCTCTGCAAAATAGATATAGAACTCAGAGTTCCCCTGAGTGTTTTCAAACGAGGCGTGGTAGTAGAGAAGATTACTCTGAATACAAAAGGTACCCTGACATTGGTCCATATCAAGGGCAGGCTCTATACAATCGCATTGTGCATTCAATAAATAGTACCACCAAGATTCACGGTCTATTTCAAGGGCATTTCACATGTTTCTGGTGTACGGTGCTGCGGCTGAGCAATCGTGCCTTTCGCTAAACAAAGGCAGGTCGCCAAGATTAAGGATTCATGCGGGGGCTGAGTGCACCAATATGCAGTACAATTGCAGAAAAGGGTAATTGATGTTCGCAGCTTGAAATTGCATAGCTAGAATACACAATGCAACGTTGAATTTCTGCACTGCGGACTGAACGAAGGATCACATAAGGTTGCACTCAGGCGTTCGCGAACGCGATTGGGGTAGATTATAAAGGAACTTGCATCTCGAAGTAAGTATCGCAGCAAATCGCACCTCACCAGTTACCATTGTCACGATAGGATAAGAAAGGCACCAAGTCCAAGCCAAAAAATCATGTTGTTTTCCAAGGGTTATGCTGCCAATAGGTTGGCTCTCCTGGCGATGGTCTTTATAACATCGGTGAATAGTAGTCCACTTCAGCATCTGCAGACCCGGGACCCACCGAGAGCGCTTCCCGAGAAAGCTACGGCAGATGACAAGAAGTAGGTGGCTTTCGTTGTCTAAGTCACAACCCTTGCAGCAGTTCTGTGGAGCTTTCATGTTCAGGATTGCCACAGCTGTGCTAACGTGCAATCAATTCAGGTGGCAGCCCGCCATGGATTTCGATACGGATAGCTGCTACAACACTCCTGCTATAGATGCTAACGGAAATATGGCTCCAGGTCTCGACCATGACAACACTGGACTCTCATCCGACTGTCACGACCTGTCAGACTTGCAGAACAACAATGTTTACTCACGAGCTCGGTGCAACAACGGTTGGTGCGCGTACATGTACGACTACTATTTTGAGAAGGACGTGGCGATCCAATATTTCCCCTTCGACCCTGGACACCGCCACGACTGGGAGCACATAATTGTATTCGTGCAAAATGGTGTTGCCAAAGCAGTGGCTGCTTCGCAGCATGGGAACTACGAGACTAAGGCGGCCAACGATGTTCGATGGGAGGGCAATCACCCCAAAATGGTTTACCACAAAGATGGACTGAGTACACACTGCTTCCGTTTCGCCAACGCCGACGATGACAAGATCGAAAACGCGCTTGGGTCCTGGTTCTACGGCGCATTAATTTCATACAACGGTTTTCCGAGCACAGCCCTTCGTGATAAGCTCATGTCTTGGGATTTCGGTGATGCCAATGTAGGCATCAAGGATAGCAGCTTTGCGAACCAGCTTGAGAATGCCCGGAAGGATTTCGTGCCTGGCTTCGATAGCAGCGTTGTTGACGGCTCGCCCGGCAACCCTTAGCTTGAACGATTGACGGCCGTGTGTTGTCACGAAGGGCGACCAGCCTTCGAAGGGGGGCTGTTCTTGTCGATCTACCTTGATGCTGCGAAGAGCGTATGCGGTCTTGTTGCAATGGCCTAGGACAAGCAAAGGATGCCGTAGCTTTTTGAATTTGGAACTCGCAATAATGCCGTGCTCCCGATTGGAATTGGTGGTTAGGAGTACCCATAAGTTGCCAATAGGGGCCACCGTTGGGATTAGCGCCCGTGATCGTCCTCCTAGCGCTCGTCATGCAACTGACTCTTCACCGGAGTTTTCAAATCAACATCCGATGCCGATGCAGATAGGTCACCGGGCTGCCAAATCCTGTCATTGCACTGCGGCCATCGAGGCGCATTTGCAGGGCCGAGGAAAAGTCAGATGTGAAGGCGAGACCGAAGAATTCAAGCCGAGGAAGAAGCATCTAGATATATCGGGCCCGCTGGCTTGCGGGCTACCGGGCTGTTTGTAGCGCCCGAAAGGCGACTCTTGGCGGTACCCGCTGGCATGGCAGCCCTTGTCTCCAACGCTCTTGCAGCGCTTTTTTGGGGAATACCAGGGATTCTTAGCATGATGTCATGCGTAAGCTAGCCTGAAAAGCTTCCCGCAAGAGCTCTAGACCGGTAGATCCGTAGACGCCCGCAATTTGAGTCCGCACCCACGCCCGCTCACCCAAGGCCAAGTCAATTACGTACGTCTCCATAGGGCTTAGGAATTGCCGATAGCAGCAAATGACAGAGAGATCATACGTTGGCTAGCCTCGGCACCACGATGATTTCAAATGATCAGTGGCTGGTGGGTTTATTAAGAACAATCGCATTATCAGGTTGTCGCGCTGGAATTCTAGGATGAGCATATATCAACACACAAGCCACGGCTTTGCAATCTTCAGGACAATCCATAGCAGGTCGTCGTCCGAGTTTCAGAAGACGTCTCGAGCTTTCGCAACCACCAGCGCCAGCCGTTCTTTCACGACAAACACACACCACCCTAGCAATTTTTCAGAGAAGCCTACGCCATCAGTCAGATTGCCACGGCAGACTCCATTTCGACTAAGCATCACAAGGAGATCGAAAAGTACGACCACGATGTCGTCAAAACTTATCCCACGTAGCCCATCTGAGGTGATGGTGATCCGTGACATCACACCAAACGTCGTAACCTTCTCGGTACCTTTCTTGAGATTTGGTACCGTGCGAATCGGCGGCCGTGGTACACTTGGTGAGTCCCACACGGAAACATGCACGTTTGCTATTGCTCATGCAGAACCATAGTCCGTCTTACGTCAGGCTCCCTGGCTGTGGTGTCGCCCGTCGCCCTTACGCCAGAGGTCAAGGCAAAGGTGGCAGAAAAAGGCGGCAACGTCGGCTACATCATTGCTCCTGATATCGAGCATCATATCTTCATCTCGGAATGGGCCAAGGAGTTCCCCAACGCCAAACTGATCGGACCCAAAGGCCTACAAGAGAAACGGGACAAGGTGACCAACGACGAGAAGATCGGAAAGGAGAAGTTTAGCTTCATCTACACTCCCGAAAACCACCAGGACAACAACGTGGACCAGGACTTTGCCGCGAATTTTGAGGTGGAATATGTGGATCCCCACCCGAACAAGGAGACCGTCCTTTTCTACAAGCCCGATAAAGTCCTGATTGAGGCGGATTTGATGTTCAACCTGCCGTGTATCGAACAATACTCTCGAGTGCCAGAGGTAGAGAAAGGCGGCAATGCCTTGGCCAACAAGCTTTTCAACGGTCTCAACTCGACCAGTGGGGAGGCGAAGGGCATGAAGCGATTTCTGTGGTACGGCATGAGTGCAAGCAACCGCCCTTCCTTCAACAAGAGCGTTCAACGAATCGACTCTTGGGATTTCAACACCCTCATTCCGTGTCACGGGGAAACCCTTGTGGGTAATGGCAAGGACATATTCCGCAAGGTCTTTGAGTGGCATCTCCAAGGCCACAAGTGAACTTTGACTCTCCTGCGAATAGGTTTTGGATTTGCCCTGTATGTGTTTATACTGTTTTGTCAGTGTAGGAGTAGGAGCAGCAGGTGGCGGTGCGCATGTTTACCAGTGATACCATTTTCCTAAACTCATTAATCAAGACTCTACCCCTTTTAAAGCGTTTTGTTCTACTGGCGTAGTTACTGTGTGTTAGTGCATGGGGTTAGTTGCCATAAGACTATCAGCTATTGAATCACAGTGGTGTATGCTACTAGAGTGCTTTGCAATTCAGATATCAGTCGCAAGTGCAACTACATGGGTACCAAGGCATGGACATAAGTGCTGCCTGTCGCCCGTTGCTCGAGTATGATTTACTGGTAGGGCATGGTGATCTCCCGAAGGACTCAGCGGTGTGTTGCAAGTAGTCATTGAAGCTGAAGCCTATCGAAGCTCAACCAAACAAAGAAACTGCGTATTTCCTGCCAAATTGTAACCAGTCGTCAGCCGAGAGGGAATTTTGCAGTACTACAACACCAGACGCATCCGTCCACATCGTGGTTGTTGGCTAGATACTACGCAGCATCTTCAATCCTCTGCGACCTTGGCGCTGGTGAAATCACTGATCGCCTTTTCTCTCTAATCCGTTCGGCGATCTGCGCCAAGCTTGAAACACGTTGACGAATCTGCCAGGGGCTCTCTGCAAGGCACGCTGGCGATTTGATAGGGTGGCAGGCGCTAGCCTGGTTTCAGTGCTTTTGAACTTTCGCGACAGCATCTGTGCCAAGACAAGCGATCGTCCACCCACCCAGTCCCCGCCTATGGACAGTCTTATGGCTTGATTATGAAGCTCGCAGGAGAAACCCGACCAACCGGATTGAAGTCCAAAGCATCGCTGGGTTACTCAAGAACAGGTAGAACACCGGTCAGCAGGATCCACTGGATATGCTGCTTGCAACTTGTTGGCTTACAGCGACAAATACAGCCACGGGGGAGCAAACTGCAGATCTGGGGCAGATTCTACTATGGATGCTACTGTCATAACCAATACCTTCAACTTGACCCGGGGACTGTTTCGAGACCCTTGTTCTGACGTTGATCATGCCAAGACCTGTCAGCCTCTAAGTTCCCCAAGATCTCTGCGGGCAAGGCGGAAGTCTCATCTGATCGTGTGTTGTTCGAAAGCGCGGCTCTCATTCTCTTCCGGTTCGGCATTAACGATTGGTGGCCAGCTTGTTGTCATGGATGTAGGCGAGAAAGATGGGGGATAGTGTAGTACTGGGGAAGAGCGGATCGAGTGGTTCCACCATCAACGACTGAAGCCCACACCAAGGTCTTTCAATGTCTCCCTCGACATCCCCTCTTGCTTGAGTCCTTCTGTTTTCACCTCAGTGATTTCATGAGGCGGAACGAGATATCCTATTTCAAACCGCACACATCCTCAGTGTCGTTTACTGCCGCACCATGATATCCTACCCAGTCTAGACACCCACTTGCCCTCGTTTCAACACCTGACCTCGGTGTGCATTGAGACAAACAGCTCTCTAGGGGGTTCGAAAACTTGCTCAAAACCAGTGGGCCGAGGGTCGGGCGTTTCTTCAACTTCAGCATAGATACCTCTCAAGCAGAACTAACACCACTATGGTACCACCACCCTTGTCGTCTAAAACTTTGTCAAGTCGGAGATATCCACTTGGCTCTATCAATGAGGCCATTTCGAGTGCAGCATCGCCTTTACAAAACTCATTCCAGCTCAGTTGTCGTTCTCCACTGTCCCCGAGGGTTTCGCAGACTCCGGCCCTCGCTGGAGATACACCTCGAAATGCAACACTTTCCACCAGGTATAATCCAGGCTCCTACCTGGCTCCATCCACGAGATCCTTCTTCACAGCTACAGAGAGAGGAGAGCCCAGAGTGATTCTCAGCGAAGAGGAGGACAACGACGATGCCTCCAGCTATACAGCTTTCTCGCCTTCCGATAGCACCTGGCTGTGTCCTCCAAGCACGCCTGCAGCCCTTCAGTATGGCACCCATCAAGAGGAAGGGAAGCTGGGCGTCGTGTCCGTCATCAATATAATTATAGGGAAGACAGTTGGCGTTGGGGCCTATACCATACCGTCGGCAATCTTTGACGGCATGGGCTCCGTCGGGATGACCCTAGTGTTATGGGTGGTCGGAAGTATTATCTCCTTCTGTGGGCTGGCAGTCTACCTCGAGTTGGGCACGGCGATACCCAAGAGCGGTGGCGAGAGAGTCTACCTCGAGCGAATATTTCGAAAACCCCGGATGCTTGCGACATGCATGTTCATGTCGTACGTGGTACTGCTCGGGTTTTCGACCCCGAATGCGATAGTGCTGGGCGACTACGTCTTATACGCACTGGACATTCCTAGGGATCGTTGGAACGTGCGCGTCATCGCCGTCTTAGCGGTATCAATGCTTTGCTACATACACTCTCGGTTTCCGAAGCTCGGCCTCAAGCTCATCAACGTCCTTGGAATAGGCAAGCTGGCGATCTTGGCCTTCGTGATTCTTTGCGGCGCTGTTGGGGGGATGGTCGGCGTGGGACAGGCAGCACCTAGATCGGAGGCGCGAAGGCTCGACTTACCCCTGACCCATGATCGGACCTTCAGCACGGCTCAACGTAACTTCAATGATATCTGGGCTGGCTCCTCATCGCAGCCATACGACTATGCAACCGCTCTTCTCAAGGTGCTATACTGCTTTCGCGGCTACAGCACCGCAAACCAGGTCCTCTCCGATGTCAAGAATCCAGTGCGGACACTAAAGGTTGCCGCGCCCATAGCATTGAGCATCGTTTCGATTGGTTATCTAGCCATCAACGTGTCATTCTTCATGGTTGTCGACAAGGAGGATTTCAAATCATCCGGCGTCGTTGTTGCCGGTACATTCTTCCGCAACCTGTTCGGCGATGTCGTCGGGGCACATATCCTCCCAGTCTTTGTCATTGTATCCGCGGCTGGCAACATAGCGGCGACCGCATTTGCTCAGGCAAGGGTCAACGAAGAGCTCGCCAAAGATGGCCTGCTGCCATGGAGCGAGTTCTGGACAACCAAGCCAGCGGTGACTGAAGAACGGTTCGCCTCACCAATGAAAAGACACCTGGCTCCGGCAGCCAGTTCTTCACCTTCGCGTGGTCTTCTTCTGCACTGGGCGGTTTCCGTGGCCGTCATCGTTATTCCACCGCCCGGGAAGATCTACAACTTCCTCGTCGACATCGGCGGCTATCCCGTCTCAGTTGTTTCGGTGGCCGTTAGTCTAGGTTTGTTCTATCTACAAGTTTCGCCACACGAGAGGTGGACATCGCCGTTCCGCGCGAGCCGCATCGCTGTCTTCGTCTTCGCGGTATCGAACTGCCTTCTGCTGATCTTCCCATGGATCCCACCAGTGGGCGGACAAGGCGAGGACGCGGGCTTTGCGTACTACGCCTACCCCTCGACGGCACTTGCTGTGTTGGGCAGCGGTACGCTGTATTGGTGCTGGTGGATTTCTCGGGGGAATGGTCGGGTCGATGAGATAAAGAGCGAAAGGTGGGATAAACCAGATCAGAACGGCATGGAAGCTCGAGGGCTCCTGCTTCACGATACGGCTTTGCATTCTCAGGGAGAAACATCCGCAAGTGCCACTGAAATCAGACGGAGAGCAGCATGCGGGTGCCCGTTGTCTCATTGAGCCCCAGTAGGCCATTTTTGTTACATTACACAATTGATGATCACATATATACCCATACCCATGTATTTTAGCAATAGATCAAGATTGACAAATGAAATAGAGAGATGGAATCACTCGCAAGTACATATGATCTTCAAATCAAAACACGTATTAGATGAAAAGTCAGGTAGGGAGATTAACGGCCCTTTAAGTCATCACAATATAAAGTCATTGTTCGCAGTTCGCCAATACAAAACGCTACAGCTCTAGATGCAATATGTCTTCACAGTAACATTGACCACGTCTCACCTTATGCGTCGTTCGGCCCCTTGATCTGTGACGGAGTGATACCAAGGTACCGGAGACCTCCGCTCCACTTCGGGCGCTGTGACAGCTCGACCTCCTCAAAGGGCAGCCGGGGGCTGAGGCCAAGGACGAACCTGCGGTGCCAGGGGCCGACGAACATGCCATCCGGGTCCGCCTCCTCGCGCACCTTGCGCCACTGCTGGAGCGAACTGCCGTACATGCGCTCGATCTGCATCCCGTCGGCCTCGAAGTTCTTGGCCCAGTGCGGCTTCCCACCCAGGTCGCGCATCAGCCACTCGAAGGCCTCGTAGTAGCGCTGCCGGCATGGCGGGTCCGCGTGGTACGGCCTGTAGAGCGTGGCGTTCAGATATAGCGTGGGTTCGTCGTGGCTGGTGATGTCAAGATAGGGGCGGGTGTTCGACTTGACCGAGTCGAGCTCCGGGTTTGAGGTATCGCTCACGCGAACCTCCACGGGAGCATGGACGTACAGACCCTCGGCAGAGAAGGGGATGTTGTGTGGGACGTAGTCGGGATCTTCAGGTGTCAGGTGGTTCAGCCAGCTGCTCAACCGCCGCAGAGCCTCCGGGCCCTTGCTGAGCGGGATGGCCCACTCGTTCACGAACTGGGAGTATAGGCAGTTCATGAGCAGGGCTTTGGCGCTCGATTGGACGGCTCCGGTCGTTGTTCCGTCCGCGAAGCCATACTGCGACCCAAAGACAAACCATTCCACCCAGGGTAGGATTCGAGGGATGTACTGAGCGACGTAGAGAAGGTTGTGATAGATGTAGTATCCCAGAGAGCCGTCATACCAGGACGTCTTCGGATCCTGCACCGCCTCATTGGTCTCGGACGCTGACCACACCACAGCCCTGCGAGTGTACGGATACCACCAGACCCTGACATAGTGTGCGTGTGTCCATAGATCGCCTGACCAGCGGTTGAACATCTTGACATCCTTATCAATGATCTGCTTCCACTTCAAGGTGTAGGCAGGCACGGCCTTGAACGTTATCTCGGTGATTATGCCCAGCGCGCCGAGGGATATTAGAGAGGCGCGGAATAGCTCTGTGTTCTCGCCGCGCGAGCACTTCTTTGTCGTGCCGTCGGCCAGAGTTATACGGAGAGACAATATGTCCTCAGACAGCAGGCCATGCTGGAGACTCGACCCGTGGGTGCCCGTCGAGATGGCACCCGCGATGCTCTGGTGGTTTATGCTTCCCAGGTTCGGCATTGCCAGCCCTAGCTTTTCGAGCTCTGCACTGAGCTGGTACAGACGGATCCCCGACTGCATGGTCACGATCCCAGTCGTGTGGTCCGAAGCCAGGATCTTATTGTAGTTATCCAGGTTCACCAGCCACGACGAGGTACAGGTAATGGCGCTGGGCGAGTGGCCGCAGCCGACAGTAGTGACCCTACGGCGGCACTTCCTCGCGAGGTTGACGAGGTGCTCAATCTCCTCCAGGGACTCGGGCTGGATGTACAGCTCCGGCATCCAGGAGAACGTCTTTGCCCATGTCGTCTGGACATGGTTCGTTCGCATGCGGAAAGGGACGGCCGAGCTGTCCGATTGCGCCAGCGCCTGGGCAATGGCGGGGTCAAGAGCAGTGGACATGACGGATCGAGCAGTGGACGGTCAGGCTCACGAGCGTTTATCGACTTGGGTCGGAGGGATGTCGTGAGAACAGCTGCGGCTCCAATCAATGGTGCCCAGGGGGGTTTTGACGTTCTAATCGCCTTTGTTAGACTCCGAAGCTGAGTGGGGCCGATATCGTCTCGTCTTGTCTTTGCTGTCGTGGCCTCGCTGGTCTCACGTCAAGATCCTGTTTCGTCCAAAACGGATACCGATAATGAAGTATCCCACCCGTCAGGCCATTGTCCGCAGCATGGAACGTTTACGATAGAGTGACGGGCGTCAACGCGGCCATCAACCTTCAGAAAGCGGAAATCCCACTCTAGCTCCAAGCTAGCAGCTGCATTTTCGGCCTGCAGTCTGGAGGGGTCGTCAGAGCAAAAAGAAGGGTCTCGACTGCGAAGATCATGGCGCTAAATCCCCACCGCTATCCATAGCAAAATGACTGCAATTGGCTGTCGCTTGCAAAGAGTACGTGGTGTCATACTTCCCCCTGATACACACCCTTGTCTTCCTGCTCAGAACCAACCATCAGGTTGGATTGATTGTTTTGGCGGCAGAATGATACTCTGTTTACCGTGGGTTTGTTCAACTCACAGCATTTCCGGGTGTGATCCGGTCTGCGTGCCACACCGTTAATTTTGCTCACAGTTTGTGATGTGCTAAGCCCCTGGTTGCGTATATAGTCTGAACAATCCAGAGGTCTGACCTATCCTGGAGGAATGACCGGATGTTGTATTGCTCGACTTCAGACTCTTAATCCTCTTTCGGTTGCCTCTCTTGCCTTAGATAATGTTTATATCATAGCCTACTCTCTGTGTCTGATGTGAGAGCAGTTTCGCCAAGGGTGCTCTGTCAGGCTCGGACATAAGAGTATTCGACTCGCGAAGGAGCAGACATGATATGTGACACATTTGGAGTCTGGGTGAACAATGTTACCTAGACTGTCAAGAGACTACCATAGTACATTGTTAGGTATCTCCAAGGTTTGTAGCAGTTGCAGTAGGCCAACGGAGCCATCTTCCGGAACTGTTAGCGGCTCTGGCGCGATACTCATGCACGATCTCATTAGCCATCAGTAAAAACGACAGTGAGCTCCCACCCTAACAGCCCTTCTCACTTTGTCGTACGAAACAAGCATTGAGGAGGCTTTGCCTTCGCCCACTTGGCTTTATTTTAGTACGCATTAGTTGACGCAAAGGCATGTCGGCACGGTGCCCTTACCTACATTTGAAGTCGCTATGGCTTTGCAAGTAGGGAGAGTGAATATGATAGGCCACTATACCCTGTACTTCAGCTCTGACAGGCCTGTGCTCGTTGGTTGGCTTTGGACCATCCATTACAGTCCAAGTATTCTGCTGTCCAGAGGAGGACGAACCTTCAGGATAGCAAAACACTTAAAGCCAGCATCTCCAGCAGAGATCGAATATGGTGACAGGAGAGCCATCTTGCCACTTGACGCCCGACCCTCCGCCGACTGTAACAACACAGCCCAAATGTCAATGCTGTTTGGCAAACAAGGCCCGGCGAAGGATGGGGTTGTTGTAAAGAGCCCAGATACAGCCATTGTACCGTTCAAGCGGTCCGACGAACTGCCATGTCCACTCGGCTATCTGCGGATCGGACATGCTGGGCCTAGCAAACCGTTAAGGTTTCGACGGACTCTCTGTCTCGTCTCGTATGTACTTGCTCCAGTGATGCATGGCGTCAACACGGTCCCTCTGCATAGACAGCTTGTCTCCCAGTCTGTGTCCAGTTTTAGACTCCAGAGAGTTCCTCCTATGACCTTGAAGATTACCCCAGTTTTGCTGCTGGCCGAAAGCTCGGATGAGGAGTTGTCGGCGTGCCCCGACGCAGCAGCATATATCCATTAGGCCCATCAGGTGCACCAAACCTGGACGCAGCAATGGCAGCGAAATCTCGTACACACAAACGTTATCGGCCTCACGTTAGCTTGGATGTCTTTTTCTTGTGTAAATATTGTATTATATTGGAACAGATATGCTTTTCCAGCTAGCTTCCAGCGCTCTGCAAAAGCGCCCGCTTTTTGTAAATGGTGGGACTGATTCCAACCTTCTGTAGTATTTTGGAGGTGAATTTTGACTCCTCTCTTTTGAAGTCCATGATGTGAACGCCTGCCGTGAGGCTTCATCTTTTGATGCGGGGGAGGCTCCATGCCAGCCCTGTAGGCACATAGGCCAGTGAAATGTAATCGACGGACCTCTTTCCTGGTGGCCCAACGCCTCAAAACGCCATTCCCAATAAAAAAAATACACCAGAGCCTAGATTGTCATGTGTCACGTCTTGTGTGCAGCAGCATGGACCCTCTAGTCACTGTACTGTCGCACATGCCTGGTGCCCTTGGTCTTCCTATCCCTTCCGCGACCACGTCGCTCTTCGCGACTCGAGTCGTCCCTGGACGAGTTACTGTCGTAAAGCGGCACCTGGGGGGCGTTGAGGATTTCTTCGCGGGCTGACCTGCCCTCGTTCATGACCTGTTGTAAGACAAATTGTTAGTGTCGGCGTCATGCTTCAGAGAGGCTGTCGAGGTTTCGTGGGTGAGAGGACGTACTGTGCACAGCCGGCAGCGTTCGCCGAACTGGGGGACTTTGTTGTGGCAGTTGACAGCGCCCTGTGGGAAGTTAGAACCGTGAGGCCAAGAAAGATATGGCGAGAGAGGATCGAAGGAATACTCACGTAGTAGTTGGCACAATAGCAATGCATGATGGATGTGTGGAAAAAGATGGTGTGGGAATTAACAAAGTTGTAGGTAAGAGGGTAAAGCACCGTCGTCAACGACAGAGTACTGCGTATGTGCAAGTATGGGATGGATATGAGCGATCGTGGTTTGGTTGGATCTTGTTACTGGAATGAGACGTCAGTGAAGAGAGCAGAGGTCTCCCGAGACATCGTGAGTGTTTATATGCTGGCCGGGTCCGAGGTGGTCCTGTCCCTCTCGCCCCCCTGGTCCGGAGCTTAATCCTCTCGATCTGTCCACCGTACGAGGTGTGTGAGGTCAGCTCTCCGACCTGGCCTAGAATGGGAGAAGCGCGTCAGCACCTCGAACCCAAATCCGGGCCTGGCCCCATCAGGGCAAGACCGGGTCCATCTCCCATGGGTGATGGATGGGGCCTGGCACGCCTCGCAAGCCTGGGAGCCCCTGGCCAGCGGGCGTCGGACGCAACGCTGGGCCAAGGCGTGGCACCCCGGACTTTCCAGAAAACTGGGACCGGCGCGAGGGCTGGTGGGCGCTGGCCATCGTGCCACCGCCCACGTAATCGGTACGGCGGCGGCCCACGGTGCCAGTCATGCCCTGGGGGGGGGGGGGCCCTGTGACAGGCGGCGCTAGGCGCTCTCGCAGCGACCCCGCGGCACCAGTTCCGAGGCCCGCCGCCTGGAGGATCTGCAGGCACTCAAGGCACATCCAGCCTGGCGCGGCGCCCCAAGCCTGCTAGCCATGGCGGTTGGATTTTCAATAGACACGCCTTAGTCCGCCGGCCGGGGCCAAACGCCAGCTTCCCAGGTCACGCTCACGCTGCCTCGCAATGATCTGCTCAACTACTGTGAGATAGTTACGATGCCCAGGGTGGTAGTTAGTGTCCCCCGGTGCACCGTGTGATAAGCTTGGTCCCCACCCCCTGTGCGTACAGTACCATCGGATGTAGGGGGAGGGAGCAGGGAGCAAGGAGCAAGGCATGGCAGGCAAACAATGTCCCATTCAGAGCTTCTCGTCGACTTCCCAAATTAGATACCAGCATCTGCGGAAAGATGGGACGGCTGCAACTGTCAGAAGATTGTGCCCGGGCGGACACTTGGCAAGCTCGGCGTGTGAGGTGTGTATTGGGGTGGAAGTGCGACAGCCCCATGTCTCGCCTGTTTCAATGCCGGCAGCTCACTGGGCCACAGGGCTGCGGAAGATCGCGATGCGCAGAGCTGACTGGAGACGAAGAAAGTGCCCGATTCCCCGGATCTCGGACGTCTCGCATGGCATTGCACATCTGTGGATGCGGACTGGGGCAGGGAAAACTTGTCAAACCTGTCCTGTCTCTCTGGGAACGAGTCTCTTGCCAGGTCACCACGATTCAACGAGTTCTAGAACGCCGTTTTTGTGGCACCTCCCAAACTGTGTTTCCTATGCGCTCTCGTAATGGCATTGCCATGTCGGCTCCAGAGTGCGGTATGACGCCTCCAAGCTGTGGAAGAGAAGTTTCCACCACCTGCTTCGCCTTCTGGGGGGCGCTGTTGGAAGAGCCGTGGTGCCACCGACGGTCACCGCGAGCCTTCAACGACAGCGATGCCCTGGAAACTGCCAAACTGATTCATTACTGCTGTGAGACGGCAAACAACTCCTCGTATGGTTCAGACTCTGAACAGGGCAAAGGCCCGATCCCCAGAATTCAAGCTTCCGCGCAGATTCCCATCAGCTAATCAGCGCGCCACTCACATGCAACGGCTTTTCTTGTTTTACTCATTGCACTGCAGCGGCCTTTCTGCTCTAGCTTACAGGTAGAATACAGAAACCATCGGCGGTCATTACTCTCTCGGGGCCGGGAATAGTATCGAAGCGTCGCTGACAGGGCTGATATCCAAACCTGGAGGGAATAGTAACACCCAGATAAAGACATGCAGATGACGGCAGAGGCTTGACCGGCCTGGCATTAGCGGCCGATGTGCCTGACTTGGGGCTTCCCACGAAGCTTATCGTCCACCCAACTCGGTTTCTTTTTCTTATCTAGAGTCTGACGGTCTGGTGATGGACTCAGCAACGACGTTGAGGTTGTTCTATTCATACAAAAGCAGCCAGCCGAACCCAAATCTCTGGAGCCGTGAAAACATTTTCGTCCCTCCTTTTCTATTTTCTTCCTGCACATTCCCTCGATCAATGAATAAGAGACTGCCCCGATGGAGCTTAGAGTTTTTCACGCGGTAATCAAGCTTCAGGTACAGACGGCATGGTGCTTATGTTACGCCGAGAGTCCCTGGATTTGCTTTTGCATCGCTGAGCTATTTCCCCTGGTGTGCAGCAACGGCAACCCTCCGAGATACGTAGCTACACCATTACTCCAGCTCCCACACTCGCCTGTGGTCCCTAGGGGTCCTTACATGCATAACGACCCATCAAAGGGACCCAGAATTCCAGGTCCTGACAATATGGGGGGTCCCGCGATCCATGCGTTGTGACTTTGTTTCCTGTTTCATTTGCGATATTCTTCGTATTTTCGGCGGGAAAAACAGGTCGGCCTCGAATCTCGCCATCGCCATCGTCCCCATCATCGCCCGATAGCTTGGGTAGTATTTCGATTATCGTCACTGCCACCCTCCACTCCAGGTGCGGCGGGGCCCGGCTGCGCGGCCTGGTTCGTATTTGCCGGCATTGGACGTGTGTCTAGACGCCGTGCTAAAACCCGCCCGCCCCCTGGGTGGAGACGGTCCCTTCCGCCAGGCAACCTACCCCGTGGCTGTGCGGTCCACCGAATGTTTAGTTGATGTCCATCGTCATGTTGTTGACTTGGAAAATATGGAAACAAATCAGGTTTGGCACAAGAAATCGAGGAGACACAGTGTACTGTATAGAGTTGCCACCCACAGTTTCTGCATACTGAACCCCTTATAGAGGTGGCATCTCCACTAATTGTAAAGAAACAAGGCGGCTGTGGACGATCTTGCCAACTTTCATGCGCCGTGACACGAGGTGATCCGAGTCGTCCACTCGTAAGAAGCAGACACAGAGGCGTCCGGTGTATCAATCGTCGGGTGGATTCTTTCTCACGAAGGACTCGCAAAGGCTGGCTTCCACGTAAAGTTCTATTCTGAGCGCTATAGTTCTGAACCTGCAGGTATCAGGATGGATCTCAATAGGTCCGGTCTCATTTCCGTGTTGCCGATAGAACTTGTTTCTAAAGATATAGACAGCAACGCGGTGTGCCCGCTTATCTTGGTATCAGATCTCTCCTACACTCTCGGGGCGCACATGCTGCCATCTCACTCGCCTCCTCCCTTCACCGTCCCTCCCTTGTGGAAATTAGTCTGGCCATGCCTTCGCATCTCCGCTCCTTTCAGACCTCGCCGGGCTTCCGGTGACAGCTGAAGCGGCACTTCGTGTGTGCTGATCTGTTCGCCGGCCCTCCAAGTCAGTTCCCAGTGCTTCCAAACGGTCGTCTCATGGAACTGCATCCACGTGATAAATTAGGGCCAGAACTGGACAGTACCAGCTTTGGTTGCAGATAATAAATTTGTGTTGGCACAGTAGCAGCAGGCGAGGAAATCGGCCGTCAGTCCCACTCTGCAAAAGTAAAACAAGGAAGAGAAGCCCGCGCTCGCTATCCAGATCCACACTTCCCTCACATGATCCTACACTCTCCAAAGCTCAAGTGGATTGCAGATGGCTGCAAGCATTCACGGATAAGACAACGCTCTCGATGCTGATGGACGTAAATATGAGTAAAAACAAGCCTCGGAGGATTCGGAGGGTGTCGGTGACTAATGGATGCCCTGTCCCTTCTCCTGCGAGGGCATCTCGGACCTCCGGTTGTTCTTCCAGAAATCGATGGCTGCCACGACATCCTGGCCGCCTTCGTCTTCGTACGCAAACAAGATCTATCACTGCCGTTAGTCTGGAGCAAACATGAAACCCGATTTTGGGGCCTGCCAGACAACTTACCTCATGCGTACTACTATGCAACATCCTGATATTCTTATGTGGCACGATGTGCACAGCTCCATTCTCGATATTTCTAATCTCGATGAAGTTGGGTTCAAAAGCCAATATCCACGGGTAACTCAGCGCAAATGATTGCGGTGTGCCCTCCCAGTCGATACGCCAATCGGGTCGCGCTCTCCATCCATTGCGATTAACGAAGAAGGAGAAGTCGGTATAGTTTAGCAGGAATTCGCCGTTGAGACGCTCGATGTGGATGGGCTTGACGCCTTCCTTGCGGGCCACAAAGTCCAGTGACGTATCAGCCTGGTCCAGAAGGCTCTGTGTCTCCAGAGTTTCGAGAGAGACAACCTCAAACCCTCGAGAACAGGCCACACATAGCTTGCTCTTCAGGAAATGGACAGACGTGGATTCTGTCGGGATATAAAATTCCTTGAAGGCCTTGAGTTCGTCCTGTCCCGCATTGAACATCTTACCGAAGCCCTTCTGCTTCTTGCCTTTGCTCATAGCATCGTTGGGCTCGTAAACTTTGATGGTCGTCGAGAGGGCGGTAGACTTGACACAGCAGACAAGATGGCGACCTAAGCAGATACCCGCCTTGAAAAAGGTACAGTGACTCTGAATCTTCTTGCCTCGCTTCGAAGTCGCGGGCTCATTCGGTTCTAGTGCGGCCATGGAGAACGACATGAGAGTCTTATTGCATAAGACCAGGAGAAGACCGTACTCTTCCAGGACATCGACCTGCGTGACACTTGTGACTTCAATAACACGTCTAGGTGGTGCATCCTTGTTCTTGCGGTCAGTGACAAAGATACCCGTGTCTGTACCATAGATCAATTTGCGGCCACCATCTAAAATGAAAGTTAGCATCAACTTCAACTCCAATGATTTGCAATTTCACTTACCGCAGGGTGTGACTGTGTTAACTTGGTTGCCAGTTCCGAAGAATCCGCTTGATATGTTGGTCACGTTGAAGAAATCGGCACGGGCCCGCAAGCGCTGTTGCGCATTGTCGATGAACTCCAGCCACTTTTTTCTTGCGGATTGGTTGGAAGCGTATAGGACTTGCTCGTAGAAATTCTTTCCCAGATGGCGGAAGGTAATAGGGTAGCCTTCGGTCTTCTTGTTGTCGGCGTTACCTGCTCGAAGTGGTATTAAGCTGGATGATGAACGCTTCATCCCATGCTGAGGTATGACCTCGTCCATCTCTCTGATTGACAACAGCTCGAGTGGGATAGGCTGTTACATAGGCGCGTTAGCAGACAAATATGGATGGCTTGTTGGTTGGTATGAAGACTTACCCTTCTGTACGCCTTGACCTCCTCCGTCTTACCAGCCTGCTTGATTCTCACTAACAGAACTGCATGGTCGAACAGGAAGGCTGTGATGTCTGTGGGGTCGCTAGGTGCCTTCTTAAACACAGTCTTGAAGACAAGTTCTCGTCCGTCCTCGGTAAGTCTTAGATCCACACGATCTTGTGGGCGGAAGCGCAATTGATCGTGAAGGCGCCGCAGGTTGAATCTGTTCTCGGCCTTACCAGACTCGGCGTTGACTCTGCTCAGCAGGTCACGGATCGTAGTAAGGACCTTGGGGATGTCCTCCCTGTCCTTGTTGCCCTCCTCCGTATATTTCAGAACGTTCTCCAGGAGGAGCGGATATCGTGCTAATCGCGTTGTTGGCTTGGTCAAGTAACCGTTGAGCTCGAGCTTCCTCGATTCCTTCCGCCGCTCGATCTCGTCCACAAACTTGGAGAAGAAGGGGTTGCCAGAGCGCTCGTTTTCAAATTCGAACTTGGCTTCAAGCTGCTTGGAGCCATACAGGATAAACGGTTCAAACTGTGGTACAAACTCTAGGAAGATATCGCCCAAGTTTCGTACCACGGGATTCTTCTGCTGCCTTTCCGTCAGGGACCTGGCGAAGCGTGAACTGACGGTGTGAATGGCCGGGTGGTCGATGATATTGCTGAAAATGTTCCGAACCACCTTTTCCCTCCTCGCGGCTGGAATTGGCGAGTTCTTGGATCTCAGGGGCAGGATCCAGAAATCGCGCAGGTATTCCAAATCCTTGACGAAGTCTCTTTCAGTATAGCAAATCTCGGATATGACCTCCTGCCTCTTCTTTTCTCTGTCGTCCACACTCTCGGCGATCTCCTTGGGCACCGTGTTGATCCAAAGCTTCTGCTCGTCGGTCTGGTCGATATCGTCTTCGTTAGCGACAGCGTCGTCCTCCCTCTTCAATCCAGGTTGCATCTTCAAGTTCAGTCTCGAGACCTGCTCCAACCTTCGCGGGCAAGCTATGGAATAGCAAAGTTGGTCCCGTGTACAAGTGGGTGAGTAACACTCGGAGAGCAGCACGAAGACTCCGTTCACGGGGGGTTTGTCTTCGGGTTCGTCCATCAAGGTTTCCCTGAATTGGTACATCTCGGATGTAGAGTCTCGTAGCCGGTGCTCGTAGGTGACATCGTGGAAGTACTTCTGCGCGTCGAGTGCACGACCAAGGAGCAGGGCCAAGTTTCTGTCCGTGGTCCTGATGATATACGAGAGTACGTCAACAGCCTCGGAGCCGCTGAACGCATTCTTGTAAGTCAGCTCGTTCTTGGTCCTGTCACCCGTGATGATCTTCTGACGGAACTTCTCTGCCACTCTGGAGAGCAAGGCTGGGTACACCAAGGGCGGTCGGATTTTGGCAGTCGGTGGCCTCTCGCCGTCGATCGATCTCGAAGACACTGAAGGCCGGTGAACAAGGTCTTTGCTGCGAGAGTCGTCAGGGGACTCAGACGTTGTAATGGTACTAGCCATTGACATCGTTCTGCTGTGGTCGCCTGCGACAGTCGAGGAGGCCATGCTCATAGTTCGGGTCGCCGCACCGGGGGCGGGGCCGTATCCATTGTACTGAGAGAAGCCGTTCATGGTGGGTGTCTCGTTCGAGGGGGCTCTCGCGCGGTTGGGAATAATTCGACCGCTCATGGTTTGGTGAGCGTCTCGGTCTGGCGGGGGGTAGCCGGTCATGGACATGGCGCGATCATCGTGTCGTTCCGGGACGACGCGGCCCTGTGCCGTCGTCCGTGATGCCGGCGGCGCATTGTTCGGAGCACCTCGGAAATTGTTGGGCGGCGGTGGTTGGTTATAGGCAGGCGGCGGTTGGTATGCATTGGGCCGAGGCGCACTCGCCAGAGACTGTGACCGATAGGGATCGTCTCGAAGCGCCGCCGAGGAGTTCTGGGGCGCTCCCTGGTAGAATCTCGGCGGTGCCGCCCGAGGAGCATATCCCTGACCTTGCATGGACGGTGCCCTGGAATCGAACCGCGGGGGAGGACCTCCGCCTTGCTGCGGTGGTGGTCCCGGATAAGGCCGCCTGTCGGGGGCAGGCATCGGCCCTCTGCTGTACTGTTGGGGAGGATAGCCACCGGAAGGGTTCCTCTGGCTTTGGTAGTAGCCGTTGGCAGTGCTCGTGTCCATGGTGCGGGTTCTGGTCATGGACTCTTCGTAGCCACGCTGGGGTCTGGGCGGGGCGCGGCGCTGCATATCGTGCTGCATGGACATACTTGACGACATGGTATGCGTCCGGCCATCGTGTTGTGGTGGCATTCGTGGCGGTGGTCCCTCGCCGCCCGACGAGGTCATGGTCTGTGATCGGCCGGGCGGAGGGGCAGCGCCGAAGATGTTGGAGAAGGCGGCATCTCGTTGCGTGTTGCCCGGGGGGCCATAGCGGCGTTGGTCGTACTGGTAGTCAGCCATCGTGTCGACCTAGAGCAACAGGAATGGCGTGTCAGCGATGCAATGTGCCATCGGGAGGTAAGCCCCTTTGAGCGAGAAGAGCGAGAGGCGAGAAGCAGAATCCCAACGGCCACGAGGGGACGAAGTGTGGTGTCACCGGGAAAAGGGTTCAGGACCACGGGCGATGTGCCGCAGCGTCGTGCCAGAACACCGAGCGCGAACAGATAAGAGGGGACTCACTCACTTGTTCTCAAACCTAGGCGGCCGCGAGAGCCTAGGGCAAGGAGCCGAGTCGGGTGCAGGCTCGGGCGAGGCCCTCGGCGACGGGGCTCAGGAGGGAGGGAGGGAGTGCGAGCAGGTCCAAGCAGGCGACTACGGCGGGTGCAATGCGGGTGCAATGCCGGCGGCGTGAATTCTGTCGGCTCTGGCTCTTGTCCGGCGGTGTTGTGACCGCCCCGTGCTGCGATGTCCAGGCGACGGTGAGAGCCGGGGAGATGCGGGTGCGTTGTCGTGCGCAGGCGTTGGGATCTTGGACTTTGGAGACTTGGGCAGCGTTATCAGGATCCAGAATCTTCCCTCCCGTCGTTCCCTTTTCCCCCCAGATTTTCCTCGCCTAAATGAACCTGGGCGCCGCGCTCCGTCCCGTGGGGCGGTGGATAGCGCTGGCAAACGCAAACGAACGAAGGGCGACGGCTGGGCTGGGCAGGGCAGACAGATCAGGGCAGAGACGAGACGAGGTGAGAGACGCCGTCTGCCGATGTCGTGGTGCGCGGTGCGGTGCGGGCGTGTGATGGGATGGGAAAGCAGGCGATGGATGGGCGCTGTGTCGCTGGCGGTGATCATGTGTGGGAGGGCATGCATTTGGGCCGGCCGGTATCACCCTGACTGGCCTGGACGAGCGACTGGGCGGTGCGAGCGAGTGCGTACGTGCGCCCGCCATGAGGTGACTAGTGCCAGGGAGGAGGCACTGTTCTCCTGTGCCGTTACTACTACTGTACCATAGCACCACCTGCACCTACTGGACTCCGTACTGGCAGACGCTGGGCAGGACGAGACGCATTGGTTGGTCGGAGTGGTTGATTGACCCTCCACCCCCAAGCTATTCCTAGACCGGGTGCTTCTCTCGGCTTGTGCTCTATTATGTAAGTCAAGTTTCCAACGTCGCAGTCCCCTATCACTATCGCTGCCCGTGACCAGGGCTCTGGGATTCTGGCGTGCGGCTTCTCCAGAGTCTAGAGCCGAGTGAGACACCTCCAGAGCTGCGCGGAGGGTCAATTGGGACCCTACAGCTATCGTGTTCGCAGATACGACGGATTCAGGGTGCAGACGGGGGTGCAGACGGGGATGCAACAAAGTCCGACAGCGGGACGGACGATGGTCGAGGTGAAGACGCGAATTGCTGTCAACCACGAACCAGCGTGCACGATACTGAGAACCGCAGAGAAGACGTGTCAAGTAGTTAATACAGAGAGCTGCGGCCGGCACGGAACTGTTGTACACAGACCGACAGCGAGACCAGCTTGACAGAGCATAAACTCTTGTCTCAGGAACGCCTTTTATCTTTGCACTCCTGCAGACCGGATGATAAGTTGACAGAGTTCACAACCTGACCTAGGTAGTGCTCAAGCGCGGTAGTTTCAGAGTAGCTGTGCAACGGTCACAGGAGCCTTCCAGGTTTGGACTTCGGATGAATTCGACATGTGGTTATGCCAGCCAGTCAGTCAGTCACTTTGCGGCTGGAGACGCGGGACGGCCGACGTGACTACACCAAGTCCACCCTGCACCTTGTCTGGATTCTTGTCTCTCAAAAGGCCTTCCTTTGGCCTGCATTTCTGGCAACTACTGTGTAGTGTGGGTGAGGACGTCTGTGGCTGTTCTCTTCTTGCGTTGACCGCTGCGGCCATGGTGCACTTGCACCCTCGCATCCTACGGATCTTGGTTGGCGGCCATCTCCCCCGGGGCCCTGTTCTGTTGCGTGTTGGGGGCAGGGAAGAAGAAGGTACGGCAGGAGTGACGGTACGCTGGTCCGTCTGCACGCGGCGTGGGCACAATTCGAGGAGCCATAGCCGGAAGCCTGAGATTGCATCTCCTTGCTCTTGAATCTGAAGCCATGCCATGGCAGGCTTCCACGGTGGCTTTGATGCCGGTCCGGTTCACTGTGGGTATCAGATGGTTGCACCTACGTCAGTCGTTTCCTGCAGAAGGGGAGCCCTTGTCGCGCGGATTTGGTTGGTTCAAGCTGCCCAATGGACCAAGCCGACAGTCTAAAGTCCGTGAAAGCCGAAAACGAGTCACGTGGCGCTGCCCGTTAACTACCTGACTACATACCTAAGGTAGTACCTACGGGCCTGTGGCCCTCAAGCCTGTTGCCTGTGGCTGTGTCTCAAGATGCCTGTCGACCAGCCGCCCGCTGCCCGCTGCCCGCCAGATGCCGCGCCCGTGCCGGTTGGTCCGAGCGCGGCCCCAGAGGCTTGGCGCGAGGCAGCTTCATTTGATGATTGCATCCCGTCCAGCAGCACCCCCGAGCTTGACCTGAGACGAGGCATCATCATCATCGATGAGCCATCTTCCACCACGCTGACCCGGCCCTCCACCCTCCGCCCATCTGTCACCCCCCCTCCTCCGCCCGGCCTCGCCATATTCAAGCCGCCGCTCGTCGTCATGGCCGACCATGTTTTGGCGCCCAAGTTCGCACCCTTCATCGGCATGGTGAGCTCTGCCTCCACGACACCACCAGAGGCCCCTCTGTCGTACTGACCCTCGGCCTTCGCATCTAGGCCGGCATCGCATCCGCTATGATCTTCGGCTGCATCGGCGCAGCTTACGGAACCGCAAAGTCGGGCATCGGCATTGCTGGTGTGGGAACCTTCCGGCCAGATCTCATGATGAAGGTGCGTTGGTCCACCAGCGGCGCAATGCAGCCAACAGCTAATTGACCGCCCATATCAGTGTCTGATCCCCGTCGTCATGTCTGGAATTATCGCCGTCTACTCGCTCGTCATCGCCGTCCTGATCGCCGAGGACATGAGCCCGCCCTCGAACGGCGGCTCCTATAGTTTGTTCAACGGCTTCATGCACCTGGCATGTGGCCTGTCCGTCGGCTTCACTGGCCTGGCCGCCGGCTATTGTATCGGCGTTGTTGGCGACAAGGGCGTGCGGGCGTACATGGAACAGTCCAGGATTTTCGTCGGCATGGTCCTCATCCTGATTTTCGGAGAGGTTCTGGGGCTTTACGGGTAAGAGAGCAATGTTGCGTCACGGCAGAGTTCCTACTGACACGCTTGATAGGCTCATTGTTGCGCTCATCATGAACACCAAGGCCAAGGGCTAAATATGTGTCCACAAGCAGTATCCCAATGTGGCCACGAAGAGGGTTCAGGCAGTATTGCGGTCCAGAAATGCCGCAGGGGCGCTGTATTGGTAGAAGGAGACATGTCCTTATTGCAGCATATTTGACGGCGTTCCAGGGTATGTAGGTACATTTATTCGTTTAGAACTTGGTGATGGTTGGCACTTATGGTTGTGGCAATACTCCAGGGACGGTGGTAGCGTGATAGAAATGCGACTTATACTCCCCCCGCGAAGTCCCTTTTGCAGCGTAACAAACTATACAATGGCAGCCCATCTACATGACTCGCCTAGGGGCCGGGACTGTTGTTCTTGGATCGCTCAGACTAACGCGCACTTGAGTTGGACCTGAGTCGGACACATATCTGCATGCTTTTGAGTGCCTTCAAATAGAGACCCGTCTCGTCAATTCGGACTACATCCATTTGGTTCTCAGCGGCCGACCCTGATCACTCACAAATAACCCCGGCGCAGGACGAAACACACAAACCGCGGACATCTTCGGCACTCAGTCCTCAAGCTCACCGAAAACGATCCATCTGATCATCAGTCTCATATCGTCGTCCTTGCGAAACCTAAAATGAACATCACAGCGATGCTAGAAAAAAAAATGCAGATGCATTTCCATGCCCTCTAAGGTCCAAACGCCAGAGAAAAGATACCCACCGTGAGACCCAGCTCCTAGCAGCTACATCAAGGAAAAAGTCCGGTCAATCAACCGTAAACGAGCGGATGTGAATCGAAATCTAAGTCCAGGTCACCAAACCGTGGGTCTCAATATTGCGACTAAGCCACCCTACTGCACGACGTGCCAGTACAGACAAAACGCCTTAGTACCTTGGCGTGGTCCTGTACGCCCTGTTCGTCGTGCTCAGGTTCACCACCAGCGTCTGTGACGACGCCGGCTCGTGAACGTCTTCCAGCTTTCCTGACGCTGGTCCCAGTCGTTCATCTGGGCTGTGGAAGCTTGTCAGCAGATGTCTTTCTCAACAGCCAGGTCACCGACGTGCTCGAGGTGCTGCTTCTTGCAGAGACACATATATGCTGCCCCACCAGTCATGTGGTTTCCTGTTTCTTCTTTCTTTGTTGGATTATGACTTACCTAGAAATAAATCCCATCGGCGGTCCTCCCGAATCAGGATGTCGTCGCCGCTCTCCCGAGCCAACCTCTCCCGTCGAGCATTCGCGGCGGCCTCCTCGCCCACCAGATAAGGGTCCTCCAGGGGACGGACCCTGGTGCGCTCGCGCTCCTCCTCCTCCGTGAGCCTGCCGAGCACGGCACGCAGCTGTCCCTGTACGTGCGGGTTGTTGCTGCTGTTGCTGCTGCTGCTGCTGCCGCCTCGGGACGCCGTGACCCGCCGGTTCGCCACGGCCTGGTAGTGGCGGGCCGTGGGGTTCGAGTTCAGGGACGACCAGCTCGCGATGCGGAACTCGCTGATCTGCGGCATCTGCGTGCGCAGGGGCGTGTCCGGCACCGGCGGCAGGCCCGGGCCGCGGCGCGTGTTGCTGGTGGCCGGCGGCAGCATGGAGGAAGGGCCCGGGGTGGGCGTGGACGAGTCGGCGCGCGCGGCCGGCGCCGCATGGGAATAGGCCGGCAGGGTCTCGGCGGGGGGCAGCGTCGAGTGGTAGGAGGGCGCTTCCGAGACTAAGCGGGGGTCAGCTGCGCAGGTTCCCCGAGTATGGGCTTGGGGAAACCAGACGAACCATATGATGGAGCTGCGGAGCGGATCGAGGCCGTCTCAAAGTCCTCGGCGCTCAGGCGCTCGAGCCGGGTCTGTTGCATGACTTCGGCTGTCATGGTGACCGGGTATTATGGCCGTATGACCAGAGTGCGGGGAGGATGGGTAGACGGCGAGAAGGACTAGGAGGAGGACGGGGACGGGGTTCAAGGTAGCGGGAGGTCTGACAGGAACACTTCGCCCATGTGTTTAGAACGAGCAGGAGATGTCATTCAGTCAAACAGATTTAGGACAGGCAGTGAGGGCAGTGAGGGCAGTGAGGAGCAGGCGCGCAGGCACAGTAAGACGGGCTGGGAAGACGGGGTTGGCGAGGGAGCCCGGTGTAAATGAATATACGGCCCAAGAGTTGTACACACAGGTCGTCGGCAGCTCGGGGAGGAAAGTAAATGGTAACTGCAGACAGGGTCCACACTCACGAATACAACCGTGACACACTCACACGCACGCATACACACTTCAAGACTAGTAGGATCGGACCAAACCTAGGGACGAAGGGGACGGGTGGCATAGGCCCAGCACCCTCTTTGTAGCGAGTGCACACGTGAGGTGGGAGGGACCGAGACAAGCTGCAGATAGCACGACCGCACCTGGCCTTGTCTATCCCTACTTTGGGTCTCGTGCTGATTCGGGGATGATGTACAAGCAGAGCCCACAAGGAGGGGGACCCCAACTAGGACCACAGGCAGACGACGCCATCTTGGCACAGCATGCAACTAATTCGCGCTGGAGGGTGGTTGGTTGGCGTATGCTTGGAGGTGGTGTGTTGTCTGTCTGTGTCTCTGCCTTGCCCAGGTGTCGGATAAGCTTGCGGTCCTAAATCTAGCGGCGGGGTTTTATCGTTTACAACCTCTCTCTCCTCCACTGGGCTACAGGACATACCTGCACAGCCGCAGCGGGGTATTGACAAAAGATCCTAGGCGCAACCTTCGTCTCGGCCCATGCCTGTGGTGGTGGTGTAGTGGTGGCATCCCGTGTTGCACCCCATCTGTAGGGCTTAATGGTAACTTTGTATTAGCTGGCATTCTTCTGAAATCTTCCTGGCTTGTGTTATACTCCGGCTTCCCAGAGACAAACCCACTGCATCATGATCAGTAAGGCGGCTATCGGCCTGAAGTATAGATGCGGGGGCATTTGGACCCATTTGGACCCACCAGATACCTGTGGTACAGGCCATGGCCCAGGCTTGCCAGGCTTCCGACGGAAATAGTGCCCTTGTCTGGTGGCTTACGGCCTTCCACGACCGGCTTGAGGGCTTGAGGGCCTTGCAGTTCTAGTGCTTCACCACCTGCAGCCAGACCCGCTTGGAAGCCATAGACGGACTGTCGGGAACATACGGTAGCGCAGTCGTGTTGGTTCGTCATCGCACAGTTGTTCCTGAACGGCCCCGACGATCTCTGATCGATCGGGAGACTTGGTAACGCGCTGTGGGCCGTTTCGTGCCTGGGCATCCTCGACAGATAGGTTACCTCTGGCAATGACGGCACATTTGTGAAATTGTGAAGAAGTAAGAAGCTGCCATGGAATATTGCCAAGGCCACCAAGACTCGGCTTCTCATCCACGTATGCACAGATAGCTTGTCGGACCACTTCTCTACAAATCCACTTTCGTACCGCGCGAGGAGGCCTCGCATAGGTGTGTATCAAGAAGTTGGTCGAGACTCCAAATTTTAAACCGCTTTATCCGTTGAATTTCCGCCTGCCCAATACACAGTAATTTATTCAGTGTGATGAATTCCGATTCAATGCGGCTAATCACTTAAACGATGTACCTACTCTGTAGGACTCAAAATCCACTTTCTCCAAACCATCTTAGCCGTGCCTCGGCATGTTTGGATTAGCGAATTGGTCATCTTGCACGTGGGAAATTCACAGTCAAGACATAGCAGGATGTAACAATAGGTACCGTTTTCCAAGATTCAATTTCAAGTATCAGCATGACAGCATCGCTGACGAGAAGGCATATATACTCTATTGCAGATAACACTCACACACAAATAGCGTCTGTGTAAATCAAAGCAAATGGTAGTATTGACCATCAATACAGAGTACCGTAGGCATCATACCCGAGACCCAAAACCATACCAGCCTGCAGTTGGAACAAGCAGCCATATAATCCAGCATAACCCAAACCGTATAATACACCCATAAATACCCCATCCTCATTATCAGCTGCGCCGTCCCATGCCGTATCGAAAACATCAAAAGTTGTAGCGAGTCCTTTTACCACAGTCTTCTCTGGTAATAGACCGGCCCCTCGCCCTGTGACAGTTCCATGATGTCTTGTTTTATGCGTCTCCTCCTCTCGGCCCTGCTGATCGGCTTTTCCTCTTCCTCGGCTTTGTTCTGCTCTTTCTTGGATTTGCCTCTTTTCTTCAGCTCCTTCGGCTCTTTCTCAGCTGGCTTCTCCGCGGGCACGTCCTCCGGGACCGTGGGCCGCACCTCCACCACGAAACCGTCCTGCTTCTGCCGCCCGTCGACTCCTGGTAGATTGTCGTCGCTGTCCCCAATCTCAACTATGCTGCCATCCTCGAGCTCTGTGGTAGACTGTTTGAACCGGTCTGGTAGGTAGATCTTGGGACTTGGCCGGGGATCCGGGCGGATGGCCCTTCGCAAGTCGCGCAGCGTTCGTTGTTGGATGACGTAGCCGCTGAGGAACAGCGCTGTTGTGAACAGGATGACTGAAACATAATCTCCTATTAGCAATCTGCTTCTGCTAGAGAGGTGCCAGAGCCTTGTCTATTCGCACGTGGCGCTGTTTCTGCGAGGGGTTTGCGTACCGATGCCCGACGAGATCGCCACAGAAACTTGCGACGATGTCAACAAAACCATTGTATATAAAGATGCTGTGGCTAAATTCAAAATGTGCTCATACAAAGCCAATTGTCTAAGAGTTGTTGTCGGATTGTAGATTTGCTGAGACTGTCTCACCATCACCAACGTTGATGGCCATGTCCAGCTATGTTTCCTGTTTTGGACCCCGGTCGATCGGTAACCCGGGGCAACACGCTCGATGATGCGCTGCCGTGCCGTACGGCCCCACTTTCAGCGGACCCCCGTGCCAGGATACCCCCGATACGGCAAACAGCCCGGGTCGGATGAACTTCTTCAACTCTCGGTAGTCTCTGGCAAGAATCCGTCACTGAGCGTGCATTTCGGTCCGTAACTTTATGTCTCTTTTAGCACCTCCGGAAAAAAAGAATTTTCACAGTTTTCGGGGCATGGGTATCGCGGAATCCCGCAGGTACTTCGAGTCCCATGACCTCATAGACTACAAATAGTATATTCAAACTTATCAACCAAATTCATCGAGGAAAAATACCTGGCGTGAAACAAAAGAGCCCAAAGCACTTGTGATAATCTCTCATTCAAGCCACTTTCACTCAGCTAAACGTAGGCAGCCGCCCTTAATCAACAGCCGCCCCCCATTATCACCCCGTGTTCAGCGGCGACCGCCATTATCCTTCCAGTTGGTATAGGCAATCATAGCGAGGATGAGCATGAGCGCCAGCCGCGGCAGGCCGATGGCCTCCCCGGAGCCTGCGTTGAGGAGGTTGGCGCGCGTGATGGCGTTGGCGTAGACCCACTCGCGCCGCTTGCGAAGCTGGATCGTCAGCGCCGAGATCAGCAGGCCGAGCGCCGTGAAGCACAGGCTGATGAGGAGCCAGCCCCAGCGGACCCGGCGGCCAAAGAGGCGCACCGACCCGAAGGGCGCCGGGCCCGCCGCAGCAGCGCCGACGCCGTCGCCTCCGACGCCCGCGGTCTGGGTGCCGCGGCTCCGGTCGCCGAGCGCCCATGCGATCTCTTCCGCGTCTGGGTCGAGCCCGTAGAGCAGAGAGGCGACCTGCACGTTGTCGATGAACAGTCGGTCGAAGGAGATGGCCTCGATGAGGCACTGGTGCTTGTAGATCTCCCGCTGGACGCGTTGCTTCTGGACCTCGTCTCCTCCGCCGTCCTGGAGGCGGGCGAGCTGGGTCTCGTACTTGCGCAGGTCGGCGCGCAGGTAGATGTCCATCTCCTCGGCAAAAGTCGGCGGTTCGCAGCCCTTGTCATCCCAGTACTCGATGAGCCTGTCGTTCTGCTCGTTCCAGTCGCTGCGGTACTGCTTGATCTTCTCGTCCAGCAGCCGCAGCTTGTCGCCGGCCGCCTTGCACTCGTCCAACTCCTTGCGGAGCCTCTCTATCTCTGCGTCTTTCTCAGGGTCCGGGCCGGAGCCCTGGCCCTGGTCCTTGAGCTGCCGGAGGGTGGCCAGTTGCTGCCTCAGGTCGGTGCGTTCCTGCTCGAGGGCACGGATTCTGCGCTCGAGTACTTCGTCGGAGGCAGTTGGACTGCCAACGAGGTTGTTTCGCTGTTCCTCGCGGATGATATCGTTGAAGCTCTCGATGATGTCTGACACTTCCATCTGGAATCCGGCAAGATCGGTCAAACGACCGCAAGTACAGTCAGCCTTCTTGCCTTCTTCACTCTTATCGCTCTCGTCGTCCGCGTCCTCGTCCTTGCCAATACCTTTGTCGCACACATGTTTTTTACCTTCTGCACAGTCTCTGAGAGAGTCGGTGAGATTCCTGCTATGCTGCTCCAGCTGCTTCACGTATCTGTCCAATTCCTCGTTCTCGTGCAGCAGCTTCTCGTTCTCTGATGACAGCTTGCTCGCAGCGTTGCTGTTCCAGACGAGGCCCTTGTGGAGGGCTTCTTTCTCCTCAACCGAAGTGCGTCTGAGCTCCTGGATCTCTTTGTCCTTATCGGCGTTCTCGTTAAGCACTTCTTGCATCTTGGAACGGTCAGCATCTAGGCGGGTCCTTAGTGCATTGGCTTGGTCCTGCTCCTCGATCAGGTTGTCCTTGAGATCTTTGATGGTTGAATCCAGCTTTTGGATCTCTGCCTCTTTGTCCTGTAACTTCTTCTTGAGCTCCTCGATCTCGTTCTCGAGCTTTTCGATTCTCGCAGAGGACTTGGCAGACCTTTTGGACTTGAGGTCTTCGACTTCGTCCTCCTTCGCTTGCAGTTGCCTTTCTAGGTCCCGCTTGTGCTCAACACACTCGTCAAGCTCTGTTTGCTTCTGTTGTATCTCGTCGCCCTTCTCTTGAATCTGCTCCTCAAGTTTCTTTTGCGTGTCGAGGTGGTCGGTGATGCTTTTTGCCAAGTCAAGTACGTGCTGTTGGAGTTTATCCTTGGCTTCTTCCAGGTTCTCCGAGGTCTTCTGCTCGTCCTTCACGGCGGCTGCTTCCTTCGCGGCGGCGGCGGCCTCCTTGGCGGCACTCTCCTTTCTCAGCTTCTGTAGTTCCTTCTTGAGCCGTTTGATCTCCCTCTCGAGCGCCCTCGACTGAAGTAAGCACCGTTGAATCTTTTCTGCGGACGCGGCCTGGATGGCATGATACGCGTCAGGCTCGAGATCGTACTCGTCAAGAGAATCCCGCTTCTCTCGGACCTCTTTTTCCAGCGCTTCCATCTTCTCGGTTCTGGTCTCCAGATCTCTGATCTTTTCGGCCTGCTGTACGATTGTGTCTGCGCCGCTTCTCAAGCGCAAGGTATACATCTCCGGAGACATCCTGTACTGACTCAATTTCCCGTCGACCTCAGCCTTCGCCTGTTCCAGCTCGGTAAGCTTCTCGCTGCAGCTTTGGGTCTCCTTGCGCAACTTCTTGAGCTCTTCTTTCTCGCGCGGCTCCTGGTCCAGCCTCCACTGATCCGCTGCCTCGATGCCATTCCACATGTGCTCAGTAGCTTTATGATCCTTGTCGTCCGTGTTCCTGAGAGCGGCGAGGAGTTTCCAAACCTTGGAAATGATACTCTTGGTTTCAAAGTCCCGGTCATATTTCAGGCTCGAAAGCATGGCGCCGAAGGCTCTCAAAATGTTGACCCTGTCCATTGTGTCGTCGGCTAGATCTTCCCAGTCGCAAGGGTCCTTGTGGTCAGTATGCAGCATGCGGACAACCTGCCGCAGGGCCGGGAAGATAAAGTCGCCAAGGGGTTGCAAGTCAGGATAAACAGGGGCTGGGCCTTGTGGTGGCGCCGGAATTGAGGGTTGGCGGGAAGAGTTCCTACTACCCGCCTCGTTGTCGCTCTGCTGCCCAAAGGCTTCGCCCAGCTGGTCGAACAGGTTTGTGTGTCCTACCATGGCAGAGTCTCCAGACCCTGTGCGGGAGTCTGAGGGAGACGCGAGCACAGCCTCATCAGCATTGTCGTTCTCAAAAGCCTCATTTCTCGCGTGTGCGATGCTGAGGTGCTTTGCGGCCTTCTTTAGCTCTTCCTCCTTAGCCCGGGCCTCGTCTCGCAGATCCTCGACTGTGCTCTCTAGCTCCGGTATCTGGTCCTTTAGTTTGCTGTTTTCGTTCTGAAGCGTCGTAATGAGTTTATCCTTGTTGTTGAGTTCAGCCTTCGATACCTCCAACTCTGCTTGAGCCTCCATCTGGGCTGCCAAAATCTGCCGTTGCGTGTTTTCCAACTCCTTTAGAGCCTCAGTGTTGCGTGTGCTGGACTTCTGTTCATGGTTCAAGTCCTCGTAAGCCTTCTTGCGCTCTTCGTCTGCTTTATCTTTCGCTTCTTCGTACTTCACCGCCATCTGTTCGACCTCTTGAATGTGTGTTTCTAGTTCGCTTCGTTCTTTATCCCACTGCTTTACTTGTTTCACAAAGTCTCGATCCTTGTCCCGAAGTTGCTGCTGGTGTTGTGCTTTCTGCGTTTCCATCTGTTTCATGATATTTTCCATCTCTTTCTCCTTTTTCTCATATTTTTCATGCCATTCTTCTTCGTAGTCCTGTACCTTGCTCAACTCGTCCTTGTGATTTTTTATCATATCTCTGATCCGTTGATCCCACACCCCCTCTCTTTGTTCAAGCCATGGTTTTATATCTACAGCAAGCCTCTCTTCGAAACGCTTACAAAGAATTTCTGTCTCATCGTGGATGTGAGACACGGCAACTTCGATTGTGCTACTCAAAGGTCGCGATTCAGTGTTGATGATGCCTTCGCTTTCAAGATTGTTGAAGAGGCGGGCGGTTTTGTCGTGAATCTCTTCTCCGATATCAGTAAAGAAGGCCTTCTGTAACGAAGGCCCTTGCTTTTCGCGCCATTGCTCGTAGTCAGTAGCCATGGTCACGGCGCTGGAACTCTGGTCTCGGCTGCGAAATTTGATTGACAAGTTGCGTCCAGTCGTTCCAACCCAGACCGCGTTGCTGGTACACGCGTGACGAGTCTTTTGACAGACATATCACAAAGAGCAACCCGGACTCTGCGTGCGGAAAGGCATCGTAGTCAGTCCCCTTTGTCATTGCCCGAAGCATCGGGTGGACGTGTACATGTTCTTTCACTAGCTCTTTCAATGATGCAGAGCAAACGGCCCGCAAACAACCCGAATTCAGGAAACAGTTTGCTGACTTTGCTATGACGACCCAAGAATTGAGTAGGCAAGACAATTGGCTTCACTGGGTGGACTGCTTGGCAGGGCATGTACATACGTGAAATGGCCTTTGTCGTTGACAATCCGGACCCGGGGCGCTCAAAGGACTATCCTTTGGGCATCGTGTAGTAGGATAAACATCGACCACACTGAGAACATTACCGAAAAGTGAACGTCTCTTCAAAGCTCGTTTGATCCGATCCATGTTCCGAAATACACTCTGGACGCAGCAACGGGTTGCACTGCAATTGAGATTGACTCCCTAGTCCAGACGCCATTATTGCACTGAGTCTCACTGATGATCTAGATAACGGTACATATGCGCTGAAAAGCAAAGCGGTCTACTGACAACTCCTGAAACCCAGCCAACTAGCTCCTACAATTGAGCTCTGTCTCATCGTCATGCATTGATGAAATAAACCACACTGTGGCCTCGTGACAGGGTTGCCAACAAAATCTTCGTGAAGTCAGTGGAGGTCATTAATTGTACCAACCCCGAGCTCCCGGCCCGTTGTTGGTCTGTTCTTTCCGGTGTTCAATGAGTGATTCGGTGATATCAAAAGCATCAATGATGGCTCGATACTGTACGGGATCAAGATGGAAAATCGCTTGCTGCTTTTTAGATGCGTGTCTCGCACCACCTGGTCCGGGTTCGGAAGCCTCGACTGGAGCTGTGGTGGCGTCAATAGTGGTACTCCCCATACAGCACAGAAATGCAAGAGCTTACCGAGGGTTGGGAAGCCGTCGTCGTCAAACTCGAGGCTGATTTTGTTGTCACGGATCAGGAAGCTGACATAGAACATGTTCTCGATGGTTTGGCCGAATGATTTGGGGTTAATGACGAATTTGAAGTAGTCGATGCCGCCGTTGGTCCGCAGGCCAAATTTCTGCATGATGCGATGCCCTTCCTCGGCGTTATCCGCCTCGAACGCTGCCTCGGCCGAATCTTGGGCTTCCTCGTGGACCTCTTCCAGACGCCTATAGGTTTTGCTGCAAATGGCAGCCAGGTCATTGTCTTCATTCCTCTGGATGTCCTTGGCCTCGAGGACTTCCGGCCGCGTCTCCCGTAAGCTGTTGGGCCTGAACGGTGCACTCCTCTTGGCGACCTTCCGGGCCTTTTTCTCAACAGAGAGGGGTCCAAGAAGGAATCCAGGGGTAGCAGGTCGGCGGACGTGGGGGAGACAGGCAAATCTACCCAGATGCTCCCAGTTGCAGGCATCGCCTTCGTCGCCGATCTCGTCCTCATCGTCGGAGCCCCCTCGGCCGCCCCTGGGACCTCTGCTGGAGCGCCTCCGTTGGCGCTGTGTACTTGTCAGCTCCTGGGCATCGTCGTCGTGAATACCGGCGCCTAATCTCATGTAACGCAAGCACTCTGTGACAAAGCCGTCTATATCAACGCCCTGGCCGGCATCGCCGGATGTCAGAGCGGCCGTCTTTTTGTAGGACAGCTCGACGGTCTCGACCATTAGACGTGAGTCGAGGGTAGCCTCTGTGGTCTGCTTCACATTGCGATTCAGAGTGTTTGCCTTTCGTAGGGTGCGGCGCAGACCGTCGTCGCCCGGCTGGATGTACTTGTCCTTGTTCAGCCTCGTCTCTTCCCTCAGCTCTCGCAGGCCCCGCTGAAGCACGCGTCTCTCCTCTATGGGCTGGTCCGGGTCGTACTCGTCCGAATTGTCATCGTCGTCCTCGTTGCCCTCGTCGTCGTCGGTGGGGTCGTGGGTGCGACGTCGAGAGGCACCGCGTCCGGCGCCATTCGTCCAGGCTCGTTTCCGCTTGGCAGCCTCGGAGCCCTTGTTACGCATGACCAGTGTCCTCGTATCATCATCCTCCTGGTCCGAGGGACTAGCCGAACGGCCAGACGCTGGCGGAGAAGACGACATGGGATAGGAGCAGCCACAAACGGTGTTGTTGGAACTCAAGCACACAGAGAATAGATGTTCGAGTATCCGATGGAGCAGAGAAAGCGATACAAGTCTGATTTCAAGTTGTGATGGCGCTGAGACGAGGTACACCAGAATTCGCTGCCATGGTACAAGTTACTCGGCCTGGCGATTTTGGCGATCAGCACCCGATAGCATTGGGGTAGGAGTCGCGTCGCAACGCGACTTTTAATTGACAGGGCAGCGGCGCTAGTTGCCTGGTGTCTGGTGGGTTGGTGGCATGGTGGCATGGTGGCGTGGTGCTCCCCGGGTACCGCGGGGCATTTACTGTGGTAGCACGTCTCGGTACCTATTCGCTCAGGGCTGACTCAGGGGTCTTCAATGTTTACACTCTTCCAATCGTACTGCCACGAAAGACTCAGCCGGTCCACTGGCAACAAATATAAAGAACTCTATGTCAGACATCTATGAGTTTGCTCAACTTCATTTTGCGCGATTCTCTAGAACTGCCTTTGTAAACCTGACTCACTGCCTTGACAACAAATATGAAGAGCAGATTTGGACACTGGAACATGCCTAAGTACTAGGCAGGTACTTGGTTGCCGCATCCCACTAACTAGTACAACATGGGGCCCGTGCATGTGCGCCGTCGCTAGTTTTCGGGACCGTCGACCCTCCTTCTGGGTAGCTGGGCTTTGGGGCCTGTGACCGTTGTCAAATGACGACAACTTCGGAGAGCAACAACGGCGCACTCGACACGGGCCCTCTTCCGCCTCTCATTGTTCTGCGCGACGGCCTGCTTGCGCGACTTGGGATCAGAGCGGCACAGGTCTATCATGGACACGGAATCCTGAAATGGACCCCTTCTCGTTTGTGACCTCGGAGTCGCTGGACTATCCGCTGAGTGTTCGCATGTAAGTGTCCACCTCTATCCGAGCCACTGGGCCGTCCTGACCACGTATCCAACCTGACAGAATCAACCTCGAAGGAGAAGAAGCCCCCCAGAAAGCTTCTGAGCTGTTACAGAGGCCTGACCTCCGCCACATCGGCTCCAACACCAGGTGTGCCACAGCCCTCTGAGGTCCAGCTCGGGCCCTGCGTCGATCGCAACCAACCGAACATTACTGACCGACGAGGCGTCATGCAGTGTGCACTCAGACTTATACGTTACTGCGCAGGTCTGGGCCGGCTCAAAACCCTTGACCGTTCCCGTGCAGACTTCATACAAGCCATTCAAGAACGAGAGGAGGTACAGTGCTCCCAACACAGATAAAGCTCGTGGGCGCACATGCTAATGGCGATTGCCAGCTGGAACGAGTGGCTCGACATTCCTATCCCATATAAATCGCTTCCTCTCAACTCCCGCCTTGCCATCACAATATGGGACGTCTCGCCTATAGGGGGCAGGCAAGCCCAGGGCCACGCCATCCCTTTCGGCGGCACGACCTTGCCTCTCTTCGATAAGGAAAGTCAGGTTCAGAAGGGCAGACTGAAATGTGCGGTCCACAGGCACCAGCTGGCCGACGGCCACGATGACACGACTACCCCTTCTGCGTCCCCTAAAAGGAGGACCGGATCAAAGAAGATCGAAACCATTGTGGACAAGGAGGCCGAGGAGCTTGAGCGCATGGACAAACTGTTCAAGAAATACGAGATGAACGAGATCCCCAAGGTCGAGTGGCTTGACCAGATGGTCTGGCGTCTGTCCGAGAAGCGTGGCGCGGCAGCGACGAGGAATTCCATCAAGTCTCTCCAGAGGCAAGCCAGCCTAAGGCAGGAGAATGGCACGGAAGCAGATGACGGCGCCGACGGAAAGGACGAGACTCGCACTCAGCCTGGGCCCTCGAGGTTTACTCTGACCATCGAGCTGCCGCGGTTCGATTTCCCTATCGTCTTCACTGATCATGAATATCCGCCACCGCCGATTTCATCAGTACAGCACCTGTCAGCATCTCAGTCGCATTTCGATCTCAAGCCACCTCCCGAGGTCCAGCTCGGCCCTGGTATTAACGGTACCAAGGGTGGGGGTAGCCGCGTCGTCCGCATATACGACCCCGAAGTCGCAGCAAGGGACAATCCGGCAGAGGCAAAACACCGGCGACTAGTGCGAAGTCAGCACCGGCATGGCACTCTCGATAAGGACTTGAAGCCCAATGCCAAGGTCAGAGACGAGTTGAATGTGATAATGGCATATTCTCCTACCCACAGCCTCACCCCTGAGGAGAAGGATCTCGTCTGGAAGTTCCGCTATCACTTGACCAAGGATAAGCGCGCCATGACCAAGTTTGTCAAGTCGGTCAACTGGCAAGACCAGAGCGAGTCCAAACAGGCTATCCAGGTCATGGCGAAGTGGACTGAGATTGATGTGGACGACGCCCTGGAGTTGCTAGGCCCAACCTTTGACGCCCCGGCTGTGCGTTCTTACTCCGTTGATCGGTTACAGAAAGCCGACGACAACGAGCTGCAATTATATCTGTTGCAGCTTGTACAGGCACTTAAATTCGAGCCCGTGCCGACGGATCCGAATGAGCCGACGACAGAGGCGTCGTCGCTGGCCATGTTCTTGATATCCCGGGCCGTGCAGAACTTCACGCTGGCCACCTACCTTTATTGGTATCTTGTTGTCGAATACGATGATAAGAGCCCCGAGCAGGGCCAGGAAGTCCGTACCATGTATGCAAAAGTGTTGCACGACTTCATGGTCGAGCTAGAAAACCAGCCAGGCGGTTCCGAGGTCAGGAAAACATTGCTGCGGCAAGCTGAACTCATCACGGTCCTGTCCAAGATATCTGGGGAGGTCAAAAACGCCAGCGAGACGACATCACAGAAGATTGAAAGAGTCAAACGCTTCTTGGCTGATCCGAAGAACGAACTCTTGACCATCGATCCGCCGGTCCCACTTCCGTTGGATCCCTCTGTCATCGTCGTTGGTGTGATTCCGGAAGAAACGCGTGTCTTCAAGTCTTCGTTGTCGCCAATCATGGTGACATTCAAGACTGAGTCGGGGGGCAAATACCCAATGCTGTTCAAGACTGGTGACGACTTGCGGCAGGATCAACTGGTAATCCAAATCATCACACTCATGGACCAGCTCCTGCAAAAAGAGAATCTCGATTTAAAGCTTTCCCCGTACAAGATCCTGGCCACCAGCACTACAGCCGGCGCCTCGCAGTTTGTCCCCTCGCAAACATTCGCGGCGATATCGTCCAAATACGGGAGCAATCCAGCCATTGGATACCTGAAGCAGCATAATCCTGATTCGCGAGCCTATCAAGGTGTTCGCAAGGAGACGTTGGAAACGTTTGTGAAATCTTGCGCTGGGTACTGCGTCATCACGTATATCTTGGGTGTCGGTGATCGCCACCTGGAAAATCTTTTGCTCGCACCGGATGGCCACTTCTTCCACGCTGATTTTGGTTTCATCCTGGGGCGAGACCCGAAGCCATTCGCGCCAGCATTGAAGTTGAGCAAGGAGATGGTAGATGCCATGGGGGGATTCAGTCCCCCGAGCGAGCTCTATCTGCAATTTAAGCAGTACTGCTTCCTTGCATTCACGGCACTGCGGAAGTCGTCCAACTTGATTCTTAACCTGTTCAGCCTCATGGTGCATGCCAACATCCCTGATATCAAGATCGAGCCAGACAAGGCTGTCTTCAAAGTCAAAGATAGGTTCCATCTGGACCTCAACGAAGAGGATGCCATTCGGCTGCTGGAGGGGATTATGGAAGACAGTCTGACGGGCTTCATGCCTGTGATGATCGACCGACTTCACGCATTTACACAGGCGCTGAGAACCTAACCGTACGTCCAGCGCAGGAGGTTAGACTGTGCAGTACCGCTCATGTTTAGACTCCTTCAAGGATATTAAACACTGGTAGCCATCGTCAGAGGGTTGAAATGCCGCTCCATATCAGATAGTCGTAAGAGAGTCTAGAGGCCTGGTAAAACGTACGCATGCCTAAATGAAAGACTGACATAGCACAAGGCCCGACCACTTAAGGAGACGCTTGTGAGGCTTAGATGGATTTCATCTTATCAGTGACCTTGAATTGTTGCCTTGGCAGCCAAAGCAAGCCGGACATAGTTCGCCCCCTTTCGTGGAGGCCTGTTGGGCATGTCCGTGGCGTATGGCCAAGTACGTATCTCGGTGAAAGTCAAGACCAACATAGAGTATCTGGTACGATAGGACACTGCTCTGAGCTAAATACGTAGGTGAAGGTAATTCCTGGGTTGCATAGGTACCTATGGACCTAGAGGTTTTGAGGATATTGTTCGAACGGGATGCTGGGGCGTCTCCGTGTGGAAACAACAATGGCCTGCTGATTGTTCCGTTTGGATACCCTGCCTTCTGGCCATGGCTGCCTTGGACAATCCCGTAATTCATTTTTCAGTCAACCCACGATCCGCTTCTCCCGATGCCTATTAAAACAAACCTCCAAGCTCAGATTTCTGACTGTCCAATCCTTACCCTGCAACTGCATCGTTTCATTAATCACTGTGCGATCATACGTCAACATCGGGTCAGGTTGCCCTGTGGTTCAGCATCCGCCTACATTTGGAGCTTGTCTGGCCGTTGTGGAACTCGGTATCTAGTTGAGCGCGTGTTGACGCGTTTCGACGCGTTTCGAGGTTCTCACGATGTTCTACAGCCATGAGCGTAGGTGTATCGTCGCCAAGAGACATGAACGGCCCTCACTGATGCAATTCCAGTCCTAACCAGCCGCCAATATGGTGTTGCCACAATCTGGTAAATTACATACAACCCCCTATGCAGTAGAGTCGGCTCAGTGCGTTCTGACCAAAGCGCAGGCTGGTGGCGACCATTGGTAACAAACCGGGCGCACGCCGTGTAGGCAAGAAGGCCATCCAAGGCGTCGACGTGCAACGAGCGTGCCGGAAGATCATCGAGCCGGGAGCTCCCATCGCGTTGCGCCTGCAAGGGAATCTCCTATTCGGTGTATCCAAGGTCTATCAGGAGCAATGTTCTTACATCTTGACCGACGCCCAGAAAATTCAAGGGCACATGATGACCTTTCTCAGACAGATCAGTGCCAATCAACTCGCGCCCGGAGCAGCTACAGCGAGGCAAGTCTTTTTGGAATTGGTCGCCCATATGAAAATTGAGAAAAAGCCAATCACTAACCATGTGTGCCCCAGACCGGAGAATCTCATTATCATGGACGATCCGGACTTCCTTCCGGATGGCCGTATACCAGATCCTACTGCAGATATGTTCATCTTGAGCCAGCACACCAACAAGACTTCATCGCAAATGTCTCCAAGGTCTATGCCTTCCCAAGGCAGCTCTTCTGGTAATGAACGAGTTCCAATCCAACTAGACTTTCGCGACTCTAGCGTCTTCGACAATGGCGCTTCACCCCATGGCCTCCAAGGCCTTTCTTCAGGACAGAAGCCTGCCGTGCCCGGCGACCAAGCAGACGTTTTCGGCGAGGATGGCATCGGAATCCCCATTGATTATGGTATGGAAATCGATGAGTTCGGCAACATCATCGAATCTGCAGAACCTGGACCCGATGGCCTAGACGAATTGGAGCTTCCACCCATGCATAGCATCGGAGGGGGCCAGAAGAATCAGCCGCAATTAGATGAGGAAGGCGATATCATCATGATGGAAGAGCAGCCCCTTCCCGAAGCCGAAGCTTTGCCTGACCGAGCTAAACATAAGGAGCCTGACCCCGTTGCGGCCGGTGAGCATGAGCAACGACAAGCGCCCGCACAGCGTCGCAAGAAGCGACGAATTATCTATACAGACGAAGAGACCGAAATTTCCAGAGCTGCCTTACGGGACTGGCAAAAGGACTATCTCAAGAACTGCACTGTACCCAAGTCACATCCAGTCACTGCCCCGCAAGCCAAAGCGAACGCTATCCATCTGACTTTCGGATGGGGAATTGCCAACATTGGGCAGACATTCGGTGTTCCTGGCATCATCCACCCTCTTGCCCTACACTTCTCTGGTGATCGCCTGTTTACTGCGTACACCGGACTTGATGTTTTTGAGAAAGGTCGCCGTAAACGGACTCGATCAGAGGCAAGATCCAGAGACGAGGAGCATGAAGAGAGACGAATTCGACCCAGGCTCGAGGGAGATTCCGAACAACAAGGACGCGGACTTGAGGAGGATGGTATGCTCGAATTCGGTCAAGGCGACCAACAAAGCCCTCCCGAAGTTGGCCGAGAAGCCCAGTCGGCTCTCGAAGATGTTCATTCCTCTGCGATGCCCTGGAATCGGGGATCGTCTCTCATGCCCGGCTCCTCTATCCAGAAGTTACCGAGTATGGCACAACCGGGTCGTGAACAGTCCAGTCCGCTCCGAAGCAAAGCCGGCTCAGTCCAAGATATAATTCGTTACAGCGACGATGTTGACATGGGTGGCTTTGACTTTGGAGCCGACGGCGGCCTTGGGTCGGTAGGCTCTTCCTTCGACGGCCTTCCGGATCAACAGCCGCCTGAGTCATTGGGCGAACAGCCCGTCGACAAGCAGGCTGAGTCTCAGTACACCCGCGATGCTCTCGATCGCGAGGGCAAGAACTTCTTGGCCTACATGGAAGAGACGTTGCACGAAGCAGGCGTGCACCGTTACGACGAGGACTTGCAGGCCAAGCGCAAGTGGGTCGAGTTTGACGAACTGTTCCTGCCGAAGAAGACGGACCGCCCTACGGCAGCCCAGGCCTTCTATCACATCCTGACGCTGGTCACCAAGGGTCAAATGCGTGTGGAGCAAGAGGTGGACGACGGCCAGCCATTTGGTACCATTCACGTGGGCCTCGATATGCCTCGAGGTGCATAGATACGTGTGGTTTAGAGGTCATGGCTGGGAACGGCGTTTTTCGTCTCGAATACGAAGTATTTCTTGCTCTCTTTCTATATTCTATCCTATGGTCAAGGGGTATCAATGGCGTTCGACTAGGGACCACTGGTGGCAGGCACTGAGAAGAAAGTCATTACGTACAGGAAGGTTACATCGTGTATTGATCTGCATGGGATGAAGGGGAATGGCGTTACCGGAATTTCGAGATTGATTTGCTTTGAGCTCAAGGGACATCGGAAGGTAAAATGTTTGTGCATTCACCTTCATCGGTCCGCTGGGCACGAATGGGATGGCCATGCCGATGCAATATCATGATGTACGTATCCGCATCGCACTTGTACTTGATCAGGTAGCTCAGGCACTCGCAAATAGAGAGGACACGACTTGCATCAACATGATCTCATTACTTGTCTGACGGTCCCCGCATTCAACCATGAGGCCAGCATCCATCGAATTACTCGTATATCTCATCATTGGCATCCGCCCCCTCCCGATCCTCGAAGATCATGAACTCATCGTCCTGTGCCTCATCCCCCACGACCTGCTTCCACGCCTGCTTCACCGTATTAAGACTTGAGTCGTCGAAGGCAAGGTTCAGAGACGGGGACGGGAAGGAGAATTTTGGCACAGCGCCAACAGTTTCGACCAGAGGCGTCCCTTCGGTGACGGTCTGTTCGTAGTAAAGCTGATACAAGCAGATGGGAGTCTCCTGCTCCGCTGCCGTGGCCAACAGTGAGCCCAGCGCCTGCTCCAGGTTCTTTTTCGCAGATGGCGAAGTGTGCGTCGTGAGGTAGATGGCGCCTTGGAACGTGGTTAGCGCAAACTTCACAGGATCTTGAGCGCCAGGCTTGGGCGGCATGGTGTCAGAAGTTTTGTGTCGTCAAAGCATATCTCAGACAATGTAGATAAGTATTTGATGGGTAGATCATCGTATCACCAGGAAGTGCTCATTAGACGTGATTGGTGTGACTTACTTTGACCATTAGGACACTCGCCTGTCTCGCTAGAGTGTACCATAGCGTATACTGGAGGGTCCGATGCAGACTCGGAAGCAGGAATCGTGCTGCTTGGGAAGGCGACCACGGCAACAGCAGGAGCCGGCGCGCCTTCGACAGTGGCCTCGAACAGGGATTTCAGCGGCGATTTCACGACGGCTACAAGCCGGCTGATAGTCTCTCCGTGGGAGATATCATCTCGAGAGGAGATGAGCGCCGCGGCCTGAACAGAGATTCCGTTGGAGAGTTTGAGCGAGACCTTGTCATGGACATCAGCAGTCTCAACTTCCGCGCTTGTGTCGAGCATGTAGATTCCGCCTCCCACGGCACCAGCACGGCAGGCAACTTGCGCGACTTCCGACAGGCCTCCCCATTTGGGGTAGACGGCACAGAATCCTGGCCCAAACAGGCCCATGGACGTCAAGTGGCGGTGTATGACGGCAAGTCCGTTCGCGACTGTAACCTTCCCATCAAGAGTCAAGGTCAGGGCAAGGATATACTTTCGCAGGTCGTCGTCCAGCTTGAACTGTGTGGTAAGGAAGTCAGAAAGGTGCGTGTCGGCATGAGCCTGCCAGACATCCCTCTGGTCGTCCGAGTCGTAGTCGATGACGAATTTCAGGAACTTCATCAACGACCGCTTGGACTTGGCCGGTATGGACGTGTTCGAGAACACATCCTCGCGGCTGCTCGGGATGCGTGAGAGCTTTGCGGGTTCGTCGCCGCGTGCCGGCTCATGGACGTAGAAGGAACCTACGGCCAGGAATTCCACCTGGCGATACGCCCTGGATGACACGAGCTGAGACAGCAGCTTGGACCGGGTGTGGATGATTTGCGGCGCGAGGGCCAAGGAATATGCTCGTGAGAAGGTAAGTCCGTTTGCCTCAGCTTCCGGATGTCTCCAAACACTGGCATTCCGGAAAACCCGGCCACCGGGACCTGCTGACCCCTCGGCTGGTGCAGCGGTTGTAGTCTGAGCCACAGACTCAGCACCAGAGGAGCCCGTGTGAGTGGTCACCCAACTGTCTGCCTCCTGGAGACTGAACGCAGCTTCGTGCTGGCCATAAAAGTCATTGGGATCGAGATGCAAGATGCGCTTCTTTGACCTCGATAGGGCACTTCATTGCAAGCCGCAGCTAGGTCAGTCAGATTGATATCTTTGAGGGGTGGACCGTTGGCTGGCAGATGCAGTAACTTACAGTGCCAACAGCGACTGCTGCAAGCCCGTGCCACAGATGACGACATCCCAAGGCTCGTCGCCGAGAGACTCCATCGTGTTCTGAATATCAGTGCTTGACTCTCGTCCGGTGGGACAAATAATAAAGCATGGATACTAACAAAGGCGAGAGCGGTGATTCCTAGGCATGGGCATCTGGAAACCCACCAAGATTGCCTAATGAGTAGTGTAATACGCTGGCAGCGGGCAGTCTTATTGGGCTTAGGTTAGCTTAACCCGGCCGTATGGACCTAAGTTAGACAGTGGACATTCGGAAATATGTGGCTCCGACGCGCACCGCACTCCACGCGCTGGGTTATCATTTACGAGCCAAATTTGGTGACTTGCGGTTTTCCTCTTCCTCAACCAACCGCCCAACCAATCCTGCTGTCTGCTGCATCTTTTCCACAGCACTGCTGGTGACAGAGCGGCCTTTCATTAGGCTGCTCACATGTCAATGTGCGGCAGAGCTAATCGTCGTCCCGTATCTACTGTCCTGGATGCTCGCACCTGATAGGACGGTTCGAAGGGTTGATACATTCCTTTAGTCGCACTGGACGAAGTTTGCCCAAGCCTGCGATCAACACTGGTTTCCGCAGTGCTCGCGAGGTTCCCCGGGGGGTACCTCAACGTATTTCGACGGAAACCAAACCATTTACCGGGTGTATTTACATTATCCACCTACGTAGTCATGCTCCAGTAAAGCCATTCAAGTGCACAGGATGCCTATACGTCCTCTCCTTCACCAAATTCCGATAGGACCCTAGTCAGCCCATCTTCCGCGTAGCTGACTGCGCGTATGCATTTACCCTTACAAACTGTTCCTGCGACATATCACTGTGCAGCCAACAAAAGTTGTTGTCTGTGCCCTGCTTGCCCGCGCTGATCCAGACGGCTCCCATGCATATGCTCGATTGCGCACACGATGCCACGCAGTCATCCATCGAATATGCTACGTGATGTGAAATGTCAGATCCGTCGTGCGTGACACCGCACTCCATAACGAACTCGATGTTCGAGGTGGGATCCGTGTATGTCGTTCCGTCGGCGTCTGGGCAAGCGGGCATGCCTGTCAGCGTCGGCGACGGCGTAGATGATGGGTCCATGGTCGGTGTGCCTGCGGTCGGTGACGATCTGCATGAGCTCATTAGCTATTCGGTTCGGAAGTAAAGAAGGGAGTAGCTGTGATGCTGACGTAGAACTCGAACCGGCCGTCCCTCGCAGTGTAAGCCCCAGCGCCAACCCAAGCACGATCCCTATGACGAGCAAGATTGCACACAAGATCAACCAAAAGAGCCGTCTCCGCAATCCACAGATCCGGTCTTTTGCAAATACTCCCCATAATCTTCGTCTTGGCGTAACAAGAATCTTCTCGGCCGTGTCTGGCTGCACAACTTCAAGACCCGACTCGGGATAGTGCCATGGTGGTGTATGTAACTGTGACATTATTTTGTTAGTTCTCTCCAAGTTGGAAACTACTTGAGTAGAAAGGAGACAGGTGTGATCATATCCGCAAGTTCCAGGGTACTTCGTCTCATCAATGTGTATTGTCCTGGGATAGAGGCAAGAGGGACAAAGACGCCTCCCATTGAGAACAAGAGCAGGAGTGGAGTGAAGTACATGACGCAAAACGGGTGGAAATATGGACTTACAAGACCCTCTGAGGTAGACAGATCATGTAAGCATCGGGCCTCCAGCTCCAGCTCCGGCTCCGGCTGGTGCCATTCCGGAAGTAATGACAGCTCCGCAAGTTGATGGTGTTTGGAGGACGTGGACTGTTTCCCTAGTGTTGAGCTTGTCCAGCTGCGGCCTCCCTTGTCGCTATACTGCCCGTTCCGCCACTTGCAACGCTGACTGCGATTAGGCTTGGGGGATGAGGCGTCGGCTTGCTTAGGGTGGCCTTGCTCCATACAGTCCCAGCATGCCGGACCAATGATTTCCCTTTGATGTTCGCAACGCGGGAGTCGAGGCGGCCAGCTTGGCTTTGCAGCAACGTTGGTGGCTGGTTGTGTCTTTGTGTCTGGGCTTTGATTACGAGTCTTTGATGAAAATATCTCCTGACATGTGTCCATGGTCCTAGCCAGTACCAACGTTCTGCTGAATGATTTATAGAGCAGCTTCTCTTTCAGTTTCTTGTCTTTTGGATTGGCTAGCTGAACTACCTACGCCGTCAAAGTATGTGGAACGTACAATATACTGTACTGTTTTACGGTGTGATGAGAGTAGCAAGTCGAGGAACAATGAAGAAAGGGCGCATTAATTGATGTAGACGCCATGATGTACATATTGACAACAGCTATTGCGAAACTAAGTATCGTATTATCTAGGGGTTATTCTTTCCGTCGGAGTGATCGGAGCAAGGGATGCGTTTAGAGAGGCTGCCAATTCGTTTTGGGATCAATGTGCTATTGTGGCATTCAGTTTGCGTCGAGGACCCTTGTCCAAGCCAAAGGGATAGCCTACCTCTGAGCCTCGCATCATGGAGGCTTGGTCCTTGGCGAGTCAACGGGAAGCGATATCTCCTCTGGGGATGGATGGATAAGAGACAAGAAAAGACAAAGCAGGGCGGTAACGTGCGATTTTCTAAGGGTTTCTTATGGGATAGGATCGAATGGTCAACTGCGCACCGTTTCTACACCTGGCCACGACCTTAGGCCCATGCTCTTCTGATCTATCTTTGTTACAGCAACCACAAAAATCCTTTTCCCTCGTACTACCACCAAGTCTGGACTATTCGGGTTTGTTCTGATATCTCCAGATGCTCTGCGTTTGGTGTCCAAATTGTCGTGTTCTGCCTCTGCGTCTCTCCTCGCAGACGTGCAGTCCAACATGGCAGTACTTTCCTTTCTGACATGCCATGAGACCTCAGACCTGATCAGCGAAGCTATGTTCTGTGTGCCTTGTTGTGGCTCTAACAAGCGGTGCTGTTCAAAGTCTGAGCCGTTTGGGTGCGACTATTTGACGGTCAACGCACCTGTTCCGGCGCTGGCCAACGCTCTTCATAGAATCATAACCGTAGGCTGGCCCCATTTTTCCATTGCTCAGATTGATTGTATTGGGTATCAAGTGTCGTCCATCCTCTTTCTAGCTAACAGCTTTTCGAAAGTCGTTCCATCTTGACTCGGCCGCCTTTGCCAGCTCCTTCATTAGAACAGGGCCAACGACTGTGCCTCCGTGGTTTGAGATTCCTAAGACCTTGGTGCCTTCCTTGGGACAATCGACAACTATGGTGACAGTTTCATCGCAAAGGCCCTCCTCCAGTCGGTCCGGATCCACCAAAATCCAGTACTGACCGCCGCCCTTCTTGGGCTTCTCCTTGGCAGTGAAGACCGCTGCCGTAGTAGCCACGGGGAATCCGCTCAATGTGAGCGGTAGACGCTTTTTTGGTGAACAGAGGACCATCTCTCGATCGGGGTCCCAGTACGCCTGGGGAAGCTTGGTGTCTTGCAATGCGGCCAGGATAGCCGCCCATGCAGCGTCAAATGGGTTGCCGTCGAATGAGATGAAGAGAACGTCGATGTATAGCACCCAGTGGGCCTTGACCGCCCTCTCTGTTATTGTAGAATCGCCCTCATCGTCCTCTTCCATTGCCTCGTTGCCCCTTTGACGACCTGACAGCTCGCTTCCATCCTTCTGGTATATGCGCAGACCCGAGACGTTCAGCAGCTTGGAACTATGCAGCAGAGAATATACTCGCGTGCTCAAAGTCTGAGCAAGGGTCGTAGGTGGGACTCCTGGGAGGAAATTGGGGGCACAACCGGTAGCCAGCTCGATGTTGGGTACCAGCAAATCGTAGTCGCGAGCCTCGTTCAGCGTTGCGCCGCTCGAATCGTCGGGTGCTCGGTAGTTGGGGACAGCTGACGTGAGCAAAGTCTCGCCGCGGACACCGCAGATGACCGTGGTGTCGCCTGTACGCACAACGGCGCTGCCATGGGCATGCGACAGCGATGAGGTGTTGATGTAGGGCTGTCGGGCCTGCTGCGGGAGGCGGCCATTGGTGCGGGCGGAGGGACTGGAAGAATCCGAGGCCTGGAGATTGGCAAGGAGGTATGGATGCGGCGACAGCTTGGAAAACGTCGCGCTGGAGAGCGTCAAGGAGCTCGAGGTCGCCATACTGGATCGCAAAGGCAGAGTGCGGCTCCGTTGCGGTGTCGAGTTCCTGCAGCCAGTAGACCTACGTGGCGATGATGGTCCAGTATCCAGAAATAAATTTGTAGCGTAGCTCAGCCTTGCACAATGGGGGCCAGGGCGCTGGACCCGTACGCGGGGTAGCGGGGCTCGGGGCGTCGTTGGGCGAATTGTAGTGCATGTTAGCACGCGAGGCTCAGCTGGAGTGCCCCCAACGGAAGCGACCTAGACATGCATCCTTCCTACTGGCTTCTATTTCGACAACATCTATCTATCTAGCATATCGGGTTCTTCAGGGTCAAGAATCTACACTGCCCTAGCCAGCGCTGCCAGCAACGGCGATGCGTCGAGATAGTATTCAGCTCGCCTGACCAACCCCTTCTCGTCGCCCGACGTGATAAGGTGTAATACAGCCATGGCCGGTACTTCGATAACTTCTCTCAGAGGATCTCCCTTCGCCTGCCAGGAGATGCGGCAAGACTGATATATCTTGTCATTGCCCACAAAATCTTACAGCCTTTTGTCAACAATTACAGTGGGAAAGTCAAGGGCCGCAAAGTTCTCTCACCGAATTGGTCGATTTCATGGTGCATTGTCTGTATTCCCGGCCAAATTGACCTAAAGTGTTGCGTCACGGCTTCGAGACCGTGTAAGACCGGACTGTTCGCAAACTGCAACTGGATGTCCCCGGCGTAGACTGTCCGCAGCCTTGTGACATCGCAAGAATCATTCGTAGAATGGAACTGCCAAAGCGCCAGCGTCAGTGTTACTCTCTAGTTGCTTGTGAACGGAGCTTAACAACCCTCAGCAACCATTCATGGGTTTCTGATCGTGTGGTCGGGACAAACGCCATGACTTCAGGCTTGAGATGAGACTTTTGCGAAATATATATCCGAATCAGATTTGTTCTCTTCGTTCAAGAGCGCAACTCTTGTATAGAGCTATACTACCTTTTATATATATTTCACCTGCCTCTTCGCCATCTGTGGTGGCCGTCTTACAAACTCGATGATTAGTCAGGCCAATCACCATTTTCCCTTTTGGGCAAACCTAAGACACTGGCTCGCTGGCTTGAGCCGCTATCCGCTGACAATCCTGCAGGATGTCTTCGCTGCTCGTGTCGACTTCACACTCGGACGCGAGGTTCTCTCAAGATACCATATTTCTTAATTACCCACCGTCTGTGCCTCGGCCGACATTGATCCCTGAGTGTACCAATCATATGTGTGTCCCTTTGCACGCCGCTTATTAGCCATGCACGGTAGAACCAACATCTCTTACCATGCAACTAAAACGGCACGGTCCAAGCCGATCACCAACAGTATTCCAACGGCAATGCAGGATCCCAACTCCCGTCTTCTTTCATCATGTCATCGGCAATCGTTGATCGTCCGATGCAGGCGTGTGCCAGCGTCGAGCCTCAAGGTCCCTGCTTGGACCTCATCTCATCATTCTCACCACCAAAGGGGGACCCGATAGACTTTGGTTGACTTTTTATCCGAGATTGCAGCCTGGGGCAATTGGTAGTGTGGCTGCGTCAAGCACCCACACACAGGCTCAACTTCTTCAGGCACTGGAGTCACCATGTCCCAGCAGTTCGGAACGCATTTTGCATAATCATAATATGGCCCATGCAATCGCTCATCCGAAAGAGTAGGTCGACTTGATGGCTGCCAAGTGGGCCTTTCACGCAATCCGGGAAAGGAAAAGTCCACTGCGTACACCTTTCCATGGGTGGTCCCCCCATGCGGCATCGCAAGGTGAAAGATGCACACAGGGGTGGAGCAGCTGGCGTATGCCAGCTTCAGCCAATCACATCCAGCGTGTTGCCGCCCGCAATGCGACCCAGTCAACCATCGTCAAGCTCCCCTTTTGGTCGTCGAATCCAGTGGCTACCTTAACAGGAGCCAAGCTTTGGCCAATGTGCTTGCTTGCGGACAGCACAGCATTCGCCAGTCGCAGCCCATCCGATGGGTGCTGAGGCCCCCGAATGGATCCCTTCCTCGTTCTCGTCATTCCAGTTCTGGCCTATCAGCCATGCGAGTGACACAGGTGGCGGACTCCCCAAGGACCTGGCCATGGCCTGGCGCTGGACCATAGCTCCCAGGTAATCCCCAAAGGATGCGTACCTGCTGGCAGTGGCTTCGATTACTGCACACTGCACATAATGCAGCCAGATTTGGGGATGTAACAGTTTCACCGTTGCAGTGTAACCTCGTGCTCACAAAGAAACAGGCGAGCTTGGGTCGCGTAAGCTGACCAGTATGCAGCATCAGCAAGGGAAGTGTCGGTAGTTCTCTTCGAGTTTGCCAGAACCAGAGCCCCCCCACCGACACATCTTTTAGGATCAACAACAACAACTATTGATCTACACAGGTACTGTATGTACCGAGTACGGTTGTACATACACCTGGGCGGTAGGCAATATCACATTGCAAAGTGGACCAGAAATCTGCAAGCGCGGCCTCTAGCACAAGCCCCTGTCGATATCCCGCCGCCTCCCGCCTCTTAGACCTCTCTTTTCTGTCTGTGATAACAGCCCGCCGGGGTCCTGCAAGCTCACTTGTTGAAGCGCCCTGCTACGCATCTTGCATATGTCCACCTGTTCGGTGCGACGTGCAGTCTGCGGGGAACGACTACTCACAGGCCCCAGCCAATATTAAAGTGCGGTCAGCCGCTGGGCCGTGTGCCATCCCGGTGCCATTCACGTCGACCCGAGGGTCTCGATTAATCACACCAGGTCTTCCCTGTTGCTGATTGACTGACCTGACCCGGGTCTTGACCTTTACGTGCAGAGAGCCCCATTGCCACGAGGTCAATCTCCCGTATCATATCTCTCCAATTTTGCGCATTGGGTCACGTCTGCGCGCTGTTGAGCCGTCACCAGCTATTGACCTAGAAGTGGATCTAGTCTGGTGTTGTTATACTGGTCTATCCCCCGACCGTTCGTCCCACGTCAAATGGCTTCGAGGATTCAACTTACCAAACGCCAAGCCAGCTCTTGTCTACCTACGCGCATGGTCGACAGTGCACTCCACCATACATCCAACGGTATAGTGATTCAAAGTGCCTGAACACTCGCCAATATCACACTTGTCCTCGTCACAATCGCCATAATGCAGAGGTGACACCCGCCCGGTACATGAAATTACAGTGTCAGCAATTAGGGGACTGTCAGACTCGAACTACCGAAACTCGACACATCCACCTCCCTCCACCAAATCTGGCATGAGTCTGCTTTGAGTTCTCCCATAAAGCAAACTGATGTCGGCTTGAAAGCCGATCCCTCGTCAATATCTATGTAATAGGGTTAGGAATTGGCTACAATCGAAGCTTCACCGAACCAACCCTGCGGAAGGGCCCTCGATATGGCGCCCGAGGTGCAAACCTTGGTCCAGGGTGCGACTCGGACACTGGCACAGTTCGCCAAGCGTATACACATTCCATTGACAGCAACTAGCCCGCCAGGTCTAGTGGAAGCGCTGACCGTAGATCCGTGGGACCAGTCAGGCAAGTATGCGCTGGGATGGACGTATTTCTCCGTCGCCCTGATGGGCTGCGTCCTGTTTGTGCGCATCTGGCACTGGTGGCAGGATAAGATCCGGCAAGCCATCTATAAGCAAGAGGTGGAACAGCACTACGAAAATTTGTACAGCTTGGATCCTGGATATGCGACGACGGCGATGCAAACAGGCCAGACAGGGAGGCATTTCTTCCCGGAGCACGGAGAAGAGAAGAGAGACTTCAAGCCAAAAACCGATTTCTCTTCCATAGGCCCCGTGCTCGACGCACTCGCATTGTTCAGGTGGATTTTCTATCGGCCAATCCCAGATCTGGTCTGGCGAAAGCGCCGATTCACCTTTTCCTCGCTAGCTGTACTTGCGGTCGGTTTCGTCGCCTTGGCGTTTGTGGCCTTATACACATTCTTACAGCAGCCCTTGTACTGGCAAAGCATCCAGTATGGGTCTCCGCCAGTTGCGATTAGGGCCGGCATGCTCGCTGTCGCCATGACTCCGTGGATTATTGCCACGAGTATGAAAGCCAACATCCTTACAATCATCACCGGCATCGGACCGGAGAGACTCAACGTCTTCCACCGATGGGCAGGGTACCTATGCCTATTCCTCTCGCTGGTACATACGGTCCCTTTTTATATTCAACCAGTGTGGGACGACGGAGGCATGGCTACCTTCGAGCGACTGTTTCCGGAAGGGAGTGGTGTTATTTACGGAACGGGAATCGCCTGCCTGGTTCCACTCGTCTGGCTCTGTGTTGCATCGCTCCCGTTCATACGGCGCATTGCGTTCGAGGTCTTCGTGATGCTTCACGTGCCAGTAGGGGTGATCTACGTGGGCGTCCTTTTCTGGCATACGAAGAACTACCTGGCATCGTGGGATTATCTTTATGCATCAGCCGCGATATGGGCTTTTTGTTACTTCCTACGACTGTTCAAGCTCAACTGGACTAAACCATGGCGTTTGTCATTCATGGTTGGCGACGAGGCGGCAATCACTTTGATGACGGAGAATGCAATCAAGGTCACCATCCCTACGCAGATGAAATGGAAACCCGGTCAATATGTATACTTGCGCATGCCGGGGATCTCATTTTTCGACAACCATCCATTCACGATATCCTCGCTCTGCAGCGAGGATTTCCCGTCCGAGTACGGCGAGCAGTACCGAGATTGTGTTCTTGTGTTCAGACCGTATGGCGGATTCACAAGAAGAGTACTCGAAACCGCAATCGAGAAGGGGCCATTCCACACGTACCGTGCATATCTTGATGGACCATACGGCGGCATGCGCCGAGAGTTGGCCGCTTTTGACACGTGCATTCTCATTGCAGGTGGCAGCGGTATCACCTCGCTGATGTCGCAGTTACTGAACCTCATCAAGAGGATGAGGGATGGCAAGGCCATCACGAAGAAAGTTGTTGTGATATGGGCCCTGAAGCGTCTTGAGGCGATGGACTGGTTCCGTGAGGAACTCCGGATCTGCCGCGAATCAGCGCCCCCTGAGAGTGTGACCTGCAAGTTCTTCGTCACATCGGCGGTTAGGCAAAGAACGAATGGCGCCATTGGGGGAGGCCAACGTGCTCCAGGGCACTTGAGCCACATGTTCCACGATAAACTAGACGGCTTCGTTGCAGGCATTGCTTCCAAGCGCAACTCCACCTACATCCGGGATGAGGCGCAGGGAAATGCGGATTACGAAGACGAGCTCCGGGCCGAGGATGAGGACAGGATAACTGCTCTCCCCCCGCAGCAGTACTTGCAGCCTCATTATATGCCTCCTCAACGAGCGCCGCCCGCAAACCGCGAATCCGCCCAGGAAGAGTCCCTGGCTAGACTGGAAGGCAGGGATGATAGGGCAGATGAATATGACGCGCCAGCCTCAGCGCCATCATCAGAATACCCAGAGGACAAGCCGAAACGGCAGTTCCATTTCCCACCACTCCAACCGCGTGCAGAACAGAGGCCGCATTTCAACTACGCACCGCCATCACCGCGCAACTTCGACGCATCTAGTAGACAGACTCCTGAAGGCCGCAATCACGAGTCGTCGCAGGACCTCCCAGGTCCACCAGAACTCGCGCACCTTCGCACGACCAACCTGCCGAACCAAGGGCCGCGCCCCACGTCGACCTTCGGGCCCCCGTCCGGGTTCGACTTCGGGTTCCCCGAAACGCCGACCGAGTTCCAAAAGTCCCTGATGCGCTTCGCCTTCCCGGTGCCCCACCAGATCGACGGGGGCTGGAGCGTCGAGTACGGCCGCCCCGACCTGGGCTATATGCTCAAGGAGTGGGCGACGGGCGGCGCCGACGGCCGAGGTATCCTTGGGCGCCGGACGGCCGTCTTCGTGTGCGGGCCGCCGAGCATGCGGGTCGGCGTGGCCACCACTGTCGCGCGGCTGCAGGCCGAGATCTGGGGCGACGATCTCCTAGAGGAGATCTTCTTACATACCGAGAACTATGCCCTCTGAGGGAGGGCTGTGTATATACACCTGACAGCTCCACTCTTTGGACAGCGATCCGACTGTCGGGAGGAGATTGGAAGGATGTGGCGTGGGTGATGAGTTTATCGACACCTGGCGTTGCAGATGTGCTCTTGATATACCAGAGTCATATATATAATATAGGAGGACCCTGCGTGGCGTGTACTACTATAGCGTGTTGTTTGGATTTCGGTAAAGTTACATATACTCGGGGAAGAGTTGGCTATGCGAGCCATCATCTTATCTGTAATTGGACCACTATGAAACGAAGCCGTATTGCTGTTCTATTGTGAACCCTAGACAAGTAGAACTATTTACTTGCCGGCTCGTTGCGTCTTGAGCACAACGGCCAGAGGCCCGGGCTTATCTAACCGAAATTGACAAAGTGCTGAATTCAGGACATAGATGATGTTGTGTGTACATTGACTCATAATAATACAAGGATATCATAACATAAAAAGCCACACGCCATGCTTTGTCCTCAAGGTTGGACCGGAAGAAAGCAATAGAAGGTCATCATCTCCGATACACGTTTGACGCATGGCGCAGAATATAGCCTTTGCAGAAGGCCCAATGGCAAAAGATATTGCTTTTTCCCAACCCTTGGCGTGCGCCATCGCTCTGCCTCGCTGTAGACATCACACCGCTCACAGTGAGGCCGTATAATGTTCACTGCGACCCATTAAAAGCCCCATGAGCAAGTGAAAAAGACAGTGAAAAGACATGAAGAAAAGAAACCCCCAAGTATGAACGCCGTGGAAACCAAAATGAGCCGTGAGGCTATCCTTCTTGTTCAGCCGCGAGGCTTTCGTCCATCTTTGATAGGTATCTAGCAGGAAAACCGGCAATGCTTCCCTTGCTAGGCTAGCAGATATGTCGTCTGATTGTAGGTTGGTAGAATGTGTGCCTGGGAGCAGCGAGCCCCCCTTTGTTGCTGCTTCGAGACGGTGCTGTAATCCCGTCCTTCTTTTGGAAGCATACAAGCTTTTTCTTCTCCTTGTGAGTGTTGTTTTACCAGCGGTCGCGTGACCTGGTGATCTACCCCTAGAGTGCATCCCATCCTTGGTTTGGAAACGGCGACCCTTTTTGTATAGTGCTCGTTCCACCGAACCCTATTCTCTCCAGCATCTGACCGCATTCTCATAAGGTTTAAGCGGTGCATGGGTCGGCTTTTCGTTTAGTGGCGATGGTGCCTGCGGCCCGTAGAGCTACCTTCCTGCCGATGCGAGTGGCTATGCCCATGCCGATGGTGGTGGTGGTGATGTCCGTCACGGTCCCGCCGCGAGGAACTCGAGTGTTCCAGCTCACGATCCAATTCTTCGACTCGTTGGCGATAGCCTCTGACTATGTCCCTGATGTGCCGTATTCGGTCAAAGTCCAGCTCCAGCTCGTCTATCTGCATCATGATATCATTGAAGCGCGCAATTTCCGCGTCCGCGTTATCGATGATGTTGCCCGCTCGGTCATATTGCTGCATCGTCACTATCGAACTCTGCTCGCTGAGGTACTCGATTCTCGCCTGAATCTGCTGCATCAACCGGTTAAGATGGGAGGACAAGGCAGCAAGGCTTGAGCTATCGAGAAGCAGCCGGCCCTGGGATGATGCGCGGCTAGCCGCCCGCGAGGATGAGGAGCCAGCTTGTGTCTGGTGATAGCGAAGGAGCTGGATCTCGTCGTCCGTCAGACCCAATTGCGTGTCGGGAACCGTGTTGGCCTCGGTCGACGGCATGGCGCGCCGCGTGCACTCCGTCCGCACCTCAGGCGAGTGACCCTTGGCTGGCGATCAGGCGTTGTGCAGTGCCGACTTATACAGGGGGGAGGCAGGCAGCGGCGGCGAGCCGGGGAGGGGTAATTTCGGATGCAACGTCGTCGAGTGGTGAGAGGGCGGAAAACACCTCGAGGTCAAACGTCGGGTCTGGCAGCGCGCTGGGCGTCATTGTCTCGAGGGGTAGGGACGGACGCTCATAGCATGGGTTCCGTGGCAGGATGGTCGAAGTCAAGCAGAACTGGGCAGCCCAGGGCAGCAGCAGTTGGGGTTATCACCACCTCGATAAGGCCCGGGGAAGAGGAGCAGGAGGAGGAGAGGAGGGGAGGGAGGTGGGTGATGGGCGGCGGCAATGACGACTTTGGTGGTTCGGGGTGAGCGACCTGGGCCGGAAGTTGGTGGTGATACACAATAAAACTGGCGTGAGCACACCCACACACACACACAAGTCCTACTGGTCCGACTATCGCACACGTTCTCTCACACGGACACGGCTTGTTCGAGTCTTGACGGTCGACGCCGCAGGACGGAATAGTCGTTTTTGGCCCCCGCTGGGTGAGCTTGGGTGGTCCCGGAAAGCTAATCGATGGCAAACACAGCCTCTCAGAGTCGCTGTAGCAGGCAAGCTGGTGAGTTGGACTGGAGGTACCGAGCAGAGGGATACCCCCCTGGTTATGTTTGTGGTGGAACTGGCTGTCCAGGCAAGTTAGGCCGCGGGATGAGCAGTGAACTACCGCCGTGACAGACTACGGTTCAAGGAGCATTGAACACAAGCCACCAGGTGATAGGTCGTATGTTAGACGCCGAGAGGCTTGTGTGCCGCATCGAGCTAGATGTCATCAAGCGGCGCTCACGGTTATCTCTTCACAGGTGAGAGAAATGGTGTTGTCTTCTCGAGGCTCTGACCATGCGGTGTCCGGGGATGCGAAAAAGCAACAATTGAAGCCCTTGACGCGTGCGCTCAAGTAGGAAAGGAACGGGGTGAATAGAGGGTTGATCGTCCCGGGGAAATTTTATGGTGTGGCCCACTCGGACTTGCCTTGATTCGCAGCGTATCGCGGGACACAGACCGTCCCTGCAGCTGGCTGATCACATTAATGAATGATGCTTTTCGAGGACCCGGACACGGATGTCGCTCGTTGTGTAGATAAGTGGTTGCGTCCACTGGGCAGTGAGTGAGCTGCGCGTGTGGATACCAGCGCGTGAGTATGGGCTCAAGGGTTCACCTGTTTTCTGATCATGCAACACTCATGACATCCTCACGCGCTCTCAGATTCTACCCTCAGCGATCGTGCAGCGTCTCATCGAATCAATTGGGCTGCCCACGAATGACGGTCCTGGTCACACAGACCGACGAGGGGGGCCCTGGCAGACTTGGAGTTGCAGTGGCGCTTGTTACTGCATGAGCGATTCCGTCGACGCGGTTTGGGTGGTTGGGGGTCTGCGTGTCTTCAGCTGGCGAAGATGCTCTGCAGCTGCCGCCGAGCCGCTCGCAACGACTTTGTTCAAAAGTCACCTATAGACTATAACACTACCGCTTCTCACTGGGAGTGGTGGTTGACAGCTACATCCTCCTATCTTGTTCCCAAAGACCTATGTTGTCTCGATGCGTTCCAAGTAAAGCTATGAGTTTGCAATGTTCCAAATCTTTCCTCGTGGTGCTGTCCAAGCCGCCAGCAGCCCAATCCAGAAACGGAGCGTCTTCTTCCGGATACCAGCCGCATACTGGCTGTGCAAGTTGCTTCAAGGTCCGCTGCGCCGTACGGCCGCTATAGTCGGGCAAAGGCTCATGGCACGATGTTGGAAACAGGTGCACAGCCTCGCGACTCTGTCGGCAGTCTTGACCTTTCGATCCGATCTGAGCGGGGAGGCCAAGGAACTGTACAAAGTAAAACTATGGAGTTTACACTTCGGCCACTCGTCCGGGAGAGGCTAGGAATTGCAGCTGCATGCCTATTGACGTTGAAAAGGAGTACTTCTCCGTCTGACGTACCGCTCGGCGGAGAGGCCTCGACACAGTAAGTCTAATGCCAATGAATGACCACCTGCATGCCTACGTACGCTGAAGATGCGGAGAGCCTTTTGTATATATATGAGCTAGTAATACTTCACTGTGCCTGACCTCCCAGTACTCCTGAGTCACCCGATATTATACCGCCGTCGGAGTGAAGCCTCGCAGCCATGTTGCGTCAATGTATGGCTTCGTTCTTGGGCCTGCTTGCAGTTGTCACAGGAACCATATTACAAAATGGTCAAGTCCGCATCACCAATTTCCCGGACACCAAGATAGATCTGTCGTCGTATACGTTGGAGACATATGATGCAAATGCTACTGAAGTGTCGTACAAAGGAAGATGGGATTCCAAGAAAATTTCATGGTGGTCGTAAGTGCTATCCTTGCCCAGAGGGGTTCGACTTTCAGGCTGACCACTTGTCAGGGCGCCTGGACTCGTGTTTGGTTTTACGGGAGATACTGTTGCTATCACTTTTGGTAGGGAGACGATCGATACCACGCTTGTTGGCTATCGACTCGGCGGCATGGACTGGCAGTTCACCAACGTTACCACTGGCGGCACTCACCTCTTGATCGATTCGGAGACGATGGGGGTAAACCTGACATACCCAGTGAACCCGAAAACCCTCGAGTTACGGGTGACGAACTGGGGTTACGGCGTTCAAATCGACAAGATCCATGTTGCTGCCGGGGAGAAGTTGATTGGCATCCCCAACTATAGACGCTCAATAGAGTTCATTGGCGACTCGCTGTCAGCTGGCATGTACACGTCTTACGAGGGCCTCTCGAGCTTCGCATATGGTGTGGGAGCTGGGCTGGGAGAAACAGAATACTCAGTCACAGCAATTCCCGGCATCTGCGTTGCCGACCAGAACTGCTGGGGCAACCCTCGTGGACAAGTTCACCAGTGGTTCTATGCATCAGATACAAGCGGGAGAGCCACGAAGATTTGGGGAGGTCAGTTTTGAGAGTTTCCGTGCTTATCCCCTTGATGCGGCCACGTGAGGGACTGAGTCCTACGATGAAAATTGGTGCCAATCAGCTGATGGTACTCAGCTGGTCCGATCGCTGATTTGGTTTACAGACAACCCAGAGCCCTGGGACTTTAGCAAGCAGCAGAGTCCCGATATTGTGGTCATTAACCTGGGCACAAACGACAATAATGAGGCGAACAACGTCACGTCAGAGGCCTATGCTGATTCATATAAGAAGCTTATCCAAGGCGTTCACGGGAAGTTCCCAAACGCGCAGGTCGTAGTGATGGTTGGTTTTTGCTCAACTTCGACTGTCATCCTGCGCTGACTGAATACTTCTTAGCAATTGTGGCTTGGTTTCTTCCAGTATGGTAATTCCTATGCCCAGAATCATGGGTTTGATACCGAGCTTCTCGGTGTAGTTGATTACTTCAACTCTGATGAATACCTCTTGTCCCCTATAATCTGGGACGGAACAACGAACACTACCACTACCCTAAACAGCACGAGTCAACCGTTCGTCCATTTCTTCAACACCACTGGTATCATGCAACATAACGATATTGGACCTCAATGGTGAGTGGCAGTGGGAATTTCCTGCCGGTCTGTCAAGCGGTTGCTTTAGGATGAATCCTGCGTGGCATCCTCAACACAGTACCATCCCGCTATCAAAATCTGAATACTGGCTGATTTCGAGCATGCAGGCATCCCACAGATACAGGGGCGATCAAAGTAGCGAGCCACTTGACACAGTATATTCGACTAAAATTTGGCTGGGATCTCCAGGCCACGGGACCCGAGTATACCACCCCTTCCCCAGATGATGAGATCCGCGTGGGCTTTTGGGATCTGCTCCATGGTTATCTTGTGCTAACTGCCGGTACACTTAGGATTTTCCATGAAACACTATACTGGAACGACGAACCCAACTACTAGTGTGAGACTCCAACTTTAGCACACAGGGGATATGCTGGTGGCACTTGGGCGAGGAGTGGTACAAACGATGACTTCCTGTGTACATCTGTCTACATATCCAATATTTGAGTTGACGTCTTCGTCCAATGTTTACCTCGACCACCATGAAACGCTAGAGGATATGAATTCTGCAGGTTTGGTGAGACTTCATCTGTAAACATGCAATTCCAAAATTAGGCTTCGTTGTCGGAGCCGCATGTTGGCATGGGCACGATTGTCAAGACAGGTCAAGCTTTACACCCCCGCGAGCGATCATTCATGCATGCACGCCTGTGTCACGATGAGGCTCTGCAACGGCTTATACTGAACGCATGGTGGGTGCTATTCTTGGCTGTCGAGGACCCCTCGGATCATCCCATGTGCCGAGTGTCAAAACTGACCTGACGATGACAAGACCACGGTACGCGACACCAATGTCACAGATCCATCCCAATGACCAACGGCCAAATAGCACAGAGGCGCGTTGCCTCCTAGCGTTGGACAAACAGACCATGATGCATAGATGCTAAGATGGCAGAGTGACATCCGATGAAAAATCAAAGCTTTTACATCCCAAATGTAGATGCTAGTCACGTTACTATGGTACGTGGACTGGTGTCAGGTCAAAGAGAGATACTAGGTAATCCCATGATAATATACTATGGTGAAACGAACAGTGTCACCTGGTGGCCCCATGGATATCATCTAGGCGGTGTGTAGCCAGTGTCGCTGTGGTTTTCAATCGAAGTTTTCGTGGAGCCTTCATTCTCCAAAGCACTCAATTGCATGCATGCCACATCGGAAAGCTCCTCGCCTGGTTGGTAATAGGTGTTTCAAAGCTGCAGTGAGTGAGCTATAAACGGCTGATGCAAGGTGTAAAGGACGAACCCATCGTACAAAATGCATTGTAATCAGGGCCATGGAGAGACATCGACAGCATCTCTACCGCCCTGCAGGGTTAACTGCAAATCTGCGAATCTGAAAATCTGGGCCTCGTGGGTTGGGTTTCTGGTTCGTTACCCCTGCTCGGGTAGATCTGGAGCCGTCATTGACGAAACACGAGGCAAAACTGGGAGACCTTACAGCCCCCCTGACGCCAGCTCAGGGGTTTTGCGGTAACAAATCCATTTCTGCAGCAGGTTGCAGACAGGGACAGCCTTAGCTACCGACCGGTCACACTACCACAGTATTGTGGCTTGTAATCCATATCCAATAGACCCGTGACGAACGATGCAACAATTATTGAGCGCACTATTCCATGGGCAAAGACCCCGTCGTTTCGAACTGCATTCCGCTTTCGCTGTCCTTCCTCCAGGCGAGGGGATTACGTATCTGCGTCTTCACCCACGTGGATACCCTCACGGAGCTGTCCGGCCGAGTCGTCACCAATGTGACCTTCGGTACCATGGTTTGCTTCATAGAGCCCATAGCAGAGTTCATTGCCCCCACTTCCAGCATCCATGCCATCGCTGGGAATCCTCGCTTCCAGGCACGGTACGGGAGCCAAGAAAGGGGATCTCGCGGAGATCTCGAGAGGCTAGTGGAACCCGCGGACCCGACGCCTGCGATGTGCTTTGTCCTCAGCTCAACTACGGGGCCCCAGCCGTGCTCTAATGGGAGGGAATAAAGGTATAGCCCTCAAAGGTGAAACAGCCCTACTTTAGGTAACGAATTGCTGTCCGCAAAAGCGTTAGCCCGCGTGTCAACGTAACCGAGCTGGTCGCTGACAAAGACTATCGGACAATATTGGTATGGAAGGATTCTAAACCGCCGTTGCACGCCTCCGAGGCGCCGTCGGTGGGAGCTGTGATTGCCGTCTGCGACGGAGCCGGCGCCAAGCACGCTCATGTTTTTGATGTGCAGTTGGTCAAAGTCTAATCCCACCACCTTGATGCCGCGGATCCTAACCTGACAGGTCTTGGTGCCTGACGATAATGATCTGCCGATAGCGGGAAGCTAAACCGTACTTCATCAGCGCTGAAAGAAAGAAAGAAAAAAATTCAGCAAAATGATAGCCGAATTCATTACTTACGGTCGAGACGGTGTCGCCGCATCGAGAATCACCCCAATGCGGGAATGATGTAACCCCAGAAGCCCGCCGGTGAGCCCCTTGGGGTTGTACCAATTACCTCGCTTCGCTCCAGGGCGCTGGTGCCAAGGGTAAGCCCCCTGTGGTTGCGGATGGGCTTACGAGCGAGTTCCCGTCGAGAGCCGGGACATGATTCGCCAGAAAGGCCTTAATGACTTAAGGTTGTGATGATCTGGGATCGCCCGGGGATTGGCAGCAAGGGTCTTGAACACCTGGAATCCAATCACAGCTGGAAGCGATGCTTGACGGGGAAGGGTATCGTATCACCGTATGCAACAGTGGTAGTGTGCTCGCATGCTGTCAGCAGTAAGATCATTGTTACCACAGTACCTATCAGGTAGGTCGTCCACCCTACTGTACATGTGATTGCTTAGCATATCTCACAGCCATGGTTGGCTTGCAGGAAGCAGCGCTGCATGTACTGCAGCTCCGAGGGTCGTTATGCTGTATTGTGCTGTGGTGTACCCTGCCCACCTGATACGCGGGGTGTCATCAGGGTGAGGCTCCCGTGTTTCTGCGCACGGCGTCCTGGTGTCGGGTGAAGATGCAGAGATGTCATTGTAACATCTGGTCCGATCTTTCCTTCAATCCAATAGCAAGGCATGGACCGTGGCCTCCTTTTGGAAGTATCTATTTTGGTTGTTTGTCAATGACACCCAATATATTGATAAGGCAAGATTGGATGAAACATGATGGCGACTTCCATCCAGTAAACGATTGCCGTGGTGGCCTGCGTACAGCACCTTTCGCGGAAAGCATGAATCATCATCGGTGGTGAGTATTCCGATGGAGGCGCTCATGTCGAATTTGTATGGGGGTTTGATCGGCAAGGTCAATTCTAGGTATCGGACGGCTGCATTGCCAGCGAGCCACAAGAAGCATGGATTTACGGGTTTTCTGCATGTTTGACCGTGAGCAGGCCTAAAAGGAAATTTACGCTGCCTTCATGGCTGCTCAGGTTTTTCGCGTAAGTCACCCGGCTGCGCGCTGAGAAGCCGGGAGGACCAGCATGCGGGTAAGTGGCCTCTATCGGCAGCGTCGCCCGATGCAGGGCGAGCATCAGTGCTGTACCTAGGACACCCCTGCGGCGCTCACTATGGGAGGCTGCGTGGTGTATATTGTGAATGGATCTCGCCAAAGATCACTTAAGGCGAGAGAAAGACCATGGGCCGATATAAACACGAAGTCGAACAGACTGCCCGGAGATTGAGTCGTCAGATTAATTGGTATTGTATAGTTCCAACGTTGTCGTGATCCACTTGGACCGGGAATCGACCTTGGGGGTGGATGTACGTAGAGGTGTTTTGCATTGCCTCCGCCTCGAACAAAGAAGACACGATAACGGCCAAGAGAGTGTATGTTTTGGAGGTATTAGCGACAGACCTGGGTACCGTATAGTGCCTGTGCTTATTGTAGATGGACTTGACCACTGCTTTCACCTGTAGATCAAGCTACTTAGTTATGAGCCTACATTGAACCCTCGAACTTTCTAGGCTTGCTTGCGTGCCTAGACGAGAAAGCCGAAACCCAAGAGCCGAAATGATCGCCATTAGACAAGAGTTCAGTGCGCCGATTTTTCCACGGCAAAAGGAACAGAGTCCACGGCATTTCGCATTCGTAGACACCGCACGTCCTTCGTTAGGCTCGTGTTGGCTGGATACCGTGGACCAGATACTTGAACTGGGAAAGGCTTGGCTTTGGGGGGGAAGAAAGGTCGGTGGGCAGAAAGTCTGGGTCCGCTACTGCGACGACGATCCCATGGATGAATTGCCCGCCGAGTGAATCGGCCACTAGCCCCCACAATACGACGGCAGGCCCTTGACCGTACTCCATCAACCACGCGACAAATTTCGAGGGCCCCAAGAGGCCCTGGGTACATGGCCAGGGGGGCGGGCGTGGCGGGATTTAGGGTGCTCGCTAACTACGTAGTGCGCTGACAGTCGCCAAGCTCGCGAGAGCCGTTTTCCCTTGCGGCAGCCCAGGGCTTGCAAGGGGGCCCGGGCCAGCCAAGCCCAGCAACCAGACGTGCGGTGGAAAGTACCGTCGCGGCTGATGGGATGGCACGGCGATACTGCCGCAACGGTGCTAACGCTGCCCTTGGACCACTTAGCTGGGTCACGGAATAATCTTGGGTCTGATCTTTACTAGCTTTGCCGCTCATAGCGATGGACGAAGCTCGAACATCGCCTACCCCGTCCCGAAGATGCTGCGCTTGCGACTGTTGTGTACCCTGTGCCTGTGCCTGTGCCTGAGCCTGAGCCTACACGGTCGTGCCTGGCAGGCCGAACAGGCATGACCCTTCAGCGCGCGGCTCGCAAGGTAAGATGAGCTTTGCCGGGAACCTTCAGGAACGAGAGGGCGAGGCTGGCAGGTCTAGTGTCTGGCTCGTCGTCATTTCCGCCGTCGCCGCAGATGATCGCCGTAAGGCTTTTCCCTCTGGAGTTCTGGAGGGGGCGCTTCGGAAGCGTGGTTCCAACGTGACAGCGTCGTAACAATCGCCCTTATGTGCATCCGCTATAGGCTAGGATCCTTGTAACAGGTGTTTCCGACGCAACCTCCTGGAAACATCGGAACTGCAGCCATACCGTCTTGCCTGGCTGAAAGTGCCGGTTTTTGGCGTGTTATCGTTGAGCCCTCTAGCTGTTGCTGTGCGGATCTTTACGCAATCGGCTGGCCTCCTGTGTGTGGGTATTGCACATTATTTGCTTGCTGGTCCACGATGCTAGCTAGCAGTATCGTCCGTCAGTCCTGTCTGCCGATCGCGGTGACGCCCGAAAGGAGGCAAGGCCACAGTTCAGGAATCTTGGTAATGCTTATTCAACCAGGACCGTGCAGATGCCTCCGCAACAGTCTCAACTGTACACATTCAACAAAAACTGATCGCAGCATAGTAGCAGAGTGTCAGTGGCTGTCGCAGAAAATTGAACAATTGAGAGAAAACGTGATATGATCTTGTGAAAGTGCTCTGTTTTGATAACTTGACTACTCTCTAGCCTGCATCTCGTACAATCACCGCTGTTTCCACGCTCCATTTTGAGCTTCATGCCTTCTCGATCAGTGCCTCTATACATTACAGGTAGAAACAGTCCCCAGAAGCGACTTCGAAACTCCGATCTGGCTCTTGCGTCCAGTATTCAACGCCGGTGTAAATGCTCCCAAGGCCCCCATGCGCCATATTCAAAGAAATTGGAGAAGTAGCAGAATAAAAAGATTTCGTCCCAACGGTCCGTCCGTTTGACTCCTTCTCCGAACATCCCATTTTGGTATATAGTGAGTGTTGACCCTCTCAGTATGGGTAAGCGGCCGTAAAAAATTCGTACCGTGAGGTATCATGGATATTCGTGCCCCAATATCTTTTTGCATCCTGTCCTGGTTCGCGCAGGATTATAAATTTGTATCACAATAAAATGACATTGCTGGAAAAGTATACGCTCGTCGATCCGTAACTGTTTAGCGCAGAGTAGATGCGCCAGACTCGAAGTTGTGGCAGCCACGCTCGTGTCTCTTCATGTTGCTCCTCACGCTGAAAGCTTTCCCACAGCCGGCATGCGGGCACTTGAAGGGCTTCTCTCCGGTGTGAGAGTGGCTGTGGATCCGCAGCGAGCTGGGGCGGGAGAAGGCTTTGTTGCAAGTTTGGCAGATGTAGCGATCCTGGGACTGCGGGAACGAAGCTGCCGAAGAAGGGGAGATGTAGTGGTGGTGTTGCCACGGGTTCGGGCCAGATGCTGGTGCCAACGGAACAGACACATGCATAGGAGGGAATGCCTGAATAAGGTTAGACTTTGGAGGACGAGCTGGCGTCAGAGATAATCATACCTGAGGCAAAGGTCTCTGATAGTAGAGGCCAGAGATCTGGGGTTGTGTCGGCGGGTGGACAGCTGAGGGATAGTACGAGGACAGAGCCGGTTGGCTCATGTACGGGGGTGCTGCGAAGGCCTGCTGAGCGTATCCCGGAGCCTGGATGGGTACCCGAGGGATAGCAGCTGCGGGCATCTGGTGACGCTGGATTTCGCTCTCGAGGGGAGGCGTGGCTTCATAGTAGTAGTTGGGAGCCGACACCACTGACACTTGGCTGACTGATCTTGTCGACGGAGACCCGTGGCCTTCGAAAGATGCATCAGTGCTCATGGGCGGTGTCGGCGGCATCGCCGCTCTCGAGGGGCCGTTGCTCGCATAGTGCGACGAGTTGGGCCTTGTCTCTGGCTTGGTAGATTGGGCTGGACGGAAAGGTCAGGGACACTTCTACAGGGCAATGGAAGGGAAACTAGACTTACACTGCTGTTGTTGCGACGCAGGAGACTGCTCCGTAGTTGGGGAACCGGCGTCTGCCACGACCAACAAGTTCGAGATAGACGGCAGGGAACACCTCGATGCCTCATCTATCGGCGGGGACGGTGGTGGTTGAGGGTAGCCATAGTGAGCGCCAGGCTGGCTTGTATATATCGTCGTTGCCATTTTTGTTGTGAATGAACGGTGGTGCTATGCTATGTGTTGATTCGTGTCGATTAGGCGTATCCGGTACAGGTTTTACTTATTATGATTGTCGAAGAGTCGCACAGGGTATTAGAGCTGGAAGCCTTTTATGTTGTGTGTGTTGTAGAGAGATATCACCAGTATCTCTCGGAATATTAAATATCTTGATGTCATGAAAGACTCGGGATGGCTCAGGTTTGGGGGGGGTGTGGGCACTTATGTATGGTTGTTGTGGAAGTCGACGACGAGGATTAGAGTTGTATCTATCAGATCTCCCGGAGGTACATGAGAAGGACGATCAAGCGTCAATCTCCAAGGTAATCCCTGGACAACAACTGTCACAAATTGTGTGTGGGTCTGACCAAAGCTTTGAGCAGGCCACGGCAGACCTGGGATGAAAGCAGCTGCTGATCACCGGTATCGAGGGTACTCCTGCGTCAACGGCAAGTACATATAGCGACTCCTGTTATTGGGGGAAGCTCTGACTCCCGGGGTGTCGATGGGATGCTGAGATGCCTGTGCTCGTCCGCCCAGATGGTCCAATCTGCCCCTGTCTGGCCTGGGTCAGTCCCGCTGCATGGGTTGACCAAAGCCCGAATGTGGGTGAGATCGAAGGATGTGAGAGGAGCTGTGCAAGGATGGTCCAGGGATGGTTCGAGGTCAAACGGTCACTGGTCATGCACGCAGAACGACCTCCCAGGGATACCAACCCTGATACGCCCTGGCCTGGTACCCGACCCTTGGGACCTCGCGCGGTGCCGGGGCCTGGCTGCCCTGGCACGGCTACATGGTGCGAGGGTGCCCCGAAGGTACTGCTGCTGTGTCTGGGCACCCATGGCCAAGCTCAGTTAGCTGAGATGCCCAGAGAGGATGCCCTGTCATCTGTAGCCTGTGAGGCGCATGGCGCTCCCGGGCCACCATTACCGTTTTTGGGTCGCGATGCCGCTCGGGTAGCTGGTCTGTGACCCCTAGCGGTTCTGCAGGGATCACGTTTTGAGACAAGGATCCTCGCGGGCCCTCTTGGGAACTTGAGACGATAATCGACTCGAGCTTCTTGGGGCTTGATGCCGCACGAGCTTCATCAATGCTGTCGTCTGAGCCTTGCCCGGCTCCAACTGTGACCGGATTGTCGAGCTGATCTTATGCCGTTCGTCCCCACGAATCTGGCTGAACACCCCCCCCGAGACCACACCTGTCACCCCGACTACATGCAGCACATCTTCGGATGACTGCTGTATCTGTTCCAGAATGTTTGGATCTGTTCAAACCATGCCCGGCCAGGGTTTTGGCTCCAGAGCCGGCAAGGACGGAAACAGAAGCAGCCAGGCCCCCCCATACCTGCAACATGGAGGAGTATGTTAGGACATTCCGGCATCAAGAGTTGCCGGCCATCACGGAGTGCGGTACGGCGCCCAGCCTTGCAAACATTTCACTTCAGATACGTCTAGGCGAAGGCGAATCGCGAGCGATGCAAGCGGTGTGCTTCGTTGGCATAGAGATAGTGACGGCCGAGCAATTCTGACAACTTGTGCTGCACACACGAATGGCTCTCGGCAGCCCGCTTGCGTAGGTCAAATCTAGTATTCATCGTCTGAACAGGGTCTATGGCAGGAGTCTCGGGCGCCGCATGGTAGATGGCGGAGCCTCACGAGATTGAGATGCGCCCTGCCAGATCTGTGAAGTCGCCGTTCTGTCACGGACCACGAAAGACGGAGGGGGAGGATGCCGTTGCTCCACAACAGTCGAAACCCCCACAAGAGATTTTAGCTCAATGTATGTAATATTTCCGCTTTGCAAGTCTTGGCCCTATGCATTACTTTCGCGCAGACTCTCCATGGACAGTATACGGGGTAGGGAGATGTATGTTGTCGTGGCTGCCGGTGTGCCAGCCAGTTGCCTCCAGGGATTGAGGCTCTCTTTGTCATCGAGCCGGAGGATGAGGAGGTGCCAATGTTTCGTGGAGGCGCATCCGGGGCTTCCCAGAAACAAAGGCTAATTTCATATGATCTTCATGTTGGCGCCCAGGAACCTGCTCGCTTGCGCAGGGTGGTTTAGGAGGTTTGCAGGGGTTCCTCTCTAGGGGCCGCGATCGACCGCCATAGAGTCACCAAGGATTCTTTGGAGCCGGTACGATGTAATCACTTCCCCCTGCCTCAATCAAACTCTTGTTGTTGATCATCGAAACGCATCGTGAGCAAGGCATTGACTGCAAAAACATCCCGAAGACTTGTGCAGCATCAGCCAAGAACAGCCCAAGGCTGACCGGGGTTTAAGCAACTCCAAGATGTCTGTCGACACGCCGGTAACCGAAGACTTAACTTTTGTGTTCCTCGGTCTCGCGCGAAAAGTACCCAACAGACTGTGTTATGTGCTCTCAGAAATCCTAGCCGTTACTTAGGTAAGGACACTCGGCCGGGACCATTCATCAGAGAATCCAAGAGCGGCTCTGTCAGGTGTCGGCAACATCACTGATGATGATGCCGCAGCAGCGGTAACTCTGAAGCTTAGTGACCCGAAGACCTACATAACTAGTAGGTACTATGTAAGCCAGCACGTGTTGTCTAGCGTGGCAGCTAAGGAAGACACTGGCCCGGACGCTACTCTTGTCTTCCAGCGCCAGAACAGCGCCAGAACACGCCATTCACCCATTAGAGTTCACCCGACTGCTGGCGGCGGCATAGAGACGCGGGATATATTTGCCGCACTGAACGGGCCAGGCCTTGTGAATTTCCGCCACTATCAGGACAAGATCATTCGGTACATGTGCGAATGTGTTTTCTAAACCCAACGCCTAGTGAATTGTGGTCTTCCGATTTGGGCCTGCTGACCGGCCAGTTTTCTTTTTAGAGTCATGGAAGTATTATGCAATATATCGCACAGTCGTCTGTGTTCACCATGAAAACACATATGATAAATGATCTGTTACTGTTGGTATACTGCTCTGCATCATGCAAAGTCGACAGCACACAGCGAATGATGGTTGTGTAGAAGACAGCCGATCCATCCAATGAATCGGGACAGCTCTGCCCGTAGCGCTGGGTCCGACGCACATGCACGGCATGACCCAACCCACGATCTCATCGTTAGCAAACCCCGCTAGGATAGATCAGACTGAGGTTGCGAAATGCCGGCGAGCTTGCGGAGTGCCGGCGTGTCGGAGGAGCCATTATAAGTCGTCTCATAGTTACGGTAATTAGTAGTAAACCGCAAGGTATGGCCAGGTGGTTTTGTGGTGACCTCGTCCAGAAGGGACAGGCACCGCCTCGCCAAAATTCTACTCTGGACTCCTGGATTGAAAAAAGAGCCCTAATTATCTACATCCACTGTGGCCTTCGAAGGCCGGCCTAACTGCTTCTGGCAACCAGCTCGTCAGGCTCTGAAGCCGTTGAGATGAACGAGGCAGATCCTTGTTAGCGTCTCACCGCCGTCCAGTCACCAGTTGCCTTATTTTCTTGGGCCGCTCTAGCTCGCACGCTGCGTCATCAGCAACCTTGGCACGATGCCCTTCCGCAGTCGTCGCTCCTAGTTGCGGTAGCTGGCCGCCGTAGCGGTGGCACTTCGGGCTCTTCAGTAGGGATTCAGCAACCATCCGCCCAGATCGTTGTGAATTGGTCTGCTCGGCATCCAGATGCGTATGGGCCACACCCTTTTCGGCCAACCTTCTCTCCCGAAGCTTTCCTACTCAGGGAGATCGACATCTAGCGAGATCCGGACGCAACAGACTGTTGTACCAAGGCCAAGGTCATTTGAGAGAATATTAGTCAGGATGTCAGATGGGGCAGCTCAGCAAGCCACGATGTCGATCTACCACTAGGCTGGTCCACTTTGAACCCAAGTATCTTTTAGGGGTCCTGTGTACACGGACGGAGCGGGCTCCGAGGCGGGCCGTGAACGAAGAGACTGATATTCATCGTAACTCTCTGTCACTGCAAGTGCCGAAGCACCATGACAGGAGACATCGGACAATGAATAGTTTAGACCAGATGGCCTGGCTCGTTGCGACGGCTCCATCTGACTCCAAGCCTCCAAGTCTTGTACACAAATCATGCTTAACAATGGACCCAGACAATGTTGAACTCTGGTAAGCCTGCCGCGCTCGCCGCAAGAACTTCTACCGTTTTAAGCTGTTTCGCATAGGGTTGGTTCCCGAGCTCCTGATGCTGGTCACGTTGCGGAAAGCGTGCCGAAGCCATGCCGTGATCTTCTATTCATATGATGCTTCATATTTTGAGCATCATTGCTGCATATGCCTTCGGTGGATGTGCTGATCACTGTCATAGACCGCAACATACTTTACCATATACGCAGTGCAACCAAGTACCGGTGAAAAGAGCGTTGCCAAGTGATCCGCATTCTCGCTAATCACCACGATCGAATCATAGCTAGCGAGGGCAAACTTATGCTGGTCACAAATGGGTAAATCAATCGTAAGTCGAGCAACAAGCCAGTGTTGAAGTGCTGAAGGTCTTGATTCCCCCCTTCGTATTAGGTTCTAAGTTTGTCTTGGCACTCCATGATCCCATTGTTTTGAGCGTTTTTCACAGCAGTTAGGTCAGCGGACGGGAGTCACTTATCATCACGTGAGAGAAGTATATAGCGAATTCCGCTCTGCGCTTCTCTCAATGTCTAGCAAGTGGGCGCAAGCAATACTGGAGCAGTAATGGTTCAGAAGACTTCCCGAATCCGGCGTCTGTCTAGTGCCGCCTTACTTTTCGTGCCTCGGCAATCCCACAGGACACTGGGTACCGCCATATTTCTCAATGGCACGAGCTTCTAGTTCTCATACTCAAAGAGAACGCACGGCTTGTCTACTTTCCAGTCATCTCCGGCAACCTAGAACCAAACATCAACCAGTGCTGTACATCTCACCTAAAAGAATACTCAAGGGTTGCTTAACGCCAGCCGGTGTCGTGAATGGACTTGCATGACCAGGCACCGTTGTCCAAGATTAGAGCGCAATCTTCGATTGTTCTAGCGGCCTTCTAGATGCAACGCTAACCCTGTTGAAGATCCTCTAATAATCTGGTGTTAGGGATCGACCTTGGAGCTAAACGTGACTTTTACTGCCTACGAAGGCAGAGAAGGCGAGCAGAAGGGCAACGTGACCCATTATCTCCGACGGCGTATTTAGGTGACTTTAGTAATAACAATGCAATCGGTGGCCGAGCGGCGGGAGTCTTACCGCCTGGGTATCGTCACGGTCCGTGATGGGCAGCCGACACAACGCAATCAAGGGCACTGTTCGACAAGTGGCTCCCCAGTCTCGGAAAACGTGGCTTCAGAGTTGGCAACCTCAACGAATGGACGGCATTTCCGATTTGTTTTTCTACCATGAGTTCCACATCGTCGAGGTAGTTGGAATGCAACCATTCCTATTATAGACTCTGCCGCACGAGATTTCCTATGCCAAGGTTGTCAACAATATGGCTAGGATCCACGGTAACTCTCGATGGTCAACGTGCCAGCTTGTGATTGAATACCTATAACGACTATGATTGCAACCCCCTTCGTCGTGAACCCCGAGTGCCGCGTCGATCGTTCAAGGTTCCTTGGGTTCCCTGCAAGGCTGCACTCCTTCATGTCAAGTCTAATTTGACAGATACTTACCTCATTGAGGTTGCGATGCTCGCCAATTATCACGACGTCACCTTCGGAATGCTAGCTCCTTGCACATGCTCACGCACTTTCGCCGGTTAAGATGTTAACAGCGCGGATACGATGTCTCTGCGTTATCTCTAGCGGGCATCCTTCGCTTCCCTTATGGCGCCGAAGTTCGCAGTGATACCCTTGCCTCTAACAGCAATGGATACGCCTGTAATCCTGGGGATCCCCAGCTCTATAGCAGGAGAAGGCCTTGTAGATTGAGGTTTAGGCTGTCCCGCTACGCCTTTTCGGGAGGTGCCTCAACCGTCATTGTGGTCTGATTTCCTTGCGATGCCTCTTTTGTGGTTCATCGCCTAGATCTCTTGATCTAACGATATACGTATAGGGCCCCGGGCATTGCGCCCACTCACGATGCCTTTCTACCCAGTAGGAATCAGAAGACCGGTCCAAGGGCATTGGGGTCCCAAACTTTGCCTTGTATGTAGGGCCTACTTGAATTGATCCTCCATGGCATCGAGCGATGCAGACGCTTCGAGACCCTATGGCGCGAGCTGAGATGGCTGGGCTCCAGCAGGGTTGATTTCTAATACAATGTTTCTACGTAGGCGCAACTCCGTGTTCGCTGCCTACGGGACAGCCAAGAAGACCATCCCATCGTCGTATGCAACGCACCTACGTGTTACTACTACTCAATCGCACGGGAAAATCAGGCGTGATCGTTGATGTCCCTGACCTCGGTTAGAGCGTGGCTGCTTACATATTGAATCCGCTTGTTCTTTTTTCCTTTGTGGCCAGAGGAACTCAACTTGTGGTTCCGAGATAGTCTACACGCCGTTTAGAAGCATGGGCCTTCCACCGTTTGCAAGTTCAGATGAACGCACGCCGCGAATAGGGATGCTCCCTGAACCTTCACGGGGGTATATTCCCTCGCAGCTATAGATTAACCACAATGTCGTTTCTTCCCGATGCTGCAGCTAACAGTAAGCGACGCTCCAATCACTAAGAGCCGGTGCAACGTGCCCGGAAAAAGACAACTCAGGACGGGATCCCATGCTACCCTGGCGCAACAGCACAGCAAGCAATTGGACCTTAGACATGTCGATATCCGTCATGACAGTGGACTTATCTCCGAATGCGTCTGTATGCTTTTCGAAATGGCAATCATAAATCATTGAAGATGAATACTTCGATGCCTCTTTTCAGCCATGGTCAAAAGACAGGGAGGTTTCCGCAGTTACATCAAGGATACCTTGCGCAACTCCCTGACTGGGATCAGTCACCATCAACGCACGTGTACATAGCAGCCCTACTGGCTTCTAAATCCATAATAGTATGGAGTTCGATCCGCTTGTCCACAGCCTGATGCTTGAAGCAAGAAAAAAAAACGTTGAGACTTGCGAACTGGGGGCCTCCTTGGTTAATGAGAACCACTCTTGCTTTAATGCACAATCATCGCCTCATGGTCCCACTGAGGAGTGTGCTCAAGGACTCGTATCGCTTCATTGTAGAGCATCACGATAAAGAGGTATACCTCCTGAATGTACGTCGGGCAAAGGCCGCGGTACTAGTGGATCTAGTGATGCAGTGGAAATCCCGTTCCCTCATGAGATCCTCGATTACGCCCAAGCCCTTGGATCTCCAATGAAGAAGCCCCCTCCCCCCACCGCTGAAGCTACCTCGCGACTCATGATTCACGGCAAGGATGTGTCGGGACAATGCCATCTGACGGAAACTCGCGATGTAACCACAGGCATCCATTGCTATGAATATTGAATCCAGTTGGCGCAAGCCAAGTGACATCAGCCTGCAAGGCTTTTAACTTTCAATACTCCCTTCATACTTGCTTATATGCCTACTTTGCAGGCCTGGGAGCTTTGTCAGCGTTACCAAGCAGCAGATCGTATGGTATATTGCGAGGCTACATAGTCTATGTATCCCTGGCATTCGGGTGCGATGCCGACATTCACCGTTGGCAATCAGCAAATCAGTCAAGCCTCTGGACCCATCTGTAGCGGACGAAACTTTCGGCTAGGCTTCTCTCATTGCGGTGAATGCCGCGCATTCCAAAGTACCACAGTAATGTACAGTAGAGCGTTTCGTGATATTATTCGCAGATTGCCCTCCACATGGAAATCTGAGGCGAAGATCATGATCAGTTGCCCCATGCCCAAGGATCCGCACGCCCGTCTTGTCGTCGCGGCGATGATGCTCTTCTGGGCGAGGCGCTGAACCCATGGCAATGGAACAACCCGATGAGAAGTCACCCACATCGATCCCCTGCCACACACCTACTGAGTTGGGGATGTGCTCCCAGGGGATACACTTGGGGTTTCCCCCCGACATCCCGAGATGAGTGCAATCCCTGGAGGCGGTTGCGAGATCCCGGAGTGAGCCCGGTGGATGACCCTGACGTCTGAGATCGACCATGCTTCTAGTTAGTTATTGCCTGGCAGACTTGCAGGCCAAAAGTTCCCTGCCCGCGGCAGTTCAATCTGGGCAAAGAGGTCACTGCTGCGATATCGATTTGTTCTCGGCTAACTGCCTTCAGCAGAAAAAGCAATTCATATTCATTGCGAAGAGTCTTCCCAAAAGGGAGACGGGATTCGGTGGCCTACCACGAGAAGTTACAAAATAAGGAACAAATCTACTTTCCGCCAGCGGCAGCCAACATTCACCATTCTTCACGTGGCTTGCAGTAAGAGCCATCGGCTCAACATGCCTCCTGAAGATCATAAGGCGAGACTCGAAAAGTCATCTGGGGGCATTTACATGCAGCCACATCATGGGGGGGAATCGGCCCTTGTAACCAATACCATTCCTTTTAGACGTCGAGATGGCTCGACGGCTGAAAGCTTAGAACAGCACCTCCAAGGCTCAACGGCTGCAGCTCATAGCTCTCGATGCGGTAGCTGCACTGGTGATAGCTATCTGAACTATGTGACGTCTCATTTTCCCAGCGATCGCGTGTCGAGCCCCTTGTTGCTTCCCACTACACCACCCCTCACCACCACCCCAGCAGCCTAGTGGCTGACAGATCACCACGCAGCAGTGCGTCTTCATGCTGTACGATCCACAAAAGAAGACATATTTGTCAAAAAGCACCGCTGTTTCTGCACGACGGGTCTCCACGCCGTTGCAATCGCCACAGGCCCGCTACACCATGCTGCTCATGCCTGTCATGTTCCACGCTGATGAGCGAGAGCCATGGTGTGGGCCTCTGGACACCTCCCCTGTGTCCTCTTCCTGGTTTGAGATCTGAATTAAGACTGGCCAACGCGTCAGGGTAATAGCATTGGTGGAGATTTGTTGACCAAGGTCCGGCAGCCCGGCAGATTTGTCCTGGTAGGGAGTATCTGTTTATAGTATCGATAGTGTACTGCAAGTCGTGTCGGCCTGTCTGCCTCTCTCAGAGCTCATCTGCCATGCACAAGCCGTCAAACTGCAGCAGCGATCCAGAACTGCTCATATATCCTTGCACAGTCTGTACCCAAGGTGCTTCCGGGGGGTAAGGGTCTCTACCACACGGACCGCTATGCAGAACCAGGTGGTCGGGCAAGAAGGGGCGCTCATCCGCGGTCACTAGGTGATAGCCATCATGATTGGCGAGCTGCACTAGAGATCTTCGGCTACTTTTCTGCCACCATGCTGAGTTTATTTCGATTTTGGTGGGAGCGGCCTTGGGTGCGAAATTTGGGGGGAAGGGGGGCTCTGACCGGGAAGTGGAATCGGTACTTCTTCAGTAATGCTGACTATTTTCAAGTCCTGCCGTAAGTGGTGAGAGCCCCCATTGTATCTAGAAGGAAACCTTCTGGTGAATCGGGTTGGGCAGTATCGAAGAAGGACTCGATGAACTTTACTTCTACATACTACCATAGTAATGCCGCGGCGGCAATTGCTGTATCGCCCTTGCTTAGATGCGCTTGGGTCGTATTGCATCAAAGCAAAGAATAAACTTTCAATACCCCATATGAATACTTCCACCTGCATATGCTTGGTCGTAGTGGGCTCCCACTCGAGATTCGCACAGCCCTGCAAGGTGTGGCTAGAGTGCTCATTGCAACTTCAAACACGTGGAGAGAACGTAGCTGTTTAACGCTTATCCCGTATGATACTTTACACCCCGATTGAGCAGCGAGGCCAGCTTGGGTTCCTTCTCTAGTGTGAATATCTGTGGCAAGGCAAGTATTTCCTTCGTCAAAGGTGGCAGATGACAATTCCCTGGCTGTGGTAGCATTTTGCGGCTGGTTCGACTATTTCACCACAAGTTGATTTATGAAGGCATAGAAGCAAATGCTACAAACCTACGGGTTTGGCGAAATTGATAGAGTCCCATCGAAGCGAGGATTGTTAAAGCATTGTTCACATAAACCATGCATTGTTGAGTGCATCGCAGTCATCTCATACGCCGTGCGTTTGGTGATCAATTTTGGTGTCTTGCAGAGGATCCAGCACCCTCGAGTTAGTGGGCTCGGGTCTACTGAGGGAAGATTACTACTGCGAGACGGCAAAGAAGTATTGCAGCAGATCTGAACACCATACAGACCAAGCGGTGACATGTGCAGTCCTCTTCTGTGCTCCTAGATGGATATGAGAGGAGACGGTTGAGAACCTAATCGAGAACTTCAACCCAGTTGTTCTCCAGTTGACGTCTTTCAAATCGTGTCTCGGCCTCCTGCCGAAGAACCTCCTCAGCCTCCAATTTACCAGCTGCGGCCGTCGCCGTCTCCTTAACCTGGTTCCGAACCGCACTCGTGAGTATCTTATACCATCCGTTGTGAGCTTTGCATCGCTTCTTCTCGCATGTACCTCGAGTCAGGGGTTCACCGTCGCCTGGTTCTACAGGCGTGTCCAGTTTACCTGTCGTAAAAGTTGCTTGGCCCTCCGGCGAGTCGACCCAAGCAGCGAAGGCGTGGCGTACAGAAATAACATCGAGGCGGTAATCGTAGCCACAGCTATCTTTGGTGAACTTGCCCGCCTCTATAGCACTCTGACGACGCTGAGAAGCCCAGTCCAGCATTTGCATCATCTTCTTATATTGCACGATCTCGTTGCCGAGTGCAAGACGCTCAGCAGCAGAGCCTTGCAAGAACGCCTGCTCTACTTCGCTGAGAACATCAGGACGAGTTGGCAGGCCATTTGCCCAGAGACCCTCTAGATTGCCTGGCAGGATTTATCATTAGAATGCATTCTCATTGGATATGCAAGAAGGAACATGGATGGGCAACTCACCAAAGGGCTTATCGCCTATCTTCCAACCCCCTTGATCGGCAGTAGAGGCGAGGAGACCCATAAAGTCTTCTTGGGTTAAGACCTCCAGCGCCTTTTTCGAGGCTGACTTCGTGGGTAAAGATCCGATCATGGATGACCACCAGGCATCGCAATGTTCGTTGCAGCAGAAGACCGACCTATCTTTCATGCTGTAGAGGCGAGCCGGGTTCGTGCAGCCGGCCAGCGAACACGTCTTTTTGTATTTGGTGTAGTTTAGTTTTCCATCCGTGCAGTTAGGACAAACAAAACGCTCAATGAGCTTTTCCCCTAGCTCCTTATCGATATTTATGCACTCTCCATGGAACCAATCCTCACAGGCGTCGCAACTTATCATCCATCTGTGGTCGTCGGGGCCGCGGCAAAGGCAATAAGGGCCGTTGTCGATCTCATCGCCATCTGAGCTGTCGTTGCCATCAGCCAGGCCATTCCCAGTTGCAGAGTCTTTCTTCGAAGACTTCGACTTGGCGGACTTTGGCTTCTTCTTGGTGGACGCTGTCCCCTTCTTCAGCACGGGTTTCGCCATTTTGGCGGACAAGGGTGAAGACGAAGGCGGTTTGCTCGCAGAATCTGGGTCTGGTTTGATCTCGAATGAGAACGAGTTGTGAGAACCAGATGGTTGCTCAACCGACCTTAGGATACCTGCATCGCCGTTGGCCCCGTTACCAGCCATTGTGCCTGAGTCGGCATCCGCCATCGCAACATCTTGCGACCCCTCCCTTGCGAGGCTGAAATCATCCGCCATTGTCGACCTGCGAGCCCGGGCAAGCGAAAAGGGGGGTTCTCAGAGAAGACACTGGAAAGTGATGGGAACGCAGCCCCAGAATGATATATATCACCCTCGGGACCTCCTGCCACTCATTCGCTCAAATTGTCCGGACTTGGTGATGCCGGGTGCTGATGTGCACATATTCCCCAGGCTTTTTTCTGGCGGTCAACCTGACATGAATAGTACACCGAAAGAAAAGTCTCAACACTCCTCGCAATTCGAAACTCGAAAGGGTTTTCACTGGTGATTTAGCAGTCTACATTGAGGGAGAGTTCCCGAAGTGCAGATGAACAGCCACTCAGGAATTCAAGGGGGATGTGGCGCGGCTCCCTTATCGTTATCGGGATCTTCGCCAAATAATCGAGCCTAATCGCGTCCGTACAGGGCTAAGTTAGTGAACAGTACAGTAGAAGCGAGTTGAAGCAAAGAAAGCCACCCAAGAGGATTCTAAACTGGATGTTCTTGCAACCAAGAGTAGTGCATAAGCTGTGCAGTCGCAATTTTATCTGCCGTATATTGATATTTCTGAAGCTCACTCGAGTACTCATGGATGTTGTACGTGGACATCTCCCCGTGACCCGTTGCAAAACGCAGTCTATCAGCACAAATAGTGCCTTGTATACATAGACTCTGACAAGATGAGATGATCGCAGCATAAATCAAGAGTGCCCATCCTTGAACTATAACGTATTCATGATTACAAGGTGAGACCGTAAAGACAAGATAGCATAGAGGTACTGTTGGCTAAGGCGCGAAGTCGTTAATCCAAGCCACGTAGTCCGGACCTGATGGCCCTGGCGGCCTTCATTTCGTGAAGGCCTGTAAGCCCCCCAAGGGAAACGCAGGCAGCCGGAACGTAGTATGAGATCGTCCTAGATTGCTTCGACTCTGATCATCGTCGCATCTCTTGACGCTCCGGCCTGCGCCTCCCAATGGCGCTCCCGAACACGCCCCCGGCCAAGCCAGCGACAGCAGCACCCATCACGGCCGCGCCGTGGTACGCCGGTCTGAACTCGCCCCTCTCAAGGAGCTTCAGATTTGAGAAGTACCGGCCGGTGCCGTAGAGGATGGAGCCGGAGCCGAGCCCCATTAGCACGCCGACCAGAATCTGTGAGTGGACTTTGTCCTGATGCTTCCGCTTCCTGTCCTCGGGCGTTTCCGCCGCCCTCTGGTGCACGGGGAGCAGCTCGGTCAGGTCCAGCTGCGAGAAGCGCTCGATGGCGATGCCGAGCGCGACAAAGCCAAGGCCAGTTCGGATCCAGGCCAGGAACGTCCGTTCCGAGGCTAGGTGGTCTCGGGCCACGGAGCCTGTATTTTTGTAGAGCGGAGTGGCGAAGCGAAACCAGGAGCCCATCCTTCTGATTTCAAGTCACTACGATGGAAGTAACAGCATGTATGTTGGTGTTTCAAGTCTAGGATATGGCAAGAGTTATTTGGTGAAAGTCAGTGTTGAGCTACTGAGTTAGGGTGGGCGATCGGTCCGTGCCAGTTATCAAGAGGCTACCTGAACAGAGTGGGGGCACTTCATCATATCTATTCATTCGGGCTTGTTGAAGGCAACTTTGATTGCCGCTCACAAACTGCAAGCAAATACAGCCGGTCAGTTGAATGGCGGCCTACAGTTATGCTGGCTTTGAAGCGGCTTCAGCTCTATGAACCCCAGAATCTCCAACGACGCTGGCCAGCTACTGCTCATGTCATCTCCCTGGAAAAGGTATCTACTCCTTCAGAATCTTGATCTTCAATCTCAACTCTTCCGGCAGTTCCTCGAGCTTGACGAAGCCCATCTGTACGCAGTCACCCCAGAAGAAGAGCGCTCGTTCATGGGTGTATCCCAGGTAGTCAAACTCATCTGCAGCACCTTCTTCACCCTCAGGAGCGGCGATACCAGCCGACTGTGTAGCCTCGACTGCCGGCTCATCCTCTGAATCTTTCTTATCAAGTCCAGGAACGTTGGCTTGCATAAGCCCCCAAGCGATCCATTGCGCGCTATTGGCTACGCGCCAAATGCGAGTCTCTTGCATCAATGACTCTATCTCCTTCTCAGTCTGTTCCTCGCGTCGCCTTTCGTCCTCCTTCCATCCTCCGGAGGGCACTCTGGCATCAAGCATGAAATCCACTATCGAACTTGTTGAGCCAGTGCCGGGCAGGTCAGTGGGAGTATCGAGCGGGGTGAGGTTTGGTGTAGACCCGGCGTGGAGATATTGTGGCCGATGGTCAACGTATGATTTGATGAAACGACGTTGTTCCTCAATCGTAGGGTATGCCGAGATGTTGCATGCATGAGGTGCAGTTGCATCGTGGTAGTTGTAGGTCCATTCCGTGAAGTGGTTCGCAAACTCATGTCCTCGAACGTTTGCACCGGCATATTCAAAGTCGATGACAATGAGTTGCTTATGCTCGTTCTGAGGGTGCATGAGCGGCGACTTCTGGTCATCAGGCTGAAGGCGGAGAATGTTGCCATATTGGGTCTGCTCTGATTAGAAATGCATCGCAGCAAATGGGGGTTTTACGACTCACGTCATTATGGGCAAACACCAGCTGTTCCCTCAAGCCTTCGGGTCCACCGTATTGATCTTCCAACCAGTGGCGATACTTCTCGACAGTCGCCTTAAATTTGGCAAATTCAACGCCACATATAAGACCCCTTGTTTTCCATACATCTGCGCTGCCTTTGATAGGGCCCGTCTCACCAGATAATACCTTTGCATCCAGGAACGTGGCGATCCTTTCGACGTTTTCAAGCCAATGATCCCAATTCTTGAAAACGCTAGGCCCAGCGTCTTTCTCTTCGTCCAAGAGCTCGATGCCGTCATGCAGTTCCCTCATGCGCTTCGCGATCTTCTTGGACGTGTCTGGCTCCCGCAGATGAGCGGGTGTCAAGGTAATAGCGTTGAAGAACTCCTCAAAGCGACCATTTTCGAAGGTTCCCAGAAGGCGTGGTCCAATCTTCTTTCGCGCTAGGCGGCGCAGCACGCTCAGTTCATTGTCTCGGTCGATGATGTTCTCGACCTGCGGTCCGTACACCCGGAGGAGTAGCTTCGCTGGGGCTTTCTTGCCTGGCTCGCGAGAGTTGGCTGCGTCTTTTGGAGGTGAAACAACATAAACGGCATTTGTCAGCGCGCCGCTCAGCCGTTCCACGTCAATGCTGTCGCCATGACCCAACGGCACACTTCTCCAGCCCTTGACTCTCAAGGTGTGAGCGATGCGGATGATATCGTTCTTGAAAACCGTCCAGGCTTTCTGCTCCTTCTTCTCCTGACGGCTTGAGATTGACGATGCATCATCTGTTTCACCGGCTTTACCCCCCGAATAGCTCATGGTTTTCGAGTTGTCCAACCAAGCATCACACCCAGGAACAAGAACGTCTCCATCATGATATTCTGTGTCCGAGGATGCAGCACGATGCAAATGGAAAAGCGAGCGCTTCTTTTGCGACTTCTTGGTATGATGGCGCTGGTTGTAATGTGGGATGCCATGAAGTCCCAAGGCGCTCATACTATCATCAATGATCCGCTGTAGCCGATCAAGGGAGACTTCACTGGACTCGGAGTCAATGGAGTAAGACCTATGGTGTTTACTGTGGTGATCTGACGAAGGCGCGCCTTCCACTGATGAGGCAGCCGCCCCTGGCTCAGTAGGCGGCGACTTTCGTCGGCCATGGTAGACTCTCCTTGACTTCCTATTTTGCTTCTTTGCTCGCTCATGTTCAAGCCACTCAGCAATCTGGGAGACGAGCCGTTCGCTCAGGTGATCCAGACGATGGCGGTGTTGCGGCTGAGACGATTCAGCGTCTGAAGGTGTCTGAGACGGTTGTTGGGTGCCCGCGAGACTACTCAGAGTCTCGATGCTACCTTGGCTCAGAGTTGAGGTCCTAGAAGAGTTAGCACCCACTATCGGCGGACGTCCGCTGAGCCGCTTGGCAAGACCTGCAGAGAACTGCTTCCTATGAGATATTTCTTCTGGAGCCTCTAGTTCTGGCTCAGCTATCTGCACCGCTATTGAATGGTCAGTGACGTTGGATGAATGTGGAAAGTCATGCAGATCGGGCGGTCCAGGACATGTGATAGGAATGACCCATTATAGGTGAAGCAACGCAGAGACCGTCACGAGCTTGCCAAGGCACATGCGAGTTTAACAAAGAAGCACCATGTATAGACAGTCGTCCAGGAGGGCATGACTGTGCTGGGAACATGAGATGATAAAGGGACATAACACCGACCTTTCAGGGGCGGGGTCCGTTCGCCATCGTCCTCGGCCTTCATCGCAGATCTGAGAGGGAGTCCACCCGACACCGGGGTTGAAGAAGAGGCGGACATGGTTGAGAAGAATACCCTCGAGTGTGATGATCGGTATAGGGATGTGGCAGGATTGCAACAAGCTGTCTTGTAGGAGACTTGATCACGCGACCTCTCCTCGATGGCCTGCTACGTTCGGGTATGGGATGAGGCCTGGGCGGGTCCTGATAACGGTCAGGTGGGATGATAAACGAGTCGGCTCCCAAATTAAATTCACCAGGCGCACAGCCCACGCACTGCTTGCGGCGCTGCAGGGGTCGGTAGCCTCAAACTGGCCCAGCTCTACACCAGCCTTGCCGAAAGTGGTATAGATGACGTTGAAATGGACCCTTGATCGAGGTGTATCTATGTCGGCCTCCTTCGCACGTGGGCGCTGCGTTGCCGGATCTTCGCAGGGGGATGGCAAAGAGAATATCGTCGCGAGTACAGACAGTCCGGATGTGTAGAGGGACTAAGGAATCCGACCGCCAGGCTTGCGAGGTAGGTTCTTGGACTTAGCAGTTATCCATGAATGAGAAGTGCGTGACGTAGTTTTTAGGCTAGTAAATCTTCAGGCCAAAACCGGCGCTCGGTGTCTTGCCTAGCCAATTGATCAGAGCCTTTGTCAAACGTGCCCGACGTCCGTTAATGCTGGGCCGCTTATTACCTAAAACTGAGGACCAAAGCCAACGCAGACAGACAATGGCACCAAAAGGGAAAACTTGATAATTGGCATTAGTGAGCCTGCCATCCATATGGGATGCAATATACTTGAGCTGTGTCGATTACCGCCACCCTTCCTGCTTCAGTGCCCAATCAACCGCTGCGGCAACATCATCCACGATCATCTTCGGCTGATGTGTCGGCTCACCCCGTTCAGGACTCCACACTCCTGTCCGCACCAAAACTGAGGTCCACGCGGTCCCATCGGGACTATCGAACTCATTTGCACCCCGGATGTCACTTTCTGGATTATCGCCAACCATGTAGACTCTGCCCAATGGCTCAATGCTGTTCAAGCCCAAAACCTGGGCTCGGTGGCTGTTCAGAACTCGTTCCGCGTAGCGGTAGGTTTGCCTGTATGGCTTCCCAATTACAGTTCGCTTGAGGTCTTTACCATTCGTGATCTCGCGCCAGACTCCTGCCATGGCAGCCTGGAAAGCGCCCTGGCCGAACCGTGGGTGGTGATAGGTTGCGCTCCAGAACAGATCCGGGTTCGAAAAAAAGAGAGGTGGCTGGCCATCGCTCTGCCACCCACCATCAGGGAGGTCGGGTCTGCCGTTCTTGGAGGAGTACGTTCCCAGCACGCCATTCTGCGACATGAGCAAGTCCATGATGATCTGGATATCCAGGGCCCAGTCGCGAGGGTCATTGAAGACAAAAATGGCATCGAGCTTCGGTTGCGGGGTGGGCAAGGGACGCGCAGTCGCTGCGTAAAGCTCCTCCATTAGAGGTTCGAAGGGCCAGATAGTCGGATGGGCCATCAGGATATCAGCCGGAGTGATGACGTTCTTGAAACCGTAAGCTTCGGCAATGGTGCGAGCTTTCGCTGCATCAGAACCTGTGATGAGGATGTTCTTGTCTGCTAACCCTTCTGCGCCATGGACAAGTTCCTGGAACGGCGTGTGGGACTGCACGAAGTTCTCTGTCGACAGCTCCACGTCCAGTTTGTCGCTCAACTGAGCAACCCGGTCTTTTTCATGCTTGCCTCCACCGTTTGTGAGAAGGATGAAAGGGATGTCATTCTTCTGCAAATACCTGAGGGTCTCAGTCGCCCCCGGGATTGGCTTCGCTACATGGAGCAATACACCATCGATACTGGTCGCTGTCAGTCGCACGGTACGCATAGACAAATGAGGGTTACACTTACTCGAATGCGAAGGCAAAAGGAGGGGCTTTGGCACTGCTCCCTGTGCTGTAGTGACGATGTCGATGTCGCCCGCTGCACAGCTTCGTATTCATCAAATGCTGTCGTGACGTGTGGAGACTTGGTCGAGGTTGCGCGGGGATGCTGTCTCTCCAGCCGGAAGGGATGAATACATGTCCAGAGCGGGGCCGCGATGCACGACTGAGCAGTCGGGCACCGGACAAGGAGAAGTGTGTCGCGGCCGGCATTGTGGATAGAATAGGACTGATTCACCTCAAGATCATGCTGCCGCAATTCGGTTGAATCTTCTCGGCGAGGGCGTCCCCTATTTACGCGATCCAGAGGGAGAGTGGAGCTTCAAGGTGTCAACGACGGAGGTACGGTACGTGCTGCCGCACGGTTATCCGGAGGTCAAGTCTGGAGGTGGTGGGGCCCACTGTCTCTGAACCGCCAATTTGCACATGGAACGGCAGCACATTTTACCCTCAAGCGTGGCTTACAGTTCTACTTTATTGATTTCTCCCTGGACCCTCAGATTATAAGTAACTATCCGCCCGTCGCTGACTAGATGAAGATCAACCATTTTATGCCTCCTGCTCATTGATGGCAGTAGTCTTCTAGCACCTGAAGCTCATATCGAACGGTTGTGACTAGCTTGGCCACAGTTCAATATTTCAAGACAGCATTGATGTTTTGCAACTTAGACCGCTTCACCTCGGCACAGACGCGAACTTGAATGGCATGCAGAGCATGACTCCACGGTTCGGGGTGTCTACTGCTGATCACTCCAGTTGTTTCACAACAAATGGCACATGCGCGCCTGTGACGCTAATGTCCATCTTCGGGTTATACTTGTCGAGACTGGCTAATGGAGCGTATTTTTCGCAGAGAAACAGCAGGTCGTTATAAGCACTTTGTAGAGAAATTAGCCCACCAATTACACGCTGAATCAAAGGCATTACGTACAGTTGTCTAGAGGCACTTCCTGCATGGCCAGCAGACTCGATGAGGTACGGATATATGCTATAGAGGCGATTGCGATCGTCGAACTCGTCCGCCGGCTCGGAAGGCTTGATATGATGCTGGTAGGACTTCATGTAATCTAGTGAGTTGAAGTGGAATGCCCAAGAACAACGCCACTATAGACATAATTAGTACTTAGAGAACCACGGCGGTCGATGATCTCCTTACAGTCCCAAACTCCATTTCGTTGTGCGCATAAGTACACCCGGGGTCGAAGACGATTGTTTTCCCAGTCTCTCTATCAGTGCCGACGTTTCGCTCCCAAAGATCACCGTGAATCAACACCGGGATAATATGGCGGCGGTCGGACTGCAAAGTCCCTAGCAATCGAGGGATGACTGCATCGATCAATTGTTTACACGCAGCATCATACTCGGGCCATGGAGCGTTCGTCTGGTTATCATATCCGATGGCATCGTTCAGCTGATGAGTGAAAGACTTGGCCCAGCTCGTCTCCCACGTCACTGTTCTCTTCATAATGCCGATGACGGTGGGCACCGGATATCCAAACATGCCGTTAGGCGAGACACCTTTTCGATGAAGTTCCGCAATCCTGGCCGTGAATTGTGCTGGCTCAGGAGCAGAAGAAAAGTCCATATCATGGAAATCTCCCAGAAAGAAATACACCTGTGTATCTCCGCTACGATATTTGCCCCAGCCAATCGGCTTTGGCACGAGGTCGGACATCACTTGATTGATGTCGTAGGCGGACTGGTACTCCCCTTCAACCAAGGCTTTTGCGCTTTCCCCCGACACACACTGCCATCATCTGAGCAGTAGCTCGTAACCCCCCGCCGCCGGTCTTTGACATACCTTGAGGAAGTATCTCTTCAAACTACCGTTGGGTAGCACGACAGAAACCTTGGCTGTCTTTGACCAGGCAGAAACGCCAGAAGAGAACGCAGAGATAACCTCTGTCCCCTCTGGCAGTACTTTGGCGTATGTTCGTCAAACACATGTTTATAATGGCTTATCATTGGGGGGTTTAACATACATTTCAATACTGCGTCATGCAGAAGAAAGTTGCCTTCGATCCCGGTCACCCACGTGGCTTGACTAGACATGGTGAGAGCTATCTTCAGAAAACAACAAGAACAAGGCTTCAGCGTCAGATGTAACAATTCTAGCGTGATCTGCTCACAGTCTTGCAACAATAGGCAATGATTTTATTACAGAGTCTGCTGAGCAGGAGTTCGCATAATGGTTGGCGCCGACAGCATTCCGGGGCAAGGATTCAAAGTGGCACCAACCGCCCGAGACCTGGTGACAATGCTCCTCGTCATTGGCTCATCACGGATGGCCTGTGGCCCGGCCATTGCTATCACTGGATGCGTTGTTCGGTATAGTTTGTCTGACACCTACATTCCTCTATGTTGAACGCCAGTAACTTCTTCCCCACCATTCCGTTTCATGTTCATTGAAAAACCAAAGTATGCTCTGGGGTAGCCTCTACAATTTCCGCGCGCCATTGATAGTGTAACCCTGTTAAGCTCAACAACCATGCATACCCACGGAAGAGCCAGAATGATCACACATTTCATCTGCTTTGCCCATATATTGAGATATTGAAGAAACTCGCTTCGTATAGTATCTGAGGAAGGGGGAAATCTCATCTCCTGTCCGAAAGACGAGGATGTTGTCGTGGTCAAAGTAAGGAGTTGACCTGTGATGGGTAAAGTCTTTTGCTCACTCGGGTTTCATAGCCTTGGCTTCTACCTAGCCTTCGAGCAGAACTGTCAGACAGAATACAAACTTTGCCCGCTTTGCATCTTCGTAAGAGAGCACCGTGAATCACATGCGATCTGCCCTTTGCAAAGGACGAGAATACTTATCGCAAACCTTGTCCAAAACATTGATACCCCCCTTAAGCAAATCTGCCCAGCCATAGACCCACGCCGGCTCCCTCCTTCTCCTAACTCTCAGCGTCCCGCCTAGCCCGTCATCCCACTCCTCGAGGAACTCCTCGGCATACTCATCGACGTCGTTGATGGAGACCTCAAAGTCTTCCACGCCCTTGATCAACGCCGCGCTGTGGAGCCACCCTTCTTCCTTGTGCGCAACCCTGCGTTCGTCCGTCCAGAAAAAGGTAGCGGGTGGGGGGCTCCCCGGCTCCTGCGATGGGACTTTCAGCTCGTCGAACGAGATCCGCAGCCACTTCAGGGCACCCATCGCGGCCAGTTTCCTGCAGACGGAATCGAAGTCCCTCCTCTGTTCAGGCCAGCAGACGCCTGGGTCCGAGTCCTCCAAAGCCGCGACCTCGAGGTAACACAGGACGCCGGGCCTGACCCAGAGCTCGAGCTCGGTAATCCTGTTGCGCAGCGTGCAGGGCGGCAGCTCGTCCAGGAAGTGCATCAGCTCCCTGGCGTCGAACCTGCAGATGCGTGCGTACACTATGGCAACCGCTTCAACGTAAGTCCGCCTGCACGCCAGGAGCAGGCCCATGGGGGAGCTGAGCGGCGGGTACTGCTCCCAAGCCCGCTGGCCGCAGCCTAGATGTCCGTCCCTGTGTTCATGGTCCCGCATCATCCACTGCCAGTCCTAGTCTCCTGTGTCATGAACAGATCAAAACATAGGACACGCCACGTACAGCTGCTCACCTTGGAGTGATTTGACAGGAAAGCCTTGTCAGGAGTCTGGCGGCAAGCATACCGCGCGAAAACGGGAGCGTCGTGCTGCCATGGGTTCGATTGGAGGGCGATGTGCTGTGCATCAGCCCCGTCCAGGAGCGCTTGACGCCAGATGATCAAGCGCAACTCCAAAGGCAGAGCGAACAAGCGCGACTGGCTCTGTTCGTGGATGGGATACTGGATCTGCGGGCTGGGACCGTTGTAACGCGTTCTGGTGCGCGCCATAACTCGGAATTTGGTTGGTATTCGCGGATTTGGCCGCTTGCGTATCAATAGCAGGCCAAGTCCTGCAAAGTTAGGCCTTCCTTCACAGCTTACAAGACGCACGGGCGACAGATAATCACCGACAGTTACTTTGCACGGCTAGCGGGATTGCGGCTATGGCAACTGAAGCAGAAAATGTGCGTCTTGTGTGAATGATACATTATTCTACAGACAAATATACAGTCGTACTACTTGGCTGACCCGAGTCGTCCAATACCTCTTTGCCGAAATATCGGCCCGTCCTTACTGTCTTGCAGGGGCCTTCCAGTCCTTGGTATGGTCTAGTATGAGCTTAGCACCAGCCTGCGGGCTGTGTTGCCGTCCCAAAGCTTCGACGAAGTCGCCCTCGGGATCCATGAGATAGAAGTAAATGCTGTGATCCACCAAGTAGTCCTGGCCGGGCTTGACGTCCCTCGGCGTGCTGAAGTAGACGCGGAAAAGCCTGCAAACGTTCTTGATCTGGTCATATGTACCCGTCAGGCCGATGAAGGAAGGGTGGAACTCGCTCAGATATGTCTTGAGCACCTCGGGGTTATCACGCGCGGGGTCGCAGGTGATGAAGACGGGGAGGACAGCGCCGGGGTTCTCCTTTTCGACAATGTCAAACATGGTGGCCATCTTGTCGAGTTCCTCGGGGCAGATATCGGGGCAGTGAGAGAAGCCGAAGTAGACCTACACCAGGCGTTAGAGACCAGTTTCTCACAGCAGTGAAGAGCAATGCAAGCAACTTACCAAAGAATACCTCCCCTTCATCTCCTCGCTGCTGAACGGGCGCCCGTTCTGATCCACCAGCTCAAAGTCTCCACCGACCTTTGGCCGGCCTACGCCCTTGGTGGCCTCGGCGATGCGCTTGCGCTGCATGCGCTGTTTCTCGTGCTCGAAGTACCAGACCAGGCCTGCGCTGGTGAGGACGAAGAGAATGCCGGCCTTCCACGAGAAAGGTCCCGTCCGGTATCTGCTCTTGGCCTCCTCCACCGTCCGGGACTTGAAGCGGCGCTGTTCGCAGTTCTGGTTCCTTGCGCGCAGACATTGCTGGTGGGCAGAAGTCCATACATTCGAGGGCGTCGGCCGCTTGGGGGCTGCGGGCTGTGTGGATAGGAAGCGTCGGCATTGGCGGCTCTGGGACTGGAACACAGAACGCAGGAGCGCCGACGAGGGCGCAATCGACCGTGACATGGCTTGCGATCGATCGATCGATCTCAACAGGAGTGGCAGAGGTGCGGTCTCGGAGGCGAATCCAGGACGTTGGTTCTGATGATGATCGTAAGACTGGCCAAAGTCCGAGCTCTGAAGCTGTCGGCGGTGCCCAGAAACAAATTTCCAATTGGGACAGTTTGGGTCGAGCTGGCGCCACGCGGAGCTTCCCAAGCCACATCCGAGCTCAACGTCATCCGTCACCAGGACCGAAATGCCCGTTCACTTCAAAGTGAATGTTGTCCGCCATTGCGCACGATTGATGTATTCTTGAAGAACTATATAAGGGGGGCTTTCCTATCTTGCTGACGTGAGTTTCTGTCGCTCGAGTGCCACGACACAAGCCATTGGCCACGTTTGCTTCAACAACTGCGCCAACCAGGGCAGACACAAGTCACCTCAGGCGACGCAGGAACGGGTGTGAGAGTGACGCGAGGACCACTCGCGCCTCAGGATCAATTATTAATCTCTACAAATACAAGTAACAGAGACATGAGATGTGCAGAATGCTGTCATTCTAATCTATCCGTCTCTTTCGTCATTACCCGCCAGAATTGATTCCGTGTCTGGTGCCTTTGTTCCTTTGCCTGTGGCCTCTTCTCTCGACGCCCGACAGAATTGGCCGCCAAATATGCACGCAATAGAAGAGGAATATCAAGCAATGCCGTGCCAGTCTGAAAAGAAAGAAAAAAATGAAACAAGAAAAGCCCAACTCGATGCCGCTGCCTTCGCGATGATGCCGCCAAATGCCTCCATGAAACAGAAAACCGTTTTCTTCGCCGTCCGGTCTTGTCACCCTTCGCGTATAAACAGCAGAATACTATAATGCCACTCGAACTAATCCCTTCACGCCTCGCGATGCTCCGCTGCGTAGTATGGCTCTCATACCGAGCGAAATCTTGCAGGTACTGACAGTAAAAAACTCACACATGATCAAATTCCCAGCCGAGTCGGGTTTGGCAAGGACTCTCTGTTTGTACTTGGTCCGGACAGAATGCATCCCATACATGGCTGCCAGTATCATCATGCGATGGCAAATGTGACATCCCAGAAGAAAGTTATATTGCCTGACCTCGACTTGGGTTTTCCGGAGGCGTAGTGTGATATGTCAGTCCGACAGATATAAGTGTAGCTAGAGTCAGCGGGAGACTGCCTCAGCCTGCCATCAGCCGCGGCTGACTTGGCTTTGGCTCGCGCTCGTACGGCTGCGTTCCTCTTCCTCCTCGAGAACGTCACTCAGGCGAGTAGGGTGGTGGTGGCGCGCATTGTCCCACCCCGAACTGTAACCTTGGCCGGTATAATCTGCGGCGGGAGGGTACTGAGGCTGCGCACCAGAAGTCGTCGGGTATTGCCCGGCGGGTTGAGCACCAGGGGTCTCGAACTCTTCTAGTCCATCGTCAGAACCATTGTCTGAAACGGGAGCGCGGAAAGGGATCATATGTCCCCGAGAGTCTCGGACAAAATTACCCTGCGCATCGATTGTGTACTCACCTTCGCTGTAGGTGCCTTCGGAACCATAGCTGCCTTGGTGATGAACAGTTGCCGGTGCTTGATGCGAAGAGGCACCCCCGGATGACGATGCGGTGACGGGTTGGACGGCGGGTGCTTGGGTGTACTCTGGTCGAGAGCCCGAAGCTTGACTGTAGTCAGGCTCTGTGGGAGCATAGGCCTGGGGATCGCGACGACTGCTGTGTCGACTGACACCCTGCGTCATGGGCACAACCTGGACGCCGCCAACTATGGTGGGCTGGCCTGACTGTAGAGATGCAGTACGATCTCGCTCTTCCTGCTCTCGTCGGCCGAGTTCCTCCCATGCACGGCGGGCTTCTTCCTTCGATATCTGCAACTCCTTGCGCATCTCACCTAGCTGCTTCTGTATCCTGGAGTTGCCGCGCTCATGCTCCAAGGCTTCCTGGATCGCTTGCGCTCGGCTGCGACGCTCTTCCTCCAACGCTACCTCTAGCATTGCGGTGACCTCCTGGTTGCGCTCCATTTCAGCGCGCGTCTCAAAGAACCAGCGCTGGAATTTGCGCTCTGAAGAGGCGCGAAGTCTCTGCAACTCTACGACGGCGTGGAATAGATTTGCGCCTGCCGATGAGAGGTCTGTCACGTTACGAGCAAGTTGCTGAGATACAGGATCGTTGTTGATCTCATCCGCATTCTGCTTCAGTTTGCGTATCCAGAAACTGGTCAAGCCTTCCCAGTGCGCCGAGAGGGTCTCCCAACGTTCGAATGCATGCGGGAACGAGTTCCTACCACGGCCCGCTGCAGCTACCGGGTCTGATGCAGCTGCAGTCTGATGGGTCCCTGATGGTGCAGCTGCTGTATTCTCTACCGCGGGGCCTTGAGGCGGCACGGTCGTCTGGCGCTGCGCAGGTTGTGCCTGAGTACCGGCTGCGCGAGACGATCCTGGATGGGCGCCGTTATCAGCACCAGGTCGACCCGAGCTACCGACTGTAGGTCGTCTTGTTGAAGAGCCAGGATCCGCGCCGGCAGGCACAGATCCCGGTCCAGTTCTACCAGCGCCAGCAGCTGCTGCTCTGCGCTCCGCTTCTCTTCTGTTTGCTTCCTCGAGCAAGCGAGCATCTTCGGCGGCATGCTCGCGCTCCAAGCGTTCTCGTTCCTCGCGTTGTCTCGCTTCTCGGGCTGCTCGTTCTTGCATGATCTTTCGGGGACCTCTAATCCCGGATGGTGAACCGCCGGGAGGTCGAACGGCCGGTATTCTCGAGGAAGACGCGCCATTGTCGTTGGAGGTAGGTATACCACCTCCCATTAAATCGGCCATTGAGGCGGTTTCTTCAACAAGGTCGGAGCTGAGCTTATTCGGACCACGTAGCAATTCCTCAAGCGTGTACAAGATGGCGCGGTGGGTGCGCTTTGAAATGCGGAGGACGGCCTCGGGCTCGGGCGCGTCGACCTCGGTCTTGTAACGCTGCGAGGAAGGAGACTCGTCCTCGTTGTCCTCACTGCTCAAATCCTGAGAGAGTTGTCGCGTGGGTCGGCGTGGTCGCGCTCGTGCCTTACCTTTGTCCGCAGCACCGGCTAATATATACTGACCCCGGGGACCAAGAGTGACAGTGACCTTTGCGGGCGTATGAGGTTGCGATTGTGGGTGCCGGGTCTGCTGTTCCTCGGGCCTTGGGCTCGGCGAAGCGGAGAACTTGGGCGTCCGACGCAGGCGGTGTTGCGAAGATGGAGTAGATCGTTGCCCGGGCGTCTGAGAGTGAGCTCGAGGCGGAGGAGTAGGTTGCGAAAGGCGGCGCTGCTGGCGCTGGTGTAGGGTGGGAGTTGCTGGGTCGTTAGGGTCGTGACGGTCGTGAGAAGATGGCTGGGGAATTGGTTCCGACAACTTTGCCGCTGCGTTGCCTGCCGCCGAGAAGGGAGCTGAAGACGACAAGTTGAAAGTTCACCACGCGCGTGGTGAGAGGCGCCGGGTAATGGGTGGTTGTTCAGACGATCCTGTTGGGGAGCTGTCCGGAGCTGAGCAAGTCCAAGGCCGGCTCTGGGAGTGACGTGTCCGATTTCGCGCAGGCGGCGCTCTCAGTGTGCGAGATCAAGGATAGCCGGCCAAAACCAGCGAGTGAAGGTTTGCAACAGATTCGCAGTGAGCACAACGAAGAACCCGGGCAGCAAGGTACGCCAGAGTGTGCGTGAAGTGGGTGCTGAGTTTGGTACCCTGCGCAGGTTTCGGTCATGGAAAGCGGGAGGCTGGGCCGGCGTGGAAATCCAGATGGCTGGGCAACTCAGCACCGTCGAGAGGGCCCAACGCGGGTCAGGTCCCCTCGGGCCAACCAAGAACTGTCGAGAACGGGCAATGTGACTGATCGCACGATGCGCCTGTTGCGCGCGCGGGAGGCAGCCCAAAGGAAACCCGCGATGTTGTTTCGTCGGTATCACAGCCGTGCTTGCCTCCCAAACGCCGAGCCCGACTCACCACCACCGCGGAGCGGCCTGGTGGGCGACAGCGCCCGCGCCGCCAAACCCGCGGGATCAGGCAATTGGGACGAACGAGGTCGCAGGACTGGGTCGCGGGAGCTGCGTGACTGATCAGACTGGCGCGCGCATCCCAATGGCTTCACAATGTGACAGCTGCTCTGGTTGAGCGAGGGAGAGTTGCTGCAGAATTGTCAGGCCCAGGTGAATTGGCGGCCGCGGAGGAACGGCTGATTTCCTCGCACCGCACGGCCCAATGGCTGCCACCAGACTAATAGACGGCTCAGCTCTACTATTTCGTGTTGGTCCCCTTTGCCTAGAGAAGGGATCCATGGCGTAAGCTGGTTTCGACGGGAAACGCACCGTACGGTTACTTTCATGATCCTGGAGTATACTACACTTTTCCAGGGTCCCCCCAAAAGCTCTGCCTTGAGACGGCCTTGTCTCATCCGAGCTCAAGCCGACCAATTCGCTTAGCACAATGAGACCTTCTACTACGACTATACGTGCACACACATGCTAAAACAATGATCTAAAAGCACACTGAAGCATTCAAGTCCACCAAGCGGTGCCAGGCGTCTGTCCCTCTGCACTCTGTTGCCGCGTCGTGAAGTCAATGGCCCCCACCAGAACCACACCAGACTGTTGCAACTGAGAGCGGTGCACTCAACCAGGGCAGCACGCCTGGTACCCAATAATGGGAAGGAGCAAGGTCAAGCAAGAATGTCGGATGTAAGTGTGCGTTGGCAGTCCACACATTCACGCTAAATTCAGCCAACCGCATTACGCGAGGCCAATGGCCTGGGTCGTAGCATCTGAGGAATCTTGCAAGGGGGTCTTGCTGACAGCGGATCTTGCAAGTTGGTCTGGTCAGTTGCCGTGCTGAAAGACCCCCACAGATAGTCTGTGCTCCAGACCCGAGCCCAAGCTGAGGTCCGAGTCGATCGTTCAATTTTGCGGTGCAAGGTTTCTTCTGAGGCTGCAGAAAGCAGTGGCTGGCAATGAATGGCGTTTGGCGGGATGGAGATGAGGCCGCCTCAATGGGTCGGCGATACGTGACCGACAAGGTCATCCCAGGTTGCCCAGATGGCAGAACAGACAGCTCGGAGGGAAGGGGGGAAATTCTGAACTGCTGAAAATGACAAACTATGCTATAATACAGAGGCGTAGATGCTGTCTGCAGCTTGAGAGTACCTTTCAATTGCGGTGAACCCAATGATTCTCCAGCCAATAAACATATGACTTCATCGCCCCCAGACTGGAGCTCTGCTGCCCGTAGGACAAAGACCTCGGGATGGATGGTGGTTCCGATCTGGAGGAGCTCAAGCCATTGGCCAATGAACAAGCAGCCTTGGTAACGCACGGATCCAAGTGATCAAGTCCAATCAGAAGTGCACAGCGGACCGTGACACTTGACTCTTCATACGGTAGGCATAGAATAAGGCAAGGACACACTCGCGGGCGTCATTGGCGATTGATATATATGCTGAGGCCTAATGCACCGGATCTGGACAAATTGAGATTTGAGCACAGGCCCTTACTGGATTGGTGACCCTTGTCACGTCTATCATGCAGTCAAGACTCCATGTGCACGCATCTTCTGTCTGTGTCCAACCTCATGTGAGGAGTTCTCATGGCAGCTTTCGAACAACTCGACATATCTTGCACAGCCGATTCGGCGTTGGCATGTCTCTCAAACCTATCCTGATTACAAGCTCTCTGATGCTGATCTACGCAAGGAGAATTATGAATGAATTAGACCGTCCGGAGCATATATCAAAGATCAACTTTTTCAGCTCCTTAATTCGGGAACACGAAATGCTTCAGGGGGAGCGTGTCGGGAAGCTCCATAATTGACAGGTCACCGACGCCAACGACGGTTACCAACAAACAAGCTTGAATATGTCGACGTCGGTCGCCGTAGAGACCCCTCAGGAGTGTGATCTCAAAGCCGCCCGTTACGATTAGGAGAACCAACAACGAATGACAACACAGCAACACGCCAGGTATCTCAACGGGTGAGACAGGTCTGGACCAGATTTGCGGGCGAAGACCAAGGTATGACTGAGACTGAACTCGGGGGTCACTAAATCTGCCACCAACCCCGTTTTGGCGAGACTGGTTCAGTTGAGATTGTCAGATGAATCATTGACAACACCGCAACAACAACAACAACAATGGCGAGAACGAGTGGTCTCGCACATCCATACCACCCAAATACCTCCTTGATGTTGTAAGGTTATACGTAAACTTTAGACAAGGTTCCTGTACAGTTAGGCGCCGGGAAACGGGAAGCTCGAGCCAAGGTGCGCGCAGTCAAAGCAGGGACATTGGATTTTCCTCATGCCAGGCCCCGACAGTAGCTTCTGGAGGAAATGAGCTCGTCAAGTCCACGCACCTCTTGATCTAAATACGCGGTTTTGACATGTTGCTCGAAGTTTATGTGCTCGGAAGCTGGGCCGAAAAGCGCGATTTTGAGACCTTGGCGTCTGTCAATGGGAGTATCGTTCAACTTGCGCCCCACTGGCACGAGCTGTAAGTTCCACTGAAAAGTGGCCAGTTCAATTAGGCGGAGCTATAGCGGTCTCCCGGAGCTAAAGTTGGCAAACCAAAGGCACTCGCCCTCTCGCTCTCATTGTGGTGTGTGCTGCAACAGTGTTTTGTCATTTCACTGCACCTGTATAGCCACAACGTAGTTCCTAAAGGACAAGCCGCCTGATTCGCTTCGTTCGGAACTTCGGATGAACCGAAATTTCATCTACATAGCAGCTGCTGACGAAGTGCCTCATCAAGAAGGGCCCAATCGGTGGATCCAACAACGGCAAAGACCCATCACGTCCCTCGCCTCAGGAGCAGGTGGAATGAATTGGCTAACATTGCACATATGCAAAATGACCTATCCCGAATGCAGTTATACAACATGGCACAAGGTTTTGAGAAAATTTTCCTGGGAAACTACTGCAAAGCGGACTTACAAAAAGAGCGCAGCAGAGGTACGACAGTTTCAGCACGCATGCGGGATATTTTGTTTTGCAACGTTCAGCGTCCAAGACGTTCAACGATTGACAGCTAGCCTATAGTGGTTGCATAAGTTGGGATGACGGTTGAGCTAGCCCATCTAGCCAGGGCGTTACCCCTGCAGGACCGCCGTTTCGGGTCCAGTTGATGAGGGGGAAAGGCGATCTACTGGGTCTATCATTGGTCATGAAATCCCAAAATCCAGCTGATTCTGCATGCAGGAAGCGTTCCGAGGGAGGCAGGGGAGGGGTCCCATTGCATGGCGGAAGCCCCGGCACCACTGCCCTGGTAGTAGCTGGAGACCTGGGGTTGGAAACCTGGCGATCGAAACGAGTGCGGAGATTTCCCGTTCTCATTATTCATCGCGTATGCTTGCACAGGTTGCAGAACGCGTACGGCAAAGTCGTCAGGGATGCGCGGTGCTCCTCAGGCCTCTCCTACACAGATCTGCCAGGGCACGCGGGCAGCGTGTGCCCTGTGGTCTGGACATCCCTGTACTATACCGTGGACTGCCTGACAGGTCGGTGTTCGGACTGAGGTCGCGCATGCGACGGCAAGAAATACCGACAAAAAAAAACAGATCAGATATCTCAATCAGGGCTGTGACATCCGGGCTATTGAATTGCGCCTTGATGGGCCGCCGCATGAGCAATGCAGTGCTTTCAACCTGCTGTCGGGGTACTGCCCTCCCAAACGACCTCCAAGACAAACGGGAATGTCCCTTTTTGATCGGATCTTGCATGAGCTAACAATCACTCAGCAGCTTACGACAATCGGCTGTTTTCTGAGTCCGCAGGGGTTAGGTATGCATTCAGGTACAGTGCTTGGCATTCACAAATGCCGGCGCGATTGTGCCAATCCACCACACAAGTGCAACATACAGGTGTCCTCGGTGACGTCGGCTGTCTCGACGGTCTCGGTGCTTTCGGCTCCAAAGAGGGTATTTATGAACAACATACTCGTCCATGCCCCTCTTCCTCGCAGTAGTGGTTCAGTGAATATGCGCGCTCTAATGTAAAGCTCAGGAACACACAAAGTTTCCTACTTCCAGCCCAGTATATGCACCTTGGTCCAACGAAAAACTCAAGCGCGACTATAGACGCGGCTGTGCGTCAATGCTTGTCTAGACTCTAGCGAAGCTTATAGGCCAAGCGCGATTTGTTTCCCTCTCTACCCCACCCCCTACTCAACTTATGATCCATTACTTCGAAGGGCTCAAGCGTGTCTAGATGGGTCAGATCGGAAGGCCCGAAGACCCTCGTGGCGGCTGGAATGAGGGAGCTGAGATGGACCTCCCGACACATTCTTCCCGACACCCGACCCAGTCTTGGCGCTTGTTGTTGCAATCGGCTCTGGTCGTTCGTACTCTAGCTGCGCCGAGTTGAGTGTGCGCTGTGCCTGAGGTCTGCTTCAGCTGAGACGAAACAGAAGTGCGAGGTCACATTTTCTTTTTGGACCACGCCACCACCCGGGTGCCTCGTCATATCTCACCAGAGGCAATTGGGGGACCAGCGTTTGCTTCTCAAGCAAGCAGCTGCAGGGACGCATTCCGCTCTGAGTGGCGTAAGCACGTCTTTTGGGAAGGGCAGACTGATCGAGACAATTGGAGGGGTGAGGCACTGGAATCTCCCTTGATGTTATGCATTTTGCACAAACATTGTTGATTCCAAGCCCCCTCCCGGCCTAGGCACACAAGGGAATTCCTTGTCTATCATTTCCCTGTTGATCTTGATTACAGATTCCACTTCCCCGCTGTCTCGTTCAACTCGGGAGGAGGGACATCGGGGGCCAGGCATATATCTCGTTTGCTCCACCCTGGCATCCAATACTCATCCCTGCTCGACCTTCTCGTTGTCTTGGTCGACCACCCACACCAACTCTGCAGGTTCCTATAAACCTCTGTTTCCTACCATACGGGCTGAGATCTGATCTGCGATCTCAATAGATCTTCAAGTTCATCGCGATCATGGATACACCAAAGCTTCCCTGGTTCTCTCATCGAGATGACCCCATTCTGTGGGATTATAATCAGGACACAACAAGCGTCATGGCTGGACAGAGGTTAGAGAGCACTAACCGACGAGATGGGATGATCGGTCAACCTCAATTCCGAACGAATTTCTCATACCCAAGGCCGGAGGTCCAGGTATCCAAACATGAGTCGGTTGACAGCCGGTCGTCGTTGAACTCTGCTGGCTCTATGCCGAGCATGACGGATGCCTCAGATTCTGAAGTTTCTGTGGACGACGACTACCAATACAACACTTCCGCCAGTGAGCTCTGGGATAGCTTCTGGCCGGCAAGGGTGGTTAGACAGCCGCCGATACAGAAGTCCCAAAGCTCAAGCGTCCTTCAATCACACACATCTGACTTCTTCACCATCGACTATTACACATCAAAGGCAGCAGAAGCCGAAGATGACGCCGTTACCATCACCGGACAAGACGTTCAAGAGTCCATGTCTACGCAGTGGCCACTGCCAAGATCATCACCTTCGCGACAGAAGACTGCAAAGGCCCCAGTGACTTACTCGGTCTATCCGAAACCCTCGCCAATCCCGCCTCGCTTGACCATCCTACCACCCCGTACTTCGTCTCTCACTCCTGAGTCGTCCCTTACTGCAAAAAGACGACTGAAGGGCAGCAAATCCATTGCGAATCTGAAGCCCAGTAGATCCAATGTGAGCCTCTACTCAGCCCTCGGTTTGTCACCAACATCACCGAGCTTTGGTGGCCAACAAACACAATCAATGCCTGTCTCTCCAATTGATACAGCCCCGAAGCTTCGCCCGTCAGCATCTGCTCACAACATACGGGGACTCGCACTTCCCACTTCGGCTGCTCCTCCGGTACCCGAGTTGCCAAACATGCCCGGTTTGCAGCACTCTTGCCCACCACTGGATAGGATTGTCTCAGTCTTCGAGCTTGACTCGGATAACGAGCGCGACGGAGACTCGAATGGCTTTGCGAAACGCTTGGCACGAGGCTTGCAGCACAAAAAGAGCAGTCGGGACATCAATCACAAGAAGAGTGCGAGCGAAAAGCGCAGCAGTGGCGACAAAAAGGCTCCGGAAGTCCAAGTGGGAAGCGACGGAACCCAGAGCCTGGGACGCAAAAGAGGCGGATCACTTGGCCGCATTCTTGGCCTGAAGAGCAAATGATCTCGCGACTGTGTCTTCTCACACTTTTTTCCTCCCTCGCATCATCACCACCGGAAGCGACCTTTTCGTGTGTATCTCATCAGGTGTAAACAACATGGCCAAGCATCGGAGTGGCGACCAGTGTAGGAGAGATGTCTTGATTTTTGTGCTCACTAGAGTTGGGTGGCTGCGGTGTACGCGACGACGATGACATCAGATGATTTTAACGACCATAAGGAAGACGGCCTTCCTCCAGACGGGGCGGAGCTAGTAGAATCAAATCAACATTCATGGAACAGGGAGTCGCCAGTCTGTTTTCATGTACATGTAGATAGAGGGATGGCGTTCAAAAGACATAGGAGGGGCTCACAGGACCTCAGGCTGCATTTTCTAGAATAAATGTTGAACTCATTCCAATCAGTCAAGGTGCGCTTTCACCATGCCTCTTTGAGATGAATGTAAATATTGTAGCTCGTATTGAAGTGCGATCATGAAAACATTCTTCTCGGTCAGTTGACACGAACCCGCCGTGGCATGATGGTAGGAATAGAAGTAAGCTCCATAGAACGCTCAACTTCATAAACACCGCTAAATTGCGACGGGGAAGGCTCGTAACGTCTGAGCTGTAAATATAGCGATGTCAATCTGAGTCTTGGCTCAGCTCACTCGGTAAAGCGACAGTCTTTCGAGAGTGCTGAAACCCATAAAATCGCGACAATTCTATTAGTCGAATGGTGTCATTCTCATAGAGTCGTAAGTCTTAACCCATTATCCCATAAGCCGTAATCTCGTAGAACGCCACATCATGCATCGTCCCAAAACCCCCGCGAACCAATTATGTCCGTGAAATATCCATCGTACAATCTAGAAACTACCCAAGTCTTTCGTACGTCGTAAACCATTGTACAAGAAGCATATCCC